GTGCACGCAGACTGAGCGACGCAGCGTGAGAACCTCGACCCGGTTCCCCGCACCGACTCTTGCTGGGCCCAAACTATATAAAGGCGCCATCCCCGTCGCCCGAGAGGCCCAGCAAGAGGAATCACCTGTATTCTCCGCCTTGCCCTGCGTCGTTCGCCAAATAAACGACCGTCTCCAGTCCCCGTCCCCCCGATCCCGTCCTGCTTCCGCCCTGCCGTCGCCTCGCTTCCGTCCTGCCTTCGCTCGAGCCTCGCCCGCCGTTCCGTCCTCTCCAGCCCTGCCCGTCCGTGACAATCTCCCGGGACTTTCACTGGCCCCGGCTTCGTAAGTCTGTGCGTCGCTTCATTGCTAATTGTGAAGCGTGCCAGCGAGCCAAGCCGTCCCGTCACTCCCCTTATGGTTTACTTCACCCTCTCCCCGTTCCTTCCGAACGTTGGTGGGACCTGTCGATGGACTTCATCACGGATCTCCCACCTTCGAACGGTTTTGACTCGATCTTCGTGGTTAAGGACCGCCTGTCCAAACAAGCACACTTTGTGCCCACCACGAAGACGGTTACAGGCGAGTGTTAGAACTTGCCCAAAGGTACAAGGGTTCAGGGATCGCGTGTTTGGGGTGCAGGTCATGATTGGGGTGTGGCGGGGCAGTTAGTCATGTTACCTATGCAAAGGATGGCCGACAACGTTCGGGACTTTTCTGCGCAGCTCGTTAGCTTAGTCAATTCATTCATTCCCTTCCTTGATCACGGCGTGGCTTGTCACCGATTGAGCTCGGAGATCAGATAGACTAGACGGCTGAGGTATAAATAGACGGGCTCAGGACGTGGGTAGAAAGCTCATCAAGTGAATTAACTTCTCACTACTCCAATATAAGATCATCACTCTTCTAGACCTTGACTACTCCCGGTTCCCACGCTCTTGTCTTTGCCTCGCCCTGCTCCCGCGTCCGTCCCTAACAAAAAGCGAAGCACCAGGCAGGAGAAACGTGCAAAGGCGAAGCAATGTGACTCAACGTCCAAGAAGCGGATTGGTCAAAGAACCGATTGGGGCGAACGCATGCAAGATAGGCGAAGGTTTGGGGTGGTCAGGCAGGTCATGAGTCACCGGTGGGGGGACACATGACCGGGAGCCGAATTGCAACCAATCGCAGCAAGGCGCGTGCACAAACAAACCGGCGCGTGCGAAGAAGACAAGAGAAGCGGAGCAGCGCGGGAAAACGGAAGTGCGGAAGGAGCGGAAAAGACAGGCAAAGGGCGGAAAATTGGAGGGGAACTGCAAAGCTACACACAAACAAACAGAAAGGCAAAAGAACAGCCAAGTGTGCAGTCAAAGTGGAGAACAAGCAGGAGCTATCCCTAACAGATGGTCAGAGAGTCAAAGGGTTGGGCGAACGAGATGGCCTGAGGGGAGCAGAGAACAAGGTAGAGTGGTGATTTATTGAATACTTCACTGGGGAGGTTTACAAGCGCGGCTGAGGTCTGGTATATAACCGGCTGGTGGCCTGTGCTGACAAACATCTAGAAAGGGGCAATACTGCCAAGAAGGCTCCGCGGAGAATGCTCGGCCTGGAGAGTTGGTGCGTCCAGACAGGGGCTGTGCATCTTGATTTCCTCGAGCACAGCAAGGCTCACCATCCAATCAGTATCGGTTGGCGGCCAGGGTCAGTCTTTGCACACCCGCACAAGTCATGGTTCATGACACGCTCGATCGCCCACTTTTCCCTCCCTTGGCCGCCCTTCGCTGCCAAGGCCTGACTTGTGTATCAATAGCCTGACCCCCGCGATGTGTAGTCGAACCTCAGCGTTCAAAATAGGACTAAATAAAGTGCCTTCTACTTTATTCTCTGAGTGTTCCTCACGTCTCATTTCGAGACTGGTCTTATCTTGAACGGATCTTTGCTTCCCTCGCTCTCTCCGAGTCCACTTCGGACCTTTCCTTTGCTTTCCCTGAGCTCACTTCGAGCTCACTTTCTCTTTTGCTGTTGAGTCCCCTTCGGACTCTAACACCTCGTTGCCCCGTTACCCCGTTACCCCGTTGTCCCGTTGCCCGTCATCCCGTTGCCTCGACAGCTGGGTTATACTCTCTTCTTTGCCCGTTCGTTACAAAACTGGTTTGAACGGCGTTGTGTCCCTGCTGGTTTATTGAGGGCCAAAACCCAGCAGCTTTTATCTGCAATGGCGGGCATCACGGCGGGCGCCTGCGGAAGGCAAACCGGTGGGACGCAGCACAGCTTGGCGCTGGAAGCTTTTCCAGCCCTCCGTGCTGCGCTCCGTAGCACGTTCCGTTGCAGTTTCAGTCCCATCCATGCACGTTGGACTTGCAATTTTATCTCTTGATAATGTTATTGGATAACACGTCTGCATGAGTGCGAGATAATTCGAGGGAGATATGAGAGACCGGTCGGCAGCGAATGGAGGAGCACAACCAGAGCAACTCTCCACATTTCTGGGGGCTGGGCATGGCCGGTCTTGGCGCTGTCCTCTGAATCCTGTCGAACCATGTGAAGAGCCAGCGATCAGCTTCTCTGTTGTGTCAGATCTCAGACTCCTTCAACATCTATGCTCGGACCGGGGTGGGTTGATGGATGGCAATAGGGGATTGCCGAGATCTTGTAGCCTGAACACCGTGCTTTGCCGTCTTGCCAACACCACGCCCCCCATCCACACCGTGTCCAACCGGCAGCCTTCTTCCTTTGGCTGAATGATCGGCTGACCTTTGGCTTGATCGGTCTGGCCCAGTGCGTCTCTCGGATCGCCCATCTCAAATCCAAGGTCACCCTCAAAGGCACCCGCTGTCACGCCCTGCGCTTGATGGATTCAGCTCTGTTCTCATATTTCTAGCACCATTGTTGGATCCATCCTTCAGACGGCTATTTGCGACTCTTTCCTGTGGTCTCTGCTCCTCCGATCGCTTGACCACGCCGCTGAATCCAAATCATCCACAGCCGCTGTCCTATTTACTGGGCACGCTCGCATGTCGAGTCCCATTTCCTCGCACCCAGTCTTCCGGAGAGGAGAGGTCGTGTTCGTCTCAGTGTTCCTTCAGTTAAACAAGCATCACCCGCTGGAGTTTGAAGCTCTCGATATCAGGTCATGCATTCGTGTCGACCCCAGCGATTTCAACGGCGTCCCAATATATTGGCCAGCGATAATCTATAGAGTCCACGATCAGGGGCCACACCACAATGTTTGGTCGACCCCCTTGGTGATCAAGTCATCGAACCCAGCCTCACGAGTTGCCGAAGATTTAGGTAAAGCTGTCGTCCAAGTCCAGACTCCCCAGATCTTTGACGGAATCGTTCAAGCTTCATTCATAACCTACGATGTTCGGCTCAATGGTCTGAACCTGGATCAGCTGCGACTCCCCGAAATGTGCCTCTGCCCGTGCGCCTACGTTCCGCCGTTTGGCGGATATACGTTCCTCGACTCCGTCGACCTCAAATCGCTGGAACTCGCTGAAACGACGGCGCCATTGGATCCGATTCTCATCAAGTTTTTGCTGTCGCTGAAAACAACCGAGTCCCGGCTGGCTGCGACCCATCTCCCACACAAGACTTGCGCACTTCGGAACTCGATCCAATTCTTTGAGGTCGCTCGGATTGGTGGCGAGGTTCTGTTCCTTGGCGATCATATCTGGGCGAATGTTGGCGACAAACCCACGCTTGTTCGAGTCGACACGATCTACCGTTATCTCAACGACCCCAAGCTTCTACACTTCTCAGGCATTGTCATGGGCGAGCCTGTCTTCCAGCGGGAGGTTCGCTTCCCGCACTTCCAGATTATGGGTCGTGTCTATGCGGGTTATTGGCTCAACCAAATGCGCTGCCGACGATTTTGTGTCTCTGCCAGCCCGTGGTAGAACGAGTTGGCTCGATACAGACCGAGTTGGCCCGACAACAACATTTCCCTCACTTTGTCTCGCGGCCACTCAAATTGTCAGCAGTGCCAACAAACGGACGAAACGAGATGTGCTGGTTTAAAGGTCGACGGTGCCCGACCTCTGCATCGCGGAATAGATGTGCCTGCTCCACATATCTGTCCGACCGTCGCCACCTCCCTGTTGGGGGAGGTGTGGGTTACCAGTGTCCAGGTACCAGATAGATGGCGCTCTTGGACAACTGAAGATGGTGGCAACTTGACGCAGGCCGAGGATGATGTTTGGACACGACGGGCGATGGGTACGTATTCATGTATCGGCAAATCACAGCGTCCTGGGATAGTAGTGTCGAGCTTGCAGCTGCCTCAGACGGATCCTTCCCCGCCTAGGATCCGAGGTGGCCCTGGCCATATTCAGTGTTTCCAAGAGCACCATGCATCGCTGGCAATGCGTCGTGGCGTCAAAAAAGGACTATGCATCCAGCCCCAAGACGTAGCGGATTGCTCGGTACTTTGAGCAGTGCAGGTCGATTGTGGAGATCGGAGAGCGACCAGTGGTCTTTACTCGGAGGTGATCTGTTGAGTTGCATGTGGTTCTGCTTGACGCAAGCTCATCCTACACCATGTTCACGAAGCGGGTGGTGCCCCGTTTGCCAATGTATAAAGTATCTGCAGCTGTCTCCATCTGCCTCCATCTACCTCGAAACGGCCTCACCCCAGCAGGTCCATCATTACGTACTATGAATAAGCTCTTGACCTGACCGTAACTGTGACTCAACAACTCAGGAATTGGCGTTGCGAATGACATACATGTTGCGAACCAGCGGTTTGACCATCCCAACGGTCTGCGAAAGTCGTATTTGCTTCTCTGATGATATCGCTTCAAGTGTATTTCGACCGGATGATGATCGAAGAATGCAACATATCGTGGGTGGCGTGACTACTCAAGAGTCCATCATGATCCTTGCTCCCCAGTTCAAGTTGGCACAAATCGCGAGGTGGGAGGGGGAAATCGCCAAGGACAAGCTGACGTGAGCGGCCTGCCCGAAGGATAAAAGCCAGGCTCAGGGGCTCTAATAATTTACAAAGCATGGTGAGATTCGATGATCTCGATCTCTTTCAAATACAGACTGCCGTTCTGCACTCCCCCAGTGTTGGCTGGCGCTGCTTGATAGAAGGAAGAGGGCATATGGTCCACGGAAACGACGAGGTCCTTGCTAAGCAGTGGTTTTAACCGCCTCGCCATTGACAATACGTTCGTAGTAGGGATCTGCAAAGCAATCGATGGTGAGTGCAAATCATGGGATGATCAACGGCCAACCAAGCATCATGAGCAGCACAACAAATTCAACTCGAAACTCACCGACAACAGCAACAGGCTTGACGTCGACAAGGGTTGATACACCTGCGACACCCATGACACCCGCAATGGCCAACAGCTGGGCAGTCATACGGGCGTTAATGACTTTCTGGGCCTGGGTGATATCTGTTCGTCGGTAGTTGTAGCCGAGGGCGGCTACCATCGAAGTGGCCCAGAGGCCGGCTTCAAGACAGACAAAACAAAGTTGCAGGGTCAGTGTCGGCAGTGTTGAAAGCCAAGGGCTCGGGTCAGCCGTGGGTGACGATTGGCCGACAAATTCCGGACAGCACCGTTGCAGAAATGAATGTGGTTCATAGGATTCTTACCAACAAACTTGTAGCGATACTGGATGAAGGCATTTTTCAGCCCTTCAGCGCTTGTGAAGTTGATCTGATCGCTTGAGGTAAGAGGCTCGATTTCGCTTTCGTGGACAACCGAGAACTGCTGAGCAAACTCTCGATCGACACGCATAGCAACGACATCACTGGCAGTGAAAAATCCGGCGATTGTGGAGGCCAATACGAGAGACACCTGGCGATGGGGTGGAGGATGAGAGTGTTTAGATGTGGGTGAGGATGCGAATATGAGCGGAAAGGGCAAGATGCTCTTGATGACCAAGCTAAGATCATCGCCAACGGTGTTGGACAAGCGGAGGGATTCCGGGTCGCCACAGCAAACTCGAATGCGCACGGTTATCCGAAACCTTGGCCCAGATGGCCAACGAATCCAAGCAAGCCGCACGAATCCAATCCAACGAGCCAACCCGAGTGCGCACCATGGATCCAGAAACACGGACATACCTTGATGGGCAGGGTCAATCGTTGGTAGAAGGGCCACCGCTTCTGGGCAAAGGCCGAGAGTCCCAAGGCAGTGGCGGTCGTAGCCAGGCCGTAGGGAGCACTCTCCTTGATGACTCGCCAGTGCATTTCATTTTTGTTGCGATACCGCAGTTGCTTGGCGGCTCCACCAACGATATCCTCGTTTGGGTCTTCGGTTGGAGGAATGGTGGACATGGCTGGCGCTTTAGACAGGTGTGATGAGGGAGGATGTAGATGCGACCTGGGAGGAGACGAGAGCAAGCTGGACGGATGCGACCCAGCGAAGGATGGCCGATGGACAGCCGGATATATACCCCATCTCCAAAAAAAAAAAAAAAAAGTCGCCAGAACGGCCAGGGCGGGATTGGACAGCGCAGACGGAGCCGATGGAACGGGGGCTGTGGGCCAACCCCGCGGCGGGGACAGACCGGACTGCGCGTGGCAGACGCGACATCCCACAGTCCCTGTCGACACAGACTTGCGCGCCATCGTTTGCAGCTGTGGCACTGGCCACGCCGCAGTTTCTGTCGGCCCAAGCCCCCACTTCGACAGCGGCCGCAGCCACGCGTCCCGCCTAAACTGGCCGTGTCGCCGCGTCGCCGCATCACCTTGCGCAATCACACATCACCATCCTGACTGCGGGTGACTCATGCCGCCGTCCGAGGCCGCCTGTGCACCGCCCGCGCGTCTTCTCCCCATGCGATGCTGGCACCACGCGCAGCATCGCCCGCTGCGCTGAGTGGTCCAACCCCACATCACGTGCTGCCGCGCCTGCCCATTGGCTGGCGGCAGTGGGCTCAGCGAGCCGCCCGGATTCCTGATCCTTCCCAGGGCCCTGTTTCGCGGCCCGATGACATAGCCGTCCGATAATGCACACGACTTTCGCCGGCCTTGGCTGCATGCCGTCGATCAGCGCTCGCATTGCTGTGTGGGACTCGGATGAAGACAGGGAACAGAATCCCTATGCCTCACCCGCCAAGGCGTCGTCCCTTGCATTGACCTGCAGCGAATCCGTCTGCAGCGGCTCGCTGGTGCTCGCTGTACCCACTTGACACACACCACAATCCGAAGCAGCCAACTTGACTGTCCCTGAGGAGTCAGTCCAGGAAATGTGGTTCCGTGGTCTTTCTAACATGCTGTATCCCTTCACAGATGGCAAGTGCCTCTGTGACAAGAATCCACAGAGGCAACTATCTGCAATAAGTGTTCTCAGCACTACCCCCATCAACCCATGGGCCACCAAGCGCATGTTTCGATAGGCTCGCATATCCGTGGCCAACCGTCATGGTCGCTATCGGCACTGCCGCTGGCTATACCGCCGTGATCGCGCTCGAATGCTGGTTCACACAAGTTGTTCAGCCTGCTTGCCTTTCCGTTCCCGTCGGGCGTCTGTCATCGACAACATTCCGTCTTCTCTCGCGTCTGTCCTCACCAACATTTAGCTCCGCCAGCACTCCTACTTGCTCTGTTCGGCTCTCCCCCATCCGCGGGCAGACGGCAAGTTCCCGCGCATGCATCCTCCCCACGCACCTTGCCTGCGGTTGCCTGCAAGCCAACTCTATTGCGCCTGTCAAAGGGCTCATGCTCCACGCAGACTCTTGAGCCTTACGTGAGTTTAGGCAGTTTATTTTGAGATGGGACTTTTCAGCCCACGGACGGCTTGTGCGGATTGACGGGCATCCATCGGCGCTCCCAGGGGCCCGACAGTCATTTTCCTCTTCACCTGCCCACCAAGGAAGGGACGCATATAACAATCCGCATCGGCTGGCTTGTCGGCGGGTCCAGCTGCGTCGCAGACCATAGTGTCGGTATCATCACCACAAATACCATCGCTTATGAAGCCGTAACCCATGTTCGAGGTGGCTTCCTTGACATTAATGTATTGAAGTTGACTGAGGCAAGCAAAATGCATTAGGTGGCGGCCGCAGTCAGATCACACAGCTGGCCGGAAGTGGAGATGCATGCAAAGCGCCAGGATTAGCGCGTGCGTTCCCGTCAACTTTGGCGGCGCTAAGCTATCGCCGACCGACAGGGACCGATTCTAGTTCTTATAGTATCGGACTCGGCCTGAGTGTGTGAAAACAAATCGTGGATATCAGAGCGGTGCAGGTGTAGTAAAAGGTCGGGCGCCATGTGATATTGCTGGGTAACAAAGCGATGGGAGGGATCGGACCAGTCCTCCAGGTCCAGGCTGGCGGTCTGGCGACCACGAAGCACAAAGGTTGCATCCTCTGTCATTCACCCGTCCCATCCTGCCCACGAATACACCCTCGCCCTCATCCCCACCCTCGCCATCCCGCAGAGCCTAAACCGCACGCGGCCCAACGACATTTCACCGTGTTGCAGGCGTCGCCATCGCTCGTGTTCCATACCAGTGTCCTCAACAAACTTGCAGTCCCGAACGGAGCGGTACATCGCAAGGAAGATGTTGGTGTCGTCGTAGAGATAATACTTTCCGAGGAACTTTTTCACATGCTCGGTGGCCTCGACGGCTGTACCACGTTGAACAAGCACAAGCATTTGGTCATTAGCACAGCACAGAATGCAGCTAGTGGGGCCGACACGTTTGCTCTTACCGTTGTAGTGAGGCATAGTCGAGAACAGGTGGTGGACGACGTGGGTGTCGGCGCTGTTGCAAAGTGACACCGGCGCGGATATGGGATAACAGGAAAATCACATGCATGAACCAAGGTGGGGGAGAGCGGTGGAGGGTCAGTGTTGGGGTCGTGATGGGGCTCTGCGTTGCTGCGGGGCGCGGACTGGTCGCCATGCAGCAACAGCAACAGCAACAGCAACAGCGACAGTGACAGTGACAGCGATTCCCTACATGTGGTGGTGGAAATAGTTCAGGACGCCATAGTCGCGGTCAACGGTGGCAAGGGCACCCAGCAGGAAGGTGAACTCGTCGTCGTCGTAGTGAGGAACCTTGGAGTCGGTGTGTTGCAGGAAGGTAATAAAGACCAGCCAGAAGTTGACACCGAGATAGGGGAGGACGTAGTATTTGAAGACCGCGATAGAGCCAAAGTGCTGGCCAGCGACAATCAGGGCAATCACGGTGAGAGCAAAGCCAATGTCGGAGTACACAATCAGCAGCCACTGCTTGGGCTCGAAGATGGGCGAGTTGGGGCGGAAGTGCGAGGTCCAGGTTTTGTACTGCTGGCCGGAGGCGTTGAAAAGCAGGTAGGCAGGCCAGCCGATAAAGAGGTATTTCAATGCGCGGAACACGTTCAAGATCGGAATGTCATCCATGATCGACTCTTCCTCAAGCGTATCGACATTGGCAGGAGGAGGAGGAAGATTAAACTGGCTGCGGGTGTAGGGCACAAAGACCTGGTCCTTGGTCAGGTGGCAGGTGGCCTTGTGGTGTTTCTGGTAGAAGAATCGAGTGTGGAGGCGGTGAGAGCAGGAACGAGAGCAGGAACGAGAGCTGGAGCGGGTCGGAGGAGAGGCCAGAAGCGGCGTATCCATGCCGGGAGCTAGCTGTTGCGCAAAGTGACCGAAGCCACCGGAGGGAAGTACGGGCGGAAGCAACAGTATCGAGCTGGCGAATCTAGTTCTGAGATTTAAAACCAGTCATGCACAGCGGCCCCAAGCAAGCGACAATGTGGCATACCGAGTGGGTAATCTTCCATGAAAAGTAGGGGACAAGCAGAGCCGAGTGGAGGACCCAGCCGACGAGGTTGTTGACCCAGGCGTAGTCAGAGAAAGCCTGGTGGCCACATTCTAAAGCCCAGAAAAGCTCATGGTCGGTGAGAACGTGCAGCGGGCGGCAGTCGATTCCGACTATCAGGATCAACAACGCTGCGCGTCCAAGCGACAACGATCAAGCAGACACGCAGTCGTGCGAGTAGTAGCTCTCCCCTCGCTATGGCCCGTCCAGCGTCTCTACTCCGGTCCCTTCTCGGATGCTCGGCGATCGGGCACGATCTGCATACACAAAGCTTACCGTGAGCAATAACCCAGACGCCAGTCCAGACGACGCCTTGGCAAACCCAGAAGACAGGCCACATGATCCAGTTGAAGGGATGGGGGAGATGGTCAATGTAGGTGGCGCCATACCAGAGAATGGCCTGGATGATCAGATCGTGGGCAAGCGTGGCAAAGGACTTTGCGAGCGAGCGCTTGAACAAATGCGGGGGGATGCAATCGCGGACGTCCTTGAGGGTGAACTTTGGGGTCTCATGGTTGAGGGAGTAGGGGGCCGAGGGCACGGTGCGCTTCTTGGAAGCGGCGGCCGAGGCAGCAACGGGCTTGGTGCTGGAGACAGCAGGGCGCTGGCGGAGTCCTGAATCCATTCTGGCGGCGATCGGATCAAAGGAGCAGGCGGGTGGAGCAAGCGAAGCAAGAACGCAACGGACAAGAGGCAGCGGACAGCAGACAGCAACCCAGCAACCAGCCCAGTTGTGGTCGGTCGATTGGCGAGGAAGGGAGAGCGAGGGAAGGGGGATGTGTGAGAATTTATGGAAACAGCGATCAAAAAAAAAAGTGATCGCCATACAGGAGACGCATCTCGCGGGAGGTCGAGCGAGGGGCAGCACAGCACTCCAAGACAGCACGCGAGACAGCACACACAGTACATGAGAGAGCGAGCGAGGCGACAGCGAGAGCGAGAGCGAGAGTGAGGTGGCAAGACCGCCGGCCCGTGCTTGGACAATGGCGGGTGCCACAAGACCGAGTGTTTTGTCGCCCAGCGCGTGCGCCATTGCACCGAGTGTATTGGATGTGTTGGATGTGTTGGATGTGTTGGATGTGTTGGATGTGTTGGGGCGAGTCGTCGAGCCCGACACCACCGCAGCCGGTCTCTGCATCTACCTCTTGGCCCTTCCCTCGCCCGCACTCGCCCTGTTTCGCTCGCGGCTGCCTCCGCCGAACGGCACTTGCACTTGCACTTGCGCTTGCACTTGCACTGCGCGGTCTCGGGCGGTGCCCAGAACTATCTCCTTGTTGGCTGCCGCCCCAAAAACGCTCTCCAGAGGCAAGCACGCCACCCGAGTCATCGCGCAACTCACACTCAATCCAGGCACGCGCACTCGAGCCAGACACTCGAGCCACACACTCGAGCCACAAACTCGAGCCACCCACTCGAGCCGGATCCAGCCGCACTTGCCTCTTTGGGCAAATGGATTCTTCGCTTTCCTCCCTCTGATCGCTGCTCCAGTCGGTGCCGAACCCCGCGACCGGCCTGCCGGCTTCTGCGATCCGGTCTTCCTCCCATGTCCCGCAGGTCCTCTCGGGCCCGCAAGTCCCGTTCGGCCCCCAATGTCAGGTTTGTCGATCTCGCCCGCCTTGCGGCAATGCTATCCCTGCCACGGACATCTGCTGCCAGTGGTCCTGCATCGCTTCGCACCGCCAGGCACCCATGTCGCTTCTCAGACGGCTCTACGCTTCCTCACTCACTGGCCCCTGCACCTGAACCACCAGCTCCGCATGGTATGTCGGTTATGCCGAGGACAACGAGTCTGTCGAGGCCATCATGAAGAAGTTTGAGGAGCTCGATCGCCTACAGATGGAGGTCCAGCGGGAGCAGCAAACACAACTGCAAGTGCAGCCAACCCAGAAAAAACCCAGATCCAAGCGCAAGACGCCGACAGAGGTCGTTTCAGAACATCCATCATCCAGTCAGCCCCGCGAGGTAACCCGTCCAGATGCCGCTGCTGCTTTGACGGCGGCCGGCATCGACTGCTGAGCCGCTCTCGGTGTCACTCCGAAACGCTTCCACCGCCCTCGCAAAGCAATGTACATGTCGTGTGTTTCTCAGACACCCGTATGTCTCCATGCAATTGATCGCCTTAGTCGGCTGCCCAAGAAATCGAGCCGATTTTATCACAGCAACAGTTGGAGGAGCTTTTCAAACGAACCTCTGTCTTCAGTCTTCAATCGGCGCTCACATCGAATCCGTTCGAAGATGAAGAGGTCTGGCTTCAAAATCATCCCCAGGATGACACCAACTCGGTTGAAGAGGAACCCAAGTAGGTTTTCGAGTTGTATTTGCACTTGCGTCTGCTGATCTCGTGTCGTCGTACTTTAGGTATACCGTCCTATTTCCTGGTGGCGATACTCACTCTCAAGCCTGGCGTCCATCCATATCCTCCCTGATCCAGCGACTATCAAGTTGTGGACGACGACGTGTGGGATAGCGACATTGCTCGAGAACGGCCTCCGCCCGAGCCATCCCGCTCGCCGTCGCCGTCGCCACCGCTGTCGATTGGGCTGTCCCTGTCCCCGGCGCCGCTTTCAGCTACTCAAGAACAGCCAAGTTCCGCCCCAAGTCGGGACACGGCTCAGGCGGCCTCTATGGGTGCACCAATGGACTCATTTCGAGATATCACGGAGGCGATTCTGGCCGATAGTGAACCTGTTGCTCTCTTTGGGGTCCAGTTTGAAGATTTCTCCGACTATCAGCTCAACATTCCTCTCGACACCGAGTTTGGTCGGTTGTGTAGCGCATATCCACCATCGACGGCAATGGAGATGAGAACTCTCTCTCCAACCGGTCGTGATCTCCCGAGCGCAATGGATTTGAGCTTATTCGATTGTGCATCTCCTCTGGAGTCCATTGAGGCGGACGATCCACCTTCGATCGTAATTACCAGAACGACCATTGACACCAAAGCCCTCCCTGCTGAGCGACTGTCGCCTCGACAACAGTTCGACTCGCTCTCTGGCTCTGATAGATCGCTCCACCTGCTCCAAGCTGTAGAGCCATTGCCGCCGTCCCCTCAATCTTTTGTAGCCCAAGATGTGCCCAGCGAATTGATACGCGGCAAAGATCCGACCCCCTCTGGATCCAAAAAACGAAAACGGGAGGTCAATCGCATCAGCAAGTCTCGAGCAACACAGAGAGTGGATACGGCTTCCAAACCCAGCTCTCAGCCCGAGTCGCCTGCGATGGCACAGAGACCAATGTCAAGACCGGAGCCGGGGGCAAAATCCCTGTCGACAATTCAAACACAAGTGGCTGAGTCTGAGTCGATACCAACCTTGACTCTCTCGGTTACAAGGCCCACTGCTCAAACTACCGCAGCGACATTAGCATCAGCAAAGCCGTCCCTGAAACCGGGGCCGACACATGTGACAAGTTGCACTTCATACGGGCCGTGCCTCCTTGCAGACGCAGTGCCTCCCACACCACCCCCTGTATCACAGCCCGCGGCCCCGATCTCTGTCTGTGTTGATTTGGCCTCGCCAGTCTCCCTTCCTCCGTCATCCGAGTCCACGGGTGGCCCGCCCTCTCCGGTCGACATCATCACCATTGCAGAATTGGCGCTCCCTCCAAAGCCCAAGGAAAAGAAAACGATTGACCGGGAAATCATGATCAACCGTTACAGATCGCTTGCAAACGAGATCCAGGAGCGAACTGCGACCGTGTACATTGCTAAGAAACCACCTCCGTAAGTACAGCTCCAGCCGAGACTGTCGAGAGCGCCAAGGCTATTCGTTAGCCTTTGGGCAGCTCCAGGAAATGCTCGGGCAGTTGTATATATGCCTCTCTTGTAAGCTCTGAGCGATAACTCCATCTCTCGTGCGCGATATGCTTGCGCTTTGCAGAACCATCGACCCCACACTGCCGACCTACATCCGTATTCCGGCGGCGCCAGTTTCCCGCGCATGGCTCAAGACCATTGAGCCTTTCGAGCATTCGCAGCAACCACTATGCAGGTCTAGGTCCGTCGCTAGACCCACCGGGTTCTCATCTTTCCCGATGAATATATCCATACTCGCATGCCATTCACTCCGTTGTTCCTCAGTTCCGATCAGCAGCACTGCCGCATCTTGCATTAACAACACTCTGTGGATACAGGCACCTTGAAGCTGATATCTTGAATATGGACCTCAAGAGCCTCGGGAACTCCTTTCAAGCAGTCCACATGGATCCCCCCCTCACGTTGAAGCGTGGGGGGGAAAAGGGAAAGGTCACTCCTGAGCAGCTCGTAAGTATCTGCATGCTGCAGTGAGCGATCGCTGCTTATGTAGGCGGTATCGGTCGCTGCGACCGCCCTGAATCGACAGTCTACTCGACCATGAGGTACAGAGCACCCTCAGACAGGTCCTGATCAGCGAGCCCTATGCTCCCGCCCCACCTCCAGTGCTCGATAGACATACCCTCGATCATCAAAGTGGGCTTTATATTTGTTTGGGTCGAAAAGGAGTTCACCCCCGTAATCCTGCGGATATGTCAATCGTGGGGATTCCGGTATGTCGAGAACTTTGCCTGGATCAAAAAATATGTCAACAACAAGATTGCGCGTCAGCCCTACAAGTACTTTTGCAAATCCAAGACAACTTGTTTGATTTTTCGAAAGGTTTGCATGCGACGCTGCTGTATAGTCGTGGGGAGGGGGAGTGCTCCTCTTTAGCCTGACCGGATCATTGCCGCGCACATTCCTGGTGTGGTGCCGCTCGAATCGCGACTGTTACCTTGCACAGATTAGATCGTAGCTGTTTCCCAACTGACGGCGGCGCACGCCGACCTGCCACACCCACATCCCCTCGATAGGAAGGCGAAATCGAGATGCGACATCAACGCAACCCTGACTGCGAGTTTGATTTCATCAAGCCCGAAACACCAGGTTGGACTGTGATGGGGACCTATGCACTATCATGTGCTTGAATCGACATTGGCAAGTCGAACCTCTTTGTCAAACCTGCTGTAGCGTCGCTGAGCTCAATTCGTCCATGTACCCTCATGAAACCGCAGGTGATCCGAGAGAACAAAAGCCGCCGTACATATACACTGTCATCGAGACACTTCTCCCCGAAGCCTCCCGCGGGGATGGCGACAAGCTCTTGGAACTGTATGTTGATTGTACCGGGCGTCCGTATCGACCGAGATGCTTCTGCGTGTGAGGCTGCTCTCAGGGTTTCCTGTGCTCAACTGTCTGCCCTGTACTAACGACATCGCTGGGATCCGCTGGGGGATGGGCAACCCTGTGGTCACGTAAATTACCGTCTCTACTTGTTGCCGCTCGATCCTAGGTGGTCTCGTGATGGATTCAGCCGCGAAGGCTGGACAACCGTCACCGACATTGCATACGCCGAGACGTTGACCTGAACATCCACCAACAGAAAGCATATGGACCTCCGAGCAGCCGGCGTCCGCCTTACGCCAATACCACTACCACCACTACCACCACTACCACCACTACCACCACTACCACCACTACCACCACTACCACCACTACCACCACTACCACCACTACCACCGTTACAAAAATAAAGACACTATTCTGCGGCTTCCGTGGGTTGAAGCCCAAACTGGGATGCTCGACCATACTCCAGCATCCACAGCAATGCACCCTCGTTCCCTGGCGGCACTCCAACGACCTTCGGCTTGCTCCGCCAGCGCCAGTTTCCTTTTGTGGCCAGCCGCACATGCCCCCACCCCGGCTGCCTTCTCGCCTCGCCTTGCCCGCTTGCATCCAGGCGGCTGCCCTTGGCATCGGTTCTCGTCATCGCGCCAACATCCCACCGCAACATGCGCTTCAGGGACAACCTGATGCTGCAGAAGCAGCAAGCCGAGCAGTCGGAGCGCAAGGAAGAGTTCGACCGCATCTTTGTCCCCATCCGCAACATGGCCCACCAATACTACATCACAGTCCAGGTACGCGAGACTTTGCTGATCACTCATCCCAAGAGACGAACAGTCAGCCAGAGAAACGACCTTCCAGGAGCCGTCTCAACCCGATTCTGTCGCTGAAGGCCGGTCGTTCAGCAGACTGGGCTTGGCATTTCTTTTTCGCCGGGCGCTGCTGCTCATCGCCCATGAGACTCGCATCTCAACTTTGAAATCGGCATGTCTCTTCCCGCAGGCATGGAACGATCCCCTGGCAGCTTCGCTGGCCCGCATCCGAGCCTATCAAAGGACAGAGGGTGTCCGCGAGGTCGCATTTGATACAACCGTGCTCTCCACCTCGGTTCCATCCCGGCCATCGAGCTGAACTGTGGACCGATGAGCGAAGCCAGTCCAGCGATCGGGCGAGCCGCACCCGGTCCACAAGCGTCCAAAACTATCTGTGACTCTGTTGGTCAGCGTTCGGTCGGTTGTGGGATCCGCCGCCAAGCTCCAAATCGCCTTCATTATTGGGACGTCGGGCTCTCGATCTCCCAGCCTCTGCCGTCGCGATATTTAACGATAGGAGCATGGAGGAAGCACGCCAAATCACTCACTCTCCTTCCCTCCCTCCCCCTTTCTCCGAGTTCTGGTCCCAATTTCGACAATTTTCTCGGTTGCTTTACCCCTCTGTATCCCCAATACATCTTCATTCATTACTGCCAAAGGCATCCATGGCACTCTGGCCCGCCGCGCCTCTGCACTGCGATGCCGTCATAATCGGGCTGGGAACGACAGGAATGCCTATGACTCGGCCGTTTTCATTCGGCCGCTACTGCTCCAGCATGGGCCATCAATACAGCTTGTCCGGGGAGAAACAGGACAGTGTCCCATTTCTCTGGCATCGGAGGCGTGAAGCCTGCGGAACTTTCGTAGCTTCCCAGTGGGTGGATGATGATGAATGGAGTGTATTCAGGACCAGAACAGGGTGTCCCGTTTCGTTCTGGACAAACAGTTCTCGTTTGCTGCTCGTGGACTCATTCGGTTCATATCGACCACATAGCTCCATAATACCGCATATTGGACCACTCTATTGTCTTTGGTTGACCGCGAGCTCGTGGTTCAAGTGAGTCTTCCACCAGTCATCGTACTTGACATGGCTGATGTCGAAACCCTCCTGGATCAGCTTGGAGTTGGACAGCTGTGCGTTGAGCGGACGGGTTGCCACAGCCTCACCAGGCGGAAGGACAGTCACCGGGGTGATGTGGCCGACGTCCGTGCCGTGAATGGTCCCCAGACGGACTAGATCAGAGATCAAAGTTCAAGTGGGTATCGGTGAGAACATGGACGCCTGTTCGTGGAGCCGAAGAGTTTGTTGGATGGACAAGCCGCTGCAGTCGGCTTGCACGCTGCCTCAGGGTCGCCCAAGAACTCACCGCACATGTCGTATTTGGACATTTGTTCAGAGGCGCTGAAGTGGTATATGCCTCGCGGAGCTCGGTCCTTGTCCTGCACTCGCTCTGCATTCACAGCGACAGAGCGACAGAGCGACAGAGGAGACATCAACAAAAGTAAACTCGTCGCCCACATCGCTGGGGTCAACCCACAATGACGGCATACGATCGAGCAGCGGACTCACCCAGCATCTGCAGAATGACATTGGCCACATCGGCCACATTGGTGGGGAAGCGGGCTTGGACATGGTCCATCTTCGCAGGCTTGGACGAGATGACAAGATCCAAGAGGATGTTGACGGCAGACTCGGCAAAGTAGTGGGTGTGTCCGTAGCTGCACGGCCAACGAATACACCGCGGCGAACGGGCAAGGGGCGGGACGATAGGAGAGTCGATTTCAGGAATGACGAGTGAAGAGCCAAAGGGCCAAAGAGCCAAAGAGCCAAAGCCAGGGTTTGCATCCGCCATCCCCAGAGTACTTACAGGACCGGCACACGAAGAATGGCAGCATCCGAGTTGGCGGCAGCGACAGCGACCTCGCCTTGCTGCTTGGAGAGCCCTGATGATGGATCCATCAATCAGCACGAGTTCGGCTCAAAAGCGATGCAAGTCGCTTGCATGCTGCCACCGGACGAAACATGCGCAACAGACCGTAAAAGTTGAGAGGGTTGGGCGTCGCCGTTACTTCATATGGAGGCTGTGTGCCATCAAAGACATAATCGGTGGATATGTACAATAGCCAGGCGTTGATGTCTTTGGCAATGCGGGCCAGGGCTCCTGAGGTCTCGACGTTCAAGCGGAGGACGCCGTCTCTATCTCGCTCGGCGACATCAGGTCGGCGCTCGGCTGCACAATGGATGATGGCTGCACACCGCCAACCCCCCCCCAAAAAAGAAAATAGGTTAAGAAACGGACGCAGAGTACTGACTGCGGATAGAGAGACAGATGCGAAGTGTGTAGGCAAATCGCTGAACGATTCCGAGTTCCCTCCCTCCTCCCAAGCCAGCAAGACGGTCGATGTAGTTCAGATGCTGAATGCCCATCGATCGTGGCCAGGCCGCACCTGATGGCTTGAGCTCGAAGAGAAAGCGCTCAGTTTCTGCAACATCGGTGAGATCGAGCTGTGCGTTGGAGCCAGAGCGTTTCAGACGGGCGAGTGGACGGTTTGCCCAAACCGATGAAGAGAAGGAGCCTGAGTGGGCGTGCTGCCACCACAGCGATCGGCAACCGTCTCACCTTCACAAGATCGCCGGTGGAGCGGGAGAAGGCCGTTCCAATCACTGCGATGGTTCCAGAAGCGATTAGTGCGCGCGCACCCTCCGTCATTGGGCTGAGAGTGCGTTTCGGTCTGTCTGTTGCAAAGCTGACAGCCGGCTCGCTTACCTCGGATTCCAAGGCGCTGCTGCTGTTCCTGGAGAGCCGCCATAACAGCGCGGCCAAGAAGGCCGGAGGCGCCGGTGACGACGACGGTGCGGATCGATTGTTCATGCATGATAGCCGCGGAGCAGAGCTGGAGCAGATTGTGCTGGAGCAGATCGAGCCGAGGTTGGCTGGCTCTGGCTGGCTGGGGTGACAACCAGAGAACGGAGCTCCGCCTCGGTTTGGCGAGACCGACATTGTGGCTGCCTGGGAAGGCCTCGTGAACTGCCTTGCAGAAGCAATGGAAGGAATGTCCACCGAGACCACGGAGGCTCATATTCGCCAGGTACTCTGGGTAGTTCCAGAGATGCCCATGGCCCGGAACACACACCGAGCGACTCGTTCGCCTCGACCCTCTTGACACTGAGAGCCACTCTGTCCGTCAGAGTTGAATGCAGATTGTATATCAAAACTGTATCCCCCCCCCCAAACCAGCAACAGAGTGGTTGATGCAAAAAAAAAGCCCTGGGATCCCGTCCCGTTTCGTTCTGAACAAGCTGTAGCAGCCTAGGAAGCCCACCAAGCTAATAGATACAATATCGATGCCAACAGGAGATGATGGGCAGACCACTCCGCGCGAGTGCTGCCCGAAACTGAGCCTGCTGTCCACGACTGGTTTAGTGGAGTTGGAGGAGCGACAGACTGGGCCAGACCGACCCTGCCAAGCTGGACATCAAAGGCAGAGTACCAGCGATAGAGAAAGACATCACCGAGGAGCCACGTCGGCACGGTATCGCCTGGAGACATGGACCACGAGCGATGTAGTGAGCAGGTGAGTAAATGATCAATGCATGCATGCGCGCATGGATAAGATACGGGCGTTGCAAAACAATCCTGACTGGCCCCCATTGCGATGCCTGCTCACACGTACTCGAGGTGATCCCAACATAGCATGTGCGGTTGTCGGCACTGGCAGGCAGGATGTAGTCGCTTGGTGCCAGAGGAAAGGGCAATCCCTTCAAATAGAATATCAGCGGCGGGGCTGACCGCCATGCAGCGACGCAGTCGACCATCCAGAGGTTCCATGAGCTGCGGAATGTGGAGTTCACCCCCAAGCTGGGTATGATGGTGTTGTTGAGGGTGTTGCTATCGACGTGGATGAGGGTGGTGCCTGGATGGCAGGACGGATGAGCGACCGACTGACTCGATGACGAGGACCAAGAGACATTGTCAAGGCCACAAGGCTGCATCAGAGACACATACCGCAATCAACTATCGCATAGGTGGGAGTGACGCTCAGATCTAAGATGGTGCCCCCGGCTTGCAACGACGTGACGCTTAGTGCCCAGTGAAACTTTTCTGGGCTGATGTATGGAATGACATCAACATCGAGCCAGCTCAGCGAGCCACGATACTTGGAGGCATCGGTTATGCCAATGGTCAGCTCGCCTTGGTGAGAAGGGCTGAATGTGCTCCCTTGTGGATTCAGGAACACAGTAAAGACCGGACTCGAGAGGGAGCCTTGTTTGACAAGCGATTGAATAACAGTATTCTTGGTGGAGACACCGCCAGGGTCAACCACGGCAGTGGCTGACGTCACCGGCAGTGGACAGTATCAGCGTGCGTTAACCGAGCGCTCTGCATGATGACAATACAGCAGGACAACAGGACAGCAGGACAGCAGGACAGCAGGACAGCAGGACAGCAGGACAGCAGGCGCCGCTGTGGGAGGGACGCACTGCTTACATTGGGTCAGATTATTGAGGGCCAAGCCCATCAGCCCATCGTACTTCAGGATGGAGAACGTTGCAGCCTCGCTGTTGTCGGCATCAACCACATTCGTAAAGTATTGCTGCTTGATCGACAGGCCGCCAAACGATACGTTGTCCTTGACGAGATATCCAACGAATGAGCCGTCTCCGTAGGTGAGCAGGTTGGGCGTGCCGTCGAGGTATGCTGACCGGCTTTGGCTCACGTTGTAGTGGTGTGGGCCGTGGCAGGCAGTGCACTCGGTTCCCTCCACCCAAAGATCGGAGGAACCTGTGTCGATTTGCACCACGAAGGGGGTCTGCAGGGTTCTGCAGCTCGCAGCAATGAGGATAATCAGGTCCACGGCAAAATCAGTACTTGGCGGCTGGCAAGCACATAACCCAAGGAAAACAATCGTGCCAGCATCCGTCCCGAGCTTGCCGCCACACAGCGCCGCCTTACCCAATCATGATGGTGGTCATGTACTGGCTCGAGGAGAGGCGGCGGCGTCATTCCATTGAGGGCCATGTCGGCATATTCAGTCCATGGAGGGGTCAGGCAGGATCACGAGCAAGTTAGCCGAGATTTGGGTTGGCGAAAGTCGGCAGACAGTTGGGTGCTCAGAGCTACAGACCAGCGAAAGGCGCCTGTCCCAGACTCTGGCACTGGCTATCGAGCTGCGGGCCATTGGACACCACCCAAACGACCTGGACTAGGACTCGGGCGATGACAGGTGGTGATAAGAACTTACGGCCGAGCTGCTGGCGCTGGTCAGCGGAAGCGCGGTATCGGTCTGGACGGCAAATGACTGGAATGTGCGATAGTCGTTTGGATAAACCAGTCGCTGTGTCCATTTGAGAGTGGCCCAGGCCATACTGGAGAGCAGCCGCTCTTTCACCGACGAGCTTGGGTCGCTGGACTTTGTGAGCTCGAATCTGCATGAGCCCGGCCCGTCCGGTTCGAGGCGAGAAGGGAGATGCATTAGCACGCTTGCCCAGCCGGCGGAAGCGACAGCCGACCAGCGGTGAAGAGCCGTCGCACCTCTTCCATCCACCCATAGGCGCCGCTTATTGGGAAGATGTGCGAGAGTCGGAAAGAGTCGAAAAGGGCGCAGATGATCCAGACGGAGAAGGGCGGCGATGAGGCCGGGCAGCGTGGAGGTGGAGGTGACGCCGGTGTGGAAGCCGCGAGGGTCCTGGGCTCAATTGTGCGTGGGACGGCGACAGAGGAAAGCGCAGAGTGACTGCCGGCACCAAGGTCGAGGTCGAGGTCGAGGTCGAGGTCGAGGTCGAGGTCGAGGTCGAGGTCGAGGTCGAGGTCGAGGTCGAGGTCGAGGTCGAGGTCGAGGCCGGGGCCGGGGCGTCAATGGCGGTTGCAGATGGGCGAAACAGTGTCTGCATCGGACAACGGCCTCGTCAACAACACGAAACGCAACAAGGTTTGGTCGGAGAATGGCGAACAGGCCGCCACTGCCCCAGCTGTGGCGGTGGCCGGGGCTGTCCAGATCCTCGGCGCGGTGCTCGATGCTGACGGTGCTCAATGCCGATGGTGCTCGATGCGGGCGGTACTCGATGCGGGCGGTGCTCGATGCCAATGGTGCTCGGTGCTGGTGGTGCTCGGTGCTGGTGGTGCTCGATGCAACATGAGGATCCAGCACCGATACGCAGCGCCGAGGATGGGGAGATGCAGAGGTTGGGCTGCAGGCACTCGCCGTTGAGATCAAGAGACCGCCGTTTGGCGCACCGCAGCGGCTGTCCCGGCTTTCCGCCAAGCCCAGGATCAGCGGCAGAATGGGGTCCGCAAGGCAAGGACGACGAGCGAAGGTGAGGATCATCTCGCCAACTGGTCGTTGGACTGAGCCTACCGTAGCAAAAGTCTAACAGTCCATCGGCTGGTATCTGAGCAAACGAGACGCTGTCCTTATCGCATGTGTCGGCGTAGTAAGCGATGGCCTGCATCGAGCAAATCCATATGTAATCAGGTCAGTTGCCTCGCAGCTGGGACTGCAGCATCGGATCGCTGAGCAGCGATGGATGGGTGTATTCAGCACCCATATGCAAGCGACGGCGATTTCGTTTTGGGACGAAATAAAACGGAGAAAGGGAAGAGGCTGAACTTTGCCGAAGGGTGCAGTCGGTCCAGAAAGAAACGGGACAGTTCCTTCCTGGCTTCAGAAGTCTGAACCCCGCTGACTGACTGTAGGCCCCAGCGGGCAAGCCGTGAGATTGTTTCCCGTCCTGGTTGGCAATTTCTTTGTTTTGGTTGGTTTGGGAAGCATGGTCTTGAATACACCCGGTCGATCTCCTGTGGCGATGATCGACTGGCATACCGAGATCATGTTCCGTGAGACATTGATGTCTCGATCCCACAGCGTATGGCAACTTGCACAGTGCGGGAATATCGACCACGAGGGCTGGGAAGGCAGTGTCGTCATCGGGATCGTCTGGAGGGCGACGGTGCGCTTTTGGTCCTCGATATTACTGGGCCGAATCCTATCGCCGATATCGAGTCTGGGAGACCCTTTGTCGGGCACGGCATATCGGAGCTCGAGCAAGGTGCCGTCCCGCCCCGCATCACCATGCACTCGATATCCACTCGACATGCACTCGATATCCACTCGACATGCACTCGACATCCACCCGATCGCGATGAGGATCTCGGCGGCCCGCACGGCCGAATCGCTTTAGAGCAAGCTTTGGAATGTGCCGTTCTCCCGGCCCCATTTTTCAGCACTGCTTTCGCCGTCCGCGCCCCAATCTGTGCACCCGCCCGAGTCCCCGTTTTTCCTCCCACGACAGGCACGGGATTCTACCGTTCTTCCCGTGCCCGGTCCTCTATTCCATGCTGATCCTGTGCCCGGCATCGTTGGGGTCCTGGCCAGGGCCTTTCGTCGTGGCCCATCGTGCGTCTTGCCCCCCGCTCGCTGCATCCGGACGGCTTGGCGGTCTTGCGTTGCCGTGCACCCACTCGCCCGCAGTCGCCATGTCGCCGTTCATAAGCCGGTCTTCCGCCTCGCGTTCTTGGAGCGGCACTCCGATCCCTCGCCAGCTGCAGTGGGTCTCCCTCTCATCCCTCTTCGCGCTCGCCATGTCGGCCGATCCTGCCGTCCCTTTCCTCATCGCCATCTTCAACAACGGTGCGCCTGGCCAGTCTGTCCTCGTCAACATCGGCGGCCAGGCCAGCTCTCCGCCCGCGTTCCCACACGAGGCATCCGCCGGTGGTGCGGTCCTGGGCTCCGAGAACACCGTTCTGGCCTTCCATGATCTCAACTCGCTCTTGCAAAAGATCTCCATCGACTTTGGCCTCGAGTATCCGCGCCTGACCCCACACCCTGTCGAGTCCACCCAGCTGCTTCTCTCGTCGCTGCCCGACCAGGCCACGACCATCCGTGATCTGAGATCCAGCAAGCTATGGTTTGCGAGCTCGGCTGCGGCTCGCAACCGGCTGCCGCTTCCGCCAGGTAGGATGATCTGCTATCACGAAGCATGTCCCAGCCTATTGCGGCAGCCGCAAACTCTTTCAGGATCGTCGACGCGGAACATTAACACATATGTCCCACGCTTCCCCGTCTTCCCAGGCCCTCCTCCCAAGCCATTCATCGGTATGCCACTGGGACGGGCCCCACGACACTTACCTCGCAACATGCAAGCGTGCGTATACCGGCGCATGCCCCGCCGCCACCATCGCTAACAATAGCCTCCGTACGTCCAGGCAATACTCTCGACTTGCTGCCGATCCCAGTGATCGCCATCTATGAGCTCGTCCAGGTGAGTTTCGCGTCGCATACGTCGTGCAGTCCGTCGGTGCATATGAAGATCTTTGAATACGCCGACGTATCTAACTCCTGTGGATTGCCCAACATCCAAACTTGGGCGCTTTTGGGTTTTCTGGACACGACACAGAAATACGGCCACTTTTTCCCGCTCTCGTTCGGCGCCCGCAATGTCCTTGTCGTCTCGGATCCGTATCTGATCCAGGACATCATGAGGCAGGACGATGCCTTCTCCAAGCTCACAAACAACGGTGCGCTGCACTACCTCAAGCCCATCACCGGCAACGGTCTCTTCACTGCCAACGACCACGATGTCGAATGGGGCCGCGCCCATCGCATTCTTCTACCCGCCTTTTCGGTCAGGGCATTGAGCTCGTCGATCCCCATGATGAACGAGCAAACCTTGCTCTTGGTCAAAGCCTTCAAGACACGCTTCCAAGACACGAATACCTCCTTCGATGTGTCTGACTGGATGTCCAAAGGTAATTCCCCTTGCCCGCGCTGATGAGACGAGCACACTGCTCTTGGCTCAATCCAGCACTTACACCGATCCGCGATTGTACCTCAGTCACCTTGGATATCGTGTCTCTCTTTGGCTTTTCATACAAGCTGGACTCAATCTCGAACGCAGAGGAGCACCCGTTTGTGAGTTGCTCTCCCGTCGCGGCGATTCTGCTTCACCATGGCAACGTTGGCTGTAAGTAAGCCCATTCAGCGGACAGCCTCTGATGCTCCTCACGATTTTTGTACCAGGTTACCAACATGGTTTCGCTGTTCGAAAGCGCCATGGAGAAGGTCAAGGCCGGTCCCCTCAACGGCATTGTGGAGCAGATCGACTGGGTTACTGGGGGCCATTCGAAATCCAAAGATGACAAGGCCGCGCAGTTCATCAAGCAAACCGTCAACGACGTCATCAAGCTGCATCAAGAGCACCCAGAGCAGTACTCGGACATGTGCTCGAGAATGCTGGAGCTTGAGGATCCCGAGACCGGAGAGAAGCTTACTCCCGAAAACATCTGCTATCAAATCGTCACTTTCATGATTGCCGGTCAGTGAGCTCTTGCATATCCGTAGCCTGCATTTTCTTGATGCGCCCCTTGCTCATGCTGTCTTCCATTTGTCCTCGTTTGGGTGCAGGGCATGAAACCACCTCGGGTCTCCTTACCTGGACGCTCTATATGCTTGCCACCCATCCCGATGTCGAGCTCAAGGTTCGTCGAGAAGTTGAAGCCGTGTTTTCCAAGACAAACGGCACACTTGATGACAAGAACGTCAGCGAGCTCAAATACACATTAGCCGTTCTGAAGGAGACCCTGCGTCTCTATCCTTCTGCCCCCGGTATGAATTCACGGCACAACAGCGCTTGCAGCCAGTGTTCGCGCCTCAGAGTTGGCCCATCTTACCAAAATCAATCATTCTTTCTTCTTTCAGCCTTTGCTAAAACCTGCATCAAGGACACCTTTGTTGGCCCTTATGCCGTCAAGAGTGCGTATCAAATCTGCTGCTGAAGGCTGATCGGGCTTCGTGCCAGCTGCCTGCCGGCTTCCTGCCAGTTTCGCCCGCTCGACTGACATTTGTCTGTACCCTCTCCAGAAAACACAGGCATCCTCTTCCATGGCATAGCTACCCACAGAAACACCTCTATCTGGGGTCCAAATCCTGAACAGTTCAATCCCGACAACTTTTTGCCTGTGAACGAATCCAAGCTTCCTCAGTACTCGTATATTCCCTTTGGACTGGGGTATGTACAGCCATTGGGTTGATATCCATGCGCCACGGCCACCTCCGAAATCAACACTGACGCTCATGTTTCGACCGACATCGATACCACAGCGCCCGCGCGTGCATCGGCTCGCAGTTTGCCCTGATCGAGGCCCGCATTGTGCTGGCTCATTTGGTTCACAACTTCAAGTTCTCCCTTGCCGAAGATGCTGACCCCACCATGCACGTCAAGCTGACTCTGCGACCCCATGGCATCCGCTTCCGACTCTCGTCTCCGGATCCGCTCCCTCCAGCGGAGCCGGAACCTGTCCCTGTGGCGCCAAAGTCAGCCAACGACACGACCTCGACCTCAGGCCAAGTCGCCACGGCCCCGGAGAAGCTCACCATGTCAGCAGATGTTCTTTTTGCGGCACCACGCAATGACTTACTTCCCGTCGACAAGCTCCTGGTTCTCTACGGTACCAATATGGGCACCAGCGAAGATGTGAGTTTTCTGCGGGAGGGAAGAATGCTCGTGGGTGGATACAGTCTCTCGATATCGGTGTCGGTGGCGGCTGATATCCAGTGCTCTCACAGGTGGCCAGAGGCCTTGGTGATGCCGCCAACAAGCTTGGCTTCAACACGACGGTCGATACCCTTGACAACTACGCCAACGGCAAGCTATTTGACGCAAAGTTCATCGTTGTTGTAACGTCCACGTATAACGGTATGCACGAGCCATTTTCCCTTTGCAGGAGCACGATCGCTGCCTGTGTCTCTGTGAATGTGGCTGAGGATATGGATCCTTTTCGCGGTATTAATACCATCGCGCAATCTGGCCCCGAATGCTTTCGTTCCTGACAGGCCATCCTCCCGATAATGCCAAAAAGTTTGCTCAGTGGATTTCGAAACAGTCTGGAGCGCCGCTCAGCGGCTCCATCTACGCAGTTTATGGCGTTGGAAACAAACAGTGGAAGACCTATCAAGCCTTCCCCGGTCTCGTCGACAACGCTCTGTCCAAGCTCGGAGCCGCCTCGCTGTTGCCGCGTGGCTGCGGAGATGTGGTACGTACACACACGCTCTCTCAATGCATGAAGTGAAACATGGGCCCGAAGCAGACGCATGTTGTATCCGGCTCAGAACGAGCTATACATGGCGAGCCGCCGATCTGTCGCTGCAGCTACACCTCCAAGCGACAGAGCGGTCCTTGCAATCGCATCTCGACAGCGGCCGCAGCTTGGTGCGGGGGAGGGTGCTCGACACTCGCGCCTCCCTCAAAGTTGGTCAGCCTGCTTACCAGTCGCACGCTCCTCCATGATCGGCGCATGCATCGTCAGGACGGTGACTTTGATGGAGATATGCTCCAGTGGACCTCTCACTTCTGGAGCCGCGTTGCCTACAACTTCAAAGTCTCGACCACGGCCACGGGCGATGTCCTTGAGACATCGGCCGCGCCGAACAGCATCGAGGTAACCTGGCTTGGTCCCGACACCGACGCAGCAACGCCAAAGCCCAATCCGGCCGCATCCCAGTCGCTCAAGATGCACAAATACATTCTCAAGGAGAAGCGCATGCTGACCCATCCCGAGGCACTCAAAGCAGCATGGTATCTCGATCTTGAGGTAGGGTTCGTTTTGCGCCAGCCGCCCTCGTCCCGCCGACGACATGCACCTATGCCATCGCCTTCATTTATCGGATTGTGGAGCAAATGTGCTCGCGAGATCTCCACATCACATGGATGATCGAGCGAGAGCATCCGCTTACGCCTCCACCCACTCGCTGCTCGATTCCGCCGATGAACCCAGATTCCAAGCAACGAGGCGTGCCAATACCAGGCTGGCGACCACTTTGCCGTCTTCCCTGTCAACCCCGACTGCGACATCAATGCGCTGATCGAGCGTCTCGACCTTGACGGCCACAGCGCCAACGAGATCATTCAGCTGTCTAACAAGTACTCGGTTACCAAGAGGGATCTCCAAATCTTCGACATCCCCGTCTCTTTGATGAACACCTTGCGTGCCGGGGTCGATATTCGTGCCAGTCCGTCCCGAAGCTTTATCAAGTTCCTGTCCGGCTGTACGGAATGTCCGCCTGAGAAGCAGGCACTGCTGAAGCTGTGCGGAACCGACGCCGAGTCCATGAAGGCCTATGCCGAGGAGATTATGAAGAACCATGTGTCGATCGTGCAGCTCATTGCGAAATACAAGAGCCTGAGGATTCCGCTCAGCCAGTTCTTGGAGGTAAGTCGGACATGAGCAAGCCACCGCGACCCGGCAACCCGCAAGCATTTGCAGAGGGTTCATGGGCTTTGAGGCACTCTTGTCCAAGTCAAAAGTGAGCAGAGCCTTCTCTGTAGAGGGACGCTTGGCTTCAGACCCAGCAGTGCCCTTATTCCAGAAAATGCCCTTCACAGAACATTCCGCTGCAAAAGCCAAGGCTGTACAGCATCGCCTCGAGCCGACTGGTCAGCCGCGATTCGCTTCAGCTGTGCGTCGGAGTGCTCCGTGAGGAATTGACGGATGCTCGAGGAAACACCGTAACATACCAAGGTCTTGGATCGACGTACCTATCCCAGGTTGAGCCTGGACAAGTGGTTCTCGGACACATTCGTCCACATGGATCAGAGTTCCAGCTCCCGGGAAGCCCCAGTGTGCCCATTGTCATGATATGCTCCGGCACAGGTATTTATCTGCGAGGGGCTGTGGCGGGGATGCGAGCAAAGGCGGACGCAGAAGGCGGGGTCCCCGTGAGTGAATGTACTGCGTGTCGCTCTAACTTCAGGTGAATCGAACAGGAATCGCCCCAATGAGGTCATTTTTGCAGGAGCGCCAGGCCCTCCAGCAACAGGGCGCTGCCTTGGGCGAGGCGATTCTCATCTACGGCTCCAGGAACCCGGATCTGGACGAGCTGTTTGGCGAGGAGCTTCGCGGATATCTCCAGTCTGGCGCCTTGACTCATCTGGAGAGCGCATACTCCCGCTACGGCCCAACGAAGCAGTACGTGCAGTCGGTGATTGCGAACAACGAGAACGTGGCGCAAAAGCTCTGGAGCCTCATCCAAAACACCCAAGCCAAGATTTTGCTCTGCGGCAGCACCGCCATGGGCAACGGTGTCCGCGCAAGCTTTGTCGAGATGTTTGCCAAGGTTGGCGGCCTTGAGCCTCAAGAGGCCGAGGACTTGATGACTCGATTGGTATCCGAGCATCGCTTTGTACTTGATGTGTGGGGATGAAGATCTCGATGGACGATTCCTCTCCCTCTTCGTCTTGGCCTTATGCGCATCCGATTCGATGCAAACAACGACTGGTAGATGCGTGTCTTATTAAAGCCTGGACCGAGTATCACACTTCAATGGCGGTGACGGCGGTGAGGCAACGAGCCACATTGACAGGGCTGCTGAGAAGTGTGAGCGGTCGTATTGCGGAAGGCACTATTGCTCCAGCAGAAATATATCGCAATTGCATATCACTTGGACTGGTATCGGGTGGTGATAGTGGAACGTGATGGCACCACAAGCCGCCATGATCAGTGCACTCGTGGGCCCGATGACAATCATGGTCTGAACGGTCGTGATCTTACACTTTACAGGCAATCCAATAAAAAACGGGACACCCGGGATTTTGACCATTCATCGAATATTTTGTTACCCAATGTTATCGCGCGCTGGCCATGACCATTCGCCAGACGGTGTGGAATCGCGACGTCAATGCGGCGCGCAACATGATCACAGTATGCAGGTCGATTGTGGAGATCGGAGAGCGACCGGCGGTCTTCACTCGGAGGCTGCCAAAGTGATCTGTTTTATTTCTTGTGGCTTTGCTTGACGCAAGCACAGCACATACTACCTGTTCATGGAAACGGCTATGTTGTCCCGTTTTTTTTCTGAATAAAGTGTACTCTGAGAAAGCGAGTCGCTTCCTGTCATCTTCTGCCGTCGGCTGCGAAAGCCTGCCTCCAGCTGGCCTTTCCACTCAAAACGGATCACCTTGGCTGCATCCGAGCAAAGCCATCGGTCGCCCCTCCGTCACCACAACTGCCCAGAGTGCTGAGCGAATCGCAATCTCCTGGGACTGGGCGCATGGCTCTTGTCTGTCGCCGTAATGCCTTGCCAACGGCGATCACAATGTCGGCCTCGCTGGACACGCTGTTTGTTCGTGGTGATGGAGAGGTGTATTCAGGGCCAAGGGAAAGATGACACTGGCTCAAACACAGAGGGTTTCGTTTCGTTTTTGCGCGTGCTGTAAACCGCGCTCGTTCAAGTTGCAAAAGTTAACTGCTGGGATTCAGACGATTCCATGTCCTTATCAAGCTGTGGGCTCTTTTCAAATACCTTCCCCTCAGTCTTCCAACCTGACTATGCGGGAGTGGAGGAACCATACAAAGCGGGGTCGTTTCTGTCTCCCAGCTCCAGCCGACATCAGTCCAGGTTGTGTCGACGGCCCAGTGCGTCAGGTTCATGGGCGACAGCACTTTGACTCGTTTGTTGACGACGATACCGCCGTTGATCCACAATGGGTCCATGTGCTCGTCGGGATGATAGAGGCTGCCGCAGATGCGACCTGTACCTTCTTCGAGATACCCAAGTGCTCCCCCGCCCGGCGGGTTGAAGTAATACGGCGATCCCATGGCCTCGAAGGCAACCCAGAACGTCTCCTTGTCGCCTGGTTGGTTGGTTGGTTGGTTGGTGTAGCAGCGAGTGGGAATAATGATGCGGAGTGTGACGATGTGTGAACGATCGTGAGCAATCGCAATCGGAATCCCATGGTGAATGTCGACCACCAACTCGATCCTCCTCACCGAGCCAACTGATATCCACCCGATCAATTGATCGATCATCTCGTCGAGTCCCATCACACAGCACACAGCACACAGCACACAGCACACAGCACACACCACACAGCACACACCACAGACTACGTACCGTGGAACACTGTGATAAAGTCCGAGTTGAAGTAGTCCGTGTTCATCAAGCAAATCAGCAGCAGCTCGTGGGCCGTGCGGGCCTTGTCAAGCACCACCACGCCAGAGTCCATCTCGTAGATGCTCAGGTGCCGGAAGATGCGGCCTTTCATGGCGTATTCGGAGGGCTCCCCGATGATGTTGCGGACGTAGCTGCTATATCGCCCCGTTTCGGCGTCAAACTGCATGCTGCGGTCCCGAAAGAACAGCGCTCCGGTCTGGAGATAGCCCTTGTGCTGAAACAGTACGCTTGGTTCCTGCAGGAACAGCGCATCGGCGTCCATGAAGATGACCTCGCGGAAGGTCGAGAGCAGGATCATGAGCGGCTTAATGAACCACCCGCTCACCTCCACGGGCCCGAGCATTGACGAGATATCGATGACGCTGATCCCACCGGCCCCGCCGATGCTGCGGAGCGTCTGGATCTTGTCGGCATCCAGATCGCCGCTGCCGTAATAGTACATCTCGATCGGGAGACTGCAGCCGAGTACTTCGCGAAGCGTCGTGACGAGGTGGAGGGCAAACCGATAGTGTGTGTTTCCCACCGAGATCACAATGCCGCGCTGGTCCCTGAAGCTCTGCAGCAGCTTTGGAACCGAGTTGATGCGACGGTCGTGGCGAAAGAACGGGAACAGGGTGCGTTCCAGCGATCCCAGGGCGGCTTCGACATCATGCAGCCTGGCATCTCCATCGGCCCGCACTGAAGCATCGGCATGTCTGCGTCCGCGTGCATCGTAGACAATCGAAAAGAGGTCTCGGAAGAGCCGACATCGCTGTGCAAGTCCACGCAAGTCGTTTCTCGCCAGCGAAGTGTTGCTTTCTCGGAACTCGGCCATGAGCACATCGAGCTTGGAGAGTGCTGGCCCGGGGCCGTCCACAGAGACTGGCTTGGGGGCCAATGCGGTGGATGGATAAGTCAGTAGTGGCCGATCTGGATGCGGGTCATGGAGTGGAGGAGGGCCTGCCATGGCAGTGACTTGGAGACTCTCCTCCAGGTCGATCGCAGAGATCCTGTCGATGAATTGGCGGCGGATCAGCGCTTGGTGATCCAGCTCGTCGCATGGCGAATCGCTCGTCAAGGTCCAGCAACCCAACAGCCCGGAATTCCGATATGATCAAGCAATGCGCATATTCCTGATGACTTTGTGACCGACACGTGGGAAACGACGATACCTCTGAAGCCCAATGTGCACCAAGCACAGCACAATGGAGATCAAGACCAGCAACATGCATCTCTTGAAGAAGACGATCAGGGGACGCACTAGCCTGAACGAGAGCATGGGCAGCTTCATGGTGCTGCTTCTAAGACGAATGCGATGTCGTCAGCTGATGTGTGAATGGTATGCGAATGGTGTGTGGGTGGTGTGCGAGGCTATGGATGCAATCGCACAGGTCGAATGAGACACAGTATGGTCGGATGATGCGTCGAAGTTCACAGGCTGAATTTGCGATCGAGGCGTGCTTCAACACGAATGGTGAATCCCATTCCGATGGATTGTACAGTCCTGCGCGAGGAATCGGCGGCCAGGCTGGGAGCCGCCAAATGAGCCCGGGGTTGAGACAAGTGCGAGCCGGCATTTGGCGGGAAACGGCGGGATGGGGGTGGCCGAAGTCATCCGAGGAGTGGTGTGATGCAGGTGGTGCAAGCGATGCGAGTGGTGAATGCGGTGCAGTCGGCGAAAGTTATAAAAGTGATGCAGGCGCACCAAGAAACAGCCGCCAGGGAACCCAGTGGGACAGACAATGCTCATTTGGCATCGTAACTGAGAGCGCCAAGCCGACGACAGAATGCGATCAACACGCAGCACTTTCCGAATAGGCAGGATCGACGAGATCATCCATGCGATCCATACTGACGATGGACGGCAGCGTGGTGGACCTTGCGGATCCTGGGCGTGGTGCGATACGGATTGCGCATCGACAGCATCCACAGCCAAGGAATGGTGAGCGTCGCTGATTGGTGGCATTCCGCCAATCACAGCTCGGGCTGATGATTCGATCCGCCACTGGATCGAGCCAGATTGGATACAAGGGCCAAGTCAGCAGCAAGGGAGACAATCCACAAGGCCCGGGTCTGGTCTCCCCGGCATCAGACACATCCCAATATCCCACCGTCCCAGCATCCCAACGTGCCAAGCCGACCCAGCAGGTCCGTCTCCTTCGATGGCCCAGAGCCCGTGCATGTCCACGATGCGCAACTCACCCCGCTCCCTGGTTGCAGATGGACGACCCCTTTGACGAGTTCCTCAGGCAAGCAGACCTGGCCAAATACAAGGATGTCTTCCTGGAGAACGAATACGACAGCGTCGACCTGGTGAGCGAACTCTGCAGCAGATGTCCTGTTGCATATCGCGGTGCTGACTGTTGGCCGCTTCAGCTGCTCGCCCTTGAGGTGTCTGACATGAAGGAGATTGGAATGAAGCCCGGCGCCATCAAGAAGCTCCAGATGGCGCAGAAGCAGCACGAGCAGACCCATACCCAAAGCGCAATCCCGACATCCTCGCAGACACACACACAGCCGCCACCCCAGTCCCAGCCCAACGAAGTCGTTGTTCAGGAGCCCACCAGAGTCCTCACTGCCAACGACTACGTTCCAGCGCACCCTCTGGATGGCTGGGTCTGCCAGAACAACTTTACGTCTCACGAAGTCTTCATCAGGTGGCGTTGATATCCAGCATCAGAGCGACACCACATTCGCCTGTTCCGCACCAACTGACCGACCGTCCTTCCCCAGCTACCGGGTCGAGAGCGACGCTGTCAATGCATCGTCGCTGCATGGGACCCTGGCCACAACCCCTCGAGGCCACACGGCGCTCCATCCATACCTCGACATCCAGTGTCTCTGCAACGGCATGGACTGGGAGCAGGGTTTCATCAACGGTCTCTACAAGTCCTGCGTCATCATCGTCATTCTCTCCGAGGACGGTCTGAAGCGCACCTTCAACGCACATGTCTGGCCCGACAATCAGTTCCTCGAGGTGGGTCGGGTGCTGATCGTGGTCTCGTTTGTCGAACCATAACTCACATTCACTCGTCCATCCACAGATCCAGCATGCCCTCAAGCTGATGCAAGACACCGCCGCCACCGACCACCCCGTCATCGTTCAGCCTGTCCTCATGTGGTCCACTCGCAAGTTCGGCGACGAGACCCTCAAGAAGGAGTATTTTCCGCCAGTTAACAAGTTCCCTGACTTTCCTCCGGCGCACAAATCCAGTCCACTCTTCGATAATCAGCCGATGACTGTCCAGCAGACATTCAAGGAGCTGTTCAAACTCCAAGCACTCAAGGCTGTCGATACAGCCGCTCTCAGACAGTAAGTGTGAATGTCTCCTTGTGGATACCACTTCCTATCGCTGACTCATGGTGCTTCCAGACTCGTTCCTGGGTTACGAGAGCTTGTCACCAAGACCAAGACTGCTGCAGACCAAGGAGCAACATACCACCAAGGCGGGCCCATCCAGCTCACTGCCGAACAAGACTTGCTCCTGCGATCCCTCCTCGATCCCATCGACTCGACCCTGGACAGAAGGGCACTCGAGGATCTGTATGTCGAGGGCACCCGCCAGTGGCTGTTTGACCAAACAACCGACTGGGTCAACCAGGACACCACCGACACTGTCCTGTGGGTCAATGCCGTTGCTGGAGTGGGCAAGTCTGTCGCAGCCGCCCAGATCGCCAACATCCTCACAGCCACCAACCAGCTGGTGTCGGCGCTGTTCCTCAAGTACAACGATGTCCGCAAGAGCGATCCACGAATTGTGTTGAACACCATCGCATACGGTCTGTGCAAATGGTACTCGCCGATCGGCCGCAAGCTCCTCGATGCTGGCCACACCAAGGACGACCTCGATAAGATGAGCATCCCCGATCTGTTCAAGGCCGTGATTGAGGATCCACTCGAAGCCATTGGCGACTACAGACCCAAGGGATCGGTGATGATCCTGGTGGATGCACTCGACGAGTGTTCTCCGCGCGACCAGCTGCTCAGTCTGCTTGCCTGGCGCTTTGTCGAGCTGAACAAGACCCGTCCGTGGCTCAAGCTGCTGCTGACATCTCGTCCCGAGGAGGACATCAAGGCAGCATTCGATGGAGTCCCGACCAAGACGATCGAGCCCTCGAGCGAGGAGAACATCCGCGACCTCGAGGTGTTCATCCACCACCGACTTCGAGTGTATGACATTCTCAGTGACTCGAACCGCACCGAGGCAGTCGCCATCCTGCTGGACCAGTCCAAGACATTCGTGTGGATCAACCTGATCCTCAACACCGTCGACGCAGCATCCACAGACGGCCCAGTGACACTCGCCACGATCAAGGACATCAACGACAGCGCCGCCGATGTCGGCCAGTTGTACCACAAGACATTCGCCAAGATCCACTCGCAATCGAGCCACCCGGCCGAGCTGGTCACGGTGGTGTCGGCAATCACCACGGCCCAGTCGATCCTGACCCCGCAGATCATCGCCGATGTGTTTGGACTCGAGATCGGCGTCGTTCGCGAGTGTCTCAAGAGCCTCAGTCTGGTCCTCGATCCTGGCGCCAATGGACTGGGTCCCCGAGACAGCCAGTCCACCAACACCGAGGTCAAGTTCAACCACAAGTCGGTGGCGGACTATCTCCTCGGCGATGCATCGACTGGCCATCAGTGGCATGTGTCGACCTCGTTCCACACGGTGTTTGCCAAGGGATGTCTCGGAGTGATCCTCTCGCACGAGCCGGTGATCAACATCTGCGAGATCTACGACTTTCACGACAAGATCGCTGACCTAGAGGACAGGGTTGCAGCCAAGATCACACCGTCGCTGCGATACAGCGTCGCCCACTGGATCACACACTTTGTGTGGTGTGTGGACGGAGTGGCCGAGTCGAGTCCGGTGTGGCAGTCGGCCGAGATGGTCGATGTGGCAGCGGTGCTCACTCGGTTCGTCAAGACACATGTGTTCTTCTGGCTCGAGTGTGGGTCGCTCACACATGTGGTCAAGCCGATCATCGAGCAACTGGCTGTGCTGCGAGGAGTGATCGCCAAGGCACCCAGCACCATCGTCGACGACACCACGAAGGAACTGGTCAAGGACACGTATCGATTCATCCGCGAGTTTGCCGATCCGATCATCAAGAGTGCACCACAGGTGTACAACTCGGGATATGCATTCACACCGAAGGAGACGGCGATCTACAAGACATATGCCACCCAGCTCGAGGACAAGATCCCGTTCCTGGTCACGGCTGGTCCAGCACCCACCTGGGATCCGTGTGAGATGACAATTATTGGACAGGGACACACTTTTTCATCGGTCGCCATTGCACCCGATGGCAAGTGGATTGTCTCTGGCTCTGGTGACAACACCATCAAGATCTGGGACTCTACCACGGGCCAGCTGAAGATCACTCTCGAAGGACATACGGATAATGTCAACTCCGTGGTGATCTCGCCAGATGGCAGGTGGATCGCCTCTGGTTCGGATGACAAGACTATCAAGTTGTGGGATGCCACCACGGGCCAAGTGAAGCACACCCTCGAAGGGCATCACAACTGGGTAAATGCCACGGCTGCATCACCCGACGGCAAGTGGGCTGTGTCTGGCTCTTGGGACAAGACCGTCAGGGTATGGGATATCACCACGGGCCAGGTCTGGCTCACTCTCGAAGGACACACGGGTCCGGTCAACTCTGTGGCGATTTCGCCCGACGGACAGTGGGTCGTCTCTGGCTCACTCGATGAGACTATCAAGGTATGGGACCTCACCGCTGGCCAGCTGAAGCGCACACTCAAAGGACACTCAAGTTCGGTTAACTCCGTGGCAATCTCGCCTGATGGCAAGTGGATCGTGTCTGGCTCCGACGATACCACTGTCAAGGTGTGGGATGCAGATACAGGTGATCTACATCATACTTTCGAGGGACACTCATCGATTGTGACCGCTGTGGCCGTCTCGCCCGACGGCGAGTGGATTTCGTCCGGCTCAGGTGACAGCACCATCAGGGTGTGGGAAGCCACCACCGGCCAACTGAAGCACATCCTCGAGGGACACACATCCTCCGTTTCTTCAGTGTCAGTCTCGTCCGACGGGAAGTGGATGGTTTCTGGATCGCTCGACGAGACCATCAAGGTGTGGGACGTTGTCACGGATACGCCGCAATTGACTCTTGAAGGCCACTCTGACTGGGTGAGCTCTGCCACCATCTCCCCCGATGGCAAATGGATAGTATCTGGGGCGCTCGATGGGTCTACGATTGTATGGGATGCCGCCACTGGCCGTCTCATGCAGACTCTTGAGGGCCACCAACAGGGAGTAACATCCGTCGCCATTCGTCCGGATGGGAATGCAATCACAACTCACGACAACGGAGGCAACACCATCGTCTGGGTGCTTCGCGGCAACAGATTTATTCGCTCCACCGATCTCGACTGCGACCATGTTGCTGCGTCGGACCCGCCAATCGCATCGGAATGGATTGAGATCGACCGGAATAGCGCCCCGCAATGGCTCCGCCACAGAATCCATGCCATCAAAGTGCCACATTCCTTCTTCGCGTGGAGCAACAGTGATGGAAGTGATATGCGACTCTTCACCGCTAACGATGGATTGGCCATGATGAGTATTACGTTGCCATCCCACCCCATCATTATCCGGGTGAGTTCTCGTGCCGCATCGGATTCCTTGGCCTGTGCTGGCACCTGCATTGCTGACCACCACTGACAACCTCACATCGACAGCCGATCGATCCGAGCGCCCCTTCAACTCCAGCCCAGTCCGCCGCCAATGATCGGGGCGAGTAGTGTGGTGGTCATCGGGCTGTAGGATGATTATCGAGCTCCACTGCCGCCCAGTTTCGGAGTTAATAGCCACAATCAAAGCCACTGCGAATTCATTCGCGGTGCCATTGAAGAATGCTCCAGAGTGTGCGGTCCACGAGCAGCGTCGTTGCGGGACGGATGTTAGCGGGTTCATGGGCAGGCTAGAAATCAGAGCTGGAAGGGCCGCAGATGTCGCGATAGGTTCGATGCCTCAGATCTCTCCCCATCGGTGGGTGAATCCGGATCGAGGCGGAGCGCACGTTGATTATCCTGGGTGTGATGTGCCAGCGAATCGGTATGACACGGGCACCGCACAGCCACATCTTGTGCATGGGATCGAGAGTTGTTGGCTTGGCTTGGCTTGGCTTGTCGTCGCAATCGTCTCCATCTCGGCCGTGGCAAGTGCCTGGGCATCATCGGACTGATATCGCTGGTACGGTACAATTCGTCGATCCTCATCCATTTCACCGGAGCAAGGCATATGTGCTGTCGCAACGAGCGCCCACTCCCCATTACACAGAATACAGGGTGATGTTCCCAACGGAGAGTCGTCGTTTGCTATTGCAGGCCGCTCTATTACCGAACCAAAAAAAACATCGTCAAGCTATGTTGCAGAGCTCCTTCTGTTATTCGGATCGCTGATGGAAAGCGTAAGGGGTAGGGAGGAGGGGAAAAGAAGAAAATCGCGGTCCCTATTGCTTCATCTGAGCAATCTTGACAGACATCTTGCCGATGACGCCCAAACGGCTGACAACCTCCTGGATGCCACCCGAAAACGACGTTGAGTGGTACGGGATGCCGTACTTTTTGCAGACGGCCATGACATCGGGGGCGGTCTTGCCGATGTGGTGGCGAGGAATGGTGGGGAAAAGATGGTGCTCGATCTTTGAGGTGGAGTCCGTGATCGAGGAGGGGGGGGGTGGTTAGCTCAGTAGCATGAGTGCTTACGACGTAGCGGCAGCAGCGAGCGGGAGGGCTTTGCTTGGCACAACACATACCTGGAAGTTCAAACCACCGGTAAACCAGTTGTTGAAATGGGTCGGGGTGACGTTGCGGCCAGTGTCGACCTGCAGTTGGTAGAACTCAATGTCCTTGCCGGTGACGTCGTCGTAGATGGACATGCCGTTCTGGATCCAGGAATTGATTGACGTGGTAGAAAGTCAGTCAGTCATTTGCATGGGATGCGCAAAGGGGGGTAGTAGTTGATCGAGGCGTGAACGGGCCTGGTGGTGCTACTCACATGGTTGAGCGAGAAGACTGAGGCCAGGAACAGGCCACCAACGGTCTGTGACAAGAGGATGTACAGGAGGGCGTGCAGAGGCGACAAGAAGTAGAAGGCGGTGCCCAGGTACCAGACCCAGTGGATCGCCAGCGTCGATCGCTCGATAAGCAGCATGGTGGGGTCCGAGACGACGCATTCGGAGTGGCCGGGAAGGACGAACAGAATGGAGTGCAGCGCCCAGGGGATGCGGGCCAGCGACAGGATCGGGAAGTAGAGGATCGACTGGCGAGAAACCAGGAAGCGGGCGACGGTGTCATCCTTGAAGTCGCTGAAGAGTTCGAGGGCATGCTCGGACCTGGAGCAAGACGGCATGGTGCGCATCATTAGCTACCGTTGGTGTCGTTCCCGGGGTGAGATGCTCCTGCAAAGCCGTTCTGTAACGACATGGCCCATGCGGGGGCTTGCCTCCGCTGATATGGCCGCGTAATACGACCGACAGTGTGAAGCAGAAAGAGGATCAACACGAAACGGAGCAGGATCAATGGCGGCCGATGACGGGACGGCCGACTGCTTACCAGGCGAGATAAGGCATCGTGTCGATATCGGGGTCCTGCTGATGGATGTTGGGGGCGCTGTGGTGGGTGCAGTGCTTGTTTTTCCACCAAGCGACGGAAAAACCTGAGGACGACCAGAATGGATCAGCCGCAGGCTCTCAAGAACGGGTCTGCTGTACCGAGAGTTTGCCGAGGATGAGCGAGGATGAGCAAGGGGTCGCCGCGAATGCGTACCTTGGGCAACGTTGCCGATGACATAGCCAAAGGCGTTGTTGATAGCACGATTCTCGAAGACCTGGTGGTGCAAAAAGTCGTGGGCGAGCCAGCCTGTGGGAGGGAGCAGGAGGCAAAAAAAGCAGCAGAGATGAGGATATCGCAAAGACCCAGAAAGCGCGGGCAGAGACAGCGGAATCGCGCAAGACACCGGATGACAAAGTCGGCAATGGACGAGATCCTTACCGCACTGCTGCAAAAAGAGGCCCATGCACACGGCCGCAAAAACGATTCCGACAAGGTTGTTGCCCAGATAAGCCAAGGTGCCCAAGGAGGCAGACAGGAGCGCCAGATTGCTGAGGATCTTGTAGGCGTAGAAGAGCTTGCTGGACTTGAAGTAGCCTGCTTTCTCGAACTTGGCGCGAAGCTGCTTGATCTCGTGGGCGAAATCTAGTTGGTGATGCAGAGCAGCAGAGGGCGCACCCGGACCGCAATAGCTGGATAGTTAGCCCGAGACGAACAATAGGAGGATAAAGCGACAGTATGGGTGCAGCAGACCAGACGAGCGCGACAGAGGACGAGGGACCCACCATTCTGCTTGGAGGGCTCTCCGTCCTTGAGATCTCCGACGTAAAAGTTGGCCAGAGTCTCGTAGGCGGACTCGGGATGGAACACCTCAAAGGCAGCTATGGGTCGTGGGCGGTAAGCAAAGACGAACGGTATGAGCGGATGAGAAAGCCAAGCCCGAGATGGCGAGAGAGCAACTGCGACGATACAACGACGATACAACGACGATACAACGACGATACAACGACGATACAACGACGATACGATACAACGACGATACAACGACGATACGATACAACGACAGACACGACAGGCATACATACAGGAGGCATCTTTGCCCATCTGGGAGATGATCACGGCACCACCAGGATGCCAGCGAACAAAATCGCCGCCGACATCGTAAACCTTGCCGTCGATGACGATGTAGACAGGGCCCTTGGTCGAGGCGCCTTTGACGTTGAATTCCTTGGGGCGAGATTCATCGATCTCGGCCCAGGTGAACTGGCGCACGGCCGAGGAAGATTTCTTGGCTGAAAACAGGGACGGTGCACAGCGCCGGTTGGCGTTGGATCGCCATCCCGGGGATGGCGTAGAGGGCGGGAGGAATCGATCGCAGGACGATGCCAGGCAGTTGATCACGGAACAAAGCCACGGGTTTGGTTGCAGGGATCAATGTGACAGAACACGATCGAGCCAGGGACGATCGGGCACGGGATTGCAGCCCGAGGAGAGCGATCCGCATAGCAGCGGAGACGGAGGAGGCAGAAGCAGGATGATCAGAAGCAAGCCAGTAAGGGGGGGGGAATAGCGGTGTGATGGAGCAGCTTTTGGATGACGGAGCGGCGAGATCCAGGAGAGCAGCTCACTGGGGAGAGCTCATTGGAGAGCTCCGAGGTGGTCAAGATACTGGCAGGCCCGCAGTGGTTTGCGAGTAAGCCTTGCAAGTAGCGCTTTGCAAGCATCGACCAACAGGCACTCGCAGGAAACACATCCGTACCAGCGGGGGTTTGGCACATGGATGCGATGCAGCAACGGAGACGGATAAGGCAGAACGACGGATGGGTCTGAGACGCTGGTCGGTACTCCTTTGGCAACCCAGTTCGCAGGCGGGAAAGGCGGCGGGAGCCAGGCTATATACCCGAAACAGGGGGGCTGCTGGATCTGGAACGACATGGTCGGCAGGGCAGCACAGCACAAACGGACACGGAAAAAAAAAAGTTTGGCCGAGCAAGCAACAACAGCGACAGTGGACACAGAGACAGTCGCTGATGGGCCACGGGAGAGCGGGCGGCTTGCGATGCGATGCGAGTCACGGCAAGGGAGACGGGCATTGCGCTATCGCAGCAAGGCCGGCGAGTTTTGGGGGGGGGTGCTGGTGGGAGTGGGATCAAAGCGGTTGTCGCAATGGGGCAGAGCCATCAGGGCAGTCGTCGCGGTAGTCGTCGTGATAGTCGTCGTGGTAGTCGTCGTGATAGTCGTCGTGATAGTCGTGATCGCTCCTGCGACTGCTGTTGTTGCCGCAGCGTCTGTTCGGCGGATACAGCCACTCCAACTACCATTGTTTGCACTGCCCCAATCAACTCTCTGCACTGCGCGAGTGAATGCCTTCTTTCCTCCTTGTCGAGCCGTCGCACCGCCCTGACAAGGCCCGTGTGGTGCCAGCACACAGAAGACGTGCACAGAACACTCGCACAGAACATTCCACAGAACACATGCACAAAAGGCGTCGCCGGATCGATCCACAGTCACGTGCTGCTTCTGCGTTTTCTTCCTGCACACACACACACCCATGCCTCCATCGCCTGCGATCCAGCGCTTCTGTCGCATCACAGTCCCAAGGTCGACTGCCCAGCCCAGATCAAGCATCTTTGGCCACACCACCATCGAGCATCCCCACGCTCCTCCGTCGATACCAGCTCCTCGCTCTGCGCGTGATCCGCCGTCAATGAACAGCCTCCTGCGGTCCCTGCACACGTCGTGCTCTGCCCTGGCCCGGCATTCCGTATCGCCGCTGGTCTCGTCGCTGCGGTCGCCGGCTCCTGCCTCGCTCGGCTCGCTCGTCCCGATCCGGGGATCAAAGTACAGCTCCAATGAAGGAAAAAAGCTCCCAGGATACATCCTGCCCAAGCAAAAGGCCAAGACCAACATCCTCAAAACCATGATCAGGGTCAGTCGCTCGCTGGATGGTGTCCTCCATCGCTTGGTGGTGTCCTCCATCACGAGGCCATATCCAGGGCGCCATCTTAGTTCAGCAATACAGCAATACAGCAATACAGCAATATACGCCGACTGCATCCCGCCCGCAGCCCAGCTTCTCCTCCGGTCATCGATACTAACATTGCACATCCCCTTTCTCTACTGTTAGGCCCGATGGTTCCGCATGAGAATCGGAAAGCAGGGACAGCGGCCCAGACGACCGGGATACGGCCACAATGACTCGATTCTCTCCAAGATGAACATTTAATCCAATAAAGCAGCATCTGCACTCAATCGCCTGGAATCGATGGGATAGCCGCTGGGATAGCCGCTGGGATAGCCGATGGGATAGCCGATGGGATAGCCAATTGCCGACGGAACTCAGACTCGCAGCATATCGCAAACATGTGGCAGTCGCATCCGAATAATGCGGGCGATCAACGATCCCACGGTGTGTCTTGGGTCGTTTTGCGTGTGCGATCCAAAGCGGCAGCGGACATCAGATCGATGATGCCTGGCCGTCCACATCCTCTCTGTCCATCCGAGAATACCCTGAACGATACCAGCGCTCTCGCCTGGCTCTGGGTTATTCCCCATCTTTGATCCTGCTAGCCAAACAGGCACAGTATCAGTCGCACCTTCCACCTCTCTCTCGGGCCATCTGGTTGCTCACCAGGCCTGTCCTCTGCACTCTCTCTCTCTGCCGCAGTTGCGACTGCAGCATTCTCCAGCAAGCAGCGCCGCAGAGGCGGGAGAGCCAATCATGCGACAATGCACCAGCCGCACAACTCTCCCCGCGCTTATTCGGAGTGATCCACCTTCGAGAAAGCTATACCTCCTCTTTTTGTGCAATCCCTTGGTCGCCTGCATCGCAAATCGAGCGATTCTGGCTCCAATTGTGCCAGCGTTTTGCGTGGCCGTTACCCTTGCTCACGCTCGCATTCCCTCTCCCTTCGCTCGCATTGTCCCTTCGTTTTTTACCGTCGCGGCGTCTGAATCCCACAGTCCACCAAAATCCAGGTTGTCGCCCTCGCATCCTTTCTCCGTCGAGGTGCTCGCCGACCCATCCATCCTTCTCCCGCGATTCTCACGATCCGCTCGCTTGGACCCGATCCGTCGTTTCGCATCGACCAGGCCGTGGCTATCGCACCTCGCCTTCATCCGTTCGCCATGCGCCCGACCCTCAAGACTGCCGCCTCGCCAAGCAAGAACCGGCGCCCAAAGTCGCCCCTCGGCAACAAAAAGACCCGGCTTGTTCAAAAGTCCCTCAACAAAAAGACCGACGAGCTCGTCAAGGCCGCCAATGTCCTCAGCGAAAAACTCAAGCGGCTGCATCTCCGGGACACCCGAACGTCGTCCAGCAGCTCTCACAGCCACCACAAGCACTCCGATGACGATTCGGCGCGTAGCAGTCGAGACGGCCGCGATTCGAGAACGAGCCTCAGAGAATCTTCCTCTCGCCACCATAGATCAAGCGATGCCCATCGACGCAGCAGTGATTCCCATAGACGCAGCAGCGATGCCCATAAACGCAGCAGCGACGGCCATCGACGCAGCAGCGATGGGCATCGACACAGTTCCCACCGGAGAGCCGAGCGCGAGAGTCATGACCAGGACCCGTTTGGCCACAGCAACTCGCCCAGAGCTCATCGTCGCTCCATCTCCTCGCCCGAGCGACGAGCCGGTAATCACTCGTCCATCTTTGCAAACCACGGCTACGACGACGTCACGCCCACCACCCGAGCCACATTCGTGGACATTCCCGCCCCGTCTGCAATCGTACCGGCTGTCTCTCCTCTGCCCTTGGCCTCGCCTGCTTTGGGCCATCCCTCACCGCAGCATCGCGCCGACGGCTCAGTACTTCAGTTTCCCAGCCCTGCTGCGAGGCATGATCTCTCGGCACATACCGCCCTGCCCGATCCTGGCCTCACTGCTGCCTACCACCACCTCGAGAAAGAGTATCTGGGCCTCCAGAGCCAGAATGCCTACTTTCAGGGCCAGCTTCACGACCAGGACAGCAAGATCAAGTCGCTCGAGACAGAGCTGCAGCGGCTACGAAGCGCACCGCCGCAGGTGCAGTCGTCTCCAGCCGACGCCTTCCAAAAGATGAGACTCCTCACGCTGGAGCGAGACCACGCCGCGCTGCAGAGCGAGGTGGAGGTGCTCCGAGCCGTCAAGGAACAACTCAAGGAGGAAAAGAAAGAAAAGTCCAAGGCCAAGGAGCAGCTCGAGGCCACCCAGAAAGAGCTCTACGAGGCCCAGATGAAGCACTCGCGCTCTGCAATGGAGATGAAGTCGCTGCTCGAGCAGACCGAGATCCTGCGCCGCGAAAACCGCCGACTGGTCGACCAGCAGGACCAGCTCAAGAAGCAGCTCGTTTCGATGGAGAATGCCCAGCGCGAGCCGCTCTGCCAAGAGATCGACGAGGGCCTGCGCATGCGCATCTCCAAGAACATTGTCCAGGAGATCCGCCGGGTCCAGGAAGTCGACCTCTTTCTCAAGGAAAAGGACGTGCGCTGGTCCTTCTGCATCGAAGCGCTGCTCGAGGGTCTCGAGAAGCTCCGGTTCACCGTCGCGAACGGGAATCCCGCAGTCATCAAGCTCATCGCCGAGATGACTAGCGTCTTTGGCACCGTCTCCGAGGGCATGTTTGGGATCATCAAGGAGGCCAAGGACGTGGACCAGAAAATAGCCCGGCTTCGCGAGGACAGCAAACGTGTGCGGGAAGAGGCCGAGCGTGTTGTGCGGGAGCTCAACGAAAGGTATCTGCAAGATCGGCAAGAGCTGCAGCGGCTCAACTCGGATCTGCGCAAAGAGCTCGACGAGAAGCATGGCGAGACCAAGAAGACCAAGAAGCAGCAGAAGCAGCAGCGGTCGCAGGAGCAGCTCCACTTCCAAAATCTGCTGGAGGAGCAGCGGCAGCGCTTCCAAAAGCAGTTCGGGGACCTCGAGCAGGAGATGCGGTCGCGCGAAGAAGCTCTGCAAGCCGAGAGCCGAAAGCATGTGGAGTTGATCGAGGCCCGTGAGAAGGAACTGATCCGCCGAGAAAACGAGGCGCGCGATGTCATGATGCAGCTGGATGCTCGAGAAGCCCAGCTCGCGACGGCAAATGCCAATGCGAACGCCGCTCTGGCAGCCATCCAGCAGCAACAACAGCAACAGCAACAGCAGCAGCAGCAGCAGCGGCATCAACGAGCTCATTCCCAGCGGGCCAGGCAGAGATCAAATCGGTCGGACTCGTCGTCGTCGAGCTGCACCAACTCGCTCGCTGAGCCCCCGCACGCCTCGAACCCATCCCAGGACCTCGAGAAGCAGCTCTATGCCGCGAGCTACGACCAAGCCGCGCCCTCGACAGTGACCTATATGAGGCAGATCGAAGAGCTGACCGCGATGAACCTTGGCCTCAAAAAGAACGAGGAGCAGCTGGAACGCACCATCCAGGAGTGGAAGAAAGAAAATGCCTCGCTCCGGGAGCTGGTTGCCAAGTACGAGAACAACCCGCGGGAAGACGAGGCCGAGATCACCCGGCTCTGCCGCACCATCCAGACGCTCGAGATCAAGCTCGAAGACGAGAAGCTGCGGACGAAAAAGTCCATGGAGCTGATAAAGCAGCTCAAGTCGGAATTGGAAATGCTCAAGGCCGGGGCTGTGGACTCGAATCTCCGGCGGTCCAGCTCGACAGAATCGTTCCATCTTCAGTCCGACATTCTGAAGGAGCTCCAGAGTCTCGTCAAGGCCAAGCTTGAGGTGCTGCACCGCGGCAGCACTCCCACTTCCAGTTCCAGCCCCAAGGCAACGAGCGGCAGCTCGCCCCAGGCGCGGCTTTCGCCAGAGTGGCCCGGCGTCGAGGATGTCCTTCGTGAGAACCAGTATATCGCAAAGCGGCTAAAGGAGCTGGGGGACATGATCGAAGGTAAGCGTCAGCAGCGGCCGGCACAATGGCACGGAGGACCTGTTGTCAGACTCGCTTGCTTGATATCTGCCATGAGCCAGCTTCTGGAACCATAAGACAGTCTCGACAACGGTTGCGGAACACGCATCACTCCTGGAGCCGTGCTAACAGTGTACGGCCTCTCCTCGTCATCGAACGTCAATCCGACAGAGCAAGTGGCTCAGTCGGAACAGCTCAGGGCCGCCAATCGGCAGCTCTCGGAAGCGCTTCAACAGACCCGGAGCAAAGTCAGGACAAGAGAGTCTCAGTGGGTAGCAAAATACCAGCGGTCCGTCGAGGAGAGCCTCAAGATCACCGAGCAATACCAGGGACTCGAAGGCCTCTTGGGCGACTACGAGAAGCAATTTGAGACCATCTTCATGCTTGCTCGAGACTACTTTGCTGCCATCGGCGAGCCCTCGAATGCCCCCCATGTGGGCATGCAAGCCCCGGCGGCGACAACTTTTGAGCACCCGCTCCCGTTCACGTCACACTTCACCCATCTCCATGCCCTCTACACAAGCTCCAGGCACAGCGCCGCGCATCTTCAGCAGAAGCTCACCGAAGACGCAAAGGCCCTCGAGCAGCTGCAGGATCAGCTCGAGTCCGAGAGAGCCACATGCAGCGCCAAAACACAGCTTGTCTCGGAGCTCAGCGACCAATACGAAACAACCAAGATGAGGGTCATCCAGCTCGAACAGCAGACCAAGAGCCTTGAGGAGCAAAAGTGCGAAGCTGAGCGCAAGCTCAAGCGCATCGTCAGTGGCTACCAAGTACTCTTGACCGGGGCCAAGTCATAGTAGACAGGGAGGCAGAGAGAAAGAGATGGAGAGAGCGCCCAATGGTGTCTCGATCCGTTTACAGCCCATCAATAAAACACGGGACACCACGGATTTTGGTTGTTGAACAAATAGTTTGTTGCCTCCAAACATCGTGCGCTGGGAATGGCCGTTCGCCACACTGGACTTTTGCACTCTGGCCCATGGTTTCCACCGACCAATCGCCATGAACGATGATCGAGTTACACCCGGACCATGTTCCTGGCTGAGTTGATGCTGCTGTTCTGGAATGTGCTGGGCAAACTGTTTCCAGTGGAAAGTTTCCTTGGATCATCTTAATTGGGCTGTATTTGATGCTGGCTGGTGATGGCGACCACCGAAACGGCCAGAGGACACTGGCTGCCCCGGCTTCTGAGATACATATGCACCTTGCCAGGCGTCGAGCTTCTGGTACAGCGAGTAGCGCAGCCTTCGCGGCAGATTGAGGCGAGCAACGCTCTTGGAGAGTCTCATGAGGCCGTCTTCGTCCAGGTGCGAGCACCGCGCAGCAACGATCTGAGCCATGTCGGCGTCGCTGATGCGCATATGGGGCCGGCAAGCGAGATGCAGCTCCAGGAGTTCGTTGATCAAGGCCGGAGCCACTCTGGAGATGCGTTCGTGCGTCAGGGCGGTACATATCACCTCGAGATCGTGGGTTGCGATTGGCTCGATGATCATCAGACAGTTGGCCAGCATCACCAACATGGACGGATCCAGGTTCTTGATCTTTGGTCTGAGTCGGCCCACAATATCCTGCCAAAGCCCAATGGGATATCGGGGATGCTTGGAAAAAAGCTTGAGCAGCCCAATGAGATCCGCAGGTGTGATGAATCGTTGTCGTGCCGATGAGAGGGAGATTTGGACGGCCTGGAGGAACCGTGGCCCGCACAGCTCAAGCTCGGAATCCGATTCGAGCCATTTTGTCAGTTGCCTGGGGCTCACTCGGTCCATCTCCTCGACTCGGATGGCCTCCACCATGGATCGCACTTGTGGAAGCACCACCCCGGTTGTCTGCAGGCCCGCCTCGAGCAGGTTTCTGATGTTATCCAGCTTGACATCCGCGAGCATGGACGGTGCCACGTCCTTGGTGCCCCTGAGCAAATCCGCATGGACGCCCTATCGGATCAAGCGAGTGAGTAAGTATCGCCATCGCAGCAAGTAGCGGTTGATGGCTAGCAGATGCAGCAACATATCTGCCAGCAGTGCCGGAATGGAATAGAGACAAACCTGATGACTGCCGCAGAGCTCCACCAGCTGAGCAAGCTCTTCAGGATCGTCGACTTGCATCAGCGCCGCATACTCACGGATGCGATCCAGCCGGTCCCGCAAGGCATCGGCGTCGTACATGCTCAAGTCCATATCCGAGAACAGCCGGAAGCAGAGGGCCAGTTCCTGGACAGAAAACGATGTCAACTCGCGGTCCAGAATACACAAGAGGTCCCCTCGTATACGCTGTCCGGGCGCCGATAGCATCGATGGGGTAGGGCTTGATCGATCCTCCAGTTTGAAAAGCAGATAAGCCAGGCGGGCCAGGGCCGGCGGTGGGATTCCATGGACGTTCTCGATGGCGAGCACGGCTTGTGTCAGCGCGGGGTGCTCCTTCCCGCGAATCGTAAACGCAAACAAGAGCATGATTTGCTCTGTGCGAGAAAGGGTTGGCAATCTCAGGGATACAGCCTCCTCGACTTGGGCGCAGATGTGGGTCTGCTCGAGGCTCCCAAAGACATCCAGGGCATCGAGCAGGCAGCTGGTGGGGAAGGCCGGCAGACAGTCCTTCACGGTAACCCACAGCCGAGCTGTGAAGGTACCGACAAAGCCGGGCTGCAAAAGTGAGCCCAGACGACACCACGATTTCCAGCTTGCGATCGTCCTTGCTGCCTGCGACGGCGACATACTGCCGTGGTGTTCAAACAGCATGGCTCCAAAGAGAGGCTCGACACAAATGTTGACTCGAGACATGCACGGCAGAATCGAAAGGAGAGCCGGCCGGCTGAATTGATCGAGGTGCTGCAAGACATGGCGGCCGATGGCGGGCCAGTCGGCGACATCCAGGTTGTGGGCTGCGTGAAAGTTGATGATGATATCGAGTGCTTCCGTGTCGGCACCGTCGAGGTTGATTTGGCTCACGGCGCTGCGGACAAGATCAACCACGTCGGAGCACAGGGATGGATCGGCCCCAGGAATGCGCAAAACCTTCAGCAGAGCTGTTGCATCATCCAGGCTGAGCGGAGAACGCATTTGCCGCATCTGGCCAAGGGACGAGTGCAGAGCCGACATGAGGATCCGGTGCAGATCCGGGGTGATCTGGCCAAGAAAGTCGAGGGCCAGGGCAGCCCTGCAAAGACAGCGGAGGTCGTCCGTTGCCGAGAGACTGGCCTTGACAGCGCTGGTCAGCTCGTCGAGCACATTCCGTTCCCAGTGGTTGAGACGCTCTGGGATCGAGCGATCGTGCTCGCATGCCTTCACGAAGCGGTCCAGAGCCTCGATGGTCTCGGTGGGGGTCATGCACAGGATGCTGCTGAGAAGCGGCAGGTTGCTCTTTTGGAATTGGGCGAACCATATGAGCGAGTTTGACGAGTATTCGCCGATGGGAGAGCGGGCCGAATAGCTCCGGATGCCGGCCCTGTCGAGGTTTGAGCCAGGGCCGGTCGGATGGAGGCCAGCGCAGAGTTGGACCAGGAACATAGCACTGGTTGGCAAGGGCCGAGCAGGTGCCCTGGAGGCATAGCGCCGAGCCAAGGCGAGCTGCATGAGCCGGCGGCTGGGTTGGGATGGGGACGATGAAATGTCAAAGTCCAAAGGCAAACCAGGCCGGGAAGCGATGGGAGCAGCACCGCCAACCATGCAAACGCATGGTTCCAGCCGCGCAAACACATGATTCCGACGGCGGATTTCTCGCTCAAAACAGGCTGGATTCGGAACGGGCGGGGCGGATCCCTTGGCATGGCCAGGGACGCAGGACAGCGCATCGTCAGGTTAGAACGCAAAGAGGTGCAAGGTTTATATAGTTTTGATACACTGGTAGACGACGAGACTGATTCCCCAGCAGCGCGAGCAGAACAAAACAGAGCAGAACAAAAGCTCTGGAGGCCCCAATCGGATCCACCGCACCAGACATGCACTGCGCCAACGTCTCAAATTCAACAAAGGCCAGACAGAATCCAGACACCCCATCAAGGATTTGGATTAGAGCTGTTGCTTGACGGACCGAGCAAAGACAGAAGAAAGGAAAGTAGCGTTGAGGCTGGAAAATCAGATTGCCAAGGACCCAACCAGAGTTGACGGCAGGGAGAGGCGCTGGGTTGCCTGGGAGCTTCAGGGAGATCCAATCCTGGTCGAGAGCCCCACAGGACGCACGAGAGAGATCCAAAGATTATGAGGACAGCATCTGCGGTCGAAGGGAACGGGAACGGGAACGGGAAGTAGTCTTATGCCGCTTCATTGGTCGTCGCTGTGGGCGCGGGCGGAGACGGAGCAGGGAAGAAGCTGAGTCGACGGAGCCACTGGCCAGTGCTGAGTGTCGGGGTTGACGGCGTCGGGGGCTCATCTGTTTTTTGAGGGACCTTCTCGGTGGTGGGTTCGTCGGTATCGCCCTCGGGGTTGGTGTGGGACTGGGCCAATTGCGAGCCTGATCGCGAGCTGGACATCCATCGAGAGATGGACGGGAAGGACGAGCGTCGGGACCCGTCGGACTTGGGCACAAGCAGGCGGGCAGGAGACGCAGAGGTCGAGGACTTTTGGCGGCGGTGCTTCATGTAAGCTGGCTCTTCGTAGCCCTCTTCGTCTTCGTCCAAGTGAGCGTCGACGCTGACACGGCCACGCTCGCGCTCCAGCTGCGAGGTGAGCGCCGAAGCCAGACGCTCGTCCTGCATAATCGAGCCAAGGATCTTTTGGATATAGAGAGTAAGGGCCTTGACTTCGTCCTCCAGCTCTGTGGCCGCGGGAATGTTGGGAGGGAGAATGGCCGTTAGTTTCGATCGAGCCAGCAGCGGCGCCTGTGCTGGGCGGCAGCGATGGATCGGCAATCTCTGTTAGCCACAGGCCGATGAGACTCACTGGAGATCTTTTCCTCGTACTTGGCCACCAGCTCGGGGTGGTTCTCGCGGGCCTGGGCAATCTCGGCCGACATGGTGGCCCCAAGAGCGCCTTCTTCGCGGCGATTCATGATCTCCAGGTTGGCAAACTCTCCGCTGAGAGTCTTTTCTTGCAGCAGAATCTGGTAGGACTCGGCATCCTCCATCAAGCCGCGATTGACCTCGTTAAGCTGGTCGACCTCGCAGCGATACGAGTACAGGCGACGGTCCTGATCCTGAACTTTGGAGATAAGCTGGTCTCGCGACGACTCGATGTTCTGCAAATGGACGGCCAGGGCCTCCAGCTGCTGCTTGTACAGCTGAAGGTTCTTCTGGAGCTCCGGAACGTTGTTTTCGCTGTGTTCTTCGACGGCCGACTTGAGCTGCTCCTCGACCTGGTTGTTTTGAATGGCAAGGTCTGAGAGATGGCGCCGTGTTAGTTCAGGGCGATCGGGCCAGTGCAATGGAGTGAATGTAATGAAACGGTGAAATGAGGTGGATGTAATGAAACGGTGTAAGGAAGTGAATGCAATGAAACGAGTGCACAATTGGGTGCCTCTGTTGAAATCAATCCGACGACCGCCAGTATCAGCAAATGGATGTGGGTGGATGAGGAGGAGGAGATTGTCGCAACATTGGTGGCTGAATGCATAGAAAATGCAATGCCTGTCGCTGATAGAGGCCAGATTGATCCGCTCCGGCTTCCCCGATGAAACCACTAAACCGTGCTGCACCTTTGGCCTTCTTCTTTTCGGACATGAATTGTGCGAGCAAGTTGTTTTGCTGCTCGGTGAACTCGGCCTTGGTCGTCTCAAGCGCCGCCATCTATGCCATCGACAGACGATTCAAAATACCCAGTTAACGAGGCTGCCAAGGATTCTGCTGCGTGCGGCGTGGCTGTGATGGCGCCTTGGGCTGAGTGACCACCCTCCCCCCAGCGAAGGAGGCGCATGCTCGAGCTACCAGGGATGGTTCGGCGACGGAGCCTGCTGCTGTCTCGCGCAGGCCAAGGGTATAGATGACGCTCGACGACTCGTTACCTCGGTACGGAGGCGCTCTTCCATATCCTTCTTTTCCTTGACAGCCAGGCGGTAGGACTTGCGAAGGCTCGAGATTTCGGCGCTGTTGTTGTCGAGCTGGAGCTCGGCCTGAGCGAGGGTCTGATTCGAGACCTTCAGCTCTTGCTGATACAAAAACGCTTTCTGTGGCGATAGGCAACGTTAGTCCGGATTGCAGCCACCACGAACGATCGCGCACGCCAATGGACATGGTTAATCAATCCCGAAGAGAAGGAAGCACCAGAGCACTCCCTCTATCGTGCGGGGCCCGCCGGTATCGTTCAGCAGCCACAATCCCAGTCTGCAGGAAGAGTCCTAAAGGAAGGCGTACATTTTTCCAGGTTCGGACGTCCACGAGCATCTGCTGGTTGCTGTCATCGGACTCTTTCAGACGAGACATGACCGAGTACAGCTCTTGCTCCAGCTCGTCGACACGGGACTGTAGATCGGGCTGGCTCATGGTGCTGGTGGGGGGCGGTGGCGTTACTGGGATGGCAGGTAATGGGGACGAAGAACGACAGGTGCTGGGACGGTGCGATGCGAGGCGAGGCAGAGAGCGGTGATCAAAGCAGAGCCGCAAGGGAGCAGGATGTCGGCCGTGGGTCGAGGTCGATCGCAGGCCGTGATCGAGGGAAACGGCTCTGGGACCAGCCCGAGCAAGCAAGCCCACCCGCACCAGCGCGACCGCCACATGCAGCGGCCGACGCGCCTGGGCGGTGTGTGCAGCCGCTGGCCCAATCAGCGCCGGCGGCGGGCAGCGCGCGCCCTCGTGTTGCGGGTGCGCGCCTGGCACAGACGGCTCTGTGGCGACGTGATGCGCGTCGGGCGCGCCGGGACAGCCGAAAGGAGCAACTCCTGTGGGACAGAGCGCTGCCACATGTTGGCGCCGCTGTGCCGCTGGCTTGCGAGTTGGGATGGGTTGCTGATTGGATCGCCGGGTCGAAGGGATGTGCACCACATGCCGCTGCATTCGCTGCATCGCTGCATCAGTGTCAATGACATACTCGGCGCCACAGGTTGGGTGCGAAATCCGTCCAGATCAGGCGGCGGTGTGCAAGAAACCTGCACGAAGAGCAACACACCAGTTTGCCAAGTAATCCAGCACCAGTGCCATCGACCAGGACAGGTTACTGACGGAGCAGACGGCATGCAGAAAACCGGGACACACTCGCTTCCATGGACATGTATGTGATGAGCTTGTGTCAAGCTAAGCCATAAGAAATGAATCAGATCACCTCCAAGTGAAGACCATCGGTCGCTCTCCGGTCTGCACAATCGACCTGCACACTGGTGTCGAAGTGCCAACGGTGAATAGTACTCTTGGACACAGGCACCTCCTCTCAGGTTATGAATGATGACATTGCACCGCATCACAGAATGGTCATGGCCAGTGCGCATTGGTATTGGGTACCAAAATATCAAGTCCAAGGTCAAATATCCGGGGAGCCCGCAATTTGTAGCGAACTAGTTTTGAAACGGGACAACTTCGCGGACGGATAACGAGGGTGGGCCGTGTGAATTAGACGACTTTGATTGGCACCCAAACCAGCGATTTTGCTCTTTGCCCTGTGTCTTCCTCGTCCCAGGTATGTCTTCTTCCTCCGACCCGCAGTAACTGCATCTGCAACGGCTCGCTGTTCCTGTCGTGTCCACTCACTCCATGCATCTCCCTGACACAGAGATATGATCCGACTACGCCGTGTTGTCCGAATGAGACATGCGTCCCATTTTTTTCGTCAACACGGCGTATGCATTTGCCGCGCTGTGACTTTTGGGCTCACCGCGCGCGCCGATTCGGTGCATCGAGGCAGTGCATCGATCAACAGGCGGGCCATCCCGCCCAATCCAACTCCAATCACATCGTCGTTTCGAGTGGCTGACTGTATGGAACTCGTGTCCCCACTTTTCTCGCTTGTTCCCATTCCTGAGCTGCATATTTCCGGCCGCCAACCTCTGAGCCGCATCGACTCCTCGCGACACTCTCGCCAAACACCTATCCTTGCGATCGCGTCAGCCATGCCGTTGCTGGACACCTCCGTCGAGCCTCCAAATCTGTTTCCAACAGGGTTCCCCATCAGGCAGTCGCTGCTCGTGCTGCTCAACATCCTGCCCGAGGTCATGATTCACCATATGCTTGTCCCGCTCTTCCCGTTCATGACCATGACCTTGATGAGCCGCTCCGACGACATCGCCGGAGTATCCGCGGCAAAGTCAAACTACGCGTACTACGCGGGTCTGCTCCAGTCAGCATACTTCTTTCCGTCCATCTTCATGACTGTCGTCTGGGGATGCATCTCTGACCGTGCCGGACGAAAGCCGGTGCTGCTTTGTGGCGTGGTGGGCTATGGCCTTGGCGCGATGCTGCTGGGCATGTCCACCGACTACGGGGTTGCGATGCTGGCCCTGATCGTCTGCGGCCTGTTCGCTGCAAACGCCGCTGTGGCCAAATGCATGATGGGCGAGCTTTCCCTGACAGACGAGGCCCGCGCCTTTGGGTACTCGGTCTATGGAGTCGCGTATGGGGCCGCTGGCATCGTCGGATCGGCGCTTGGGGGCCTCCTCGGCGACCCGGCCCTCTTTGCCGGCAGCTCCTTTCTGCAGCAACGCCCCTACTTTGCCGCATGTGCCCTTGGCGTCGTCCTGGCCGTCGCCGCCGCGTCCTCCAACTGCCTCTTCCTGAAGGAGACGATCAATGCAACCTGGACATACGATTCGGCCGTGCCGTCGACGCAAGAAGCGCTCCAACGAAGACCGGCTTCCAGCAGCCTCGTCGTGTTCGATGGCGACGCCGCTTCCGAGAACGGGCTCGGCTGCTCGTGCAAGAGTCATGGACGAGTGCAGTTGCCGATTCCCACACCAATTCCCGTCCCCGTTCCCACGGCCGTGCCGGGAGGCAACGGCTGTAGATCGCTCAAGAACACCATCAAGTTCGTGGTGCTGCGTCTGATCAGAGTGGCCCGACGGCTCTCGATGGTCATCGGCTCCCTGCTCGCCTCCAGACCCGGGGCCATCGTCGGCCCAACGGTTCCGGTGATCCTGTACGCGACCTATGCGCTCTGCAACAGCATCTATGGCACTTCGCTCCCGGTCCTAATCGCAGCTGCCCCTCACCAAGGTGGGTTCGGCCTGGGCCCTCGCGAAGCGGGCGTCGCCATGACCACCCTCGGCATCGCCAAGCTCTGCGCCAAGCTGTTCTTCTACCCGCTGCAGCGGCGATTCGGGACTCTCTCGGTCTACCAAATCGGATGCGCCTTGCTGGTTCCTGCCGCGCTAATCCCTCCGCTGTTTGGCTCCAGCTCGCTCTGGCCCAGCCTGCTGGTCTCGGCGGTCTTGATCGGCATTGGCGAGGGACTGCTCTATGTCAGTGCCATCGTCATGGTCACGCACTTTGCTCGGCCCGAGCATCTGGGTGCCGTCCACGGCGTTGCGGGGTGCCTGGTCTCGTTGGCTCGCACCCTGGGCCCGTATGTCGCCGGACTTGCGTGGCAGCGAAGCGCCCTCTCCGGCCAGACCTGGATTGTGTTTACGTTAGTTTCGCTCTCGGCGTTTGCCGGGCTTGTCCTTGTGCGCAAGATCGATACCAAGGCATCCGATGCAGGAACCACCGACACCAAAGCCTTTGACATTTGATGCAGGGACTATCGACGCAAAGGCACCCAGCATTCGATGTGCGACCCACCGGCGAGAAGACATCTGATTTATGAAGTGCCGACACAACTCAGTAGCCAGAGGTCCATTCCGAGACCGCCCGATGGTCCGCATCAGCCCACAGCGCGACCCCTGAAGCCGACATCCTAGCAAGTCACCAAACACAACGCAGCGACGAGGAAGCAGTCCGAGGTTGGGGGGAGGGATGAAGTAGAGAGGCTGCCAGATACAGCACCCACTATTAGAAACGAGACCTTTGGATTCATGTCCGATGGTCTCATTTTGTTCTAGATCTTGAATACACGCGCACACCTATCCACTATGGCACACTCTTGATGCAATCGGGGGCGGGGAGAGAGAGAAGTTGAAGAGCCAGCCTTCTAACCGACAGATGCACTCATCCATTTCAAGACCGCTTTTCCCACAATGGGCTTGTCAGCAACGACCCACACGAGGACCACAGGTTTGTAGAGGCACGATGTATTGGGCAACAAAACTTGCTGGCCAGATCCTCGGCGAGAGCAACACGCCTGTGTTGGCATGTGAAGCTGAAGGGTCGAGCATCAAATATGAGGGGGGAGGTCAAGAGGCGATGTCGGCGTCCGTTCGATTTAGACGGTTTCGTTCCTTCCTCCTTTGTTTTTCTGTTTGGCTTTGGGATTTTCAGCTTTTTGGACCGAGCGTGAGTGTAGTGCGCAAAGCAAAGAGGCGTTGGAAGCGAGAGCGTGCCGATCAAACATAGAGATATGGAGGTGGACAAGGGGGCGGAGCAGGCGCTGTTTTGGAACCAAGGCTGAAGGGAAATGGATGGTGGCCGAGATGAGCCGTTGAACAAACCACTTGGGCTCATCTCCTTTGTCCAAACAGACATGTCCAGCGAAAACTCGTTACTTGCGATTTCAACCCAACTCTCACATCGTTCACCGTCGGCACTCAAGGAAAGGAGCGAAAAGTTTATAACACAGGCAAAGGTACGGACAAGAAATCAAAAAATAAGAAAGGAGGGGAGGGAATGGACCTTGGCACATCCGCAGAATACTGCCCAGACATTCGAATGGAAAGAGCCGATGGAGAGCACGTCAGCACACACGGCAGCGACTGCGGTTGTGGTTGTGAGAGTCGACCATCTCCGCGACCGCACCCTCGCGATGCAGCCGAGAGCAAGTGAAAAACGGCGGGAGGTTTTGTCGCGGCGATGGTCTTACTGTTTGGATTCCAACGGATGCTTTGTTTGTCACTCTCACGGCTGCACACAGCGAGTTGCGCAATCTATTGAAGGACCAGGCTACCTTGTCGGTTCGCAGAGGCAAAAAAAATATCGTGGGCAGCAGAGCCATCGGCAACAGGACGACGAGCGAGCTTAGTAGCGCACGATCCTCGAGACCACAAAGGCGGTAACGAGAACAATGGCGGCGCTGACGCCGACGTTGACCGCCAGAGGAGCGTCCTTGATCAGATCAATGGCTTGCTGGACGGGTGAGCTTGCAGCGGCATCGGCAGAGACTGATCGCTGGGCCTCCTCGAACTGGCCGCTGGGGCTGTCGGTCCGGGTGTTGGGGGCCGGGGGCTCGCCCATGTACAGCATCAGACGAGCCCAATTGGCGCGGCGAGCCATCTGGACAGCCTCTTCGAGGTCTTTGTCGGTCGAGAGATGGACGACGTCGCCCTCGTCATCGATGTACGAGAGGCGGAGGTCGGTGCTCTTGTTGCCGTCGGTCTGGTACGAGGCCACGTGCAGGTAGAGCTCCTGAAGAGAGTCGAATCGCGACGAGAAGCGGTAGACCTTGCCCGTGGTCGAGTCGCGCAGCTTAAAGGCATACTCCTCAACGACGCCTCCAGCGGCGGCCGAGTACACCTGGGAAGCCGCATCGTCGGGGGCAAGTTCGCGGTTGAGACCCACGAGGCCGCCCATGTGTGCGCTGATAGCCTGAGAGCCGGTGTAGGAGCTCGGCGGCACAATCTGGCCGTCCGAGTTGACGGAGTGGCGATCGGACTCGGTGTCGCCGCCGGCAAAGGTCGAGTTCCAAAAGCGGTTCCACATGGGTCCCTGATCACCGCCGGTGTTTTCGCCCTGATCCTTGTTCATCTGAGAGATAGACAGCCGGTTGCTGCACATGAGCATACGTGGTGCAGTGGGGAGGCCAGCTCGGCAGACGGGCCAGCAGCAGACGACGGCACATGCAGCGTAAACAGCTGCAAAGTGGCACTTACGACATAGTTCAGCATGGAGATGGTGAGGGTCAGGACATCGACGAGTCCGACGGGAGTGTACCCATCGACAACGGGCAGGTGGAGATAGTGGCCGACTAGGAACGGACCATGAGTGAGAAAGGCAGCACTCGCGCGATGCAGTGCAATTCATCGAGTCTGAGTGCGAGCGAGGCTGTGATGCATGTCGGACACATACTGTGGAGCTTGCGCAGAGCCTCCAGGATAGTCGCGTTGGGGGGAACAGAGTCGGGATGGGGAGTCTAGAGCCGAGTACCGTGATGCACGACGGAGGAGACAATGTCAGCGATCCGAGACAAAGGAGGCGCCCCACGGCATATGAGGCCCGCCACGGCGATCAACTGTATGCGCTTAATCACACATGGCTGCACGCGATAGGAGCGCGTTCAATCCGAACAGCTGGCGACCACGCTGAGATCGGTACCGCATCAAACAGGCAATCGTAGCTTCATCGCGATACGGCCGGAACGCCCTTGCCACACTGGATGTAGCAATCATCCAATCACGCATGACGCGCCGATCCAATACGCCAACTTACCATGACACGGACAACCGAGGTGGTGGCCGGGTCGAGACCAGCGGCGACGACTCGCAGGACAATGTCCTTGGTAGTGAAGATGCCGTTGAGGCGGTCTTCGCCCTCGGGCGCGGCCAGAACAAGAACGGCGGTCTGGTGGCTCTCCTTCATGACCTTGGCGGCATCACGGACAGAGGCCTTGACACTAACCTCGGGGACATCAGCCTGCAGCTGGTCCGCCGAGTTGAGGATGACCGAGGCAACATCGGGGCAGGCGTGCTGGACACGGATGGCACCGACAACGTCCGAGGCGGCGGTGCCGCGGCGCTCGAGAGCCTCCATGGCATTGATGATGTTCTGGTCCTCGTTGACCTTCTTCTCGAGCTCATCGAGGCGCTCAAAGACACACTTGGTGATGTCGAGCAGGCCGACGACGTTGGAGACGGGGCCATCTTCGTCGCCGTTGTCAAAGTCGTCATCGTCGACCATCTCACGGATGACGGGAAGATGGCGGAACTTGCGTTCAACCATGATGGAGAGGGCCTCATTGCGGGAGCCCTTGTCGTAGACGCTGATGGGGTTCGGGGTCATGACCTCGGCGACGGTGGTGTTTCTGGGGACGAGGCCGCCGGCAACGACACGATAGGCAATGTCCTTATCGGTCAGAATGCCGGTGAGCTGGCCCTCGTCGTTGATGGCGAGGACGGCATCGGCGCGCTTAGCCGCCATTAATTGGGCAGCCTGGACAATACGGGCAGACTCCAGAACCGTGATGGCGGCGGCAGGGCGGAGCGATGAGACGGTGCCCTTGGTGGGGCGGCGCTGGGAGCTATAGGAGCCGGAGGGAGCAGGGCCGGGCTTTTGCGAGGAGCGCTTGGAGCGGCCAGGCGAGTTGCGGGAGAGCTCCTGCTCGACCTTTTTGCGAATCGTATCGTCTCTTCGCTTGTTCCTGTGGCGTAGCAGCTCGGAGGACGAGGTGTTCATTTTTGAAGCGGATGTGGAAGCGCTGACGGTGCTCATTCAAAATGGAGGCAGGGAGGCAGACGGACGCTCTGGAGGCGAGGCTGCAGACAAGGATAAATAGACGAAGGGTAGATCGGGCTGTGTGCAAGCTCGGGAGGCTGGTAGCAGACAGACGGACAAACAGGCAGAGGCAGACAGGCAGACAGCGGCAGGAATGGCAGAGACGCAGCAGCCCGGTGCGATGGGCTGGTGAGGATGGAGGATGAGATGGAGGATGAGATGGAGGCTGAGATGGAGGCTGAGATGGAGGCTGAGGGAAAAGGCAGGACGCAGGCCGAGGCCAGAAAAAGAACAAAAGCGAGGGCGAGGGCGGGCGAGAAGGCGGCGAGAAGGGCTAAACACCCAGCGAGAAGGCCAAACACACTCAGCGAGAAGCACAAATACACTCAGCGAGAAGGGGCGTGCTATTTTGGGCACAGGAGAGGACGCCCGAGAGCCCCCGAGAGCCCCCCGAGAGGCGTCTCGGCCCGGCGAGGGTGGCGGCGACGATCACTCACTCAAGCTCACACAGCGCAATGGCGCGTCCTCCAAATGCATCAGCGTGACTGTCGTGTCCGCCTCGGCAACTTTCCCACGCTCGGCATCACAGGGGGGCGTCTGTCCCGAAGCACCCCTGGCTCTCCAGGCTCAGTCGTTGTCTCACGCATCCCCGCAATGGCGGCCCTCTCCAGAGAAGCCATCAAGTGGCTCCAGTCGCTCGACCTCTCCTATTCCATCAAGAATTACAAGCGGTGCGTTTCGCTGCCGCGTGTCTCTGGGAGCAACCCCTGGCGCTCTCTGTTCGCCACCCGCCGCGTCCGTCCCTTGCGTGCTCATCCGCGAATCCCGTCTGCAGTGATCTGGCCAACGGCTTTCTTGTCGCCGAGATCCTCTCAAAGTTCTATCCGAGCGATGTGTCCATGCACGCCTTTGACACTGGCACGGCTTCAGCCGCAAAGAAAAACAACTGGGATTTGCTCGAGCGACACTTTCAGGTGCTTGTGCCTGCTCCATTACTATGCACGGGGCCGGCTCCTGCTGTCGCGACCGGCCTCGCGATGCTGCCCATTGCCAATTGGGCGCTCGGTCGACTATACTTTTCAGCTGCAACTCGATGTTTCTCCGCTGCAACTCGATGTTTCTCCGCTGCAACTCGATGTTTCTCCGCTGCAACTCGATCCTTCTTGCTTGCCACCCGATGCGGCCTGGGTCTCACCGCGCGCATTCACACTATTTGCAGAAACTCAGCATCCCCATCCCGCGAGAGCTGGCCCAGGCGGTCTCGCAATCCAAGCCCGACTCGGCCGTCAATCTCCTCTCGCTGCTCTTCACCCATCTCTACTCAAGAAAGAGGTCCTCTTCTCGTTGCACTACTTGCGCAGGCACCAGACCGCCCACGCTCCGAACCCGCTCCGAGTGAGGCACATTTGTGGTCACCTTCGCGACCCTCTCCAGCTGATATCCTGTTCCCGCATTCCAACACAGAGCATCCAGAGCGAGCTCCTCGTCTGCATCTCCGCAGAGAACCATCTCGCCATCCGTCCTGGACGACCAACTCTCCGGCATTGAGCCATATGTGCGTTCCTCCTCTCCTCCAAACAATCCAGGGGCCGCACCACAGAAAGTAGCCGCCTCGTCCAACCGGAAAGTTGCCGGTGACCCAAAATGCAACATTTCGATCATCAACCCAGATGGTGCCAACTATTTTCTTGGAAAGACTCCAAACACAAACGATGCTCCGGTCGATGTGCCTGCGCTTAGGGACGCTGACGACTTTGGCAGGGTCAGTGTGCTCAAGATCCTCTTCACGAGCTTTGGCATCGTCGACCCAAACATATCCTTCAATCGCGGATCCATCCAGACAAATGCCTTGAGGGAGCGACTCAGCTCTCGGATCGAGTCCATGTCCAAAGACGAGCTCGAGCGCACATTGAGCCAGATGGGCTCCAAGGTGAGTGCTGCCGTGTGCATTTGCCAATCATGTTGAGCTTCCATTTGTGGCTGTTTGCTTTCCAAGTAGAGGCTTGCAAGGTATGCAGTGCTTCTCTGTTGAGTACGGTGGCCTTGCTTTCGCTCACATCCACGCACAAACATGCCCTTCATCCAGGAAAAGGACTTTGTACTCGCTCTCCAGCATAGCCTGCCCTCAGACTCGAATCTGATATTTGAAATCATCCTGCCTGCCGTGGCTTCGTTCTCGGCAATGACCAAGATATTCAATGGTATGTTTAGCCTTTGGACATTCTCTGGATAACTTTTGCGGCTGCTGCTTGTCCCTTGAGTGCTGCCGACACGACACCATGCCTCTCCACAGCGATGCACTACTCAATTTTGTCTGGAATCTTGGCGCTGTAGCCTTTGTTTCGGTCCTGTGCTTCTTTGGCGCGGTGTTCCAGGTGGCATTCAATCGCGACTCGTTCCAGCGCCTTTCCCAAGCCCGAGACTACAATCATCTCATCCATCAGCTCAAGGCGTCCTCAATCGAAAAGTTCCCGTACGTCGCCAGTATCGTTCAGTCCTTCATGAATTCGCACATGAGCGACCAGGAGAAAGCCCGGGTTCTGCTGACCCTGAAGGTAGCTGCCGTCCCCCCCTTCTACTGCTTTTGGATCCTCGTCTGCCGTGGTCTACGATGGACCGTCGTCGCTCCGCTTTCGTGCATCTCCAGGGAGCCACAACTCACACACATCCCCATGACTGCATGTGCGGTTCAACGTGCCTGACCGCATCATCCTCGACCTGCATCTAACCCCTGCTGTCTCTGCTGTTCACTGGGTCACTGACTTCAGTCGCAAATGACCCAGCCGAGCTCTACCAAAGGCCATGCCACCCTGAGCATTCCCACTTCTCCACAAAGCCTGTTTCTGCTGTTCTTGTGCTCACTGCTCTACTGCGACCAAAACAAGCACACCAACTTTCAAAGCCAGGCACAGTACACCACCCTGCATCTCTCCGAGTGTCTTACCTTCATCAACACCCACCGTCGACTCTATCGCCGCACCAATGCCGTATCCGGATCGATCCCGGTCCTGCTCTCGAGCCCATGTGAAATGCTTGAAATCTCGGCCGCTTTGCTGATCATGGCTGCCCTGATCCGACATGGAATCCAAATCAGCGACGAGCTTCTGACGGAGCTGATAGATGAATCGGATTCTAGCGGACTCAAGAGCTGCCTTGCATCTCCACACTGTCCCACCCACTTTCTGAAGGCTTGGATGAGATTCGTGACATCTGTCCTCGAGAGCAGGCAGTTTGACTCACCTGTGATGGCTGGGGCCCGCAGCGCCATCGCCTCGTTTCTACGATGGGCACCGGATGAGGTCTTGCGAGACAGTAGGTTATCAATCACTGTTGATACTGCAGGGATTTCGTTGCCCGATCAGAAAGGAGGATGTTTTACACCCTCGCGACCTTGCCTGTACCTGTGATCTGGATTCCACTTTGGCTCGAACGTTCTGCTAACAACCCCTGTGTGCCGCTCTGCTCAGCCCTGGTCGTCCTGTCGCCACTCCTCCTTCATCATCCGCAGCTGTGCACGCCGTTTGTTCGAACCTTCATCAACCTCAAATCAGAGCTTCAGAACCAGCTTCTGAAGAACGGACCGTCGTCAGTGAGCTTTGAGCTGCCTTTTATGGCTCGGCAAAAGTTTCCAAGTATCCTGCACACCTGGTATACGTTTGGGGTAGCAGCGGGAGTGACAAATACGGTATGTGTCCTCGGAGACAGGCTCCGCGCTGTGATGCTTGAAGTACCCTTTCCAAAAGTATCCTGTCTCAGATTGAGCTGTGCTTGGAAGAGGACGTGTAGATCTGAGCAGAGTGCGATGCCGGAAATTGCTTTAATTCCTTACCAAATCGTGCCCACCCAGGTTATCTCCGAGACCCCAAGCGCCCTGTCTGCAGCCCAGCTTCAGATCCTGGGCAGCTGCCTGATCCAGGTCAACTTTATGTCTGAATCCGAGCTCGGAGAACAGCAGCAGCAGCAGTTGCTGCCCAACAAGACCTCAAGCACCTTGCCGACACTCGAGTCCACCGACCAGACCGACCAGACGAGCATCCGCAAGTGGACCGCTCTGTTCCTGAAGATCCATCCGGCCCTCTATGTGGCCCTGTCGGATCCAGAGTGCTGTCGCATGGCGTGTGACGCCATCGATGGATTCTCAAAGCTGATTGGCGAGGATGTGCTTCCGGTAGGTACATAGTATTGGCAATCATTTGCCGTTGGGCAGCAACCGTGCTGGTGGGAGCAATATCCACACGACAGATGCACGCAGCTTGAACGAGGTGGATGCTCCCTCCAACTACTGTCGCAGCTGTCGCCCCAGGCCACATTGGCACGCAAGCCGATTGGATACTTGTGCCTATATCTGGTCTCTGCGGTTCCTTCACTTGCCTCTCGTACTCACCTTGGCTGCCAATTTACTTCCTCGCACCACCGCTGCAGACACTACCCAGTCTCATTGCCACCATCTTTCACATCTACATGACTGGCCGCAGCGGCACCCGCGAGATTGTCACGGCCTGGATCCACCGCTGGTGCCAAGGCCCCCACACCGAGGACAACAACATCCACTATCCACCGACACCGGAGCAGAGCCGGGTCATGAGGTTTACCTTTGACAGCATCTCTCAGCACTTTCCTGGTCTCGCGGTTGGGTTCCCGGAGCTGTCCAAGGCTCTCAGTCTCCGAGCATAGTCTGTACGCTGTGGATTGATGGGCTGGGGCGTGTGTTTCTAGTATCCAAAGCAAGCTCGCCAGAGAAACAGAGCTGCGTGCCCCCGGCTCACTTTTGAGCATTACAACCATCGGCGAGAGATGCCAATTCCCGCCTCGCCGTGGTGGTCATGGACGAACTGGTTGTGGGTGGGAAGCGAACAGCCCTGGCCGACACATACACACACACTGGCGGATCGAGCCGGATCGAGCCGCCCGTGCCTTGGCTCAACCCTGGCCCAAGTCCGTGCTGCTCTGCCTCTTCGCATCGTCCGGTATCAAACTTCCGCCATGACGTTTTCAAAGAGGCTGCAGCAGATCTTCGACTCCCAGCAGAAGGAAAAGCCGCAGGCCTATCTGGCGCTCCTCAACGAACTCCTCGCCGGCGAGCGGGACCCGGAAACCCTCCAGTATCGAGACCCGGCCGTCTACGCATCCCTGCGCGAGTTCTTGGTCCACGCCGTCCAGGAGTCCTTCGGCCTCGCCGTGTCTCGCCAGATCATCCATGACTTTATCAATGCGTTCTTTTCCAGCACCAAGGACATCAAGGACCTGCGCCCTGTCGCAGAGATCTGGGTCTATGCCCTCGAGAAGATCGAGTCAAGGGCCCTGGCGTTCGAGGAGCAGGTGGGGTCTGTTTGCTCGCGGGAGGGAGGGAGGGGGTGGAGGAGCAGAACCAGAGTAAGCTCACCACCGGGGCGACGGCTGCGCTGCTGCACTATTGAAAGACAGATGGACAAGCAAACCAGCCGACCGGAGGGACGTGTGAGCCGGCTGATACCACCAATTCGAACGACTCGAACGGCTTGACCGACTTGACCGACTCTGCGGACTCGCACGGCCTGTTTGCAGTCATCGTTCATATCCATCGCCCGACTGACCCCACATGTCCCCTCTGCTGCATCTGTCTGTGATGGACTATGGCTCTCTGCAGATCTCCAGCATCCGCGAGAAACTGGCCGACATCTATGAGGAAGAGGAGAACTGGAGCGAGGCTGCTCGGGTCCTCCAAGGCATTCCCCTGGACTCGGGCCATCGCACCATCCCCAATGAGTACAAGCTCAAGATCTACATCCACATTGTGCAGCTCATGATCGAGGACGAAGACGGCGTCGGGGCCGACATGTATCTCAATCGAGCCTCGCACCTGATCCATGACTGCAAAGACCGCTCGGTCGAGCTGCGATACAAGGCCGCCCAGGCCCGAGTCTTGGACTACAAGCGCTCGTTCCTCCAGGCAGCCGCAAAGCATCTTGAGCTGTCGTACATCTCCGAGCTCATGTCGGACGATGACCGCATCCAGTGCCTGATCCAGGCCGTGACATGTGCGGTCCTGGGTCCGGCTGGTCCGCAGCGAAGCCGTTTGCTGGCCACCCTCTACAAGGACGAGCGCATCCGGGAGAGCCCTGAGTTCAAGGCCAACGGGCTCCAGCACATCCTCGAGAAAATGTACCTCGACCGGGTTCTCTCGCCGGCGGAGGTCCAGGAGTTTGCAAAGTCCCTGAAGGAGCACCAGCTCGCCAAGCTGAGTGACGGCACCACCGTCCTCGACCGAGCCGTTATCGAGCACAACATCCTGGCCGCCTCCAAGCTCTACAACAATATTTCCTTTGGCGAGCTGGGGGCGCTGCTCTCGACCTCCCCCGAGCAGGCCGAGCAGGTCGCCAGCCGCATGATCAGCGAGGGTCGGTTGTTGGGAACCATCGACCAGATCGACCATCTCATCCACTTCAGCACCGGCAGCAGCCTGAACAAGTGGGACCAGCAGGTCGCTAACCTCTGCTATGAAGTCGACCGGATCGTCGAGGCCATCCAGGCCAGGTGAGAGCATGGTCGTGGCGAGGCATTCTGGAGGGGCTGCCGTGCATGCAGGGACCTGTGGGATACTTGCTGGGACCTGTGGGATACTTGCTGGGACCTGTGGGATACTTGCTGGGACCTGTGGGATACTTGCTGGGACCTGTGGGATACTTGCCAATGTGTTTGCTGATGCTTGTTGGGTGGTCTGCATATGCTGGCCCTCATCGATCCACAGAAATTCGACATGGATGACCAACTACACCCTCCGCAACCCTGCCTGAGCCCATGACGCACGGCCATTCACTTTGGACAGTCTCGAGTCGCCATCATGCGGCAAGGGACCAATCGCCCCCCTCTTTTCAAGTGGACTAACTTGGTGTTTGCCACTATCTCTCAAGGGACGTTGCCATTGCTGAATACAATAAAGTCACATCCTGCCTATTTTTGCTACCCCCAAGCAGGCGCTCACAAAACAGCGCTCAGGATGGCAACATTCACCGTGTATATTGCTGGATGGGTGTGGTAAGGGATGATTTAGCTGGTCCTCTTGTTCATACACCGGATGCAGAACAAGCGAGATAGGAATCGTGACGGAGCCCGCAGCCTTTGGCTGGCCCCGGTTCTCTAGCGAACGACGATGCTGCTAATAGAGCGTGCACATGTTGGTGGTGGCGGCCGACGACGAGGCGGACGGAGGCTTGCATTGGAAGGTTGTGTAAAACTCGGGCAGATTGGCGACGGCACCGGCGACGCGGAGCTGGCTCGGGGGGTGAGGGTCCTTGTCCGAGATCTGTCGCAATTGCAGTCGAAAGCCCGGCCGGTTAGTCTGACTTCTGCGCAAAAGAAACCCTCGAGCACGGTCAACGAAAGCAGCAGAAGGCAAGGACAGCCACTTACTCGGTGGAGCACCAGCTCGTCGGCAAGAGGGGAGCACCACGTCTGTCCAAAGGAGATGAAAAAGACCTGCGAGGCCGTGAGGCCGGCAAAGCCATCCATAGGGAGGTCCAGCTGGGACTGGCCGATCTTGCCCGAAAAGGCCCGCAGCGCTGCGTTCAGGCCAACATTGTCGGCGATGGTCTCGGTCAAGGTCACCTCGCCGTCAATGCTGACGACCCTGCCGTCGTTGAGGGTCAGAGTCATGTTGCCGTACTGGTCGGCAAAGCACTTTGCGCGGCTGACAAAGTTCCTCCGCGACTCCTCCGACCACCAGCTGTGCAGACGGCCCCGGTAGTCGATCGTGTATCCAGTTGAATCAAAGGCATGTCCAACCTCGTGGCCAATGATGGTGCCCAGCGAGCCATAGTTCATCGCGTCTGGGTTGTTGCGGCTGAAGAGTGGGCGCTGCAGGATACCGGCATTGATCTGCATCGTCAGAGTGGTCTGCTCGTAGAAGGCATTGACTTCCCACGGATATCCCATCAGCGTGCCGATGCGAGTTTCGTTGGCGAGATGAGCGCGCGAGAGGGCAAGGCCCTTGAACGAGCTCGCTGTGATCGCGTTTTCAAGATAGGTCGTAGGCGAAAACTCGAGGCTGGCGTGGAAGTCGACGACGACCTGCGAGTTGCTGAGCCAGTCGGGATAGCCGACAATCTCGGTGAGAGAGCGCAGCTTCTGCTCGGCGGCGTCCTTGGACGACTGGTCCAGCCACTGCGACACGGCGATCATGTCCTTGAAGGACCCAAGGATATTTGAAGTGAGACTTTCGGCCGGGGCGAGTTGGGTGTCTATGAGAAGGCCAGCAAAGATAGCAATGAAGGATCAGCGGGTGGTTGCAGAGCAGCAGCGATTGGAAACGGCCAGCGCGAACAATTGCCCAGCATGATGGGCATGGGCATCGAGGGCACCAATCAACGTGAGGAATCCACCAAAGCGGCCAATGCAGCCGGGGCGCTCACCATTGAATGCGTTCTTGACATACAGATAGCCGGTCAGATAGTTCAGGTTGATACCCATTTCTCGGACGCAGTCCGCCTGGTACACCGAGACGCGGTCGTAAGGCGTGGCATCCAGTCGGCGGACTTGGACAATGCCCTGGAGAATCTTGCCGCTCAAGTCGTAGTAAGGAGTGCTCAGCTTGCCAAAGTGAGCACAGGCCAGGCGCCACAGGAAAAAGTAGCCCAAGTGCTGGCGATCAAACTTGGAGATGCTCTTGAACACCGAGATCCAGGTATCGTGGTCGCCGGAGAGATAGACACTCTTGACCTTTTGCATGTCCAGGGCCTCGAGGTAGTCCTTCCAGTCGAGGTTGGTGAGGGAGCTGAGGTCATCGACGTTGGTGTAGGTGCTGATGTCCTCGTATATCATTGCCGAGTCCCGCTTGCTGTTGGGCGAGAGGATCGGGCGGGCAGGATTAGCTTTTCGACGGCCACAAGAGGCTGGACGTGCTGAGACTGCCGAGCGCTTCGTTGCCAGTGCAGCCGCTCCCGAGCCAAAACCAAGCGTGCTCAGCCACCAGTGATCGCTCGCTCCGAGGCCAAGATACTCACGACGATATCGACTTGACCAGTCCGATGCCGGCAATTTCCAGATCGACGATCCACTGGGCCACCTGATCCAGCTCCGAGTCTCCCAGCTCGATGAGATTCTCGGTCACATAGACCGAAAGAACCTGCTTGACGAGTGAGGGATCGACCTGGTACATCGGGGCCGGATCAAAGATCAGCCGCATGCCCTTGTCGGACGACAGCGCAACTTGGTCGTAGACCGTCTCAAACAGCGGCGGCGTGGCCATCTCTTGTAGCTTTCCAAAGATCCACGGGACGCTGTGGTTACTCGAGGGGGCGCAATAGTCCACGATCTTCTGGGCGTAGGGCCTGAGCGGCGAAAACCCACGAGAGCTGATGAGCTTGACGTCGGTGCAGGCTTGGTAATAGCTAACGGCTTTCTTCAGCAGGGTGCTATCGACGCTAGACTGGGAGGACAGATCAATCTTTTGCTCAAAGATATTCTGGACCAGCTTGGCGTTGGACCGACCCATGAGCGCAAGGACACTGGCCGGGTTCTGGTTGGCGTATTTGGCATCATAGCCGCCGCATGTGTAGGCATAAAAGTCATGGCATGGATCGACCGAGCGGTTCATCCACGAAAGCAGACGCTCGTGCCCGACCAGATGCGGGAAGTCGGGGGCGACAGTGGGCTGCGACTCCTCAGTTCGGATCTGGAGATGGACGGGTGCTGGTTGGGGAGACACAGTGGTGTCAGCGACTGATATCCGCGGTGTCTCTCAAGAGTACCAGGGATCCATACGACCGCAAGCAGCAAAGAGCGAGCCCAACAGAGCGCCGGTGCCCGCAGAGGAATCAAAGGCGTCCTACCACTGTCGGACGACGCCGAGGAGAGGGTGGCAAGAGATGCCAAGGCTCCTGCCCACAGAAGCGACAGAACAACCATGTTGCTGGAGGATGCAGACGGTTCAGACCAGAGATCGACGGAGACAGAGTCGATGGCAGAAGGAGCCGAGGGCAGGAAGATGGATGCAAGAGCAGACGGAGTCGAGGGCAGATGGAGTTGAGGGCGATGGAGTTGAGGGCAATGGATGCAAGAGCAGGACGAAGGCCGAGCCGGAGGGCTGTATGGAGAGCGCGGCTTGGACGGAGGCGGTGTCAGCACCGCCACGGCCAGCGGGAGAGCACCGAGAGCACATCGAGAGCGCACCGAGAGCAGCCTCGCTCCCCGTTCCCACGGATGAAGCAACCCATCGGCGCAATGCATCCCATCGATGCGCTACAACCCTGCAGCCCAATGCATCCGTGTATTGTTCCTGCGGGCTCAGAGCAGCTCCTCGGTCAAGACGCTGTGCGGTGGCAGGTCGCTGGCTACGCTGCCGCTCCCCGGCGTGGACGTTGTCCTTCTGGCTCCGCTGTGAGTGAGCGAGCCTTGCACTCGCTCGCTGTGCACCTTGGAGATGGACTGGGGAACAATCTTGGCGGCCTTTGGGTTGCGCACCCACTCGCGAGCTCGGAACCACCACCTCGAGAGTCGGGCTCTCCAGTCCACGCCGGCCATGGGCTCATTGGCCGCAAACATCGAGATGGTTTGGACCTGCATGTCCCGCTGCGAAGGAACGACCATATCGAGATCAACCAGACTCGGTAGGTCTGCTATGCTTGCAATTCGCGGTAGCCCCGCAAAGTCGTCCTCGGTCTGCTGCCCCTGCTCGAGCACCACCGGCTTGGGGTCCGAGCACCGGCAAGTCGAAAGGAGCGACCGCAGCAACGCCAGCTCCGACTCGAGCTCCGATATCCTGGATCCGCAGCCGTGTAGACAGGATCAGCAAAGCCTGTACAGTCGAGCCGACGTGGTGCGGTGCATTCCTCAGGCGTGGGTGCATGCTGTGCCTTACCTCAGCGATGTCTTTTCCACATTGATGCGCGCGCGGTTGGTCACTTTCTTGACCCGCTCCGCGAACCGAAGTGTCGATATTGTTTCTTCATAGCACGAGCGTGCCGGGTTGACGCAGGTGATCATGAGCGTCAGCGAATTGCCGCCGATGCTGTCGCTCAAGAGATGCGTGAGCTTCGAGTCTCGGTACGGAATGTGCTTTTGCGACGCCGTCAACGCATGGATGACGTTGGTGAGCGCCAGGAGCGACTGGTTGATGTTGATGCCCTCACGCAATCGCAATCCGGTTGCCTGGGTGCCGTCGCATCTCTCCGAGCCGGCCAAATCGATGAGGTGGATCTTGGATACCTTCTGGGGGCCAACGGCGACAGCCGCCGACGCCGTCACCGGGGCTGGACACTCGGCTGCTGGCGCAATCTCGTCAATCTCGTCCAGACCGTCTGGCGGAGCGGCTTTGGAACATGGCCACTGATGAATCATCAGCGTCAGTATGCAATGGGACCTTGAGCTGGTGTCATTCATGTTGGTTTCCGCAATGGTTCTGTTTCGAGCCCCGGTTGAGATAACCTTCAAGTAGTCCTCGTACCGAGTGATGTATTTCTCCGTGAGACCCTGCACATACACGTCTCGTCCTGTGAGGGACTCGGGGTCGAGACGGATTCGCAGATCACCTGGAGAAGCAGCAGCCAGCGCGACGATGGTGAGAAAGGTGCATCGAATCACAGGATATTTGGCGCATTCGCTCATCCGTGCGTTGCCCTGGTCGATGAATTCACTTGCTGCCGCTTGCCGAGCGACCCATGGGTACTTGCGCCTGCCTCGGTGCTTGGACCGCTGCGCCCTCTCAAAGACCCACCTTGGCTATTCTTCCCCATGAGAAGGTCAGTCAGGTTCTCCTGGTAAATCTCCATGTAGCTGGCCTTCACCTTGAACTCGACCTGCGGCGATGCCTCGATGAACGAAAAGACATGTCGCCCCGCCCGCAGCATGATGCCTTCGTCGCCAGCGTGTCCGCTCATGGTGAAAGTCTTGCCAGAGCCCGTCTGTCCATAGACAAAAATGCACCCGTTGTAGCCCTCGAGGCATTTGTCGATGATGCCGCGTACAGACGACTCGTAGATCTCGGACTGCCGGGAGGTGTCGGTATACAGCTGATCGACCGAGTAGGGCCGAGGGGGCTTTCGGGAACTGGGATCAGAGACTGACAACGTGTTTTTGGACAGGGCCGTGATGGTCGACGAACACGCCGCCAGAGAGGACGTTCCCGAGATGATTGACGCCGACGACGACAGGATCCTGGACTGCGACGGTGGCCGGATGCGCACAGCAACTTGGATGCGCGAGCTGATGGCATCCGGCTCGGCGGTTCCTCGGATTCCACGGCTGGGCAGCGTATTTCGGCCCTTTCGCTGCTTCTCGGATGCACTGGCGTGCCCCGACGCTCCCAGAGTCGATAGCGAAATGAGCGAGGGGGCGTGGGACCCAGAGATGCTGGTGGACGATGGCGATTGCATGCGGCGACTCAGACCCAATGCGAGTGCGGGCGTATTGTTGGGGGCGGGTGTGGTTGGGGCGATGGAAAGGGACTCTGGGTCGATGACCCTGAGGATGGTGAGCGATACGACCAAGCAGTTGCTTTGGCAGAGACGAAGGTTGGCAGGCCCAGGAAACGATCGATGGCAGCCAGGATGCGAGTGAGGATGCGAGCGATGAGACAGGCTTTGAAAAACGAATCCAGAGTGGGCCAAGCTGCCTGTCGTTCGGTGGTCTCCTTCGCGGCCACTGATCTATTGCGAACGGCAGGTCGCCGATGGGCTGGGACATTGGAGATTGGACTGCTGGGCACCGTGCGGGCCAATGTTGGTGCAGGTTGGCGCTGAGTATGGTTGGCCGATCGCTGAGAACGATATCGACTCGCGCGTTGCGACTAAGAGGCTGGTTATACTGTCATGATGGGCATGAGCTGCGATGGCCACGCTTTGAAGCGCCTGCACATATTCATGATATTCAAGTAAATCGCTCACGTATGTGGCCATGTTGCGAACATTACAGGGCGTGCAGAGCGAAACGGGAGAGTGGTGTCCTGCACATCAACTGTTGTTGGACTGAGGAGCACAGTATTGAGATACAATGTGCATTCGGCCCGTTGGACCGAGTGATGTGCCGATGTCAAGATAGGTCGAGCGAATTGTCGGATGTGTTCGGGCTCACGGGCATCTGGCGATGGTGCTGTTCAACGCATCGGGCAGATACTTGACTCCGAGGGTTCGATGGGTATACCCTCCCTTGCTTCTGCGAGCCATCATATGAGGTATTCCCAAAAGCAGCCACAGCACCAGTCCCTTGGACACTGAGTCTTGCATATCACGCATCCCGAATCATTCCACCATGATCAAACAAACCATGATCAAACAAACCATGATCAAACAAACCAGGACGAGACGTGCTCTCGCCGACCGAGGAGGCCCCGAGAGCGTGCTGTCCGCTCTCTTGGTCCCTTTCCTTCATTGCACATCAGCTCCTTGGCCATGCATCAGCCCCGTCCACGATCGCTCGGCCGCCGCTTTCCTGTCCCGCAATATGGTCCTGGACCGCACTGCCCTGGAGCTCCTCGACCAGCTCGTCGAGCACCTGACGGGTCATCCGCCGACAACCCCCGAGTTCCAAGCTGCGCGGCTGAAGCACACCCGGACCCTCAAAATGCACTCGTTCCTCTCAACCAATCCCAACCAGATCCAGAGGCAGCTCAATGGGCATGTTGACGGCCTGGGGATGCCGATTAATTCATGATATGCTGAGATGAGCGATCGCCAGCCGTTGTTGTCGTCCGAACCAGGCAACCTGACCATGGACGTATCTACTCATCTTCATCCAGCCTGCGCGATAAGCTCAAGATCCGGAACCGAGGAGATCGGACCGAGCTTTTGGGACAACTCACCAATCGCCTCGTTCATCCTGAAGTGAGTAGATGCAACCAAATCCAACAAAATACAGCGCCTATATACCCTCATTGAGCCCAGCATGCTGATCCGCTCGGCTGTCCATGCAGAAATACGACATGCTGCGGCTGATCCTTGAGCTCTCCCGGAGCCCTGTCGACCACCAGTACGAACCCAGCCCCCTCAAGGAAGACGAGGCGCAGTCCCAACTTTTGACCTGGAAGCACATCATCGGGGAGGAGCCTCTCGTTGGGGCTCACTGGAACACTGTCCCGGAAGCCCATGATACTCTGGACAGCGACGATGACGATTTCGCAGGATGGGAGTCTGACAGCGCAGGAGATTCGTACATTCCCGAATACCATGACCCACCGGAGGTACAGTGTGGCGCTATGGAACGCTGGAGACGGATTCATCTTCCAGTACACGGTGTACTCTTGATACCAAATTGTTCTCGAGAAGCACCGTCGTCCTTCCGTCCGATCTTAATCAACCGTCTCCCACAGCAACTCGAGGCTGAGCCGCAGAACAACGAGTCCTCGGCGCTGGTACTGGATCTTGTCGCCCGGCAGTACTGGCAAACTTACAAGACGATCAAAGGCGAGTCGCGATGCTGGATGTTGTTGGATGTTGTTGGATGTTGTTGGATGTTGTTGGATGTTCTGGATGCTGCGATTGCCGCTGATGCTTGCAGTGAGGCGACTCTCGAGCTGAACGCAGTCTCGTCCTGGCACACGGTTGCGCAGAGGTCGAAAAGGAATTCTCCATCAAGGACGCTACGTCGCTGAGTATGATTCGGTGTCCGCAATCTGGTGGGATGAACGAGTTCTGCCAGATATGACCATGAACAAGTGCGGTCGACTCAGCTGCATTATACTGGTTGATGCAGATCCGTCGCTCTACCGTCACGAAGCGAGTCATCCCAGGACATCGGGCCTCGCAGCGGGCTCTGGCTGCTACGTCGCTGAACTCGATGTCATTCGGGAGACCCTGTTGATGTTGGCCGGGCTACCTACCCATGCGTTCATCAAGGACGGTAATGGATCCTACCGGGTGAGTGCCCTCGCCCTGTCGCAGATCCAGTTGTGCGGCCTGTCGCTCAAGCATAACGACCGTCAAAGACTAACAGCTATCGCTCCTTGCAGTTCTCCAGGAAAATGTCGTTAACGCACCTGACTGACTCGGCACTCGAGTCCTTGCTGGCACCGTTCGCCCAGCTGGGTAGCGATATGGATCGGCTGAGGCTGTTCAACGAGACGTACGTACGATCGATCAGAGCCTCTACTGCGATCGCGCCAGCTACCAACGGCTTGCTATGCTAAGAACTGCCCCATCGACGATACAGCATCTTTCAAGAGGCTGGTTCTGGCCTTTCGCGGACTGCACAGGCATTTGCGTCCGCTTTGTCCAATTACAGTGCCGAGTTCGGCGAAACGTTGGCAATGCTGGAAAGAAAGTACCGATACACGCTCAAGAGGACCCACCGTATGTTTCGCCTCTCTGCTTGGTCGTCGGAATGGTGATGGTGATGGTGATGGTGATGGTGATGGTGATGGTGATGGTGATGGTGATGGTGATGGTGATGGTGATGGTGATGGTGATGATCAGGACACTCTTGACCAACTGTTTTATCCTCAGGTGATGAGCCACCGGAAGTCGCCACATTGTTGGATCTTACTTCCGAGCTCATGCCTTCGATTCGAAGACTCGGCAAGCTCACTCACATCACCAACGAAGTCCAACGCCGATGCCTGTCAGGTAATGATAGGAACAGGGAGCCGCAAATGCCTCGACATCTTGCTGGATTTCATGGATTGGTATGCAGCCGCTGACATGCGTTCTGGCCGCTTGGGCGCCATTCACACCCACAGACGAGGGATACGATCGTTCAGTTTCCGTGACAATTCTCTTGGACATACTATATCCTTTATACCATGCCCCACATCTTTGTTTGCTTTCCGAGTTGTGTCATCTATCCTGCTCTTGGATTTGTACCACTCCATAACTCTGCTGGTCCATTGGCGCTCTCACGCATGACGGCATGGTGAACAGCCAGAGCTCGAACTCGCCCGACGAATTCGAACTCTACACCGACCTGTTTCTGAGATCAACAGGACCGCTGCTGGATTTGATTGAAGCATGGATCTACGAAGGATCCATCCATGACTTGTCGAACGAGTTCTTCATACACGAGTAAGTGCGGCGCGTCTTCCCGCCGAATCTGCTGTTAAGCCCCAGATATTTGCTTCACAGTATCGGGCATCCCTGTTTGGCATCGCTGGCTCATCTCCGATGCTGAATTTCCAGAGATACAACGGTCGCTCAGCACTCGTATCGGTTCTGGGACGGGCGGTATCGGCTCAAGGAAACGCCTCTGCCAAAGTTCTTAAAGCCGCTGAGAGAGCATATCTTTTCGGCTGGCAAGGCGCTGAATGTGATCCGTGCAACACATGGCGCTGAAGTAAGGCGAGCCCCGGATAGATCCTTGGAGGGTGGATTCGCCAACATCGTTATCAACGCTGCTATGCTCTTCAGCGACTGCGCGGAATGAACAGTGATTGATCAGCTGTGTCGTTTCGCATCTCGCAGATCCCTCCGAGCAATCGGCCAACCCAAGGATCGCTTCACGGAAGGACAGTAGCGAGAATCAGTGCGTCGGTTGGTTGTGAAGATCCCTCGCCACAGAACCTCCCTGACTATCCGCTCAGTCACCCGAATGCACCGACTGTTGCCCGACTCCATGGTTTCGTAGCTTGCATTCCCAAGAGACGCTCTCCGTACATCATTTCCAGGACGATGTTCGGTAATATGTCATTGATACCCTTGGCACACATTTGGAGGGCATTGCTTTGGTCGGCTGCTACCAAGCAGAGCAGATGCAATGTGGAGTGCGGCTCGATTCTCACGCCATTTGCCCTGAATTGCATCTCTGTGGACCGCTGTCTTGGATCGACAATCCATGCAACGACACAACGGCACAACGACACAACGACAACTCCGCCATTCCGCCCGCTAGCCTGCCTCTGGGAGCCGTTCGATGATACCTTGGTCTCGGCGATGCGTGCTGAGATTATGCCGCAGTACGAGCTGGCCTCGCATCTGTCAACTCAGCTTTTGTTTCAGAGCGCCAAGCTCAGACAGCATCTGGAATGCCTCCAGTCCGTCTATTTGTTCATGGCCGGACATGTTATGCAATCGTTTTGCCATGCCGTTTACCAGAAGGTGGGAGTTCGATGCAACCTCGGCAGTGATCTGATTTCTTCCCTTGAACCGTGCGTCCTGACCACAGTCCACAATGACGGCGCCTTGCGAACTTGCTTGCCTCAGTTGTTGCGTTGCTGGATTGATGCTGTCTTACGAACTCATACTCTCCTTTCCGCCATTCGATTGACTGCTTGCAGATTCTCACAAGGGATTTGTGGTTCGAGCCTCACATTATCGGTAGTCTGTTCCACGAGCTAGTGACATGCTCCGACATTGTAGTGGACTCTTCCATTATGGGAGCGTCTATCTGCAATCCAGACCTATGTAAAACCAGCCCCGATGCTCTGCAGCATCTGGCCGCGATAAGCCTTCACTATGAAGTAAGCCAATTGCAACGACATTGTCTTGGAACGGCCGCCGACGGCTCCCCTCCATGTGCGAAACTGACGGTGCGGTATATTCTCAACCGCAGGCGCCTTGGCCCATCAACAACATCATCACACCCGAGATCCTGGACAAGTACAACCTCATCACGGGTCTCCTATTCCAGGTCAAACGCACACAGTTTAGCCTACTCACATCCGAGGAGCTCTCGCGAGGTCGGGGAAGTCCGTGGACGACAGACATCCAGCGCAAGCGCGTGGCTCTCCGCAGTCAGCTGCACCACTTTATCAACACCTTCCACAACTACATCATGACCACGGTGTGTTCTCGGTGCTGCAGCAATGCTGGGCACTTTACGGACGCTGTCGAGATAGCCGCGATATTGCGTGGTGACCAATGCAGTGCAAGCTGGACGGAGAGCAGAGGCGGTATAGCGTAGCAGAATGGACGAATCGCCTCGGATCGATCGGTTGTTGCTATTGGCGCTGATGCGGCTTTGGCCCGCAGGTAATCAACACCGAGAGCACAAAGTTCCTGGCCAGCATCTCCACATTCTGCGACATTCAGCAGATCAAAACCGCGCACGACGAGTTTGTAACCACCGTTAGAGATCGGTGTCTGCTCAACCCCAAGGTACGGTGCTGGACTGTGACGGTGGGGCCAGATCCGGTGTCTTGGCTGATAAACTTGCTGCCACATCCCACCACTAGACTCTCGTCATCCTGAACCAGCTCAAGGAAACCATGGAGCTCTGCATCGCGTATACGTTATTATGCCACTATTATGACAACCCCTTGGCACGTCCGTCTCCACGCGAGTCCACAGAAGCCGAGGACCGCGAGATCGACGGACCCGACCGGAATCCCGGGAATCCCTGGAGCACTGTCAAAATTGCGCCGGCGACGCTGGAGAGGCTGAGGGTGCAGCGCAAAGGTCCTCCGGGCACCTTCAGGGCTGGCGGCGAAATCACACCTTCGACTGCACCTGTTACGCAGCCACGGCGGGCAATTCCAAAGTCGACAGGGCGCGGGACAGCCGGGGCAGCAATCGCCATGGCACAGCAGAGCCACCGCCAAAACCTCGAACGGCTCGAAGAGAGCGTCGTCCGCGAGATCGAAATGCGACAGCTGGAGTTCAGCCAGACCCTTGACAACCTCCACGAGGAGTTCCGCGCATCGATGCGGTTCCTGATCGACGCTGTCGGCAACCTGGCCAGCCACGGGCTCTCGCATCGTAAGTCGGACAAGTGCAAGTGTCGGGCTGCACACAACGGACGCATGGCTGTGGGCTGCACACAACGGACGCATGGCTGTGGGCTGTGGTCCTGAGTCTTGCCGCAGTACTAACTCTATTATTGCACCTTTCCAGTTGAGATGCTTGGCACGGCATTGAAAGGTGTGTGACAACGGTGATGTTCACAGGGGCTCTCGAGCAAGCGCAGCTTGGATATGAGAGTCGAGATGGCGGCGGCATCATGAATGCATCTGCTTTGACCATGGACTGCGGACAGCAGGTCGCTCGCAGCGCAGAGCAGCGATTCGTTGGGCAGAGAAAGTGTACCAGGCGATTGCTGTGGACGAATCTGATGTATTCAGGAGCCAGACCAGGCCTGGTCGATGGACTCTGATGCAGCGTCGCATTTGGGCGTGTGGACGCTGTGGCTACGATACACAGTTTCGGTACAATCCCGCTGAATAAAGCACGTTGGTCACGATTACGGCTGACAGAGGGAAAAGTGGGGTCCTGGTTGGACTTGAATACACAGCCAACATATAGATAGCATCGGCGAGAGAGGGAGAGGGAAAGAGGGGGCGAAGCGATAGAGAATAGTGGCCAGCGCAGGCGCGTACACACATAGAATGAAGAACAGCGAATATCACATCATAGAGCCTGCCAGCAGAGACGGAGTGTCGAAAAGATATGGTGGACATACAAAATGGCCAACAGGAGGTGCGGAGGCAGGGCCGCGCAAGAAGAAGATTACGAGTTTGAGGACGAGGGCGTGGGCGAATCGTCTTCTTCGACAATCTTGGACACCAGAGCCAGGCGGCTGATGAGATCGCCGGTGGCGGGATGCTGGTGATCGATGCCGTCGTTGAGGGACGAGATCGAGGGCCGACGAGATGGGCCGCCATAGAGCGTCGAGGTGTCGTCTTGGATGACGACGATTTCGTCGACGTCGTAGTCGACGCCCTTTTGCTTGAGGTCCTCTTCCTCGTGCATACCGGCCTTTCCACCCTTGCCCTTGCCATCGAGCACGGGGTCGTCCATATCGTAGTCGCGCAGCGTCTGGGTATCTGGGTCGGGGACGAGATCGGTGAGGTGGACCATGTTGTCGGGCACGGTGGCGACATCGGTGCGGGGTCCGCCCCACGAGCGCAAGTTCCAGGTCTTGAGTGAGTAGATGTTGATGAAGAGGTTGACCCACGGATTCAACAACAGCATGAGCGGGTACATCAGCGCGACCTTGGAGCGCTTGAGAATGATGGCAAAGATCGAGACGAGGATCCAGAAGAACAGCAGCGGCACCCAGATCATGTACATGACCGTCGGGTCAAACTTGGATCCGGCCGCCATCTGGAAGAGAATGATGAAGAAGAAGAAGCCTGTCGAGCGGCACGAAAAGTTGGCGGTCACGTAGGTGAGCAGGAGCGGCGCACGGGCCCACAGCTTGGCACTCGACAGGAAGTAGACTTCGTTGGCAAAGGCACCGAGCAGCCAGCGGCGGCGCTGCTTGAGGAACTGCTTCCAGGTGGCAGGGGCCTCGGTCTTGGCACGGGCTGTGGGGCAGAATCCGATCGCGCTGCGCTGCTCCTGCTCCATCAGAAGATGGGTCAGGTAGCGGTCTTCGCCGAGGTAGTAGCGGTGGTAGTTGAAGATATTCTTGGTGTCGAGCTCGGAGAAGTATGTGTTTGCAGCGACACCAAGCTGCTTGAGGCGGATCATGGTCTGGATGGCGGAAAGGCAGCAACGACGAGACGAGAGCGGTGAGTTTGGTTGCACAAGCAATGTGCCGATGGATGGTGCAGCAGGCAATGTGCCGATGGATGGTGCAGCAGGCAAGGCATTCGTTCGCTTACCAGAGCGCCGGGAAGGCAGGTGACGCCACCCAGGCCAGACTCGAGGGCTCGGTTGAAGACCTGACCGATAACGTACTCAACGTCCTGGAACCACCACCAGAACTTGGGTTTCTTGGCGAGAACCGAGATGAAGCCGGTCATGCCGACGAGCTTGGGGTTCTTGTCGAGGGCGGTGGCAAACTCGACCATGGCGTCCTCGTACAGCACAATGTCCGAGTCGATAAAGAGAACCAGGGTGTCGTCTTCACTGAAATACGGATCGTGGTAGATTTGGTTGAAGGTCAGGGCCTGGACGTGGCGCTTGCCGCCGTGTGGGAAGCGGTTGACAATAAAGTAGACGCCGCGGTAGATGAGGCGGACCTGGGCACCATAGCCGCCCTCGGGTCGCTCACTGCCGTGGGTCAGAACCTTCATGAGAGCCAGGAAGAGCTCCGACTCCTCGGAGTTGTCGAAGCTCAAGAAGACGGTAACTTGGGCACAGGGATATTCACAAGCGACGGTCGACTTGACGGCAGCAATGAGGGCATCGGGTTCCTCGTTGTAGATGGGCATGACGACGACCATCTTGGGAACTTGCTTGAGCTGGTCGACCTTTTGGCGGGCGTTCTCGAGGACGCTGGGGTCGCTGTGCTTGGCGTTGGCCCAGCTGCGGTACTTGACGGCATAGATGATGCCGAAGGTGACTGGGGCGATCAGCAGGGTGACGTACATGAACACCAAGCCGACAAAGACCCACTGGTTGACCCACATGGGGAACTTTGGCAGACCAGCGACGGGGATGAGGACATAGAGGAACGGGAAGTAGCAGAAGCGCAGGACCAGGAACAAGATCGAGGACAAGAAAGGCATGGTCTGTAGGGGACAGGGCGGCAGGGTATTCATGGTCAGCAGACGCGAAGTGTCATGTGCTTGACAGGGGAGGCACCGATCACGAGAGCGACAGCAGCTCGGTACTTGTCGATGCCTCTCTGATGGCCAACAGCGGACCCGGACGAATATGGCCGGCATCATTCGGTTTGCTCGAGCAGCAGACGACGCACCTTGTTCAAGAACCCTTTGGAGGCCAAACTGGCCAGGATCATGCCGTACAGGAAGCTCCCCGTGAAGAGGAGAAAGTCTGTGAAGGCTATGAGGGTCAGCACACCCTGGACGTATCGGACCCAGATGGGCAGGTCCCAGATGCCCGAGTTGATGGTGTCGCTGAAGCTGTTGATGGTCGACGAGACATTCTGGCCCTGGGCCGAGGCCAGATGCGCGCAACATGCCAGCAACAGGAGGAGTGCGGCGAGAGACCGAGTTGCCATCGCGCGCAACGAGGAGAGTGGAGGAGTTGGCGAGAAAGTGAGCCGAAAAGCTCCGAACAGGAGCAAAACTTGGGTTAGCAGGAAGCTCTGAGCTCGAGGGGGGGAGGCTGGAGGCAGGCCGCGAGCGGTGTCAAATAGTGGTCGCATCTGGACAGGCAGCGGTAATCTCCTCGGCCGCATGAGGCGTCGGGCTCGAAGGACGGTGTTGCATCGGCGGGGTGTCCCCCCCAATTCGTGCGAACCGTGCGGGGGCCAATGGCAGCTGGGCGATAGCCGAGATAGCTCGTTTGTGGCGCCTGTGCAAGTTGGCTTGGTGCGACGCTGCTGGACCAGCACCGCTGTGGCGGGCAATGTGCAGCCGATGCAGAGATGCATGCTGAGGACATGGATGGCAACATCCGCCGGCATTGGTGCAGAGCCAGTGTTGATATCGGCGCGGATCCTGTGTCGATCCCGGCGCAGGCTCGGCATGGCTGTGTCTTGGTGGCAACGGCACCACGGCATGGCCAGCAGAGACCGCAGAGCACACGACCCCAGCGCAGACCGATCCTCCATGGGCCCCCTGCTTGGGCAGCAAGGCGCATCCTGCGAACCACTCGGCAGGCCGCCTGTGCAATGCGAATTTGGGTGCACCAGCCAGGCCGCGGGCGTCACCATGAGCAATCGGCTCAAATTTTTCATGGCGGGGATCGCCGTGAATACGGCGCGAGTAACACTGCAGCCACTACTGTCGCTGTCGGTACTGCTGCCGATGTTGCTGCCGATGTTGCTGCCGATGTCGATGTTGCTGTCGATGTTGCTGTTGCTGCCGATGCCACCGGTCCGGTCGATGCCAGCGCCTCATCCCTTCGCCACCCAATGCCCGAAATACCACCACACACCAAGCCATCTGATCGTGCATCGAGGCGGGTTTCGGGCTGTATTGCACCGGCTCCCCCGTCAGGCCAGTCCGACTTTGCTGGGTGTACTGGATTGCTGTTGTTGCTGCTGCTACGGCTTGGGCCCAGCGCATGTCCATCGTGCATGGGGCGAGCATCCTTGGCGCTGCTGCAACAGTCAGCCAGCCAGCCAGCATTCGCTCTTCAACAGACACATGGAGATGATGGTACAGAGGGCAAGGGACAGGAAGGGGTGGTGACGCAATGCAGCTCGACGAGAACGTCGCTTTTGTTACGAAATAGTGTTGGTCTCGCTACCGCTGCCGACTGCAACCTTCTCGGTCTGATCGTCTGGCAGGGCAAATGTCCGCGCGTGCTTCTTCATCCCGCTTCCTGCTTCGGCGGACGAATGTATGAACGGACAGCCTGGCCGAGTGCAGAAGGGTTCGTACTTGCATGGGAGTTGAATCGGCGCTCGCGAGAATCCGCCGGCTCCGGCACCACCAGCGGCGGCGGCGGCAGTAGCTTCGATCGCATCACCGGCGGGGGCGTCGGCGGTTGGGCCAGTCTTGTTGCTGTCGCCGCCGTCGCCGCCGTCGCCGTGGACAAATGGACAGCTGGGGTTGAGGCAGTTTGGGTAGTAGATGCACTTGACCGTGGTCTTTGTCATAGACCCAGCGAACCCACCACGACCCACACCAAACCGAGCTCCGCCTCGGCCTCGCAGAGATGGGTGTGCGCCGAGTGCGGCTGCGGCTCCGTTCGGATGGTAGAACGGGCAGTCGGGCCGGGTGCATCCCAGCCCAAACTTGCACTCGACTCGGCCGGCTGCTGGCGACGGCATCATCGGGTGGATATACAGGCACTCGTTGCCCTTGGTGCAGGTCGAGAGCTCGGGGCAGACCTTGGTTGGATGCACAAACTTGCAGTCGGCGCGGGTGCAAGCGGGCCAAAAGCTGCACCGGATCTGTGTCTTGGCCGGCCCTTCCAGCTCGCCGGACGGAGCTGCGGTGCGCTTGCCCGACTTCAGTAGCTCTCGTAGATCGTTGGCTTGCTGCTTTGCGACATTGACCGTCACCTTGAAGGATGTTTTGTCGGTCTCGGACCCGGTTGCGTTGCCAAACTTTTTGGAAATAAAGACCTCCCGCTGCGGCGCCGCCTGGGGCTCCGACGGGCTGGATTCGGCTGCGCTACTCCAGACGATTTTTCTGATCTTTGACTTTTGCTCGGCGGTCGAGGCCTCCGTTGGCTCGTGCTGCGACTGTGCGTGCGGTTGGGCGAGCCCCGCATTGCCGTCTGGCTGGCGGCGCTTTCTGGACTGGGCATCCGACAGAGAATCCGAGACACCACGAATGGCCGAGCTGAGGAGACGATTTGGCCCCGATCCGGATCGATGGGTTGAGCCGGCAAGAGCTGCCGGCGGAGGCTGCGTGATTTCTGTCGGTATTCACGGGTGCGGGAGCAAGACAGATCAGACGAGACTCGTGCAAGTTTACCAGCGTTGGCAGGACAGTGCAATGGTGTGCGTTGTTGCTTGGGCAAACTCGACGCCGTTCCCGAATCGGTGGCCGCGGCGATCGGCCGGCCACACCGACCCAAACTCGATACAATCCGATGCCCTGTGGATATACCTTCCATGACAATCTCCTCGTCGTCTTCGTCCGACTCGTCGATACCAGCGTGTGGGTGGCCCGTCTGCGCCATACCGGCGAGGTACTGGAAGGTGTACTCGGTGACGACAGCCGTGAGCTCGCCATCGGTCAGGACTGATCGAGGGGCAGGGATCCAGCGGTGATATAAATCAAGAGAAGGGCGAGCGTGTCAGCGGATGAGTTGGGATGCACCATCGACATCATCCACAGCATAGCATGGTGATCTGCGAGGAGCGGTTCGATCGATCCGAGAGCCCAAGGGCCGGGAGGGGCCGAACCATGGGCCATCCGCCGTGTCGCATGCTTCCTCAAGCAGCACAACAAATCCATCTCATTCACCCCATTTGCCTTCTCTGCGCTATCACTGTGCAACTCAACCGGCGACGCAGCCTGGCATCGAGCGTCGCTCTTCTCCTCCGCAATATCTATCCTCCAGCCGATCCAAATGCGGCTGCTAGATCCAGCGACGTACTGTCTCGGACTTCGTTCTCGACTTCGTCCCGGTTCTTCTTGTTGGCGCACATCATCACCACAAACTCGGCCACAATGTCGGGCGACGACACATCGAGCTCCCGAAGCTTCTCCGTGAGCGCACCCTAAGGTTGACGAACGATGAGGAGGATAGAAAGAAGCGGAGGAGTGGTGTCAGCATCGCATTCCCTTTCATTCCTGTGGGCCGGGGCTGTCGCCCACCGCCAGATCGGTCTGAAAGCCCAAAAACTTCCTGCCAGACTTGGATCAAGCAACGGCTGTGAAGGGAAGGAGAAAAGCGCAGGAGACGGGGACGAGCGCAAACATCGGCATCGGATCCGCATGGCGATCATCCAAGGACGATGTGACGACACGAGAAGCACGGTTCGAAAGAAGCACCCTGCCCTGCGGTGAGCGATCGCTGCGTCTTGGGCATCGGGCGGTGTCTCGATGTGCTTTGCTCGCTGTGATCGGCCGCGCACAGCGCTGCTGCTACTGAACCGCGCTGGTCGAAATTCCGCAGAAGGAGAGAAACAGGTATAGGGAGAGGCGGCATGTGTGTGTTTGCTGGCGTACCTGGAGCTGGGCGGCGCTCTCGCTTCCGATAACAATGGCTGGCAGGGTGTCCCAGATCGACATGGTTGTTGCTGGCCGAGAGCGGGCTGGAGAGCAGGGAGGCGAGGGCAGATCGCTGGACCGCCTGAAAACAGGCACTCTCCGGCTCCAGCCGCCGGATCGAGTGGCTGGAGCCAGTGTGTGTGTGTGATCAAGTTGTGGCAGTCGGCCAAAATGTGCTGCGGTATGATCGCACACATCGTCGCTCCAGACACAGGCACACCGTAGTTGGGCGATACTGCAGCTGGGGGGGGGGCGATTCAGGGGGGAAATGGGGCATCCATGTGTCAGCGTAGTCTGTGGTGGCGTGCGTCCAACTATGCCATGAGAAATGAAACAGATCACCTCCGAGTGAAGGATCTCCCGTCGCTCTCCGGTCTCCACAATCGACATGCACACTGGCGAATGGCAATTCCAACGCGCGATGGTATTGGGTAGCAAAATATTTGATCAATGGTCAAACTCAAGGGTGTCCCGTTTTTTATCGGATCGCCTGTAAGCAGCACCGCCGGACCTGTCCAGTGGCTGGTGCGGATGCATCGCTGATATGCCCACTACATCACAAGCACTTGACATGTGCGTGTGTATTTTTGGCTTCTCTCCTCTAGTTGTACGAGAATGGCCCACGGGACGACTCGGCAAAGGCTCGGACCAGATGCTCGTCAAAGGCTAGTTGTGTAGCCTCCAGGCCAACACTCCGACTCGCACCCGTACTCGCATTCACGCCTGTATCTGTGTTTCCACCTCCATCTCTGCCGGCGCTTGGATCGGGATTGAAGCTCAGGCCAGGGTTTAAGCCAGGGTTCAGGTGCAAGTTCAGGTTCAGGTTCAGGTCGCCCAGGCGTCTGTCCAGCCCCGATCTCAGATCAAAGCTTGCATTCATGACCGGATTTGAGTTTGGGTTTGGAGGTCCGTTGGGCGGCTGCCGCCCAGATCCGGGTCCTACGCTTCCTGAGAGCGCCGTCAAGACCATGGAATCGAGGTGAGCAGAACTCAGCCCAAGCAGCCCCGCGTCGATCGGCGTGCCAGTCTGTGGCAGTGTGCCGGCGCCGAGAGAACCAAGGGACGGGGCAAAGGTGCTGTTCAGCGTGTCGTGGGTGAAATGGCCGAGCTGTGGATGGATTGAGGCCCCAGAGGCGTCGGATGGGAACACACTTGTCGAGTTTTGTATCGGAGCTGCACTGAATCCCATCGATGCTTGCGGCTGCGCCCAATTGGAGGCTTGGCCTTCTGGTGAGGACCTCAGAGGCGGAATCATCGAGGGCAGGAGGGGAGATGAGCCGGCAACCGTGCTTGCGATAACCTCCGCCGTCACTGCACCAAAGCTGGCCTCGAGTGTGGTATTGATGTCGACACTCATGGCATGACTGGCGGTCGGGCCAAAGCCAATACTGCTGACGATGTCAACGGAGACGTCGCTGTGTTCGAAGGGAGTCGATGTTGGTATCTGTCCATCGGTGATTGAGCGCCGACAGACATAATGCCAGTTGATAAAGTCGTTAATCATGCCCCGAAGCCACTGCGACAGCGCCGTGCTGTACTGGCTGAGGAATCCAAGAACTTCATTCAGCTCGCTGATGGCTTGGACAATCTCGCTTGTCACCGCGGGGTTTGTGCGCTGAAACTCGAGAATGATGTCCAAGAACAGAATCGCCGCAGTGCTCGAGAAAAAGTGCGTGGCCGGCAGGAAAAATATCATGTTTTTGCTTTGGAAGGGCTGGTTCATGATGTCCCGAGGCAGGCGCCGAAGGCAGCGCACAATGGCGTGCGCGCTCTCGAGGGCGGAGGCCGAGTGGATTCCAACGGCGATACGCTGGGCGAGGATGTTGAGGCTGTTGTAGACGAGATAGAAATGGTGGTGGAACGTCCACCGGCCATTGGGCTCCAGTCGAAGTCGGATCGGAAGGCCGGCCAGCCAAACCTGAAGGCTCTCGAGGATCGCGCGCGCCTTTTGCTTCTTCGCGGAGAGGCTCATGGGGTTCGGGTTGTTCATCAGATCCGTCAGGTCACCCATGATGCGACTAAGCTTGACATGGATGATGAGATCGTGGTAGTGGTCGTGATCGAAGTGGTCGTCGAGCAGCGACATGTCCCACACTGAGCCCGAAGCGAAACGATCGTATGACGAGGTGGGAGGTGAGGAAGCCGAGCAGAGGCGGCCGAGTCAAAGGGGGATGTGGTGAGTCGCTGGACGAAGGACTGTGGCCAGAAGAAGGCCGCGGATTGTTGCAAGCTGGCCCTGCCTACGCCCAGCAAGCGGTGAATGGCTTTCGCATCATGCAAGACAAGGCGCTCACTAGCAGTTCCAGAACAAAGTACTTACTGTGGTCCTGGATCAGAGCATGGCGACCGGTAACCAGCGACCCATATCGCTCGGTTATATACATGCAAAAGAAAGCCGAGTTTTGGATCCGATGCTCGGTCACACTGAGGTTGAGGCCTCGAATTTTGGGACTGAGATGGAATCCAAGCTCCACAACCATTGCCCGGACCGTGGCTGAGGACAGCAAATGCAATTCGCACAAGTAAGCAGCTGAGATCAGGCGCGATATGCATATATCGACATGGCGGCCGAGCAGCACGCAGTGACTCTGCCATTCAACCATCGTCAGAACGGGGCAATGTCCAACCAAGAACAAAGGGCAGTCGTTGGCATCGGTATGCTTACCAAGAAGCTGATGCGTGTTCGGTCTGATTGTTTGGCTTGGGCTAGTGCAGATGATGGCCCAAAGATACAACGACTGGATCATATTGAGCTCCAGGCAGTCGTGATACCGAGCGATCAAGTCGTAGCAGTGGTTAGACAGGTACTTGCGAATCGTATAGATGTCGGCGTGGATGCCCCACTCGGCCATATTGGTCGTTTGGAGCGATACGATCGTGCACATGGTCCACACGAGGAGCGAAAAAGGCTGCGGAGGTCACATTTGGGGAAGGCGGGCCGATTGAAGCAAAGGCGGTGGTTGAGATCGGCTCCGTCGTCAGAAAACAAGGAGAGAAAGCAACCCAGGAACAGGATACGGGTGGAGTACTCCCAGAGCTCGGACAACATCAACCCTGAATCTAATGTCATGCCTACACGAGACATCCCGGCGAGGCATGCTTCTACGAGAGACTGCTGATGCTGCCGATTGCGCTGGTGCTGGAGGCTGACTCGTACCTCGGAATACGATGGCTGCTCGAGCTCGGCGTAGAACTGCGCCTTGTCGATGAGGGGAAGATATGGTGCGATATGCTCAAAGTAGACCCCGATCAGGCTGTACGTTATGTGATGGCTGAAGGGTAGCGCCTGGTCTTGCGGAAGAGTATTGACATGGCCGCCGGCTACGTTCGGAAGAGAGAAGCTAATCATGCCTGACCGGAAGCGTGGGTTCTCCTGCACAAAGCAAGCGCCGCCCGTGGACGAAGGGCCAAAATACACCGTGCTGTTGGTAGTGAGGTTGCGCACTGAAAGAACAAAGGCGGGGTGAGGAGCCGGTAGGGCATGCAGAGGTAATCCCCAATGCTATCGGGCACTGTGGCCTCAAGAGCTAATTGGTATGGTGATCGCAGCTGGTGGGGGTATTGGCAGCAGCAGCGCACTCGGCTGGATATACCTCGAGTAATGAAGTAGGCCTCGATTGAGTGTAGTTCATCTTCGGGCTGCAATCGGCAGAGTCATTGTTAGATGCTCCGATGGCGAATGCTCTGGTGGGTACTCTGGTGGGTGACTGCGGTTTGCCCAGACTCGACAGGCTCAGCGCCCCCGCACTCCCGGCTTGAAGCCCAGGACTATGCCGTGCCTCTGTCTCCGAATCCCTCTGCACCTGCGTTGCATCGGTGACTGGCAGAGAGTGATGTGGAGCATACCTCCTGCGAAGCCGAGTCTGTTGATGACGGACCAGAGACAGAGCCAGAGCTAACACTTGGTATGTCTGGCGCAAGCAAGCCAGAGAGTCGATCGATTCGATCGAGGCGGTATGGGAGACCAGCGATCTTTTTCTTTGGGGCAGGGCCACGTTTCTTCTGAGGAATGTCATATGCTGCACAACGAGACAGTGGTGGTTCAGAACCTTGGGCAGCAGTTGAGAGGTGGGTACTCGATGGCAGAGACCAGAGACAGGGTACCTACTGCAGGTCAGGCCAAAGTCTCGACAGCCATCGCATGGCTGGCCGCCTGAGCAGCGATTTCGTTTGAACCGGCAAACTTGCGGCGGCAGAGGCGTGTTGCCAGAGGAGCATGGCAGTGCGCAATGAGATTGTCGATACAAGGAGTGAGCAACCCAAGAGTGTTTCGGGAGCCAGCCAGGCAGAGGGTTTGTCCCCAGCGAGCGGATCTCCGGCAAAACAGAGGTTCCGGGGCAACTGGGCAGCTCGGCGAGCGGGCGCTGAGCGGGCCAGCGAACGGATCAACCTACTGTCGCACGCCCGCTTGTTCCGGGTCTTCCTGAGCGGCTGGTCGTCTTGCGAGGACATGGCTGGGAGCGAGACATCCCCGGGGGGCAGATGCGTTTGCAAGCGGGGGTTTGTCGATCGGCGCTGAGGAACAAACAGCCAATGGCGTCAAGCCCCGCTGGCTTGGCAGAGGGGTGCTCGACGAGATGCTGGGTTCGGACTTGCTGGCTGCGGGTGGCAGCGATGCTCGACATCGGCGGATACTCGATGGGGTCGATGGCGGTGTTGCTGCTGCTGCTGCTGATGCTGCTGATGATGATGTTATTGATGATGTTGATAGCGATGCTATTGATGATGTTGATGATACCACTGCTGACTATGCTTACACTTTATTCAGAAAAAAACGGGACAATATAGCCGTTTCCATGAACATGTAGTATGTGCTGTGCTTGCGTCAAGCAAAGCCACAAGAAATAAAACAGATCACTTTGGCAGCCTCCGAGTGAAGACCGCCGGTCGCTCTCCGATCTCCACAATCGACCTGCATACTGTGATCATGTTGCGCGCCGCATTGACGTCGCGATTCCACACTGTCCGGCGAATGGTCATGGCCAGCGCGCGATAACATTGGGTAACAAAATATTCGATGAATGGTCAAAATCCCGGGTGTCCCGTTTTTTATTGGATTGCCTGTAACACCCAACGATGGCTGTGCTGTATTTGCGCCAGGCACGGCAGCGACGCCTTCGAACGAAACCGCATGGCCGATCAGGCAGTCGGGCGAGCGGCCAAACAACCCTCCGATCTCCTCTGACACCAGCCGGGCATGTCTCTGTCTGCTATCTTCTTCTCCGGCTGCTCAACCCGCCCTGCTCAACCCGCCCTGCTCAACCCGCCCTGCTCAACCCGCCCTGCTCAACCCGCCCTGCTCAACCCGCCCTGCTCAACCCGCCCTGCTCAACCCGCCCTGCTCAACCAGCCCTGTTCATCCCTCTGCATTGGTTGTGCGACCCAGCTTGTTGGGGTCGCACCCAGTAACCGCTGCAGCGAGAACACCTCGCCAGCCCTCGCCTGCTCTCGCGGCCACTGTTGCTGTGGGCACCGCAGCCCCGTGCCGCCCTCGCCGCGTCTCGCCGCCCAACAAAGACCGCCGTTTTCGGCCCCAATGCGGGCTCGCTCTCCCAGCGACTGCCATCGGTCCGGCTTGGGGGTATTTTTCGTCATCGCCCGCCTTGACCGACCAGCTCTCAGGCATGTGTATCCGTGCATGTGTTTGTGTATAATCCGTGTAGGTGTCTTTAGAGATGTCGCTCATGGCGGGGGCGGCCTGTCGCCAGGCAATTCTGGTGCCGGGTTTGGCTCGTCGCTGTTGACCCTGTGTCTGCATCCCACCACCGGGTCTGGTCGCTGGCTTTGCCGTGGGCTGTCTGGGCTGTCTGGGCTGTCTGGGTCGGCATTCGAGATTCAGAGCAACCTGCCCTCCGCAATCGGCCCCGATTCCTCACGCCGGCTCTTCTCCTTTCGTCTGCTTGTCCGTCCATGCGCCCTCCAGTCCTGCGCCGGCATCCACCCTTCACCCTCGGATTCTCCTTTCATCTGCCTGCCGACCAGTCGACCTCTCCGATCTCGCCACCTTCGTCTTGCCCCCCAATTCCATGAGCTCCATCGCCGACAGCACCCCGCCGGCCAAGCGGCCGAAGCAGAGCCGAACAACCCGTGCATGCGACGGTAAGAGCAGACAAATAGCCACGAACCGATCTTCCCAGACTTTGGGCTCGTCCCGCCTCGTCCTGGCCAGGCTAGGCTCGGCGGCCCCTATCGGCGATGCCTCCGGCTTGGATCGGCGATGCCTCCGGCTTGGATCGGCGATGTCCCTCACCCTCTCCTGTCGGTCATGTCTGTGACTCTTTCCTGTCGGCGCTGCCTCGCTCTCGCTCTGATTTCTTCCCCAACTCGCCAGTCTGTCGTCTCAAGCGCAACAAATGCAGCGGCGATCAGCCCTGCACGTCCTGTCGAGAAAGCGGATTTACCTGCAGTCCGTATCCCCGTTTGCTCTCGCATACTGTCGCTGGGCGTGGATGGCTCAGGGGCATCGACCAGCCCGTCGTCTGGTTTCGCACGGCCGTGGACTTTTGTGGATGCCTCTCGCAGCGCCGCCGTTATCGGCCTGCCGCTGGATTCTCTCTCATCATCATCACCATCGTTATCATCATCATCGTCATCATCATCATCACCATCGTCATCATCGTCATCATCGTCATCATCGTCTTGCCACTCTGGCTGGCATCCAGCTTATGAGAAGCCTCAGCTCAAACGAGGACCGCAGCCTCGCAACCAACTGCCAGTCAGCGTGTTTCCACAACCTGGCAGAGGCAACCCTCCTCTGTTGGCAAGCAGCTTCCAGCCTGCTCCTGCAGCCGCCTCGAGCACATATGGCGATCCCGAGGTTTGTCTATCCCGGCGCAATCCTCTCCGGGCGTCGTCTCGACGGCCCATGTTCTTCTGGCCTTTGCGGGCTGCGTCGATAGTGCTGTCTAGATGCTCCGCTCACATCGTTGTTGTCGTCCGATTGTCTCGCGGCCCAGACTGGGATGTGGGGCGGCGACCTTTGCGCAAGTAAGTTTCTCCGGCGGCATGCAAATAACCCCGCCGCTCTGGCGCACGCTTCGGGAACTGCCATGCCGCCCAAAGGGTCCTGACGGATGTGATAGTGACTCACCCATCATCGATGACGGTTGATCACTGTTGGTGACGACCCGCCATCGCAACCGAGCGGCGGACTCGCCGTTGTTCTCGGGCTCCCATCTCGCAACACTATCGCAGCTCATTCACCCGCCGTGAGTGGACTCTGACTCGATTGTCCATGTGCAGTCCTAGACTCGACCATTGGAACAACCACCTATCTCGGGGCAACGTCGCTCGGCGGCGGCAGGTGTCTTGAGCACTGTCCGCGCAACCCCAAGGGGCTGATCGAGTTCGCAGTCGCTTCCCCGGTCTCGGCTCTGCTGCTCATCCCGCGGACAAAGTCGATTCCCTTCTGTGAGGAACTCACCCAGGCACTGATCCGGAGCTTCTTTGCGACGAACCGCTCAATCACATCCATGTTTCACCTTCCATACTTTGAACAAGAATACAATGCCGAGATGCACACGGAGGTGAGTCTGCCATGAAGTTTGCAATCGAGCGTGCCGTGAGACGCATGACGGGATGTACACGGAGCGCACATATCTCATACCTCATGAGGAGTGCGCCATGACGCTGCTGCTCTGCTACTGCTCTGCTGCTCTCTGCTGGCTTGCAAAAGCATGGCCAGGTCAAGTGCTGGACTGTATCGCCTTGTTGCTCTCTGGACACTCACTCGTTGATGCCGGTACCTTCGCCGCCAGCCCTTCAGCTTGCTCGTTTGGACCATTTGCGCATTCGTGTCCCTCCAGAATGGCTCGCTGGCAAACATTGGATTCCGCGACGTGGCATCGACTCAACGCACCATGTTCAACCACTGCATACCGCTCCTAAAGAGGCTGCAACAGTTCCCAAACATCCATACGCTTCGTTCCCTGATTATCTGGAGTCTGATCTGTCTCGATAGCACCGAGCTTATCCGTCACAGCACGGGCTCGTACCTTGGTAAGCGGATCGGGTGCATACATCACCGGTGCTATTGCTATTGCTATTGCTGCTGCTGGCATGCATTTTTACTGACAATCTCACTTCACTTCACTTCGCCAGCCCTGGCCTGCTCGATGGCTATTGAACTTGCCCTCCATCTGGATATCGATGATATGCGCAATCCTCCACTCGACGATGCCACCAAGAAGATCTACCACGGCACTTTTTTCAGCCTGTACACCGCCGATCGTCTCTCAGCATTCATTTCGGGGCGGCCTGCGTTTATCCGAGACGACAGTGAGTGTTCGTGTGCTTTACCGCTGCACTGTGTCGTATTCTAGTGCGGTGTATTGCGGCCCATTCTACCGGATCGTGTGGTGATGGAGGTGCAGGGACACGCAATAGACTACCAACACTTGTGTTGCACCGAATGTTGCTGCACTCTTACTTACAGCGCTGTCTATCGCACTGCCTGTCTCCATGTCTCCATATCTCCATATCTCCGTGTCTCTCCCTATTCACTTCTCACAATCCTCCCTTCGACACCCGACTAACCAACTTTCGTTACACTTGTTGGCGCGTGCAGTGTGGGACGCATCTCTACTTTCATACCAATGGCCCGATGAAGACTACAGTTTCATGCTCATGTTTGTCGATCTCGGGCGGATCGGCAGCGATATCATCGATATCTTGAATGGTCCCAAGTTCTTCAACACCGAGGAAAGACGCACGGCGATCGGGCGCCGTGCCGACGCAGAGCTTGATCGCTTTTGGGCCAATCTGCCAGCCTACTACCGTGCTGTGCCAGAGGAAGCCTGGACCGGCCGTCACTGGCTCCACCTCCGATACTACTGCCTCAAGATCCTCACAAAGCGCATGATTTCGGCAAGGCATACCCCCGAGTCAATCAACTGCGCCCGCTCTATTGTCAAGTGCTTCAGGTCGTTCCCTCGACCGCGCCGAGGCGAATATGTCTTTCAACGTTCCCTGTGCTCCCATCTGGCTATGGTGGCCGCCACTGTTCTTTTGGACGTGATTACTGCCATGTCTTCGAGCGGAGGCGGGGGCACAGAAGAAAAGGTGCTCATCATCAGTGAACTGAACGAAACTCTTGTATTGCTGGAGGACCTTGGCGTGGCCTCGTCGGTGCGGCTGCGGCAAATCATCGACAAGTGCATCAACTGGCAAACAGTCCAGCGCCGAAGCCTCGAAGTCACCGAGCAGCGCCGTCTGATTGAACCCTCGCCAACAGCAGAGACTGCAGCTGCTGGTCAGCTCGAACTTATGTGCCATGTGCCGTTGGCCTTCCACGACAGTCCAGCTATCGGCGCTACAGCTGCATCGATACCATACAACAGCTACTCGCTAGCGTCAGCTGCGAATGCCCAACAGCCAAACACGAGCCGACTCCAGTTTGAGGCCGGATCGTTAGTGGAGGCCGGGCTGGCTCCTCAACCCGCGTGTCCCATTCCGAGCTCCTCTGGTTTCGGCACCATTAGCGACACGCAGCCAAGCACCAGCGCCAGCGCCAGCACACTCCCGAGCCAAGTCGCTTACTCTCTTGCGTCAAGACCAATGCCACCCGAGCGTCTGGTACGCAGTGTTCCAGAGCCGCCAGAGCTGCCATCTGCGACAATCAATGGATGCCATCGCTTCAACTCCAACCAGATCGTGCCACCGAATCCCTACCCTAGCGTTTCTGTTGAGCGACGGCAGTCTCTATCCGCTGCAGTAAACCCACTGGATGCAATCTCGTACGACCTCGTGTCCGCCAAGGGCATCGCCAACCCGGGGCTCACAAACGCTGGATACGTTGTCCTTGGCTCGAGCGACTACTCTGCTGTTCAGCAAGTCCAGGACAAGCCCGGTCCGCAGCAGCCCCAGCCACTCGCGCTTTACCCAACGTTATCTCCAATACCACTGGGCCAGGCTGCCGTCGCCACAGCATCGTACATACCGGCAATCTATCAAGACACCATGCTCCGGCATCCGCTGCCCGTCGGTATTGGCGTACTACCGCCTCCCGCCATGGTTGCTGCAAATGCGACAGACAAGAGCCAACAGCGATATCCAACACCGCCGCAGCGGCATCAGTCGACCCAGCCGGCCCAGTCGCAAACACAGCAGCCGTCACAGTCCCAACTCCAACAGCAAGCACCGCCATTGCTACAACCATTGCCGCAGTTGCATATGCCTCCGCCACCGCCACAGCCGCTGCTGCATCCTCCATCGCAGCAGCAGCAGAGATTTGTGATTGCCTCCCCTCCGTGGTGACAGTGCTGATGGCAACTGCGTGGAGTTGGTGCTATTCGATCCCCTCTCGTCGGCAGCGCCTCTGTTGCCGAAACTTGGAATAGAGTAGTGAATGTCTGTGTCTCGTCAGCGATCGTCAGCGATCGGTAGCGCACCGGTAGCGCATCATCATTGTCCCAGCGGCGTGCCAATAGCGCATCAGCAGTGCATCAGCAGTGCATTGGCTGGCTTCTGGGCAATGGGCCGGGTGCGCCGGTCGGACGCCCTTGTCGTGGAATATAGCCGAATTGGCCCCGCTCAGAGCGAAATGCCGATTCGGCCCTTCAAAAGTGCGGGTTCCTTCGTTTCCTCTCCGGGCCGGGCCGTCGACTGCCTGTCCTGCCCATCCAACTCGCCTCGCCCATCGCACTCGTCCTGCCGATCCGCCTCAGCACCAGTGTTGGTGAGTCGCCGAGTCCCTCGTCTGGCCAGGTGCCGGGCTGCTTCGGGGCCACTGAGTAGTCTTGACTGTCGACTGCTCCGTTCGACGAACCTGATGGTGCCTGGTGGTGCTTGATGGAGCCGACAATGCTCGACAACCTGGAAGGCTCCTGCAGGACGGTGCTGCAGCAGGGAGCAAGACTCATGGCCCGGCCGAGCTCGCCCCATTCGCTCCGAAACAAACGGGAACCTGCTCTGACGAACCCGACGCTGTGATTTGGAACAGTCTTTTGCTGGCCCTGTCGCTTTGCATCGCCCTGCCAACCCACTCTTCCGACCCATCACAGCAACAGCCAGAATGAGCGAGCCATTGAGATCAAGCCAGAAGCGAACCTTCTATGACAGCATCCGCCCAGTAGAGGTGCCGTGCATGTCCAGCTTCAGCGTAAGGACCACTTTCCCCCCCTTCAAGCCCATGACTCATCTGGCTTACGCAGTCACGGCCGTGTTCGCTCTGGCGAGACCTCTGCAAAGGCACCGGAACGAGTGGTCCTGTACATGCCTGCGGCGACTCATCTGTTGGCCGCATCAGCCTGGAGCCTGTTCCAAAGTGCCCAGAGTTGCTTTTGATTCCTGACGCTGTTCGTTCTCCCCAACCCACCCCCAGCAGCAGAACTGGGCCAGCCAACCCACCGCAGCCAATACGCCAGCAGGTTCGTTTCATGGCCTGATCGATGCTGCCATGGCCATGGCCGCTGTCGCCGTTGCTCCTGAGATGCAGCTTCGTTGCTCGTCCAGGCGCTCGTCTTGCTGATCTGGACCGGATCTGTTGCCATTTGTCTTTGACATTCTTCGCCCTCTTGTGCTGTGTATCCGATCAGCCAATGCCCATCCCAAGGCCCCCAGAGGAGATCCCATCGGCGGCTACGAAAGCAATCAATGGTCTTGGTTCCTGTCGGATCTCGACTGGAGTCAAGAGGCGCCGCTGGAGGCCGAGCTGTCACTGCGACCGGACGTTATACGGATACCCAAAGCTTCGTCGCTACCCTTTGACGAGCCCACGACAACGCACCTGATCGAGTGCTTTTTCCACATGGTCCAGTCCGTCTCGGCAATGTGCTCTTACGACGACTTTTTCGCCGAGTACAACCAGCCTTATCATACCGAGGTACGGGGAATCATCAAGGCAGCAACGTGTGGGTCTGGCCAGCATCACGGCGGGGATGGAGGGCGATCGAGGGGGATGCTCACAAAGCCGATGCAGAGAGCGGCATGGGTGCATATTCGTGGCTGCGTGCTGTTACGGTTCAATGGCGCTGATATGATTTGCTTGGCCGTTGCCCGCTCAATGGCTCGCTGTGGCCTTCCTCAGGTGTTCAATCTGCTCGTGTGGGTGATTTGCACGCTCATGGCACAGCAATCGCCCAAGCTCAAGAGTTCCAAGTCATTTGATCCGATTGCGACACAGAGGCGGCTGATGAACCACTGCGAATCGCAAGTTCACAAGCATTTGGGTTACCCACATATTCAGATGGTGCAGTCCCTTATCCTTTGGGGCTTGATCTGCATCGACTCGGCCGACTTTCTGTACCAGCGCAGCCGAAACTATGTTGGTAAGTCTTTCCCGCCCGCAGGAGCTACATGAGGCTATGCTGTAAAACGGGGTCAGCGATTGCTGACCTCGGAAGTGTCTCGTTCAGTTCATGGCGTTCGCACCGGGATAGCATCACCCCCTACTAACCGGCCCAATCGACTCGCTTGAACTAACTTTGAACGCGGACTTTGGCCTCAAGCCGTTGCCTATTCGATGACCATCGACATTGGTTTCCACTTGAATCCGTACCGAGAGCTCGGCGATGTGCGCCAAAAGTCAGTCCGGTTCATCGTCCACAGAAACACCTTTGCGATGCTCTATATCATGGACCGTCTGAGCTCGTTTCTGACCGGCCGCCCGGTTCTCATTCCCGAAGGATGTAAGGATCAGTTGCATCCGTAGAGCCACCGGTAGAGCACCTGCGAGCGGCCTCAGGTCCGGTCTGTTGCTGTGACGGTAGAGTGGCCGTGGTGCAAAGCCTTTCCATCACAGAGAGTGCTCTAGCAGGGTTGACTTGGCTCGGCAATGGTTTTGACCTTTACTTTGGTTCTGCCGACACGCCACTAGCCTGGGATCCGTCGCTTGTCATCAAAGGCGAGGAAGAAGACATCTGGAACCAGTTCCTGTACATCATCTTCCGGCTCTGTCAAATCTCGACGCAGATGCTGAACGTGCTCAACGGCTCAAAAGCGCTCAATACGCCGGAGCGGCGGCGCACGGTGGGTCGCCACGCTCTCAACGAGCTCGAGCACTGGTGGTCGACTCTCCCGCCGGCGTATGAGGACGCTCTGGCGTCGCTTCGGCCTGGAAACAGACCAACTTGGTCACTCCGCCATTGGCTCGTGCTTCGCTTCAACGCCTATATCATCATAGCAACGCGGATGACCGGCGACAAGGTGCCCATGAAGTTGATCAGGAATGTGCGCGAGATTGCGGGCTGCCTCAGGAACCACCCGGCACTTGTTTCGCCGACCCAGCACGTCTTTCAGCGGTCGTTGATGGTCCACTACGCAGTGCTGTCGATCACGCTGCTGATCGACGTCATCCTCGGGGCACCCACTAAGGAGCCGCTCGACCACAGGGACATGGTGCTCTTGGCCAACGATTTGAACGAAACGCTGGTGTTTCTCGAGAATCTGCACTCGGGTGTGGTCGCATTCTTGCGTCGGCTCATCACAAAGTGCACGACCGGACGGGTGTCTTACAAACGGCCGATTGCCGTTCGTCCGGTCCTTCAGCTTGGCTACTCCGACGGCAAAGCCGGCCAGCGCCCGGAAGACTCCCTGACGAGCGAGAGTGCATTGGCGTCCTCGCTTCTACAGCACCGCGACGAATCTGCTCAGCGAACACCGACCCCTTCCGTCCAAACCAGCAAGCCGCCTCGCCCGATTCTGATCCGCCCTGCTCCGACTCCCCCAGCTCCGGCTGTGTCCGCTCAAGCGCCAGCGCCAGCACAAGCCATGTTTCAGTCAGTAGCAACACCCACCCTGCAGTCCGAGCAGAGAGATAGCGGCGCTGCAATCACCTATGTGCCGCTACAGCTTCACTCGTCCACAGCGATTCACGGCTCTGAGCAGAACCCAAACGCAAGCAGACCTGGCCTGAAGCTCGATTTTCATTCACGGAGCGATACACTACCGCCTGTGCAGCTGCCATTTGGACTCGATACCCTGCTGGCGTCGGGCAACGTCAACTCGGCCGTTTCCGAGGCGGCGCACAGCGATCTCGCACACTTCGGGAATCCCTCCGCCGTGCCATTGTCGGTCGGTACAACCCTTGCAAACCCAAGCGACTTTGAGTACTTTACAATGCCGTCGCCGCCGTTTGGACTCCAGGACTGGCCGAGTCCGCTTTTCTTGTCGCTTATTGAGGACGAAAGTCTTCCGTTAATTGGCAGCGGTAGCGGCAGCAATCCCGCCACCGAAGGCAGCCAGGGCGAAGCCGATACCGGCGCTTCAAAGCCAAGCACCAGCACCTCGAGTCCTCTGGGCTGAACAAGCAACAACGGGAATTGCAGCAGTATGGGCGTCGTGGCCATGACGACAGCAGCCGAGACTGCCCAACGCGGCAACGCATGCTCCGAATACTGCCGAGTGGCTTTCGCGAATCTCTGGGCTGGCTCAGCCCCGAGCTCAATAAACATGTGGCAGAACTCGTTTGTTCGTGTTCGTTCCTCCCAGGCGTGCGTTTGCTCGTATTTGTTCCTCTGGCTTGCATGTGTCTGCTCACGCGCCCAGCATTGCGGCAGCGCCATGGCGCGCCATGTTGGACGAGACTTTGGTTCGCGAACGGATCGCTGGCCCCGAAGCAAGTGCCCGTTTCCCATTCGTCAAGCTCTTGGCGGCGAGGCCGGCGAAGTGCCCACCGCATCCACCTCGCCACCGCATCCACCTCGCCACCGCATCCACCTCGATAGCCCCTCCACGGCGATCTCCACAGCCATCTCCACAGCCATCTCCACAGCCGACCATCCGGCCCCGTCCAATCTCGGCGCCTCAGACCCACGGTTCTGGCTGGCCGATTGCTGGGGGGCGGATGGCCGGAAAAACATGGCCTGCGGACCAACCAGCGCCGTTGCGCACGTCGCACAGGACAGCTCGCGTCTGCGGCCTTTCTGTTCGCGTGGAGGGAAAAAACGGGCGCCCTCTGAGTCACCCGCCAGCTCAAGTATTTCTGGTCCTTCAACCGACCCGCCCCATCTGTTTGTCGGCCAGCTCGTCTGTCTTCGTCGTCGCTCCGCCAAGCGCATCGCTGGTAGGTGTGAGTCACCCTGTCGCTGCTTCTGCGGGCTTGTTCACGACTTGTCATCGCTGGCGCGACAGTCCCCTCCCCCATAAAGGCTGCCGCTCCCTCTCCACCCGCACCCGCCCCTCGCTCGCCTCGCTTCGTCCTGGATCTGCAAGCACTCGCTTTTGCAAGATCACACCCCTGCCCGTCCCTGCCCGTCCCTGCTGCCTTCGGGATCTGCCTGTCCGCATTGGCGACGACGTCCCTCGTCCTCGATCTTGGCCATCAACCCTGCTGCATCTTTGCAAAGCAAGCTCATACTCGTCTGTTTTGCTCGTCCGCGATAACTGGATCGACAAGCATAAAACCACCCTTGTCCACCCAAACGCAACTGCTCGTCAATCCCAGCCATGTTTGCCAGAAGCGCCGCTCAAGGTAGGCGAACACACGCAGAGGATCGCTCGCTGGCTTTGGCTATCTGACTACTGTGGCATCGGGCATTCAGATTGCCCTCAGCAGCTCCAAGCGATCTTGCTGGCGATCGTGGAGGCGAGCTGTCCGACGAGCTCTCTGGACATGTCTGCTTACACTACTGGCCTGTGACTCTTGGACGTCCTCGCCTCGGCCCTCCCAATGCTTCCAGGACCTCGAATCACCAGAGCTCTGTCCAGTGCTCGTGTTGCAACTCGCACTGTCGTGAGACCTTCGGTCCGATTCAGCTCGACGAACTCGGCAGCACCAGCACCGGGTCCGGCTTCTGGATACGGCACCGTCGGCGCCGTCGCTCTGCTCGGTGCCGCTGCTCTGTGGTGGAACATGAAGCCCAGGCATGGTCATGAGGAGCACCCCAAGGAAACCGCCCAGCACGAAGCCTCCACGTCTCTGATTCCCACTGGCCCGACCATGCCCGTTGTCCACGACGTCGAGGGCAAGCTTCTTGCCGAGAAGAAGGCCAAGGAAATGGCTCCTCTGGTAAGAGCACGGGCCACCTCCTGCGAATGCACACTCGGCTCGGGCGACTGATAAGTGTTCTCACCGTCGCCTGACTCTTCCCCCCCCCCGCCAGATCTTGGACACCTCGGCCCCGATCGGTCGACGAATGGAGGCCTATGTCCGAAACTTGCAACTTCAGATTGTCGACGCCCTTGAGGCTCTCGAGGGACCCGACGGCGGCCGCTTCGTCCGCGACCACTGGAAGCGCGAAGAGGGCGGCGAAGGCATCTCCTGTGCCCTGCAGGGCGGCAAGGTCTTTGAGAAAGCCGGTGTTCTTGTCTCGGCCGTGCACGGCCCTGTGCCCAACGGCCTCCGCCAGCACATGAACAGCCGTCTGGGAACCTCGTTCGGCACCGGTCCTCTGCGGATGTTTGCCACCGGCGTCAGTTTGGTCATCCACCCACACAACCCCCTGACCCCGACCTCGCATGCCAACTACCGCTATATTGAGCTTGTGGACGAGAATGACAAGGTGGTCTGCTCGTGGTTTGGCGGCGGTAGCGATCTGGTAGGTAGCCCCCTCTCATCCTTGCAACGGCACCGACGAATCGGCCCGCGATCGACCCGTTCGTCAATACGATCTGATGGACTAACCCGCGCAATCGTCTTGACTTGGCCCTTAGACGCCCGCGTATCTGATCGAGGAGGATGCCGTCCACTTCCACAAGGTCATCAAGGGTGCCTGCGATCAACACGACAAGTCGATCTACCCCAAGTTCAAGAAATGGTGTGACGATTACTTCAATAACGTCCATCGTGGCGAGCACCGCGGCATCGGCGGCATCTTCTTTGACGATGTCAACGTCGAGACGATGAAGGGCAAGTCACAGGAGCAGATCTTTGCCTTTGTCCGCTCCTGCGGCAACAGTTTTGTTCCTCAGTACATCCCCATCGTGCAGAAGCGCATGAACACCGAGTTTACTCCCGAACAAAAGGTCTGGCAGCAGCTCCGCCGCGGCCAGTATGTCGAGTTCAACCTGGTGAGTTGTCTACACTCTTACCGATCGAGCTGTAACGCAACGCTGCTTGATTCTCCCGCTGCCACACCGGCGGATTTTGGGCACCGAGACTCACCGCCGTCCCGTCCTTCCAGGTTCATGACCGTGGTACCAAGTTCGGCCTGGCCACCCCTGGCGCCAGGATCGAGAGTATCCTGATGTCGATGCCTCTGACTGCCCGCTGGCAATACAAGGTCCAGCCCGAGGCCGGCAGCGAGGAGGAAAAGCTACTGGAGGTGTTGCGTAACCCGCGCGAGTGGGTGTAATTTTTGGATCCGAGTATCCATGCGGCGGTGGTCATCAACGGTGTCTGCAGCCTGGTTTCTGTGTTTCCTTTTACTTTTTCTCTTTCTTGGTATGCTCAATCTTTCATTATTGTAATTTTATTGCTTTCTGTGCAAATTAAACCGAGACATCACAACGTTCACCAAAACGAAACGAGACGTGCTGTGTCTATCTGGGTGGACAGCTCGTTCAGAACCGAGTGGGGGATTTGTGCTCTCTCTCTACCTGCCAGAGAGGCTCGATCGCCGGTCAAGGCGTGCCAGATCAAGGTGATTTGGAGATCGGCTTTACAACAACGCAAAGGTCGATCCATCCATTCGAAGCATACAGCCCCATTATCAATATTGTTGTATTTCCATAGAAGGAGGACTGACGCAGCGACCGCCATGAATCAAGTGAGTGCCGCGGTGCCACGGGGGTGAAGGGCGAGTGAGGAATGCACAAGATCCGACAAACGAGAAACGAGAGAAGCCAAGAGATGGATTGCAATAGACTCAGATGGCGACAAGGACCAAGAGAGCACAAACGAGCGTCATTGAAGCCGCGACGGACACAGCACGACTGGCTCCAGCAGAGTGACTCGAGCCAGCGGGAGCGGACGGGCTTGTGCCGGCCGGAGGAGACTGGCTTGCATTGAAAGGCAGCACAGCTGGAGGGGTGCTGACAACGGTCATGTTTGTGTTTGGAGGACGTGGGCAAACCACCGAAGGATTGGGCGAGAATGACGTCAAGGCTGTTCGGTCTGAGGGCAAAAACAATAGAGTTGATCGTGCGGATGTAAGGATGCACCATGGGAATGACCAAACGATCAGTATCGGCCATGCAGCCAAGGACAGGCCATGCCGTTATGTGGACAGCAGTGCGTCGGCCAGAGCAGTATGCACGATAAGGAGCGACAGGCAGCATATCCGAGCACATGGTGCACTCACTCTGGTCGGCATAGACCTTGATGGAATTGATGCCCCAATACGCATTCGAGAATGCGGTTGGGTTGCTGGCCACATAGGTGGAGCACAGCCCCATGGTGGGGCACCGTGTCGCCGCATCGGAAATCGCCCAGTTGCCTGAAGACGGAGGGGGTTGGCACCGAAGGCATCAGCCACTTGCTATGGCAGCGATTGCCCTGCCAGAGCGGAGGAGAGCAGAGCAGAGCAAGATACGCACCACAGAGATTTGTGTCGATGATCAACTTGAGGTTCCTGAAGTAGTCCGGAGTACAGCAGTCGAACGGGAAGCTGACGAGGGGGACTGCGGGCCACTGAGAGGGATTCGGATTGCCCGAGACAATGTCCTGTGGGATGGATGAACGGGGGAAGAACCAGATGTCGATGCCCGAGTTGTCGAGCTTGGTCGCATAGACTCCGCCGCCGTTCTGGTTGAAGACCGAGCCAAAGGTGCCTGGCATGACGCTGGCTGGGACGAGACTTCCGCAGCCGTCGTATCCTTCTGGGCTTGGAGGGTCGTTGACGGGACAGTCCCAGTACAAGGGCGTGGCAATCTGGGTGCGGTTGGGCACGCCGTAGCAGCCATCGGCGGTATGGATGATCGAGTGTCCATCAGGCGTGCCGTTGATGCCCTCGATGATGTCAAGCTCGCCGACGATCTGGCTGCCGACCTGGTTCTTGAACCAGATCGAGGGCCAGGTTCCGCATCCGTCTGGGATGTGAGTCAGGTCCATGATGAATAGGCCCTCGTCGTAGAGGAGGCGGGACTCGAGACGGATGCTGGGCCGACCAGCAGACTCGGGGGTGACGCTGCTGGTGTCGACAGAGGTGTAGAAGACGCCGCTCTGGACCCAGGTCAGGTTGTGGCCGAGGGCATAGGTCTGGTTGACATAGAGTGCGGAGCTGTTTGCCGAGACGTCGTGCCCGTTCGCAAAGGTGAAGTAGTCGTAGAAGCTGGAGCCAGAAAAGTCCTGAGCGAGCGAGTACGGGAAGGCGGTCGAGCGCGCTGCCTGCAGGAGCAGCGCGAGGCCAAGGGCAGCAGGGGCAATGGGCATGGCAGAGCGAGCGTTGGGAGAGAGGATTCGGCGATGGGCAGGATCGAAGCCCAGGAAGCCAAGCCAGAAAGGAGTGGATGCGGATCTGGGTCTGGGTCGCAGAAGGACATCGTGGCGCAGCATGTGGAACCCGTGCGCGCTGTCGCGGGTGCACGGCGCGACACGGCCTTGTGCGGGCTGGGTTCACAACTGGGAAACAGGAGACGCATTCGGCGAGTCCCATCCACGGACCAAGAAACATGGGGCTCTATCTACAGCCCGAGATGCACGCCATACTGGACCAGCTGCAGAAGGCGGGAGAGCATCGAGCCACCGGCGGGGGACTCGGACTCCATGAGACTCATGCGCCGGACAGTTCTCGCATCCGTCTGCGCGATCTTGCCTTGGCGGGTCATTCGTCCGGTCCAAGGGCATGCCGAGAACTGCCATTGCTCGCTGAGCGACGATGACTCGAGCGAGCAACCGCAACAACGGCCAGTTTCAACCCCCGGAGCGACCAAACAATGCGCTCGGGGCGGCCAAGCGCACGATAGGCGGCCAGCCGCCTCGCCGTTCTATTGTTGCCACGACGATCCATTTGCACCACTCCCGGCGGCCGCGCTTATCTGCGTCAGCGTCGCTGTATTGTTTGCCCCTGAGGCTGCAGTCGAGCCGCCGACATATGGCCGCCTCAATCCGATCATATATTGCCGTCACGTGCAGAAGTTCTTTGTGTCTTCCGGCGCGCTGATTGACCCTTCGGCGTGGGAAGACGTGGGAAGACGAGCGGGCCTGCTCCGTTCTCAAGAGTCGATGCAAAGAAGGCGGGTGCCGCTGGTTTGCATCAGAGCGCGACCCCGAAAAGTAACGACCCGAGGTTGGTCACCAGCCGCTTTACTAGTTTACATTTCATCGAAGCACTCGCTCTGGAAGGCAGCCGATTTAGACCCGAGACACCGGCTGCTCTGCCTGCCGCATACTCATCTAGTACCGGTAACAGCGCCGTCCTTCACTGCCCAGTGGGGCTGGCGGGGTTCAGCACTGCTCGACTACATCTCAACGAGCGCCGCGCTGTTCCGGCAACAGTATGCATGTGCGTTTGCGATCCCACGGCTCACTGCTTCGATCTCCTGTGCACCATTTCCGTCTTCGCCTCTATCTCCCCTTCCCGATTCCCAGAGCTATGGCGAACGTCAAGTCCGGCCCTCCTGTCAGTGCATTCGACGAACTCTTCTCGACTGAAAAACCAAAGAAGAATAAGCCCAAGAATGCCTACCCAACCGGCGGCAAGGACAAACCCGAAGTCGAGGTGACCATCGAGGTTACCTCGAAAGAAGGCGATGGCCGTCGGCATGTCAACTTTGGCACCATCCCCGAATCGCCCTCGTCGACAGTGTCGGCGGTCGAGAAGATGACCAGGAAAAAAATAGTGCCGACACTGGGGCCTCACATTGGTAGAAAGCGGAGACGCCCCCAAACCGCCGAGAGCGCCACGGACAGGTACTTGTATGCCTTGCCGCCTGGGTGTGCCTCCAGTCGTCCGTACGATGGCCTGCTTCTGACCCTGTACTTGCTACACCAGGGGGAGACGTTCCATGGAAGAGGCAATGCGTGTTCGTGAGCGACAGTACGACATCAACCTCGTCACAACACACATGCCCGTGTACGAGCCGTTGCTGGACGAATATCTGCAAGATTACTTCAACAGCCCAACGACTCGAAAGCACCTATTCCGGCTCGGACTGGTAAGAAAATGCCCTGCCTGCCATTCCGGTGCCTATGTGATATCGAGCACAGAGTTGGGCAGCTGAGGGGCTTGCCATCACACTAGTGCTGTCTATCCTGTTGTTGACGAGCCTCGGGTCGCTTCGTCCCATTCGTTTGCGACAGATCAACCAAGAAGGGCGCATCATCGACAGAAAAAGCTTCAAGTACAGCCAGATCCTTCTGGACAAGATAGAATATGAAGACCGCATCGTGAAGAAACAGGAAGAGCGGGAGCTTGATCGCGAGATTGAGGTATGAGTGCATCGAAGCAACAGCAGTTCCCAGGTTTCCGGCTCTGCATTATCGCGAGTGACTCATGCGTGCGATTTTTGCCCCACAGGTGGCCATCCGCAACCAGATAATGAACGACAAGAACCCCCGATCGCACAAAACCAAGCGCATGAAAAAGGTATGTCGCACTGATGCCTCTGGCTCCTTGCCGAGCCCTGACATCAGGGTCATTCGCCCGTTTGGTGTTCCGGACAGCCATGCAAATGCTCTAGAGCATTTGCATTTGATGCCGCTCCGGAGCATTGCGCTGGCGCTCGGGTACTTTTGCCAGTCCAATGGATTTGCAGACTTCATAAGGTTCTGTCTTTGTCGGGTTTCATTTCATTTTGGTCTATTGAAGAGCACAAGTTGCCTCCTCCCTCCAATATAGCGTTACATGTGCACTGACATGCCACATCGGCCCTCGCGATTGCTGGCAGATCAACTACTCCAACCTCCCATATCCAGAGTTCCTCAACAACTATCCCATAACCATGTACAAGACAGCTCTGCTGTACTCTGAGAAACCGGCTCCATTGATGAATACGGAGCAAATGCTCCTCTCGCGACTGCAGCAGACGCCTGGGAAGCTCAAGGCCCTCAAAATCACCAAGGAGGAGTTCCAGAATCGTGCCATGAAAGCCGATCGTCTCGAGGTGCGCAACCGCGAGCACGAGTGGAAGTATACTCCCGCAAATGAAATCGACATGCGGGTCGAGGACATTCACGACGACCTGAGCGACCCCGGAAACGAGTTCCAAACAGCCGGCCCCGAGGAGGAATCGCTCGAGATCGACGGCCCTGTTCAAAAGGAGCTCAAAGCCAAGGCAGAGCGGGTCACCCAGCTCTTCGATCTCGCCCGCGCTGACTTGGAACGAGAGGATCTCGAGGCTGCCGAAGTTCATCTACGGCAGATTCTCGTGAACGTCAGTGGCGAGGTCGAGTCCATCAAAGAGATCCAGAGCCCTCAGCTGTTACCGACGCAGTCCCAGGGTCCACCACAATCCTTGCACTCAGAGTCTCATTCCCATCCACCGTCGTATTGCGAGCAAACCCAGGCGCCTGGTCCAGAAAATGCCCAAGCCTCTAGCCGCATTGTGAGCGATAACGAACTCGACGAGTTGCTCAACCGAAGCGGGCCTACACTCAACTGGTCTCGGGCAGAAAGGCTCTTGATCAGACATATAATCCAATTGGGCGGCCAGATGGACGAGGTAAGCTCAGACTTGAGCACGGTGTGCATGTGCCCGATATTTTCGACAGAGTACTGAGCCCTCCATCCCGAATTTGCTCTCGCAATCCCACCACGGCCTCATTGTGTTGAATATCTTCGCTCTGTCGCTCGCCTGCATGATCAAACTCGGCCACCGTGCCGTCGGCTACTGTGGCGTTGGTTTGCGGCGGTTTACAACGCCTCGATTCCTTTGCCATGTTGCTTCTTTTATCCGGATCCTCCGCCCCTTCCATGTCTCTAGATCTTGGAGATGATTGTCTCCAACAAGACTCCTATTGCAACCCCAAGAAACCTCGAAAAAGAGAGTCGTGCTGGCTCTGCAGCACCTAGCCGCTCCAAGCTCGTCCGGCCAAAGTCGGCTCGTCCAACCCGCGAGAGCGGCTTCCCGGTGGCATCGGACTTTAGCGACTTTGGCTCAGAAAGTGGATACACCGAGTTTGATAACGATTCCACCATGAGCGAGGAGCAAGGACTTGGTCTTGAGGCAGGGTCATCCGCCAGTGCCGAGCCCATGCGCTCACTGAAGGAAGGCGAGGAAGACGAGGACGAGAGCTTGACCTTGACCAAGCTCAACGAAGTGATATCTCGAGACGAAACCATGAGTCCCCGCCTGTCCCAGCTCCTCTTTTCAGCGAGCCAACAACCACTGCCTCCCAGTCGATCAGCTACCGCGGCTTCCCTTCGTTCAAGCCGTGCCGGAAGCGCACGAAGCCTCCACTCCAAGGAGAGCGAAAAGCCGGCCCCTCTGGAGACTGCTGCCCAGACGGTGCCGCCTGCAAGCCGCTCGGCGAGCCAGCCCGTGATCTCTCGAGCAGCCAGCATGCAGAGTGTGCATTCTCTGCGCGAGCAAGTCCTCTTGAAACAAGGAAGTCGAGCTAGCCAAGGCTCCATTCATGATTCAAGCCTCTCGCGACCAATCAGCAGACCACAAAGTGCTCATAGCCTTGGCCCTGCAAAGACACCTCCAACAAGGGAGGATAGCTTTTTCCGAGCTCAGCACGCTCCTTTGCCATCGAGCCGAGGTTCGCGTGCCGAGCTGGATCCTTTGGTGACGGAATCCAGTGTCGGGGTTGTTCCAGAGGCAACCGTAGTATCCTCTGCCCCACCAGATTCCGACGACATTCAGGAGATCATCGAGTCTCATCGAGGATCAGAGACCAATGCCCTCAGTCTCACAAATATCGGCGCATCTGCTGCTGTGGCTGCCTCGGTCAGCACCATGGGTCCATCCAGTGGCCGCCTCAGCCGACATACAAGTGTGGGAAGCAACAAGATGGCTCGCGAAAGTAGTATTGCGAGAGAAGCCTCTCAACGAGAGCTCTACGACCGCGCCATGACCACAGCTCTGCCACCAAGCCGTGCCTCGACTAAACTGTCGCTGGAGGCTCTCCGAGAGAGTCAAAAGTCCCTTCAGCATCTGTCCGACCAGCAGCCGCAGCCACAGCAGCCACAGCAACCGCAACAACCGCAACAACAGCAGCCACAGCAGCATCAGGAGCGCCAAACGAAGCGGCAGCAGTCGCGAGAGTCAAGCTCGCAGGTGCTCTATCGCGACGACAGTTTCGCTCGTGCCCAGAGAGCCGAGCTGCCCACCAGTCGTGCATCCAGCCGATTCAGTCTTGTATCTAAGGACACCGGCTCTCATCAAGTTATTCGCCAGGAAAGTAATCAGCAGGTCGCTGCTCTGGCAAGCAGTCAGATGGCAAGCCAGCAGACGATTGAAATGGAGGATACCCCGGCGCTCGCTCAGCACAAGGTTCAGACGCCAAGTGCTCGGTCGAGCCATCCCAGCATGGCGACCGTGCCGCTCACCGACATGGCCGCATATGGTGCCTCGACAGACAAGTCCACCGAAACTGTGACCCTGGATCGAGTAGCAGGTGCCTCCAAGACTTCATTGCAGCCCCTTTCTGAGAGCAACATGGATCAATCGGCTCTCTCGAGTGGCGGATTTGTTCCCGTCCGACCTCAGGACTCTGTCATATCAAGCCGGGACATTGACGATTCTCCGGCACTCATAACTGAGCACACTGCAGCTCCTGAGGCCCAACCAAGCTCCGATGCCCTTTCGCATCCCCCCACCAAGGGTGACTCGGTGTCTCGTCTTGTGGAAGATGGACGCAGCAGGCCGCTCCCAGAGAGCAAGTTGGTCAGCCTGAGCTCTGTTTATGACACAAGCGAAGGAGCGCGGTCTGAGCCCGAGGCTCCTCGCGAATCAAGATCGTCACTTGGTCGGGCCCAAAGGGCCCCGTTGCCCCCGAGCGTGGCCGGCAGCGTCCGCACCTCCTTGACTAGTGTCGGGTTGGCAAAGTCTGTATCGCCAATGTCGGCGAGCCCACGAGAGCCCGAGGCAGCGAACCAAGATGAGTCGGCATACGAAGAGCAGGTACGCGGTTGAACAATTCGATTCATGGACTGAATAACAGGACTGCGGTATGGTGCCAGACGTGAACTCATCATGCTTGCTTTCTTGCCACAGTTATCATCTGGAGCCCATGTCACATCCACCTCGAGAAGCTCCATCGTCTCTGAAGGCTCGAGAGCCCTTCGAGTCGCTCAGCAGACCATGCTGCCTGATAGCCGCTCGACCACAGTGGCTACAATGAGTCCTCCGCCCGAGACGACTTCGGTACCCGAATCAACGGGTGTGATCGAAAACGACAACATTGACAAAGCTTCCGAGTTAATCGAGCCTTCGGAGGCCAGGCCGGCCGCCTCCCAACTTGAGAAAGTGGCTTCCAAGCTAAGCGATCTCGAGCTTGCTCGGCGTGCTCCTCTTCCTGCCAGCCGTGCATCATCAATCAATACGCTGCGTCAGACCAGGTCGCTCACGGGCTCACAGCTGATGTCTTTGGGACAAGAAGCCGCGCTCCCAGTAAGCCAAGTCAGCTTGGCCCACATCCCGGCCGATACAGCACGCCCCTCTGCATCAGCAAAGGAAGCAATCGGGGATGGGCAGCTGATGGCAATCGCTCGAAACGTCGAACTACCAGTCAGTGCCCCACTGAGCTCGGCTCCTAGTCAGAGAGCGAGCATTTCTCTTTCGGCAGCTCGCATTGACGACCAAGTCACAGAACACGAGGTATCGCCAAGCGCTGAGTCCAGAGCGGATGTCGAGATCGCCACTGCGACCCATTCTGGTGCCGACGAAGCTCAGTTAGAATATGAAGCCGACTTTCACGACGACGCGGAGCCGCCGATGCAGAGTGAAGTCACCGAGTCTCAAGTGTTTGCGACTGCACAACAAGTTTCGCTTCCGCCAAGCTCCAGGGCGAGCTTTGCTGGCGTGCAGAAGGTACCCTCGCAGCCAGCCCTCTCGGAACAAGCGACCAGCCAGAGTGGAAGGGCAAGCAAGAGCGACCTTGGCAAGCAGCCCGCTGATCAGCCGACTGCCTCCGAAAAGTCGGCAGAATCTGCTGCCCTGGACGAATTCAGTGCTGTACAAAGTACGATTGATACGGTTCTGCGAACCGATTCTGAAGTACTACGTCTTGCCTCGGAGCAACCTCTTCCCGACAGCCACGCCACCAGTCTTGTGGATCTCGGCAGTGTTCGCGGGCACTCTGAGGAAGCACATATCCAGGATGTTCCTACGACCGAGACTGTGGCTGTGCTCAACCAATTTTCCGAGTCAGCCAGAGACTCGCAGACTTTCCACAAAGCACAAGCGACCGCTCTTCCACCCAGCCATGCCGAGAGCCTTCGCTCTCTATCCTCCAGTCGAGCAGCGAGCACAACCCAACGCACACTAATTGGGTCAACGGAATCTCCAATGCTCGACCAGGCGGCTGCCGTTCCTTTACCAGCGAGCGCTATGATGAGCAGACAGTCCATCGCCAATGTCGCCGACACCACTGACTCTACCACAAGGGCATCAGCCAGCGGCATCGAGCGAACTCTCTCGGAGGATTTGAAGCAGGCGCATCGGGATTCCACCGAAATTAAACGACAACCATCGCGAGACAGCTTCGTTCGCGCTCAGCATGCACCTCTCCCCGAAAGTCGCTTGCTCAGTCGAACATCCATCAGTTCCACAGAGCCAGTTGAGCCGGCTGCCAGGGTCGAACCAGCGCTGCAGCAAGCTGACTCAGAGAAAGGCACTGCCAAGACGCAAGACATACACGAAAGCGCTGAAGCTGTACCTGTGCGAGCATCAGAAGCCAGGAAGTCTACATCATCTCTTGGCAAGCACTCATCTGTGCACCGAATCGACTCGACCCCACAACTCCGCGATTCACATACCATGGCGCATGCACAACAAGTACCCCTGCCCGAGAGCCGTGTCGAGAGCCGTGCCGCGAGCCGTGTCGCCAGCCGTACCGTGAGTCGGCAGTCGTTATCCAGACAACACTCGGCCAAGAGCTTGGCTGGCGATGCAGGTGCAGCCCAAGGGGAAGTCAGTGTCCTACCAGAAAGCACAGCGGCTAAGTTTGGCGAACCAGTGTCGGTCGAGTCTGTCGATCCATATTCTGTCCCGCTTCCAGAGAGCGAGCCGCTGAGCCGCTCGTCGGTGACGAGTGCTCGCAAGTCGATTGGGTCACGCCAGAGCCTGAGCTCGAAGTCGGTCATGGCGGGCAGCAAGCATATCGAGCAGGAAACCTTGGGCGGCACGCCCGAAGCAGTGATACCCCCTTCGTCCACACAGACAGGCGCCCTTGGCTCGAGCGATTTCAGGCTCGCCCAGGAAACAGCACTTCCGCAGAGCTCCCGGGTCAGCCTGGCATTGCTTGCAGATGCCCCAGCGCAGGACCGGCGCAGTTCATCCCAGAGTATCAAGGGCGAAGTGCGCAATGACGAGATCGCGACCCAATCGCAAGTGCAGACTCAAAGTCAATCCCATAGCCAGACTCACAGCCAAGCGCAGAGCAAAGCACAGAGTCGGGCTCAGAGTCGGACTCAAAGCCGGACCCAGTCGTTTGCAGAGGCAGCACCAACTCCAGAGCCGCAAGTATTTGAGCAGAAAAGCCGTTCATCGGCGTCGCTTCAAGACCCGGACATACTCATGGCTCAGAGGACAGCACTTCCTGAGAGCCGTGCAACGAGCCGCGCTTCTCTTGGTGAGAGACCAGCAAGCCGTCAGGCCAGCCGGAGCTCAGTCTCAGCCAAAGCAGCAGAGACGGTGACCCAAGGCCCAGCAGGAATCCCCCACGATACGCAAGCGATTGAAGCTGCTGCTGCGACGACACTCCCACCCAGTCGCATAGCCAGCGTGGGATCCATGGTCGAGTCTGACATGGCGCCAGCTCCAGTCGCGGAGAGCCATAAGCCCCAAGAGCATGACTCTGCTTTGGAGGCATCCAGTGACCCCATAGGGTCGGCAGCTCCTGTGCCGGCTACCGCCAGCCAGCCTCGCTCTCGACAGGAAAGTGAGCGTAACAAAGTAACGCAATCGTCCAATGCTCGGTTGAGCCACAGCCATTCAGATCTCGACCGTGCCCGCAACATCCATCTGCCGCCAAGTACCATGACAAGCATGCACTCCGTCAAGTCGGTTGAGCGATTGCCCGAGACTTCTGAGGCAGTGGCGGCGCACACTGGCAGTGCCCCGCAGTCCAAGCACTCATCTCGCCAGCACTCTTTGCGCCAAGTCCAGCCCGAGCAAGCGCAACCCAGCCGATCCGTGAGCCAAAGCTCTCTCAAATCTGCTTCGAAAGCCACAGCAGAGCAAGCTACTCCTGCCGAGCTTCAATCGCGCCGCAGCACCAGTCAGCATACGATCGTGGATGAGAGTTTGCCCCAAACACAGGCAAAGTCCAAAGGAGACTTGACCAGGCTCTCACAGAGCGCCAGTCGTGCATCATCCTCTGCAGCCCTCCCAACAGAGGCGCAACCATCGGTCTCGCAGCCGGACGGTCATGCGCCTGTTTCAAAGTCGAGCAGTCAGGCGTCGATTCGAAAGATCGAATCCAAGCCGAGAACACCGCAGAGACAGGAGTCGGATTCGCGGCTCCTGAAACAGGGGCAGGAAGCACCACTTCCCGAGAGCAGAACCTCGGTCGCAAGCGCTCTACGGGCTCGTGAGCCAAGTCATGAAAGCGTCGAAGGCTCAAGATCCTCTCGGCCAATCTCACGGGCCGCCAGCAGCCAGAGCGTGGGCTCTAATGGCGGACAGGCTCGCGCCGCCGAGACATCGGCCCCGGAAGCATCGACGACCAGGCTGCCCAGCAAATCCTCCAGCCGGACCAGTCTGCCGGCTGAGCCAGCTGTGCGTCAGGTAAGAACATGATTGCTCGCTGTGAGGCAACAGCCTTCCCTTGCAGCTGCACACAAACGAGCACAAGGGGCGCTAGTTTATGTACTGGAAACTCACTGCAGTTTGGATCATTATCCTACACTGCCTTTGGCAGCCGGAAGCACGAGTGTCCCGCAGTAGCTCGCTGAAGATGGACAGCGCCGCTTCCTCTGAGCCAAAGCCGCCAGCGATGCAGCCGTCAGAATCTACAATGCGGATAGCGATGAATTCATCCCTGCCGCCGAGCCGAGCGAGCCTTTCAGAAACCAGCGAGTCGCGGCGCCAAAGCTTGACGACACACACGGCGAGGGCCAAGGTTGATGAAGCAGGTTAGTCTGAGGCGACGAGGAGTGCCTTGGTTCCTTGGCGAGCCGTGGGCAGCCGTCGCCGATGCAGCGGATATATCGCACGACACCTCGGTTCCTTTTGATAGTTATTCGGCGCCCACTTTCCAATCGACATTTCTAGCTGTCGCCAACCACTCGCCGGTTGCAGAGACCGTCCAAATGAGCAAAGCAAGCCACGGCGAGGTCGTCCGCAGCAAGGCAGAGCTGACATCGAGCACCTTTGAGCTCGCCAAAATACGGCCACTGCCAGAGAGTCGAGCCATGAGCATGGATTCGCTCGTGAAGGGCGGGTCTCAATCGAACTTGGCCAAGCGTGGATCCAGGCCAGGCAGCCGAGCCTCGCTCTACAAGAATGCTCCCGACTACAACAGCGTCTACTATGTTCCGCTCAAGCCAGGGCCAGAGGAGCCGCACCATGCTAGCTCCTCAAAGGCACCAAGCCGCTCAATGAGCAGAGAGTCCGTCCGATCGCAAGAGCGGGGCAAGGAGCCGTCGCTGCCCAACAAGCCACTGTCCCGACCAGCATCCACCGGGTCTCTGAGCAAAGCAGCCAATGTACCGCTGCCCAACAGCACCTCCCAGCTCCAACTCGAGACACCCTAAGCAGCAGCATGTGTCTCTCAGAGCAGGGCGTTCTTCTTTTAGCGCGCATGAACCGAAACGGGGGCACCCTGTTTTGCCTTCGCTAATCACTTTGTTTTCTGGGATGTGAATACACTCGCCCATCATTCATACAGCCAGTCCAGAAAGAAGCGGGGCAGCGTCCGTTTTCTGGCATCAGAGGCCCGAAGCCCGCTGAACTTTCGTAAGCCACAGTGAGCGGGCGGTGGGTGTATTCAGAACCAAGAATCAACGACAGTCCTGGCTCGAAGCAATGTTGTAATAGCCATCCGCTGTGTGGAAACAAGGAAACGGATGCCACTCCCATCCTGTTGTGTGGGATTCCCTGCGTATTTCGAACAGCTCCACCCAAGCATCAACGGAATGGCGGTTTGCACAATCCACCAGGTCACTGGAAGAGCATGTATTCAGGCCATAAACAAATGACCGGTGTGCTGTTACGACCGATGCATCCTGTTTGACTGCCGGTGTGGATCTGGCGGATGTGCGCGCTCAGTCGAGAACCATGGTGCATTACTTTTATCGAAGCCGTCGGCGTCGCTGGCGATTGTCACCCAGCAGATCCAGCCGCACAACCCAGCAACCTCCCTGGCAGCCGATCTATTCAGCCTTTCCCTTGGCCTCCGCGCAGGTGGCCAGCAAGTCCTCTCCCTCATGGACATAGTACTTGGCGAAGAAGTCGTTCTGGATCCAGAGCAGCTTCGAAAAGGCAGCAATGGTCTTGGAGCGGGTGACGGGATCTGCCTGCAGGTCCGGGTGGCTGTCGAGCGTCTCGGCAAGAAAGCCGTGGAGCCAAGCGAAAAGGGCTCCAACATGGACATACTCGACATTGATCTTGCTCTTCTTGAGAGGGTTGCTTGTGTGAATTCGGCCCACCCAGTCGAGGTAGTTGACAAACTTGGCATCGTACTCGGCGGTGACGAGTTTGACAAGGTATCTGTAGAGGTGCGAAACAACGTACAGCACCACTTAGTCGACATGCGCTGGATTTTGCAGAGACGGCCGCCACCGCACCGCCGGCGCCAGGGCCTCGCCTACCTCTTCAGAAAGTCCTTTCGGAAGACAATCTGCTCGTCCTGGAGCGACAGAGTCTTGATATCCACGGTCACCTGGCCGCCAAAGCCGTCTCCTTTCTGGGTAAAGTACGCCTTGGTGATATCGAAGGAAAAGAGCTTCTCATAGACCCTGTCCACGATAGTGGGAACCAGCGGGGCGACGAGAGGGGCCGAGGCCTTGATGGCCGCAATGTCCTTTTCGCCAAACTCGGCGAATTTGGAAATGTACTGGAAGCGATAGAGCCGGTCGGTGTAGAGGCTGGATGACGGAGGCCTGTGTGAGCTGCGAGCGGCTCCACAAGTATTCACGGAGGCATGCTTTCCCCGAGCTCATGGCCACTTTGATCATAATCCAGAGCGCGAAAAATCGATGGTTGCTAGGTGCCCATCCAGCAGGGCGAAGCCTGATCTGATATGGGGGGAACCGATAGCCTCCCCTTCCTGGCCACACGCGCACTGGATGCATGAGAATGGCATTCTTCCATACCGGTCCCGCTCGATGGATGTAATTTCGGCCATTGCTGATAATTTGGGGATCTGGTAAACGCGGTTGTTTGTGAGGAACAGGGGCTGGAGGTGGGAATTGCAGTGAGGAGGATAGACGCTGGCCCCCGACAGACGAAAGGTGGCCGATATATACTCCGGCAGGCCGACAGGAGTCTCGACGGCATTTGGACGTCATCGGAGCGGATTGGCAGCAACGGAGGCATATTGGAGGCAGACACCTGAGGGCGACATTTGATCGGCGGGCTGCAGCCAGAGTGATGACGATGCCATTCGAAGCTCTGAGCCCGCCATTTCTGTCTGCATTATCTTACGCGGATCCAACCTGGCGCCTTGTCGGATGCACTCGGTGTTCTGTCCTGGCAGCCCTCCGTCCGATCAAGATCGGCTGCCTGTCTCCTTTGCAGCGGTCCGGCATGGGCTGATGCGTCTTGCTGATCCAGGTTCAAGCGCTTGATTGAGCCTCGGCCAGCCAGTCAGCGCTTGGACGGCCGCGAGGGGTGCTGACCTTTCCATGGGGGATGATGATCTCTCCTTGGAGTGATGGCAACTCCGTGGGCCAGCACCCCCAATGGGCTCCGTTGAATGCGTGCAGGCCCGGCATGGCTGCTGTTGCTTTGATGATGAGCGTTGGAGGGGATCCGGGATCAGAGCGGGCATACAGGGCCTGGCGAATTCGAGGCCCAGGCTCCCCTCCTGCCCGAGCAGTACGCACTCACCCCAGAAGCCTACAAGCCACTCGATCGTCGGCTCTCCACAGATCCGCCCGCCACGGCGAACTTGCCAACACTGGGCCCGCGGCCCTGGCGGAGCACCAAGCGGATGCATCCTGGCTGCTGAAACAGTCCGAGTTGGCCTGCAGAGCATGACATTGGGCTGCCAGGACCACGCTGCAGCTGGAGGCCGCCCCTGCCCCCGCCCTCTCAGCTCAAGCTCGGTCTCGCAGCAGCGCCCTTCCACCCACCACCAGCGATGAGGCTCCGCTGGGTCCAGGTCCTCCGAAGACGCTTTGGGATGCTTCGTGGGAACGGCCTTTGTGGGAACGGCCTTCGTGTCTGGGCTGCGCACGGTGCCTGCCAAGTCGCACATCGCATTCCGCCTTCGCCGCTGGCATCTGAGGCCCACACCGACTCGGACTTGGATCGACCTGCCTCCCTGCAAGCCGCACTCGCCAGTTTCAAGCACACACCCGCCGGCACCGAGCAGCGTTACAGCCGATATTCGGCGACAGAGCTTGCAGCGCCGTCCGATATCCTACTTCCTGGAGCATATTCGATCCGTCTAATCCAGCTCATCGGGCCTGCGACGCTCCCCACTCATGCCCAAGGCGTCAAGAAAGAGAGCCAGTCGAACAGCACAGCACACAGATGAGCCGAGCTCGTCTGTGCGCTCGGCGAGGCGCCAGAGGAAATCAACCCGTCCATCATCGCCGCCGCTGCCAGAACCCGAGTCCGAGTGCAAATTTCTCGCCGATGCACCCACCGAAGCAGCGGCAGCAGCCACCCCTTCCCTTGCAGGCGTCCTCCCGCACGATGTCCTCGATCACATCTTCAAGGCTGTCTCTGCCCAGGGATCTCCCAATGATCTTTATCCGGTGTTAACGGTCAATCAACGATGGTTTGAGTGCGCCGTGCGGTGGCTCTGGAAGGTCCCACATCTCCAAAACCTGGGATCCTGGTGCCGATTGATCAGGACGCTGTCGCTGGAGCATCACCCATACGACACCCGATCGCACTCAGGCACCGAGCCACCCTTTCGGCCATACGGACGATACCTCCGACACCTATCTGCCACGGCAGTCTTCGCCGACAGCGTCAACAACAGCGACCTGATGACCATCTCGCTGTCATGTCCGATGCTGCTGTCGCTGTCGCTTGAATCATGCTATCAAGTCACGCATCGGGGTATACTGTGTATCATCAACCGATGTCCGCAGCTGTCGATGCTGGAGCTTGCTCGAGGAGGCCTGTCCCATCAGGCACTCTCTCGACTCTTTCGGGGGCGACTCGATTCCCTGCGAAGCCTGTCGCTCATGCTCGATGCCTCCGTTCGGGGCCCGCAGCTCGTCAAGGCCATGCAAAACCTCCCGAGTCTACAAAAGGTGTACTTCCAGAACTGCTCCATGGTCAGCGACGAGATCATGGAGCGCATGATTGCTGCCTGTCCGCAGCTGGACGATGTCTCGTTCCTGGATCTGCGAAGTGCCACGGACGAGGCTGTCTTTGCGATAGCTCGCCATCTTGGCCCGTCTCTGAAGCAATGCACACTGGGCCTCTGTAGCAGCATCACTGACGTCGCCATCATCGAACTGGCCCGCAGTTCGCCACAACTTCGGGCGCTGACGCTGGCCCTGCTGGGAAGCATAACGGACGCTTCGCTCGAAGGTATTGCCCAGCACCTTCCTGAACTAACTGAGCTCGGTGTCTTTTCGATCCAAAACATCACCAACACGGGCGTGGACTATATCAGTCGCCGCTGCACCGAACTGCGATACCTGTGCCTGCTCGAGTGCACCAATGTGACATCAAGCGCCATGACGCTCGTGGCCTGGTCGCTCCAGAAGCTCGAGTACCTCAACATCACAGGGTGCTCCATCTTCGAGGCCACGCCGGAGCTTTACCAGCTCAAGCGGCGGTGCATTGACTTTATCGCAGGCAACCAGGTGCACCGCAACCTGCATCTCTATGAGCTGATGCTGTATACCAAGTCAGAGTTTGGGACGAACCATCCGGTTCGATTCACCTTTGAAGTTGTCTGAGCACCGCACTCGCTAGATGTGGTCTCTATCCTCTAGCGGCGACAACTCGCAACGACCAAGTATGTCGGTGGAGGGCTTGAGCTGCCTCTTCGTGCGAGAAATATAGGGCGGACATAGCCAGTTTGGCAAAACATCGAACCGTATAACTGCCGGTGCGGAGGGGGCTGGCCCAAGGCGATGCTGAATGGCGGACGTGGAAAGCCCTCCTCTGCATTGATGCACCGTCTCGCACAAGGCGCCGACACTCGATGCCCTGGATGTCCTGGATGGATGTCCTGGATGGATGGATGCCCTGGATGTCCTGGATGTCCTGCATGTCCTGGATGACCTGGATGTCCTGGATGACCTGGATGTCCTGATGCGGGTGCTGGTCATGGCGAAGCGATTGTGTGGCGAGGCCGTGCCATGGGCGCGACGCGTATCCGGGACGAGTGGCTGCGCATCTGGACAAGCTGCGCACATCGCCGCGGCCAATGGCGTCCCGTGGCGCACGAAATTTTCCGATTGGGCAGCTCCACGTGTGCATTTTTTCTCTCCTCGTCGCAAGCGAGACACAGCGAGACACAGCGAGACGCAGCGAGACGCGGTCACGGCTGCCGAGACGAGCGAGCGAGGAGCGCCCTGGCCGACAAAACACCTCGGTCTGGTCAGCCTTCCTTTCTCTCCCTTTCCACTTTCCCAATCTTTTGTGGTTTTGCGTATCCAAGAGGAGGAAATATCATCGTCAACAATGGCCCCCAAAGGTAACAGCGCCCCTCCCCCAAGACTCGCCCAGCGGAACTGTCGTCGAGGACCGTGCTGGCATATGCGTGGCCGAACCTGCTCTTCTGCACCGACTTTGTGTATCACGAGAGGACGATCGCCCAGACCTTGGAATCGCGGGGAGAGAGAGAGAGGAAAACGGCGTGGCCAGCAACACACTCGAACAGACCAGCAGAACGAAGCATGGATATTCAGCACACTGCAAATCAAGCTCTCTCGCTCGCAATCAGACTTCTCGTCGCTGGCATCGACTTGTGGACCGACATGCTTGCACATCGGGCAGATATCGCACACATCCGCTACCGTTGTCGTCGATGGGCCATGAGATTTGGCGAGGACAAGCTCGACCCCTCAAAAACGCAGTGTATAGAGCCTGGCATCTGTGGATCTACCGAGCTGCCGCTTGCCGCAATGCCAGCTGCGGGGCGACGCCAGACACTGCCAGGGCTGGACGGATGATGACGGAGCGGACAAACAACCAACGGCGCCCAATCAGTCAAGCGACTTGATAATCACGATGAATAGTTGACACAGCGGCGGTCCGGGGCTATTACGGCGACCGCCGGCTGTGATACGATGCAGCACGCACACACATGTCAAGCCAGGCGCCTGCTTGTCGGGCCTTGATCAGCGGCCTCGACTTCCCTCGCCCACCAACCTTGCTGCTGGCGATCGTCCTCTCTTTTTCTCTCGGTGGACTGAGTGTGGTGCAAGCGGTGCCAGTGGTGCAATATCCTAACGTGTCTCACCAATGTCTTGTCTGTCATCCAGCTTCCGTCGCCCCCGCCAAGAAGGCCGCTGCTGCCAAGAAGGCTGCCCTCAAGGGTACCAATGGAAAGAGTGTCAAGAAGGTCCGCACCTCGGTCCACTTCCACCTTCCCAAGACCCTCCGTCTTGCCCGCTCCCCCAAGTACCTCCGCCGCTCGGTCCCCAGCATCAGCTCCTTCGACCAGTACAGAATCGTCCGCTTCCCTCTGAACACTGAGTCTGCCATGAAGAAGATCGAGGACCACAACACCCTCGTTTTCATCTGCGACGTCCGCGCCAACAAGCGCCAGATCAAGGATGCTGTCAAGAAGCTCTACGATGTCGAGGCCAGCAAGATCAACACTCTCATCCGGTAAGCGTCCTCGGCCAGTCTGTGGGCTGTGCGTGCTGCCGAGGATCTCAATGATTGCGCGCGAGCTTACTCTGCTTCTACGTTGATTTGCATCCAGCCCCGATGGTACCAAGAAGGCCTACGTTCGCCTCGCTGCCGACGTCGATGCTTTGGATGTTGCCAACAAGGTAATTGCGTCTGCAAGAGTGCACATGGTTGATTCGGCATTTGCTGGTGGCGACTGTGCTGTAGATCCAATCGGATCGGATCGAATCGGTCTCCTCGGCCTTTGAGGTCCCCCAGTTCCAGCAACCGCTGACACTAACTCGTCCTCGCTCTCCCCACCCAACCTCAACAGATTGGCTTCATCTGAACCACTAGATCTTTTAGGCGGTTTTTATGAAGTGATGTATATTTCAATAAAAGCTTGGGGAAACTAAAACGCGTCCAAAAGCAAAACGGCGGGACACTCTTTCTGGGTCAGGGATGTTGCTGTTTTCTGGGTCCCGAATGCACACCGTCTATCGGCCACCATGACCAAGTGGGTCCACGGCGCCTGGCCGCGAGCGACTCGTTCAGCCAGACTACCGGGATAGTCGAGAATCCACAGCAGCTGTCCAGATCAGATGGTCGTATGCATGCACATTCCTGCATCGCGATATCAATGCCAGTCCATCATCGCCACAGGATATGGGCCAAGTGCAATCAAGAGCATATCGTCTGCGATGCCTGCTCTCCGGCTAGCTCGATCCGGCCACAATCCAACTGGTTTTCCCAATCCATCGATGCCGCTCGTTGGCGAGCGGTTTCATTGTATTTCAAAGCAGGCCGCGCGAAGTATACACTGATCTGGAGAGCTGGCAATGAGGACAATCGTCGGGCGAAGGAAGCGGAGGGAAGAATGAAAATGAGGGAGGTATCTGTCCTCAGAGAAGGAGGGGAAGTGTCGGAGAGGGAGAGGGGAAGAGGATTGTATGAGGGGAGGGATAAGGATCAAGGCACGCGGTGCCCGTGAGGTATAGACCGAGGGACGACGACTATGGCACAGCTTCGATTGCCGCTGCGAATCGGCTCAGAGGGTGAACCAGAACTCGCCGCCCTGAGAGGCGCCAGCGGTCTTGGTCTGGGACGGGTTGAGCGGGTTCAGTGAGAGGCAGGTGTTGGATGCCGTGTGCCAAGACCAGAAATGTGTCAAATGCCAACCGTATGATCAATACCAAACACATGATCACCACCAAGCACATGATCCGGATAAAGATGGGAGCCAGGCCTCCCGCTCAGAACCAGGCACTCGTGCGTATTGGTATGTGGGCGGAGTCGGGGCGCCGGGCGACCACTGGGCAGCGGGCATACCTGGGGGAAACCAGCGCAAGGGTTGTTGTGGGTGCACAGACCTGTGAAGCGAGCGGATGCAGAGCAGAGCGGCAGTGTCAGAGACGCTGTGAGCCAGGCAATGTGATGGTGAAGAAGCGAAATGAACCGCGGGGGGGGGGACGCGAATTGCTGAGTCCGTGGAGGGAGGGGAGAATCGGCCCCTTGGGAGAAAGCGGAGGAGGGAGGTGGAGCTTCACGAGGCAGGCGCGGACCAAGTGATCGAGGGGGGGGGAGACGGAGCCCAGGAGCAATGGTGATGCCGCGGTCTCGATGAGGATCAGATCCGAATGAGAGCCGAGCAAAGTGATCGCCGACGATTGGTGCACTATCACCAGCGGATCTGCTGTGCACCAAAACCGTCTCGGAGCATGGGCACGAGCGGCCTCGGTGTGTATGTACCAAGCAAGCCGTTGGCGGAAATGGGATCGGCGACAAAACCCTTGGAAGCGCCGGGAATCGATGTCTTGACGCTGGCTTGGGGAGCCGCAGGGGCCGGCTGAGCTGGCAAGGCAAGGGTAGATTTGAACATGGGGCACTTTGAGGGATCGAGGTCAGCAGCATGGTGGTGCTCCTTGACCAACAGCGGGGGAGCAGCGACGCCGTCTGTATATTTGGAGCGAATGGCAGACGAGGATAGGCGACAGATCAGCCCGTGGGACACAGGATCACAAACGGATTCGCAGACGGATTCTCGGCGATCAGAGAGAGAAAACCACCCGCTGGTGATGACAAGAGTGCGCGAGCTGCCAGCGAGGCATCCAAAGGATGATGGGGGCAGCGGGAGGAGCTACACTGGCGGCGGCGGCGGTGGTGGTGGTGGTGGCCGAGGATTGCGGCCCTGAGCCGCCAGCCGAGCAAAAACTCTGGAGTTGCAGCGACAGAGATGGCGCACCTGGCTTGAAGTCCATGTGGAGAGGGCAGCCGAATCGAGCAGACATGGCGGGAGCAGGAGACTGGAGGCAGGAGCTGGGATGGGGACGAGAGAGGACAAGTTCGATGCGGCAACCCGAGGCGGCGAAGAAAAGATTCGGGCGGTCGGTAATAAGGTGACGGGGGATGAGCGGCTGTGAGACCAGGGCGGGCGAAGGTGTGGAACGAGCAAAGACGAGGGGGAGGGGGGCCTTGCTGTGGTGCGCGCGACCCAGGGGAAGTGACTGGCTGGCGGGCGGCAGGCGCTCCGAACGGGACAAAAGACGAATGGTAGGGTAGGGAGGACAGAGGGGCGATGGTGGTGGGATTGGGTTGAAGAGTTGAATATGCAGTTGGGTAGGATTGGAGAATATGTCTAATTGAATTGTATATGCAGTTGGAGTGGAGTGGAGCGGAGCATATGTATAATTGAATTGTATATGCAGTTGAATTGGAGTGGATGGGTTAACTACAGTTGGACATATTGCTGGGCATGCACCAGCCTGGATTGTTGTGGGCTTGGACGGAAACGGCGAATGGGCATCCGGAGTTGGATACAGAGCAAAGGCAGCGAGCCAGAGAGCGAGAGCCCACTCTGGCGAAGGACAGAATGCACAGAGGGCACACCGGCCCACAAGACACACACTGGCACACTGGCACACTGGACACACTGGCACAGAAGCAACTCAAGCACCAACTCAAGCACCAACTCAAGCACCCACTCAAGAACCAACACAAGAACCAACACAAGCAGCCGGCTCAGCAGACACAGCCACCGCATCCCGATTCGGAAGGGGAGGCTCGGGTCACGGGATCTGCACGATGCCCTGCGCAGCGATTCTGCTGCGCATGTGCCACACGCGCACAGAGCGCGCACCAACACGACCCGCGCCCCGGACTGACTCACGCCCAATGGCGCGCGCAGACGCGCCGCGGGGCACCGCGTGCGCGGCGACTCGGTCGCGACACACACAGCAACACCCGATATAGCGCGCCACGGCGACAGCATATCCCGCCACAGAGACATTGCATCCAGCCACAGCGACAGTTCGATCTGCCAATATATTGTGCGCCCACACACACACGCGGTTGCGCGCAGCAGGCAGCCATAAACAGACACAAACAGTTGGCCGCCCCACAGCCCGCCGCCCCCGCGCCTCGCCCTTGCGCCTCTGCTGTGTCTCGTCCTCGCCCTTGGCCGCCCTCGGGCTGCTTCACCCGTGCTCTTGCCTTCGCTCCTCTTTCCCTTTCGCTTCCATCCAGCCGACCCTCACCCCGTCCCTCGACTTTGGCCTCCGTCTTTGCGCCGATATGCAGCTCTCTTGGCTCCCAAAGGCCGCCCTCCTCGCCGGCCTGGCCTCGGCCGTTGCCGCCGACAGCAGCAACAGCACCAGCGCCAGCTCCAGCGGCGCAAACTGCATCACCATCCGCCACAACTTCAACAACACCAATCGCATCGCCTCTGTTGCTGCCGGCAACCAAATCTTTCCCCCTCCTGGCCTGGACTACACCGCCTATGACTGGACCATCGACTATGGCATGAACAACATCTTTGTAAGTCCCGCTTCATCACCCTGCATCATCGTGGCGACTCTGTCTTGGCTCGATGCGCTGCTCTCCCTTTGGTCCAGCTTGGCTCTACTCACTCCCCGCTGCACTCATTCATTCGCCCCGATCTGTGATCCGACATTGCATCGCCTTGCCACCACATACGAACCCTCGATCCACCCAATCTGCAATGCATCACATCAACAAATCATTGCACCCACGAACCCACCGCCCGCTGCGATCCCGGCCGCACTCATAACTGTCTCTCGGCCGCACCCGCAACTGTCTCCCGGACCCCTTCTGGGTGTTCTCCGCGACTGGACGCCGCCCCGTCGTTCAGTTCGGCGCCACTGGCGGTGTCATGATCAAGCTCAACAGCACCAAAGCGCTTTCTGGGGGCGACATGCTCTATCCTGGTGGCCGCATGTCGACCACCCGCCAGATGCTCTACGGCCGCTTCTCGGCCAAGATCAAGTGCTCGGCCGTGGCCGGCGTTCTCACCACCTTCATCACCATGTCTCAAGTCAAGGACGAGATCGACTGGGAGATGATCGGTGCCCAGCCCACCCAGGGCCAGAGCAATGTCTTTTACAAGGGCATTCAGGAGTTTGGCAAGTTTGGCGGAGTCCACACCATCCCTCAGGCTCCTCAGGTCAGCCCGACCTTCAGCGATTACCACGTCTTTACAATTGACTGGAAGCCCGATTCTATCACGTAAGTCTGCGCCGATCGAGCCATCCGATGCAAAGAAATCGACCACCAGGTCCGATCGCTCACTGGCCGCTGCCGCCCTCCACCCCTTGCACGTCCCCCACATCACAACCTTGCCTCATCCATCGGTTTTTCTGCCCACACTCCCGCATATTTAGTTGGTTGATCGACAACGTCGTCGTTCGAACCTACTCGATCAACGATCCCCTTGCCTTATCGTCGACCCTTGAAGCCAGCACTCCCTACGCCGGCCAGCCTTGGTTCCCCAACACCCCGTCGCTTATCCAGTTTAGTGTTTGGGATGGCGGTGACAGCTCGACCAGCGGTGTTTCGACCTGGGCTGGTGGCCCCGTCAGTGCCTCCAAGTGTGGAACCAACTTTGAGAACTGCGCGGCCATCTACGAGTGGGTTGATATCCAGTGTTACGATGGCCAAGGCAACGAAGTGGCTGCTTGGCCGCCAAACACCCTTCCCAACGGCAAGGACGGCACCGGTCCCGCCTGGGGCTCGTCGGCAATCAACACCGCCGTCGGTGCTCCTCCTCCGTCCGTCGTCCAGGCTGTCTCGCAGAACAAGACCACGGCTTCAAGCAAGTCGGCAGGTGCTCATGTTTCGGCCAGTGGCCTTGCCCTTGGACTTGCGGCCCTGCTGGCTGTGTTCTCCCAGGCTCTCTGAGCACCCGATGCCGCCACGTAGTGTCCTCCTGCGCGCCGACCATTTGCACCGACGCTCAGCCCTGGTTGTCCAGCTGGTCTTCGAGCCACGGTGAAGTTTCGTTTTGTGCTATGGCTGCTCCTCCCTTCCACCCTCATTGTATACAAGGCTGTGACTCTGGTGCATAGCGCCTTGCACCTGCTTGGTTCATCTGCCGCTCTCGTGTATTTACCGATGCTGACTACCGATGCATCCAATCGTATTCTGTCTTGCTTGGCTCTTTGGTTGCTCTTCCTTTTCATTTTTTTTTTTTTTTGTTATTTTGCTCCACGCCACTGCGTGCACGGCTCCTCTTCCCGTCGCTGTCCATGTCACTCAGTCGTCTCTATGCCAGACATCTCTCAAGCACGCTATTTTTGCGACGAATACAGCGGGGCCCTTCTCGGAAACAGCTTGCTCGCCTGCAAGGCTTCTGTCGGTGTGGTGCGGCGTTAACGAGGCGCTGTGGGTGATTGCGATAGCTCCTCTGGGGGCGAGCACCATCGACACGGACGCATCGTTCGGGCCTATGCACCCTCTGCCCCAGCATTGCTGCTGTTTGTTCCAGCACCGCCGTTTCCGGGCTCTGGTTTCGGGCTCAGTGTTCTGTTCGCCCCGACATGGAAGCTGCGCCTCACCACCGATCCCATTCATGCCACTTTTCTGGCTCGGCCCGATCGCTTCGTGCTTCCCATCTCGATCACACCACGATCGCTGGCATCCACATCCCCGAGCCCCGCGGCATCCATCTTTCCACTCTCGGTCCTGCGGTTCTCTCCACAGACGCCGACACCCATGCTTAACCCGGCTGCGGGCCCTCAGCTCGAGCGCTGTCTCAAGATCTTGAATCCTGCCTCCAACTCCAGGGACGAGGATGTCTTTGTGGCCCTGATGCTCATCCCAAAGCTGCTTGCCGACATCGGCGATCGTCCAGACGAACTGGGCGAGCTAATGTCGCTGATCTACAACAATATGAACTTTCAGTTTCTCTCGAGGCTGCTGCTGACGACCGGTAAGCCCGTCTCTTGCCGGCCGACAAGCCCCGAAGCCCACGGCACTGCTCACTGGAGATCTTGTTTCTCCTGGCATCTGACTCTTGCTTCTCTGTGCGATTTCTTATCCGCTCGGCATGGGCCGGGACGCCATGGCTGCGGCTTGACATCTCAGAATCCTCCGAGCAGCTCCCAAGCAACATGCTGCATGCCGTGGCGGTTCACATCGTCTCCTGTCTCGTTGGCTATGAGTCGCTTGTCGATCGCCCAGAGATTGCATCGATGGCCCCTCTGCTTGTCAAAGTGGTATCGTCGCCAAGGTAAACGGCCTTGCGCCATGCTCACCGCACCCGATGATCCGAAGCGAATCTGGAAACGGGAGCCGGATGTGATCGCTGACTCGCTTCCGCCTGTACATTGGTCTTGATCAAACCCACCTCTCCCTCTCTCCGCAGCGATGAGAATTCGGTCAAGCAAACCGCTCTGCAGTCGCTCTACCGCCTCGTCAGTCACCCCCCAGGTGCTCGAGAGCTCTTGGCTCGAAACTCGATGCTGGAGTTGGTCGATAACCTCACTTCGGATTCAGCAGGTACGCCGTCGAGGACCGATTTCGGCCAATGCGGCACTGGGATGCGATGGAACTGAATGGAACTGAATGGAACTGAGTGAACTGATCACCTGGGCGGGCGGGATGGCAAGTTCGCTGGACAGTGCCGGCTCTATGCTTGGTGCTGGTCCGATCGATTGGCTCCATCGCTGATCTGTTGCGTGACCCTTCCCCGACCAGAGGAACTGAGGCGGCTCAAGCTCCAGTCGCTGGAGCGTTGCTTCCAGACCTTCTACGAACAAGAGCCCGGCACGATCGACGTCGCCGTCGCCAAGCCCGTTTTCGATGCCGTCCTGGACGAGCTTGCAGCTGCTTTTGAAAGGGACAAGACCAAGTGGACCATGGAGTACTTTCAGCTCTGCATCCGAGTGCTCTCGGTCTGGCAGGTGAGCGATACCAGAGGATACGAAGCGACACGGACCCTCCAATGGCTTGGGACGTCAAGGTCGTCCACGCTTCTGGACTTATGCAATCCTATGACTCCTCTCTTTCACTCCCTGGCCGATCGATCGACCGCTTCGGCCCATGCAAGATTGTCAGCCAGGCGACACCAAGGCAGCAGAACAACTGGTCGGTGCGCTTGCGATCTGCCTTATCCGACATGCTCAGCAGCAAGCTCGGTCGTCAGCAGCGGGATCTCGCACTGGTCTGCTGCTCAATGATGCTGCGGCTCTATGGGAGCGACTGGCTGTTGGCTAAGAGCATCCAGCCCACCGAGAGCCAGAGCGCAAAGGGCAAATCGACGGCCAAGGTTCACAGTTATGCCCAGTTTGCTGCCTTGCTGATCCACCTGTCCTGCGCCGAAATCCGAGTGCTGCTCGACGACTTGAACACAGATGCATCCGAGCTCGCTGGCCAAGAGCTGGCTAATCTTGAGTCCAAGTTTAAGCCCGAGCCTGGATCCGAGTCCGAGTCTGAGTCTGACGATAAGGCCGCATCGGCGAGGCAGACGGCCAGCGTCTTTGCCAAGGAAGAGTACTTCCAGAGGCAGCACGATCGAGTTGAAACCGTCCTGCCCGTGTGCTTTGAAATCCTCGAGTGCTTCATCCAGCATCTCTCCGCGGCCGACCAAGACGCATCGGTCTCTGGCAGCGGCAGCCCTGGGCTCAGCCATGATCAGCTTCTTTCCATCAGAAGCGCAATGAAAGAGACGTTTGTAGCCGTGATGGCATTCTTGTCAGATCAGTGGGTACGTCGGCAGTAGTCTGATTCGAGACTGAGGACAGTGTTGGCCGAGCACGGTGGTGCCTCCTTGCTTCACCAAGCAAGTGTTATATGCATTCGTGGGGCCAGCACGCGGCGCATCCAGATGCATAAATAACCAACTCCTTTCCCCCGTTCCCATCGAAACGACCCGAACGTATCTCAAGAATGAGTACCTGCAAAGCGGCCGTCAAGCAGTTCTGGACAACACCGCCACAGTCTTCAGCTTGCGAGCCATGTCATCCTGGCTGGCTGAAGAAACAAGCTCGACGGTATCGGAGATTCTCTCTGTGATCCCAATGTTTGTCGAGGTCGGGAAGCGTCAGTAAGTGCCCTGCAGCTCTGTTCATTGGCGGGAAGGAAGCTGGTGGGTGACCAGCAGAGTGCATGATACTGGAGCTGCGAACGAAATGGCCGTCTGCGCGGACTCGTCAAGTCTCATATGGATGGCATATCGCGAACCAATGCGATGCTCGGCCGATCTCCACTGACATCCGCACACCTCGGCTTCCCCAGGCTTGCGACGATCGACATCCACCCACTCGATTTTCTCGGGCCAGCTCTGCTCGAGGTCCTCACCGAGAAAGAGGCATGCGACTCCTTTGTGGAGTGTCGTGGCCACGCCGTCGTTGCCAGTAGAATCATTGAAATCCTTGCCGATCCGCATGTGCAAGCCAAGCAGACCGAGCTTCTGAACGTGCTCATCCACACAGTCATCACAAGCGGGTCGGTCGTGTCGAGCGATCCAGATACCTTTGCGGCACTCTTTGACGCCTGTGCACGCGCATCCAGTCGAATCCGTCTGGACGGAGCAGGTAATTGAATGCTCGATATGATCTGCCCAGCCTGGCGAGCGCTTCATCTACATACGCTATTGCTGCGGGCTAATGCCACATCTATGTTCCCTGTGTGTGTGCTGAACCTGCGTCTCTAGCGAGCCACCAGGATGTTCTCCAAGCAGGAGCGATTTCGACGCTCTATGCGCTTGTGCTTTGCAACGCCACCGAGGAAGCTGTTCACAACCTCGCTGGGTCGGAGCTACTTTCGTTTGCCGTGGCCTTTATCGGCTTCATGGCCGAGCGGGCCACTTCTCAGGACAAAGGCGAGCAATGGGAAGAGTCTCAAGAACTGTGGCTGTTGACACTCAACGGTAGGATACATCCATACTCATGCCCATCCCTGCAGCACTCACTTCGCATGAACACCAATACTTTCCGTCGGCTGTTGGCATATGTGGCCTATATGGCCTGTATGGCCTGTGTGATCTTCGCGGCTCGGTGATTTCGAATACTCGTCGCTCGCCAGACACCTTGCCAGACACATTGCCGCGCTCTGGACGAGCTCATTGCTGACCAGTCTCCACTTCTTCCTCTGTCACCAGCATGCGCTACATGTGTGAAAAAGTCACAGCAATTCAAGGCCGCCCTATCGCCGGTGTCCGGCTTCCGTACCACTTTGAACACACTCAAGGGTGGGTACCGATTGCATGTTGCGTGCTGCAGATGAGCCCTCACGGCATTGTGATGGGTATGCGCCCCCATATCTGGCGGCAGCTCGCATGCCAACCTGACAAACCAGCCCACGGATCGTGGCTGGCATTTTGCACCAACGACAGCATACAATGCTCACGCACATTGCTCTACTCTTCGCACTGTCTGGATGTCATAACACTGCAGCGTGCCGAGCGAGTCTTGATCTTGACGATCAGCGGAACATCGATTTGCTGTTGACTCTCTCATCAAGGCAGTCTTAGTGCCGCCGAAGGAGGCAAGCCCTTACACTCAGCGCCATCGGTGCCACAGAGTGTCCCGAAATCAAATATACATCTGGCTTGGCCACGACTTGTTCATCGTCGCAGTGGCTGAGACAGCATATGGTGATCGCTCGCAACGATGGACAGGAGGCGAAGGGGAATCGGCGTGAGCACCTGAGCCCCAAAGTGGATCATCTGGAACTCTAAGACATGAGCAGCACCCGGCCATGGCAGCGCACAAGGCCATCTCTCTGCAGTAGTAGGCGCCAGCCACTCAGTCTCTCACTGCAGCATTCCAGTTTCCCTTGTGTGAGCCATCTCTTGGTCAGTCGAGTCCAATCATGTTGGAGACCCACACTCCCAGCCACATTGGTGTCGCCTCGCCCTTGAGGGATCTTTTGTATCTGCCTGGCGGGTACAGCGTGCATCGGGGATTTTACCGTTTACTCCTTGCCATCGCTCTTCTCCCCTTGAATAGTGTGCTGTCGTGATGGCCGAGCTCGCCCCACCCGAAATCATAGGAGCCGAAGACGGCAGCACCAATGCCGATGTCTCAGCCGCAGCGCTCTCAGGGCTGCAGTCTCACTCCAACGGCAACCTGACCGTCAGTGCAATCGAGTCGCTCGCACCCTCTCGGGGACGAGGCCTTGAATCCCGCAAATCAACTGCACCCGGCAACAACGACGAGTCGCGAGTGTCCCATCCGGAGCTCAGCATGGGCATCTTTGGAGGACCAGCGCCGCCAACCGATCCGCTCGCAGGAATGTCGGGCAAGGAGCGGCGTCTCGCCCAGCGCAGAATCCTGGCCGAAGACCCCGAATGGAACCTGTCGCCCGTCCCAAAGCTCAGCGATTTGTGCATCAAGGCAATCGTGACCAACTTTGAGAGTAAGCGCGTGGGAACGAGCGTCGACGGCGGGATGACTGCTCTCTCAGGGTTGCGGGGAAGGGGAGCCACCTGCGGCTGCCTTCGAAGCCGACGGAATACTCGAGCGACATGAGCGACAAGCACTCAGCGTGAAAAGCGGTTCAGTAGGGACAGTCGCCCCCAGAGGGCTTGCACCATTCACTTGAATACTCGACTTCATCGCCAATCGGCTTGCATGCCAGACTAACGAATGCTGCTGCGGTCTCGCTCACTCCGCCTGCTAGAGAGGCCCATCATCAACGGAATCCCGTCCAAACATCGCGAACGGGTCCTATCGTCCATCTCGACCGAGCTGCCGCTTACGATCGTGACGCCGCTGATCCCCGAGCAGCTGTATTGGAAGCGGCGCGCCGTTGCCAACTTCAAAAACTGCGATCCCAAGCAGCACGGGGGCTCGTGGAAACAGCTCTTTTGCGAGCTTCATCTCCAGACAATTATCGAGTCGTACTCACCAAAGAAAGGCCGGGGCAGCGATGAGTGGGATGTCTTCCTGGCCACCGTCCGGCTCCTATCGCCATGCATCAACAAACTCGTCATCAAGCAGCTCAGACCCACGGAGCCAGCGGAAGGAACTGTCGTCAAAGCCACGGATCCACCTCCTGACCACCTGGATCTCCAGACAATGGTGTCGAGTCTGCCGCAACTGCGCGACCTGAGCATCTACTATGGGTGAGCGCCGTGGAGGCTGGGGTTGATCGAATGTGCATTCTATTGGCACTTCTCACATGGACTCTGGTTGATTGATGGCGCTTCTGACTCGTTGCTTCGGCTCAGGATTCGGGACTGCAACATCGATTTCAACTGGTCGTTCTTTGGCATGACCCTCAATGACTGCGTCTTGCTGACCAACGTCCTCAAGGCCAATAACACCCTGACCTCGCTCAGGATCCAGAGCAGCTCTGTCGATGACGATCGATGCAGGCTGATCTCGAATGCACTCCTGACCAACAAGGCTCTGAAAACGCTCGGTGAGCAATGCTTGCGCACCACTCAAGGGCCTGGCGTTGAGGACAATGTCGTTGCCGGACATCCACGCCTCATTGTTGGCGATCCTGAACATGCTTCCTATGGCAGTTGAGCCTGGCTCGGACTGCCTCTAACACTGTATGGCCCTTCATCTCGCCTACTCCCCAGATCTTTCGCACAACAAGATCGGGGACAGCGGTGCCCGAGCACTCGCCAAAGTGTTATCCGTGCAAACGACCGTCCTGGCTGACCTCAATCTCTCGAACAACAAGGTTGGCCGGCAGGGCGCCTACTGTCTGGGCAAGGCACTCGCCACTAACAAGACGCTGCAGCATCTGAGGCTACGGATGAACTACATCGGAGACACAGGCGGTGCCCAGCTCTGCGGCGAGCTGCGAAAGAACGACACCCTCGTCAGCGTCGACCTATGCGGCAACAACCTCGGCGCCGAGACCGTCCGTGCCCTTTGCGCCCTTTTGGAGAAAAACGGGAGGCAGTTGGCGTCTCTGGATTTATCCTGCAATAAGCTCGGCCTGTTTCCATCGGCCACGACCATCTTTGCAGCTTCGGCGGCACCCGCTGTTGCCTCGGCTGCTGCGGCTGGGACCAGCGCTCCGGGAAACTTTGGAGACGACGCCAAGAAGGAAGTCGATACCGCGGGCAAAGCGCTCTTTGAAGCCATTAGCCAAAACAAGGTAGGTGCCGATGGTCTGCTGGATGAAGGGCGCTGCAGGGGTGAGGGCCCATTGCGGCAGCACACTCACTGCGATCTGATGCTGCTCTCCAGTACGTCACCTTCTTTGATATCCGCGTCACGGACCTTTCACAGGAGTACTCTGTGGCGATCCAAGGCATCATTGCCGAGAACATGCAGGCTCTCTGAGGACAACCTGGCGGCGACTCTACTGCCAAGGGCAAGGGGCGCCGAGTTGAAGTGGGCGGCAACGATGCAAGCGTGGCGAGTTGCAATCGATCTTCTTCGCATCTCCGGAGAGCCAGGGCTCCATCACACATCCGAAGGCGCCTGCAGTATCCACGGAGCGGCCCATGGCCAAGAGAAGGTGCTTGGCGATCCTCGCGGTCCTCCTGGGGAAAGGGCGAGGAGGGCCATGTACTCTGATTATATCGCCACGGCAGGTTTCCTCCGGCATTTTTCAGCACAGTGGTTGAATGCGTGATAAAGCCGTGGTGAGCACATCGCTCCATATCGGAATATATTGAGTTGCTGGCTATCTATATCATGAAGCATGCACTTCAGAGTGACGCCGACGCGGGGATCGCTGCTTGCTGTCTGTCGCTCAAATGAGTTTCTAAAGCAATGAGCCAGCCGATTGAATGGCGTATGGATGAGCGACGAGAGTATAGCAACAGAGACTACCGGCAGCCACTGATCAATCCGCTGATCAATCTGCTGATCATGACAATTTGATCAACTCTGCCGGCCCTTACCTTGGATTCGAAGAACTTTTTCAGGTACCAGATTTGCCAGCCGCCCACGGCGAACATGAAGACCAGGGAGACAATGCTGAGCCATTTGACGCGATCGTTGGTGGATTCTTTTTGAAATCAAAGCGGGCAGGGTCAGTGGGCATTGTCAAGGTTGCAAATCCCGCGTGCTGCATCACACAATAGGGATGAGGTCGTCCGCCAGTAATCCTTGGTCCAAGGAGACATCAAGAAAGACCAGCCATCTCTACACCCACCGTTAATGTCGCGCATTTGGGCTTCGAGGGATTGGAGCTGATCAAGCTCGCCGACCATCTCGTTCATCATGTTCTCCAGACGCTTGAGCTCGAGCTCGTGGGGCTTCAGGTTCTCGTTTTCTTTCATGGCCGAGTAGTCTGTGGCCTCGGCGCCGGTATCAACATGGAGCTGGATCGTCTTCTTGTACTGGGGACCAGGGTGGATACCTGGCAGGACCCGATCAGGGACAAGCCACGGTTTGATCAGCAAATACACGAAGCGTGATAAGGGCTGCAGAGCGCCAGGACAGCTGCAGAGCGGCAGTACAGCTGCTGATGCCATGGCCCAGTATCGCGCATGGAGATGGACTCGGGTCGGCAAGGCAGCTGCTGCCCACCGTCCGCGGAAGCCCATGGTATCCGTTTGCTGGATGACCATCTTCGAGCGAGCAAGCACATCACGAATGGGTGCACAGCGGCGATACACACCAGGCTCGAGGACGTTGGTGAAACAGAACTTGACTTCAGCATAGGCGTGGGTGGTGAAAGAGAACTTTTGGATGCCAGAGGCCGATCGCTTGGAGAAATACTTGTTGGATGCATCACTGGTATCAATGATCTATATTTCGAGAGGAGGATGCTCTGGTCAATCGGTGGCGGGCAGCTTTGACGAGCGTCTCGTTTTCTTTGCCGTTGGATCGTTGGATCTTTGGCACAGGGCGCACTGGCCTCATACACCCAGCGACAAGGTCGAGCGTTTGGCGTACTGGTCTTGATCTGGGCCGGGCTGTATGAGGATCAGCCAATCCCTTGCTCGTCGCTCAAGATGCTCCGGATGCCGCCCGAGGACCACCAACTGGATCGTGATTGATGCTGCAGAGCACTGGGGCAACGACGGCCATCAAGGACGGCAGTAACCGTGGGGCGTCTCCGAGCGATCCGAAAGCAAGGGCGAGCCGAGATGGCCGCGACCAACAACCGCAGAACAGCTTGGCCAGACACATGGCGCAACTCACCTCAATGTTGACCTGCTGGGCATAGGGGCTCTCGCCGACATCGACCGATCCCACCACAAGGACGTCCTTGCCCATGTACTGGCCAAGGCAGTGGCGAGACTGCTCCTCCTGGCCATGCGGCTCGGCATACAGCTCGAACTTGACTGCCGACACACAGGCCACGAGCAGAGCCAGGGTTGTCCACAGGCGAAGCATCATCATGGTTTGGCCAGCAACAGTCCCGAACAGACAGAGAGAGAGAGAGGCAAGAGCAGGCGGGTGCGGCGGACTTGCTGCCTTCGTTCACGACAGGGAGAAAAGAAAAGCGGCTCTGGAGATGGGCCTCGTTGGCGAGCACTTCTGACCAGAGGGGCGGGCGAACGCCTGGCCGCTGCTGATTTGCTGGGGCAGGATCACGTGTCAAGTTAGCCGGGACGGCTGGCAGCTGCGCACATGGAAGGCGGGACGCGGGATTGGCGACGAAGCAGCGACAGCACCAAACGACAAACGACAAACGACAAACGACAAACGACACACGACACACGACACACGACAAACGACAAACGACAGACGACGGTCCTGTGGGCAGTCTTCAGAGAGCGGGCCGCCCACTCACTCGGTCAAAGGGGTGCTAGATTGCACAACGTGTATATTTCGTCGCTCGAGCATCGGGCACGAGCAGAGCGGGAGCGGACAGAGCAAGTGCGGATGCGCTCCTCTTCCGTCGATCGTCGCTGCAGCCACAGCATCAGCCGGCGCGTCGGCAGGAAAGCAAGATGGGAGGAAACGGTTGGCATCCGAGCTCCAGCGGCAGCTGGCCAGGCGCAAAAGACTGTCGCCTCTCGTCTAGCGCGAGCGGCTGCGGTATCTTCGCTCGCGGCTGGTGCTGCGTTGGCGTCGGCTCTCGCGCTCGTATCGGTCGCGGCGATCGTAATCGCGGTCGCGATCGCGATCATAGTCTCGGTCGTATTCGCGATCACGGCGATCGTAATCACGGTCACGATCATAGCCACGGTCACGATCGTAGTCTCGGTCGGGTTCGCGGTCACGGCGATCGTAATCGCGATCACGATCATAGTCACGGTCGCGGCGATCGTAGTCGCGATCACGGCGGTCGAAACGATCACGGTCGCGGCGATCGCGGTCAAAGCGTCCGCCACGGTCACGGAAGCCGTCGCGCTGGGTCTTTCGTCCCATGTACTGGCCAGGGGTGGGATCGTGGGGCTTGGAGGTGAACGAAAAGTCTGCAGAAGGAGGAATAGGGTTAGCAACGCAATTGGAACAGCTGAGCTGGGCCTTGTTACGCCGATGGATAGCTAGATGGACCATTTGGAGCTAATTCGTGTTCTCAAACCGGGGCTTCGCCATTCCTACATACCGACACGCATGGACCGATCGTGGTAGCTCTAAAAAGCAGCGATCGCAATGATACAAAAGTCAGAGGCTCCGAAGAATTGTTGCAAAGCTGTTCAGATGCACCAGAGCCTGGTGGCAGCGGAACACAGGAGTGCCATTGTTGCCCCCCCCCGGCTATAATAGGCATGCCCATCCATCCAACCAGTGCGCTGCCGACCAGCTTACCATGCCGTTGAGCTTCTCCTTGGCTTCGGCGGCACTGTTTTCATCCGCCATTTGGACGAAGGCAAAACCCTTGGATTGGTTGGTCTATGACCGAGCGAAATGTCAATACGGGATACTGATTGCATATTGATTGCAAGCAAGTCTTCAGCCCGATTGCGCCTCCAGGTTGACAATGTCCGCTACTCCCCGCATCCGAGACTTACATTGCGATCCACGATGAGGGTAACCTTTTCAACGCGTCCGTACTCCCCAAAGAGATGCTGCAAGTCTTCCTCGCGGGTTCTCAGGCTGAGACCAAAGACACCCAAGACCTTGGAGGGAGGGGGGCTTTGCTGCAATCGAAAGCACCCGGGTGAGCAAGTGCGCGCGCGTGCAGGTTGTCCTATACCGATGACGCCAGTGCTAGCGATGACAGCTGCTGCATAGATCCAGACACTCGTGGATACGTACATAGGAGGGAGATCCGTAGCGAGCGTGGGCAGGGCGGGACGAGGTTCGAGTAGGAGACCGAGAGCTCGATCTGGAAGAGCAGCGAGCATGAGTAGAGAGTCGGCCGAAGAGAAAGCCGGTCCGGCAAGGACAAGGACAAGGACAAGGACAAGGACAAGGACAAATCGCCTCGAACACGCCGCATCCAGCTGCTGGACTCGGGCAAGCAAACGGTACCTGAGCATGCGAGGATCCAGTGGCAGCCGCCGTCGATCACGGGAGTCGAGAGCATGCAGAGACAATCGCAAATGCCGGACATATTGAATATTAGTTACAAACGTTGCGTTTGGCAGACTTCAAGAACGACTTGAGATTCAAGGCGAGCTTGGTATGCGCATTTGGAGAAGCCGTTGATCGACCAGAGAGCGTTGACCGGCGCATAGCAAGCTCTGACGCCATTGGTTTGCAAAGGCAGAGCGAGGGCGAGAGATGACGGTCCGAAAGCGAGGTGATGGCGAGGAGCAATTGGGAAGGAGGCCAAAGGGAAAGGCAAAAAGGAAAGCGCTTGGATCCAGGCTCGTGCCGGGACAGGGTTGCAGCATTCGATCAGCCCGCGAGGCGTTGTGAGCACCCCTCGGCGGCCTGCTCTGTCGAGACTAGATTCCGTTCTACGCTTGCGGCTCGCCGCCTTCCCTTATCCTTCTATGCAGTTCGCCTTCGTATCTCTTTTCACTTCAGTTCCCCTTCCGCCTTCCATTGCCTTCTCTCTTGCCTTGTGCCTCCCAACCAGGCCCCGCCGCACGAGCCTCGGTCGCGACGTTTGCTTTGAGCATTCGCCTTCAAGGTATCGGCCGGCCCTCCTTCACTCTTGTTCCTAAACTTGGCGACCTTCAGCGCGGTCCTTCTCTCTTCAACCCTTCGCAACCCGCAACCAAAAGAACGCAAAGCCGCCATCTTCATCTTCACACTTGGCAGCGACTTGGCATTCAAATTCCGTCAGAGGGCATTGGTGTGAACAAATAGGATTTCTCTGCATCCATTTGCCCGCAATGCTGCCTGCTGCCGCTTCTGCACCGAGCGCTGAACCAAGCATAAAAGGATGGAGGGGAGGTGATACGGGGGGGCGTTGGGTAGAGCTGGCCGAGGCGCCATACCTTCTGGGGCTGTGATCGCGATCGGAGTTGTAGCCATGATCACCGTCATGCTGCTTGCGGAAGCCGCTTTCCTCGGGAGATCCGCTGTGGGATCTCTCGACGTTGCGGGGCTCGTAATCCTGAGGTGGGAGGAACGAATCGTGAGGGGGAGGGGAGCCGGCTAACACCGTGATCGGAGACACGGCTGCAGCTGCAGCTGCATGGAATACCAGCAATCGCCCGGCAAGCGCAGAGACAGGAAGTTCGCTCGTTTGCCTTTCCGCAGTGCACGCCGTCATGAGGTCCCACCAAGACGGTAAGGCTAGACCAGGCGAGCAAGCATAAGCCGTCGACAAGCGCTTCGGAAAAGCCTGACGCCTCAACACACTCCCGTGTGGCGGCCCGCGAGGACCTAGTAGCTCCAGCCTACCTCGTGTCTGTCGCTCATCGGGATAGGCAACCACCGGGCTGGCTTGGGGAAGTTGGGGGGGGGGAAAGCAGGGATCTCGAGATGCCGTGTGGAGCCGCTCCCGAAAAACCCCCAGGCGAGGAGAGCATCGGAGCGAGAGCGCCCTCGGCTGTCCTCGGTGCTCGGGCAGCCTCGTCACGTGGCATGTGGCGCGACGGAGCGCGCGGTTGCACAAAACAGCGAGTGTATTTTCCGAAGGCATGAGTGTGCAAGGAAACGGAGGTGACGACACAAAGAGAGCAGGCACCATTGGGCAGGATCGCGATAACAGAGGTTCCGTTGGCAAGATTGAATCCTGTCGAACCAGACGACACTGTTCCACGACAGATTGTAGCGCGCGTAGCGCAGAGCAGCTTCGGCAGACGGAGCCGTTTGACTGATCTTGCTGTCGTTTCAAAACTCGGCTTCACGACTTTTACCTGCGATGAAGAGCGATTTCAGTAAGCGCGGGACAGTGATGTCACAACAGATTCATCGTCAAGCGTATGCTCAGCACACAAAATGCGATGGGCGGTAACATGGAGCAATGTCGCCGCCGGTGGATGGTGTCGCTGCAGCTGCTCACCTCCCGATGAATGTCCCTCATGAATCGAAAATCGGCCGCCGGAGCTGGTGACTCCCGAGGACGCCTTCGGCTTCTCCGGTGTCATCGAGGCGGATATCTGCAGCGAGGGCCTTCGCTCGATCGTCTTCGATGAACCAGTGGTCTGTGCTGACTGAACAGAGCTCCCAAGCTTTGGCGGTCGATCTAGCCATTGGATTAGTTTCCAGCAAACCGACGAACAAACCGGTGAGCGATCGGCCAGTGGACGAGGAGCAAGTCAGCGGCAGACTCATTCTGCAGTGCGCGATTCGGCTTACCGTCGTCACGCCGCGATATAGATGCTGAACGAGAGTGAGACTCCTTGGAGCTTGGTGGATTTGGATATGGACTTTTCGAGCTGTCCTTGCTTCCAGAGTTCTTGGCAAACGATTCATGGGCCTTGTCGAGAGGCGGCGACTCGCTGCCCGGCTTCATGTTGGACGGACCTGGCGATGATGCTCGGCGTCCTCGACTGCCTGTCTCACGGTCACGATCGCCTTCATGTGTATTGCTGGCTGCTGGTCGGGTTGTTGCCGACGGCCGTTTCGCATACTCGGTGCTGTGCGAATCGTAGTCGGCTTTGGAGGTCTTCTTGGGAGAGTCCCGTCCGCGATAGTCGCCCTCTTCTTCGATCGGCAGCTTGGAGTGGCTGCGGTCATCAGCATCATGCCGGGTGCGGTCGGGCTTAGCCCCAAGTCTCTTGGTGTCCACCAGCTCATACGGCTCGTCGTCGTCGTACTTGCTCTTCCCACCCGACGGCTTCTTTTTTCTGTCGTCGTAGCCATCACTGCGGTCCCGGTCTCGGTCTCGGTCTCGATCCTTATCGCCGCGATCCTTGTCGCTGCGGTCTCGATCGCGGTCCCTGTCCCGATCCCGGTCTTTCTCACCCCGATCTTTCTCGCCACGATCCCTTTCGCGATCTCTGTCCTTGTCGCCGTCGTATCCTCGATCTCGTTCACTAGCGCGGTCGTTCCGGTCGTTCCGGTCGTATCCACGGTCATCGTCCTTATCGTGCCGACTTCGCTCGTCGTAGTGCCGAGTGCCTTTGGTATCCGTCGGACCGCCATCACGGTCTCTCTCTCGGTGAGACTGCATCTCATCGTCCGAACTGCGAACGTGAGAATCGTATGCATAGCTAGCCTTTCTATCGTCTCGAATCTTGGGTTTTGCCGACTCATCGCCCCGGCTTTTCGACTTGGCACCATCATCATGGTGGGAGTCGGCTCCGCGCTTGTCTTTGCCTGTGAGCGAGACCAGGGTTAGTAATGTCGATGTCACGATCCGGCACAAGTCTTTGGGGGCATGTGTAAGCAGCCGAAGCGCTCCGGGGCTGAATTCGGAGTGAGACGGATGTCCAAATGCAAATACAACAGCTCGCCATGTAGTATTCATTGGACTTGCGCATACTAAGCGGCATCCCACCCATCCCACGGATTCCGCCCTGTAGCTGCGTCAGCCCCCTCCTACCTGTAGGGCCGCCGTAGGCTGCAACAATCAAGTGGTCGCCGTCTCGGAGGATGCCGACGGCGCTGGCTTTGGGTATGGCCACGAAATCGCCCGTGTAGAGCACGGCCTTGTTTGGGTCAATCCCGTTGTCATCGGGTAGATGCTCTTGCTTGACTTGCACGAGATAGTCCTGGATGGACAGGGGACGGCGCTCAGAGGCCGCCGGAAGCTCAGCAATTACTCGTCGAGCAGGGGCTGGTGGTATATCGCCGGTAGTCTGGCTGCTGCTCGAGGGAAACCCGATGAAGTTGAGGGTCACTCTGGGCACAGAACTCCAGGGCATGGTGGTGGAATGCGCAGGGAATGCACGCGAAAGTTGGCTGGGTTTGTTGCGTTTCGCTCTCTTCCACTCTGCCGGGGGTATTCGCTATCGCGCTGACCAGACCGTCGATGGTGTGAATTGACAGTGTGCCCGCAGGGCCGAGGCACTAGGTTGGTGGTGGTGGTGGTGGTAGTATTCCTGTCGTTTGCGGCTGAGGATGGCTGTCTAAGCGCTGTGTTTGGGGAAGCGCAGAGTCTCGGTGAGATGGAATTAGGCGATGCTATCGCTGCTGTTACTTGGCAGGCGCCCGCAGAAGCGACTGCCTTTGCACTGGGAGATTCGAGATGGTGCTAAAGGAAGGGGAGGGGCTCTCCGAACCTCAATGCGAGATGCACAGTATCTCCGTCATCCAAAGGTTGCGGGGCGGTATGGTTGCAGACTGACGTCGAGCGGAAACGTCGAGGCGTGGCAATTGTGCACTCTCGCTGTGCAAGTGCCGAAGGCGACGGAGGCAGCATTGTGTCGGGTTCAAATGCTGTCCCGAAAGCTCCTGGGTGCTACAGCCGCAGACTCAATCAGGCTCTGATTGGAATTGTTGAGGGGCCGAGCGGTGAAGCGATTCCATTCGAAGCTTATTCTGCTATCTCCCCTCCCCCGCAGCTGGCCGTTCACTCCACATCCACATCCGCACAGCTCAATCAAGCGTCTTGGCTGGCGCCTGTTCGTCTGCTCACCAACGCTCCCACACATGGATCTGTGCCTGACTGCCAGCACATCCGGCGGCGGGCTCGCACTTTGCCCCTCTGCTTTCGATACATCTGCTGCCCATCGCTCGTCTGGCTTCTTCGCTCGCTGATCTGCCTGTGCATCGTGTCCAATGTCAGGCCGAGCCCTGGCTTTCGGCTGCATCGTGGTGCTGCAACATGAGCGCCTCGCCGCCGGACGCTATTTTTAGCCGGAGGAGCCCAACCGGATCTGCAGAAGGCGAGCAAGGAAAGCCGGCGACGAGCTTTCGGGCGACTGGCGAAAATGCAGTCGTCCAGCACCGCATCTGTGCCGAAGCGCTTTTGCTTCAGCTTACCTGCTGCCTTGCTAACCAGCCAGCCAGCCAGCTAGTACACTCCCGTCTCGTCCAAGTTCCCGATGCAAACATGGCAACCCGCCTGAGCAACCAGTTCCGGGTCCTGACGATCTGCTATGCCCGTGCCTCCCGCCCTGCCGAAAGAGAGGCTCTCTGGCCAATCCTCCTCGCCACTGCCGAGCGACTTGTCCTGGTGAAGAAGCACAAGCCGTATCTGGGGCTGTCCAGCACTGCACACCGCCAGACCCACCTGGCCGTCCCAGCTTTGGCAGCACCTTCATGCCCGCCCTCCGCTCCGTCCATGGTGCTCGAGTGCAGTCTGGCCCAGCCAACCGACAGCCCCTCCACCAACCGCATCCTTCTGCCGACCGAGCTCCTCGAGCGGATATTCCTGTTTCTCGACTGCCAGGGACAGTACCACAAGCTTACCTTGGTCTCGAAACAGTTCAACCGGATTGCTACGCCCCTGCTCTACCGCTCGCCCAAGCTCTCGAGCCCCTATGCTGTCGACCGATTCCTGTACACTTGCGACGGTCCAACGGCGAACCGCACCTGGAGCTACGGACCCATGGTCCGAGAGATTCACTTCCTGTCGCCTATCCGCGGGTCCTTGATCGGACTGCTACCGATGCCGCATGGTTGCGAGGAAATCAGCCACTCGCACTCGACTCTCTTTGCCGTCCTGCTCCTCTCACGCCTCAGCCCGGACCCGGCCATGAGCCAGATATTCTACTCGATCGTCGAGACACTTCCCCGACTGGTCTGCATCCGTGAGACCTGCAAAGGCTCAGACGAACCCATTGCTGTCAGCTCTCGGCTCGCCTCAAGCATCAGCCAGTCGCTGGGGCCCGATGAGGGGCGGGGTGACCACAAGATTGTGACCAACTTTATGCTCGGACAGCTCCTCAAGGCCAGCAGGCGTTGTGTCGAGTATGCGGCCGGAGCCGGAATCAAGTCTGCCAACCTCTTTGACTGCAGCGAGTTTCTGCTCGAGATGCTTGAAGGCGACGCCAAGCCCATGTGGGAGGGCATGAACGGCAAGTTGCTCCGCCAGGCCAAGACGGCGGTCATGCAAAAAGTCAAGTGGATCCTCAATTCGCTAAGCACGGGGCTGCTGCTGGAGGTGCAGTACGTGACGCTGTGCTGCCAGCGATTGTTGGAGGTGTATTGCGGAATGTACTATTGTAAGTACGATCGGTTGTTGCGTTTTTGAGAGTGCTTAACTCATTCTGAAGGGGTAGCTTCCATCGATGTGCGGATGGATCGATGGATGTGTGGATGTGTGATAGTAGAGTGTGCTTTGGATCGCCTTCGATGGCCTCTCAACCCTCCCCCAATATCCCATCATACCGCACAGGCGCCCTCAGCAAAGCCGATGCCTTGGATTTCGACAATCTTATCCTGGCATTTGAAGATGCGTTTGGCAGGCCCGTGCGCAATGGTTGCATCTTTGACCAGCCCACCGATTCCGATGCGATCGAGCGGCTGCTGAACTTTGATCCATGGGACTACGATGCCACATACGAAGAGCCAATGCCAGTGCCGATGCCGATGTCGATCGAGACCGCGAGCCTGGACAGAGATTCTGGGCACATCCCCTCCGACCCCGTTCGGAGAGTCTACCAGGCGCTGCAGCTTATCACTCACTCCAGCCTGACCGTCGACGAGGCCTCCCGAATCACCATCTGGAACGACAGCTTTCTGGAATCGCGGGAAGAGTTTCGCGCCGCCATCATGAACATGGAGGCCGGCTCGCTCAACATGGAAACCGCCGAGTTCCTGGACCTGTTGATCCGCGAGGACATTGAAATCGTGGACGAAAAGACATGTGCCTTGGCTCTGTGTGTGGAGTGGATGCGCGATGTCGTTGTTTGGCAGCGAGCAACCAAGCAGATGGACTCGGTCAAGGCCCTTCTGCGCAGAAGTATGCAAAAGATCGACGCCTTCCGGGGCATGCAATGGCGCTATGGACTCATGTTTATGGACTGAGCCGCAGTTGGCCATGCGTTGCGGCTCTGCCGAAGGATCGAAGGCGCATTGCCGACTGCCATGACATGAGATCGGCATGCACCCGCTGCTGCAGGCCGAAACCCAACCACGGCTCGGTTCCTGCAAGACAAGTACATGCTCAAAGTGCCCAGTGCCAATCCAGGATTGTACCCTGTTGCGCTGTGTTTCCCCACTCAGTTGCTGAATACATGCACTTGTGGCGAAGGGTTGCTGCCCTCGTATATGCTGGTCCCGGATTGGTAGTGATGGTTTGTGATGGTTGGTTCGTGATGCCGCTGGTCTTGTGAGACGGAGCTCAGAGGGCTACGCCATAAGCATCAAAGTTGCGGACAATCACAGTGACCTCGACATGGACCTTGCCCATCGAAATGGTGTTGAGTCGATACCGGTCCATGGGGCTATGGATATGATCCAGCTTCTTGAGCTGCGGCGTAGCCCCGAGAAAGTACGCTGGCGTTGGATTGATAGAGATTAGCTCTCAGCTCCCAGTCCAGTCGCCCCCAGGCGAGACAGCGCAGCCAAGAGCTGCCCATGTCGAAAACACAATGTGCAGATGCGCTTACACCATAGCTGATCAGAAGTCGATCCCAGCGGTCGCCATGTCGGACATTCAAGTTCATGTGTGCCCGGGGTGGTTGGAAGGTGAATGAAGCCATAGCCGTCTTGGATGCATGGTCGAGCATGGACAGGGTCGATGAGCGTGTGCCGTTGCAAATTATGTTTAATGGGGCAGGAGATCAGTACATGGCCCACCAACCAGCATTGCGGCCCGGCATATCCATGGAGCTATTCGCTGGCGCAGTTGCTGGTACAATTGCTGGTACAGCCGCTGAGATACCCACAGAGTTCATTCCGGCCGTATTCATCCTGGTGGTAGACCTGGAGCTGTAGCTTGGGCCATCCAACCAGAGTTTTTGTGCCGTAGTGAATATCTGGATACCACACCCATGTCCGTCAGTATATACGCGTTGGGCATTCAACCGAATGCCTAGTTCATAGATTCAGCCATTCGGTGCTTGGCCGCACGGTTGCATCGCCGTCAGCCAAAGTGCCGGCTTCCCCGGCGACCAGCGCGGCCATTTACCTATCGGGTGGCTCCAGATGGTGTATCGGTCGTCCTGCAAGCAGTTTCGGTGCGTGCTCGTTTAGTTCCCATGTCATTAGGGAACGAGACGCCGCACTCTTCACCATGGAGGAGGCCAGCGACATCCATCTCCGCGATCATTGAGAGCCAGAGCTTCCCATGCGATGTCGATCGCCAGACACAGATTGACCTTTCCCTTCGCTCGGCTCACCGTTGGCAGATCGACATGGGTCTGCCCCGAGGTTACTCCCTCGATGACTTTCCAGCCTTCGCCCGCGATCAGACTCCATTTGCAGGACAGCTTTGGTGATGGGAATCCCGAGGCGCCCAATATCTCTCCGACGACGTGGAGCTCGGCCATGCTGATGCGATCGATCCGGTCGGCGTTGGCGCTGCGGTTTGATGTCTGCGACTCTGAGCTGCTGTGGCCACTGCTCCTACTACGGCGGTAGTCTCTGGGGTGCCGGGTCAAGGAGACGGGACGAACCGAGTCAGAATCCGTCCTCCCGAAGCAACACCCGATGAAAGCTAGTGACCCTCCCCGCCCAGAGGAATCGGGTGGCCAGCCAAGGCTCTCAGCGCCAACGAGCTGCCCGCCAAATCCAATCAACGGCTCCACATGAGCAACAACCCCGTTCGTTCGTCAGCGACCAACATAAGCTGCCTGGGCCCTGCTCAGAACGCAGGACGCTCCGGCTGATGTGACGCAGCCGACGCATCAAATTCCAGGACAGAGAATATATTTTGAGACAAGCTGCCTAAACAAGATTCGCAGATCGGCCAAGCAAGCGCCGCCTGGAGCTAGATTACCGCGATCAGGCACTCACGGTCGAGCAAACAGTGACGCGGATTACTGCCACCAAGATGGCTCAGCGCTTCTTCGGTCTGGGCTTGACCTCCTCGTCAGTTGTAGCATGCAGCATGATCGCATTCTTGGCTCCGGCCTGGTAGTGCTCGTGGCCTTTCGACCAGTCGTAGGAAGCAGCATAGGCAAAGATGCTGCCGGTGCGGTTGAATGCCGTGGCGCTGATGGGCATATTGATTGTCGGGATGAACTTGAGCCGCTGTTTTGAATCCTTGTCCCACATACTATAGGTACCATCAGAGCCAGCGGTCGAGAAGGTGCCGTGCTGGGGGTGGAACGAGATGGCGTTGACCGAGTACACATTCTTGTCATCGCGGTGGCATTTGAAGGAGAAGTTCTGGGCCTGGTCGCGCTCGTCGACGTACTGGATGCCGACTCGGCCCTCGATCGAGCCGATGGCATATCCCGCGGCATTTGGGAAGCACGCAATCGTGCGAGTCTGCCACTTGAGCGGCGAAACGATTTGCTGGGGGACCGGGTCAAACGAAGGCTCGTAAGCACCACAGACGATACGGGCAACCGCACAAGCTGGCTCCTGTTCGAGCTGCATTGATCCGAACCGACAGCGCCAGCAGTACGTACCTTGAAGGGTGTGCTGGGGTTTGCCAAGCTGTAGATCAAGATATGTCGCTCGGCGGTGCCGACAACCATCAGCTCGCCAGAGACATCCAGGGCGAAGCACCGCTCAGGCAGGCTGACTTGCAGGGCCGGGGTCGGCTGTCGAGCATCCCAGTACTGCAGCAATCGAGTGAGCCGACAGAGCGGCACATTGGGTTAGCCATCGGATAGACAATCAATAGACGCCCGCTACAGGGAATGCATCTCACCTTGATCGTGCGATCCCAGCTGCCCGTCACGATGATGTTGTTCATCGATGCTGTGTTGATCCATTTGCAGCACTTGATAGGAGCATCGTGGGCAGCGACTTGTGTGGTTTGTCCTGTGGTGATGTCCATCATGCGGCCGGCCTTGTCGGCTCCACCAGAAACCAGCTTGGTTCCGTCCTGGAGAAGGTTGCGATGCAAAATGCGGATGAGTAGCCTGATCCGGATGGATAGGGTCGATGTCGCAGGCGGATTTGCTGCCAATCAAGTCCTTATCGAGGACTGCAGGAGCGCAGAGTCGGCACGTCGATCGAAAGACGAGCCGATCTGCCATCCCGCCGGATGGGCATGGCTGCGCCCACCTTGCTCCATGCACAGCAGAGTGCCGGGCCTTCGTGTGGGATGGATGCCTTGGCAACAGTGACTCCCGTTGGCTGTACTTCCCAGATGCGGGTCTGAGGGGATTCCGGACGGGTTCGGGGCACAGTACAAAGTAGGCAAATAGAGGGAGGTATGCGGCCGACGGATTGAGATTGTTAGCGATGCCTCGATAAGGGACATGGCAGCGCAGAACATGCGGAGCCCAATCCAGGGCATATCCAGGACATATCCAGGGCTGGTTCAGAGCAGATCTAGAGCAGAACGCCTTGCTTCCAGGAGCGGAATCCAAGATCGGCAGCCCTCCGATGCCAATGATCGCGCGCAGGCTGTTGATGTGCAAACCCATCCCCACGCAGACAAAAAGGACGAGACCGGATCTTTCTCCGGCGGATAAGCAAGACCGCGATCTCTGAGCAAGACAAAACGGGCCAGGAACAGAGCATACCTGGTTGTCCCAGCTGCTGGCAGCCAGGAGATCGATTTGGGGGCTGAATGCCAAATCAGTGATGCCGTCCGTAGCGGGAGGGTTGACCTGCGAGATCACCATGCAGCATGTCAGAGAATCTCGCGGACTGCGGCTGGCCAGTGCTGGTGAATCCAGATAGAGCGAGCGAAACTGGCGAGAGCGTCGCTTGGGTGGGGATCGCCGGGCTGCAAAGGCTTACTTCGAGATCTTGGGTGGCCATGAGGGGCAGGTGGCAGCGACAGTGCAGGAGACAAGGTGCGGTTGGCTTGTTCTCGAATATGCGGTTGTTGCAAGGGCGGCAGACAGCTCGCTAGTGTGCCCCGGCTGGATCGGTGAGTGCGCCGGGAGGCTGCGGGATGGAGATGAGTCGAGAACAGAGATGAACGACCGCGACGGTTTTCTGCGGGGCCGATGCCGGGGCCGATGCCGGGGCGGATGTCGGTGTGGCACAGCGCCGAGCGAGACGAGAATGCGCCGATCGTCCTCTTCTCGGCCGGGGCAAGACATGCATTCCATCAAACGCCGTGTATCGAGATGCGACGGTGCATGTGTCCGCCGGCGAGCACACCAAAGTCGATCGCTCTCGAGGCGGATGTTGTGTTGAAAAATAAGCAACGAGACACACCATTTCTTTCGGATAAAACACACCACACCACACCACATCGCATCGCATTGTGCACTCGGCGAGAGCGACCCATGGAGTCAGTCCCCAGACTGCAATATCTCTGCAGTCAACACTTCACCAGCTGTGCCGGTGTCATCTATCCGGGCGATTGATCAGTATTGTTCCACACACCATCTGCGCATTGAAGTAACGACTCCAAGCACCCGATGGAGATGCTCTCGCCGAGAGCCCCGCTGAGAACGCAGCCGCACCAAAACCAACCGCCGTTCCCATGCGCCATGTTCTGCTCTTTGTCCTCCATCACACCCATCTGCTCGTCGTCCTCCATCGCACCCGCCTGCTGCAGTCCGCATGAGCACAGAGCCCAAGCCCATCGCCGCCAAGACCCTCATCGAGCTGCCCCCCGATGCCACCGTCCTGGTCGATGACCAGGGCGGCATCTACTACTCGCTTGGCCCCGGTTCGTCGACCCTGGTCCCTGTGTCGCTGCCTGTTGCCGAGCCCATCTCGCCCCCAACCAGCCCCCGCACCTTGGCCCGGTCGCTCTCGAGGTCGCAGTCGCTGGATACCCTTGGAGCTTCAGCGCCGTTGCCTGGCCAGTCGCCTCCGTCAGCTGTCTTCAGTACCATGATCGCCCGTCGTCCGTCGGCGCTGCCCGAGGGCTCTCCCCGGGCTGTTCCGAACCAAGCCGCCTTCTCTCCCCAGCTTGCTCGCTCCAAGAACCCATCATCCGAGAGCCCACGCCGGGCACCTCCATCTCCCGCGGCCAGCAGAACTCTCGACCAGCGCCATCGCAGTCCCATCGCATCGAGAACCCGCCCGATACCGACCCGTCAGCAGTCGCCAGCCGCCTCCACCGGCAGCTTCGGCTCTCCGCCAGGACTTTCGGATCTGCTTAGCTCGACGACCAGAGGCGTACCCGTCCCGCGACAGTCCCGGACAGCCTCAACATCGGGCTCAAGCGCCTCCCGCTCACCGAGAGCCCCGTCAATGTCCAGGAACAACTCGGTCCAGCACAACCAGGCGCTGGCACTTTCTTCGAGCGAGCGGACCCAGCAGCATCGACACCGGCACTCGGTCAGCGACATCCCCATGCGTCCGCTCTCGGCCATGAGCACATCGTCGCATGCATCTTCGTCGCTGGGACCGCGGTCCCGTAGCAACAGCGCGGCTTGCGAGCACAACCCGAACGAGCCCTGGTCAAGGTCGTCTGGCTCATCTCGCCAACGGCCAATTTCGCTGCTTGGGGAGCGGCCGTCGTCCCGCAACCCGCATCTTACCCATGTAGCCCACGCCCGAGGTGAGTGTTGCAGCGTCTCGGTCAGGGCGCAGACGAATCGCTCGGCTTGCGAGACGAATGCTGAGGGCACGACGCCGAGCGCATGGGGCGTCTCGAGCCACCGTCATCAGGAGTGTGATGGGAGTGGTCGATGCATGTGCGCAGAGCCGCCCGGATGTCGAGAGACCAGCGGTACTTGAGCGAGACTTGAGGGTGGATGTCGGCAGTCCAGCAACATGGCAGGCAAATGTCGCTGCAAACCACCTGACGGACAGTCGTGCTGATATCGATCGGCTTTCCTCAGATAACTTGGGCAACTTTCCCTCGGGAATCTCGCCTCGCTAGGTCCGAAGCAATGCGTGGCCGAAATGCTGTCCCTACTCTTCGTCATGTCGCTGCTGAGATTGTGCTGCCGATCCCAACATGTATCATTCGCCCGAACGAGAGCGAGCTTGGGCACCCCGAGTGCCTGCAATCCACAGGCTGCCCATCGGGACCAGTTCATCCAGGATGCGACGGGTCGGGTCTGGCCCATCATCTCCGAGCCAGTCTCGTCTTCGGGCTGAGATCGTTACCGAGACCGCCAGTCTCATCGGGCAAGGCAACATGCTGGGCTTCGTTGTGGGATTGTTGCCAGGCGCTCTTTGGCCGGCCATCAGCCGCCATCTTTCCCCACAACACCAGGCCGCCAGGGTGGCTCCCCGCTCTTGCCTGGTCCATGCTGGCCCAGCCTTGCTCCCATGCCGATCTCCTCATGGGTCCTCGCCGGCCATGGCTCTCCTGCTGCACCCGGCCGGCTGCGGAACCCGCTCCGGAGATGCTGGGCCGCCTCGATCGCCTGTTGGCCGCGACCAGCCAGGCCGTCCGCTCTGTCGACATCCGGATCATCCGTCCAAGACCAGAATGGCCAGCTCCAGCAACAAGTGGTCCTTTTCCCTCTACGACTGCGTCAGCAAGCTCTTCAACTGGACCAAGATGGCCGACGACAACTTTGCACTCGTCATCCATGGAGGCAGGTGTCCACCGACCGAGGTCGCTCTCTGATGGCCCTTTGGGGATGGTCCGTCTGGCCGAGACCCCAAGCGCAAATGCTTGTCCGGCTGTTGACGCCGGTTCTCGTTGGCTGATCTCCAGGCGCCGGAGTCATTCTGCGGGAAAAGATGACCCCCGAAGACCGCGAAGGATATCTCCGTGATCTGCGCCTGTCGCTCGAGGCCGGATACAAGATCCTGCAGGCCGGCGGCTCGAGCCTGGATGCCACCGAGGCTGCCGTTCGGGTCATGGAAGGTGAGCAAGCAACAACGGCATGCATGCAGGTGGCCCTCGGCAAGCAGCTCCTGACGACCCAATGCGCTCTTCTCTCCAACCAGACTCGCCGCTGTTCAACGCCGGGTAGGATCTTGCCGAATGCACTTGTGCTGATGGACATCCGAGGCTCGCATCCCATCCCGAATCTCACTCTGTCCGCCTGGCCGACTTTGTCTGCTCATTCGGTTTGCTGCTCGTCACCAACCAAAGCAAGGGAGCCGTCTTCTCCAGGGACGGCAAGGTAAGCAGCACGCCGCTCCCTTCCTCTCCAGCAGCCTCTCCCACCTGCAACCAACAATACGCTGGCTAACAGAAGCAACACCCGTGTCCTGCAGAACGTTCTTGAGGCATCCATCATGGACGGCCGCACCCGAAAGGCCGGTGCAGCGACACAGGTGAGTCGACTTGATCCCAACGACAAGTGCCCACATGCCGCCATCAATAGCGATTCGCATCCGATACTCATATCCCCGGTCGACTTGGACGGACCAGCTCATGACGGTCAAGAATCCCATCTCGCTCGCTCGCAAGATCATGGACAGTTCGCCACACGTCTTTGTTGCTGGCGCCGACGCAGAGTCGTTTGCCTCGTCCGAAGGCCTGGAGATTGTCGATCCTGGGTACTTTTGGACAGGTGAGCCGAAGGGTTTAACTTGAGGCGCTCGACCCGGATATGGCTGGATATCAACGACATGGTGTTACCCTTTTGCTGGAGATGGTGCTGGTCTCTCCCTCCTTTGCTCTTCGAGCCAGGTACTGGCCCACATCAGGCTTTGCGCTGATCACACTATCTGTCCTCCAACGTCCGCTGTCGATCTAGAACGACGCTGGAAGCAGCACAAATCTTCGCCCAACTCCATCACCGTCTCCGAATCGACTCAGCACGACGAGTTCCACGAAAAGGGTGACAATCTACCCAAGGGGACTGTCGGTGCATGTGCTCTGGACCGCCACGGCAATCTGGCGGCAGCAACCTCGACCGGCGGCAAGACCAACAAGTGGTCTGGGCGCATTGGCGACTCGCCCATCATTGGCGCGGGCACGTTCGCAGAGAACAGAGTCGTTGCCGTGAGCGCTACGGGCGACGGCGAGGTAAGATCCATCCATTCTGCTCATGGAGATGAGGGTGGAGGGGGAGGGCACGCCATCTCAGCTCGACTGACAAACTCTCTGATGCGCTGGAACGCCATGCTACCGCCAGTACTTCATCCGATGGAACGTGGCCTATGACATTGCCTCCAAGATCAAGTACGGCGGCCAGTCACTTGGCAAGGCATCCAAGGAAACTATCGACCATCTCAAGACCGTCGGTGGCGAGGGCGGCATTATTGCCATCGATAGCACGGGCAAGATCGCCTTGGAGGCCAACACTCCCGGCATGTTCCGCGGATACGTCGGCAGAGACGGCGTCGTGAAGGTCGCTATCTTCATGGATGAGCCGTGCGTGTGAAGCGACATCGACTGAACGACCCCGATTCGCGACCGGGAGCGTCATCTGCCTTTGTTTTGACAGCGTCAATACCATGGCATATGCCAGCAGCGAGGCTTTCGCTTGTCCTGTGATTGCAGTGCCGATGTGGGGATGAGGGATTGCCACCATTGTCCTCGAATCGCCAGTTCAACCCAGCCCAGCACAGCACAGCACAGCACAGCACAGCACAATCCGGCCTGCACTTTCGCTCCCCTGACCCAGAGTTGATCAGTCGCCTTCTCAGTCGCTCCCTCGGTTGAATGCACTCGGCCTCCCCTCAGCTATGACGAATCCGAACAAGCATCGCTGCGAATATACGGACCTGGCAGGCATGCCATGCGAAGTGTTCGAGCAGATCACTCAGTACCTCGCCCTCGGAGATCTGCTGAGGCTGCGTCAGTGCTCCGCCCAGCTTGCTTGCCAAGTGCTGAGCGTTGGTGCCTCGTACATCTCGAGCTATCCCATTCGATGGGCTGGCTCGCTGCAAGTGCTCCGCCATCAGATCGACCCATTGGCTGACTCGATCTGTCGCCAACTCAGGCGGATGAAGAGAGCCCTCTCTAGCCAGTCAATATCGAGTGAAACTCTGGTCGCCGACCCACGCTCGCGGTACCGGTTCCCAGGGCCGTTTCGTCCCCGGATAGTAGTTCCGGAGCGCAGAACGACTCTGACCAAGGTTGTATTAATCAGAGAGCTGTCGGCACCGACGACCCTGCCGGCTTCTGCAACTACTCCCCGATCCCCAGACAAAGGGCCCGCGCCTGGATTTCAATGCGCCATTTCCCTGTCGTTTGTCCTCGCGACGGAGAGCGAGCTCGAGCCGATGGTGGTTCGGATCAAGACGCTTGCGTGCACATCGGTGCCCATGGAGTCGTTTTTAACGGAGCTTCGAGGCCATGCCATCTACTTTGACGGCTCAGAGGGACGATCCGATGCTGAAAGCCACATCCAGACGCTCGTGGCCGGCAAGATGCTTCGCAGAGTCGTCGACGGAGCTGTGGGAGTGCATCCCGAGGCGGACGACCGGGACTCGTATATTACCGCCGATCCGCTGCACGAGCAACGCTACCGCCTGATGACCTTGTTTGGCGCAAAGTGTATTGCGATCGAAGGTCGAGAGGACTCTATCAGCGCCGTGCAGTTCCATCAAGCTGATCTCGACACCGGCACCGACACTGACGGCGATGCATCAACCCAGGGATCGTATCTCCACCGCGTGCTCTTGCGGCTGCTCCATGGACTGGTCGCCCGCCTCGACTCGATCTACAGCGACACCAAGGCAGGGGATATGCACCCACTCGCCGCCGTCTGAGCTTTCTCGAATAATCCGAGCAGTTCTTCCACCACCACAGGCAAAGTGGCCTGCAGGGAGCTATCGAGGTGTACTTGGCCAGCGAGCTCAACGGCTCCCAGATGTGCTCACACTGTAGCGGACGGAGTTTGGTACAAGCAATCATTGATTGATAAGCACTGCTCAGGCCTCCTTACTCAGCCCTGTTATTCAAGTATTTCATTCACGTATGTAAAGACTGTATATACATATACTCAACAACCCGTGGGGTCATGAACTCCATTTCAAAGCCGCCCGCAAAGGATATCAAACGCCAGACACCAGGGCCCATCGAGTGGGCAGCAGAGAGCCATACGCTACGACTTAGTCGTAGATGTGGTTCGCCACCAGCAGCGTGATGACTATGATGACAAGCGAGTCGGCTGCAAACACAAACGAGGCGATGTAGTTGACCTTGAGAAAGGTACGGACCAGCGGCAGCCAGTAGTCCTGACAGCCTGGATAGGCTTCGGCGCTGGAGATGGAGATATCTGTCGCATTGAAGGTCGAGAAATCGGGGCAGACTGAGTTTGGGAAGCTGCGGTCCAGCGAGTTGTAGAAACCGCAGCACATGAGCTGGATGTCAAGCAGTCCAAGGGCCAGAAGGTGGCGACGGCAACGAGTTGTTGACCAGAAGGGTATGTATGTTAGCTCTATCCGTGGTGGCCCAAGATCGACGGCAAGGATGAGCGCCATTGCAGCCAGCGCAGATTTGAGGAAACGCTGTTGCTCAAACCCAGAAGCCCTTGGTGAGAGAGGAGAGCACAATGAGGCGACTCGACGCACATACCGAAGACTCGACAATCGATCGAGAGCTGCCCAACTGATCCCAAGCCGACGACATGTTCATGTCAAAGAGATGTGTTTCTACCGCCTTGAAGGAATAATACCCCGAGACAATCCAGGCAATGAAGATGGGCCACAGAAGGACCAGGTAGCTGGCGACAACTCGCTTCTGGTGCATGAAAGCCCCGACGAATCCCAAGAACCCGGTGAGAGCCAGTGCAGAGGCGGCAGCAGTGGGAATCAGCCGGATCTCAGGCCCCTCCAGGTTGAGTACCGGCGCATAGCTGTAGGTCTGCCCGAGCGTCAGCCCAGCGACCAGTGCATAGCACAGGGCCAGGAATGTTGACTGCAAGACGAAGAGAGCGGTTCTTAATATGATAGTAGCGCCGATGGCCGATGTGCTCGGCGGCTGTGACTGACAATGGCTGTGGTTGTGGCTGTGGCTGTGGTTGTGACTGGGACCAACCCAGGGAAGAATCAAACATGGCAGCCGGTGGCCGATGTGCTCCGAAGCAGGTCAGGCCAGGCCAGGCCAGGCCAGGTCCGGAAACAGCCCCTGGCTCCATATATCCATTCCACCCGCAGACAGCATCCCATAGACAATACCCACCACCGAGTTGGCCACCAAGAAGGTAATCTTCTTGCGGCCAAAGCGCATCAGATTCATGCGCTTGAAATACGAGAGCTGGCTGTAGCTCCGGCTGAGGAGACTGGCAGAGGGTCTGGCGGCCGAGCCTTGGTGAGACAGCATGGGCTTTGGACCTGACTTGTCGTAGAGCTCTGGAGCCGGCGGAAAGGTGTCCGGGGGCATCTTGGAGACAGGGCCAAGCGACTCGATTTGAACGGCAATGCCAACCTGCTCAGCCATGTTGATGTGCCTGGAGGGAGTTGAGATGCAATCCAGTCTGGAGCAGTGTGACCGGAGTATGTAGCTCGATGCGAGATACGGGCTGAACGAAAGATCTGGTGCTGGTGAGTCGATGTTTGTAGGATCAGCAGCCAAGGGAAGAGCGGTCGTTTGGATCCGACAGAAGCATGGAGGAAGGGAGCGCTGTTTGGCGCGCAAATCCAGCCTGGGAGACCACAGTCTTGGCGGCAGCGAGCCCACTGGGCCGCCCAGCGCAGCAAGCGGGGGTGGGAGAAGAGCATCCCGCCACAAGCCAGAGGGGATCTCGGATCGCAGCCACGGACCACAGCATGGCGGGCTGGGCCAAGTCACGCGTCGACCCCTGATCCAGGGGATGGCGTGGAAGACGACTGGTGGGACATAGCCGATGGCAGGTGACAGGCGGTGTATGACTGGTGCCATATAACAGGCGGTGTATGGCTGATGACGGCTCGCGGTGGTCCAGGTCCAACCACAGGCAGACTCTGCCTTGATCTTCTTGGTTCCGAGCCCTGGCTTCCTCCCTGCCAACGGCCCCTGATTCGACGATGGATGCAGCTCCGTCCACATGCTCCGACTCGCTGGCGCTCTCTGCCGTTGCGGCCGGAGCCAGTGTCTGCGTCTTTGACCACTTTCTTGTTTCTCCAGAGTCATGGATACTCGGCCGCAGCAAATCGCCCAAAGAGAGGCGATCTGAGTCATCGTCGTCCGAGCTCGGCTGCCTCTCAGTCTCGCCCGAACAGAATGCACACTGTTCCGCCGATGTCGCCAGATCCCCTTGCCAAGGGATGCACGAGCCAGGTGATATTGCTCGATACTGCCCAGAGAGCTCGAATCAAGACGACATCTTCCCTGTCGCTCAACCGAACTTGGCCGAGACCGACGCTGGGTCCCAGGGAACTTCAACCACCCCAGACCTCACTCACCATGCCGAATCGGTCGATGGGCAGAGCTCTAATCAAGTCGAGGTATATGACGCAACGTCGCAATTCGTAGCGGCAGCGATCATCATGAGTGCGTGGGCTCTTCTTCCGTTGATGTGCTGGGCAGCAGGCTCACGACTGCCACCAGTCCATGTCGCTAGAGGTCTTGTGCCCACCAACAAGCGACCCGGTGTTGGCGTCCCTCACCGAGAGCCTCGCAGAATTCAGATCGTCCGTGAGTGCCATCATGGTATCGCTGGGAGAGCAGATCAGGTATGCTGGACTGCTGGTTTCGTGATCCCGGAATCTTGTCGGCATTTTCTTCAACCGGCTTGCCGCCCTCGTCTCGTCACCTTGCGAACCAGTCGACCAGAGTCATCGCATTTTACACTCCACATGCACGCATGGACTCACGCACCCACTCGCACAGCCAGTATCAACAGTTCAGGGCCTCGGTGATGCACGAACTCGAGCAGCACAGGCACCGGCTCAACCAGGAGCGGCAGAGCCTCAACGAGCAGCATGAGCAAGCCTGTCGATACTTTGACCAGATGCCACCGAGCCTCGCCCTTTCCTGCGTGGCCGAGCCTGAGCAGCCAAGACAGTCGACTTGAATGCACGGCGAATACCTTCAGGACTGCGATATCACCCCAGCAAGAGCGACATCACGCACTGCAAGAACCGGCTGACGGAGTGGAGGGCTCTGACTCGCATCGGAGGAGGATCTGCTCAGCCCAAGTCTGGCCAGGCACAGATCGCTTTAGCATCTCCGGATGGGATGGGAAGAAACCACTGCGATTCCAAGTGCTTGGTGGGATGGGGAGGGAGAGCATTGGTCGGAGAAAGTCTTGTATTGGACAAAAGGAACAAAGGATGCCCGTTATCATGGGAGAGGGAGGAAGGAGGGGTGACACGGGCCACGAGGCTTTTTCTATGCGAGGTGTTTCGAGCTTCAAGAAAAGCCATCAAGATTGAAGCCGAAAATGTGATAATAAATAGTGGTGTGCGTGCGGTTATGAGACAGGTATCAAGGATAGCGAGAGGAACACAATAATGAAAAGAACAACGAGAATAGAGAGCAAGGCTAAAGACGGACAGAGAGAGCGGACTCTCGGATAGAAGGCATCATCAGGCGAGACAAGAGCAGACGGAACGAAACGGGATGGCCGATGGGCAAGACGGGACCAGGGGGCAAGACAACAGACCTGGGAAGTGCGGTGGGCGGATGCCGCTTCGACAGCTTGCATCAGCGAGTCACTTCTCATGCACGGATGCGCCTGTCCGTCGCACTGTAGATCCGGATTGGACCAGATCAGACCAGATCGAGCCAGATCGAGCCAGGCTCTGGAGAACTTGGGTGTCTACAGCGACTGGAAGGTTTGCGGAAGCGACGAGGTGGATGCGGATGATGGAGACGACATGGACTCGGTCTGGGCGGCGCTCGGTATGAACGGGTTGAGGAGCTCCGAGAACACCGAGCCGGTGTAGTACGGCATGCCCTGGGCACCAGACACGCCATCGCCTTTGTCGTCGATGTGCATCATGTTCGGCGACATGCCCACGACAGAGGCGAGGAACCCTGCGGACGGGCCGGCCGTGGTCCCCGAGAGCATTGCTTCGTCCATTTGAGACATCATGTATGGGTTCGAGACAAGGTTGGGCTGGAAGGCCGAGTTGCTGCCGGTCGAGAAAGTCACCGTTTCAGGGGCAGAAACAGGATAGTAGATTTGTGCCGAGTCCGACATTGTCGTGGCCGCGTTGGAGACGGGGTAGCTGTCCGGCGCAGACATGAGCTGGATCGGTGCGGCAGGAAACCCGGCGGCTTGAGGCAAAAACGCTGAGCCCTGGGGGATGGACGGGCCAAAGGGCTGGACGGGCTGCGTTGTAGGGAGTTGTTGCTGTTGTTGCTGTTGCTGTTGCTGCTGGCGATGCTGTTTCTGAGACTGTTTGGGCGGCAGCGGGGGCTTGGCCTGCTGCAAGGTCGGCTGGATCTGTGGAGCCAGCGTTTGCGAGTGGCCCGGCGAGCTGATCGGCGAGGCGGCTGGAGCAGGTTGGCCCCGGACACCGCCATAGGACGCGCCTTCCGAGGCAGGGGTCCTGGCGCGCAGACTTTCGGTGTGAGGGCTGGGGATGCCCGGACTCGCCTCGGAGCCCGAAAAGTACTCGTAGATGCGACTGGCCCCAACCACCTCGGGCGAGCTGTGGCGGTCGGTGGATTTGGTCTGGGGCTTGGACTTGCCGCGCTCCGAGTCGTCGCCCGCGACGGGATCCGCATCGCCCGAGTCGTCCTTCTTTGGAGCGGTCAGAGAGTTGGGGTTGTCGGTGATGCCGTCGAGATGCACGCCGTGCTCCCGGATGCACTCAATGATGAGATGGCGGTAGTAGATCGAGAACATGGCGTACTCGCGCAGCTTGACAAAGTTATCCAGTGTGGTCTTGAGTTCCTCGGCGCCGGGTACTTTGTCGCAGGCGATGGGCGCCAGCTTGTTGCCCTTGGTTGGGATCGAGGCCAGCAGCAGATCCAGGAACAGCGTCGCCGTCGTGAGGTTGAAGTACACGATGATCGGGTGCACAAATCGGTAGGAGGTCTGTGCCTGGCCGTCCTTGTTGACGTTCGAGATCCGGTTGATGGGAAGGGCCCTGAAGAGCCCGACAATGGCCTGGCCGCTCTTCACGCAGGACGAGTCAAAGTGGCCGGCGGTCATGCGCCGAACAAGGATGTTTGTGGTGTGATAGGCGGCGTGCAGATGGTGCTGGATGGACCAGAGCCCAGCGGGCTCCGACTTGAGCCGGGCCGGCAGTCGCTCATGCCAGCGCTTGAGCTGCGCAAGGAGATCCGCCGTGATCTCTGCGTCGCGCTTGCGGCTGTTGCGTTTGGACAGAGGCTTGTTAAGATAGCTCGTGATTCTGCCCAGGATTTTGCACAGACCAACGTGGAAGATCAGCTCGGGGGTGCCCTCGGCCTCTGCAGGGAGGGGCGTATCCCATTCTGCAGCAGCAAAGAGAGACAGCAATGAGGAAATCAAAGTCAGCATCGGGCAACCTCGAGTCCGGCCCCTGAACGAAACGAGAGCAAGCCGTTGTTGCTGCATGGCTTGGCAAGCGGCAGTTTCGCACACAGCCAACATTGTGCAGTAGATGTGTCTATCCAACAGCTTGCAAACTGTGTGATTCTGCAATGATCGATAGAAAAAGAGCATACCGTCGTCGTTGATGGCCAGTGGCCGTCCAGTGATGAGACTGGAATAACGGTCGATGACGTAAAGACAGCACCAAGTGATCCGGAAGGTCTCCCTCGTCCTGGAATCGAAGCGTGGATGCTTGACTGTATCGAGATTGCGGTGCATGCCCAGCTCAACCGCCATGCGGTGTGCCATGCCTGAGCAGTACCAGGACAGGCGGTAGTTAGATGGGTACATGTACGGCGCGATCCAGCTGGCGGCGGTCATGATGCAATGGCGCGAACGGACAGACCGAGGGCAAGCATTCGTCCAGCACAACTCAGCCACATACCTGCATATAAGTAGCTGCTCACAATAACGGTGGGGCCCCATCCAACCATACACATGATGAGCTCGGCGTGCAGGATGTTGATGTGCTGCATGTCGAAGCACTTTCCGATGAGATGGTGGACGCGGCTGAAGAATTGCTTGCGCAAGTCGGAGATGCTGTCGATGCCCCACTCCTTCAATGTGATGTACTGCTGGGCCATGATCAGGCAGATGGCGTAGAGTAGACACAAGAAGTGCTGGAGCCACGGATCGGGAAGGGAAGATGTGAGACAGACGTGGCAAAAGTGCAAAACATCTCGGGAGCCTGCAGATGCACGCTGCCGAGACCAGAGCCCGGCGGACACATACGTCAGGATGCTGGTCGGATTTGTAGTCCTCCATGAAGGTCTGCTTGTCCACCATCGGAAAATAGGTGTGTGTGTGGTCAAAGTACTGCTTCACAAGAAAGTCAACCAGAGCGGGTGAGCACGGGAAGGTCTCGGCCTCGGCCTCGGGCGGGCGGCTTTGGAACGAGAGTGAGATGGTCATGACGCCCTCGTTGAAGCGTGGGCTTTGCTTCCAGAACTTTGAAGTGGCGGTCGAGGTCCGTCCAAAAAACGTCAGGATGCCAGCATCGACATTCTCGACTGGGCGCGGTAGGAGCCAGTTCCACATCGAGAGAAGGATGTGAGAGGAATTGTGGAGGTGTCAGTCACAGCATCCGCGCCGAGCCAACGGGCACTTTGTCCTGTCGATGCAGTCACCGGCCCGCCCCGACGGGCCCGTTATCCACAGACAGCAAACTGCCGCCCAACCACACAGCCGCCCGCGACACTTGCATGGCTGCAAGAGGCATGGGCACACGTACGTAGGGCAATGGTTCCGGCCTCGTTCTCCAGACGATGGACTCGGGTGACGCCCTTGGATGAGGACGAGGATGGAGACGAGGAGCCGCCTCCGATGTGGCCATCGACGTTGTCCCATTCACTTGGCTCCTCGTCCTGCGCACCCGTTCCGATTTTCAGGCGCTTGGTGACTAGGGCCTTGGATTCGCTATCTTCGTGCTCGTCCTCGTCCTCATGGTCGTTCCAGTACTCCTCGTCGCTCTCGGAGTGTCCCTTGGAGTACTCTACGAGCTCGGAGGAACCTGGGGTGATCAGGTTGTTGAGGATGGACTCGACCGTCTTGAGCCTGGATGAAATCGAGTTAGAACCATGAATATCCCGGCGCAGAATGAGCACCAGATACAAGGTTGAGCGAGAGGGGCCGAGATGCCCCCGAGATGTGCCGGATTCCTGGACGGAGCAAGACACGGGGGACGGGGATCGGCCAGATGCAGCCGGCACCAGCTCAACATACCGGTCATTGATGGTCGTCGTGCTCTTTGCAAGCACGCGCTTTGGCGGACCTCGCTTCTTTTGCGGCGTGTTGTACGCTGATGATCCGAGAAACAGCGAGCAACAGAGTCAGTCTCGCAACACTCTGACGGTGGGTGGCGCTACAAATGATTGGGCACGCCGAGGCGGGCAAACTGGGAGCAACGAGCGCAAGGGCGAAATCGAATGTACGAGCAGAACGAGCAGCGGATGATGGCAAGGAAGGGCGGAGGGAAGCGCCGAGCTAAAGGCGACAAACGAGCTCTAGAAACGCAGGCGGCATGCGGCTGGACGTACTGCAAGCGAATCCGAAGGAGAGGCAGCCCTCGCAGGGCTGCACGCCAGAGCATTTGGTCCGCTTCTTGCGACACACTGGGGGTGGAGGACCGGCAAGAGATGGCGAGTTAGCGCATGTGAGATTGGCAGATGATGGGCAGATGATGGACAGATGATGGGCAGATGAGTAGATGGGCGCAAACGTACTGTCGCAGGCCTTGGTGCTCCGAGTTCTCTTCAAGGGAATGGCTCTCTCGCCTGCGGCTGCGGGATCATTCTGGCGTAGAGCTGCGACGGCGTCGGTCAGCGGCGAGATGGGCCTCAGGAACGAAGACTGGCCATCGCCCGAGAGGATAGAGGGCTGGTCGGGACTGGCTGCAAACTGAACATCGAGCTGGCCCTGGGGCGGCGGCGGCGGCCGAGATGCACCCGAGGTGAAGCTGATGGAAAAGCCTGAAGGCGTGGACTGCACCGCGGGATGAATGTGTGGGTCGCTTGCAGCCGCGAGGCGGGCCGAGTTCACTAGGGAGTGCTGGCCGCCCGAGGGAACGGGCGACATATACGATGCGGTGGACAGAGGGGGCGAGGGCTGCAGGCCGGCTGGGCGCTGAGGATGGGTGTGGTGGGAATAGTACGGCTGCTGTTGTTGCTGCTGGGAGTACTGCTGCTGCTGCTGCTGCTGCTGCTGTTGTTGTTGCTGTTGCTGAGACGGCTGCATGGGTTTGGAGCCAGCGACGGCGCTTGGCACCGAGGGATACGGGGACGGGTTGACAGGGAAGCTTTGAGAGGCATGGTGGTTCAGCACAAAGTCCTCAAAGGACTTGACGTTGCTGTGGAGGCGCTCGGGCTGGACCTGTTGCTGCTGCAAGAGTAAGCGGTACTGCTGCTCGAGGTGGTGCCGTTCCATTGGAGCGAGGGCTAAAACAGGAGTTGAAACAGGAACTGAAACAAGGGATGGAGATGGAGATGGCAGGGGTTTGGGAGGAAGAGGACTGGGGTGTGATCGAGGCAAAGACGAGAGGTGATGCGATTGATAATTACTGGATGGAACAAGGGCGGATCGGCAGGGCCATTGATGGGCGTGCGGGAGGAGCACGGCAGCCACAGAAGAGACAGGAAGATCGGGGAGCAAGGAAAGGCAGAGGGCCGGGTCGGGGCAAGATCGACAGGAGAGGTCGCTGAGGGAGACTGAGGGGAGGATCGATGGCAGAGGGCAGCGGGACACCGGCGCAAGCTTGTGCAAGCCAATTCAAGCCGATTCGAGTTAACGCAAGAAGGTGCGAGTTAATGCACGCAGGTGCGAGTGAAGACAAGCAGATGCGGGTTGATGCGCGAGTGCAGGTCGGCGAGATGCGCTGGAAGTGCCTGTGCTGGTTGGGGACAGACGGCGGGGCAGAGACGACGGGCGCGGCGAGCAGGACCTGTTCGCCGGAACGGGGGCGCCACGGCGACCCACGGGGTGTCGGGTGCCTGTGCCGGGCCGCATTTGATACAGCGAGCGAACTATCATCAAGTTGGATGGTATCGGGGAGATTCGACTGCACTGCATTATTCGGCTGTATCATTAAGTTATACGATACATCCAATTGCATCGTTCACTCAGTTGAACTGTTCAGTTGCATCGATGTAACAACATGCAATGCAGGTTATGATATGCAATGCAGGTTATGATATGCAATGTAACAACCGTCCCGCGGTGCTGTCCATTGGCGAATCGCGCTGCTCCCCCTTCTCTCGATTGCAAATCACCGTTCCCACGACCACCGCCAAGGTCCCGTCGCTCTGCCATCTGCTCGGCCATCTGCTCTGCCATCGGCTCTGCCAGCGCACGCAGCCCCGATCGAGCCGTGGTTCACCGTTGGGCCGGATGGGGCTCTCATTCTGCCGAGTGCTGGTTCTGCCAGCGCCACCGGTCTGTCCCCACTGCACCCACGACAAGGATCGACCCTTGGCTGCGCGTGTGGTTTTGCAGCGCAGCCCGCAGGTCCATCAGGCATGTCCAATTCATCAGCACCAGCATCGGCATCATCGGTATCGTTGACGCTATCTTTACCGCCGTTGTTGACGCTATCGTTACTGCCGTTGTTGGCATGGGCGGCGCCAGCAATTCGCTCACTTGCTCAGGCTGTGACGTTGATCGCAGACTCGCAGATTCGTAGCTCAGACCGCCATGTCGATTGGACAAATCCAAGGATGCCATCGGTGCCAAGCTTGTTGCTGTCATTTGAAATCGACCAGGGGCATCCTGATCCACCGCGGCCGAACGACCGGCGATACTCCCGCCCAAGATGATACTCACTCGGTATACCAACGACAGCGCGGGCGGCTGCACATCGCACAACACCCACCACCACCCACAGCATATCACAACATGCACAAGCATGCATGTTCGGGTTGCCCTCTCACTCAAGCCCTGCCCATCACACAGTCAATCAGCGATCGCTGCCGTAATCGGCAGCCCATCCTGCCAAGGCCTCGCGTCTCCAGCCATCGCTGTTCCTGTCGCTGACGTCGGCTCCCGCCACCAGGCCGCGCCGCAACCGCCTCTTGGCTGCAAAACCCCGCCCTCGAAGCCTGCGTGTTCTCGCCCTGTCCTCATATTGATCTACTCTGCCGACTCTGCCCCTTGAAACGCCATTTCCCGGGCCTGGTCACTTGCCTTGCATCTTCCCTCCCTGCTGCCTGTGCAAGCTCAGCCCACACGCTCTTTCCAGCATCGATCCCGTGCAATCCGACTCCAGCTCGAACCCACCCGAACCCACCCGAACCCGACCGAACTTGACCTGACCCAACCAGCCCACCAAGGCTCTGCGCAACACCGTCTCAACGTCCATCTGTCCGCTCGCCCATCCAACCCCGGCTCATCCGTGCCACCCAGATTCAAATGTCGGGCTCTGAAATCTTTGAGACCTACCAGAAGGAGTATCTGACCCTCCAAGAGTCCATCTCGGACAAGGTCAAGAACCTGATTCCGCAGGCCAAGCCAGGTGAGGGTCGAGGCTCTGGCTTGTGGCTTCTGAATTATGGATAGATGGATGATTGCTTCTGAGGCGGTCGACTACGGCAGCTCCATGAATACGGACGGCCCGTCCAGTCCAGGGTTTCCGTCCATCGCTTGTCCTAACGCAACATTGTCTTCCCTCGCTCGTTGGCTGGTTCGCCGGCTCCGTGCTGCTCCAGACCAGCGCAAGCTTCTCTTCAACCAGGCCACCCGCGAGCTGGAAGAGGCTGATGAGATCGTGAGTCTGCCCGCCATCCGGATTCTCCATGCACCTCTACGACTCCCTGGACTAATCCATGTCACCCTTTGCTGTGCACTTGGCTTCTTCGTCTTTGGCTGTCTGGTGCGCTGTCTCCTCGATGATTTCATACAACCCATCGGACAATATGTCACCCTTCCCGCCTCGTTCTTGCTGGACATTTTCTCGCCGGACTTTGCGCATATCTTTTATCGGTATGCCGTTTGTAGATCAGCCAAATGGAAGTGGAGTTGCAGTCTCTGCCCCCGAACATTCGGAACCCACTCACTCCGCGGCTCAAGTCCTACAAGAACGATGTCAAGACGCTGAAGAAGGACCTGGTATGCGGCTTAAGCTCGATAGTGCGTGCACGGCGAACAGCAGCAGCAGCTATAGCGGTTGCGGTTGCGGTTGCAGCAACAGACACGGCCAAAGAGAAGACGCACCTTCTTCCCTCCCCTTTCTCGTCCTCTATCCTCCTCCTTGCTCGATGAGCACAAAGCGACTACGATGGCGAACTCGCTCCATTGCATCTGCAACCCGGATCTGACTCGGCACCTCTGACTTACTCCCGTCGCCAGCAAAAGACCAACAGCGCCGCCTCGGACCGCGAGCAGCTCTTGGGTGCCGGTGGCTCGCATGTCATTGATTTCGAAGTCACCAGCATGGACCAGCGATCAAGGCTCCTCCAGGGCACCGAGCGGCTGCAGGACGGTAGCCGGCGGCTGGAGGAGGCTCGGAGAATCGCGATCGAGACAGGTGAGGGCATCCCGCGATGGCTGTGGCTGTATTGAATCAAAGGACAAAGGGCGATCGCCCTGGGAGGATCATGGACACTTATCATCGCATTGTGTTTGGGGGGGGACATCCGGGCTCCCAGAAAATGTCGGTATCAGCACCCTGGAGACGCTTAACCGCCAGCGCGAGCAGATCCTGCGCACCCGGGACACCCTCTCAAGCGCAGACACATGGATCACCAAGAGCCAGGGTATCCTGAAGACGATGCAGCGAAGGTAGCGAGCCGACTGACTGCTTTTTGTCTGAGATGTGCATGGAGTGTGCTTGGCGACCAGCGAACGGCGGCGGCTGGCTGGACGTGTATGTACGTATGAATGTTTTGTTGAAAGCCGAGGAGCAAGCAGCCCGAAGCGATCGACGACCTCGGTCACGAATGCATACGCACCGCACCTCGATCTTGGTCATCGGCCGTTCGATATCATCATCGTCGTCCGCATCACGACATGCGCCTTTCCTAACGGCGCCGTTTATTGATATCTCCTTCGGTTGACCCCCAAATCCGTCCTTCGTCAATTCGATTCGGCCCGCCTGCCAGATTGGTTACCAACAAGTTCATGACCGCCGGTATCATCGCCATTCTCGTCGTGATCATCGCCGTCATCATCTATCTGAAGTGGGGCTGAGCATCGGCGGATCCAGTCTAGCCCCTGGCGCATAACCATGCGTATGTCTGCACCTATGCGCTGGGCTGCACTCCTTCGCTCCTTCCTTGCTCCGTTCCTTCCTTGCTCCGTTCCTTCCTTGCTCCGTTCCTTCCTGCGTTCCTCCTTTCCTGCCTATGAAGTTCATGTCTTTGCTCGTCTTTGTTGTTATTGCTCTGTTGTTGCTGCTGTTCTTGTTGTTTCAATGCTGTTGGCCTCTCCCCCCTCAATTGTGAGGCACAAAACAAGAAGAAAAAGTGTGAATCAGCCGCGGGTGATTCCTCCGCCATGTTCCTTGTCGCTGCCGCACCGATCCTGCCCTGTCCACCCCGCGTCGTCCAGCCCAGCGGAGCGACGGTGTCGGGGAAGAAGGAGGGCTGATCCGTGTCCAGATCCAAAACCCCCTCAGGGAGACATTTCCCACCACGCCAATGGACCACCGCCTCGCCCTCCGCCTCGCCTGGCATCATCGCCCCCCCCCTCATTCCGACCCACAGCCTGATCGGCCACGTTCGAGGTCACGGTCACGTTCGAGTCCAAAGAAAATGTATTTTTGTCAGATGAAAGAGCATTCGAAATAGGGAACCTGTGCGTGGGCAAGGAGGAGCTCAGGCTGGAGAGGTGATCAGGAGCCTGCTTGCAGATGAAGGGTACTGACTGATTGCTGTTCTAGTGATGAAAGCAAACATCAAAGCGTAAAAGTTTGCTTGAGAAATAAAAAAAGTGCAATGAATCGAGAGTGCCATGGACTCCCTCCTCTGATAGATAGGTGGTGGGTGTTTGTCAAAGGGAAAGGATGCAAAGAAGGGCACGGCGGGCGCGGACCAGCGGATGAAACACCCGGCCGTTGTTTGGTGCTGCGACATCGCGCAACTCCCCCTTCCTCCGGCCGCATTGTGGGCGAGCCGACTTAGTAGTTCGAAGACAGATAGGCCTCCCATTCGGCATCGATCTGCTGCTTGCTGACGCGCTCGATCTTGAAGTTCTTGTAGATGCGGTAGAGCGAGCCAAAGGCGCGGACACGGTGGATCTCGCCCTCCTTGTAAGGGAGCTTGCGGTCGGCAAGATGGGCAGGGATCATGACACAGAGGAGGAAGCCGAGGAGAACAAAGCCGAGAATCCAGCGGAAGTTGAGGTTGTAGATGGGGATCAGGTTGGGGGCCCAGAAGGCCTTCTCCGAGTTGTAGACGGCGGTGAAGACAATGCCACCAATGACACCAGCATTAGCCCAGGCAGTGAGAATGACACCGTGGGTGGCGCCGACGTTCTTGGACGAGAACTGGTCGGCCAGGAAGGCAGGGATGATGCCAAAGCCGGCGCCGTAGCACATGCCGATGGCAAAGGCGCAGAACAGGAAGACGCCATAGCTCTGGGACGAGATCAAGGTGGGCAGGAGGCCGAGGCAGACGGCCTGGATGACCGAGGTGGCAACAAAGATACCCTTGCGACCAAAGAAGTCCGACAGGAAGGGGAGCAGGAGACGGCCGAGGAGGTTGAAGCCACCGAGGGCACCGTTGATGTTGACGGCAGTGTCAGCCGACTGCTTGAACTGGTTCTGGACGATGGACTGGATCTTGGAGATGATCAGCAGACCAGTGATCTGGTGGCACAGGAAGAAGAAGTACATCATCAGGAACTCGCGGCTCTTGAGCGAGTCGATCAGAGTCATCTTGAGGGAGCGCGACTTGACGGGGGCGACATCGACGGCAATGTCACCCTTGTCGATGTTGGTGGGGATGGCCTCGGCACCCTTGATGGTCTCGATGTTGATGTTCTTGACGCAGTAGCCAGGGGGAGGCATGCGCAGGATGACGGCAGCGAGGGTCATGACGACAAAGTAGATCGAGCCCAGGACGACAAAGGTGAGGGGCAGGCCAACGACGCCAATAGAGAGGTTGGTCTGGTACTCGACACCGATCAGGTACTTTTGGGCGTAAGGGGCAATGATACTGCCGGCACCGAAGCCGCAGACAGCGAGACCGGCGGCGATACCGCGCATTTCAGGGAACCACTTCTGCAGGGGCGAGACAGGCGAAATGTAGGCAATGCCGAGACCGGCACCAGAGAAGATGCCGTAGCCGACATAGACAACGGCAATCTGCTTGACGTAGCAGCCCAGGGCGGTAACGAGCTGGCCAAAGAAGAAGAGAGCAGCGCCGAGCATGGCACCACGGAAGGGGCCATGGCGCTCGAGCCAGGGGCCAAGGAGGGCAGCGGTGTAGCCAAAGACGGCTGGAAGGAGGCAGGACAGACGAAAACGAAGCGCAGGTTGAGTGCCGAGGTCGGAGAGGCATAAAGGCGAGAGAGCGGGTCGTCTCCCAAGCAGGCCTGCAGCCACCAGGGGCGACATTGACAGACTTGCATCGTTCGGCCAGACTTACCGACGGCAATGTAGAAGGTGATGGAGGCAATGCCACGATCAACACCAGCGGGGGTGGTGAGACCATAGATGTAGGCTTCGATGGGCAGGTTGTAGCCGGACCAGGCATAGAGGGAGCCACAGCAGATCTAGAGGAGGGGAACGAAGCGAGAGGAGCAAGGGTCAGCGCCGGGGGGGGCTGCAACAAGGAAGCCAGTCGATGGAGGCGCTGAAGGTTGTGCGGGAATGTATCGACTCCCCCCACCCGCCAAGCTTGGCTTGGCTTGGCTTGGGCTCGCCTCGCCAAGGTGAGAAGGGCGCCAGCCAGGCCCGCACAACCAGGCGGCGTCGACAAGACGAGGCCGAGGACAAGTACCTGGATCAGGACAGCGGCCGGCATGAGATAGTAGCGGTTGAAGGGGATGGGACCAGCCAGGAAGAGCTTGGTCTCGCTCTGGAGCTGCTTCTCGCTACGGACATAGTCCGTGGAGCGCCAGTGGTTGATGATGATGTCGAGGAAGCCCATGGCTCGGGAATGCAGATGGGGAGCGACAGAGATGAGCAGGAGGCAGGAGCGCGGGGCAATGGAAATAAATAGGACCAAGCCGACCAGAGGCAGGGACGAAGAGAAAAGGCGGCCGACGGGAAGCAGCAGCCGATGCAGATGGGGGGCGGGACGGAGACGAGCGCCGGGGGGAGACTTTATAGGACGGGACTTGTCCCAGCCGCGATCTTGGTGAAGAAGGGCCGTGAACCGAATTTCCCACACTCCACCGGACGTCAACAAACGCGTCCGCCAGCGGAGGCCCGTGCGCGGCGGCGGAGCCACGCGGACAACGCGGCCAGCCGGTGCGCCACCCAGACGCCGCCCGAAAAAGGCAACTGCCGCCGCCGACTCCGCGACGGGCCCCTTGTTGCGCGCTCACATGCCGTTCCGCCGGACACCTTTACCGCCGACTCGCCGCGCCGCCCCTGGACAGCCGGCGATTGCACGGGGCCACACCGCCGCGCTGTCTGGACAGGGACGCTCGCGGGGAGGCCTTGTTGCGGGTGTCACTGGACGTGGAGAGAAGCGGCTGTCTGTGTGCATGTAAACAAAGGCCCGACAGCCGGATAAGGACGACCGCCGATGACGTTTGTTTGTGTATCAGCCAGTCGCCCTCGCTTGCTGGTGTGTACACGGGTCGTAGCACCACGGTGGCCTGCCCCGGGCCTTATTCTATGCACCCCTGTCATGACCACAATCCGGAAGGCCCTTGTTTGTGTGGCTGTCCTGTCACCAAGCCAGCGACAACATTCCAGCGATGGCATTCAGACAATGGCAACAGACTGTGGTGTTTGTGTGGCTGGCCGGACCTGTACAGCGAGCGTCTGGACAGACGCCTTCGACGAAACGCGCATGGTTTCGACGGGCTGCGTCGCTGGACCTCGATGCGGCCGTCTCGTCTTGGGCGGCCGCTGCTGTCCGCACAATCCGCGAAATCGAATCCATGGGAGCGACGTTTCTGCACAGACACCTTGTCTCTTTGCGTCCTGCCCCCCCCCCAATTGACGCTGTCTCCCTGTGCTCCGCCACCCGGGGTCGACCACGCACGCAGCCCGATGTGATACAGCCGTCCACAGTGGGCCCTTGTATCTCTGTCCAATAGGCGTCCCCGCCGTTGCCGCTCCATGTGGGTCGTATGGTTCCTTCGTGGCCAGCCCGTCCTTGTCTGCCTTGCCAGACAGCGCTGTGCGCCGCGACAGCCGACCCGAGCCGGGTGGTGTGGCATCGGCTTGGTCATTTCTCGCTTGCATGTGGGGTGTCGTCGTTTGCCCAGGGAGTCGTCTTCGATGGCATGCCGGGCATGCCGGGCTGGCAAGCGGGTCCCCTGGCACCCATCCCGCATTGCAGGACGAGGCAGCAGGCAACATACATCGAGCCTCTGGCTCCAGGGAGGCTTGCCTGCGGCGGTGCTGGTCTGACGGAATCTGGCTGGCTGGCTGGCTGGCTGGCTGGCTGGCTGCCTCCCAAGCCCCCTTCCATCACCCATTCGTGCTGGGCATGCCTCGACTCGCCGCGCTTCGGTCTTATCGCTCCATCCATCCATCCATTCATCCATGTGTCTGCCTTATCATATCACCGGTCCATCGACCCGCCACCCCTGCTTGCTTACTGACGGAACCGTCTCCATCCATCCTTCGCCTCCCGCCTGCTCGACTCGGCGCAGCCGGAAACGACGGCGGCGTGGCCGAGCGGCCGTCAGCAGCTATCGCACGTTTGTCCGCTTGCTCGTCTGCTCCCTTTTCCTTGGCCTCGCCCGCTGCGACCCATGCAATCCACGCAGCAGCCAGTCGGGAGCTGGCCTGGAGCCGAGAGACCGTGCGGCACCAGCAAACGATGCGGCGTGGACCCGGCCCGGCAAGCGGCATCTGCGCCGTTCTCCGACGGACCACCCTTATCGACCGTGATTGCACGCACAGGCCATGAGGACCAGGCGATGCTCACCAACCGGCATCGCTTGTGTGGTGCACCACCTTGCGAGAACCGATATTGACACCAACATTAGCTTCGATGCCGAGGATGTGCGGTATCGCACGTTTGGTCAACGCTACAACGGCGTATGTCTGCCGCTGCCCGCCGAGCCGATCCCAGAGGAGACACGTTCGTCTCGCCATTCCCAACCGGGAACGATCTCCGCCGGTCTCCGTGTTCGCCTTCCGTCTGCATCGTTTCGTGCTTCGTCATCCATCCTCGCCGTATCGGCGATTCGCGTCGGATCGACACATCGAATGCAGGCGGAGAGGCGGCCGCCAGCGGATGATGCGAGCCGAATTGCAAAGTCCGGGGAGCTACAGCCGGCATGCGAACGTCCCCTTGGTACAATCTATCGATGGACTCCCCTTCGACGGTCCGGCTCTTCCGCCCGCTCCCCTCTCTGTCCGCCCGTCGCCTTGACCTCCAGCGGATCTTCAGTGGTCCAGTGCCTCGTTGCGGCGCTGGGTCGGAGGCGGACACCACACAATTGCGCTGATTCGACTCTGGTCGTCTCCATCTCCATCTCCATCTCCATCTCCATCTCCATCTCCATCTCCAACTCCATCTCCATCTCAGTGCCTGTTTTCGTCTCCGTCCTCGGCGGTGTTTTCTGTCGGCGGTGTTGGTTTTTCGTTGCGATGGCCAGAAAGAACATTCCCAGGCAGACGCGGCGATTGGCTGGGAGACGCTGCCACACACATTCGAATCGCGCTGGATCCGGCTGGATCCGGAATGCTGCGCCACCGCATCGTCACCCGTGGCGCAGCCGCCTTATTAATTGGCCGCTCTGGGCCACTTCGTCCACCTCCCGACTCTGCCTCGCTTCTGCCTCGCTTCTGCCCTCCGCTGCTGTTCGCCAGCCAGCCAGTGTTCCGCCACCCACCACCGTATCTTTCAGCGCCGTCATCGTGAAAGCCGCCATGTCCAAAGACCTTGCCGACTTTGACCGAGAGATGGCCGGTCTGTACGATCTCAAACCGCCCATCACAGCATCCAAGATGCAGGCCATCACCCGGAGCGCCCTGAAGAACGTCAAGGTGCGGCTGTTGCTTCTCTTGCATTTGCTATTGCTTCTCTTGCATTTGCTGCTCCCTCGACCACCGCAGATCTTTGGCACTCGCTCTATTGAATTGAGCTCGGCCCGAGCTAGCTCCTTGGTGCAGCATCACCCGCCTCATGCTTTCCGCTCTCTCTTCATTGCAGCTCTACAAGAACGTTGTCCATGCCGTCGAAAAGTTTATCCAGCGATGCAGTCCCGAGCTCAAGCTCATTGGCGTCTATGTCGTCGATGCCCTTGCCCGTGCTGCCCAGAAAATCCCCGATGGCGAGGTTTTCGTTGGTCGTTTCGAGGAGAAGCTCGAGAACATGTCCAACCACCTGCAGTATGCGCCCGACCGCGACAAGGTAAGCGATAGTGCGGCGGGCCTTTCATCCGCACGTCTTATCGCATGATCCCGACTGCAGCTGGCTGCCGAGTTGGCTGGGACTCGACTCTCGACGTTCCTGACAATCCTTTGGATTCAAAACAACTATTCCCTCCGCTCGCCAGATCAAGATCAGACGGACCTTTGGCTTGTGGAAAAAATCGCAACTCTTCAATGCCGAGATGCTCGCAAACATCGAAGTCGCCTATCTGGGCGGATCCGATCAAGGTTGGTGCAAATTGCTCATCTTCGCTGAATGGCACAGCGCTGTTCTCCGTGCCGCTTTCTCACTCGCATACGTCCCCTCCCTGCCAGACTCGCACCCGTCTACTGGAGATGCCTCTCCTCCGGCAACTGTCGACACAGCCACAGCCACGGCTACAGCTACTGCCACTCTTGGGATAGGGTCGTCGGACCCGCGTGTCAAGTCAGGCGCTGTAGCCCCGTCCTCGACGCTAGAATCTCTGCTGCCACCCAGCCTGGCAGCACCTTCCCTGTCCCTCTCAGAGCCGCCGTCGACGATTGCCAACTCAGACCCCTCGGCGCTCCTGCAGGCCCTCACACCCCATCTCAGTGGTCTGGGGGGCGCACTGGGTCTTGCCTCGCTTGTCCCGCCTGCGCTTACATCCACCACTCTACCGGCAACGCCCTTGATGCCCACGCCAATGGACGCCCTCGATCCTATCAGCTCCAAGATGCCGCCGGGGTCGCTGAGCTCTCTTTTGGGCCTGGCTCCTCCCCCACCTGTTGTGTCAGCACCCTTACTACCGGGCCTTGGTCTGGCGAGCCTGCTAACGCAATCCGTGCTCGAACCCACCGCAGCTGCGCTCTCTTCAATCCCTCCAGCCTTGAACGCCTTGACTGCACCTGTCGTAAGCGGTGGCATTGCCCCGCTTGCGACCATTCCGGGCTTTCCCGCCATGCCACTGATGTAAGTGCACCACACTGAGCTCGGACTGTTTTCCCTTCTGTGTGCTCCTTTTTTCTATTGTGGCTTGTTTGGAGGCAGAACGTTCAAGGAAGTGGCTTGAGGCTCAAATCGCATCGGAATCGACGCTGTGTCTCGGACCTGGATATGGGACGAAACGAGCTCGGATAACGGTCGCGCCACAGCCGAAGCTTGAAACTCAGCCAGCCGAGGGCAGTCACTATCAACGATGCCGAGTCATTTCGCCGATCCGTTCACAGCCACAAGCGTCACAGAACGACATGATCTGGATCCACCATCTCGTCGCTGTCCGGTATGGCTCGCGTGGATAAATGCATGTAAATGTGTAAATCTAGCCGGTGTGTTTACGACGAGTCGCTGCAGATGCTGTTCGAGAGGGAGCTCTCCCCTTTTCTGAACCATCTGTTGGCGCAGACGGAAGTGGAGCTGTGCATCCCGGCGTCTCCATGGCCCACTCGGCCGTGCGAGCGTCGAGACGCTGCAGCGACCTTCTGTCGACTCGGTTCGGGCACGTATGCCACCAGACATGCCCTCGGGATTGGTGCTGCCGACAAGAATGCCAAGCTGTACCTGAACCTCTAATAAAGCCTCCTGGATTCCATAAGTCCCCGGACGTGCATGCCATCCCGTCATCGCAATCACCGATGTGGCTCGGATCTTGGATCTGAAGCGATTGCCCAGCAAGCCAGCACGTGCTCGGGACTGCGGCGTGAACGGAGAGCCGCCAAGGTGACGAGCCACCTCTCGACACAGCTCCAAGCAAGCGAGTCAGCCCGAGCACATAGCACACCAGCCGAGCACCAGCGGCATCGCCCAACCTGTTGCACAATACAGACTACCCGATTTGTGCACCTGTCCTTTTCTCGGTCCTCTTTGGCATTCTTTGCTTGCTATACCAAGGGGTGGATCACAAGTAACTGACTGTTGTGCCATCATCCCCCTCCCCAGCGATGCACTCCAGGCAGCCCAGGGCCCCGCTCCACCCAAGCAGGACTTCCAGCGGACTGATTCCCCAGGCTTTAACGTACACCCCGGCCTTGGTAATCTCGACAGTGGCGGCAGCAGCCAAGCCCTGTTTGGAACAGCCTGGCCGTCGTCACCGCATGATCTGCCACAGCGCCCGGCCGACCCGCGGCAGTCCCACGCAAACTCGCTGCCAGCGCGGGGACCCCCAAAGCGAGGCGGCAACGGCGATGTCTACGACTACAGTGCCGGTGGCAAACGGTTCTTCGACGATGATTATGGCGACCCGAACCTTCCAAAGTGCATGCCGCCCCGGTTGGATCCGGCCCTGGGAAACGAGTTTTTCAAAGGTAAGTGGCGTTTGCTGAAGTGCGTGTCAACAGGACTTGCAGCCGTATTTCCTCTCTCCTCTCCCCAAACCCTTGATTCGTTCGTGGGCACCCATGAATCCGTTGGCTCTTGCTCATTTGAGCCCGAGGAATGGCGGCTTTGCCCAGACGGTCTACAGCGGCGGTTGGTGTGTCATTTTCTACTCCACGTTTCACACCCTCGGTTCTCTGGCGGATTTTACTCTCTTTGTTGCTCTCTTCTGCATCATCGGCACAGCCAATCGCTTCTGAATCCGAGTCCGTCTGCGGCCTGCACACTTGAATACATATGCGCATCCGGCAGCAACATGCAATCGCGTGCACTCGAGAACGCAAGCGATTCTGTGTTTCATCTCTTTCTTTCCCTTTTCGCACCGCCGTTACTGTGTTTACCCTCTCCAGTGCTCCCCCCCCGTCCAGCTCTTCAATTATTCGTGCCCCGGTTACTCTGTTATTCGCCACGATTTCCCACCATTTTCACTTTTGGTTCAGCCTGTTACCTCCTGACACACTGTGGAATCCATCCCCTGGTCGAATCTGCTGCCGATTTCCCACATTATTTCGCCATGATTCGCGGACTCGCCTCAGCATCGAATCGGCAGGGCAGCCGCTGATGACTTTGGCTGCACCATACTAACAACTCATCCAACTCCCACCACCCGGGGGCTCCTCTCCGTCGCGGTTGGCTCGGCAGTCCTGAGCAGAACTGTGTACGTTGGCGGTGTCACCAACATGGTGACCAAGGAAATGCTGCGGGACTTGTTTGAAACCGTTGGACGAGTCGATACTGTCGTGGTAATGTCGTCAGCCCGGGCTCTCGGCCCACCCTCTCGGCCCACCTTCCATCCGTTGCAGCGTCACCCTCAGGAGAGACTAGAGAACCTGATCGCACTTGCACTGCCGAGATCAGACAATCGCCCCCTCGCACAATGATAACGCCCAAGTCGACCGTCACTCATCTCAAACCTTGTTCTTCCATGCAATATCGCTCATGGGTTGGCGCCGGGGGCCATTTCGCTGTTTCGGCCCTCGATTCCCTCCTCGCCACCTGCCATGCGCCGCCGTTCAGGTCAACTACCACAAGTTCAATGCATTCATCAAGATGTTTACCCGAGTCGAGTGCGAAATGGCCCGGGAGAAGCTTGATCACATTTCCGTGGCCGGAGCAACCCTCAAGGTCAGTCGCTGGTGCATTGCTGTCTCTCGCTGGGAACCCCGCTTCCACACACACAAATCAATGCCGGACATAAATCGATGTGCACCTCCTGCCTGTTAAAAGACTGTTGGATACAACAGAATGGCTTGCTACAGCCCGATCGCTCTTATCACTCCGGCGCATTCGTGTAGCTCGCTACGTCTCGCACTGCTGACCATTTTGCACACACTATTACGCCCTCCGACGACTCGACACTCGATTCGGCCATTCCCACGCCCTGTCCAACGACACCCACGCACTCGCATGTTGTAATCGTGATCTCATTCTGGCGGACTGGCCGACTGGTCCCAATTCACCTCACAATTTCTCCCTTCCCCCCGCATGCATCTGGGCTGATAGCTTGGCTGGGGCTGCGGATTCGGCCCAAAGAATATCTTCAGCTACGACAAGGGAGAAACCGTCTTCCCCATGAACCGCGTCGTAGACCCCGACCGCAAGTGGCTGGTTCTGTCCAAGCGCGGGCCTGGCCGGATCCAAGCTGGCATCGTCATCGAGGAGCCCGACGTAGGCGTGAACTGCGAGGACTTGATCACAGCGGGCGAGCCCTCTCCGCATGCCGGCATGCCAACCGCAACGATCCAGCGCATCGCAAGAGAGTACATCCCCGGCGCAAACCGGGACCTCGATGGCGGCCCGCACAAGCGCCACAAGAGCAGCGACGGCGGATCCGGCGACGGCCGATCGAGCAACAGCCCGGGCGGACCCAGGTCCTGGGGCCGCTCTGCGGCAGATGACCAGCGTGGGCCTCGCAACCCCGGTGGTCGTGGAGAGCGGGTCGACAACCCTCCAGGGCCCCGTTCGCGCAGCTCACGAGCTGGCTCGAGCTTCTCCAAGGGCCGGCGCTTGGACGACCACGGCGACGATGAGATTGCAGCACTGAGTGATGGGCACTCGCCCCAGCCCTCAGATTGGTCTGGTCGGGACAGCTTCGGCCCGCAGAGCCAACACCACGGCGGACTCGGTCGCCATATCGAGGCCTATCAGTCGCCATCCGGCTCCTCACCCCAGAGAGGAGCCGGTCCATATCAGTCCCCACTTCACTCCGGCAGTATGTCTGGCCCTGGTGAGGCTAGCCCCTACATCGCAAGCCCAGGTCTCTCCCATATCCCGGACCATGCAGCCGCCATCATGTTGAATCACAGTAGCCTCCATGGAGGTCTCCATGGGAGCCCGCTTGACAGTGTCTCTGAGGGAGCCGCTGCCGCTGCCGTTACGAGCGGTTCGACGCAGAAACGAAAGTCATCGCGTTGGAATGCCTGATGCGACGAATGATAGCGATGATAGCGACGATGAATGACGACGATGATGATGGTGTCAGGAGCGATGATTGTATTACCGATCATCGACAGCGTTTGTTGATCTTGATGAAACCTGAGCAGAGCAGAGCCCCGTTGGTTGGGGCAGATATCAATATAGACCACCCTATTTCCCATGAATGACTACACTTTATTCAGAAAAAAACGGGACAATATAGCCGTTTCCATGAACATGTAGTATGTGCTGTGCTTGCGTCAAGCAAAGCCACAAGAAATAAAACAGATCACTTTGGTAGCCTCCGAGTGAAGACCACCGGTCGCTCTCCGGTCTCCACAATCGACCTGCATACTGTGATCATGTTGCGCGCCGCATTGACGTCGCGATTCCACACTGTCCGGCAGCTGGGATTCTTGCAGCTCCTGACAAAGTGGGAATTCGCAACACTGGGCGCATCGAGTCCTTCCAACCGAACCGGCTCCAGGCACTTGGAGCACACTTGCGAGGTGTTGAACTCGTTCGTCGAGACTACCTTGACGCTTCCATGATGGTGATTGGGACGGCGTCGGTGGTGCTCGAATTGCTCAAAGTACTGAGCAAACCGCTGCCTCCGAGGGCTGGATGCATAGCCCTTGCCCTGTCGCCATGATGCATTGCCAAAGGCGATCACCACATTGGTCCGTTTCGGGGCGTGCTTCAGGACGGCCTTGCACATCTTGTCGACGGCCACTTGGCGCCTCTTGTGGCCCGTGAAGCGATGGTGACGGGCCTTCTTGCCAAGGTGGAAGTCGAGCTGCACTCGAAGTTCCGGTCGCAGGACATGGGTGAGATGGACCTTGAAAGCTTCCGAGGACGACACCTTGGGCGAGGGGGTGGACGACATCCAGGTCTCGATGCTGAGTCGATACTTCATGATATTGTGCCACTTGGTGTTGGACGTATGGCCACACATGTGCTGGTAGTGACCATTGGAGAACGAGACCACCTCGTCTTGGTGGCCCGGTGCTTGGATGACCGCCGTGAAGATGGAGCCGACTCCAGGATCGATGCCAATCCAAGTGGTGCGATCGGGGTCTGGGTCGCCGATGTGGGCCTGGATGCGCTGCTCGGCAGTCGGAGGAGGCTCGATGGTCTCGGTGCGATCGGTTCGAGGCAGAAACTTGACGAGACCGATGGTGCATCCAATGCCATCGGTGCTGATCTCGTAGTTGAACAGCTTCCTGTCCCTGACTCGCTCTTGGAAGAGGGAACTACGCAGCTTGAAGCAACTGCGCCAGAGACGATCCTGGTTGTTGATGCCGTCATCGCCCTGTTCCTTGAGCATGTCCCGGGTAAGGCCAAGACGATGTTCGGTGTCAAGGAGTTGCCAGAGAGTGACCGTGTCGATCTTGACATACTTGGCCCTTGCAGTGCATAGAGGAACCATCGTGCACACGGCCGGAGGAGTGTCAAGAGCGAGCTGCTTGAGGGCCCACTTGAGTCTGGATGCCAGCTTGTTGATCTTGGACTTGGTGGTGCCGAGCTCAGACTTGGCCTTGGTGAACCTCTTGTCGTCGGAGGGAATGCCTCGGGCAGTGAGCTTGTCCAGCTTGGCCTGGCGCTGCAGCTCGGTGACTCGGAGGGCGGGCATGTCACAGTCGATCCACTTGTGGACATTGTCGACCATCTTGTCCCGGGCGAGGATTCCCACATGGTGTGAGAGGCGATGGAGGGCCCGGAAGCGGTCCTGGTCGTTGCTGTACCGAAACTCGTCCAGGATGTGGCCAAACTCGGGATAGAGGAACTCGAGATCGGCCTTGGGTGGAGTCTGCCCTGGTTTCTCGAAGAGCTCGAGACAGGCCTCGATGGCTTCGTGCTTGTGCTTGTTGGCTGGGAAGACGGCAGCGCAGAAGCGGCGAAGGAGTCTCCAGTATGCCAGGTCGAGGTGGGTGGTGCAGTTGGTGGCATAGGCATTGACAGCCAGGGTGAGAAGCTGACTGTGAGCACCATCAGGCAGACGAGGGGCCGGAGGCAGGTCTGCGTGCCGAGTGGTCTGGTAGTCGCGAAAGGAAGCGACCAGATGCTCGTTGTATTTCTCATTGTCCCTGGCCGTCGAGAGGGCATCGGCCTGGACGATCTTGAAGCATTGGCGGATGAAAGCAGGGGTGGACTTGGAGATGACGGGGACGGGAAGATCCTGCTCGATGCACCGGAGGATGTGCAGGTTGAGCAGCCTGGATGCCTCGAACTGGATCTGGGTCATGGCCTCGACGGTGGCCTGGATCTTGTCGCGGAGAGCGGGATTGAGACAACAGCCATCCATCGTCTGCTTGAAGCAGCTGAACTGAGGGGCGGATGACCTTCCATCCACGAGTGGGACGACAGAACTCTTGAGGGGCCGGTATTCGGGACATTTGCTAGTGTTGCAACGTTCGTGATCGGTGCCATCGCACTTGGGACATCGCTTGCCAGTACTCGAGGAAGTAGATGGACCAGGCTCGGTGGGATCGACATCCATTGGATCTGCAGAAGCAGTGGTGGTGAGCGACGGAGCAACAGACGACCAAGCATGCGTGGGGGCAGAATACGAACCAGAGACAGGCTCCGACTGTGACTTGGCTTTCTTGGGCCTGGGTGGCCGAGGCTGGCCATCACCGGTACCCTTACGCTTCGGAGGCATGGGGGCAGAGGATGCTGGATGCCTGCCAGTGGTACTGGTCAGAGCAGAGACTTTTTTTATCGTACAATAGCGCGATGATCCGATCAAGGCGAGATGAGGGAAGAAAGCAGCAGGACGAAGGTGTGGCATTTATACCCGAGAGCAGGAACCCGTCTGCGCGGGCTGGTTGGGGAAGCGACCCTGTTCAAAAATCGCCGAGAGGTTCAAGCCAGGGATGTGAACGCGAAAATGGCGGAGTTGACGTGATTCACACCCAGAAGCGCATCGCTCGCTCAATCAGCCGTGGGAAGACATCTGGAAGCACCCTCCGAACGGCAGACTCGAACAGGGTCACCATCCCGATCTTGAACCCCTCGGACGCATTCAGCGCTGCGGCCTTCCTGTACTGATGCTTCACAATCCCAAAGAAGTTCTCGATGGGATTGAAGTCGGGCGATGCAGGTGGGGTGAAGATCACTGACCATCCTCGGCGCTCGATGCAGTCCAGGACAGCCATTGTCTTGTGCATGCTGACATTGTCCATCACAATCACAGAGTCGTCTGGGAAGCTCGCTCGCTCAAAGAACTCGACCATCGAGTGTGTCTTGAATGATGTGGGGATGTACATGCGATGCAGCACACCAGAGTGGTTGATGGCAAATGCAGCCGAGACAGACTTGTGTTTCATGTGATTGCGCTGGCGAAGCGGAGCACCCTTCGGTGAGTATCCGTAGAGAGGGAAAATGGATTTCCTGATCCCTGTCTCATCGACAAAAACGAATCGTCGTGGGTCAATGGAGCGGACCTGGTCCCTGAACTGTGCCACTCGCTCATCCAGTCGCTTGGACTTGTAGAGGTGTGTTGCCCTCTTGTGTGAGAGACCTGCTCGGTGGATGGCAGTGTGGCAGAGTGAGAGTGAAACTTTCCTCTGGAGGATGGACTCGAGCTTGCACCGCAACACAGGACCAGTCTGGAACGGGTCCTGTTCAATCAGGGTGCGAATGACTGGACATGCCTGCTCGAAGAAAGTGGATCTGCGAGCTGGGACCCGGGATGGGTCATCCAGCTTGCATCCTCGGTGCCATCGATGGATGGTGCTTTTGGATACACTGAATATGGAGGCGACCTTACGCAGGCTATGGATGAGGGCGTAGCATCGCAATGCGGCGGTGCGAAAGTCGGATGTGTGGCGAATGGTCATGGCCAGCGCGCGATAACATTGGGTAACAAAATATTCGATGAATGGTCAAAATCCCGGGTGTCCCGTTTTTTATTGGATTGCCTGTAACTAGCAGCATGCCGCCATATTGATTGTCAATGCAATGACAGCCGCTTGAGTGCAACATGGTATACAACATGATGCATACTCTTCTCGGTGCCCGCCCCTGTGGGCACACTCAACTGACAATCCCCCGATCCGCAAGTGCGATTTGGCCGCCATTCCCGAGGGCTCAGAGAGAGCCTCCCTTTCTGTGTAGGCTGTATTGGTCGCTCCGAGCACCAAGCGGATCGGCTATAAGCTTCAAAGACCAATACAATAATCTCTCAGAGGATATTCCATGTGCGATTCGCTGCATCCACCCTCCTCCAAGCAACAATGGGCACACATCCTCTTGCTCTCGCCAGCCCGACACACAGCCATTTTTCAATCCGCCCTCTTGCACCACAACATCGCAAGGCATTATGATTTGTTCTCCCAGCATGCAATCGCCAAGATCTTGTGCCAAGTTGGGGACACAGACCCCCAGTTACTTTGCAGCGTTGTTCTGGGCTTTGAGCTTCAGGGCCTTCAATCCGGCCGAGATGGCGTCAGAGTGATGCTTCTCGGTCTCTTTCTTGACAGAGTTGACGAATCCGGAGGCGACCATTACGGCGTCGATGCCGGCCTGATGGAGTCGCCGGAAAGCATCAATGGATGGTAAGCCACGGCATATCCCTCCCCCTCAAGCGCTCAAGCGAGAGACGAGCCTACCTTGAGCTTTCTCCTATAGTTGAAGTTCTTGACCAGGTTGTCACCGACAGTCTTGGAGATATCGACCGTTTGGCTGGTGGAATCTGTCAGCCATTTATGCTTGAGGGCCTGGGAGCTCGTCATTCGGCTATCGGGATTGACAATCAAGAGCTTTGCGATAAAGTCCTTGGCATCGTCGGTGATGTTGTCCCAGTCGGGAGAGAAGACTATTCATACAAGCATCAAACGCCAGGAGTGCAAGCCGAGTCAGTATCGATGGAGCGTAGCGCTCGTTCCCGATGATCTGAATGCCCGGTTTCCCCCTTAGCACCAAGTGCGCTCTACCTCATCCTCCGCCTCCGCATGCAGCACACCCCAATCTCACATTTGTAGATGCCCTTGATGGTGATGTCCATGATCCCGGCGTCGTCTTCGGCCCAGAACGGAGGGTATCCGGAAAGCAGACTAGACATCATCGGCACAAGCAAACCGAAGTCGTCAGCGCGACCGCATATCCGCAGTCCCAACCCGCATACGCCGAGGCATCCAATATCGATGGCTCGCGCACATTGAATATATAGCGCAGATTGGCTGTCTCTGGTCGCGGGCGTCGTAATAGAAAGGGCATAGCTTACATGTAGGTGATCACACCAATACCCCACATGTCCACGGGCTTTCCGTAGGGCTGTGACTTGAGAACTTCGGGAGCCTGAAAGCGTCCAGCGACGGTGCATCAGTCCAGAGGCCATGGTGTGTCATCCCACAGCCTAACCAGCGCTTACAATGTAGGTCAGGCTTCCGCAATTGGTTTTCAGCATGTAGTCATTGGTGGCCACGCTGGCAAGTCCAAAATCGGCCAGCTTGACCTCGGCATTGTCTTCCTTGCTTGCCATCAGCAAGTTTTCTGGCTTGAGGTCCTATATTGTGGGACTCAGAGTCAGTACTGACCGCTTGGGTCGTGTGACAGGCATCCGCTGGATCCAAGTGCAGGATTCCTGGATGGCGGCCTGGTGTCGCACATTGCCCATACCCGATGGACGATTCCCTCTCCGTGAATATAGTCCAGAGCCGTGAGAATGTTGAGGACAATGTTCTTGGCATCTACAGGTTCCGATTTCATGTGTTGATGTGATGTCAGTGGCGAGCAGCGGTGTACTGCTGTTCAGACGGCCTCCAAAATGCACGAATCGCGACCGAGGTATCTTTATCATACCGCCTTCCGAGTAGAATCCCAAGTTAACAATTCGATCAAACAGTTCTCCGCCATCGACACTGGGAGATGCAAAGTATGGATTAGAAGCCTTCTCTGCAACGTGCAGGCTTGGGGATGGTATCCATCAAATGCATCGCCGTCGGTGATTCTGGGCACTGCATCACAGCCAACCGATCAACACATGGGTGCGAGCGTCCTTACTATTCCATCTGCAGATAGAGGCTGTTCTTGGTCTCGAAGACGTCGTACAACTGAATGCAGTTTTTGTGCTTGATGCTTTTCAAGATTGTGATTTCTTTAACCTGAAGCGGCGCAGTTCAGTCAGACGACAGTGTCAGTCCCGACTCTGAAAAAATGTCCGGCCGATATCCACCACAGGGAACTGCTATCTCTGACCACCCGGTCGCGCGGAATAGCGTCAGCCAAGCCGAAACACTCGTCGCGCAAAGGTGCACTCACGATATGATCCTCCTGGCCACGGCACCGGTTCTTGTCGATGATTTTCATTGCATAGCGGACGTTGGTCTTGTTGTCGACAGCAGACACTACCGTGGCAAATGAGCCGCTGCAAACACATTTGGCAGTGGGCGGAAGGAATTACGCATGCGTCAGTTGAGAATTAGGGTGACAACAGCAATCCTGGTAGGCTCGTGCTCAAAGGTCTCGATGTTCTCACGTTACTGGACCAGCATCGCTCGGCAGGAAGGAGAGGGGGAAAGGCAGACAGCGGGTGTGCTAGCAGCTCTGCTTCAAGCACATACCTTCCGAGCGTTTCGCCAAACGTGAAGCGCTCGTTGATGTTGACCTTGGCTTTGCTCATTCTTGGGTAGGCAGATCGACGTTAGGCAAGGGCGGAGAGAAATGGAACTCAAGACGCAGAACCGCAGAGAGGTTGTCGTGTCTCGATGAACAAGAAAATCACCAGAACAACCCGCAGCACGAGGCGATGGAGAAGAAAAGCTGCTCTGGACGGTCAGTTTCGAGGACAGACGGCCGAGGAGACGTGGGAAAGAACCCCACCACCCATTTCTCCCCCCGCCGGGAGCCTCAATCGGCTGAGACAGCACACACACAACTCGTCAACGGAATGACGACGGTGTTTGGAGGCCAGCCGCGAGAGCAGAGACCTCATCGATACACTCTGATTCGATGGCAACCGTTTGTTTTGCAATAGCGGCCGATTGTGGTCGCCGCAGACTGTGATTCGCAATCCCATATTGAGCCGATAATTGGCCGAGTCTTCGGCCGGACCATCCCCGTTCAGAGACCAGGCCAATGGACAAGCAAGGTTTGGCTGTGGAAGCGCCGGTTCGATTGCTTGCCTGGCAGTTCGGCGAAACCATCGAGATCCGGCCCCAAGAACGAACCATGTTCGCCACCCCTGTCCTCCGCCCCCCAGGATCTGCTTCAACTGCCGTCTTCCTCGCCGATCGTTGATCGGACACACCGGCGCTGCAGCCCGCGAGCACCCTCGACCTCACAAGGCTCCGTCTCCAGGATCTCTACCAGCCATGGACGTAACCCGCAGCAACTTTGAGGCGACCTTGGCCGTGATCAAGCAGGCCATCGATGAATGTGACTTTGTGGCCATCGACGCCGAGATGACAGGTGGGCCAAACAGGCCTCAGCTTGCTATGACCATCGGATCTGACTTGCTTGTCGCTGTTCTTTCTATCGATGGATGGATTTATTCGGCCCGGGTGTGGCTGCCCGGTCAGATCAGCGATCTGCTACACCCCTTAAGCCGTCGCTTTGCCTCCGTCGACCATCCCCAGCTCATATTCTCTGCTCTGCCTTCTCCCGACACCGTCATTCTCTTGCTGATGGGCCGCGATACACCGTAATCCATGGACCTCCAAAGGCCTGCATTCGGAGTCAACCCAGCGGGCCCACACATACGACACCATCCAACAGCGCTACGCAAAGTACAGAATGTCTGCCCAAGATTTCTTGATGAATCAGTACGGCATCTGCACCTTCAAATGGTGCGGGGAAACACAGTCCTACGAGGCCAAGCCCTTCAATATCTGGCTCTTTCCACAGCAAGGTACCTTTGCCCTCGAGCGATGCAACAAGATCCAGATCTCGAGTCTGGAGTTTCTTGCCAACAACGGCTTCGATTTCAATAAATGGATCAAAGACGGTAAGCGACACCAGCCAAAGGACAGCCGAATAGGACATTTCCGAGGAGAGCACTTGCGCACTCGATCTCGGCAGTGTCCATCGGATTCAACAGGGATGGGGACTGGGCCGCTGTGGCGACTGATGTCTTTGATGTGCAGGTGTGTCGTTCCTGTCCCACGACGAGGAGGCCCGTATCCGACGCAAGCTTGATCTGAAGGCCGAGCGAGAGTATCTGGAAGTGCCCCAGGAGCTGGTCGAGTGGATGAGCCAATCCATGTGAGCACTGCACGGCTATCAGAGGGTCCCCGGCCCGGTGCCGTTAGTGTCCTCCGCCATCAGCGTCTTCGTCCCATCTGCATCGCTTCGTTGGTGGTCCGGAATCCTCGCCATCGCGATGATTTGCCGACACAAACAAGAATCTTGGTGCACTTGCTGACTGAAAACCAATCGACACCGATGACAGGGCATCCGTCAGCGAGTGGCTCCAAAACTCCTCTGAGAAGCAGACCTCGATCGCCACAGAGTCTTCGTTTCATCGTCGGCTGATCCACCAAGAGGTCTTGAAGCGGTAAGACAGTTGGACCCACATCCTCGAGGGGACATGAGCGATGACGATCTGTCCGGATCTGCAGCGTGCCTACCTTTGTCAGTTTGTCTGATGTGCGTGTTCTTTTCTTGGGGAGCAGCTTCAATGGGTTCTTGGCAACCGAGGGCAAGGTCAAGGAGGTGATAATCACCCGCATGACTGCTGAAGAGCGTACCCAGCGACAAGCCAACAAAAACTCTGAGGCCGAGGTAAGAATAGCCGCACTGTGCCTCCAGAAACATCCAGAAAGCCCTTGGCAAGATATCTAAGCCGGCGGCAAACACTGCTTCAGCGAGAGCTCGATTCGCTCATTGGATTCCGCAAGGTCATCGATTGGCTCCGGGAGGCCCGCAAGCCCGTCATCGGACATAACATGCTGCTTGGTAAGAGAGTAGCCGAATCTTTCCAATGACTGCCACAGCAACGATGCCGATGCACGACACCCGATGTCCGATGTTCGATATTGTCTTCTCGAGCAAGTCGGTGCTGATGGTGAACTCGTCGCGCAGACCTGTGCCATACATACCAAAGCTTCAACAACAATCTCCCCGAGTCCGTTGAAGACTTCAAAACAGGCCTGATGAAGATGTTTCCATTGTAAGAATCGCATGGAGTGCGTGTCCCTGCTCGCTGTGCCTCCTGAGCGAACGTTGGGCGACAGTGATGCTTGGGCTTATCTGACCCGTTACGCCTGCAACATCAAGGGTCTACGACACCAAGCATATTGCCTCCTCGGAGCCGGAGCTAACGGTGTGTTGCCATGGACAAATCTTAGGATTGGATAATGATGCACCCTCAGACAGGCAGATTTGCGAATCTCGAGCTTACCGTCCTCGCTGCTGCCTTGTCACCATGCCACCCAGCGCCGCATACCCAGGACTGGGCTTGGAGACCTGGTCGCCGTGGCCAGGGAGGCGCCGTTTGGGTTGCCAAACGTTGTTTGTGCACCGGGATTTGATGGATACACAGGTCCGACACAGCGATTCCACGAGGCCGGATATGACGCCTATTCAACCGGGCTAGTCTTTGTGAAAATGATTTCGCGTGTCGAAGAGTATACCGAAGGAACGCGGATAGACTTTGAGCTGCGGTCGCTGAAGAGGTTGAAGAATTGTCTCCATATGATGAGAAGCGATTTTGCATGCATCAAACTTGAAACTGAGGAGGGTAAGCGCCGACAGAAAGCGGACAAGATGGGATTCAGCTCTTTACACGGCTTTTGGGTCGCGTCAGTTTGTGGCCGATTTCGCCGCTGCATGGGCATCGCCCGTTTCCTGGCGCATTCTCTGGCTACATTTGCTGTCGCTGACCTGTGATGCACCCGTTGTCGTCTGTCTATGCCACGATCCTGGGGGATCCGCAGAGCGGCCGGATCGCGATCACATCTTCCGGATCTTCAACCTGCCCACGACTTGGCGAAGCAATGATGTTCGCGAGGCCTGCGGCAGGATCGGCTTTGAGGTGGACAATATCGCTTGGATCGATTCCTCAAGCGCCTACATTGTTCTTGATCCGGATATCGTCGAAGACGCTGAGATCAAGATCCTCGAAGCAATCAAATCCGAGGAGCTTGAATTCGAGATCCAAAAGTACTGGGAATACATTGACGCCTACGAAGGAACTGATGGTAGGTTCTCGATACATGAGGGGCGGTCCGCAAGAGAAAAATCTTGAGAAAGAGCACCACTCTTACCGCGTTCCTGGGTGTCTACAGGTCCAGACAAGAAGCGCGCAAAGACCGAGGCATAGGGTCGACGACGACACTCGAGCTTCACCATCTCGCAATGGCGTCTATTGCCTATCGCGCCAATAAAGATACGACGTTCCCATTGTCAAACGGGACGCCCTGTTTTGAGTCAGGGTTGTTGTTCACTTCCGGTCCTGAATATACGCGGCTGCCCATCACTCACTGCCACGACCAAATGGCGTGCTCGGTGCCTGGAAACCAAGTGACTCGAGCAGACCGAGTATGTTGATACCTCGAGACTATGGAGCTGTCCAGAGGGTCGAATACATGCACCACATTTCCGGATCAAGGCATCTACGAGGGGATATGATCACGATATGCCAATGCACACTCACAAATAGACGCACACACACACACGAAGCACGTGTTGTGTCGTCGCTCTGACTCGGACCAGATCACCAGCAAAAACGAGCCAGACAGGCGCAGGCCCGCATCATCCGGCTCTGCCAACATCCAGCCAGAACATAGCATCACAGCGAGGTACTCTGGAGTCGGGAGCCGAAGGTAGTTTGGAGAACATTTGAACGGCGGCTCTGGTGCAGATCTCCTCGGCTTGCGACCAAGCGAGTCTTCATCCGCCCGCTGCGCTCATATCGGTTGTGCCTCCAACCCCAACCAGCGAAACGCATCGCAAACCGCGACCATGGTTTTCCGGCTGGCAAATCGTCTTTCACACACAGCCCTCGGGCGCAAGATCAAGCGGAATCCATTTGTATTCTTCGGCATTCCATTTTTGCTGACCATGGGGCTGGCGCCTTACGGCCTTCAGCATCTCACCCAAGTTCGCTATGACATTCATGACAGCAAAGTTCGGATGGTAGGCACTCTGTCGCTGCCAGGGCATTGGATTCAGATGAGGTCGGGGGGGGGCAAATGTTCAGCAACGGATCTTGAACCAGCTGTCGAGCTAACAATACTGGGGTCCTTGGATCGCCTCGACTCGACACGGCTCATCTCGGCTTGCTTTGGACGTCGCTGATGAACCATGAATGCGCTGAATCTATCGTGCGGATGCATTCACGACAACGATCTCGGACAATCCTGACCCCGCCGATACCAATCCAGCTCGAAAAGAAGGAAGAGCTGGGTATCGACAAGAAAGCTGCTCCAGTGAACGTCCAGGAGATTTACTGGGTAAGCCCATCTCCATTGCATGTCGTCTCGACGTGGATCCGCTCCGAGCTATTTGCTCCATGCAGAATGGCCGCCAGATTTTGCTTCGAGCTGATTCGTAGCTGACCTTGCCGGCACGGACGATTGAATGCATCAACGCCACAAATAGAACCTTACCCACAAAAAGGACATGGACGACTGGGACTTTGTGCGAGTCCCGCGACCCAAGGACTCGGGCGAGGAATGACGAGCATGCAAACCAGAAAGTGAGCACGGCCGGCACAAACAAGACGGCCTCGTCTGAAGTAGCGCCCGGTGCCTTCCTGGCCGAGCCGATGCAAGCGAGGCCAATATTGGTACTCCGAATGACACTAGTAGGGTAATTTTATCGCACAAAGAACAAATAGACGGGCAATGCTCCTCGGCACATCGGAGTGAGAGGCGAGCTGCTTGGCATTCAGGTCATGTTGCTGTGGGAGCCTGGCGAGATCATAGCATCGAGGCGCTCACAGAGTCACGGGATCATGTTTTGACTGCGCATCGGGCTGTGCTGTGGCGCCATGCGCAGTCGTGACTCACGTCGCACGACATCCCCTTTATAGATATATTGGTGCTGCGCATGGTGTGGCGTGGCCATGCGCCACCCGATCCATGAGCTGGGGGCGTGGGCCTGGGGGAGGCGCGGCAGTCCACGGCAGGCGGCGCGGGTCCCACGCCAGCCGCGGGTGGGCTGGCAGGACCTGCTGTCCGGGTATATAAAGCGTGCTTCGAGAAGGAGAACAGAGCCTTTGTCAAACCATTCGTGCCCCGAAACCATGTTCCTGTGCCCTTCTAATTCCACCATCTGGTTTTTTGACGCCAGAGGCTCGCTCGCTGTCGACGAGTGCTTCGAGAAGAGGTACCGCGACTTCCTCGTCGAACAGGATGCCGCGCACCTGGCTCGATCGAATAAATTCCATAAACGTGTGACGGCCGTGATGGGAGGATCCGGTGCCCTTTCTTCGGGCTCGGTTGGGGGATGGCTGGAAAGCCACAGGGACGGGAGAAGGGGGGGGGACCATGGGACACCGCCAGCCCCCTCATGGCCAGCTGCTTGGTCTCGGTCTTCTCAGACCATCACCCTTCCCCCAGTCGCCGGTTTGCTTGCCGCTGTGCTGGGCCGCTCGTCCTCCATGCAATGCCGCTTCCCCCACCGCTGGCGCCATGAACGGGCATGGTCCCGGATCGACACTGACGAAAGCTTTCACTGGGTTCTTTTGCTCCTCTATCCACAGCTATGCCGTCGGCATCCTCCCGCTGGCCCTGATCGTCGTCGCTGTCCTCTGGGCCGCCAAGGACATTGTCCATCCCGCCGCCTCCTCGGACGGCCCCGACACCGCCCTCGTCAACAGCGAAGATGGATCCACCCGCAACCGCTACGGCGCCATCTCTGCCGCCGACCAGCCTGCTCCTCCCGCCGTCGTCGCCCAGAATCCGGCCCTCAAGTGGACCTGTCTGGCTATCCTCGTCCTCGAGCTGGCTGTCTCTGTCGCTGCCTCGTTCCAGGACCTGAGCCAGTCTGGTTCTGGCTCCTTCGTCTTCTTTGGCTCGGCCGCCTGGGCTCTTGCATGGGTAAGCCATCGCAGCAGCATTGCTCGTCTCCTCTCACTCCCTCGCCGGATGCCATGCTCAAGCCCTCGCCGGCATCGTGCTCTCCCACATCGACTGCATCATACTCACACCGCCCGCTCATCCCGCCAGGCCATCGCAACCATCGTCTTTGCGGCCTCGACCGGTCCCGTCCCGGCCAGCATCCGCCCCAAGCTGAGCAGCCCCATCCAGCCCTTTGCCCTCGGCTGTGCCGTCCTCAAGGCTCTCCAGCTCCACAACACCCTGCTCAGCAACAGCGGCGATGCCGTCGCCCCGATCGTGCTCGCTGTTGTCCTGAGCACCATCCTGTCTGTGGCCAACTTTGCTCTGCGTCTGAGTCTGCGCGAGCAGGTCGAATCGCTGCACATTGTGAAGCTCAAGGGCCCCAAGAACACCGAGGTGAGTGCAGATCCAATGTATCGAACGAACGCACGAACAGCGACGCTTCTCTGGCACACATGATGATTCCATGCCACCGCCATGGCATCGCTGGGTGCGGCTATTGCCTCGCTTGTTGCATCGGCGGTGCTCTCGCAGGACTGACTCCATGTTCTACTACTCCCACACATGTGCGTGCTGTTGGCATTCCCATTTGCACCCACAGATGCTCCCTGCCCCCGAGCCCGAGTCCACCTGGTTCGAGAACCTGTTCTTTGTCTGGATGGACGGCCCTCTCAGCCGCGGCTACAAGACCCCCCTGACCAAGAATGACCTCTTTGACCTGCTCGAGAGCGACAAGTCGGCCGAAGCCTGCCGTGTCTACCGCGAGCAGTACAAGCACCAGTACAAAGGCCTCAACATGCGTCTCTTCAGGATGGAGCTCTATCCCCTCATCATCCAGATCTTGCTTGGATTGGCTATTTCCCTTCTCAGCTTCACTGCTCCACTCTGCCTCTACCAAATCATGAGCTACATCCAGAATCCGAACGGTCGTCCCATTACCGTTGGTTTCTTCTGGGTATTCATGTCGTTGGTCTTTGGACTCATGTCCACAATTGTGGACGGACAGGTGAGTCGAAGGCCTAAAAGTCATCATGGTGCTTGGTGCGAGTGCTACTCTGCTGACTCAAGCCGTTGCGGCGACCCGGATGCTTCGGAAATGCCACGTCGTGACATGTAGCAGAGTGCGCTATCCAAGAAAGCGCCTTTGTCGTGTTCACATCAAGTCTCATGAGTTCTAACTATGAGCCTAACGCTCCAAACTTGCCAACAGATGTTCAACATGACCAACAATGCCAGCTACCGCATGCGTGCTGTCCTGATCAACGAAATCTTCCAGAAATCTCTCCGCCGCGTCTCTGCCAAGGGCAAATCCAAGAAGGACGAGGACCAGTCGACGGGCAAGCTCGTCTCGCTCATGTCCATGGACACCGAGAAGCTGGCCATGGCAAGCTTCTCTGGAATTCTGGTCACTGCAACTTTGATCGAGATCGTTATTGCCGTCGTCGCCTTGTTCAGCTTCCTGGGTTGGTCGGCTTCGATCGGTCTCTCGATCATGGTCGTCAGCATTCCCCTCACCAGCATCATCACCACGAGACTCAACAATGCTTACAAAGCACTCATGGAGAAGGCCGACAAACGCAACACCCGGACCCTCGAGGCTCTGCAGGCCATTCGCATCATCAAGTTCTTTGCCTGGGAGCCGCAGTTCCTCAAGCGCATCGACGAAGCCCGCAACGCTGAGCTCAACAATCTGATCTCTTACTTCATGACCTTGGGCCTCAGTGTCATGCTCTGGTCGTTTGTGCCGGTGATTGTTGCGGTTGTTACCTTCCTGAGCTACACCCTGATCGCTGGTCACGACATGGATGGTAAGTGATGCGCTCGCACCACCCATGGCCTCGGATGTCTGGTGCATGTTGCTCGGAGCATCTCCAATCGACTCGAAGCCGATTGAGTGAATATGTCTCAGCCTCCCACGCAATCTCCAGTCGCTGATGTGTGCTGACCGCGCTGATGTCTCACTTTCGACTTGTGCATGTCTCCCACCCAGCCACCACGGCATTCACTTGCCTCAGTCTGTTCAACGCTCTCAAGTTCCCTCTGACAGTTTTCCCCGACACACTTTCGGAGGCAAGTGCTCCTCGCATGGCACCGTTCTTGTCTGTTTATCCGTCGCCATCCTCTTACCCACAGGACTCCCGCTGACACCCGTCTCCCCTCGCAGTTCTTCCAAATCTATGTCTCATCGGACCGTATCGAAAAGTTCCTGAACGAGCCCGAGCTCCAAAAGTTCTCCGACGACCTGCCCGTTTCTCACCCCACCGGCAACACCGAGCCCTGGACCGACCCTGTTGCCGTCGAGTTTGTCGATGCCTGGTTCGAGTGGCACCAGGCCACCGCCGCTCCCGACAGCAAGTCGCCCCAGCTCCCCTGGCACAAGAGACTCGCCAACCTGTTCAAGAAGCAGTCGCAGCAGACCTCCGAGACCACGCCGCTCCTCGGCTCGGAGCAGCCGGCTTCTGGCGCGGACGACTCGTCCGAGCCCAAGTTTACCCTGCGCGGCCTCAAGATCAGCTTCCCTCTCGGCAAGCTCAGCACCATCTGCGGCTCCACCGGCTCCGGCAAGTCCTCGATCATCCATGCCCTCCTCGGCGAAATGAAGTCGCTCCAGGGCAGCGCCAACCTGACCCGTCTCACTCGCAGCCACCGCTCCAAGGGCGGCATCGCCTTTGTCGCCCAGACCGCCTGGCTCGCCAACGCCACGATCCGGGACAACATCCTGTTCGGCGAGCCCTACGACCAGCTCCGATACGCCCGCGTGATCGAAGCCTGCGCCCTGTCCAAAGACCTTGCCTCCTTCGAGTCCGGCGACCTGACCGAGATCGGCGAGAAGGGCATCAACCTGTCCGGCGGCCAGAAGCAGCGAGTCTCGCTCGCCCGCGCCGCGTACTCCCGGGCCCACTATATCCTGCTGGACGATCCGCTCTCAGCCGTCGATGCGCCCACAGCCAAGCATCTCTTTGACAAGTGCATCACGGGCCTGCTCAAGGACCGCACCCGCATCCTCGTCACCCACGCCACCAGTCTGGCCCTTCCCGCCACCGACTACCTCGTCGTCATCAACCAGGGCCAGATCCTCGACCATGGCTCGGTCGCCGAGGTCTCCCAGAACCGCGAGGTCGAGACCATCATCGCCAAGGAGAACCTCGAGGCAGTCTCGCTCCAGCCCGAGTCCGACCCCGACGCTGGCGAGCTCGACGTCGACCTCACCGACGAGGAGCTCCTGAGCCGCAACTACTCCAACGGCAAGACGCCCGAAGACGCCAAGAAGCTCATCGATGCCGAGGCTTCCAGAACCGGCGCAGTCCAGGGCAGCGTCTACTACTTCTATCTGACTGCGGCAGGCGGCTTTGGTGTCATCGTCGCCTACCTCGGTATAATTCTTGTGCAGCGATCGGCCCAAGTGCTGGCCGACTACTGGCTCAAGGTCTGGGCCGATGCCTACAACCATGCCAACGAACTCAACACGATGTTTGCCGTGACGCTCTCGGCCCCGCTGTCCCTCAGCTTCCTCAACCCAGTCTCAGGCAACGACAGCAACACCCTTGTCGATGGATCGTCCGGCCAGTCCGTCAACGTTGCCTACTATGTCCTCATGTACGGCCTCATCAATTCGTGCGTCCTCTTTCTCATCATCACCAACTTTGCCTATCGCAGCTGGGTTGGCTACAGGGCTGCCAAGAAGCTGCACGACCAGCTCATCACCCGCATCATGTATGCGCCGGTGCGCTGGTTCGATGTCACCCCGCTCGGCCGCATCACCAACCGCCTCTCCAAGGACATTGGAACCATCGACCAGAATCTCGCCAACACATGTGCTGGGTTTTTTCTCACCACTGCGAGCGCCACCACCACCCTCATCGTCATCGGCACCGTGACACCGATCTTCCTCGCCGTGATTCCCTTTGTTGCCTACATCTACTACAGGATTGCAATCTACTACCTGGCTTCTAGTCGCGAGCTCAAGCGTATCCACAGTATTAGTCGCAGCCCCATCTACAGCACCTTCAGCGAGTGTCTCGTTGGCGTGTCGACCATCCGCGCCTATGGACACGAGGCCCGATTCATCGAGGACAACATGATCAAGGTCGACACCAGCAACCGAGCCCATCGTATGCTGGGTCTTTCGAACCGCTGGCTGTCCACTCGACTGTCGATAATCACCTCGCTGATCACCTTCTCTGCCGGCATTGCCATCATCTGGTCCAAGGACCTGATCGGTGTGGGACTTGCTGGTCTCAGCTTGACCTGGGCAGCCACCATCGCAGAAAACTTGCTTCGCATCGTTCGTATCCACTCGCAGATGGAGCTAGTAAGTGCCAGTGTTGAAGTGCGACTGATATGGCAGTGGAGTCGATGCTCATATTGCCGCTGTGTTATTCGATGCGGCTGTCGCTGTGACGGTTCGGGTGACTCACTTCGTCTCGCCTCACTCCTTTCGCCCCGTTTCACCATCGACAGAACATGAACTCGGTCGAGCGTGTGCACGAATACCTCGAGATTGACCAGGAAGCCCCCGCCGTCATCGAGACATCGCGTCCTCCTCCCGGCTGGCCTGCCAAGGGCCACGTCCAGCTCAACGGCGTTGTCGTCCGCTATGCCCCCGACCTGGATCCCGTCCTCCGCGGGGTGTCCTGCGAGTTCAAGGGCCGCAGCAAGGTCGGCGTCGTGGGACGGACCGGCGCGGGCAAGTCCACGCTCACCCTGGCGCTGTTCCGCATCATGGAGCTCTCCGGCGGCAGCATTGTCATTGACGGCGTCGACATCTCCAAGATTGGGCTGCGCGACCTCCGCCAGAAGCTCACGATCATCCCGCAGGATCCCGTCCTGTTCACGGGCGACATCCGCAGCAACCTCGATCCCTTTGGCGAGCACTCGGACGACCGGCTCTGGTCGATCCTGGAGCGCGTGCGGTTCCTGAACACTCTGCAGGCCAAGCTGGACGGCAGTTCGTCGAGCGACAACCTGCCCGCGCAGACATCCGAGAACCAAGGCCAGACCCAAGTCCAGGGCCAGAACACCCGTGCCGCCGCCGAGGCGTCCGGGTTCTCCCTCGACACCTCTGTCTCCGAGGGCGGGTCCAACTTTAGCCAGGGCCAGCGCCAGCTGCTGTGCCTGGCCCGAGCGCTGCTCAAGGAGTCGGCCATCACCGTGCTGGACGAAGCCACGGCCTCGGTCGACAACGAGACCGACGCCTTCATCCAGGAGACGATCCGCGGATCCGAGTTTGCCAACTCGACGGTGGTGTGCATCGCCCACCGCCTCCGCACGATTGCCGACTACGACTCGGTGCTGGTCCTCAGCCACGGAGAGGTGGCCGAGTTTGGCACGCCCTTTGAGCTGATGCAGCGCGAGGATGGAGTCTTCCGCAAGATGTGCCAGGACTCGGGCGAGTTTGAAGAGCTCGAGAAGATGGCCCGAGCCAGGGATCAAGCCAAGAAGGCCCTCTGAGCCCGCCCTCATCCCGGCCAGTGTGCCGGTCAACAACAATCCGAGCGGGTGCCCAGCTGCTGTGATTTGTGATTTCTGTTTTTGTTATTGTGTTGGGATACCGGACTGGTTGGAACAGCTGCGCCTGTTGGACACCGATGTGCTTGTGTGGTTGACTGCTTGTGAGTGATTGGATGTTTCAGTGTGCCGTTCTGGTGGAATGGGGTGGTTTTTGGTAGATTCGATCGCTCGACTGAGAGCTCTGTCAAATGAGAGTCTTTGTGACATCTATGATATTTCTTATGTTCATTCAAATCAGAATGCCCCATGAATGATAATAAACAACCGACTTGGCGACGACATCCCAGATTGTTTCGTGGATGTGTGCCTGAGAGTCCCCAAACGACCCGGCACCGCAATCGCACTCACGCTGTCCGCTAATCGAGTGAGATCGAATGGTGCAAGTGTCGCTCGTTCAAAGTATCGGCAATCACAGCCATCGGAATGATGCTGGATTGCTGCTAGGCTGGGACGAGACATCCTGGACCTGGGTCGATGGGCTGCTTGCTCTGGCCATCCAGAGAACACTCGTCAAACCATGAACGGGACACCAGAGCCCGACAATATCGAGTTGATTCCATCGATACCACAATATCGGCCATGGGAGGGATGGCTTCTGTTCCTGGGGTCGAGGATGTGCTGACTCGTGCAGCATTGCGACACGATTGGACTCGGGAAACAGACCCAAGACACATCGGCCGGGAACAGGATGCAGATGATGTCTTCCAGGAATTCTGTGGGACACTTGAAATATCGAATCCCAAGTGAAGTCGTGGCAATGGTTTGTCCTTCGATCAACGCCAACGAAGATAGTTCGGCAATTCATTCTGTATTTGGAATGAATCCAATGACAAACAACCCCCTTTGTCGATTGGCAGATCACCAAAACATCGCTTACTCTGCCCGGCTTTCGGCATGGCTGTTGGAATATAGTATTGGGAGCGACGCGAGATTCAGATTCACCTGCCGAGGTAATTGAGCTCATCGATAGCCGAGTAGAGACCTTGTTCTGCAGACCTGCGGTACCAGAGGACAGCGGTGTCGATATCTCCGTCGACACCAGAAGCTGTCCTGTAGCAGTCGCCGAGGTAATATTGCCCGTGCCGATTTCCTTGCTCGGCTGACTTGCGGAAGCACTCTACTGCCTTGGCTCCATCCTCTTCAATACCTATTCCCCGGAGATAGTACACCCCAGCCATGTACTGTCCGTACGGATTGCCTTGGTCGGCAGACACTTTGAGCCACTCGAATGCATTCGATTTGTCAAGGGCCACTCCCCACCCATACGAGCAGCATGCCGCCAGCCAGTACTGGCTGTCGCTACAGCCCTCGCAGGCGAGCTGTTCGAAAACGTCCGCTGCCTTCTCTTGGTCCTTGATGGTTCCGAACCCTTGGATCAGACACACGGCCGTAAGATGTCTGCACAGCCGATCGTGTATCGATCCGAGGCGACACAGTCCATAGAACCTGCAAGCTGTGGGTGAGTTGGATGAGATGTGTCGCCGTGTGTCCAAGCCATCGTGCTCCCCGATGGGAAACTCTCTTGACACATTGGCTTGGAGGATTTTGTCTCCCCTCTGTCGGTCTTGCAGGGTGCCCCGACCGAGGTAGTGCATCCAGCCGACCATATAGGTGGCGATCGACTTGATGGCCAGGTCGGTGGACTTGGTGCTGACCTCCTGCCAGCGATTAAAGGCATCGACGTCGCTCTGTTCGACACCATGGCCAACCAACGAGAACCAGCCCTGGAGGAATACAATATGGAGTCGGCCGTCTTCGCTGCCCTGGCTCGCAGCCTTGGAATACCACTCAATGGCTGCTTCATGATTTTGGTCGACACCTTCGCCTGACTCATAGCAGCGGCCGAATGCGACTTGAGCTCGAGGCATTCTTTGCTCTGCAAGACTGCGATACAACTCCGCAGCCTTGGTTTGATCTTGATCGACCCCGAGTCCGTTGCGATAGCTTTCTGCCAGATGGAACTGGGCCATCGCATGGCTTGCGCTGGCCGCTGCTTCGAGGAGCTGGAAGGCTTGCTGCTGTCTGAGTGCTCGCTCAGAGTAGACCACGGCTCCACTGTCGAAATCGGCTTGGATAATCCGGGCCAGGAGATACGAAGCAGAAGCGTTTCCATGGTTGGACTGGGCAACTAGCCAGGACCGGTCGGCTGAGCCTGGATTCTTGCAGTGCAGCGAGAGGGCAATCTTGTCGCTGGGCGTGAGGCCGATCCGCATCTGTTCGGCTTGATGATATAGTCCTGCATTCCGGCACCAGCTGTCGAAGCGGGTCACCTTGGAGCTCAGGAGAGGCCGTGCTCGTTTGCACACTCGGAGTAGCTTCTTGATCTCGTCATGACCGAGGGCGAGCTGGAAGCTTTCGCTGCAGCACACGATGACGAAGATGTCAGGACGCACGAGGGCTGCATATGCCGCATCTGGAGCCAGTGGAGCGATACTGGTGCTGGTTTCCATGGCGTGCGGAGAGAGATGAGGGCTGAGAAGGAGGGAGAGGCGGCGATGCAGGCCCAGGACCCAAGACAAAGCAAACAAGCAGGACGTGCGAGCACGACAGCGTCGCCGCCAAGACCGAGCCCCGCGAGACTCGAAGAATGGGATGATTCCACGTGCTGGCTTATCGCAGGATCGGCTTGGGAGCGTCCCCCATGCCTTTGTGGACCGTTCGTCTGCCACTGAGGCCGCTCATGAACAAGCCCAAGTCTCGCTGCGATGATCTGGGCTCTGGATTCGTATGGTGCATTGTCGGTCTGAACTCTGCCCACGAGCTCGCCGCCTGGTGTGGGCGGTGGTTGGCAACGAGGCTGGCTCTCGCGAGTCTCTGCATCTCGATGGCGATGGGCTGATGGCTGGACGGCAGGTCAGTGCAGCCACAGGAGGCCGGCCGCATGCATTGTTCCATTGTGCGCCCGGATGATTCCCTCAGTGCCATTGATCCGTCGAGTGCCCCCCGGCCAGAGCTATTTTGCCGCCGTCGAGGTCCAGCTTCCCCAGGTCCTCACCAACCCGCTGAACATGAGTCCTGGATGCACGGACGGATTCATCTCCGTGAACAACCTCTACGCGACCCAAGCCCTCAACTATCTTCAGATTCAGACCACCAGCGCGGACGTGAACGTTTCGGTAAGCCTCGTGGGTGGTGTGTCGGCCGTCGGCACTATCAGGGCAGGTCGGGTTCCCACCGGCTGTCGTGCTCTGAGCATGCAAGGCCTTGATCGCGGAGACACGGCCGTGATCCTGGTCATGAACATTCATGAACACGACCGAGCCGTGGGCGGTGAGCCGCCGTTCTTGACGAGACCACTCACACACAACTACTGTCCTTGCAGGGCGTAAACTCGGCCGCCAGCTCCAGCTTTTCATTCCAAACAATTACCGGTAACATATATCTTCAGGTACGAGCGCAGCACTTCTGCCCCAGCTTCGTCTCCGAATGCTTCTCGGCCAAAGTCCACGAATCTCACCCCGCATCGTGTTCCTGATCTTCCTGCTCTTTCTCCTCCCAGAACGCCAACATCAACAGCCTTTCCGTCAACACAATCAGCGGAAACGTCAATCTTGTGGTGAGTCCCTTGATTTGTCGATTCATTTGGGAATGAATCCGTGGCTTGAGGTCCATGGAGTTGCGCCGCAGAGGACTGTGCGGACGTTGGTCCGACTCTGGCTTGAAAAACGGTTCAGGCCAAGCCAGCGACCAAGCGAGCTCACTCCCTGACTCTACATCAGCCTGTCAAATCAACCTCACTCGATATCTCGACCACCAGTGGCAACATTCAAACCACGGTATGTATTGGCTGCAGCCATCTGCGGTCGCCAGAACGTCGGGTTGGAGATGGCAGAAGGGGGCCGGAATGCGGGTCGATGTCGATGCGAATTGTCGATCTGAATTGTCGATGCGAATCATTGATGCCAATCATTGATACGGACTGACCTTGCATTTCGTCTGTCTGATTTCACAGGGCTCCGTGGCACTCCAGTATGCTGGCTTCACCACCACAAGCGGAGAGCTCATGGGCGACATTGCCATTGGATCCCGGATCAAGCAGCTGTCGACGAGCGGCGACGTCACTCTGAGCATCCCCCTGACCGGGACGATCTCGACAGCCTACGCTCTCAGCTTCCAGACAACGAGCGGCGTCATCAATTCTCAGTTCACGGGCCCGATTGCCGGCTCGATCGCGGTCGCCTCCACGTCCGGCCCTGTTCGAGTCCTTGGCGGCTCGGTCTCGGCGATCCAGTCGACCAACTCTCAGTTTCGGGCCAGGTTGGCGGGAGCGCATCCCCCAGCAACTTGACCATCTCCACGGTCAGCGGACCGGTCAATGTCAAGTTCTCGTAGGAGGGACGACGAACCGACCCATGCCAACTCCTCTCGCTGTTGCCGCTGCTGTTGTTGCTGTTGTTGCCGCTGTTGTTGCAGTATTGCATCACTACCTATTTGAATCCATGGCCCGTCATCTCCAATAAAGACCCCGTATCCAGCGTTCCTGCTCCTCGACAACCCGCCCTGCTGGTGGTGTGGGCCGTGGTCACCGCGTGCGCTGCGGACACAGCCCGGTGGGGGTCGGTGGGAGGAGGGACATCCACCCCATATCCAAACAGCGATGCGTGCTCGACCCCTCTCTTTCCCGTCTGCACCTGGCTGCGTCCCATCCCGTCTTGGGATATACCTGCAGACTCACAACAACGAAAAAAAAATAATCATATCCCGTCTCCTTGCGGCCTGGGTGGCAGTCGCAGGAGGCGCGCCCGCCATCGACCAGACGACGATGAAGACGCAAGCGATGACGACCTGCCCTTGCTGCGACTGCTCAGGCGACGGGGCTCGCCCTTTGTATTCCGTGCTGTGTATGCGAACCGGTCGAGTGTGCGCGGATGGTGCGGCGGTGGGTCGGCGATTGCTTTGTCGAGCTGCCCGATGCATGTCAGATCAAGGGACAGACAGGCAGGCAGATGCCTCTCTGGTCTCGATACAAGGCCATCGATATCAAGCGGGAGTGGCCAGGCATGGCGCCATTGGGGCGAGGAAGGTCGATGGCGGTGCACCGGCGCCTGGCAGGCAGCCGGCCGCGTGGTGTCTCGAGACCAGCCACTGTGCGTCGGTGGTCCTCGGAGCGAGGCGAGGCGAGGAGGGAGGAGGGAGGCTCTGGCGGACACAACCCGTGCGGGAGGAACCACACAGATCGGTGGTGGCATGCGGGCTCGTCCAGATCGGTCTTTACGGTTGGGCTGGACGACAGGGCGGCCGATGCTGAGGGGCGCCCTGTGCCGGCGTCCCTGGGCTTTCCTTTTCCTTTCCTTTTTCCTTGGACAGGTGGTGACGACTGCGGGGGCGCTCGAAAATTGAGGTGGTGGGCTGGTGGGTGCACAGAGGCTCTCCCAAAGACGAGCCCGACGGTAACTTGTGGATCAGGCCTTGTGCCCGAAGCACAGTCGCCCGAGCAGCGAGCCTGACACTTTCTCCCCCGCCGGCAGGTCGTCTGCCTCGCTCTGGGTCACCATCGCCCTTGTTGGATCAAGGCGAGTTGGCTGGCTGGGTCATCCCACAGCCGATCAGCAATCGTGGCCTGAGCCGTGAAGAGGAAAGGGGACAGACATGGATACGGAGCCGGGAGGTGCCGCCGCAAGCGGAATGTGGGAATCGGGACGGCGGGAATATGAGAATCGGGACGGTGGGAATGCGGGGCGATGGGGATGCGGGGCGGACGCCAAGGGACGCACTGGGCATTGGGGGGCAGGGCAGAGCAGGGAGGGAAGGACAGCCAAGCGCAAGCCAAGGACGTCGAGCATACGCTCGGCGGAGACGGCAGTACGAGACCAATAAGAGTGCATGCGGGATGGACGAGACCAACGAGGCCAACGAGGCCGCGTGTGCAGAACAGGACGAGGCCGCATGTGCGAAACAGGACGAGGCCGAGGCCGCATGAGCGTCATATGTTGAGGCAGCGGCCGTCCGGGTGTCCGCCAGGCAAGTGTTTGGCTTGCTCTCGGGTCGGCACACCGAGTCTGATCCAACGAATGCCACACAGCGAGCAAGTCCGAACGACAGAGATGGCTATGGACTGAAGCATTTGTTGTATTCGATGGATTGGATTGGTCCTGCCAACCAGACACACCAGCAGATCGCACTCGAGAACAGAGAAACAATTCGAGGGTGGTAGAGAATAAAAAGTATGTACAGTGAAGGAAAGGGCAAAAATGGAACCCGGCCGAGGGCAAAACGGACGTTGGGAATCAAATAAAGGAGGCGAGGGCATCTGTCTATAGAGCAGAGAAACAATAGATAAGAGGGGGGGTGTGTGCGATGGCGGAGGTGGCCTATATGAGCAGGTTCTGCACGCTCAGGCTGCGACCGCGCGTGCTCGAGACTGGCGGGCTCGGCTGCGACAGGGCGGCCTGGGCTGCAGGCAGAACGGCGGTGACGGGCTGCTGGGCGGGAGACGATGGATCGTGCGGCGAGGATTTGGCCGAGGCAGCAGCAGAGGAGCCCGAGAGGGAGTCGATCTGCTGGTGCAGCGAGTAGATGTACTCGATGGTGTACTCGAGGATCGAGAGCTTGTGGATGCTGTCCTGGTTGGCGCAGGCAGGAACCATGCTCTTGAGCTGCAGGATGCGCTGGTTGATCTTTTCGCGGCGACGGCGCTCGATGGCCGAGTGGGAAACCTTTCGCAGCATCTCCTTTTCGGAGCGTTCGCCGGGCGGGGTGTACCGCGGGGGCCCGCTGCGGTAGGGAGGGCTGGCCAGACGCTTGTCCTGATAGTACGGGGCCGAGTCGAGATACTGGGGCGGAAACATGGCCGGGTGGTGTTGAGGCGGCTCGGTCTTGACGAGCGGGTAGGAGGGCTCCTGGTGAGGATAGGACATCATACCAGGCTGCGGGTGGTAAGGTGCAGTCTCCATGCGAGGCGAGGTGTTGGGCGAGATGGGGGCAAAGTGGGAGGGTGCACTGACGGGGCGGTTGGGGTAGTAGTTCATGGATGCGGGAGCAAGGTGCTTGGTTTTCGGCTTTGGTTTTTGGTTTTGCTTGACTGTTGGGATGGTTGGCTGTTGGGATGGCTGGTTGGGTGTACGGGATGGGATAGACAGAGTCTTGCGATGGATGGTCTTGGTCGGACAGCAGGACTGGCGGCGAGCAGAGCACGGCAGGCAAGAATAGGGCAAGGACAGGGCAAGGGCAGAGCAGAGTAGGAAGGCCGAGACGGAACGGGCTGGTTGGAGGAGGAGATGGCCAAAGCGCCGGGGGAGGGCCGCGTATTTATGTCCTCGGGCAGCACATGTTGGCCCTTCCATGTTCCCGGGCGGCGCCCATGCGGGTGGAGCAAATTTGTTGGGCAAGGTGTACAGCCTTTTTTTCATTCTGCGTGGGCGGGTGTTGGGATGGGCGGCGGGTCGCACCGCCGAGGGACACAACAGATGGCAGGGGCACGAGACCCAAATGAAGGCAAGCGCTTTCCCGGCGGGCGAGGCGGGCCAAGGCCGGCACGGCGACAAGGCGGTGCTGCAGCCGCACGAGCGACTGGAGCGCTGTGTGGTGCGGACGACGCAAACAACGCATGGGCAAGGGGGGGGGCGACTCGCGAACAGCAGCCCCGGATTGTTACGACAGGAGCAGTTCGTGCGGGTGGGCAACATTGCCTTGATGTTTGGCTTTGGCGGTTGAAGAGGTTTATGCTCATCCGGCAAGAGCAATCTCCCAAGCCCATGCACAAGGCTGCTTGCAGAACCACCGGAACATCCACACCCGCGGCGGTGTTGGCATCAGCCCACGGCCTTGGTCTGAAACATCGACACCCCACCACAGCAACACCCAGCAACACTCAACAACACCCACCAACACCCACCACCATCCCGCGACATCCACGCCGGCACATGTCGCCGCTGCAAGACACCGCTTGCCGCATCGCGGCCCTGCAGCACACCATCGGCCCTGACATCTGGTCCACGGCCTTGCCTCGGTCTTGCCTCGGCCATGCGGATGGCATCATCGGCGGGCTCTCGGCGTGCGTGATTGGATCTCAGTGCTCGTCGCTGCACTCTCGGCGGGCGAGATGTGGCTCTTGCTTCTTTCCTGTGGTGGACCCGAACACACTCTCGTCTCCACATCGCCATGTCTGCGACTTGCCATGAGCATGTCTGCGTCCCGGCCAGCACTTGGCCGTATGACTGCCTGGCAAAGGTCTGTTTGCCCAAGCGACACACCCATATCCACACCGATAACCACAATCGCACACGGCGCACCAGCCCCGATGCAGCCACATCCGTCGCAGCCACATCCGCCGCGGCTGCAACCGTAACCATAACATTAGCCACACCACCAGACCCACCGTCAACATCAACACCGACATCAACAGCAGCACCACCAGACACAACACCACCATCAACACCAGCACCACCGCCAACAGCAACCGCAACCAGCCCAGGGCATGTCCTTTGTCCCGGACACGGACCGGGCGCACCGCGAGCCCCCCGCCGCCGCCGTGGCCCCGCCGCAGCCGCCCGCACCGCCCGCACTGCACACAGGCCACAGGCACAACAGCGGCCCGTGCCACCAGCCCTGGTCACCATCCCCCCTTGTGCGTGTCTCCGCCCGCGCCAGCGTGACCCGCCGGCTTCATTTGGGCGCACCAACCCACTCGCGGGCTTGCCCGTCGCGCGTGTCGCCTGAGGCACCGGCCGCACCAGTCGGCGCACCCGCTCCTTGGCCACACGGGCGTGCCACCCGCGCCGGTCCGGCAGGAGGGCGGATCTGTCCTGCGACCGAGCTCGCATTGCACCTCGAATTGCACCCCGACACTACGTTGATCTCGACACTACGTTGATCTCGACACTGCTTTGATCCCGCCTCGATAGCGTGGTCTTCTGCCTCCAGTCTTCTCGGCGGCAACGGGACTTGCACAGCATCAGCGCGATGCTCGCATGTCCCGCCTGTCCCACAGCCCCTCGGCTGAGCCCGCGCCATGGGCCTGAACATGTGCCGAAAGAGAAAACCGCAGCAAGGACATGGCTCCACAGCAAGGCCATGGCTCCATCGGCGCACCACCATGCATGTCGCACTTTGGCCTGTGGCAAGAGCAGATGCAGCCAATCATGCCCTTCGAGTCCATTCTGGCCTGGTCCATGTGGCGGTCGTGTGTGGGTCGAGCCCGGTCTTGTGTCTTGCGCACCTGACCATCGATGTCTTGCTTCCACCCGACCTGCGCTACCCGAGCCCCCTTTCCATGCCCTGTCCATGTCCTTTCCATGTCCTTTCCATGCCCGTCCTTGCCTGGCGGTTCGCTGCCACTTGGGTGGCTGCAGCTTCTCTCGATGGCATCAGTCTGCATGGTAGTGCACATCTGTTCAATCTTGGTGGCATTTCCATCAACCACATCTGGTATCGACCACCTCCACATCTGGTATCGACCGCCCCCATCCATCGGCCCTGCCCCCTCGTCCCGGCTGCCTCCCAGCCCCCCGCCAGCCCGTCCCGGCGCTCGCGCAGCCCCACAGCTCCGTGCAGCCGACCCTGGCCACGCGGGCAACGCCCGAGCTGGCATGCCTGCAGCTCAGCGGCGCCGCCTGTTTGCGCCCCAGCCAAGGCCGCGAGCGAAAAGAGCGCTGACTGGACTCCAAACAGCACCCGTTGCTTCTTTCCGGCGTGGTCCTGTGCGGCACCAGGAAAATGAAAGGATCCATCCACCACAATTTCCTCCTCCTCCACTTGCTCCTCGTCCTCGTCCCCGTCCTTCGCCACCGTTGCAAGGAGGTGCTGTCATGAGGCCCGTGTGTCTACCGATCCATTTTTTTCTTTCGTTGGCTTTGGCCCGGGTTGCACCAATTGCACCGGCCGCTGACACCTTTCTGCTCTTTCGTCTTCCTTTGTCGGCCTTGAAATTGCATCCTCCTCGCTGGGAAACCCAGCTGCTTGGTGGGGCTCAGCTACCCCCCCCCTGTTGCATCCACCCATCCACAGCCCTCCTCTTCCTTTGCCCATCAGTTGATGTTTTCCATGATGGCAAGCTCGGTGATCCCGCCCTTGCCGCCTCGCTTCGGGTCCATTCCGGGCTTCAGCGCAGCCCTCAGGCCATCTCCGAGTCCTCCCGGGGGCATGAACACCACCTGCATGGGGATCACACCCGTCCACGCGCCGGAAAGAGAGAAGGCGGGCGCCGTTAGTGTGCGGGATCGGGGGTGTTGCGGGTATGCAGCCGTCGGGACTGGTGTCGCTCTTGTGAGGCAGATGCGATGGCCACATCCCGCGGGTGCCACATCATCCCGCAAGTGCCACACCGTCCGTCGAGAGCCACATCGTGCGAGCGACGGTGGCCTGTTCATCAGTCCTGCCAGCGGTCCTGCCAGCGATCCTGCCAGCGGTCCTGCCTGGATGCTGTGTCTGTTCCCATCCAAAGGACAGAGTCTTCCGACTCGCCGCACCGTCCGAGGGACAACTCTCCTTTGCCCTTATGTCCTCGTCGTCGTCCTTCGTCCTGTTGGCCTTTGAGGTCCATACATCCATTGGTCGTAAACGTGGCATCTCCCTCGGCATGCCCAGCAGTCCGCCAATCCGTCAGTCTGCCTCTCTGCCACCAGCGAGCAAGCTAAGGTTGGCCACGCCCATGGTCAATCGCCTACCTTTGTGTTGGATGCTTTTGCCATCGCACACAGCGTCTCCAGATGCCGGATCTGCATTGCCGCGGGGGTGTTGAGGATGTCGGATGCTGTCGAGTGGTGCGGCGAGGGGTGGCCGGATGTGAGTCAAGGGTCGCATGCCGTTGGCAGCGAGACACCACATTCGGCGCCTCTCGACCTCCAAGGTATGTCAGCACATGGTCAAGCCCATGGCCAAGCTCATGGTCAAGCCCATGCCAGGACAAGCACGAAGCCTTCCCAAGAGCCAGGGCTGTGCACGGAGCCATGAGCGGCCCTGTTCCCGCCCGGCCGAGCCAATCGAGGGTCTATCCGCTATCGCATATCCGCCGCGTGCTTGTCGCATGTGTCGAGCGGCAGTCGCATGTCTTTGCATATGCTTGCATGCGTGGATTGCTTACCTTCTCGCATCAGCCGAGCCGACTCGACTGCCCGAGTTCAAAGCCAGCGATCCCCCCCCCACTGGGTTAGTCTGCCACCAAGAACATATCCCCTGCACCTCGGCCATCCTTATGCGAAAGGGGAACCACATCCGTCGTTACCTTCGGCCCTGGCAGCAATCACCTTCGACTCGCCTGTGATAGTGGTGCGATTCGTCCGAGTCAGATAACAGCATGACAAAACAGAGCCAGTCGCAGAAGTGACCGCTTGAATCGCCGCGAATCGCCGTGAATCCCTCTCGTCCACGACTGCACTCCCCCCCCCTCTCTCTCTCTCTCTGCATATCATTCCATTCAGGATCAAGCGCCACTACCAATCCCGCCAGCACACCATCGCCGCCCCCATACCGATTCTCTTCTGCTTGGCCGCTGCGCTCAAGCTCTCCAACAGGTCGGCGCTGAACTGCAAGTCCTTGATCAGAATGCTCTCGATCTTGACTCCCCACGACTGGGCCGGCTCCGATATGATCTGCTGGATCTCGTGCGAGATGGTGTCGCGATGCTCGATGCAGTCCTGCAGCGAGCGAGTGCCGATGATGTGTCGTAGGGTCGTCTGGGTGCGCTCAATAAGCGCACGCTGGACGTTACTGACCTGAAGGAGTTCGCACATACACCCCCACGCCGTCAGTTTTTGATGGCATAGAGCCGCATCCACCGTCGCAGTCGGCTGAGCGCCCCTCAATTTTTCACCAAGCGCCGAACCTACCATGAACGCAGCGCAGTAACTGGGTCGCATCGTCAAAGCGAAGTCGCAGTAAAGTCGCAGGGACGCCCCGATGCGAAATGGGCGCCAGAGCGCGGCCGGCATTAGACCAAGTCGACACATCATGAGCGCACCACCAGTGACTGCATATAGCCAGGCGCTGCCCTCCGCCATACGCGCGAGCCCCACATGCGCATATCGATGACGCTACGCTTGCATCCAGATTTGACTTACGGGTCGACGATGTGCCAGTACAGGACCGAGTCGATTTGCAGCCCTGGTTCAGGATGCGAGCCATCGTCAGCACTCGGCGCGCTCGCCAGACCCCCTCCCTCTCCTCTTCATCCGGCCCGCTCCTCAGGCAGCCGTCAAGACGAACCAACGTTGTCCTTGGTCATCACGATCTGGCGCGGAATGTCTTGGATCTGGATCTTGATATCGACCGACCGAATCGTCTCGGTGCACAGATTGAGGCGGTAGAGCCCCGGGTCCACCGAGCGGTAGAACTTGCCAAACTTGGATATCAGCCCGACCTGGCCCTGTGAAATGGTCTTGAATGGGCTGGAGGCACGGCGCGGCCATCGAGGAAATACGTGGAGGCGAGGGTGAGATCGGAAAGGTGTGGGAAAATGGAAAATGGAAATGGGTCAATCGTTTGATGCTCACCATTCAAGATTTGCGGCTGCGCAAAGACATTCTTGCCCCACGTTCCTCTCCCTCCTTCGCCGTGGCATGAGTGCAGCCCCCCGTTCGGTTCTCACGCCATGCACACCCCCCCTCCGTCTCGACACGCTCATACGCAATTCGCTTCGGCGCAGCGACGACCTACTTTGGGCAGCAGATGCAGCACGGAACACTTCCGAGGATCCCGATGAGGGACCCCAGACACACCAGCATGAACTCGTAGCACTCGTGCTCGACGGGGTTCAGCTCGATCGTGCCCGCGAACGACGGGATCAGGTTGGGCGTCTCGGCGACCATGCCTCTGGAGAGGTCGGGCTGTTGTTGGGTCGAGGCGCCGGCCGAATGCCCGTACGAGTTGTCGATCTGGATGGCGTTTTCCATGACGGGCCTGAGACTGGGCGTGGATGAGGTCTGGCCTGGAAGTGCGGGCAAGCTGTTTTTCATGCGAACGCGGGGTCGAACACCCTCCCCTGATGCGCCTTCCTTCCCCCCTCCTCCTGAATCACTGCTGCCCTTCTGATCGCCAGACACAGCCATTTTCCGATCGATCACGCGACCCGGCCCCGTGGTGGCCAATCGCAGGAGCACCCCGCGTGGCACAGGCCACACTGTGGGCATCCGCGCCGATCCGCCATGGCCAGCCACGGCGCCGTGCACGCGACCGCCGACACAGCCGCACTGTGGCTGGGCGCCCTCGCCCGTTTCGGCAGCCGCCCTCGCGCCTGTGCGACCCTCCGCCACCGACGCGTTTCATGGACGCCTCAGAGCCGCCGAGATCGGGCTCCGGCCTTTGCTCCCTCCCTCTTCCTGGTTCGTTCTGTCCCGCTCTCTCTCTCGCCCCTCTAACGCATCCGGGGGCCAAGCACCACTCGCCCAGCCGTATCTGTCTCCCGACATCATCGTCTCCCCTCCGCCGAGTCCAAGATGAGCGTCCCCGTCAAGCCCAACGACCATCTCGTCAAGCTTCTGATCATCGGCGACAGCGGTACGGCCAGGGGGGGGGATGCGGAGCCTGAGGCGGCCTCGTTTGCTGTATCAGATGGGGCCGGCTCGGCTCGGCAGGGCTGCCCAGTCGGCCTGGCAGGGAGCATCCAGGCTCGCCACGCATCCGGCCCGTCGTCCATCCAGGGCCCGGGTGTCGTCCCAGCCATCTCTATCTGGGTGCCGCTCTGCTTGGAAAGTTGGGCATCCCACTCGCTGATCACATCCACCCTTGGCTATTCTGTGGGCGTGCGTGTTGTACATGGGCAATATCTGCCGGAAACACCGTCCAGGCGTCGGCAAGTCCTGTCTGCTGCTGCGATTCGTCGACGACTCCTTCACGCCGTCCTTTATCACCACGATCGGCATCGACTTCAAGATCCGCAAGGTCAATATCGAGGGCAAGCAAATCACGTTGCAGATCTGGGACACGGCTGGACAGGAGCGCTTCAAGACCATCACGACAGGTACGACCGGGCGTGCTTGCTAACAGCCAGACAGTGCGGGGGAGGGGAAGGCGGGACTCTTCAGCAGTCTTGATCGCGACCGCTGCCTCCACTCTCGTCCTCGAGCGCACTCCAGAGCACCAAACACCGAGCACCGAACACATCCGTTCCATTCAATAGCTCGGCTGTGCTGGAACCGATGCACCCTCTCAACAAACTCTGATCCTCGAGAGAGCCAGCATGTGCTGCAAACTTACCAATGCATCCGCCTCCCCTCCCCTGCCTCAACATCTGGACGCACCAACAGCATACTACCGGAGCGCCATGGGCATTCTCGTGGTTTACGATGTCACGGACGAGAATAGCTTCCGAAGTAAGGGCCGACCTGCCGATGCGTGACTGTCTCATCGTCGCACACCACTCATCGAATCGCCTCAAGTCTCTGATGCCCTTGGCTAACATGGAATTTGCGCAGATGTCGCAACGTGGATGAAGAATGTGGACGAACATGCTCCCGAGGGAATCTCGAGGTGTCTGATCGGCAACAAGTGCGACCTCGAGGGTGCTAGGGTGAGTATCCCCAGCGCGAGTTCATCGGATTTGCGGTGGCCAATCGTGCTCACGGAATACGACGCACGACGGCAACGGCTCAAAGCGAGAGCGTTCGATCGAGCTTTGTGTCGCACTCGAGCATGTCCGGGTGTCAATCTGTCGATAATTTGTGGGAGGGGGGTGGGCCATGAGCACATCGAAGCTGACCAACCTGGTCGATTGGTGCCTGCAGCAAGTCCCTCCCGAGAAGGGCCAGGCCCTCGCCGACGAATACGGCATCGAATTCATGGAGTGCAGCGCCAAATCCAACATTGGTGAGTTGCCTTGCAAGGACATCCACGAGCCGATTACTTGACTCCCGAAGTCACGGCCAAGGAGCACACTATGCGCGACCATGCATCTCGAAAGGCTGTGCTGTTCGCTTCGACCTGACCTGTCTCTTGTGCACACGGCCCAGGAGTCGAGCAAGCCTTCATGGATCTGGCTCGGCGTATTCTTCGCCGTCGGAGCGGACTAGAAAACGGCGACAATGCCTCGGCCTCAGCGAGCGTGCAGCTCAACCCTAACGGCGGCAACGCAGCCGGCGGAGGCTGTTCGTGTTGAGCGACCGCGCACCCCGGGGAACCGGATCTTGGACGAACAAGTCGAGCTTTTAGATTTGTGGCGAGGGAGGAAGGGTTTGGAGCTAGTGGCCGACCGAGTCTTTTTGCTCGTGGGAAGGACGCCATCTGCTCGTCAGTCGTCGAGAAGATGTCGGGCTGTGATGCAAGCGACCCAGAGTTCGCGGGGCGATCTCAGAGACGACGCACTTGTCTTGAGCCATACTCTTCCCACTCGCAGCGGCTCAGCGTCACCACACTCCTTGCGGATTGCTCGTCCCTTCTCCCTGCTCCACACTGACTGCGCTGCCACTTGGCTCCTTCCCGTCTACTTCTCCCTTCCTCCTTCGCCAACACTCTTTCAACCTTTTGTTTTCTTACCGCGCACCGAATTCCCCGCTTCCATGTTCTCCTGTCCTCTGGCATATCCACCAGTAACCTACACTAGACTCCGTGTTGGTTGTTTGCGTTTCGGAACAACGACACTGTTCTCGAAGAAGAATAAAGCTGCCGTTTCCCACGGCTTATCCCCCCCCCATTCCGTACTTGCGTGTATCGCAGTATCCATACTTTATTGCTACTGTTTCCATACGGATGGCTGGCTGTGACGGAGGGACGAAAGTAGTCGTGTGGCGGGGATGCCCAACGAAAACACAACACAACCAAGCGACTGAAGGGGACAATTGTGAATGGGTAGGTACATTGACACCGGACTCGACAGAGTCGACGGACAGAAAGCAGAATGGGTCGCGTTGTCAATGGAGTAATAGAGAAAGAAAGAAAGAGAAAGAATAACAAGTGCAGGACTGATAGCGAATGCAAGGGCAAGGGGCAGTAAAGACGGGGCAGCGAGAGTAACAATCCAAGGCAGGACGGCAGCGCCTGCGCCAGCAGATTCATGTGTACTTTTTGATCTCGCATTTGGTGCACATCCTCTCGCTCTTGCCCGGAGGACAGCAGCAAAAGTTGAAAGGGCAGCAGCAGATACAAAGCATGATGTCGGTGCAGGTCCATCGTCCCGTGGCGACAAAGTCGTGGGGCGGACATCCCTGGTATTCAGGGTGAACGGCACCCGGATGGCCGCCGTAGCCTTGCGGTGGTGGCGGCGGCTGCGGCTGCTGTGGGTAGTAAACCGGCATCGGCTGCTGCTGCATCATCATGGGCTGTTGCTGCATCATCATAGGTTGTTGCGGCTGAACCATCATCGGTTGCTGCTGCTGCGGCTGCTGGGCCATCATGGGCTGTTGACCATAGATGGATGCAGACGACTGCATCATCGGGGTCTGCGGTGCCGTGGGCGACATCGCGGGTTGTTGCATCATCATGGGCTGCTGCCCGTAAGAAGAGGAGGACTGCTGCATATCTGAATGACGCTTTTGAGGTTGCCTGGCGAGGTTCCCAGAGGATTAATGGAGAATTCGCGACTGAACAGGACCGCGAATGATTTGGTGAGGCTGTCGCGTGTCTGGGACCTGGTAAGCGCTGGTTTTCGTCCTTATTTGAGGGGAGTGAGCAGAGTTCGGGATGAACAGGCAAGTACAAGCACAGGATGAAAACAGAGCCACAAGGGAAGTATAGCTGTTGGAGCGATGGTGTGAACGGAAATCGGACAGCGCTGGGCTGAGACGACGACCAAGAAGCAACGGAAAATATGAGAGAGCGAACAAAATGCCCGAAACGAAGGGGGGGACTGGCGAAATACTGAGCCCTCCGAGCGACCGCCACGGCCAAAGCTGTGGAGGGAGGCAGCGTCCCTCATGAACATACTGGCAAAGAGGAGAGCCCTTGCTTCTCGAGAGGGGAGAGAGCGGCGGTCCTGTCTGTTCCCCCGCTCATTCCTGTGAGCTTGCATTACCTGGCGGTTGACTGTTCTTGTCATGGCCGTGGCGGCTGAAGCAATCATGCAATCATGAGCGATTGGCTGCTGCCGGCTCGGGCAGACCTCTCCCGCACCGGGCCAGCGCACTGTCAAGCGAGGGAGGGGGTCGGATTGGTCTTCGGATTGGAGGGCGGGCACCGCATCGCCGAATCACAATCTGATTGACAGACATCCCGGCCGATTGGGGGCATTCGGAGACACTGCCTCTGCTGTCGTTGCGATGTTACAACAATTGCAGCATCTATAGCGCAGACGAAAGCAAGTGGAGCGGCCACATTGCCCGTGCGGCTGGGCTGAATCGAGAGATGTCGCCGACCTTTGACGCGGAGCACATTCACATTCGCACAGACGAGCCAGCTGAAAGCACACACATATGCACGGGCATTTCATTAGGCGAACAGATATATTTCGTAAACTTTGGCAGGGTGGGGAACTTGCTGTCCGACAGCTGCCGGTCAGGAGACATGACGACATAGAGCCAGAGCAAACACCAGATCGTGAGAAAGCAAAGAGTTGAACCAAGAGAAAGAATTTATAGCACAGAGGATGTACAAGTGCAGACAGAGCGAGGATGGGAGACGGATGGATACAGGAGCTTGGGATTCCATGGACCCTCGAGATCATATTATGGCGGGCAAGACCGACACGAGACAGAAGCGCGGTGTACACAGGGCGGGGTGGGCTTGGCAAATGCGGGCGACGACGGCGAGGCCGCGTTCGGATAAGGGGCAAGGTGATCGCACGGTGCTTCGCTGCTGCTTGCTGTCCGCTTACTGCTGCTTGATGCCGCACTTGGTGCACTGCTCTTCGCTCTGGCCGGGAGGGCAGCAGCAGAAGTTGAAGGGGCAGCAGAAGATGCAGAGCACAATGTCGGACAGGGTCCAGTTGCCGGTCTTGACGAAGCTGTGGGGAGGGCACATCTGGGGGTTGCCGTAGACAACAGTCTGGGGAGCATAACCCTGCTGGACGTAGCCCTGCTGGGGAGCATAGCCCTGCTGAGGAGGCTGGGGAGCGTAGCCTGGCTGAGGAGCGTAGCCTGGCTGGGGAGCATAGCCTGGCTGGGGAGGCTGAGGAGCGTAGCCCTGCTGGGGATAGCCCTGGGGAGCAGAGGTGGCAGGAGGGTAGGCGTTGTTCTGGTTGGCAGACATGGCGTTGGGCGTCGATGTGGAGCAGCAGGAGACCAGGAGACCAGGGCGAGATCGGGTGCGATGGTGTCGAGGGGGGACTCGATGCAAACCTCGAAATTTATAGGAAGCACCGCCGCATGGAGGCAGATGGGCCTTTGAGGCGAGTGAAAGCCCCGCAGAAGCCGGCCCAGCCGCCGCGACATACAAGGCAGGAGAAACAAGAGCGACAAGAGGCCGAGATTGCGGATACAACCGCGGCGACAAGGACTGGCACAGCGTGCGGCGGTGTTGTTGATGTTGTTGATGTTATTGTTGATGTTGTTGTCGATGTTGGTGTGGCTTGTTGTTGGTATTGCCTGTTCCGGGCGCCGTTGCATGCTGTGTAACCACGGAGAGTTGCGGGCTGGTTGTGCCCTTTGCGCCGATTGGGGGCGACGGCGCTGGAGACCGAAGGCGAAGTGCACGGCATTACCGCCATCGTGGAAAGAGCTGCTGCTGGTGCTGCAATCGCTCTTCCTCGTCGCGAACGCTGGCCTCTCGTCGCGAACGCACTTCCTCAGCCGATCGTCTCGCCAGTGCCGTCGCCAGCGCCGTCGCCAGTCCTGCTGCGGCTTCCGCCCAGATTCGGCTCTTGAGTGCCTCTGCTGTGTCTGGCGGCGGACGTTACACATGACACCCAGCGATTTAGGCTGGTCCGCGTCGCCACAGGTGCGACCGTTGCACCAGCAGCCAGGCACGCGCGCGGCGCTGGTCCCGAGTGGTGCGTGGTCGGGTCCGTGCCAGTCAGGCGGGCGCACCCCTGGCCCAGCAAACTTGCCCCCACAGAGCGGATTGAGGCCGCTCGCCCGACCCATCCAGCGAGACACAGCGAGACGCACGGCAACAGATGGACCAGATCAAGCGCCAAGACCGGCCGACGATGGCACCAAAGACCCGATGGATATGGCCAAGTGACGAGAAACTGTTATGCACTGCACTGATGGCATATCCTGCAGATGGCTCATTTGGTATTGGCGAATGCCTTGCTGAGCGTTTCGTACACAACAAATGTGATGCATGTGCCAGGAAGCACCCGCAAAAGACCCGTCTCCAGCCCGCGGTAGAACCCACGCAGGCCTTCGTTCCTGCAAGGCCAGTGCACAAGTCAACGCAGTCAGTATGCAGCGTGGTCGCAGTCAATGTGCAGTGCAAACGCTGGATGTAGATTCCGATGGCACAGGGCGGCCGAGGACGGCTGACACGAGCACGCAGGCTTACCTCCAAATGACCCCTACCGTTCCGAGCACGCTCCGGGAGGTGGCTGGATTCTCGCTGCGCTGGTTCTGGCGGCAGGAAGGTGGGATGCGTTCCCCAGTGTCAGGGCTGAGACCGATGCGATCGCGACTGCGACATTCCAGAGTCAGTCAGCGCCATACCTGGATCCGAGCCTTGACGACTTGATACGGGTATGTAATCGACGTCGCCATGATTTTGGATAGCGCTGCCATCGCCAGGTACTCCAGCGTTCCCAGTTTGTCGGAGCTGTCGCCGTGAACCAGCTCTGCCCGGACCTTTTTGAGCTCTTCGTACACAGTGAACTGCACAGCGCCATGCGATGTGCCTATCAAAGCAGGGACGACGCCTCGATACAGGCCCCGGATTCCTTCTTGTCGATATGTCCGGGACAGGCAGTCTGTGGCGAGATCAGGACCAATGACAGGTCGGTCAGTGTCGCCCTGAGCAACATCCATCGCCCGCACAAGCACCTCGGCCATCGGGGTAGACATGTCGAGTTACCCCAGAGTCCCTTGTATGCGCCTGGATCGCTGGCTTTCTGGGCGCAGATGCGAGTCTTTGCCAGCCAGAACGGGTTGGTAAAAAACACTGTGATTCCGCCTGTTGTTGCAGATGAAGAGCCGATTCGGTGAGCCATGCGACAGGTTCGCCGCCGCGATTGGTTGGGTGGCCATGGCCCATCATGCGACCGCCCAGCGGACAGCCCTCTGGCTTTGCGCCAGATCATGCATTCACTCCGGACCCATCGCCCGACGCACCAGCTGCCATAGACGCAAGCATGTGGTGCCCGGGACTCAGCTTCTGGTTCTTCTCGGTCCTCATGGCGGATTTGATCGTGTCGTACCTGGGAAGTGCAGTCCAGAAACGTCAGCACAGCCGTCCTCGAGCGACTCACCGGACACTGCCTCAACAGGCTGGCGATACGGCGCATACGATGCGGGCTTTTGTGGCTCTACACCCAGTGTCCTTCCATCGGCTGCAGCGGCAGATCCGTTTGTGCTCCGCCCTGGCTCGGCTGGGTCTCGGCAACCGAGTTCGTGCGCAACGACCGATGCCATCCGCCTCGTACCAGAAAAAGTAGAACCCCCAGGACAGAGTCGAGCCAGCCAGGTTGGCCACAACGCCACGATAGAGGGCCCGGTGCCCGCCTTCGTCCTTGAGGATATAGCGATAGGCCTGGAGAGTGTTTTGGTATGGCGTGCCCGAGGACTGCGAGCCGGCCGACGAGGCTGTCCCGGGAGTGGTATGCCTCTGCTGATTGGAGACCTGGAATCTTGTCTTGATGAGATCAAACGGATGCAGAACCGCTGTCGATACAAACCCGGCCGAGAAGCCAGCCAGGGCCTGGTCGACGGAGCGGGACCCTGTCAGCGTCCCGGATTTTGGCTTGGCAGTGTTGGCTTCTGTCATGGAGATTGGCACGGAGGCTGCAGAGGCTGTTGCCGATATGGAGGCTGTGGGCTGCTGGCTCGTTGATTTGTACGGGGCGTGCCTTTCAGAGCGCTGCGATTCAAAGGTTGCGTTGCTTGCGATCCAAAGGAAGTCGCTTGGCGGCGCGAGCCAACAGGAAATCCAACAGCATGACCGCGCACGCGCAGCACCGCCGGAACGGCCGCCGAGGGGCTGCGCACGGCGAGAGCAGCCGGGCGGAGTTTGAAAATCAGACTCTCTTGCAGACGACATCATGTCCCGGCGGGTGCGGTTGGAGCATCGCTATCGAAGGTAGCGATTCGACGCAGCAAGGGACATGGTCGCGGAAGCGATGGCGGTGTGTGTGTGCCAGCCAGGAGTGCGAGCGAGGAGCCGCCTCTCGGTGGTGCTCTCGGTGGCTCTCGCGGCTCTCCTCCGCTCTCGCTCCAGATCGCGGCCTTCCCAAGATCACCAGCAGCACCATCCGGCGCTGATCGCATCGGCATTGATCGCACCCCGCCTTATCGATGACCCCCGCTCGACCGGCCTTGCGCCCCTTGCCTGCCGTCCTGCTGCCGCACTACAATGCCGTCAACCGACACAACCTCGCCGCGCTCGCCGTCTCGATCCACACCGCCATCCATCATGCCGACTTTATTGCCGTCGACACCGAGTTCACCGGCCTCGGCGACCACTCCAAGACCAAGGCTCCGAATGTCGAGGACCGCTACCGGAACCTCAAGGCTCTTGTAGAGTCCCATGCCGTCGTCTCCTTTGGCCTGTCCATCTTCCATAAGGCCGAGCCCCTGCCGGACACCAGCGAGCTGTGCAGGCCCTATGTTGTCAGCAACTTCAGTTTCTCCCTGGTGTGCCAGCGGGATTTTACCTTGTCGCCTTCGAGCGCCTCATTCCTGATCGACAACGGATTTGACTTCAACGCCCTGCTAAGAGACGGAATCCCATATCTGCCCGGTGCGCTGCCAACCAAGGGGTCGTCAACTCAGAAGGTGGGCGTCCCGGCCAAAGAGCCAGCATCGTATCGACGTAGATCGGACAAATCTCTGATTCTGGATGGCATTCGCTAGGACCGCACCTGCTTTTCAACCCGTCTATCGCCGTTCGCCTATCTCACACCGAACACCACTCTATTTTCGGTTGAATTGCTTGCACTCATCGGATCAGGCCACGGTCCCGCCGCTCTGTCTGGAGCAGTCGACGACGATGCGCTCCATCTTCATGAAGATCCTGACCCAGTCTGGGCCCGTGATTGTGCACAACGGCCTCCTCGACCTGATGTTCATGTATCACAGCTTCTACTGCGATCTTCCCCCAACCCTGAGTTCCTTTGTCGCCGATCTCTGCGAAATGCTGCAAGGCGGCATTTACGACACCAAGTACATTGCCGATTTTGTGACCCGCGAGAAAGCCTCATATCTGTCGTATTTGTATCGAAAATAGTAAGTGTCGGCACCGAGCCATATGCTACACGTCGCGCATCGATCGAGCTACATATTGGACGGCGCAAATTGCTTCGGACGCTCAGGCACACATGCGGCAGAGCATCCCACGGCCACACCGTCGTCGGCATGCTCGCCTGTCGTTAATGGCGCTGGTTGCGATTCATCTGATCAATAGCGAGCGCGAACAAATCGACCGAGCCTATACCAAAGACAAGCCGTTCTTCCAGTGCGATATCATGGATCCAGTTTCCCACCAGACCTCAAAGGTTGCTATCACGCCTGCCCTAACGCGCATGGTCGTGAGCGCCAACAAGCGCCAGAAGAATAGCAATTTGCCATTTTGCGAGCAGTATGCCGTACGTACCCAGTAATCGCATGGCCACATCATATCCTCAACGACCACCCGACAGTGCTGACACTTCAGCTCGAGCATGGATGGGTTTCAGCGCTTTTCCAGTCTGTCCTGGGCCACTTACTGTTGAGTTGCAATCGAAGAAACCCGCGAGTGTGTATGCTATCCTTACTAAACTTGGCGTTGCATGCTCAACACACAATCCCGCCGATGTCTATAGGACCACGGATACTGTCCGTACGGACGCAACTGTGAGAACTCGCACGATCTCGACATCATCCTCGATTATGAGCATCGGGCTGGCATCGGATCGACCAAAGCAAAGCGACGGAAGAAGAATACAAACTCCACGGAGCAAGTCAGTTCCTCCGATATTGCCTCCGCTGTCGGTGCTGCGTCACCAAACGGTGATCCTGTTGTTAGTGCCGACACTCTTGCTGCGACAACCGACACCTGGATCGGGACGGCGGGGCGAACTGCGGCCGCACCTCCCAACCCAGGACCCGCTTCGATATCGGCACCGCCAAACACAGCCAAATCCAAAGGCACTCCCGCTACCATCGAGACAGCTGCCTGCGTAAATCACAGTGTGACACCGCCTGCAAAATCCCTGCAAGAGACTTGTTGCTCACAGGGGCCAGCCGGTGCCACACCATCAACGTCCTTGGCAAGTCTGGCCGATAGCCGCTCAGCCGCCACTTCTCTGCCAGCCGATTCAGCACCGGTCTCCAAGACATCGCTATTCGAGACTTATCACTCTGCATGCTTCGATGCCTACATGACCGGGTTTGTGTATGCCCATCAAGCAATTGCACACGAATCGAGCATCGCACAGGAGAAAAACAAGATCTACCTGATGGGCAAGGACATACCGCTCAAGATTGAGCTGTCCGGGTTCGCAAAACGCAGCGAAGGGCACAAGAAGATCTGGGACAAGGCCCCGCTCTCTCGAGCTGGAGTGTGAGCGATGCAACGCAGGCCGCATCTGTCCGACTGCTGCTGGATATCCAAAGTCTGCGATTATCGAAGTGGGCGTTGACCGATATGCTCTAACGAGGCGGTTGTAGAGCAGTGCAGCGGTCTGAGCAGCGCGATGTTGCTGCTATCGGCACAAGACCATAAACACGGAAGGTGGCCCTCCAAGAAACTCCCCACTCTGCATATCACCAAAGGAACGAGCCATTGCTTGGCCATGTCGTCCATTCGCAGTCAGTTTATTCATGCTTGTTGCTGTAGCGCATAGACGCCGCGGAGCCCCCTGTTCTTGTTTCAGTGAAGGAGTGTGTCGCCCATGCGTTGTTCCAGGACTGCACCGTCTCGAGGCTGGGATCACGATGCTTCGGAAGAGGTGCTTGAGTGAGCAATCTCTCGGTGCCCGCCGATGTTGGGTTTGAGGACAGGCGTTGTCGTGTGGCTCAGTCCAGCAGAAAGCGAGCCGGTTGCAGGTCCTCGACTGCCGCTCGCCGGGCTGAAGGGGGTTTGCTCTGGCTCACCGGTGCTGATGAGGGTTGGTCGAGTCTCCTTGGCCACCAGGATACGGTCCATGCGGTCCACGACGTCGGTGAGTCTCCGAGTCATCTCGACCACTCGATCTTCATTCATTGTGATCCGACTCTCGAGGATATTCATGGTCTGGGTCAACACATCGATCTGCCGAGCCATTCCCTGGATCGTCGAAACCACCGTATCATCGGCAGCGCCTTGGCGCGCGCTGGGGTTTGAATAGCCGCTGAAATCGCGCGAGGGAGCGTGTGCGGGAACGAAGCCTTGTCCACGCTGCTGAGGATTCCGAATGTCAGGCTCACGCAAGTCGACTCTGTAACTGCCATAGTCGTATTTGTGTGGCTCGCTCGACCGTATCGGATATCCGTTGCCATCCCAGTCAGCCGCGACGTTCTGGGAGCCAAGCGACAATCATCAAACATCAATCATCAAACGTCAAACACCAAGCATGCACCATTGACGTCGACATCAAACAACGCAGAGGCAAGGAGGAGGTAGAGTTAGACCAACTGGCTCATACACATACTCGGCCAACATTGAGACGGGGCTGCTTGCACATGCAGTCGACCCATGGCACATGCAGCTCATGCTTTGCTGACCTGCTCTTCTGAGCCATCGACCTGGATGATCACGGGCTCTTCCTCGCTGACTGGTTGCGACGACCGCAGTCTTGGAGACTGTGATTTCTTCAGAACGCCGGCAGGCTGAGTCTGTTGAATCTGCTGTTGAGTTGGCTGATAGTGTGTGATGCCTTTGCCGCCCTGCGTGGGAACAATGTTGGCAATGACAGGGCTCTTGGGGCGCCCTTTGGGCTGATGTGAGGCTCCGACTGATGCCGTGTCAACCGAGGCGGCAGAGTGTGAAAGTAAAGTAGTTGTCAGTGAATAATAGCTTGAGCATCCGTCGATGCTCAGAGGCCGCACGCGGCACTCGCTGCACGAACAGTAGCTGGTCGAATCGGCAGCTGATCCACTCACAAATGCCAACGTCCTCGGCTGACGACTGCGTCTCGTCAAAGTTGCTCTTCCACACCATGACCTGGCTGTCACTTCCGCCCGTTGCAAAATAGTCGCCGGTCGGAGAGAACACGGCTGCAGTGGTTGGACCGTGCTTGTGGCCGTAGAGCGTGTAAAACAGGTGACCTTCCTTAAGATCCCAGACCTGCCAAACAACAGGGAATAGTGTTTGTGTTCTAGTGAAGCGCATGAAGAGACTCAAGAACCAGGGAAAGCGGCAAATCGACATGGCTTGTATATCGGCGCTGCGCGACAAACATCCGTATGACGCCCCTCATGACCAGATCAAGATCAATGGCTGTCGCTCCCAAATCTTGGACCGCTTACCTTGACCAGTCCGTCCATGCCGGTGCTGATAAGCCACTCGCCGCCCACGCCCCCGAACGATATGCTGTTGACTCCGCCTGACGGACGCTCTCCAGCAGCCGCGCCTGCTCCGCTCGTCATGCCTCCGTGTGCATCCCCGTAATGCTGAATCAACTTGTGCATGCGGATATCGAAGAGTTTGATTGAGCGATCGGTCGAAGCAGATGCCACGATTGTGCCGGACGGATGGAAGGCCGTCGAGGTGATGATGCTGGCCAGCCAAGCCAAGGCACGGCGGCGGGATCCACGGAAGAGAAAGATTTCAGGGTCAGTTGCAGGTATCTACCCCACCTACCACATGCATCGCGTCCATCGCCTCAGCGCGAGGCAACATACCCAGAGTGATCCCAGTAGGTCTTGACGCACATCTTGTTGCTGAGATCCCAGAGCTTGATGGTCTTATCGTCGCTACCCGAGACCACAAGTCGAGTGTCCGGTGCAAACTTGGCGGTGCGAACCCAGTTGAGATGCCCCGCAAGGGTATATTGGAACTTTGATCGATGCGTCGACCAAATCTGCGGATGGTTGGAGGCTCAGCATCCGGCGAAGGGGCTTTTCGCCTTGCCATGAACCAAATTCCCTTCTCACCCTCGAAACTATCGTGTCTGAAGGCGCTCCTATCGGCCCTGGGGTTCGCCCCTATCCATATGTACTTTTGGCGAACCTTACCTTGATGGTCTTATCGTCCGAAGTTGTGAGCAATAGCTCGCTGTCCCTTGAGAACTGAACCGTGCGCACTGTTGAAGTATGAGCCTTGAACACAGTAACATCGCCCTTGCTAGCAGACCGAGGAGGAAGTTAGCGACATTGTAGTTGACTCGGGAGCTGGGGGGGGGACGGGGTGCCAGCAGAGCTGCGGCCCGAAGTGCTTGCATATTCCAGGGTCACAATCTTACACGTTGGGTGTCCACAGGCGAACTGTTTTGTCCCGTGAGGACGATGCCAGAAGGCTCCCCGTTGGAGCAAAGTCGACACTGGTGACGTGGCCCTGCAAACATGATTCCAGGAACGGGAATCAGTCGATCGCTCCACCTGCAGCTGTAGGCGCAAGCACAGCCAGCGAGACTGGCACTGCGATCTTGCCCGCTTCTCGCTGCATATGCAGGGTGGCAACCGCATGCCAACCTTGTGGCCCACGAAACGAAATGCGCGCAACTGGGGCTTGAAGTTCCATATTAAAACGGAGCAGTCCATCGAAGCCGAGGCCAGCTGGGTCATAGATGGCTTGAACGTGAGCGACGTGACGACATCTTTGTGGCCCCGGAAAGATCTTTCCAGCGTTGGATCCTGGGATTGAAAATAGGACTGGATTTGGATTTCGTGTGGTGAGCGGGAGGCAGCGATGGTGTGGCTTGACGATCCGACACAGGCACGCCTGCTGCCTAGCCCGGATGTCCCGGTCATCTATTTCGATGACATCCATAGCGTCCGTGCAGCAGGATGGACTCGCCCGCTTTGCTGTGGTGGATGCGTTGGATCATGGAAGCGCCCGCGCCCAGACGATGGATCTCTTGGGGAGCGATATGGCTGGGAGGGATGCGATGCAGAGGACGCACGACGTGCTGCAGACTCACCATGGCATGGAGCTCGGGGCGATGTAGGGCGGCTTGAGGAGAGATGGAAGCGGCCTGATCAAAGTGCACACCCTGGCAGGGCGAACGGCCCTGACCAAAGCACAAAGCAATGCGGGGCAACGTGACATGCGGGCGGATTGGCGGGAAACGCGGGGCGGACAGCATCACCATCACAGGATACGAATACGCAGGATACGGATGCACAGGATACGAGGCACAGGATACCAATGCACAGGATACGAATGGATAGGGACCAAAATAGGGTGCCCAACGCCGGGTTGGGTGTGCTGTGGAGGGTCGAATACGTGCGCCTCGCTCCCGCATCGTGGTGGCAATGGCAATGGCCATCGGCGCACACGGATATCGAACAGGTGTATTCAAAGCTCTGGCTCTCAAACCCGCAACAAAACATCGATTGCCAACCAAGACAGAAAGCAATCGCACAGCCAATATCATGCAGCCCACAAATCATGCAGCGAGCGCGAGCACGAGCTGCATCTCGCTTGATCGTCTTGCGATGTGGGTTGCTTGTGACATCCCGATCAAGTTCTCATGAAAAATTCATCCGAATCGAACGACACATTCGGATCGCGGTGGCGCTTGGCCCTCTGAGGCGGCCGCTCTGGGTGCGCACCATCTTCTCGGGTGTCCAAGTCCACTATCTCTGTGCTTGGTTCGGCCGGTTGGTACGAGTCAGCGGGCTCTGGGTCATTCCCGGCGACATGCTGTGTATCGACAGTCGGTGAAGAAGGCTCGTGCTCCGGGTTCGTTCGTAAGGCGGGAACTTGGTCGAAGCAGCCCTTAATGATCGGAGCAGCATAGCCTCGGATGACTTGTGAGAGCTCGTTCTCGAGCAGCTGCACGCCTCCACTTCCGGACAGCCGATTTTGCACCATCTGGAGGATGTCGTTCTTGGTCGCAGCGTGTTCCGTGATCTTGGATTTGAGTGCTGTCGACGAGTGCTGACCGACATTGGCCGGCAGTTCATCATAGCAGTCGACCAGATAGATCAGCGCTTGAAATAGAAGCGCATGTCCGTTGCTGAGAACCAACCAAGCCAGCTCTTCACCAGGACGGCACGCCTTGTGGCGAGACAACCGGCATGGCGACAGAGCAAACACTCACCAGAATATCGTCGAGGGTTGCGGTGGCTGAGGCGACCCACTGCTTGCTCTGGGACTCCATCGTTGTGGACCGAGCAGCGAGTTGGTCGATGCTGTCGCACATGTTTGCGATAGAGCCGCATTTGAGCTGCGAGTCCATTCGCTGTCGCAGCCCATGAAGCCTGCTCTTGAGGCGATCATGGGTCTTGTCTGCCTGATCGCATTGACTCAGCTTCTGCCTCAACGTCTGGATATTTTTTTCAATCGACAACTTGAATCGCTGCCGATCGCTGTCGAGCTCCTCTGACAGCTGCTTCATCCTCTTGAAGCGCTCGTCGACCTGATCCTGTATATCCGTATTCCGTCGCTTGAGACCCTGGTGCGCCAAAGATCACGATCGTGCGGACTTTTTGTCAGCTCGAACATCTCCGTCGCTCGACCGAGGCGGGTGCAAATCGCGGCATCTTTGGCATTGCCGGCACGCCACTCATGCAAGTCGTAAATGAGACTTCGAAACACATCATCGAGTCGCGGATGATGCTCACCTCTGTCTTGTCGTGATACTCCAGCAGTCGTGTTTTGGCGGCGTGGAATCCGGTAAGCGTAGTATCCAATCCGTCGGAGATTTCTAAAGCGATGGGCTCATAGCGAGTTTTGGTGCGCTGTGAGGACCCGGACGAAAAGGCGGTCAAGAGAGCGCTCCTGAGACGGGGATCCTTGCGTCGTCGACCCAGACTCCAGACGAGCGGCTCGCCAGCTCCCGGGCCAGATGTGACGACCGGCATGCCGAGCAACCTTGGAAACCTACACTATCCAAGCACGCCACTAGCTGGGCCTTGGCCTCGTCCAGAGCTTGCTTGTAAACGTTTTGGGCGTCCTGGTGCTTCAGCTCCTGTGAGTCCAGCTCGCTCACTATTGTTGACGTTAGCAGATATCGGCAACGATCAGCAGCGAGCTAGCCCAAGGTTGGCTCCGTTCATCGCAGCGGTCTGGTCAAATCTGTATCTGCAGCCGGCGGCGCAACATCCTGAGCTGGAGCGAGAGCCATACCGAGAATACTGCGTGCCTTTGGGTTTGGATGTCTCGAGAAGTCCTTGTGGGCCAGATCCAGCGAGAGCTGGGTGGCCTTTGCATCGATCTTGACGGCCTGCTCCTGCTTGAGGGAGGCGAGGCAGAGAGCCTTTAGCAGGTCGGTTGCCATGGCGGCTTGCAGGGCTGGGCTGGGCTGCCGTCGGGCTGCACGAGAGATCGGTGCTGAGACGGCTGCCGTGTCAAGCGCCGGGGAGCGAGCGGGCCCAAGAGCGGGTCCAAGGGCGGGAGCTGGATGCATGTCCTGCGGCGCCCCCGGCTCGCCCTGGAGCCAGGTTGCCCTGCATCTCCCAGCCCAGACCACCGCCGGCAGCCATGCGATACATCTTTGTGGCAACAACCGTCCTGGTGCTCGGGGCCATGGCCTTCTTTGGATTCGGCCAGTCGGCCTTCGTGCGGCCATATCTCGGGCCGCTGCGGGATGCCTCCGACCGGGTGCTGCATTCTCTGTTCTCGGGCTTGCTGACAGTCTCATTCCACTACATCTGGGAGTATCCTCCGACCGCCAGCACGAAAAAGACCGTCCTGGTGACGGGGGCCGCCATGTTCACCTTCTGCATTGCCAGCGAGGTTTTCCAGGGTCTTTCTCCGGTATGATTTGTGTCCCTGCCGGCTTGCGGCGATGCTGTCCACTTGAGCGGCGGCTCTTGCGCCGATATTCCATCCCCGATCACCGTCGCATCCGATAGAGCACTGTGCTTGATCGTCTTCGTCTCCCGTACGATGATCTATTGCTGGATGTTGGCCTGATCGCCCGTGCTGCCAATTGCATTGACTCCCATGACCACCCGCACATTCGACTCTCCATCAATAGTATCGAAGCTTTGACGGCAAGGATATTGCGGTAAGCGTCCGACAAACGACCGGCCTCGGGAGCTGAGCCGCACATAAGCAAATGCCCCTTCGATCGATCCTGGAACCTCCTCCTCCCGCTGGTGATGCTGACGTCCCCGGGATAGTTCAACCTGTTAGGAGCCGGCATCGGCCTCGTCCTGTGTGTGATCATCGACAAGATCCGAGTTCGCATTCATGCTAGAAACAAGCAACTCCGATGGAGAAACAAGCTGCAGGAGCCAGAAGAGGAGCAGCAGGCCATGATACCGATGCATGAGCTCGAGGACGAGGACGGCCACGAGGGCAGCGACCAGGATCCGCTGCATCCAAACTCATCCGAAGGAGCCGATCGCATCTCGGACGACATCGAGCGACAGCTGGGGCCTGTCCGCTGATGCGATTAGTCTGCACCCAAACACAGCGGGTCGATCGCTCACAGCGCACCCAAGGGAAACTGGGTGCACATGCTTGGTTTTACAATGTCATTTTGAATCTGCAGCATGCTCAGATCGCGAGCTCCCCTCACTTCCGCGCAGTGATCAGTGGACTGCAGTGAGCCAGCGACCATGCGATTGTTTACGATTCTGGCTGGCAACCGAGCGGCTAGGCTGGCCTGGAGAGCACAGTCCTGAATGCATCTGGTCGATCCCCGAGCATCCCCGTTCGTGAGACACGACGGATGGTCACATGATGCGGTGTGCCATCAGCACGTGGCTGGCTGGCTGGCTGGATCCAGCCGGCCGTGCTGCACAGAACGGCGCGCACAGAATGCTTGGCCTCGCTGCGCCCTCGGTGCGCTCTCGCCTCGCCGAGAGCATGCGCAGCGAGGCGATGGTCTGCTTTTCGCTTTTTTTCGTGTCGTTTCGCCTGGCCGGCTTTCCCTCTGTCCTCCTGCGAGTCCTCTGCACGAACACCTCCTCCGCAGCACCGTCGCCATGCCCTTCGCCTTCAGAGAAGTCGGTCTCAGGTATCTACCCTATCCGCGTTATAGTCGGCCTTGCTCCTGCTGCACCCGAACCAGTCGCCCCGCGGCCCAGGTTGCTGCTGCTCTGCAACCGACTGGCCGATCTGTCTGCTGGTCGGCACCCCCAGCCTCGCGCATCATCGCCGTGCTGGCTTGGCTTGGCTGGCTTGGCCTGGTTTGGCTATGAATCGTCCAAATGCGTCTTGGCCAATGCAGATATCGTATGCGGTGTGATGTGTTTGCGGAGTGGGTTTCAGCAGCTAACGCTCGTCCCGGTTTGATCCCTTTGCTCAGCTACCTGCAGTACGTCAGTATTGCCTCGCGCACCCTCCGCTCCGTCCTCAAGGCCGAGCCCAAGGCTGCTGCCATCAAGCGCCAGGACCAGATTGCCAAGTACGCCCAGTGGTCTGCTGGCAAGCAGGGCGAGTCCGTAAGTACCGCTTGGCTCCCACCATCATGACCGAGTACCCCGTCCTGCTCCATCGGCATTCAGTCTCGCTGGATCGGCTTTCTATCGTCGGGCCTGCCTGCCACGCCTCGTCGATGTATCTGTGTTTATCGTCTCAACACCGTGGCATTGACTCTCCGACGCTTCATCTCCCCATCTGCCAACCTCTGGATTCAATCGGATTGCGTTTGGCTGCGCCGCTGCCGCCAACCAGAAATTCGTCCTCCCCGAAGAGATCCCCCGCGTCTAAAGCTCGCTGCCAACACGCTGCAATAGACCCCGTTCACAACCTTTCGTATTCGGTCCGGCCAGCCTCCGTATTGGGCTAGCACCATGCATCGAGTGGGCTTGTGGCGCCGTCTGTAATGTCCCTATGGTGTAATATCAGATGGCGCTCTCGATTTACGACAGACTGAGATCCACAAACAGTCGCTCATGCACAACCGATATCAACCTGTGTGCGCCGTCGATCCGACGCTCGGACATTCCAGACAGCAAGGTCCAGTTGGACTTTCGCATGTGGCTGGCTTCTGTGTCCGCCCATTTGCAGCTGCTCAAAGTCGACTTCTGGAACGAGTCAAAGCACTTTTTGGGAACAACGGAATAGCGGGATCGCGGACTGTGGACCGTGGAATATCATTCTCTTTCCGAATGACCCCGCCAAGGGCCGATCCGCCCAACTGAGGCTGATCCTGGACCGATGCAGACTGCTGGGACTGCCTCAAGCTGCCGGAGCTTTACTATGCCATCCTCCTCTGGTCGCCCAAAGCCAAAGAGAAAGGGGAGGAAATGCACTTTGTATCAAGCGAACAGGATTACCGCAGACCAACAGCCCCGTTGTCCCAGCGAATCTCGCGCCACAGACAGCAGTTTCGTGATGCCAATCCTATTCAACTAGGAGAGCCACCTGTGGGAGGCGACTGTGGCAGACCAGCCGCCATCTCCAATCGAACAACACGCGGGGGACAGTGGCGTGCTTGGCATAGAGTGCGGGCCAGGATGTCTGCCTGGGGTGGCTCATGCCTCGTTGGGCTGGTCTTCGTAGATGCGTTGACCAAGCTCCAGAAAGGCCGGAAATGTGTTGAGGTACATGAGCTCGACGATGGTGCGTTCGGCTGGCACAAAAACGTCGGAAGGAATGTCACCGGCCTCGAACTTTGTCATGATCTCGTTTCGCTGCTCGTGGTTCAGGTTGATCTCGAACTCGGCGCCGCTGATAATAAACTTCCTGTATATCTCCCACATAAGCTCTTGGACCCGCTTCGGCAGCAGCGATATCGACAGCGAGTGAGAGCTGCTCATCATCGTGAACTCCTTGCTGCAAGATACGGACATGAGCGCATTTGTGCTCATCTGGGAAATGACCGACATTGGTCGCGAGGACCTCGCACGGGCGGTGGCAATCTCCCGGGTGAGCCGCTGACAGGCCAGGTAGAACATGGGGTTCTCGAACGACAGGTCTGGAGGCGGCATGGTATGGACAACAGGGTCAACGCCGATGCTGGCGGATCAGATCGAGGGCCCGAAGTCCGTGTGTCTGGGAATGTCGTTCTGAGAGCATTTGTTTGGCCGCAGCACAGGTTTCCTACCATTGACGCACAGCTGCGTGAAGGTGGTCATGAGCTTCTTGTCCTTGAGGACCTTATGGAACGACCGCATGTTGTACTCGAGATTGCCAAGCCTCCGGGCTCTGTAGTCTTGGCGGAAGGCAATCGCCAGCGGCACAACGACCGAACAGCAGTGTTGCGCCGTCAAGGTAACAAGAAACTGCGACCATCCAAGACCATGGGCGGCATCACGATCAGCCAGCCAACCAGCCATTTCCCATGCCGTTCCGATGCTGGTGCAAATGCGATGCTCATCTACTTCGGTCACCAAACTTACCCAAATCATGGACGAGAACTCTTTCCACTCGGACACGCCGCCCGTCATGAACAGGGAGTTGCCAAGGCACCATATCACAAAGATAATGGGATTGATGATCGAAAGCACCACCATCTCGGCTCGGGTTCCGTTAAGGCTGCCCACATCCCGCAGGATGACCAAGGCTATTGGACAGACGATCAACTGCAGCATCCCAACAGCCATCATGGGCGACCATACTGCCAGCGAAGGAATACACGGGCTACAAGCCATCATCGGGAAGATCGAGAGATCCGAAATGTACACCACCTGGACGATAATCATGGAGATCACCACGGCACAGCAGGTGAGTCCGTACCATTGGCGTCCCGACAGCCGTCCAAAGATCGCCAAGACCCGAATTGGTTTCTTGGCTGGGATCAGATCCTGCCGCTCAAATCTGGGTGACTCGGCTGTCTCTGATGTCCGCCGTCCAGAGGTCTCTGACATGGTGAGCTGCACAAAGTTGCTGTGCTGACCCAGGAAGTGTTGTTCGCCGAGTTTGAACTTGTGATACAGCTCGATGAATCGAAAGCATTCTGTCAGGATCGAAGTGGTGAAGAGGACATTGATGGACCAGGCGGTGATGGCGCAGATGAATCGTGTCGACATGATGGTCAGGTAGAGGACTGGACTCGGATGGGTGGGGTTTGTCGCAGGAGAAGGACGAAGGGCAAATGAGTCGAGTCGACCGATATCGGACCACACAGGACGCATCCCATCCAGCCGTCCCTGTTTGTGTGGTGAGTGACTCTGCATATCAACATCAAGTGGGACCACTTGTACCTATCGTTGCGCAGAATCCCAAAGCGGAGCCGGTGAAGGCCAGGACAAATCCATGGTTTCGGATGTTGTAGTGGTTGCGCTTTATAAAGTAGAGCACCAGGCTGATGGAAAGTGTGGCGGCAAGAATAAGAGAGACTGGCGTATCCTGAAGAGCCAGAGTTTCCGTGCTGGAGCCAGGATCTCTGGCAGTGGTTCGGGCAGGCAATTCCCGACCAGCGGCCATCTGGGCAGTCTCCGAGTCACCTTTGGCAGGATGGGAGCGACAGGGACTTACCAACCGAGCCACAGCGGTAGATGTACACCCATGAGTGGAGTGAGTATCTTCACGAGCTCCGGATCGTCGAACCGCACGGGTGCTTCGATCGTGGGATCGATTAGCACGGCGGTGTAGGTCTGGTTGCTGGTGCTCATGAGATTTGACCAGGACGAGCTGGGTGGAGAGATGGATCGAGTATATGTTGGGAGTCCAAAGTCGTGCCGGTTCTCGTCTGAAGTAGTTGGGCTGAAGCCTCTTTGTGTCTGAGTTGGTTCAGATGGGATTCCCGGAGATCCAACTGGAGTATTGTCCCTCCCAGTGGGCACGCTGTTTCCAGACCGGTAACCTGAGGCAAGAGGATGCTGGACTCCAGATCAGCGTTGCGAGACAAAGCGCACGGGCCTCGGAAGGAAGGGCTGAGAGGGGGGCGATCTGGATGCAAACCACCGTCGATCTCGGATGCAATTCTCGACTTTGGGGTGGGTGCTATACGTCACCGCTGCTTTCCGATTGCGTGGGGTGTCCAAGCAGTACTTCATTCCGATCGCGCTATTGTCGCAAGCAGATATGTCGATTCCACTCGTTGGCGTGGGGGGGGGCGAGATCGGTGGAGCGAGACGGGCTGATTGGGAGGAATTGGTGTATGGTTGGCTGAAGGGAGTACAGAGCGCTTTCAGCTTGATCAGAGTGTACTGGCGGCATGGCCATTTACCACACAAGTGGCCGGAATGTTGAGTGACAACACCGGAGCGACCCATCGTCCGGGTCAGCCCAGTCTATGTCAGGCAAGCCAGCGACATCTGCTCCTGCCCGTTGGTGTTGGTGCTGGTGCTGATGCGTGAGGCGAATTGAATTGCAGCGTTCGCACGATTGCAGCTCCCACCAAGCGAGACGAGACACCCTGTGGATACTGCTTTGGACAGAATGCACACCAGATCCGTCCATGGTCCACACATCCAAGCGACTCGTTCGACTATATCGATGCCGAGAAACCACACGCTGCGGGAAGCTGTCCGCAGAATCCATATCATGTCTCGGGACTGTTCACCCCCCCCAACCCAGCAACGCACAACAGTTCCCGTGGAGAAACACCGTCCCATGCAGGCTGAAAGTGGAACGCGCTGCCTTCATGTCCAAGACCACATGAGCCAGCAAACCAGAGGCCTGGCATGTGCCACAACCTGTTTTCACGTGCGCCACCCTCGCCCTATTTTACCCCCCGACATCTGCCTCGACCGCCTCGGCAGCGATCGCCCTGACCTGATCCGCATCCGATCCTGCGCCAGAAGCATGCCTCTTCGCACCAAACTGACCGAGAAGCTCGGCATCGAGCACCCCATCATCCAGGGTGGGATGCAGTGGGTCGGCACGGCCGAAATGGCAAGCGCCGTGTCGAACGCTGGCGGTCTGGTAAGGCCAATGTGTCGCAGCCCAGGGCCTCCATCGAGCGGCGTGGACTGTGTGCAAAGGCAGCCTCGCTCCGTGTATCAATGGAGCTGTGCAGCTGTATCGCCGATCCGGTGTATCCAACGACAGCTCTCGTCCATGTCTCGCTTGCGTGTTCGCTAATCTGGCTGCTGCTCTTCTCGTTGTCGCTCGCGGATTCCGCTCTACTCTGCCAACTTGCCGAACCCAGGGAGTTCTCACGGCATTGACCCAGCCCACGCCCGAGGATCTCCGCAAGGAGATTCAGCGCTGCCGCACCATGACTAGCAAGCCCTTTGGAGTAAACTTGACGATTCTGCCGGCTATCAACCCTCCTCCGTACGAGGTAAGTCTGTTGCCCCCCCCCCACCATAATATCCCGCAGATTCTGAGCTTTGACCGATGTAATCCATGCTCCCTGTCGTCGTTACATGAAGACACATTCGTGGTCGGACATGATAGTATCGCGCGTGGAATCTATCAACAGCGAGGAGATTGCGGCTCTGGTGCACTTGCCATCACGCCGGCTAACACGTCTTTTGCATCTGTCCGGCGCTCTGGTCTGCAGGAGTATGCCAGAGTAATCATTGAGAGCGGAATCAAGGTTGTTGAGGTGAGACTCTGTGCCTGCACTTGCAGCTGCAGCCGCAATCCTCCTTGGCTAAGGACTCAACCTGAGCCCAAATCCTTCGGGACTTTCAGACGGCCGGCAACAACCCGGGCCCGTTTGTCAAGATGTTCAAGCAGGCCGGCATCATCGTCATTCACAAGTGCACGGCGATCCGACACGCTCTGAGCGCCACCAAGATGGGCGTCGATTTCCTCTCGATCGACGGATTTGAGTGTGCTGGCCATCCTGGCGAGGATGATGTTGGCGGCATAGTTCTGCTCGCAAAGGCGGCCAAGACTCTCAAGGTGCCCTATGTTGCCTCGGGCGGCTTTGGCGACGGACGCGGCCTTGCTGCTGCTCTGGCGCTGGGTGCCGAAGGCATCAACATGGGCACCCGCTTCCTGGCGACGAAGGAGGCTCCGGTGCACCAGAACGTCAAAGACCGTCTCGTCGAAGCCAAGGAGACCGACACTGCGCTGATGTTTAGAACGCTGCACAACACTGCCAGGTGGGCACGGGTTTGCAAGCGAAGCCAGAGAAGCGGGCCCTTCGGGTCGTCTATGGGACATGTCCAAAGCCACCCAGATGGAGCTTACTCACCAAAGCTCGATTTCTTACTCAGGGTCTTCAAGAACGCCGTTTCCCAGGAGGTCGTTCGCATCGAGCGGCGACCCGGCGGCGCCACCTTTGATGACGTCAAGGACCTGGTGGCCGGCAAACGTGGCCGGAGCGAAGTGTTCGAAAAGGGCAACACCGAGAACGGCGTGTGGACAGCCGGCCAGGTCGCTGGGTTGATCGATGATATTCCCACTTGCAAAGATCTCCTGACGCGCATGGTGCGTGACGCAGAGCAAATCATCTCGGATCGCCTTTCGAAGATGATCATCAAGCCGGCCAGCAAACTCTAGACGAGAGGACCCGACCGCCAAGTTCGTCAGGAGGACGCATTGCATCCGCGAGGCAAGTCAGGCTCTCGGCTCCATCAGACGGTGTAGTGCCTGGTTAGAAAGTAGGCATACAGACCGAGCTTGCCGCCTGTGGAAATCGAGCTTGGGGACGCCGTAACCGACTCCACTTGCTCCGAGTCTCTGGTCACTGAATACACACACCCCGAGTGCCCAGGGATCGAGCACTTGAACAAGAACGGTCTTGCGACAGGGTCTTTCTCCAGCCAGAAGCGATGAGCGTGATAGCATGCATCCGTGCATGCATGACATCGGCAGCACGTCTCTACATTCCGAATGGGCAGTGCTCGCTGGGAATCTCTAGGCGGATGCCCTGGACATTGCTGGAATTGAAGCGGTGGGCCTCTCGGGGCTGGTTGCATTGGCGAGGACGTCAGGCGCGGCAAAGATGAATGAGTCCGACCCCCATGCCCGCTTCGCTTCGTTCCTCATCTGCTTCCCCCCCCTCAACGCTCGATCCGCCCTCTCGCACCATGAACTCGTCGCGCCCGGCCCCGGCCACCCAGATTCACTACATACGCATCTCCAAGGCACTCGCCCTGCGAGCGACTCTGATTGTAGAGAAGAGTGGCCCCGAGTGGTTTGACGCGGCTCAGCTACAGGTTAGAGGCCAATCCGCCCGCCCATCCATCCGCCCATCCGCCCAGCCATGGCTTCCTCCCGGACAAACTGTATCGATCGACTCCCGCTGTTCTCCAGAATCCCGGCCCTCCTTGGCTCTGCATCGCAGGACCTTTGCCACAGCTAATCCCGGCGATTCCATCCGATCCCGACTGCGGGGCTCCTATGGTACCATCATGTCCCCTCGATGATCTTGCGATCGTTTTCCCTGCCCTTTTGGTCCTCCTCGCCCATAATACCCGACGGGATACGGAGCCAGAAGGTGATCCTTGCCATCCGCAACTTGCTTCCGAGCCTGATTGAATCCAACTCCAGCTCTAAGGACAACATGGAGCTGTTCCAGGGCGGTATGTCATCTGGGAATGCGGCTTCGCTGCCGGAGCAGGGATATCGGTCAAAGGCACTGCGAATGATTCTGCACAGTTATGTTCCGATCACTCTGGCCACCGACACTCGCTGTGTATCTCGCTTTCCCTCGAGGGGCCTCCCGCCGTAACAACCGTTGTTCACGAGCCAACTTTGCACCCGCAGACTCGTTCGAGATGAAGCATTATCTGAGCCCAGTCGACATCCGGCACTCGGTCATGGTCAAGGTAGACCGCGGCGCTGGGTCCGACTGAGCCGATGCATCATTTGTCGTTGCCGTGGCTCTGCCTACATCGGAATCGCTTGCTCTCGTCTCTGGATCTGCGGGATGGGGCTCACCACTTCCCTCAACGATTCCTCCTCAGGATCCGCAAACCAACACCTACACCGGACTCACCATTTACAAATGCGAACTAGTGGCTCATCTCTCGCCCCTCAGCCTGGCTGAAGCGTCGTGACGGTGTCTGACGCCTCGCTCGTCGTAGATCATCGAGCCGGTCGATCGAAAGTGGTGTGGCTTTGGTCGCTGGCTACGATCGGCTCGCTCAAATCCATCCGAACAAACAAGGCAGGAGCGATGCAGGCACAACGCTTTGCACTCGCATAGCTGTGGAACCACACCCTGTATCAAGGATGCAGTGGCCGTTGATGGGCAGAGGCGACTGCCCGCAACATCCCAAAGGAGACGGACCCTATCTTGGAATACACAGTTCATTGGCTTCATGTGTGTAGGCAGCCGCAAGAGAAGGAATAAAGCAAGCAAGCAAGGGAGATACTGAAAAAGAGGCCTCCATACGGCCTCATCGTATCCACGAGTCCGAGAATGAAGGCAAATGACAAGCGATGATACAGCACAGGGGATGCTGGGCAGCAAAGCGTTGCCGCCTCTATGCGTCGACATCCATACCGCCCTCGTCGCCGTCGCCATCCTCCATTTCCTCGCCCTCCTCCTCATCTGGCTCCTCGTCCTCTTCGTCCTCGACGGTGGCAAACTCTTTGCGGGGCTTTGTTGATGCCTGCGAGGAGTGGCGATCGGGCCGGCGAACAGCAAGTCAGAACACAACGTCGATGTAGTGGGCGATCTGCGATGGCGGCTCGAAATATGCTTATGCGAAGCCACGGTTGCTTGGCGATCTTCAGCGACCGTGAGACTTGCTCGAAATATGAGCAGCGTCGATAGCGGGCGCTGAGCCTGGGTACTCACCGGGATGTTGACTTGGCCGCGGAAAGCACTTCGCACGCCGGCGTTGTCGGTAAGGTTCCAAACCACGACTTTGCCCTTGGCACCGCTCACGGCCAGGACCATGGCCGAGTCGACGCTGAAGTTGGCGGCAAATACCTTGCCAACACCGACATCGCGCGAGCAGATGCAGCTGGGCTTGTTGTCCTTGATGTTCCACAACTTGACGGTCTTGTCAGTCGAGCCAGTGACCAGGAGGCCGTCGACGATCCGAGAGACGTCCAAAGCGCTGACGGCGCCGTCGTGGGCGTGAACAGTGAAGAGCGAGTCCTTGGGCGAGCGTGCATCGTAGCATTTGACGATGCCGTCCTCGGTCGAGACCTGCGCAAGTCAACCACAGCGGAGTCGATCCGGCAGTGCCATCGGAGGGACGATACTGTCAGTAGATCGCCAGGTAATGGTGCCATCGGCTTGGTCGATTCGGTTCGTCGACAGGTCGCACCACGCTTGTCCTGCGGCAATGGCAGCAAGTGAGCAGGGCTGTTCCTGAGCGGCTCGCTATCCAGACACTTACAAAGAACCGCTCCGGGTGGAACGGGTCCCATTTCAAACACTCGACGTCGGCAGTAAGCTTGAATTCGGAGATGACCTGTGGCGACCGCGAGTCGAAGCAGCACACCCGCTTATCGTATCCGCCCGTAGCCAGGACAGTAGCCTCGACTGGGTTCCAGACCACAGACTGGACCTTGTTTTTGTGGTGGTCGTAGCTCTTGACGGCCCGCTCAGGCGAGTTCATATCCCACAGCTTGACAGTGTGATCGGCCGAGCCCGAGCAGATTAGATTGCGGTGATGGGGATTCCAGGAAAGAGACATGACGGCGTCGACGTGGCGCTCTGGGTTGGGTTTGCGCGACCTTTTGGCTTTCTTGTCCTGATGCTTCTGCGATCCGAGGATGATCTCGGGATACATGGTGTCGACAACGTCAAGGTTCCAGATCTCGATCTCGGGGTCAAAGGTGCCGACGGCAACGTAGTTGCCTTTGATCAATCAGACAACGGTCGTGTAAATGCGAGATCAGGGAAACGGAGGCCGCAAGGCCGGAGCAAATGCAGAACAATGGCAGAGCAAGTGCAGGGCAAGTGCAGAGCAAGTGCAGGGCAAGTGCAGAGCAAGTGCAGAGCAAAAATTATCACAGCGATGTTGGAGCGACCGGCTGAACCAGCCCACGATCAAGCCCAAGAGGCACATGCGGAATCATACCGGCGCCCTCTCTGTCCTTGTTTCGTCCAATGTGAAAGTCGAGCCATTCGATGCACAGCGGGAACGACGGAAGCATGATGTCGTGGTGAACGTAGAGGTTGTCCTCCTCTTCCTCGAAGAGATAGATCTCGAGATGCGAGATTTCATCCTCTGTCTTGGCCGCAATGAGCAGATTGTCGGTCGGCAGGACCTGCATCTCTGCGCGCTCCTCCTCTTCCTCATCGTCTTCCTTCATTTGGATATAGGGGTCCTCCTCGTTTGAGGCATAGTACGTCAGCCCGCGGATGTTGCCAAAGAGGGGAATGTCTGCACAGCAAAGGATGGATGCCGATGCATCCGCAGTAGAATCGGAAGCTGCATCAGAGCATGCGTTGGATCGACACACGCATCACCGGCCCCATGGAGAAGGCCGAGCATGATCCTGTCTTCAAAAGTAGCCAATGCGGGCACGTTCAGCGCGGACACACACCTTTGCGGGCCCTCTCCTCCTCGTCATCCCGGTCATAGTCGTCCAGGTTGTACTTGGCCAGCGGGTCCTCGCCTTCCTTGTCTTCGACGACGAGGTCCTCGCCCTCCTCGTCATCATCGCCGTCGTCGTCCTGATTAATCTTATCAGCCACCTCGTTTTGGTCGTCGCTCTCGGCAGCCTCGTCCTCGGCGATGGCCCTCTTGGCAGCGGCTTCGGCGGCCTGAAGCTCCTCCTTTGCGGCAGCGACCTGGATGCCAATGTCGCCGGCGATGCGATCGAACTCTTGGTCAGAGAGATTATACTTTTCGGGGAATTCCTTGGCGGCGCCCTTGCGGATCCATGCTAGCGAAGAGATCATGGCGGCTGCGACGGAGGTGGAGGACGGAGACGGACGGCGGTGCGTTGGTGGTGCGTTGGTGGTGGACCCGGCCCTGGGAAACTTGACCCGACCGAGCAAGCAATCTGCGGGAGGCGCTGGACAAAAAATCGCGGACTTTCAAATGAAGTGGCGGCGAAATGAAATGCGCAGCACAAGGCGGATCGAGTGCATGTGGCTGGCTGGATCGAGTGAGCGAGCGTGTCGATGGCGCAATCCCACGGGGCTGTCACCGTGGCTGTCACCGTGGCTGTGCTCGCTTTCCGAAAGTCCTTCGCGTTGATCCAGCCTTGAGCCAAACATCCCCCACCACCACGACAATCGCGACGAAGGTGTGTTTGTGTCTCGGACTGGCGATGCCGTACGGCGTACTGGATGGGACATCGTTTCTCTCGAACGAACCACGTCGTCGCCATATATCAGCAAATATTATGCCATACCCGTCGATGGAGTCAGCCAAGGCCGATCCGAGTCATTCAGATGATCGATCAGCAACACTTATCCCGCGCGATCCACAAGGCATCCGCGTGCTGAGATGTCCTGTTTCAATGTGGGCACGCAAAAACGGCTTTTTTCTGTCTCCTGACGGACGTGCCGGGCTGGAATGGCAGAGCCGACAGGGCGTGATCTCGCTGGATTGCATCGACAGCGAGACCGCCTCTGGTCCGTGTGTTCTGGCTGGGTGCAGCCACAAGAGCGATTATCGCAGAGAGCGGCTCGTCTGCCGCAAAGGCCGGTCGATTGCGCATTCGTCGTCTGCAGAATTGCCGGGACCCCTTCTGCGCGGCTTGCCCAAACCCGATTTCGGGAACGCCGCCGATCCTCGATCAGCGCCAGCGGCCTGCGAGGGCTGCCCATGCCCCATCCTCCGTCGCCGACCGTGGGTATCGCTCCGGTCGTGGTCCGCAGCGCCCCGGTGCTGTCTCAGCGTCGCCCTCTTTCGCACCCTGTCGGCTTGGCCAGCAGTCACCCGCCCGCCCAGCGGTTGACAAATCATTTCAATTGTTCCCTGCCCTCCGCGATTGCACCGGCCTTGCTTCGGCATCTCGCGCTCCCGCCTCGCTCGGCCTCGCTTGCTCTCGCATTTTTCTGGCTCCGGCCATCGGTCGATCCCCGCCCCATCCGATCCCTTCATCCGGCTGCCTTCTGTCTTGCCCAGCCCCAACTACTTAGTAATCGCATCGGTCCTGCCCGCCGCCTTTTCTCCACCGGCCGACAGACATCCATACCTCTGCCTGGTCCCTGCTCTTCCTGCCATCCCGACTGCCATAAGCGTGTATGTTGCTGCTTTGTCGCTGCTCCGGCTTCGTTGCTCCAGCTTCGTCGGTGCATAGCCCATTCGCCAAAACTCTCGTCGTTCCTGGCTCTGCGTCCGCGCCGACTCTGCCATAGTCTCATCCTCTTCTCCCTGCCGTTGTCCTTGTCGGTGCTGCTCATCTCGCCCAGTTCAATATCATGGGTCTGCTGTCTCTGGGAACTCCTCTGCCTTGGTCCGAGGCCAAGAACCACGCCGATCATGTCCGCAAACACGGCATTATTCAGTTCCTCAACATCTGGAACCGCCTGAAAACGAGAAGAAAGGACCATCTCTACTGGGGTGACGAGGTAGGATCCGCCTGCATTCTACGAATCGTCCGTCGGCGCTGCGTACGCATCCGAAGGCATGTGCAATTGCGATTCGAGACGAAGCAGCCCTCGTCGGCAAGTCGGTGGCCTGCGTGGGCACTGGTGCTTGGAGATGAACGTTGGCAGCCATCCAGGAGCGTCCGATGCCGATCGATCGCCCGTACTGAGTCGGTGCTGCACATCCAGATCGAGTACGTCGTCGTCTCAAAGGACGACGCCGCTCGCAAGGTCCGTCTCTCGCTCAAGGCCCACGATGCACTCGTCGAGTTGCAGAAAATCGAGTCTGAGGCCCAGGCCAAGGGGTAGTGTATCGTTTGTCGATGTCTCTGACTTTGAGAGCTGGACTGGAGGCGGCAGTGTGCCGATCCTCACTCGGACGATGAGGGCTCTCCGACGATCGAGCAGGCCCCGCGTCGATGCCAAAACACTGCGATCTTGTGGTCGATCTGGTGCTGTTCCGGTTCTTGCTCCGATTTCTGTTCGGGAGCGCTCCCTTACCCGCCATCCTGCTTCAACCTGTCCTTCTGCAGCGAGCCCTTTGACAGCTCTTGGAAACCCGAGTACGCCGTCTACATGCTCGAAGGTGTGCAGCATCGCATCGCATCGCATCACACCACATTCCAGCGAGATTGCATCACATCGCATTGCAGCAAGATTGCATCACATCACGTTGAACCCCCCCCGTCGCATTGCATGGTGGGATTGCGATGGACCCGAGAGGGATCCTGCCCTGGGGCTGCTCGACTCACATGCACCTCTCTTGGTTCGCCAGCCACCCCCGGCGCTCCCTATGGCTCGACGATCAAGGACCTCACGACCGTCGAGCCCAACATGCGCAGAAGGTAAGTCCCGCGGCGGCTGTTTTCCACACGCGCAACCTCGATCGGGATCGCAGGCAGAGGACAGTGGCACACCCCGCATGACAGCGGCAGTCTTAACCACGGCTGTCAGGCCCAGCCAGCCATCCGCCCGTTTGCGATTGCGCGATCTAAGCAGTCTTTCCGTCTGTCTTTCTGGCCTGTCCCTTCAGGAGAGCCTTGGCCCAGTCGTACCTTCGCCCGAACGAAACTGTCCTGACGCTGACTTCGTATCCGCATCTGGGCACCAACGACTTTTTGGACCCTCCTGCGGATCCGGCCCCGGCCGCGGGTGCAAGCCGCAGTTTGTTCATCCCCGATATTGCCATCAACCCACATGCGCGCTTTCCGTAAGTATCTCTGACTCCCTCCCCCAAAGATGTCCTTTCCCTGCTCTTCCAAGCATCGTCTGTGCCCCGCTCTTATTGCTTCGGATACGGACACCGCCACGGACGATGATGCTCATGTCGCCATCTACACCATCTCGGCTCGTATCTGCTGTTGCGGCCACGGTCGGCGGGCATCATGACCCAGTACCCTGACCAAGAACATTCGAACCCGACGTGGCTCCAAGGTCTGCATCAACATGCCGATCTACGTCGACACCAACACCCCTCGTCCCTTTGTGGAGCCCACTCCAAAGTGCGTTGCTGCTCTGGGTTCCGAACAGTTGGCTGATCTGGCCAAGGAGTCCACTTCGCACACCACCACGCCTCCCAAAGGCAGCGCATCGGGAGATAGTGCCGCCCTCCCTGGCGTGATCCCCGATGCCCTGCCAGATCACATCTACATGGACTGCATGTGCTTTGGCATGGGCTGTTGTTGCCTGCAGGTCACCTTCCAGGCATGTTCGGTCGAGGAGGCCCGCCGCCTCTACGACCACCTGGCTGTCGTTAGTCCCATCATGGTAGGTTGCCGTATTATCAGTGCGTTCTTATTCGCGATCGCCCAAACTCGTTGTTTTAACCCTGTCTCCTCTCTGCTCTGGATGGGTTGTGTTGCACCGGACTGCGATCCGTCGAATGTCTCGCTCGATTAGCTCGCACTCTCGGCTGCTGCCCCCATCTTCAGGGGATACCTTGCCGATGTCGATTGTCGATGGGACGTTATTTCGGCCAGCGTGGACGACCGAACCAAAGAGGAGCGTGGCGAGGAAGTAAGTGCCGATCACCACAGCAAAGCTGTGTGCGATGATGCACGGATCCGCCGAAGCATCTCCACGGCCGGCTACATACGTTTGTTGACGGCGCCGTCCCCTCTTCATTCCTAGCCGCTGAACTCTTCGCGATTCCGGATACCAAAGTCCCGCTACGACTCGATCAATCTCTACCTGTCGCCCGGACCCAACTACAGTGGCGGCTGCACCAAGCCCCACCGAACCTCTGCCAGTGGCACCGACAGCCACGATGATTTCCACTCGCCGGTGGATACCAGCGTCCCGATCCGCGCCAACTTTTACAAGGACAAATACAACGACCTGAACATTCCTTTCGATAAAGAAATCCACAAGACCTTGCAGGACGGAGGTACGACGCTCGGTGCCGGCGATGGCCAGCGGCGTGGCTGCGCACAGACACGCCGATCTTGTGGGATTGAGTGGAGCTGAGCGACCGTGTTGTTGCACCGTGGCATGGACAAGTCCGGATGGATTCTATAGCGTAGGGTTCTAATGCACTCTGTTGACCTTGTTCCCGTAGGGGTTGATGAGCTCCTTGCCAGACACTACGCCCATCTCTTTATCCGCGATCCCCTCGTCATATTTGAGGAGCTCCTGGAGCAAGATGATCAGAAAAGCTCTGATCACTTTGAGGTGGGACTGCCGCGACGCAAATGCACGAGTTGTGCTCTTCTCCTGAACCGACTCTGGCTGCGCCGCCGATATGGCCTAACAGTCGACTCGTCCTGTGACGGTGGAATTGTCCCTTGCAGAACATCCAAAGCACCAACTGGCAGACAATGCGGTTCAAGCCTCCTCCTCCCGGAAGTCCGATCGGATGGCGCGTCGAGTTCCGCAGCATGGAAATCCAGCTGACGGACTTTGAGAACGCCGCCTTCTCCGTCTTTGTCGTGCTCTTGACTCGGGCGATCCTGAGCTACGATCTCAACTTTTACATCCCCCTAAGCCAGGTGAGAGCTCCACCCTCGTCAGTGCATGCTTTGATTCGGCCACGATCCACATGTGACTGCCCCACCGTCGCCGTTTGCACGTGTGAGTGGTATGGCTGGACCGGTAACGGGCCACCCAGACTGATTGTTTACGTATTAATGTGCTCCAGGTTGACGAAAACATGAAGAAGGCGCACTCGCGCGCTGCTGTGACTGAGCAAAAGTTCTGGTTCCGCAAGAATATCTTTGGTGGGGGTGAGTGCTTGTCGCATTTGCCGTAATTGCCATGTTTGCTGCGTCGGTCATGTTGGCTCCATGCCATTCTTTGCTCTTGGCTTGGCAGTTATAGCTCGAGTCATGGCTCTGCTTATGGACTGTGTCCGTTGATCATCCTTATTGGATATCAGGATACGTTCTCACTGTCTCCATTTGACATATCGCCGTTTCCACCAGATCGCCCGTCTTCGGTCGCCGGCCTGGGCGAAGCTACCACCTCAGAGAACGACCCCGACGAAGCCCAGCTGCTCACCATTAACGAGATTATCAACGGAAACGTAAGACACGCACAGGGCGGAGAAGATGTGCAATCCGCCGACGGTGATTTTGGCGTGGGCGCTGTGGCCGCACACCTCCCCTGGGCGCCATCTTGGGTGACTTACAGTCTTTGTCGTTATTTCAGGATTTCTTCCCGGGCCTCGTCCCCTTGATCGAGTCGTATCTGTCCTCCGTCAACCTCGACTACGCCACGCATTCGCAGCTGTCGTCGTATCTGACGCTCATCTCCCGCAAGGCTAGCGGCGAGCTCATGACTGCGGCGGGCTACATCCGCAAGTTTGTGCATGAGCACCCGGGTTACAAGCATGACTCTGTCGTTTCTGACCAGATCATCTGGGACTTGGTCCAGAAGCTCGAGACCATGACCGAGAACGGTGGCCGCGGGGTGCCTGGTCTCACCGCCTGAATACAGCCGCCTCCCGCCTCCAAAATGGACCTGGCACTTCCGTGCGGATCCAGACACGCGGATGTGAGGACGAAATGGGCCGAGACTGCAGCCGGCTTCCCCATCACATCATGTCGTCGATGGCAAGTTTGTCTTGGATAACACCATCATCAATACACGAGATCGACTGCCATGATGAGATTTTACCGCGTGTGGCTCGGCGGATGGCAGCGCTCTTCGATGCGCCGTCGAGATCGAGGGCGGGCGAGAGCCACGAGCACTTGCATCTGTGTGAATGGACGGCGGCCTGGTGCCCAAGCCAGGAAAGGCCCAAGCTCTGGCTCGATCCGCGTCGCCGGCTCGAATGCATCCCCAGCCTATTACTACCAAATTGGCAAGCGCCTTCCCAGGCATCGTCCTGTCTCGCTGCACATCGGCCAGCCCCTCCCCCATACATCAGCGCCATGCCCAACAGCTACCCGATGGATGCTCCAGCCCCGCATCAGGTGCGATGACTGCTTCGGCGCCATACCCTTCTCTGCTACACCATCTGCATTCGGCCTTCCCCCAGTCGCTTTGGCCATCCAGCTTGTCGGTAAAGCAGCCACTGACCCATATACCCAACCGTCGCCGCAACTGGGAACGCCATCGACCCGGCTCGACGCACCCCGTTTATCGGCCCTCCCTTAACGCAGGAGCTGTCGGAATCCGAGCAGGATGAAGCCCTCATGATGCTCCTGCAATCGCTCTTCAAAGTCGCGGCCCAGGGATCAGTAGGGCGGATCCCGTTCGCCCGGGCCCTGCTCGCCAAGATCAAGGACGAGCGGACGAGGCCGATCGAGGAGCCGTGCATGTTAGTGTATGCGCCGGATCGGAGACTCTTTGCAGACCGTCCATCGCCAGCTTATCTGGAGTCACCGTTGCAAGGCATTTGGAGAAAGGGCCTCGACGGCAGCCATGGACCGACTGGTTGCGTCGGGATCTCCGTCGCCATGGCATTCTTTGAGATGGCTGGAGCGAGTGGAATGCGGGGGATCTGGATGCGACTGATCTAACAGGATACCACCCGCTGGCCCGCTTTCTCCTCTCGTCGCATGCACTTTTCGGCCTCCCCTGAACCACATTCCACACTGGTTCGCATCGCACCGCGGGAACGCCAATGTTCCTGCTTCACAGCGACGAGGTCGAGGTTGTGGCCGCCCTCAAGTCTGAAGATGCATTCGATTCCAATACTCCCCAGCGCCTCTCCTCTGCCAGCGCAGAGGGCTTCAAGAGCGCCATCCTGAGCAAGGGACGAAGCTTCAGCTCCGGTACCGGAACCCGGCCAGGTGCCGAGTCGGACGAGCTCTTCATCGACATTCCAACCACGCCACTCAAGGCCAAGCAGTCCGCAGCTCTGCCTGAGGTGCTCTCAATGGACGTCCCTGTCGACTATTCGGACACGATTCGGTCGCCGATCCGCCACAAACCCAAGAGCGACAAGCCGACCTCGAAAACGCTGCTGGAGCGCATATCGCAGAGCAAGCCGATCGACGTCGATGCCATCGGTCGAAGGGACAAGCTGACAGGGCCGGCAGAGCAAGACCACTCACAGCCATTCGCTGGTGGGAGCTCGTCCTCCCGCATAGTCCACATCCAAGATGCCATCGCTCAGTCAAGTGAGCGTCTTGTTTCAGGCGTGCGGGAAGCCGCTGAGCGGCATCGGAATGGACTGCCGGCACAAAACTCGACAACCGGCGAACCTGCGAGCGCTGCAGGAGATCCGTCGGGCCATCTCCGTCAACTGCAGACAAGCTCGGCCCGAGATACAACCCCGCCTCGAAAACGAAAGCTGTCCAACTCTGCCGAGGCTCAGCATCGATCGAAACGTCCCTCGCCGATGGATCCACCGCACAGACCCACCAGCAGCCGAGATGCCGAGATTGGCAGCATGATGGGATCGAAACAGAGCGCCGGGCCAGCCTCCGGGCCGCCGAGCCTGGCAGCCAAGCCCTTAACAGAGCCCATGGGCACCAAGACATACACCCTCGAGGAGATCCAGACCGAGGCCGAGCAGATCCAAAAGCTGAGAGAAAAGGTCATCAGTGAAAGTAACCAGAGGCTCAGAGGCACTCTCGAATCGCTGAAATGGATGAACCCAATGACCAAGGCCGACGCCATGGCATCTCTGACAGGCAAATCGCGCGAGCTCGCTTCACAGCCGTCATCGCTGGAGAGCTGCTCGATTCAGGAAGCCTCGCGGGCTTCTGCCAAGGAAAGCATGGCGTCTGTGGCCCAGGCGGCCTCGTTGGCTCGCATGTCGAGCGAGCTTTCGGTCACCTCGACGGAAGACAGCTTCATAACAGCTTCTGTGATCCCGTCACAAGATACGCAGTCTGCCCATCCCACAGAGGTCAGTTGATATACCATGCATGCACATTCGCTGTGCTCCTGTGTCCACATAACCTGTCGACTCACTAGTGCGATGCTCCGCTTGCTTGATTTCCTTGTCGCAAATAACAACCAACCAATGCAGCGGTATGTGCCAGCCCCGAACGTGGTGGTGCTGGATGTGCCCGAGCCCGATCTGGACGGTCTTGCGGCCGACCCAGAGGATCCAGAGGATCCAGAGGACCAAAAGGATCATAATGAACACGACGAACACGAACACGATGAACACGATGAACACGCCGAAGCCGCCGCCCAACATTCCGATGAGCGGTCATCCTCCCCCGAGATTCTGATCAATTCGGGGCCCATCGAATCCACATACTCGCTGTTCAAGTCGGTGGTCTCGGGTGGCATCATCTCCAATCTCTCGACCGGGAGCAGCTTCTTGAACAACATCATGGGCAAGGGCCAGGCCAAGGATCGAGGCAAGCCCGTGATTCCGGCTCTCGAGGCTGGCAAGAATCGGGCCATCAAGGCCCAGCAGCTCGAGGAGCAGCGCAAGCTCAAGAAAGTGCAATCGGATGAGCGGAGGGCACAGCGCGAAGAAGAGCGGAAGAAACTGGAGGCTGTCAAGAAACGACAGGAGCTGCTTCAAAAGCAGGAAGCAGAGCGAAAGACAAGGCCGCTGGTGCGTTGCAATCGTATAGGAGCTGACTTGGTCGCTGATATGGGTGCGGGTGCGTTGTGTCGGCGACTGTGTCGATCTTCGCAGCGGTCGCTGGTCCGATTTGGCCTTCCTGGCTGACCGAGTCACCTCGACGTGGAGCAGAAAGCTATTGAGAACAGCAAGGCGGTATTGGAGGTCCAAGAAGCAGCCATGGCGGGCGGCCTGCCGAGCAAACCCGACAAGCCGAAGAAGGTAGGGGCGAGGGGGTGGTCGTTCTTGCGCTTGGGAGGGCTTCCATCTGCTCTGTTAGTGGACATTGGCGACCAAGGCGATGTCTCTCTCTCCCGTGTGGCTGTTTGATGGGCGAGTGGGCTCTGTCTCGAAGGCGACTCTAGACCCAGGAACGCTGACTTGGCCTTACCTTTCAGTCACAGCTGATGCCCAAGCCGATGCCGATACCGACCTATGATCTTGATCCGCATGACGGGTCTGATGACGACCACGCCCACGGCCAGGACCACGGTCGACGACCGCCACCGCCTGCCACGCTCGAACTGCAGCCTCATCAACCTCACGCCAGCACGTCGGCGCCGATTCACACGAGCTCCGTGTCGTCCAAACCAGCTCCAGTGCTGCCCGACAAACCGTCCCATATCAAGCGGTTAGAGGAGCTCAAAGGCGGCGACTCGTGGAAGCATCCAGAGGTAGGTAATCGATGCTCTGCCAGCCAAGCAAGCGTTGCAACCCATTGCGTTCCTCCACTCAACAAGCCTCACCCCTCCCCGACTCACGCACGACCGCTGGTTGGCTTCTGCAGACCCCGCACAGCCCCTACAAGCCTCTCTTTGTCGGCGGCTCCACCAAAGTCACTGCAAACACGCTGCTGCCTCTTCCGAAGCAGCCAAAGTCCTTCTTCTCGCCGGCACCACCGCCGCTTCAGGCATACGGATCCCATCCTGCACCGATCAAGAATCCGTTATTGGATGAGCTCTTTGCGTCCTCGTCAAGCGGGCCCTCGTCCTCGGGAATGCATCGAATCATGGCGACCACAACGACCGGCAGCACCAAGCTTTCCCATCTGGACGCCAAGCTGACAGGCGAGCTCAACAGTACACTGGCGATGGCGGCCAAAATGATCGGATCGGATGGAGCCACCAAGCCGTCAAAAGGAGGCAAAGAGGTGACGACCATCATCGACTCCAACGGCGATCTGCCCGAGCCGGACAGCGAGTAAGTCTGCGTGGAGAGCTGTCGAGAATCGGCCATGCGTATATGCCCAATGTGCACAATATCCGGCGCGAGTGCACCAGCCAAATCGGTAAATGCGTACACGAGCTCACTCATTCGTGGTGTTTCGATCCATGTTCTCTGTCACGCTCGAACCAGCAACGACCCGACGACGCCGCAAAAGAAGAAGCTCAATATCCCGGCATGGGCAGAGACCCCGGAGCTGAAGCGTGCCCTCCACAGCCAGCAACGGCGAGACCCAGAGAGCATCTTTGGAATGGTGAATCCCGACGGCCTCAAAGGTGAGGCTCGTCAAGATGGAGATGCAGCAGAAAGCCAGGCGATCCGACGGGCAGCTTGGACCCTCGGCTCCGCGGCATCGATCTGCCGTGGCGTGTTGTGTCGAAGGCTGTTGATTACATTCAGCGGCTCTGGGATCGTTTGGGATATCATTGTGCACTGCTGATTTCGAGGCCGCCCCCGAGGCTGCTCGCACACATGCTGACTGCCCTTCTCCCTCACAGACATGTTCAACAGCCTCGGCATCCCATCAAAGGCATACCGTGCGCGCGCCAACTCTGCCTGGCGTGGAGATGACGTCCTGACGACCGAGGAGAATGAACGGTACAAGCAGAGTCGCGGATACGAATGAATGAACTGGATCTATACACAATACACTGCAAACACGGCTGTCTTGACCGGAGCACAGTGCATCGTTGGCTGTGGGGGCCTGTGGTTGTTGTGCAAAAGCGGATCGATGTCTATAGCACTGGGCCAAACGCGCTAGGCGGAAGGGTCCTCCGATTTGCTCGTACCATAGAGCTGAGTTGTGCGCGAAGGCATATTCCAGCTTTCCCAAAGCGAAACCGAACACCCTGCTTTGAGCCAGGGCTATCGCTGTGTTCTGGGTCCTGAATACACACCCGCCAAGCGACTCAAATCACCCGACTATCTTGGTGTGGAGAAACCACGGTGGCTCTCCTGATGATCAGATGAATGCGCCACACTCCCGGGTTGAGATATCAATGCCAGTTGATCGTCGCCACAGGGAATCGGCCAGATGTATTCACGACGATGTTCCCAAAGCCAAACCAAACGACTGCCAGCCAGGACCCGCAGACAATCGCACGGCTGCAAGCCCGCAGCAGCAACCGATGACCGACAAGGTTCAGGCCTCGGATGTCTTGCCTTGATGTGTGAGAGAAAAATGGACTCTGTTCCGTTTTTCCTGGACTAACTCTCACAGCCTATGTACATCTGCTGATCAGAGGCCACCGCATTTATCAAGCATAGAGCTGAGGCAACATCGGGCCAGAGGGAAAGATCTTGGATTCAGCTGTGGCTCTATCTTGGTCAAGATGGAGGAGGGAGAGGCTGCATTCGATCTGAACCCAAAGTACCAACCATCGAGGGCTGTCAACCCCGAGGAAGCGGCTATTGAAAGCAGACAAAGACGCCTAGATCCAGCCAGACGGCAAACAGCCACTGGGGTTGAGAGTGGCCGAAACCCTGACTCTCGAGCTTGTCTCCCCCCAACCGACCAAAAAGAAAAAAAAAAAAGAAAGGAAATACGATTCAAGCATAGGGAAAATATAGCATGGAGGAAGGAAGCCTGCCAAAAATAATATAAAATATCGCAAAATAACTCGGAGAGGGGCGCCGCAACAAGACAGGGCGAGACAGCGATCGGGAGAAGGGACCATGCAGCGGTCGAGCTTGGGTCGGACTGGACCGGACTGGACTGGACTAGTCGAGGAGGGAGGGGTAATCTGTTGTCCATCACATCTAGTTTCGGCAGCGCTGAGTTTTCATGTGCCGGAAGAGAGCGTCGCTGCGGGTGAACCGGGAATGGCACAGGGAGCAGGCAAAGGCCTTGGGCAGGTCGCTGTGGGTGACCATATGCCGCCGCAGATCCTGTCGCCGGAAAAACGCCTTGGTGCACAGCTCGCAGGCGAACGGGCGGATGGCCGAGGGGTTGGTGCTGGGTCGAACGCCCTTCTTGGTGGCTTTTTTGGGCTCTGATACTTGCTTGGATTGGGCAAAGGCGTGAGCTGAGGGCGATGGCTTGTGGTGGAGGGTGTACGATCCGTTGGCCGCCACGATCGAGGCAGACGCAGCGAGGGAAAAGCCTGGATGCGGCGCTGTACTTGGTGGCAGCGGCTTGAGGGTTTGCTGGATGTAGGTTTGCAGGTCGGGGAAGCTGCCGGGCGCCGAGTACGACGGCTGGGCCATATGCTCGGGTTTGCCATAGGAATCCGACGCGCCGTAATAGACAGCATGCTGATGGCGATCCATTCCGGTTTGCGGGTGGAAGACGGGCTTCGAGGACAGGGCTCCGGCTGCACTGTGGCCGAGGAGCGCAACAGAAGCCGCCGGGTACTCGAGCGGGCTCCAGCGTGGAGCGGCTCTTGTGGCGGCCTCGGGCGAGAGCACCGGGAGCGGGTTGAAGCCATGGGCAAAGTACATTGAGCCTGGGTCGGAGAAGCCAGCGGAGCCGGTGGCGCTTACGGGACTGCGCGGCCCTGGCTCTGAGGGCGGCGCCAGCGCACCCGAGTGGAGGCCGGCGATGTGCACTGGGTGCGGGATGGACAGCGAGGACTCTTGGTCCTTGGGCTCGGGGGTGAAGTCTTGGAAGAACACCGCCGGAGCCAGGGTATGGGGATGGTGGCGCTGGGTGGGAAGCGGCGCTGGCTCGCGCGGGGCGGGGGCGCACATGTCAGCCAGCGCGAGGGGCTCGGGGGTGGGCAGCGAGGGATGCCCGGACGCCGCTGGCGAGAGCGACGTCATGCAGAAGGTCGGACGGTACGAGAAGCTTGAAGAGACGACGGGGCCCACTGTTGCCGCAACGGACTCGGCCATGCCGGCCATCGAGACCACGGCAAAACTTGGCTGAGGGTCGCAGGCGGCCGATGCAGCCAAGGTTCCTGTTGGAGTTGCAGAGACTGGGACATAGAGGGCCTGGGGGGCTGAAGCACTTGACAGAGACGCATAGAGAGGCAGAGAAACGGCAACGACGGTAGACTGCGGCAGTTGGACGTTGGATGGATAGATTGCACCGCTGGAGGGGCGGGTCGAGGGATAAGGGGCCAAGAGGGCGTGGTCGTGGCTGGAGGAGGACTTTTGGGGCGGCCCGGCAAAGGCAGAGTCCATCGATACAAACGATCGTCTGGGCTGTTGAAGCTGGATGCTGTCCATGGTGATAGACGAGGAAGGAGGCGGCGAAGGGTAGCAACGGAGAAGGACGGAATGGCCTGAGGATCGAAGGGCGGTCGAGTGTAGCTGAAGAAGAGCGGATTTAGAGAACGGATTTAGAGAACGGATATAGAGAACGGGTTTAGAGAACGGGTTTGGGGGGAGGCAGTGAGAATTTAAGGGACAAGTAAAGACTGAGCGAGGCCGTAACGGTGGTTGAAGTGGGCCCGTGAGGATTCAACAAATTGGTAGACAACGGCAAAGGTATTTGACAAGGAGGGCAAGTAGTAGTGGAATTGTGGCCAAGCCGGACGAGATGGAGGTGTAAACGGACTGCAAATGCCAAGGCAGTACGGCGACAAGAGCGACGATATCTGTGTCTGGGCAGAAACAAGATGGACAGATAGACCAGCACCCGAGGAGTATTCGGAGCAGGGTCTTGTGCGGCAAGTAGGATCGGCGGGTGCCAGAGGAGACGGCGTCAAGGACGGCGCGGGGGAAGTGGGGGACAGGGCTCGAGGTTCGGGGGTGGGGCGGTATAAACACACCAGGGGCGTGGGGCAGACGAACAGGAGGCCGCAGAGGCGGTCGTGGGTGCGGTAGATGGGATAGAAGGAAGCCGAGATGGAAGTGGTAGATCCAAAATGCACAGGATGTGCAAAAGTTGTGATGGCAGGAAGGGCTGTGACGATTGCAGTAACTGCAGAGTTCGCAGCGGGCGGCGGTCGGGCGTGGTCGTCGGGCAGAGACTCTGTGCGCACGGCCAGGCTCGCGGATGGGTCTGCGGGCGGGTGAGGGAGAGGAGCGCAAGTGGCCGCTGCCGCCGGTCTGTTTTTAACCCGGACCTGTCCCCGAACGCCTTTCCGTCCTTGCTTTCCCAGCATGTCCATGTGCTCGCGCGGGCCTGGTCGTCGCACGGCCAGCCTCCGAGCCAGCCTCCGAGCCAGCCCGGGAGGCCAGACGATTCCCGAGAACCGGAGTGCGCAAACAAATGCATACGTAACCTGCTATTTGCGGCCTTGTTGACCCGCGCACCACTGCCCTTTGCGCTGGCTGTATACGCCCGGCTGCAGACATGGCATGGGCATGTCTGGGCGCTGCGAGTGGCCCCCGTCCCACCAGCGGGATAAACGCCTTAATATCCCGGCATGGAGCAGGCAGGTGGCAAAGGGGCCAAACGCTGCCGTGTGGCCAGCACGCAACACCGTCGCTGCAAGCCCACCGAAGAAGAAAGGACAAGAGCAACAGAGCCGCCCCAAGGGCAGACGCAAGGCTGGAAGAAGCGCCCAAGGGCCAGGGGGCAATCTGTCGACGGCAAAATGCGGCATTCCCACAGCGACAACGGGAATAGAGCGGGAATAGAGCGGGAATAGAGCGGGAATAGAGCGGGAATAGAGCGGGAATAGAGCGGGAATGCTCATGGGAACGACAACCGCAACCGCAACCGCAACCACAACGACAACCACAACGACAACCACAACGACAACCCCAACGACAACCACAACGACAACCCCAACGACAACCACAACAACCACAACAGCAACCACAACAGCTGCTGCAGCCTCGGTGGCGGCTCGGATGGGCCAAGGGCAGGCGATACCTTGTCGGCCGACCAAGCACGACCGGCGGTATGCCAGCGTGCAGACGACGCACGGTGGTATCCGCGCTGCAAGGATAGCTCGGGCTGTAGGTGCAGCGCCAGTCTCGCGAGCAGACGAATGGAGACATGCTCGAGCAAAGAGAGTCAAGGATGTCGCCTGCCCGAATGAAAGGTGTCGCCTGCCCGAGCATAGGATGTCGCCCTCGGTCGCTGACATGCGTTCGGCTTGCGATATGGACCGGCTCCATGCGATCGCGACCGGGCTGTGCGCTGCAGCGGGATTTCTGCACCTGGCCCGCACCTGGTCCGCACCTGGTCTGCGCCAGCCCACCCCCAGCGACCCACCCGTCGCCATCGTCTGGCTCCTTTCTTTTCGTGCCCGGTTGCACCACCTTGACTCCCGCCAGCATCCACTCGAGGCGGTGGGGTGGTGGTCCAATCGCCGCGCGCCAATGTGTTTGGCAGCTTCGCTCGACAAGGCCGCTGCCATGCGCGGAGCAGGCGACAGACGCCACTGTTGTGCTGCTCGCTCTGCTGATGCCGGCCCATTCTCTCTGTCGTGGGCAGAGTTGCCAGCCCCGCATGTGCTTTGGGCACCGGGGAGCTGCTTGACCAGATACGGCGAAGCCAGCAGTCTGGCCAGCCCGTGTGTGCCGAGCGGTATTCAGTGCTTCGACTCGACTCTGCTGCGACGCAGTTGACACCCGCCCGAGTGGCGCAAGCAGCTCGCCCAAGCATTTGCGCATTCGCACTGCGGTTGTTCTGGATCGCATCGGTGGTGCTACTTTGCATGTCCCCCTTGCTCTCTGTCCCCGCATAGCCTCTTTGGCGACTTTCATTTCGCACCACCCTCTGCAGCCGCATTTCATTTACTGCCTCATTTCACCTTGGCCGCTGGTGCGCCCGCTCGCTCCTGCCGCCTCCGGCCTTGCGTCTTGCCTTGTTGACTGGGGTGACGGTGGCTCCCTCCGCGCTGCCCCAAACCCAGGGACTCTGTGGGCATTCTCGCTGACATGTTGGTGTCGTCAGTGGGCAGAGGCGTGTTGTCGCGGCGCCTCCAGCCGCACTGCGTCTCGATGCCTGCTGGGGCGATTGTTGTCGTGGCAGCACAGTATGGGAAGTCTGGATATCCTTTGGTGGCCGTCTGCCCAGAGGCACAAAGGCTTCATTTGCGACGGCCGGTCCTTTGCTGCGACCCGCGCATCAGCTGGCCGAGACCGCTCCATGGTGCCTCCAGGGCCCGCTTTCTCACGCCCCTTCGTCCCCGAAAGATCCCAGCCGCGACCCACCCCCCTCCTCCGGCATTTGTCTCTGGCGACATGTCCTTGCTCTGGCCTGGGTCATCGACGTCCTTGCCCCCCAAAATGAAGCCAGCGTCCGTCACGCTGGTGCAGTCGCTCTGGCCCCACCCCCCTCTCCACCGAGCCCCGACCCATCACACTGCGGCCCTCTCTCATCGGCACTCTGGCCAAATACCTGGCGGGCGCTGCCTCTCCGCTCCAGCCGACACGCCTGGGCACCGGCAGCCGTCGCTGGGCGCTCATCGGCGGGAATCGAGCCACAGGCACCCGTCCGAGACCAACGGCCCCTCCGCCTTCCTCCAGACATGAGATTGTTTGCGTCGAGTGAGCAAACGAGACCAAGAGGCACCTGCACAGACAAGCAGTCCTGCCCAGCTGGAGCCAAGATTGTACCCTCCACGCAGTGCCTTCCGTACCCCGAGTGCCTCCCTCCCTCAGGGCAGTCGCCCGACCATTGCGAATGGAGATGGGAGAGGAGGGGGCCGGTGTCCGATATCCTTGGAGAGGTAGGAGGACTTTTACTGACTTGGTCATGGCACGCGAGTCCACCTGAAGCCAGAGGCACATCGGAGGCCGTGGGAAGCACATCGCACCACGCCGCATTTCGTCTCAGTTCAACTCATCACAAAGCATCTCATCTCATCACAAGGCATTCCATGTGAATACTTAGATCCAAAGACTCCATGATGAGCCGATCCCGCCCGGCCCTTCCGGCGAGCATCACGGACGTGACGCCGTGGGGAGGACGAAGCGACCCCGAGCCTCGCGACCAGCAAGGAACATGGGCGGCGGCGCAGACTCGGAATAGTGGGGGGGGGCGAGCAGGTCGAGAATAGATCGCGACGGAGCTGCCAACAAGTCGCCAGACCAGGAGTCAATTGAGCGGTGGGCTATATTTTGGGATTCGCCGTATTCACATACAGAAAGCACGCCGCATGTTTACAAATGACCGGAAGAAGAGAGGTGGAGTGAGAGGTATGGATTTATAGCTGGGCCGCAGAGACAATTGTTCAGTCGCATCGGCAGGGCCGTCTCTGAAGAGTGCTCGACTGCATCGAGGCTGCGTCCAGGCTCGCGCAGGCTGTTTAGCCCTTGTGCTCGACAGGGACGGTGACGAGCGAGCCGTTGACGATGGTGGTCTTGAACTGCTCGGGAACAGGCTTCTCGACATAGTCGCCGTCGGCACCCTGGATCGAGACGTTCATCTCGGAGCTGCCCCCCCCCCCAGGCGGAAAGGCGGAGGGCGACGCAGAGACGCCGAGGCGCAAGCGGAGTGAGCGGTGGCGACAGAAAAGACCAGAGCCGAGGTCAGCAAAGGGCACACGCGGGGGACGCATCGAGGCAGAACAGCCAGTCGATCCATAAGACCGATAGATGGAAACCAGATGGACAACGCGCATGCTCAAATGCGTGTCAGCAGCAAGTGTCAGCTGCCACTATCCTCCGATGTCCTCCGGGGACATCCGGGCGCCGGACCGCCCAGCAGACCAAAGATACCACCCACCTCTTTGCCGACAGCAGCTCGACGTCGAGGCACGCGGGGGACAGGAAGAGCTGGAGGCCATCGGTCTTGTCGACAACAACGGTGGGAGCCTTGCCAAGAACCTGCACCTGGGCCGACTTGCAGTTGACAATGTCGATGGTCGAGACCACGTTGTCGATAACGACGCCGACCTTTTTGGAGCCGTCTGGAGGCGTAGAGAGTCAAACGACGGGGCCGCAACCTCAGCCTTGCTCTCACAGAACAGATCAAGCAATACCTGGCGGCACCCATGTCTCTGATATTCCCTGGTAAGGATGCTCACTCCAGGAGGGGGGCTGATACCGCTGCAATCGCATGTCGGACATGCACACTATGCTCGCGGACCACACATGCACAAATGCCGATGGGCAAACTCGGGCCGCTTACCAATGGTGATGGCGTTGACCTTGCTCTTGATCTGGATGGTGCACTGGGTGCAGTTGTAGATATAGACGACGTGCTTGACCTCGGCCTGGTCAATGGTGATGTTGGCGCCGCTGGGTTGGTTTTCCTGCACACATATCATCGATTGGGTTAGCAGTGGCGATGACACTTGAGAGTTGGCCACCCGAGCCTCCGAGCGCACCGACACCGTCGACGAGTCTCGCACAGATACTTACAACCACCCACTTGTTACCCTCAAGAGCAAACTTGGGGGGAGCCTTCGGGGCAGCGCCACCAAACTTGGGGGCGGCGGCAGCAGCGGCTGGCAACAGTAACGTCGATTCGTCAGTTCACATACTCGCTCTGCCTCCACGCATCTCCACAGGCGACAAAACTGCTCGCAAGCCGCGGGATATCGCTGCACGAAACCGGCACTACCAGGAGCATGGGCCGGGGTGGACGGAACAACGCTGGTGGCACGCAGTTCGGGGTTCTTGTGGGTCATCTCGGACTTGTCGACCTTGCGCAGACCTACATTGCAAAGGGTTGTACGGTCAGCCGTACGGCCAGCCGGCAGCGTAACGCACCGAGTCCGCCTGCTTCGTCCTCCACATCACAGTCACTCGCCGCATCGACTGCGTCGACTGCATCAGCACCGATTCCAAACGTCAACGACAAGACGTGTCGTCCGAAAACAATCGAATCATTACCGGTGGTGAGACCGTCCTTGTTCAGCTCGCTGAAGAGATTGGCTGCAACCGCAGGGCGCAAGGGAGAGGGGGTGGCGGCGTTGGCGGGAGTGGGAGGGGGAGTAGCGGTAGGGGCAGCGGCTGTGGATGTTGATGTTGATGTTGATGTGATCGCAGTCAGTGGAGGCGCTTTCGGCAAAGCCCAGCACTGGACTGAAACAGCCTCGATTGGGGTTGACCTAGTTGATCGGGCACCACAGCTGGGGCAAAGAAGGCGGGGACGACTTGTCCTCTCTGGTGGTACTTACCGTTGAAGCTCTTGGCATCGCCGCCCTTGGGGTTCCAGGCCAGGCCGGTGGTGTGCCACTTCTTGACGTACTGCTGGAGATCCGTCAGGATGCTGATGTAGGCCCGGGTCCACTCGACATGGGCACGGTCCCTGGATAGTAAAGCAGCGGCGAGCCACAAGTCAGCCAATGCATTTTGCAAGGAGCAAGCAGCAAGCAACAAGCAACCAATTGCATGCTGCTTGAATCGGTCCGAATCCACTCAGCCCGGAAGAGTGGTAGCGACCAGGACATACGCCGACCGGTCTCATGCCATCCAGGCCCTCTCTTTGTAGCCCATCCTGCATCTGTTCCGGTACACTCGGCGATGCTTACTTATCCTTGTACTCCTTGACAACACGGTTGGCATAAAACTGGGCCGAATCCTTCATCTCGCCGACAAAGGGAGCAGGGGCGGGCTCCTGCGTGAGCACAACCACGACCGAAGAGCCAGGAAAGGATGTGAGATATACCGTCGCTGTGGATGGCATTCGATCCGCCATGGTAAGCGGAATCTCGAGCCAGGCAGACCAAGTCCCAGGAAGTAGGCCGCTGCCGGAGCATGTCCACCCGCCCAAGACCGCTCCATGATTGCGGGACGCTCAGCCACCAAACGAACCCTCGGAGAGCCAATGCACACCGATTGGCCGCCACTGCCCGTGTGTCTTGGCAGACCAGCCAGGACAACTGAGCCCCACCCAGTGTCCCATCCGAGCACACACAGAGCCAGGGTCACTCACAACAACAACCCAGCCGAGGGCGGGAATGCCCTCGGCGACGGTCGACAGATGGTTGAAGAAGGGAGAGGGGCGGTTCGAGTCCTTGATGTTGGTGATCTTCTCGACAGCGGCGTTGGTGGACTTGAGGAGCTCCTGGATGGTGGGGACGTCGGGCTTCTTGGAGGCCGCGGCGATTTGGATCAGGGCGCGCTGGGCGCGGAAGGCCTCGGTGAGGTAGCCGACCTGCTCCTTGACAAGATCGTTGATGGCAGCCGACTGGTTGACAAAGTCGGCGACGGGGCCGTTGATGAGGTCGTCAAACTCGGCAAGGGCCACGGGAACGGCGGCTCCACCGGGCGAAGGCACCGAGGGCGAGCTGGTGCCGGGGGTGGCCGAGGCGGCGGGGACGCCCAGGGTGCGCTGCTGGGCAATCTCCTCGAGACGGACGGTGGCAGACTCGAGACGCTTGAGGATGTTGGAGAGGGCAGATTCGGACATGGCGGGAGGACGATGCGATCAGAAGGACGCGGGCGAGGGCGATGAGATGGGAGGGAAAGAGCAGATGAAGACGATGCCAGCCTGGCGCGAGGACGCCAACAATGATCGAAGGCGGGCTGGCCAATCCATCCACCCCCCTGGTGGCTGCGCAGAGGCGAGGCCGGGGGTGTGCGGGAGCGAACGAGAGGAGGGATGGATCTTGGTGCTATCGATAGCGTTGATGTGGATGTTTTAATAGTGTTCATGAGGATGTTTTAATAGTTTTGATAGTGCAACTGCACTTCCAATCTTCGCCATCCAGCTCGAACACCACTCCAGTCCATCCGTCTCTTCCATTCATCAACCTCGACCTCGACCTCGCCCAAAACAATATGCCGACGCTGCTGTTTGCTGCCCTGGGTAATGCTCCGTCTGCTGCTTCCAAGCGCCCGTCCATCTCTGGCTCCATCTGTTCGTGCTTATGCTCCCATCTCCACCATCCCAGGGTCGATGGGCGATGTGCTGTTTGCCTTGCAGCTGGCCCTGCATCGAGCGCACTTGGGTGACCAAATCGTGTTCTTTACCCACTCGGATCACATCTCCACCTTCCGGCATGTTCACCCCGAGCCAGCCATGCGCTTCCGCTCCTGCGGCACCGATGGGCAGCTCAACAGCGACCTGGACCATGTCTCGAAACACACCCGGCGCCAGATCGAGCTCGCAAGGCTGGCCGAATGTCGCTCGCTCGATTTTGATCTCGTCGTCTTCAACCTCTTTGCCCTTGAAGCACATGCCCTTGCCGAGGCAGCCGATGTGGGCTCGATCGCCGTCTCGCCGTTCCTGCCGACCCACAGGCCTTTCGCCATGCCGCCGACACTCTGGGCGGATATCGTGACGATGACCATGGAAGCTGCCGATGCTACCGATGCTGTCGATGCTGCCGACAGCGGCGAGCAAGGCGGCACATGTCCTGCCGTCGAGAGTGCCCGCCCTGTCAATGCAGACCGCAGCAACGCCCAGACAGCAATCTGTCCTCCGGATTTCCGCCTCTGGATCTGGCGGCTTTGCCTCGACGACATTGGTCGATGGCGCACATCGCTTGGTCTGCCCGAGTCGGTCGTCAGCGCACGCCAGGACCATGGAGCTCTCGAGTATCCGGACATTCCGCTGCTGCTTCCAATGAACTCCAGGTGGGCAGGGTCTGTCCCTGGAGCCCATGTTCTTGGGCACTTTGATCCTGGGCAGGTCTTTGGCCGGGCCGAGTACGCCGAGACCAACGAGAGCGAACCACCAAGCAACTCAGGCCCCGAGACCGCCGAGCATGATCCGATCCTGGCATTTGTGAACAGCAACCCTCAGGCCCCAAAGGTGTTTGTGACTTTTGGATCGATGGAGACGCTTTGTCCGGAGCTGGCCGAGACACACTCGCCGCAGCCCGGCGACGGACCCTCTGTCCTCTGCAACTTCGTGCGCAAGGTCGCCTTTGCGATGCGGCTGGCCGGATGCCATGTTCTCTGGCAAGTCACTGCCGGATCACCCCTGACAAAGGCTTTGCAGTCTGCTGCATCTGACCACATCAGGGTCTGGGATCGGCCGGTTTCGCACTCAAAGTATCTGCCCCTCTTCAACGCTGCCGTTCACCACGGAGGGGCCGGGATCGTGGCTGCTTGTCTGTGTGCAGGCATCAAGCAAATCGTCGTTCCGCTGATGTTTGACCAGTTCGATTGGGCCGAGAAGGTGCAGTCCGAGGGTGTTGGCCGGTCCCTGGACTGGAATGACACGACCCTGGTGGACTGGGGAGATGCCATCGCCTGGTCGCTGGATCGCTCGGATCTCGCCGCGCTGGAGCGATGGCAGAGCGAGCTGGATAGGGATCGGGAAGAGGGCGTCTGTCTGAAACGAGCCAGCGCTGTCGTCGACGGCACCCTCGTCGAAGGGCCGCAGCGGCGGATCGCATTGCTCTGGGACAGGAAACGCAGCAGATCCGACAAGAGCTTTGATCCGCACGAGCCTACAGGGAAACGCCGATGAACACAGCGGGACGGGATGCCGAGATCCAGCATTTGTTCCAGCAGCGCTGCCATGAGCAATGGTCACGGCGTGCCAGTCGTCGATGTAGGTCTGCTGGCATTCGCACATAAATGCATACATAGGTACATAGATACAGAGATACATACATACGCGTGCGATGCTGCTCTCAAAGTAGATGCGGTCATCTCGATGTCGGTTTGTGAGCGCTTTATTACATTCTCGATCAGGACAGCGTCCATCAGACATCGAACGGGGCTGTCGGCGCCGAGGATCGCAACAGACGGCTGTCCGCGGCGAGTTTACTTCTGCTGGAGCTCCTTGACCAGCTCGATGTACTTGGCCTGAGCGGCTTCCTTGGTGGTGCCTGGGTCGGATTGCGCATGTACAAGGGAGAAGGGGGTGTTGTTAGGTGCGGTGCTGGTCAGCAATTGGGATGGGCGAGGCAGACGCTCACAGACCCCGAGGTACCACGAGCAGAGCAGAGCAGCGCCAGTGCGAGGCTTACCCTTGAGGTTGGTCCAGGCGGTCCACTTGGCCTTGGCCTGGAGATCGAACATATGGGGCTGGGCTGTGGGCGCCACAAGAGATGAATCAGCAATAGGTTTGTGGGTGTCGGACACAGCTCGAGCGGACAGGCCACTCGCCCCCATCAATCAGTCGGGGTCATGGGCCACCGGGGGGAACCAACTCGCATCTGGCAGCAGCGCTGGGCTGGGCTGGACAGATCCGGACGAACCGGCAGTGAGAGAAGAGCACGCCATACGCACCGGTGGTGTTGTCGCCGTTGATGCCCTGCTTGAAGTGGGCGTAGAGAGCAAGGAGCTCGACGTTGGAGGGCTTGTTGGGGAGGTTCTTGACGTCCTCAGCAGCCTTGATGAACTCGGCCTGGATACAACGAGGAGCCCACAGAGCAGGGTCAGAGATCAGGAACGGGCCTCACCGGACAAGCAAGAAGTCCGGCCCGTTCGAAACGAGGGGCAGTTGGCCGAGAGGGCGAGGGAGGCAGGTCTGCGCGCTGGAAAGAAAGCATGTGGATTGCAAGCCCGGCCAGGAGCCAAGAACCGCACACGTCTGGGCGAAATCCTCCCCCCAGCCACGAGAGCTGATTCCAGAGACGCATCGCCAACGAGGACCACACGTCTCCGAGCCAATGTCGTCCAGGCTCGGCGGGCAGCGGACAGAGAAACAAAAAAAGTGCCACTAGCCGATGCTGCCGAGAGCCTGGAGAGCGCAGCCGATGGCGGAACAACTCATGGCCGAAACAGCCCGAGAGCCACACAAGCGGAGCGAGCCCTGACGGAGGGAGCAAGCCGGCGAGGACAGCCAACCGACCAGCCAGCAGCGACAGACAGGGGGGAGCAGATAGACAGAGAAGCAGACCGAGACGGAGACGCAAGGATCGAACGACGAGACCTACGTTGTTGGTGGAAGCGGGGTCAGACATGGTTATGAGGTGGTGGCGGCGACGGGATCGGTGGTGAGGGCGATGACTTGGTTGAGACAGAGACGAAGCAGGGCGATCGAAAAGCGCAAATACGAGGGGGGAGGACGAGGGCGGCGACGGCGATTGGCCGGACACGCGCTGCGCACGGACGGGCCATGTGAGTCTGTGGTCCTGTGGATGCATCGACAAGCGAGAGCAAGGTTTCCCTCGCTCGCCTGGATAATATCCACACCCATGGCGGGGCTGGCGCTCGGAATGGGCGAGCGAATGGACGGGCGAGTGCGAGAGGAGCAGCGTCGGTGGCGGGCTGTGGCTGCATCGGCGATGGCTGGGAGACGAGCTCGCGTGCGAGACAGATGCACCAGACTCGGACCACCTCCCATCTCTATCCCACCATATGCGGCTGGGCGAGATCCGCTTGTTTGGACGCAAAGCAGCATTTGGGTAGTTATTCAGACCCGACTCGGGGGGGGGATGTTACTGGGCTGCTCATGACCTCCGGTCAAGGCGCCGTCACGCAGAAGCATCAAGTCTCTCGCACGATTGGCGGCGCACGTCCGAGTGAGGAAAGCAACCCAGGCAGCGGCCAGCTGGTGGCGATCAAAGCTCCTTGATGGTCCGGGAGGCCGCCTCGGTGTACTGCAGCCAGAATCCAATGGTCAGCGTGATGATGGCCAGGATGAGGCCGATGTTGGTGATGTAGTCAAACTGGCCCTGGCGTGTGCGCTTGACGCCCAGCTTGGCATCGTTGATCTGGATCCACTTGACAATGTTGGCAAGGGAGGTGCCGATGGGGATGAAGGACTTGTCGAACGGGTTCTTGGAGTTGCAGGCAGCATGGTTCTTGTCGCCGAGCTCGTAGGCGTACTGCTCGTACACACCCTTGATGCTGTCGAAGGTGTTGGACTGGAAAATGAGCTTGACAGTAAGGCCACGGCGGATCTTGAGGCCGGCTCGCTCAAAGATGATGCGGTTGTTGAAGAAGAGCGAGATGGTGGCGATGGCCATGAGCTAGCAAATCCGGTTGCGCACGGGGGCATTGGGGAGGTGCAGGAAAGCAGTGTCAGAGCGATGGCTACGAAAGACAGGACGGGTTTGTGGAGCATCAAGGTCGGCGCCAACAGCAAGTACCGACGACAAACGCCGACAACAGGCACCGACAACATGGCGCGAGTCGCAGCGTTGCCGCTCCGGTGCCAGTTTGGCCGGCTCTTCGCCATCGATGGATGGCCCTTTGAGCTCACCACACGCCACCATCAGTGTCACACCCTCTCCCTGCCCGGACGAATCGGCTGCCGCTGCCAAGCACGAGCTGCGGTCTGAAACTTGCGGGTTCGACACAACGTACCTGGGGGATGGCGCAGAATCGGATCACCGAGGGGTTGCGCAGCTTGGACATGTACTCCAGGCAGCTGGGCACCAGCTTGAGGGCGTCGGCGCACATGTGGTTCAGGCAAGCCAGGGCACGCTCGCGGTTGTCGGGAAGGGCCAGGACGGCCATGTCCTCGCCCTCGGGGACGTACTGCTCCCAGATCTCCTTGGGCCAGAATCGACGACCGTCCTGCAGATCCTCGTAAAAGTCCTTGATGATATTGACCTTCTGGAGGAACAGACCCATTTCGTTGGCCAGGTCCGGGAACTGGTCCAGATTGGGGTCCTCGAGTCCCGAGGCCGCAAACAGGCCGGTGAGACCGAGGCCGACGAGGCCGGCGGCATAGTGAGTGTACAGGTTGTAGTCTTCGATCGTGACGACCTTCTTTCCTTCACAAAAGTCGGCAAATCCGCAGCCCATGCGCTTGGCAATATCGGCAATGACCTTTTGATAGCTGTGGCGATGAGACGGAAGTACATTGGAGTGAAGGGGTCGGGTGAGTCGGAGCCGGCAGTGGAAAGGGCCCACCCATGGCCAATCACGATGGACTCGACACCTGCGATCTGGTCAGCCATGAGTGCCGCTGTCCAGAAAGCAACGTCCCAGATGGCCACTTGGGCATGGGCGGGACAGGGGGAGGGCGCTCTGGCACTTACGGCTCCTTGAGACTCAGGAACTCCTCGATGACGACCTCAAACTCCTTGACCAGGGGAGCGTCGGCCTCGTTCGGGCCAGACTCTTGAAAGTTCCATCCGCGCTGGTGGATGATCTGATCGAAGCGGCGCAGGATATCGCACTTTTTCTTCACATCAAGGGTCATGTCGTCCTCGATGGTGTCGAGCCCGCGCAGCACCAGATAGAAGATGCAGACGGGGTGGCGAAGCTCGTCGTCCAGCTCCTGGATGACTCGGGCGAACGAGCGGGAGCACATGTTGAGGTAGTAGTAGCAGAGGGCATAGTTGTGCTGGGGATCCGACTCTGGCGGGACCTTGGAGCGGTCCGCAAACATCTCCGAGGTCTTGGACTCGGAGAGCTTCCACTTGATGAGGGCGTGGAGCTCGTCTGGGTACATCAGCGAGGCCATAAACGCCTTGGCAGCCATTGTGGATGAGGGTCTTTGGGGAAGGGCTGTGGCTGGTGCTGAAAGGAGCAGGCGCTGGAAGGAGCAGACCTGGGGCAAACGCAGATGCAAACGCAGATGCAAACGCAGACGCAGATGTGGATGCGTATGCAGATACAGAAAAGTGCTGCCTCCTCATTTGTGGTTGGCTGGCTGGCTCGCTGGTTCGAGGCTGGCTGGCTGGTTCGAGGCTGGCTGGACGGGGCCATCAGAGCGGATCGAGCCAGGGGATGTGTTTGTGCCACGTGCCGCGGTTCCCAAACCGGGCAGTAACACTATCAATTTTTTCGATTGGCCGGGGTGCCACCGTTTCCGATTCGCGGGAGAGTGCGCAGCGATCGGTCCTGGCTTTCTCGTGCCGGGGTGGCTGGCGCATGCACCCTGGTTTACATCCCACCGCCATCGTCGCTGCTGGGAGTGCTGGCTCCTCAGGACTCGTCAAGGCCGGTCGATATCCGCTCAAGGCCCGCCGATAGCTGCCCAGATCCATCTGCATCGTCCTGCGATCCAGTCCACGTCTGTTTGAGCTCCCTGCCCAAGCCTGCAGTTTTTGCTCAGAGTCGTCCTCGCCATGAACCATTCCAGGAAGGCGCTGCTCGAGCCGCTGACAGCATCGTTTATCGGAAACTCGTTCGTCAAGGAAGAGGCATCTGCATTCCGGCGCCCCATCGTATGTCCAGTAACATCATCCGTCATCCACCATGTCTACGACTCCACCCCCACGACGATCCAGCGCGGAGTAGCAAGTGCCCGGACAGCCTTCCAGTCTTGGAAGCTGACCACCGGGAGCGAACGAAGGTACGCAAGGATAGATCGAGAGCCTGGCCTGGCCCGAGAGGAGGGCTCGTTGCTGGAGTCTGATTTCTGTGTGCTGTGCAACGACAGAGATGCGCTCCTGGGCATTGCCAGCGCCTTTCGTGCCCACATCGATGAACTGAGTTTCCTGGAAGCGCTCGGTGGCAAGACGATTCGGGATGCGCGATGGGACGTCGAGTCGACGATCGACTATCTGCAGTACTTTGCGGGCCACGCTGACAAGATCGAAGGTGGGAAAGGCTGTGAGCTTTGTGATGGCTGCTCCAGCGTGCGGCTGTCGATGGCAAGGCAGCGACGATGCCCTCTGACTTGACCGTCTGTTGCCAGGCCGGACGTTTAGCGTCAACCCCCGGTTCCGCACATTCACCCAGCGCGAGCCCGTCGGCGTCACGGCGCTGGTTACTGCCTTCAACTATCCACTATGTATGATCGATGCATCGGGAGTCTGCACACAGCAGTTGTCGTGCATGGCTTCGGCGCGGTGCAGGAACGGCCGGGCTGAAGGGCTGGCATCGACACCAACGACCTCCTCCTCCTACTCGCCAACTTACCGATAGTGATTGCCGTTTGGAAGCTGGCCCCGGCTCTGGCTTGTGGAAATGCAAGTGCCAACGGCTCCCCAGATGACTGCTGCATCACGATGCCATCTGCCTTGAGCCGTTCGTGCTTCGAGCTGTCCCTCCCCCTCAGGCTACTCGCATCCACGACTGACACTCACGATATGATCATGATCCAGACCGTTGTCATCAAGCCGCCGCCACAAACGCCGCTCTCGACATTGTATATGGCCTCGCTCGCATCAGCGCATCTGCCACCCGGCGTTCTCACGGTCCTGCCCGGGGGTGCCGAGAGCAGCCAGCAGATCTGCGAGCACCCCGAGATCGACTTGATTTCATTCACGGGCTCGACCCAGACGGGAGCAGCGATCGGGGCCACAGCCGCCAGGGCAATGAAGCGAGTTATCCTCGAGCTCGGTGGCAAGAACGCGTTTGTGGTCTGTCCAAGTGCGGATCTGGACTTGGCTGTTGAAGGTCTCGTCGATGCGGCCTTTGGTAAGGACGACGGGAAGAAGAAAAGGAAGAGTAGGAGAAGAAGGGGGAGCTGGGATGGGGCAAAGTGTCGCCGAGGAACAGAAGTATACTCCCTCCGCTTGAGGAGACCTAGGATCTTTCCACGGCTTTCCTCCCCCCCCCCTCGAGATGACTCGGCCATCGAGCAAGTTTGACCCTCTATTTTCTCTCTCAGGCAACGCTGGACAGAACTGCTGTGCGGCCTCGCGCCTGTTCTTGGACGAGACAATCCACGATGTCTTTATGCAGAAGCTTCTGGCACGGATCCGCAAGATCCAAATCGGAGACAACATGGACGAGCGCACGGATCTGGGCCCTCTGGGTAGGTTTGCAGAACAGTTGTGACAGCGAGCCGTTGCAGCTGCCAACGATAGTGGTTGCTGTAGGGACGTGCAAGAGCAAAAATGGTGCGAACGGACATTCTAATGGCGATGAGCAATGTCGATACGCTGCCAAAGATACCGAGCCTGACACTTACCCCGAACTGCATCATCGCGTACGCTGCAGTGGACGAACGGCACTTTGAAAACGTCCGACAGTTCATCGAAAGAGCCAAACAACAAGCCCACATCCAGCTGGTCGCAGGCGGGAGTCGTCACGGATCAAGCGGGTACTTTGTCGAGCCCACAGGTACATGTCGGGAGAGAGCGCTGGTCGGAGATCCAGCCGCACCATGCAGCGACGGCTCGGAGAGGTGCGCTTAGTGTATCTATGCGATGAGACATACTGACACGCCTTTCAAACGGTTCGGACCCAGTGTTCCAGAACGTGGATGATGCAGACGAACTTGGCCAGACGGAAGTGTTTGGACCCGTTCTGGTGGTCATGAAGCCGTGAGTGTCCCGTCGATCGCACTGCTGATTGCACTGCAATCCTACATGGATGAGATGAGCAGACTGCTTGGAATGTTGAAGAGCCTGATTGCGCATCCACTAGATTCAAGTCTCTGGACGAAGCGATAGCGCGGACGAACGGCACCCAATACGGACTCACCGCCAGCGTGTGGTCTGAAAAGAACGCCGAGATCGAGCGGTTTGTCAGACGCGTGAACGTTGGCCTGGTAAGCATGAGAAATGTGATGGGATGGTCGTCCACGAGCGAACGACTGAGCAGACAGAGACGGGTGCACGACGGCATGTGTTGCCGGGTGCTCTGGCCATCCAGGCGGCGGCCTGTCCTTGGCGGGTCTGTCTTGACCAGCTGCCGCATCCGCACAGGTCTGGGCAAACTGCCACAACGACACGCCGTCGTATCTGCCCTTTGGCGGCCAAAAGATGAGCGGTAAGACAACGCGGGGAGATGGGGTTGGCAACGCCGAGTGCCGGAGACTGCTTCCGCTGTGCCGTAAGCACGATGCCGCCAAAACTCTGTTGGCGACGAGGAAGTGTCATGGCCCCAAGCCAAGAGCCATGCCTGGAGCAACGCTTGTCGGAGCTTATTTTGCCTAATCGCGGCCCTGCTTGTTGCCTCCCGGTTCGCTGCCAACGGCTGCTCGCGGCTGCCCTGAAACTTTTGCCGATTTGCCTAATTGACCGGCTGGGCCGGCCCTATCGTGGGTGCTCATGCTTCTCCCCCCCCCGGCGAATCTGGCGGGTGCGGACGGGATTGGAAATTGCGGTGGTGGTTGCGGTGGTTGCGGTGGCTTGCCGGGTGTGGGAAATCGGCCGGCGGCTGCGGCTGCGGCTGTGGGTGTTCCGGCCGATGGGCCGACAGGCATCGGCAAGGAGTGTGGGTCGGCAGCACTGGATCAGTTCTCGGCCACAAAGTCGGTGCACATTCGAGTGGATGTCTGAGTGGGGCCACGGCCAGGCAACGGTGCGCGCGCGCAGGCACGCCCATGGCTGTTGGACAATAGAAGCCCCAGCGGCGCGAGTTTAGGCAGTTCTTTGCCTTGCCAAGAATGGCATGCCAGGGCAGGCGACGGCACCGCGTGTCTGGGACAGGCGATTTGTCAAAGCAGAGCCGATTGGTCCGGGGGGCGGCATTAGGCACAGGACGGGCCGTGGGCAGCCACGGGTGCATGGGGCATTGGGCGGTCGTTTGCTATTTGTCAGGAGGACGCGATGGTTTGTTATCCCCCAAGCAGCGAGCTGGCGGACCGGGGGATTGTCGGGAGGAGGAAGCCAGGATGGGAGAGCAGCCAGCGTGGGAACCGGGATACAGAGCAGGGTGGGCATGGGGGGCAGCCGGCAAGCAAGGCCGAGGGCACGGCTGTTTGCGGGCGGTGCAGGGCTTGCCGGCGGGGGGCGGTCATGCCACGGGTCACCGGGGGCGGCACGTCGCGTTGTTGATATTGCGGATGTGGTGTAGTGTGTGCAGTGGGTGTGGTAGTGAGCGAATGTGGTGTAATAAATGTGTTTGCTTGGTGATTTGTTTGAACATTTGTGTTATTGTTCGCCTGATTGTTCGCTTGACGGTTTGTTCGCCTGATTGTTCGCCTGATTGTTCGCTTGGTGGTTTGTTTGACGATGTGTTTGACGATGTGTTGACGGTGTGTTTGATTGCTGGCTTGGCTGTTTCTTGGCCGCTTCTTGGCTGCCAGTCTTTGTGCGCTTGATGGCTCTGCGTGGGCTGGACGTGCTTGTTGTGGGCGTTCTTGTCGCGGCCTTGCTCCTCCTGGCTTTGGACACACCGACTGCGGTTAACAACAGCCATTGAACTTAACAACAGCCACTGCAATTAACACCATCGCACAGCCACTCTCACAAACACCTTCTCTCGCCCGCGCTCTCTCTCGGCTCTCTGGCCTGATCGCCCGGCTGGTGGATCGACAGAGACTGCCGCCCTCGCCCCGTCCCCCCCCTCTCCCCTCCGGCTCGGCGCCGTGGTTTACCCGCCGCCCTCGGCTCTTCGGCCTGGCTCTGGCCCGAATCCGGCCCGGGTCCTTCGGCTGCAAATTTGATCGGCGCTTCTGCACTCGGCCCGCCGTCCCGGGCTCTGTCGCATTTGCCCCCCCCTCTGTCCTCCCTCGGTTCGGCTGCCCCATTCCCGCTCTCCTGCTCACGCTTCCCTGGCCCTCTTCCGATCTGGGTCTTTTTATCGATCTGGCCATTTCTTGTGCATCGCTCTCCGTTCTCCGTTCTCCGCTCTCCGTTGCCGGATCGTCCCCGGGCTTCCAATTCACAGCCCTTTCTGTCCATCTCCTCGTGGGACTGCATCCGTCCCTTCTTGCAAGCCTTCTCCACTGCTTCTGAATCTACGGTCGCATCTGATCGTCCACAATGGAGGACGAAGCGAGGCGTGGTGATTCTCAGTCCGGAAGTTCCAAGCGCAAGCGCATCACCCAAGCTTGTGACGGCTGCAACAAAAAGGTGAGCCCTGCCGGCTCTGCTTCCATCACCGTGACGGCCCTCTCCTCGTGAAGGCTGTGGCGGCCTGCGTATTGAGCTCCATCAAAGAAGCAATTGCGCTGCCTACAGTGTGCCAGTGCCTCTTGTCCCCTGCAAATCGTTCCTGGCTGTGATGCTCTGGTGCCTCCGCGCTGGTGTCCGCTCACGGTCCAAGCGGCCGTGACGACAACAACGACAGAGCCCTCTTCCGGGTGTCCACCACCACCAGCTGCAGCGCCCGTCACCAGCTGCAGCACAATCCCAATCCGCAGCACCCTTTTCTAACATACCTGCTCCATTATTCAACGGTCTCTGGACGGCTTCCCAGAAAATCAAATGCGACGGTGCCAAGCCCATTTGCTCCAATTGCAGTCGCTCCAATGTCGAATGCACTTACTCTCGTGGCGCAAAGCGCAGAGGCCCCCGTGCCGGCAACATCGAGTCTCTCGAGAACCAGCTCAAGGCCCTTGAATCCCAGCTCAAGCTGTGGCAAAAGACCGACGGCGCCCGCAACCTAGCTGATCCTTCGTCGTCCTCCAACCCCAACAGCGACCTGGCCTCCAGCCGTGCCGATGGCCACGGCGCCAAACGTATCAAAACCGCCTCGGGTCGCCTCGACGACGGCCAAAACGACTCCTATTCGGACAGCGACTCGAACAGCGACAGCGGCAGCGTCACCCTGCAGGACGGCCTCTCGCGGGTTGTGCCCAATCCGCCGCGCGGTTTTGCCGGCCAGCAGGTCGACCTGCCTTCGGACCTGGCCCAGGAGCTCGTCGGCCTGTACTTTACCCACGTCCATCCGTTCATCCCCATTCTGCACCAGCCCACCTTTCGTCTCGAAGAAACCAACCTGCTCCTGCGCAACTCGATCTTTGCTCTCGCTGCCCGCTACTCGACCCACAATGCCATCAAGAACAAGCCCGGCCTGCCTGGCGAGGCGTTCTACAACCACGCCAAGGCCCTGGTGGACCGGTTCCTCGACGACCCGCAAGTCGATGCCGTCACGGCTTTCCTGCTCATGTCGTATTACGGCGCCGGTAAATAGCGGGCTCTGGGTGGACGGTCGTTTGGGCCGGTATCCTCATCGGCGTGCTCTGGAACAAAGCTCGTCAGATCCCCTGGCCTTTGGTATTGCTGCATGGTTCTGATGCGCCGCGCTCTTCCTTGCTTTCCTGCAGGCTCCGCTAAAGGTACCCTCTCCAAATCCATCTGTCCTGCCTTGGTTTGACATGGCCGTCGTTCCCGACACTGAGTGGCTCTCACCGCATGAACGAGTGCCATGTTTCCCTCCTTTCCCCACGCGTCATGCCTCCTTGCCGGCCGCTCGCATCATGTTTCCCTGCTAACTTCTCGCGTCTCTGTCGGCATCCTGCCACAACCCGCATCTTGGATCCAGGCTCCGGTGCCTGGATGTACTCGGGCATTGCCATTCGCATGGCCCAGGAGCTCAAACTCTACTCTGATCAGCCCAACGACGAACACGGCAAGCCCTTGACTTGGCTCGACCGCGAAGTCCGCCGGCGTCTGTGGTGGTCCTGCTTCATCTTTGATCGCTACGCCGGCGCTGCCGTCAACCGGGGCATGATCATCGTCCATCAAGATGCCTCGGTCTGCCCCTTCCCGTGCGCAGAAGACTGCTGGAAATCTGTCCTTTGTCCCGGAGACAAGCCCAACTCGGTCCTGGAGGCGAGCGCCCTCAACTACTCAATGTACTTTATTCGCTTGGTAACCTTGTTTGGCCGCATCGTCAACTACACCAACTCGCGCAAAGAGAGCAACACTGCCAACAGCGATCACTTCAACGCCATGACGCTGCTGTCGATGCGAGAATACGATGTCTCGAGCGCTCCCTCCACCGACGACTCAGTGCCAAACCTCGAGAAGGAGCTGCGGCAGTGGTTTTCCCAGCTGCCGACCCCCATCGCCTCGTTCGCCACCCAAGACGCCGCAACCTTCAACACCATGTGCAAGCAGTCGTCCGAGCACTGGACGGCGGCCTACATGAACATTCTGTTCCACGTGTGCCTGCTCATCCTGCATCGCCCGCCCAAGCTCAACGACTTTGACAAGCTATGGGACCCCAGCCACTTTGAAATGTCGCTCTCGTCCCTGCGCGAGGTCACCGCTGCCATCTTGAAGGTCGCCCACGTCAACCCCACATTTGCATCGTTCCCGCCCCATGTTGCCTACTGCATCTTCCATGGCGCCCTCGTCAATCTCATGGCCGATCGCCTCACCTTCAGCTCAGCCGTGCCCTTCCGCGAGGGCCTCAACAACTTTTCAGCCCTCGTCGGCGTTCTGCGGGACCTCGCCAAGATCTGGCCCATGATCGACAAGATGCTTCCGGTGCTCACAAGCCTGCAGTCCAGCATCCAAAACCAGCGCAATATGACTTGGGAGGGCCTCCGCCAGGAGATGGTCTCTGCAGGCATTATGGGCGATTTCCAGGCCTGGGATATTGACATTGTCATGCCTGGCAACTCGACCATCAGCCTAAACTTCCAGCCCAAGAGCTCGTTGGGCTTTGGCTCCTCTGGCCCGGTCCAGCGAGGCTTTGCAAGCATGGTCGCGCCCACGGCACTTGCAGGAGATTTGCCCATGGTGCCGTTCAGCTCGACCCTGGCCGCCCCAGGCTGGTCGTCCGAGAGTGCGCTCCCCGCCTTCAGCAGCACCTTCATTACCAAGACAGACATCCGCACACCGCCCTTTGCTGATCTCGCCGGCCCCACCGCTTCTGGCTCTGGGGCGTCGCAGGGCACGGGCTACTCCACCTCCCCTGGTGACTTTGGAGCCCTCTACCGTCCAAGTTCCTCTCATCCGGCTTCAGGAACACCGCCATCAAACGGCTATCCACTCCCACTCTCTGCTTCCTTGGCCGCTGCCCAGCCTCCCCTGGTCTCGCCGGGTCTTGACTTCAGCTCGGGCAGACCCCTGCCTTCGCCCTCAAGCCTGGTTGTGAACGGTGCATCTGGCGATGGCTTGCAAGCCTGGAAACCCGATCTTCTGGCGTCAAGCCGAAACAAGCTGCCTGTCGATCATGTCGATCCGACACGCAGGGATGGACCGTATGGATACCGTCCAGGCGACTCGACGGGATACGACTCGTACAAGGATGCTGGTTCCTATGGCGCTCCAGGCGGCAACGGTGGCAGCGGTAATGGCAATGGCAATGGCAATGGCAATGGCAATGGCAGCAGCGGCGGTACGCTCCGACCCGGCCCCAACGGCACCTCGACATACTCGGGAGGTCTGGGATCCTATACCAACGAAGCCATGTCGCGACCCTACGGATACACCTCGACGCCGCCGCTGTGGAACTCGACCGAGAATCTGCCGTCCATCAATGGCTTTGGACCCGGCCCAAGCAGCCACATGCTTGCGCCGGCTGCCCCGTCACAGTCGCCGGCCTTCCAGGGCCCAATGGCCCCGATGGCCCCGATGGCCACGAACCAGCGCGATGGCGGAATGGCTTTCCCACATCCAAGCGACAGCCGCTATGAGCGCGGTGCAAATGCTCCGATCCGATCCGCCGACGACTACCCATCGCGGCTTCCGCCCGTTGGAATGGCCCCAGACCTACGGCCGTTGTCTGGGTCTGGCGGCAGCACCGGTGGCAACGGATCGTATCTTGGATCAGGTGCTGCGTCGCAGTACCATCCAGCCGGCTCATTCCACCGCTCTTCTCACCCGCCGCCGCCACTACCACAATCATCATCATCAGCGGCGGCCTTGGATATGCCAACCATGGGCCCGTTGGGTTCGCAGCCACCAGGATCATTTCGCTGATAGGCGGACTGGGGTCGACCCTCCATTGCGCCGCCATCAAAGCCAGCATCTGTCTCTCTAAAAGCTTGGAAGGCGATTTCTCTCCTTGTTCCCCCCCCCCTTCGCCTCCTCGCTCCATCGCTCCCACATCCCGGCTCCGCCCGCGGTGCGTGCAGTGGGTTGTTGATATGTGAATACAGTGAACATGAACAGCCTTCCAACCTGCATTCAGCTCGAACATGCTTTGTGTTTCCCGACACACCCAGATTGCCGGCTCTGCAGATCAGGTGACACTGTGTGACACACATCCGCCCCGGTTCGCGGTTCTGTGTCGACACGCACCACGGAGCACTGCGTATTTGCGCCGAGCCTGCCTGGCATTCTTTCGATCCCTCTCTCTCGTCTAATTCCTTTCTACCGTTGGGTATTAAGCGGCATACATGTAAGCCTCTCCCGCCACCGCGCGATCGCAGCGGAACGACATCAAGCCAAAGCGACATTAAAACGGATGGATGGATGGATGAATGGATGAATGGATGGATGGATGGATCGATGGATGGATGGATGCAACGGACCAGGAGCGGCCAACGAATGATTCCAGCCAGTGGCTCGCTTCCTCACAGCCCCAGTATGCCCGGCACCCAACCATCCATCCGACGACAATACATGTGCTGTCTGCGGTGCTGACGCCCATATCGCTCGCCTCTGCCTGCTCTTGGCGCAGTGAGGATATCTGTTCCCCTGTTGAACTGAAGAACCTACTACAAAATGTCAGAAGGAGATGTTGCCGCCGAAGTTGTTGAGGTTTCCGGAGACGCCGTCGCTCCTCGCGCCGCTCTCACCGTTGAGGAGGCCCTCCAGGAGGTCCTGAAGAAGGCCCTCATCCACGATGGCCTCGCCCGCGGTCTCCGCGAGTGCGCCAAGGCTCTTGACAGGTAGCTATCGTTTTGCCGATCGGCACGGAGACGACGAATGCGAGTGGCCGCCTGGTGCGCCTGGGCTGTTGGGATGATATCTTTTTTTTCATGTTTCAAGACGGATCTGAATCTCTTGATGGATACCTCGAATCTGAAGCAGTCCAAGAGGCTGTCGGCTGGGGATATCGGCTCCTGAGCCCGATCGAGCACTGACGAGCGCCGTCCTGCGCTTATCTCCCTCTCCCACACAGACGCCAGGCCCACCTTGCCGTCCTCGTCGAGTCCTGCACTGAGAAGGAGTACATCAAGCTCATCGAGGCCCTCTGCGCCGAGCACAACATCAACCTCATCAAGGTTGCTGATGCCAAGAAGCTCGGCGAGTGGGCTGGTCTGTGCAAGATCGACCGTGAGGGCAACGCCCGCAAGGTCGTTGGCTGCTCCTGCGTTGTCGTCAAGGTCAGTGTTCCGTAACCCACGAACGCGGCTGAGTGTGGCAGATCGGTTTGGCCGACAGCAGCAGCGCAGCGCCCATGCTGATGATTGCGGTTCCCTCTTCTGAGCACCCTGAAGAGAATATCCGCTCCGGAATCATAAATTATACGTCTGAATGCGGCGTTGCGTTGCTGGAGGCAGTAGCAGTAGCAGTAGCAGTAGCAGTAGCAGTAGCAGTAGCAGTAGCAGTAGCAGTAGCAGTAGCAGTAGCAGTAGCAGTAGCAGTAGCAGTAGCCGTCGCTGTCGCCTGGCTCGACCCACTGCTATGACTCGTGCTAATCCCCCATGTATCCCCAACCGCCTTCCTCACTTTGGTCCAAATCAGAACTACGGCGAGGACTCCGAGGCCATGAACGTCCTCCTCGAGTACTTCCGCACCCGCTAAGCGGCGCTTGAGATTGGCTCCCCCTGCAGCCAACGGAAATCATCGAGGTAACCAATCTCCCCGCTGGCGCCATTCCCGCCTCTGCTCGATTTGCGCAATGAAATGCTCTCGAGCCAAGCATAGTCCCTGGCCCCCAGCTCATCCATTTGTCCGTCCTGTTTCCTTTGCCTCCATTGCCTGCCGGTCCCATCCGTGTCTGCTTGTGTGTTGGCTTGATGGCTGCAATCCAATAAAAGGCTCGTATCCCTACATGGTGATTGTCTGTTGTGTGCATGCGTGCTTGGTATTTGGTCCATTCCGGTTGCTCCTGGATTGCCACTAGCCCAGGTAGTGGCTCGAATTGGCTTCGTCGATGTCGTCACCGGCAGTGTTCTCGATCGCATGTCGTCGCCGGGTGTGATCCAGTGCTTCTGGATGACGTTGTCGGGTGCCCGCTTGCGTCCTGCTGCATCCTCCTGCGTCCTGCGGCCGACCCATAAATCGGCTGCAACGCACCTCGTTGTCGGCCGAGCCATCCTGCCAGCCTGCCATCCCGGAATCTGCTTCTGCCGCACTGATGGGCCAACAAACCGAAAAATACACCGACCTGGAGAGCGACGCCGGCGCAGAGAGCACCCCGCCGGGCGATCATGCTGGGGTCGACAACCACCTGACAAGTGTAGGTTGCATCCTCGCCGCGCTCGATCTCATGGACTGCTTCGTGGGAAAGCTCGGTGCACAGACGCCTCTGGTGGCTCATCCGTCGTTACCGGCCGACAACGGCCATCAGAAAAACATTCTGGTCCATCTCTCGCTCGCCTATGGTGCCATTGGCGTCGTCTACGGGGATCTGGCCACCTCGCCGCTCTACACACTCTCGTCCGTCTGGTCATCCGCGACCCCGACACAGCGGCAGATCCAGGGCACGCTCTCCTGCATTCTGTGGGTGCTGACGCTGGTCATCATCGTCAAATACACAAGTACGTGCGGCTGCCTCTTCATTTTCGACCGTGCGTCGGACGAAACGGACCTGGTGCCCTCCGAGCCTTGGTCCTTGGAGGCAAGGCGCTGAATCAATTCCATTCTGCCCCAGTCTTTGTTTTACTGGTTGATGATAACGGTCAGGGCGGCACGTTTGCTATATACTCCCTGCTCTCGAGGTATGAGCCGTCGCCTGAGCTGTGCTGGGCCGTCATTATCGTCGGTGGTTGGGCTCGTTCTCTACTCATTCGGACTCGCACCATGGCGCCATCGACCTCTCGACCGCCGCTCGTATCGCTCACACACTCCCTCCTGCCATCATGCCATCAAGAACCCTTGGACTGTCCGATGCAGAGGACCAGAGGGCCAAGACCGAAGGAAATAGCTCAAGCCGCGACGAAACGGAGCCCCTTCGCTCCCGACCGGCGTCCTTTCTGAAGCGCATTCCCATGGCACACTCGCTCCTGCTGGGCACGGTGCTCATGGCATCATCGATGGTAATCTGTAAGTTGCAGAGCCGACGCCGCACTCCTCCAGCAAGCAACCTTGACAAGAAACCCTCGCAATCCCATCCGGCATCTAGGCGGCACGACTGATCTGGACGACACGACTGATCTGGACGACACGACTGATCTGAACGACCCAACTGATCTGTCGTTCCGCTTCACCCCACACAGGCGACGGCGTTCTCACGCCTGCGATCTCAGTCATGTCGGCGTACGAGGGCATCCTGGTCCAGTTCCCAGATGCCCAGGAAGCCATTATTCCCCTGAGCTGCATCACGCTGTTTCTGCTCTTCCAGGCACAAGTCTTTGGCACCCACAAGCTTGCCAGGGGATTCAGCCCCATCATCATTACGTTTCTGGCCTCGAATGCATCCATAGGCGTGTGGAACATCTTCGTCACCGGCGGCGTTGACATGGTTCTGGAAGCATGGAACCCAGTCCTCGCCATTGGTAAATATGGCCAGCTCCTTACGTCCGCTACCATTTGACGCACCGGTACATGTTCGATCGTGGATGCCGATGGTCTTGGACTACTCCCTCACTCCTCCGTTCTGTCACAGAGTACATGATGACTGAGCCGCATGCCTGGAAGTCACTTGGAAGCGTGAGTGGCGGCTCTGTTTGGTGCTGTGCGCTTTGCACATCAGGCAGTCCGATGACAACATCACGGTCGCTAACCCAGCCAACAACCTCCCCCTCGCATGGCCAGATTCTGTTGTGTATCACTGGAACAGTACGCACCGCTCGATAATGCTCGGGGCTGAAACTCGCCAGTGCTTGCGCCGCGGATTCCCATGTGTTTTCCTTGGCGACATCCAGCATTCTCATCAACCCCGGCATTCCGGACACGTATTTTGACTGACCAGCGATCTTCCCTGCAATCACGCTCATCCAGGAGGCGCTCTATGCAGACATGGGCCACTTCAGCCGTCCAGCCATCCAGCTGGCCACCAGCCTGTTCGCCTATCCATGCCTGGTCCTGACGTATTCTGGTCAGTCCGCACGAGTTGCCAGCGACCCTGAGAACTACCAGAGTCCGTACTGGGACTCTGTTCCGCGCACCTTCTACTATCCCATGCTGGCGCTCTCTGTGCTGGCAACGATTGTGGCATCGCAAGGCAAGTGTCTAACAGGGATACGGCTACCGAATTTTGTCCGCTGTCTGCTGTTCGCTGAGCACAGGACGCTGTGTCCAACTCTTCATGCTTGTCGCTCCTGCAATCGCACGGAACTCACAAGGTCTCATCTCTGTCCAGCATTGATCTCGGCCACTTTCTCGATCGTCTTCCAGGCGAAGCAGCTTGATGCCTTCCCGCCCGTCAAGGTCGTCCACACCTCCGAGAAGGTTCACGGGCAGATCCAGATTCCGCAGGTCACATTTGCGATGATGTGCTTGACCATGATGGTCGTCTTGATCTTCAAGAGCTCGGATCAGCTCGCCGGCGCATACGGCATCGCCGTCAGTTTTGTGATGCTCATTACCACCGGACTCGTGGCCGTGGTGATGGCCACTTGCTGGAACTGGCACTGGTCTCGATACATCACGTTTTTGGTGGTGTTTGGGTGAGCACCATGAGCGGTTGCAGATTCGATGCAAAGTCTCGTGGTGTCCAACCTACGCTCACCTGCTTTGTCTCCATGTGTTCTCTGCCATGAAAGCCTTTTGGATGTGATTCTGTTTTCCTCCACGATTCTCAAGTTCCTGAACGGCGGGTGGTTTCCGATCGGGCTCGCCAGCATGGTCAGTTTGCTGATGCTCGTGTGGCGATGGGGGAAGCTCCTGGGCCGACAAAAGGCCGAAATCCATGCCGAAACCGAGGAGGAAGCCATGAAAACACTTCTTTCCCACACGATGGTGAGCATCCCCTGTCGTGCGGTTGCCTCCGCAGCTCCAGTCGATGGTGTCTGGGTCGACAGATTTCATATGGATTTATATCCATAGAACTCTTTGCTAACGATCTGTGACATGCCTTGTCGCCTAACAGGGATGCATACAGCCAGACATACCGAGGGCAGCCGCAGAGTCGTCCAGACCCAGCGACAAAGTCCAAGTAGCTTCTCTGCTTACGCCGGAACCATGCATCATACTTCCGAGAATGGGCATTTTCTACAGCTCGCAGCCACACAAGCTCCCAACTGCGCTGTACCAGTTTTCACAAAGCATGCCGACAATGTTCAAGGTACCACAGCCGACACCCCGACTCGCATGGGATATGGAGGCGGCCCTTCTAATCCAGTCGCTCGCCGCTCTGTAGGTCGTGGTATTTCTGCACCTCCAACACTCAATGAAAGCGTCGATCCAATCCAAGGATCGCCTCGTGGTTAGCGTCACCAAGTATCTGAATGTTTACAACGTCACCGCCCGCTACGGATACATGGATGAGCTTGAGAATGGCAGAGAGCTTGCGCGGCAGATCTTGGATGAAATCAGGTCGCATCAGTCCCGCACAGCTCCAGGGCCCCTGTCATCTCGCTTGGACCACGAAACTGACCACACGGTCGGATGTCAAGCTACTGAAACGTTGGCTTTGCCCGCAGGAACCGCCGTTCCTCCAAGCGACTTGGAGCCCATCTACATTCTCAGCCGGACGGAGCTCGCCTCCGACCCTCTTGCGTGGGGACGCATGGCAGCCATCCGCAAGGTCCTGCTGGAGGGGATATTCAACTACCTGACGGTCAACACCGTGAGCGGCACCGTCATTCGCAGGCTCCCGGTCGACCGTTCGATTGTGGTCGTCAGTCGCAAGGTTGTTTGAGCAGATACTGACGCGGCTCGAGCTCGATCGTGTCAGGGATGAATGTGCGACTGTATCTGGGGTGAGTCCGATGGTGAGGAGTGCCTGGGTCACCAGCAATGATCTTGTCACTTGGCACAGTGTCGTCCCCATGAACGTCGCGTGAGTTGAATATACAGTCAATCGAGAAAGAAACGGGGCAGTTCCCCCTTTGGTTCCAGATGTCTGAAGCTCCATAGTGTATCGATATCGAGATGCTCGACCTTCTCGAGTCGCTTGGCTTCCCGACAGTGTGAGCACACCTGGGATGTGTTGAACTCGTTCACCGAGCACACATGGATCTTGGAGACGGATGGGTCTGGTGGTCGTCTCTGGTGGTGGTGGAGCTGCTCAAAGTATTTGGCAAACCTGAGTCTCCTGGGACTGGATGCATATCCCTTCCCCTGTTTCCAGGAGGCATTCCCAAAGGCAATCACCACCTCGGTCTCCTTTGGTGCCTGGTCGATGACTTGCTTGCACATCTCGTGGACAGTGCGCTGTCGCTTGCTGTGGAGATCGAGTCGCTTGAATCGCCGTCGCCGGGTCAGGCTGAAGCACAGCTGTTTGTCCAGCATGTCTCCATCGAACACATGGCGAATGTATTGCAGGAAGGGAGCCAACCCAGGGATCTTGGGACTTGGTGTGGTGCCCATCCATTCCTGCAGACCAAGGGCCTTGTGGGTGCTCTGGATCCACTTGGTCGCCTGGGGGGTGTCTTTCGCTTGCGGGGAGCCATCTGGCGAGAAAATAGCGACGATGGCTGGTTCTACCCTTGGGGAAGAAAGAATCTCCTCAAAACCAGCGCATTTTTGGGCTGGCAGAGATACTGTGCAGTGGCGTCCTTGATTCAGATCCAGAAACGCATCGCTCGCTCAATCAGTCGTGGGAAGACATCTTGTCAAGGAGAGTCTTGCCTGATAGCCAAACGATCATGTCATCTCGCTGACACACAGCCACGCTTGACTAGGTTTTCAACCAGAGAGATTCAGATGGTGGTGGTTCTTGTCCGCAATCGGAGTGGAGCTTCCAACAATGATACAATTGGTCATTCCTCCACACCAATTGCCCACCACCACCGTCAATCGGCTCAAGGTGATACCAAATGCCGTCAACCGACCATGGCCGGATTCCAACTTTTGCTGCACCTTGGTCTACAGCGTGTATTCATATTCGAGATGAGCAGCCGCGAGGGGCCGGAATAAATTGATAGGGATATGCTTTACCGGGATCGATCCAGCCTGCCATGATCACGCGAGCTCCACGTGCGTCTCGCAAAGAGCAGCGTTTTCTCGATCATCCGATCCGAAGTCGCTCGACCATCCGATTCAAGGCCCTCGTCTCATCAGCCCATTGCAGCCAGCACAATCGCCCGCCGCGGACCCGATATGGCATCCCCGTACCCCATCCGGTTCTCTCTACCTGGCCAGAAAAAAGAGCGGCCCTCGCGAGCGGCGGCCTCGGCTCTGCCCTCGGTGCGTGAACAGCTCGTCCAAGACCGCGAAACCGAACCTGTTGGCAACGATGCCAGCTGGGGACACCTCGAAAGCCTCCTGGGATCGACACTGGATTTTGACGATGGAGACATAATGGATACCGAGCCGCCAGAATCCCAGATCAAGGTCGAACCTACCGAAGCAGGAGGTAGCTTGCCGATGCGCTTCGTTGCGAGCCCCCATCTGTCATCTTGGCCGGTGGGAGTTGGATCACTTCCAGCCTAGCTTTGCCGAGCTCGTCCAGGTTCCGAATTACAACACGAATGTGTCTCCTTTGAGTCCCGACTAATCCGAGCTTTCCTGGCCTTGGTAGATACCCTTGCAAGCGCCTCGAACGAGCCCATGGAGTTTCGACTCTTCCAGAAGGTTGCAGCCGTCAAGCTCGAGGCCGATGAGGTTGCTCCCGTTCGGATCGAGCGAGAAATGGAGGTGTCGAGGTAAAATCCCGAGCGGGTGTACTCCACACTCGCCTCCACCTCTGCAGGAGTCCGTGAATGTCATGGAAGAGCAAGCTCGGTCAGTGCATTTGCTCTGCTCGCCCTTCTGATCGAGCATCCGTTCCTGCTCCACGTCTGCCAACCAGCGAGAAGGAAGCAGCCAAACAGGAGCTCTTTGAACAGATCGTCATCGAAGGCACCCAAGTCATCGAGCAGTCTCTGCAGCCATGGGTATGAATCCTGTCTTGAAACAGAAGCACATTCGCTGAGGCCGTTTGGGGCGTTGGTGCAGAGCGCGCCTGCAGTGTCTCTGGCTGTTCGACATGCAGAGAATTTCTCGGTGCTGTTCATTGACGCCTCTTATATGCTCAATCCGCTTGGACTGCACCCCGTTCTGTTTCTTCCTAGATACTGCGGAAGCCTGGGAAGGTTCTAGTGGTGCCTCTGGGTGACGAGCCAGGAGCCGTTCACAAGCGCAAGAAAACGAGCCAGAAGAAGCGGCGGGCCGAACGGCTGATACGAGAAGGCAAGTTGGCTCGACGGATCAAATCGACGTTGCCTCGTCCCCGAGGCCCGGCATTGTCGTGGCTGGATGCCATGCGACAGCGAGCCATGGCGCAAAAGTTCCGGATTGTAAGGCATGGGATTGTCTTTGTCCACCCCGAGCTCCATGCCGTCGTTGGAATGCCAAAGACGTCGGTCCAGATGGAGAGGACGCTCGGGCCCAAGCACCCGTCCCAACACAGCAAACCGGAAAGTAGCGGTGTGAAGGCCGACAGGACGCTCAAGCGTCCTCGACCGGCAGCATCGGAGACTGCGTCCAGTCCACCAAGCAGCACTCCAGAACATGCACATCGAGCTCAGGACGCCGAGCTGTCGACTCCAGAGCGCAAGCGCCGAACCCACCGACGAAAGCCCAAGAAACTGCAGGATGCCGAGACAGCCTGATGGGAATGTCAGTCGATCAAAGCGGCTGGGATGCTGCGAAAGCGCGACAGAAACCGGGAGCAGTTCGAACTCCGCCCCAGCCACGCAAGCCACGCCGATCCAGGCCAAGCCACACCAGGCCCGAAATAAAGGCTGGATCCGCCGCGATCTGCGCTTTGCCCACCAGGAATTCGCGAACTGAAGTCGGATGCCAGGCGCTCTCGTTCGAGAGCACCCCGACAGCGCTTGCGCTTGGGGATGCTTGCTGTCCATAATTGCAACTTCGCAAGAGAAACCTGTTGGTGATGTGTAGCTCGCCCGACCCTCAACCCGTGGGCTTGCGAGCAAGGATCTAACAGATATTCCTGCCGCCGCTGAAGCAGCCGGCTCGGCGTGTGGTGTTCCTGTGGCGGATGCTGGGGTGTTGTGTTGCGCGGCGACGGAGTCGTTCCGCCCAGAGCGAGGCTATCGGGTGCCTCTGAACCCAGCCCAGAGACGGCAATTCTTCTCATCTCTGCCGGTGGGCAAGGTGCTCCTTGAGCCGATCCACTCGTTGATCGCCAACAGCCAACGCCGAATGAAAAATTCATTTCCGGCTGCGCGATTTTTTGTTGCCGCACTCGGTTGATACGGCCTGCCACGGCAAGCGGACCATGTCTGCTGCTGGCTCGCATCCAACCTCCGCCCAAGCACCAGCCATCATGGACGTCGAGCGCTGCGACTCTGACAACGACTCTCTGCCGCCGTCGATGCCGCCGCGCAAGTACCCAAACATCCTCATCACGGGTACACCGGGCTGCGGCAAGACTACCACATGCGAGCTTGCGGCAATCGCCACGGGCCTCACCCATTTGGAAGTCGGCAAGCTCGTGAAGGAGCGAGGTCTCCACGATGGCTTTGACGACGAGTTCCAGAGCTGGATTTTGGATGAGGACAAGGTCGTCGACGAGCTCGAGCCCGAGATGCAGCAGGGCGGCCGCATCGTCGACCATCACGGCGCCGACTTTTTCCCCGAGCGGTGGTTCGATCTGGTGGTGGTTCTCCGGGCTGACACCCAGGTTCTGTTTGGACGACTGGAGCAGCGGTAAGGGGACCTTTGAGCAGATCCAGTGTCGCCATCATAGCTAGCGTTGCCAGCATCGCCGATGCCACCGGCGCGAGAGCCGATTCAGAGATGCTTGGCTGGGCTGAGTCTGGCTTGACTTGGTTTGGCAGATTGTTCCTCCTGGCAGCTGACCACTATCCTATTCGGTGCACCACCGCTGCCTGTACTCGACAGAGGCTATTCGTCCAAGAAGATCGAAGAGAATATGGAGTGCGAGATCATGCAGGTCGTGCTCGACGAGGCCCGCGAATCGTACCGGCCCGAGATCGTAGTGGAGCTGCCGAGCAACACCGTCGAGGACATGGAGAACAATGTGGAGCGAATAGAGAGCTGGGTCACTCAGTTTGTACAGGAACGAAGCGAATAGACCTCCCTCTGTGATCGATTCACCCGGGGCCTCGCCAAATGCCCCTATGCATCTTTGCTGTGCTTGCGTGGCCTCTCGACCCGGATGCTGGACCCGCCCATGTCCCGTCATCGTCTGAATCGTCTGCATCGTCTCCATCGTCTGTATCGTCTGCTGTTGTGCAGTCTCTGCCGACAACAGAGGCAAACGGCTCTCCAGCCCTGTGTTTGGGCCTCGCAAGCCCAGCAGCTTCGGCAAGCTTCGAATGCACAATCCTGATTCGTGTGGCCCATCTGTTTGCAAGCCCGACGACCAGATGACACACTCTGACCTGGGCTGGCGGGTCCAGTGCGGGCGATGATGACCCATTCTGGCCATAAAACGACGGACCGATCGCCCATCCGCATTTGCCATCTGTCCCTGCTAAAGCTCAACTGCCCTCGATCGATCTCATCTCCCTGCCCTCGGAACCACAACCTGCTGCTCCGACGCGATCAATATGCTTGCGCTGAAACTCGTCCGCTCGGTCGCTGCGACTCCCTTTGCCCTGTTGCGACCCCGGTTCTCTGCCCATCCCCACATCGCCATCGCTTCAGCGTTGCTCTCCGGGTACGTCGTCCAGCTTGCATGATCGGCGGGAGGCGAGTCGATCGGCAGTTCACAGCGTCTCTGCGTAATGTCGTTGTCGGCCCCATCCCCTGGGCAGCCCAGACGACCTTCTCATCGACTGTACCGTTGTTTCCCAGGCTCCGCCAGTACACCATTGCACTCAACCCGCAGCGTCTCAGCGACATCAACGGACTATTGCCTCCAAACTTTCACCAAAACTATCGAGTGACCGGATGGCTCGGGGCTGGTGCCTGGAGCGAGGTCTACGAAGTTATGGACAACGAGTCCAAGAGCAAGGTTGGCTTTCACCTCCAAGAGTGCCGATCTGCACCGCGATTCCTGGCCAGGAGGCGGACGGCAAGTTGTTTGTCGATGATGGACTGAGTGACTGATTATCATGTTCTTGCCTCCCAATCCAGCTTGCCCTGAAGTTGATTCCAAAGGACAATCTGCCAGGGGTGAGTTGCTCGTGGAACTGCGGCCGTAGCGCAAGCGGTCGTATGTGCATGGTGTGCTGGCGTGAGGGTCACTGCTGCTGCTTCTGTTCTTCAATAGCGCTCGCTGACGATGCGGGCAAATCTCTAGGGCTCGGACTCCTTTGAGGCTTCGTACGGCCCTTACCTGCACCATCCGCATCTAATTAGCTACGGCCGGTGCTTCGAGACATCCAGCCATCTCGCTGTTACCATGCCCGTCTTTGGCGAGCCACTGGCAAGCGAAATCCAAAGCAAAGGCTACCCAGACCGCCCAACGGCACTGGGTTACCTCGTCCAGGTTGCAGATGCGCTCTGTTACCTCCACCAGAAAGGCGTCTCCCACGGCGACGTTTCCATCTCAAACATCAATGTCGACGGAGCAAACGCCGTGCTCCTCGATCTCATGGAGAGCTCGCCGTTCAGATCGTCGAGCGGCGGTGTGCTGGACGGATGTGCCGATGAACTCAGCCACGATATCCTGTGTCTTGGACGGATCGCTGCTGAGCTGCTGGTTGTGCGCTCGGAACTCCACGGCGATCGAAGCGAAATCCGAGCCGCCGTTCAGGGCTGTCGAGACGCAGTCAAAGGTAAGCTGCCCGACTCCTGCATGCGCTGAAGAAGAGTGGCCATCGGTTGGGCGGGTGGCAGCCCAGGGCGAAGGCAGAGGCGAATAGCGACTATCCAGGCCGTCGCTGGGTCGCCTCCCTCGAGACGGCGATGCTTTCAATTGTGGCATGGGCTGAATGGGCGCTCAAGATCGTCACAGCATTGACTGGCAGCTCCAAAGCTCGCATCTGGGTACCTCCTCGTAAACTGATATCGATTTGTTCGGACCCACACGGCCCGCGCTCGTCTGCATTGTATCGGTATTCGCAGAGCACGCAGAGTTGGTGCTGTATCTCTGCTCCGAGCCTGCACCGAGTGCTTCCCAGGCCCTTGCTCGTCTCAAGGCCCTCGCCGCATAGGCCATTATCCGCTGCTGCTTGGACATGCACGAACTACATGTTCTCGATATCCATTCCACCGTTTCCGCAAATACATTTCTCTGCTGATTCTACAACTGCAGCATTACGAGCCGCTTTCCTGCCTTCTCGGCTGGATTTGGACTTGCGCTCGGCTGGGGACTCCTCGGACAGTGGCGGGATCGAGATTCGGGAGGGGGCAAACAACGGTTCATTCGGCGCGAAAACCTTCGGCGGAAACCTGGCGTCATTGCCATGGACCACCAGACGACGTCTTTCGCATGAAACTGGACGGCCTGGCACGATGCCCATTTGCTCGGCTGGCGGACCAGACCTGCGCCTGTGGTGCAGCCAAGTCCACCCGCTGGATCCCAGACGCGATGGTGGTTCCCACGGACCAGCAGACCAGCAGACCAGCCATCCGATCTGCTGCTGAGCTGCACCGGCTGGCATCGAGATGCGCTGGCGATCGGTGCAATGTTTCGTCGATCGACAGCGCACCACCCCTTCAGCCCTGCATGGGACTCTGTCAGCTGGCAGCACCTGGCAGCATCTGGCGCAGGCCGCGTCCAGGGGGTGACGCCAGCCCCTCGCAGGGCCGCCCTTTGGGTCCGGGAGGGATGCAGCAACGGGCCGCGCCACACCGCCGGCAATTGGCCGGCCAGCGGCGTGCGACAAACAACGCGCCCCACGCCCCCGATGCCGCGGCTGAGCCGTGGGGAGGCTGCGCACACTGCGGCACAGCGCTGTGTGCAGCACCGCCGCGCAATCAGCCCCGCGCTGTGCGCCACCAGCGCCGCGGGACGCAGGGCCGGTGTGTGGTGCTGCGCGGCTAATTGCGCCTTGTTGGCGGGCTGGGCCGGATCCAGACTCGTGACGACCTGTGCGCGCTTGCCGCCGCACGTCTGCGCTGTACACCCGCTCCTGCCGGCACGACCCTCGTTGTCCACCGCTGTCGCTGCTGCTGTTGCTGCTGCGACTGTGGCTGTTGCTGGCTGTCGCCATTGCCACTGTCCACTCGCCCACGCCACCGTGGCTCTGGGCCACTCGCGGCGCGCACAGCGTGCTGGATCGCGCCTTGTCGCCGCGCCTGTGTGGCCATGGTCCCACCTCGCTCGTCTCCTTTCCTTTCGCCGGCGAGCCGCCGTTTTCGCTGGCCAAAGACCACCGGCCTCCCCCGCCCTCGAGCCGCCTGCTGTCCTCCGTCCTGTCTGTTCCATCGCTTCTGTCGTTCTGTCGTTCTGCGAGCCTCGGAAAGGACCGACCCGCCGGCACTCGTCCGTCTCTGACTGCCGCCCTTGCCCGACCCGCAGCAATGCGACCGCTGAAGAGCCTGCTGCTGGGTGTGCTGCTGGCTGGAAGCCATCTGGCCCACGCCGCCAAAACCAGCTTCAACATCCTGATCGAGGTACGCCGCTGGTCCTTCTGCTCCCTGATGATGATAGTGGTGGTGTGGATCCGCTCTGCCGTCGGGAGCATGTTCCCGGGCGCTGCCTCTCGGCTGCTCGCTGCCCTCGGCCTCCACATTCGCCACCTCCGTATCAGTCAACGGACATTGGCAGCGCCCTCGATTCTCTTGCCCACCCGGACACACAGAGTCGGATGTGTCGCCGGCGCCCCAGGACACCGCCGGATGCGCATCAGTTCCATCGCTCTGTCTCCGCTCTCGCCTCGCTGCCAAGTTGCTTCGGGCCGAGACCCGAGGCCGCTGCCGTCGGCCCCAACCCCGTGTTTCGCTTCCACATCCATGGCACCTCTTCCTCCCTGCGTCTCCTGCCGGTTGGGCTCCCGGGATGCGAGTGCGGAGTATTTAGATCGGGTGTACACCCTGCGGCCCTTCTCCGTCCAGTGCGTTGCTCAGGGTCCTGGTTCCGATGCGTTCTTCATGATGCAACACCATCCAGACTAACGGTCTGTGCGGCTATACTCTTCCAGACCCCATCAGAATGGACTCAGTCGGCCAATACTGTGACTATTCAGTACTTTGTTGATCCCATCGCCGCCAACAACGTCTTTTCGTCCTCCAGCTATTACGTTGTGTACCTCAAAAATAACGTACGTTGCTGCACCTGATACTGCTGCACCTGATACTGCCGCTGCTGCTGCCATGTCGATCGCGCGGTGTCTTCGTATGCGTCGTCCCCAACGCACACATCCCGGAACTCGCTCGTGGGACTGACCCTCGGCTCGCCTGATTGTCACCATTCACTCACCCACATCCCCCACATCCCAACCACCCGCACCCATCCACGTTGCCGTCGCTGCCCCACGCGTCCCCAGATCACCGGCAATCCTTGGACAAATATTGCTCTGCCTGGCAACGCTGGCGGCGGATTCCTTCCCGATCCCAGCCCCTCGGTTGACAACGTTGTCTCGATCGACACCCAGGTCGATCCAAGCCTTGAAACCGGGTTTTGGCAGATTGCCGTCTGCGCCTCTCCCTGCTCCTCTTCCACCAGCCGGTTCTCGTCCTCATTTTTGGTCTCGGTGAATCCGTCGGCGACCCGCGTCAGTGTTCGGAATATCGTTCGGTCGTCAACTCCATCGTCGGCCTCTGCAACCGATCCGGCATCTGTGGCGCCCTCGCCAGCTTCGCCGAGCCCTTCTCCCTCTTCCTCCTCCTCGACTCCGAATGTCATTCGTCCATCCGTCGTCGTTGTTGCTCCTCAAGCCCCGGTGACCAACGTCCCCACGGCCCCCTTTGCGCCGCCGGCCGAAACAGGCAGCTCTTCGATCAGCAATACCGGATCACCCGGCGGATCGACTGTCAACAGCTCCTTCATCATGGTCGGCGCCGCCGGCGTGATTCTCGTCCTGGTCGTCGGCGCCGTGGTGTTGCGCCGACACTATTCGTCCCATGCGGCTGAATCAAAAACCCCCGAACCCCCCAATGCGCCGCCTTCGCAGGTCCCCCTTGCTCGCACCATCAGCCCCACCCACTCGGATCGCTCGTCGTGGACCGGACCATCGCCCAGCTTCACGTCGCTGTCGCAGCCAAGATTCACCGCCGAGGACGTTGCCGGCAAGTCGCCGACCTTGTCGATGCTGGAGCAGCTCGTGATCGAAGCCACTGCCTTTACATTGACCCGCAGTGTAGACAAATCTCTAGAACGCCCGCCGCGGCTGCAGCTGATGATCTCTGCGGACCTCCCCGCCGAGCTTCCTGCTTTCACCCTGAGTCCCCTGCCCCGTATCCCAGAATCCCCTCCCGCCAGCTTCTCCGTTCCCGAAGGCGAGGCCAGCAGCGCGTCCGAGCAGCAACAGTGAGTCGAGCCTCTGTCGACGACCGACCCCACCAGCCAGTCCTTCATTGCAGCTCCGTGACTGCCGGCTGCTAACAAGCGCAGTCTGTCGGCCGAGGACCTTTGCCCGAGGTGTAATTCCCTGCCGATTCTCTGCAGCCCTTTGATCGACCCTGCTTTGTTTGCTGCCGTCTGGCGTATGGCCGATATCCCCGCCTGCTGTCTCTTCTATTGGTCCCCTTGACTCTATGTCCGTGCGTCCCGCTATACTCCCCGCCCAACTCTCGTTATCCCCGCTCCGCTCGCTCTACTCGTATCCAGCCTTGTCAAAGTTATTTGTTGCTTGCTTTCTGAATATATTGTTTGCACAAATGGAAGGAAATGGAGCGGAATGAAATGGTCGCCCCGGGTCGTTTGCGGGCTGCGACCCTGTTTGCGGGCTCCAGATGCTCGCTCCCGTTCGTCAGTTCGTCTGGATTGCGGCGCCGTCGCACCCAAAGAGCCAGAGTCCCAGGGCATGTCCCGTGCCGAGACGGGTCCAGGACAGGGCCAAGCTCGCCCCCACATCCCGCCCCACGCTTCCCGGCTCCATCTGCTTCCATCACATCTTCTCCCCTTGGCCGGCTGCGAGACATGCCTGTTCCCGAGTCAAGCATCGAGGATGCGCTTCGAGCCCTGGTCGAAGTCGAGCGAGCCCGCCTGAAAGGCGATGCCGAACGGGTGAGTCTACGCCTGTTCCGCATTCTCCTCTCTTGAACGCCGTTCCTAACCGATGCCAACCCCCCTTGCCGTCTGCCACAGCATGATACGCTCGTCGCTCTGCTCACCAAATTCATGGTCGAGTTCAAGGTATGTCCCAGTCGCTGTACCCAAGACCGCTGCTATGATCTCCCTCCTGATATGTGCTGGGCTGTGACAGCAAGCCACCGAGTCGCTCGCAGGCTCGATTTCCCGACTGGTAGGTGATATTGGTTCCGTTCGGTTTGTCCAGGCTTGGCCTCGTCGCTGCTGCAGTGTCTCGCTGTATTTACTAATATATTTGTCCGTTTCTCTGACATGCTTTTCCTGTGAAGGAATCGACCGTTGGCGAGCTTTCCACCAGACTCCCAGCTTCATCCTCCTCCGCCACCAGCCGCAAACAAGCCGATTCTGGCGACCGACCAGCCAGCTCAGAGCCTTCCATGGCTGTCGCCAAACTGCCAGTATCCCCGCTCGACCTCAGTCCAGCCAAATCAGACATCAAACAAAAGATCTTTATCAGCTACTGTTGGAAGAACAGCAGGTTGGTCTGGCGTGCCATGTGTTTCAGAGAGTTGCTCGAAACAGCACAAAGTCCGCTGCCTCTTTCCTTGAAGAGGAGGGGACTGCCTCCCTTCTACAAGCCTTGGCAGCCGATTTCCTTTTGTTCTCGTTCACAAAACTGGCTGACATGATGGACACTCCCCGGTGGCATGAACAGGTCCCAAGTGCAGAGGGACATTGCTGAGCACAAGGCGCAGGCCCAGTCGATGGATCTGGCAGGATGGTACAGTTGATCCAGAGAGAAACGGGATAGTCACCACGGGCATCCATGACGTTCATGCAAGAGAAGCGATGGCTCTCACAACAGAAACAGCATTAACAATGTTCCGCTCCGGACTCGCACAGGTTTGATCCGCGGGATCTGGCCAAGCAGATACGCGACGCCGGCCGATACTCCCCTTGGCTTGATGTCGATGAGCTCGGAATCGGCAAGGAAGGCGACCTGTTTGGTAGTCTGGCGCATGCTATTGCCCACAAAGGTATGTTCTGGCGCTACCGAGGACTCTGCGCTCGCTGCCTCGGCCCAAACTCGTAGAAAGCTGAGGGGCAACCGCAGATGAGCCACTGCACAGACTCTTGTTATCCATCGGCCAATGAACGGTGCCGTGTGCTGACCCACTGCCGTCTCTAAGCGGCCATCGTTGTTGCGCATGTGTCGGACGAGTACGCGGCAAGTTTGAACTGGTAAGCATACTTGTCATGCTAAGGTGCGATACGAGCTCGAGAGAGCTCGAGAGAGCAGGGGTGACCCGGGACTTGCGATTCCGTGGGGCTACAGCTATGACTGACTCGCTGCCCGCGAATTTGCCTCGTCCAGTCAGCGAGAATTTACTTTTGCGGCCCAGAACAATATCGAAATTATCCCAGTCATCGGTGAGCCCTCTGCTTCCTGCAGTTCCAGCGACGCGACTATTCCCTCCGATGTGCCCGTCGCTGATAGCTGCTGGCCGCAATCTCTCAACAGTTGGCCTCTCGGATAAGGCTAAAGAGCGCCTGCGACAAGCTTCGAACGGAGCCTATGACTCGTGAGTTTATCCTGACTCGGCTTCGATTTGTCTCAGGACGAGTGACCTGGCCTAGTGCGAGTCGGTATGATGGGACGGGAGCACTACCCCTCACCAACTGGATCTGTCATTATGCAGAAAACTCGAATCATGGCGATCTACCGGAATCGGAATTCAATTGTGCAACATGCTGTGAGTTGCCTTGGCGAATCTTGGTCTTGGTCTTGGTCAGGGTCTTGGTTGCCATACTTTTGCCCGCATGTCTGATGATGCAGAATGACGTGATAGGCAGGCTCGACGCCCATGAGCTGGCCTGAATTGCCGCGCTGCTCTGGGGTTTTCCCGAGATGGCTCCGACTCATCTGTGTTGCTCATATGCTTTCTTGTGCCTTCGGCCGACTTTGCCAGGTATCTCGACGCACGAGTGGAGAGCCCCGAACTGCTGTCCAGCAAAGCAGAAGAGATTCTCTTCAGGATACACCAGCGCATGGACAAGTACATGAGCGAGCAGCAAAGGCGCCAAGACAATCTCCGTGTGCGTCCCGAGGGACTCAAGACGTTATGGGATGCCGCCGACGTCTGCTCGGTGCCTGCCCTCATGTATCAGGTCTCGCAGTCCCCCAATATCAACATCGATGCGATCAATCCTGAAACTGGTCAAAGTCCTCTGCACTATGCTGCTCGGCACGAAGACGGTCTCAACTTTGTGTCCTGCCTCCTGCGACTCAACGCAACCGTTGACTTGGTCTGCTCCGAGGGTCGGACGGCTCTGTATTTCGCCGCTGCCCATGGCTACGCCGACATTGCTCGGCAGCTTCTCGCCAGCGGTGCCAACCCCAACGCTTTCACCAAGGACGGCATGTCGCCTCTGTTGATTGCAGCCCAGAATGGCCACCTGGATGTCATCCGCGTGCTTGGCGAATACGGCGTCAATCTGCTCTCCACCAACAACGAGGGCGAAAGCGCCCTGTACAAGGCTTGCGAGATCGGCAGCGAAGATATCGTGCAGTATTTCGTCCAGCACGACATTGATGTCAATGGCACAACTCGCAGCCAGATGAGCGACCTGCTCGTCGCGTGTGTCAAAGGCCATCTGAACATTGTGAAGCAGCTGCTCGCAAACGGCGCCCGTCTTACCGACCGCAACCTCCGAGGAGCCTCGTGCCTGTATTTGGCTGCCCAGAACGGCCACATGGACGTCATCCGGACCTTGGCCGATGCCGAGCGCAAGGCGTTGGCGGACTTTTCAACCGATCCAACCCCGGTTCCCGACAGCGACGCAAAGGCAGTGGGCGGCTTGACAGCCGCACGCCCATCGCCTCTTGTGGAAGAAGCCGACCGCGAAGGATGGACGCCTCTCATCATCGCTTGTTGGAACGGCGATGTCGATGTCGTCAAGGGCCTTGTGGAAGAGCTGGGTGCCGACATCCATGCCCGCGCGCTTGACGGCACCACAGCCCTGTACGTCGCAGTCCAACGCGGAAACACCAATGTCTTCAAGCTCCTACTCGAGAAGGATGCTGAGTATGCAGCCCGAAGTCGCTCGGAGGACTCGGCATTGTCATCCTCAGCCAACAAGCCGACCCGTATACCTCTGGTGAACCAGGAACAAAAGAACGGATGGACGCCGTTGATGGTGGCCTCGCTCTTTGGCTGTCTCGAGATTGTCCAGGTTGCTGTGCGAGACTACAATGCCGACATTGCTACCAAGAGCATCAACGGAACCACAGCACTGTACTTTGCGGCCCAAGCCGGGCACATCAACATTGTGCGCTTCCTGATCGACAATGCCTGTGCCACCGAGGAGGACCGCCGACGGATGGTTAACCAAACCCGACGCAACGCCTGGACGCCGCTCATGATTGCTGCCGGAAACAACCATCCGGATGTCGTGCGGTGCCTGGTGGACGAGTACGGCGCCGATTTGCTCCTCCAGAACTCAAGTGGCCAAAGCGCACTCTTTGTTGCAGTTCAGTGGCTCGATGCGGGCGGCCTTGCCTTCATGATCGACCGAGAAACGGATCTCCGGATGCAAACGAGCCCTGAGTTGGCGCACGATCGGAAGCAGGCTCAGCAGCTCGTTGTCAACCAACCCGACGCCAAGGGACGAACACTCTTGATGGTGGCATGTTTCAACAACAGGATCGAAACCACCCAAGCCCTGCTGGAAAAGTACTCGGTCTCGCTCACCCACACCAACGATCCTGAAGGAACAACGGCAGTTCATCTGGCAGCCAGGCTTGGCTTTGTGGAGATGCTGAAGCTGCTGTTCGAACACCAGCGCACAACCAATCCCGCAGGGCTCGCCGCCCTTGTGAACGTGCGCAAGCTGGAGCAATGGACGCCGCTCATGGTTGCAGCGCTGAATGGCCAAGACGAGATATGCCGTGTCTTGCTGCAAGAGTACGGCGCCGATCCTTGTGCATGCAGCAGCAACGGCGCTACTGCCCTCTATTGTGCTGCTCAAAACGGCCATCTGAAAGTGGTGCGACTGCTGCTGAACGAGCATTCCGCTCGCGGCCAGCTGCCCGAGATGATCAACCGCTCCAGACACAACGGATGGACGGCGCTGACGGTGGCAGCGACGAACGGCTACTCGGACGTTGTCAAGTGCCTCGTGGGCGAGTTCCGTGCCGAGATCGACAGAGCAACGGCACACGGCAGCACAGCATTGCTCCTTGCCGTCGAGAACAACGACCTTGACACCACTGAGTATCTGCTTTCCCATGGCGCGGACCACAATCGAGCCGACAACGACGGCGACAGCGCCTTCTTGCTGGCGTGCTATTGCCGAAACATCGAGATCCTCAAGGCACTCTTGCAGCACGGCTGCCGAACTGATAACGTCAACCAAAGCGGAGAGACCGGTCTCACCATGGCAGCAAAACGAGGCAATCTCGACGCCATCCGGCTCCTGCTTCAAGCCCAGCCTGGTTTCGCAACGGCCGAGGTCGAGCGGGCGTTATCGGTTGCTGTCCAGGCCAATGCGGTGCAGGTTGCAAGCATTCTGCGCAAGGAGCTGCAGCGCCGTGCTGCCGGGGAGGCAGGGCCTCTGACCGAGGGCGGAGAGGCCCGAGAAAAAATGGGCAATCGAGCTGACTAGACAGCAAGCACCGCACGGCTGTCTGTGAAAGGCGCTTGGCCAGGCGAGTCGCCGAGAATGGACCTGGGGACGGCAGCGCCCATGGAAGCCGGCGACTCAGTCGCTGTTGCGGTTCGTTGGTGATGTAGTCTTGCGGGTCACTCTTGAGTCCTGAATACACATGCGTCGTTACAGGCGTGTTTTTGTTGAAACGGGATACCTCAAATGAGCTCGCTGCTGAAACAAAAGTGTATCACGTTTTTTTTTCTGGTGGGGTCTGCTATCGATGAAACCTTCTCGGTCAATCGTGCACTGCGACTCGCTTGCTTGTTGTCTCTCCGGTTTGTTTCACTGCGTGTGGCCGCCACTTTGCTGGGCGGCTTGCAGGTCCATCCCAGCCCATACCACCACCGCTGTGCAGCCAGCCCCCACCAGCAACCAAGGCTGTCGGGTGGTGGTGGTGGGGATCGCCCTGTTTTGCCTCTGTTCTGCTTCGCCGGCTGGCCTGGTTGATCAGGCTGGCCTGGTTGATCAACCTCGCCATCTCCCGCTCCCCACAACCCGCCCAGTCCTGCCCCACCGGCAAAAGCAAGGCGTCTCAAGGCACCCGCTTGTCCCCCCGCCTCCGCCTGCCAGTTCATCAATAGCCGTCGGTCAAAAGGTGACAGCGACGGCCCCGCCACATGGCCCTTTCTGGCAAGCTTTGGGGGACAACAGTGCCTCTTTGCTGGCGTGTCGTGGGTGCTCCCGTTCCGTCACACACGTCCAATCATGGCCGTCTGGAAGATGCTTGTGCGCGCACCCATCCCCCATCGGATCCTTTGCTGTGCAGGCGCCCTCCACAGCGGGTGCTTGTGCTGCTGGCCCCGCTGCGTGTCTGTTTGCGGGTCTTTCCTCTTGATTGCCCATCTGATTGCCCTTGCCAGCTCGCAGGGCTGTTGATGTATTGTTTCAGCGTGCCTGCAGGCCACACCCGCAATCCTGTCGCAGCCCGAGCCAATCTCGCTGGCATTTCTCCCAGGAAACTTCCTGGCCATCAATCAGGTTGACTTCCAGAGCGACTGCTGGCTCCCTCTGTCTGGCACTGTTACGACCCGGGCAGCCACACGACCCCGTGCCAGCAGCCTCCCACGCCCCGCCCACGCTGCCATCTCATACTCGTCTGTCCCCGCTTCACAGCCTCCCCATCCAAACCTCATATAATCTTGCACCCTATGAATCCACTCTCCTTCGTGACGCTCTCATGGCTCTCGGGCCTCCTCCGCACTGGCTCCAGTCGCAAGCTGGATGGACGGGACATCGAGGCTGTCACCGCCAAAGTACAATCGGATGTCCTGATCGACCTTTTCCGCCAACACCGCGACCGGCTGCTTGCCCCGTCCCTGCTCAAGGACAAGACGCCGCCGACTCCGAAAGCACCTGTCATTGACTCCAAATCCCTCTTCATGATCTACTGTCGGCTTTTCTTCTGGAGGTGGTATGTATCAGTCATCCGGTGGCGCCACGGTGGAGAGCCATGGCACTCTTTGGTCGGGGATGCAAGCCATAGCAGGCCCCAATCGCCCACCTATTGCCCACCTATCGCCTGGCAAAGTCACCGTTGCGCTGATGGTCCCTCCCGCCGCCATATCTGGTAGCTGGCTGACATGTATCATCTGTTGTGATGCTCCGCCATGCATCTCGGTTCCTCCTTGGTGCCATCTGCCCGCCGGGCTACCTCTCGGCCGCTTTCAAGGCTTGCCTCGTTCCTGTGCTCCGCCATCAACATGGTTTGCCGTCTTGTCACGCCGCTGATTCTCTACGAGATCATAGAGCAGCTCTCGGGGCGGCGCTCAGTCATCAACAACGGCTACGCGCTTGCCTTCTTGATGTTCCTGGCCAATCTCGGAGCCGGCTTCTCTCAGGCACTCTCCACCCAGATCGCCACCAAGGTCTCTGCCGACATCAAGGCTCTGATTATCAGCAACGTCTATGAAAAATCATACCGTCTCAACGCCAAGAGCATGGCCAGCTTCAGTGAAGTACGTTGCTGGGCGTGGAGGCAGCATTCTGTGACACTCGTTGTGTCGATGCAGGTGTGATATCGGATCAACCAGCGATGCTGACGGTCATCCGCCGCAATGAACCAGGGCTATCAACTTGTGCTCGTGACTGTGGACAGCGACATGATCAGCAATGTTGCCAAGAACGCCGAAAAGCTTGTCCTGGTTCCAATCGAGGTGGGCATGGACGGATGCTCGGGCGTGCCATGTTTGAGGATCCGCGTTGCTGTTGTGGCTCAACCGAAGCGGGCATATTCGCCACTCGTGCTGGCACCCACCCACCATATCCTCCACATCCTCCGCTGAGTGTCCTTCATTCCGCTCCGCAGGTTGCCGTCACAATGTTCCTTCTGTCCCAGTTCTTTGGCCTCCGCATTGTCACGATTGGTGCATTGGTGACGGCTGCTTGCCTGTTGCTCTGCGGCGGAGCCTCGATCTTCTTGGGCCGCTTCCAGCGCAAGATGCTCTCTGCAAACGACAGTCGTGTCTCTCTGCTCGAGGAGATCTTGGTCAACATCCGCACGGTCAAGTTGCAGTGCTGGGAATCGCTCTTCGAGAACCGCGTCAGCGCCATTCGGTAAGCAGCATCAGGCGGCTCAAATAGTCTTCTTTTGATGCGATCCAATGCAATGCAACGCAATGCACTGACTCGCAGTCGTCCCTCAGCGGGAAGATGCTCTCGGGTCTGGCGGGCTACCTGGTGTTCAACGTCATTCTGCTTCTTCTGGTTTTGGTGAGCCCATCGTTGCCAAGGCAGTTTGTCTTCTGGAGATCAACCCGCTTTGTTGCTGATCCGTGGCCTCCCTTCAGATTGTGATGTATTTGCTGCCCAGCATCGTCTTTGGTGCCTTTTTGGTATGTACTTGATCACCACACCCGCAACGATTGGTGTTGTTCGGACTCGGCGGGCTTATGTTGGTCGAGACGCTGCGCATGTCGCTCAAACCCATGTGTCTGACCATGGCGAGTGCTTTGTCGACGGCCCTACTTCTCGTCACAGATCTCCAACAGCGAGGCCGTCCTTACTGCCAACATTGCCTTCCCGTCCCTGAGCTTGCTCGGCCAACTGGAGAGCCTGTTTGTGTTTCCGGTTGCCACCAGGTAGCGTATCTTCGCTCGATACGGATGCGACCGCTGAAATGATGGTTGTGCGAGTGCTACGAAGCGCTGTTCAATCCCCCGCGGTTGCGACTGATGCTGGGATTCACTGGGTTGTATCCCTCAGCGCTATGGGACAGGCCAATGTGTCTTGGAAGCGATTTGCGTCCTTCTACTGCGCCGACGAAGTTGAAGCACCACTCCGTGATGATGATGAATCCAGCAGCGACGCTGGATACGCCATCCGGATCCAGAACGGATACTTCCGATGGGATTCTACCCCACCGGCACCTAAGAGGAAGCGATTCAACTTTTCAAAGTTCAAACAAAGCCTCCGCCGCAAGCACAAGCCTCAAAACGACGGCGGCTTGGTTATCATCCAGGATTACCCCTTGGACCCTGTTAGAATCGGGAGCGACCTTGACAAAGCTACAAATGGTTTGCACAAAGACAATCCAAGCTCCCAAGGTGCAGACATTGTCAACAGCAGAGTTGCGGTGTCAAAGTACATGCAGGCGTGAGCATTAACACCCGACCTCTCACTCCAGCCGGGCTAAGTGCCTCGCACACCACCATCTTCAACTCGCCTTCGCATGGCAGTTCCATTTTCGGAGAGGTCTTGCTCTCCAAGAGCTCTTTCGACAGCTCCGGGTCAAGGGCTAGCCACGGTTCCCAGCTACCGCTCTTTGAGAATATCAATCTTACGATTCAGAAGGGCTCGCTCGTCGCCATCGTCGGAAAGGTGGGCTCTGGAAAGTCGTCCATCTTCTCCGGCATCATCGGCCACATGAGCAAGCTCTCTGGCACCACAACCATCAGCGGAAAGCTGGCGTACGTTCCGCAGCAGCCTTGGATCAAATCGGGCTCGATTCGAGACAACATTGTGCTGGAATCGGACGGTCCAGATACGTGCGAGCGACTCGATCGAGCGGTTCGCTGCTGTGCACTTGGACCCGACCTAGACATGCTGCCGGCTGGAATTCACACTCAGCTCGGAGAACGCGGGGTGAATCTCTCTGGCGGCCAAAAGGCCCGGATCGCACTAGCCCGCGCGGTGTTCAGCGATGCCGACGTATTTTTGCTTGACAACCCGCTGAGTATGTGATTGCGGCGGTGTCGAGGCGGGATCGTTTGGTTTGGCGGGAAGAGCACATGAGTCGCTGTGGACAGCGGTATGTCGCCGGACAGCCGAATATCGCCGGACCGCCCGAGAGAGTTGCTCTGTATCTTGTGCTTTCTAACCTCCGGTTTTGTCTCGCATCAGCCGCATTAGACACGACTGTGGCCAAACAGGTCTTTGAAGATTGCATTGCCTCCAACACCGGCATTCTCGGCGACAAGACTCGGGTCGTCATCACCAACCAGCTCTCATTTCTGCCGCTGTTTGATCGCATCATCATCGTGGACAAGGGCAGGATTGTTCATGACGACACATATGAGCACCTTATTCAACTCAACAGCCCCGAGGATCTGTTTGTAGACATTGAGCCGGTACGCAGCCCGGTGCATCGACTTGGTTTTCTGCGCAGCAGAGCGCGAGTGCTACCGATGATGGGTGCAAACTCGCTAAGATTGATTCCAAAATTATTGCAGACCGACGATGAAGAAGTGTGTCTTTCGCAAGAGAACATGGCAGCTGTTGATTCGGCCAACCAGATCCACTCTAATGACGTCGATGATACTGATGAGCTGGAGACGCCAAAGCCAACATCTGGCTCTGAGCAGCCTGCGCAAGCCCAGCCAACGCAGTCCATCATTGCCAGCGAGGAACTCCGCCACGGCTCTGTGGGCCGCAAAGCATATGTACGTCACCGATGCTTGTGACTCGAGTCCTTCAGACAGGGTTTGCTCTGCTGCTGGACGGACTGAGAAGCTCACTCCTGTTTCTGCTATATCCAGCTGGATTACTATAGATACACCTCTGGGTATCTTGGCATGACGCTGCAGATCATTTGTGTGCTGCTCATAATTGCCGCCAACATCAGCGCCACTCTGTGGCTCAAGTGAGTATACCTTTGGTGTCGTTCACTTGCCTCCTCCCTGCTGCACTCCCTGTTGTCTTCCCTGTTGTTCGCTCGTGCTGTATTGGCCACATACCCCAGGGCTCATATGAACAAAAGGCGACTGACTTTTTCTTCTCCTACAATCGTCCGATTCCAGTGCTTGGATGGGCGAATCGTCCGGCATGAGCCAGTATGACTCCTGGATGATTTATGCCATCTTGAATGTCCTGCGCTACTCTTTCACAGGTATGTTTGCGGATGCCCGAGCGGCAGTGGGTGGATCTCCTGATACTGTGCCACATGACACTCATCGCTATCGTTGTCTGTGCATCAGGGCTGTTCGTCATTGTAACCATGCGCAAGTAGGTTTACGGAGACTGCTATGCTGTGTGGACTGATGAGTGTCGGGCGTCGTTCACGTTGATTGCAGTGGAGGGGAAGGTCGATAGGCGTGCATGTTTGAATGTGATGTTTCACGCGTGACCATTATGGGTTGGCGATCGAACCGCCGCATATCGACTGACCGGCGCTGGGATCATCCAGCTCCTTTGTTGGATCCCGACGGCTCCACGCGCGATTGGTGCAAAAGATTCTCTCGGCACCACTGTCGTTCTTTGAGTCGCAGCCTGTTGGAAGAATCCTCAACCGTTTGAGCAAGGATATGGAGTACTTTGATCAGTGTACGAGCCGAGCTTCATCTACGCACTACTCTGGCCAATGCGGACTGAAAGTGCAGATGAATTGCTAATCCACTTTGGCCAAGCGAGACTAGGATATGTCCCCGTTCTCGTCCACGTTTACATTGTGGCTTAGCTGCTGTCTCGATGGCCGCCATACTCACATTTGCATTTACTCTGTCCTTGATCGCGGGGACACTGCGGCTGAAAACCGATAGTCCAGGCTGACGACATCATGAACAGCTTCTGGGGCATCAGTAGTCTCTTCTGTGCCCTCTTCTATAGCATCTACGCTGCACCTTGGATTGTCGGTACGTGTGGTACCGCAGTTAGGACTCGGCCAGCTTCCGAGAGATATCCGTTGAGAGACGCTCACGGACACGTCATCTCACGAACCCATCACCGGGGGGGGGCATATTGGCTGAGCTTGAATCACGATTTCTGCCTTCTTACACACCCGTCAATATGCCCATGAATTTTGCTGCTCTTCTCAATCCAGGTTTCTATGTACCAATAGCTTGGATAACTTGGAAGCTCTATGGATATCTCCGGTACGTGCCATCGTTCTGGAACTGACCAGCGGAGCAGTCATTTGCTCAGGCTACTGGGTTGGCGTTGACACGCGACCGTCTTACTTGCCAACAGCATGTCTCTGCGTCAGCTTAAGCGTCTGGACTCTAATAAGGTGTGTTGAGTATGAACTACGGGTTGGTCTCCAAGTTTACACAAAACCGTGCCTATATTGTGACTGGCGATTGCTGTGCTGGCGCCCCGGTCATAGGTGGACTCGCACTTGTCGAAATCTGCAGAGATCCACATCCACACGGACACTCACTCACAGCTTTCCCCTTCCGATGCCTTTTTCGTTTTCCATCCAAAACCTGCTCCATTGCATTTGGGGCCTCATCGGTGTTGATCCATCTCCCGTACAATCAACCAACCCATATCAATTGCTCGCTTATCCCAACTTAGCGGGGAACGCTCAACTCACACATTGCCGAGTCATTCTCGGGCATGCTCACAATTCGAACAAACGAGGTACTTGGCTTTGATCTCCGGCATCTGCTCCAAAGCGGCGCCGATGGGCACAAAGAGTGAGACTTTTCGTACTCAATCGTAGGCTTAGCAACATTGCTCCCATACACCCAGTGCCAGGACAAGTTCATTGCCAAACAGCGTGTTCTCACAGACGAATCCAGCAATCTGTCGCTGTACCTTGCGTGCTCGTACATATGGATCGAGTTCCGGCTCTGTGTAAGCCAAGCGTGCTCGTCATCCGCATCTTCATCCTGCACCACACAGCACTTTCACGCTGCCATGTATGATCGCTGTGCTGACATCGCCATGCCCCGCTGTACTATCGCGCAGGTCGTCATTGCGCTGTTCACGCTTGCATTCCTGGCGATTGCCATGGCCGCTCATGTGCCAGCTGAGTTGATCGCGCTGGCGCTGATTTATATTGTCGACTTCCCAGCATATATTAATGTAAGTGCTATCTGCTGCGTGTACCTCGACCCGGCCCAATATCAGTCAAAGTAGACCAAATTTGTACTGACTCTATTGCCTTATATCGTGCTGATGGCAAACACCCCGTCTCCAGTACTTTGGAACGTACTATGCCCAAGTCGAGCAAGGCATGAACACAATCGAGCGATTCAGCTTCTATCTCGAGAACGTCGAGTCCGAGGAGGTCTTCAAGAGCTCGGGCGAGAAGCCCGAGGAGCCGGACTGGCCCAGCAGCGGTCGCATCCAGTTCGAGGATCTCGAGATCATCTATCCCAGTCGGCCAAACCGTCCAGCCCTCGCTGATATCAATCTCGACATTGCTCCGGGCGAGAAGGTGGCGATTGCTGGACGCACGGCAAGCGGCAAGAGCACCGTCCTGAACTCACTCTTCAGGCTGGTCCGACCCTCCAAGGGCCGGATCGTCATTGACGACAGAGGTAGGGTCCTGCTTGTTGGTGCTCGGTGCCCCAGACTGCCGTGGCTGTATCCAGGCTGTCCCGGAGACACCACTGACTCCAGATCTCCACTGCATGCCCTCCCTCAATCTGCTGTTTAGACATCCAAAATGTCGACCTTGGGCTTCTCCGACGAAAGATCCAGATTCTTCCCCAGGAAGTTGTCCTGTTTCATGGCACGATCCGATCGAACATCGACATGGAGGGCATGCACTCGGACCAGACAATCTGGGGAGTTTTGGAGGTATGTCCCGCAGATTGGAGCAGCGCGATGGAGATGCTTGGTCGTCCAGCGCCCCTCGCATGGGATGAGCCTCTTCTCTTGCCCGTTCGAAAGCTCACACGGCGACGGTGGCTACATCGTCCGACTTTCCCCTCCAGAGCCTTGGGATTAAGGACGAGATTTCAGCGCTCCCGAACAGACTTGAGAGCGAAGTGCTGCCACGAGGCGAGGTGGGTTTTCAAACCATCGGCTCTGTCGGAGCAGGACCAGATGTGCGACGGCATTGCACCCGTGGGAACGAGTCATCAATGGCACGAATGGACGAGGCCTCCATCGACTTCTCGAGACGGGACGTACGACTGTGCGGCGAGCTGGTCGCTGAGGGGTGTCGCATGCCCCCGGCATACTAACCTCTGGTCCCGATATGGCTGCCGTTTAGAATCTGTCTTTGGGACAGCGTCAGTTGCTGTGCGTTGCCCGGGCACTGGCAGCCAACCCCAAGATTCTGGTGATGGACGAGTCCTCGAGCTCACTCGACAAGGAGTCCAACGCGGCGCTCAACCAGGTCATCATGGAGGCCTTCTCCGACTCGACCGTCTTGAACATCACACACCGACGTATGTACTGGGCGGAGACTGTTGGCTTCTGTGCGGATTGTTGAGAGGTCGCTGGATATTGTTTTAGCATCGGCCGGCGCGGCGGCTACAGCATGGACTCGTTGTTGTAACGCCGACGCTAATCAAACTCGGCTGATCTTTCAGTGGAAACTGTCCGAGACTTTGACCGCATCGTCGTCCTGAACGCCGGGCGCATTCAACAAATCGGAGCCCCGGGCGATGTTCTCACGATGACACCCAAGCCATAAGCACCTCATTCGTACAGCGTTCCCAGAACGAAACCAAACAGCCCAGCCATGCGATTGCTTGTCTGGCTGCGTGCCTCTTGCGACTTGCTCTCCCTCGTCTCGCTCCTCCTTCTCGGCTCTCTCTTCATGCTCGTTTCCCCTCCCCCCCCCAAAAAAAAACCATTGCATCCACCGATCCGGACGTCGCTTTCGACTCCGCCAACCCCGCCCTGACGGGTGCTCGCTGCTCAGCCGCCTGCTCCGGACACGGGCGTCCGGACCCGCGCAACCAGCCAAGCCCGCTGTCGCGGTGGCCATGGGGCCCGTGCCCTGGCGGCCTGTGCGACATGGGACAGAGCGGCCGCCCTCGGACACCAACCGGCGCGTTCGGTGCGGGGCATGGGCTGCGCAGCCAGGCGCGAGTGGTGTCCGGACAGTGTCATGGTGTGGGTGGATGGATGGACAAACGACCGGCAACGGGCCTGTGGGGGGGGGGACGAGACTGCATGCGGACGACACGGATGGCCATCTGCCGAGCGACAGAATGGCAGAGCGATATGCAGATGCAGGACATGCACGGTCCTGGGCTTACATTCGCCAGCACAAGCAACCCACCGCTGTGTGCGATGCCTGTGTGCAACGGCGTGTGCCACCGATGCCCGCAACCCGCATCGATGGTGCAACCAACATGGGTTCGTCCAAGCGGTGCAGCAGGCGTGTTGGCCTTGAGCGGCATGCAGCGATAGGGCAGATTTGTCTGACACGACCGATTCATGCTGAAGGACGGGACCGGTGTCACCTATTTTTCTTCTCTCCGCTTCCCGCCCGGGTCGTTGCGAACGGACAAGCGATTCCACGTCCCGCGCCGTTTGGGTTTGGTAACACTTGTTATTTGGTTCATGAGTTATACATTGTTAGATGGGTTGCGAGACAAAAGATTAGGTCCGTCCTGGCGCCCGCTGTCGACAGGCAGCAATGCGAAGAGGCAAGAGAGGGCCAGCTCACGCGCTTCGAGAAGGGGAAGGAGGGATAGAAATGCAAGTTGAGAGAAAAAATAAAGAGCGCTGTCTTTCAGCAACCACCACCCGGTCCTGTTGTCGACGGCGCTGCTAGTGGCGACCGCGGCCAAGCGGCACACCCACCCAACCAGGCGATTGCGATGGGTATCCCCACGTAGCGGATGTCGAGTGGCCGAGGTGAGAGATATCGGGTGACCCAGGCGGCAGGTTGAAGAAGCGGTGTGGCGGTTGGGATGGGGATGGGGATGGGGGATGGGGACGGGAATGAGCGTGAGAAAAGCTGTTCTTGTGACATTCGCTTGGTGGTGCCGAGGGCGGGAGGGCTGGGGCGACGGAAGTGAAAAGTTTGGTCTGGTGATGCAGGTTTCCGGGCTTTGTTGGCAGGCGATGATCAGCGTGACGGCGAACGGGCAAAATAGGCAAAACAGGGTTCAAGGGATCGGGGTGTTGGGAGACCCGAGTGCAAAAGTCGAGAGCCGCATTTGCAGAAGGATGGGACGCCCATCTCGGAGGCTCGTACCGAGTGAAAAGGCAGCAAGTGTCGGACGCGAGGGACATATCGATGGCGAATGGAGAGATGGCACAATAAATGGACAGATGGAGGGCATGGGCCAGAGGACGCGGAGACATGGTGGTTGTGCGTATGAAAGGAGGAGGCAAGTGAACTGTATGGGGAGGGCAGAATAGGCAGATGACATGGTGGGGTGGGTCTAGAATGGGTCTAGGAGGAGGGGAGAAGAGAAACGAATGGGCCGGGGCAGACAGGCACCAGGCAGGCACCGGGGCAGGCTTGCTGAGAGAGCAGGTCGGTCCTGGGCCGAGCCGCTGTCCCTGCTCAGGGCTGTTCTGGCTCTGCATAGTCGTCCAGGGCCTCGCTGCAGATCAGGGACAGGATCGAGATGCGCGAGGTGTCGGTCGACTTGGGCTCGGGCTTGGGGGCAGTTCCCGCCGGCGGCGATCGCGAGCCAGGCCGGGACCTCAGCTTCTCATTCGAGGGTGTGCTGACCCGGGTCAGATGTTGCGCTCCGGATGGACTTGGGGTCAGGGTCAGGCCGCTACTCTGCGAGCTGTGGGAGTAGCCGTGGTAGGGCGAGACCGACTTTGAGGCGGTCTGCGACATGGGAATGGGCTTGGAGTGTCCGTAGCTGGGCTGCAGTCGCGGCGAGATCATGTCGTCGGTAAAACTGTAGGGCGACATTGGGATCGTGGGCGAACATGGCTGGCGGTACTCGGGCATGCTGTACACGCTGGACATGGACATGGGACGAGGACGGGAGACCAGGCGGCGCTGCATCGGCACGGGCGTCGTTGGTGAGGACATGGATCGATCCTGCGGAAACGGCAGATCCGCTCGCTCGCCAGCACCGGTGTGAATCGCCAGGGCATCGGCGGGAGAGCGAGACGATGCACGGTTGTGGAAGCTGTCGAGGTAGAGCGACTGGTCCGAGCGCTGCTTCTTGAGAGACTGGAGCGAGAGATCGGGGACGACGTACGGGTTCTGCATCGTCTGCGGATGATTGGGGCCCCAGTAGTCACGGTCTTTGGAAAGCGGCGGATGAGAGGAGCGATTGTAGGGTGCAGTCGCAAAAGAAGCGATGGGCGAGCAGGAGAATTGGAGCAGGAGCATCGCAGCGGAGGCCAGATCGTGAGAGCCGCGGGAGGGGAGATGATGGGGTGTTGATGGTTAGTGAGGCAGTCGTAGGGTCGGGATGACCATCGATCGGACTGGCGAGAAAATAGCCACGATGGCCCATTGCTCTCCAATCGGCAGTGCATCGCTGGAGGGACGGCGTGTGGTCGGAAATGGCATTTGATACCAAGTCGGCCGTGCATCCGGGGATCTGATTGGATTGCCAGAGCACCCTCCGACGGATAATGCAACTGCAGAGGTTTGGCAGGACCAGATAGCAAGCTTGACAGCACTGTCAAGGATCTGGATTCCACAGCGGCCTCTGCTCAGATCGCTCGATACAGCAGCATCGGCTGGACAACTTACTGGGGCCATTCGAGGCGGCAAGATGAGGCTGGGACATGTCGCGGCTTGGGAAGGACATTCGGTTCTGGAAGGAAGATTGGCGTTCTTGACGGACGACAGGCAGAGGGCAAGGCGAGGTGGTGATCCGTGGAAGGCCGGAGGGCGAGACGGCGGAAGGGAGGCGTTTTATGGGTTACGGGGGGGGAGCGGAAGACACCAGGAGGCTGGGCGACGGCGGACGACAGAGCGGGATGGGTGTGCGAGTGCCGAGCTGCGTGGCGGCTTTAAGGAAGGGGATGCAGAGACGATGGTGAGAAAGGACGGGCTGGCCAACAACAATGGCAAGAGTTGGAGGACAGGCGGCTGGAAAGAGGCGGACGGGGCCTGCGGTGTTGGGGCGATCTGGGTGCAGGCGGCTCTGGAAGTTGTCCGCCTGGCCAGATGCAAACAAGGCCGTCATGTGTGGGCGCACAGTGGCCGCTGGCCGCGGCCCATCAGGCGGCGCCGCCGAGGCAGGGCGGCTGCAGCAGCACAGGGAGCGATACTGCCGAGCAGCGACGGCAGGGGCGATTGACTGCATGGGCAGAGCGGTGATGGTAGAGCAATGATGGCAGAGTAATGATGGTAGAGCAACGACAGCATCTAGGCAATACCCTGGCGGCCTAGTGGCGATAGCGGCTGCAGCGACCAGCTCGCGCAATCCACCAGAGGGACTGCCTGTCCATGGTTGTTGCAGCAGGAGACCACCACGTGTGGAGCCGCTGCAACCACGGCAGGACGGGAACTGTTGCCGAGTGGGTATGCCCGACGGGGCTTGGATTGCGGTATGTTTTGGGGTCGGAGACGAGTTGGGATGGCCTGCGATTGCCCGAAAGAGAATGGCAGGTTGGAATTTTGAAATGCCCTGGAGTAGTGTGAGTTGCCCTGGAGTAGTGTGAGTTGCAATGCATTAGTGTGGGATAGTTCGGCCTGGCATGGGTCTGCTCGGGGCGGTACCGAATGCAATGCAATGCCGCTCGACAGTGCCGCTCGACGATGTCGTTGGTGCAGTCGGGCTGCGACGATCCGGTGCAGTGCGAATTCCTCCGGCTCATCTGGCAGTCAAAGCCCCGTCGCTGATATTCGGACCAGCCCCGTTTGGTATCGTCGGCTCCCACCCACCACAGCCACCATTCTCGCCGACCATTCCTCCCGCAGCTATCGTTCTCGTCGGCAATCGGTGCTCCTCCGGTCTTGCATCTCGCGCCTTTCCCACCATCGTCCTCGCCATCCTTCCCATCCGGCGTAACGATGGCCAGAGCGTCCGGACACTCTCCCCCCCTCGCTGGCTCCAGCGCGGCGGCGCCGCTGTCCTTGGCTGGGGGCGGCCTCTCGTTGCCAGCCAGACGAGGAAAAGCGTAAAGAGGATGAGGACAGACCAACGGCGTCCCAAGGACAGCTGCTCCTGGGCAGTGCAAGCCACCGTCCTGCCTGGGCAGCGTCGTTGCCCGCCTCGATGGCAACAGGATGTCCGTCTGGCGGGCATGCGCCGATCTGCGTGCATCTTGCGGGCTTGCATCCACCCACCAACATGGATCCGCCCTGTCAAGCACAGGTCCGTCAACCGTGCCTGGCCGCTGCAGCTGGGTGCACTCTGCGGCTGCCCTGCGCTGGTGCCGTCGACTATTGCCCGTCCTCATCTCTCGGTCAATCTGTCTCCTTGTCCACGCATGCCTGTTTCCTTGTTCGCATCTGCAATTTTGTCGGCCTGGTCGTCCCCTCATTCCTGTCCAGACGATTGTCCACTTCAGCCCTCCCTCCTGTCCGCCAACCGGCGCCATCCAGCCTCTGTCCAGCTTCTGCCTCGGGTCTCTGGCGCAATTGGACTCGGCCTCCTGCGCCCCCACATCGTATCTTGCCGTATCTCGCCTCGCTTGCATGGCCTCGCGTGGGAGTGCACAAGTCCTCGCATTGCGTCTCGCATGATTGTCCACTCGGATGGGATCCCTCTCGGTCCACTCCAGGTCCTGGCTGCCTTGGTGGCTTCGGATCATCCTGGATCTTCCTTGCCATGACGGAAACGGTCCCCTTTGGACCCCAAGTCAAAAAAACGTGTTTCTGGTTGCGTTGATGAACAGCAATGCAACTCGACTCGCTGCTTCGACTGTAGCCACTCCATCCACTGCATCGAGAGAGACCTGCCGGCCACACCCTCCCTTTGGCGGCAGTGGATCGCTCAGATACCTGAGGAGCCTCAAGCAAGAGGGGTCGAGGCGGAGGGTCTGAGGATGATCGATGACTGTGTGTATTCAGGACCCGGGGAGAACGAAACATGCCGGCCTCGAAAACAGGGTGCCCCGTTTCATATTGTGGGCAGTGTGGAAAAAGTGGTCAGCTTTCCGAGAGGGTGGTGGTGGTGGTGCCTGTCCCGTTTCGTTTTTGATGAGCAGCGCATCCCGCTCACCAGTCCCATCCGTCCTCCGAGTTGGCGCTGGGCTCGTCTTCGACAACGTTGAGCGGCTGTCGCGGCGGCGACGGCACCACAACTCGGCTTGCCCCGGCCTGCTCCGACCCTGCGTCGTCGTTCTGGCTTGGCACAGGCTTCACGATCGGCTTGGTCAGGGCCATGCCTCCTTGGCTGGCGGACTCCTGCGAGACTTGGATCGTGGCTCTGTGGGATCGGTTGCCGAGCTCCTCGTCGTCCTCGCTTTGGACGCCCGTGTAGCGTGCACCTCCAGCCTGTGAGAAGCCCAGGATGCTCTGAACCCAGGGAATGATGCCCTGGCGGAGATCGAGATCGCCTGGGGAGTTGTGCGGAGGCTGCTCCAGGAAGCTCTCGTTTTCGTTGCGGTACCGGCTCCATTCTTGCATCGGGATCGACATGGATCGCGAGACTCGTCGTCGTCGTCGCACGTAATAAAGACCACCTACGACCAAGATGGTAATTCCAAGCAAAGCGCCCTGTTGGATAGAGGCGATACACGGACGGAGATGAGATATGCGAGCGCATCGAACTGCCGAAGCTCACACTGTCGCAACATACCACAGTCTGAAGATGTGCAGCGATGTAGTCGGTAATTCCGTCACTGTAGTCCTCGTCGTCTTGGTCGATCTCGTCTGTACATCATGAGCGCGCTTGTCAGTATGGATGCCAGCGTGATCACGGTCTTGTTCAGTCAGCAAGAAACCCCGACACAGCATGTGCAGCGGCTGTTACCTGGTGTTGCCGGACGCTGAGAGGACGGGCCATTTGGACTCGGTTGCTCAATGTCCTCGCGATCAGGGACGGGCTCGTGCGGCGGTTCAGGCGCCAGCGGTGTTGAGGAGGACGGCAAAGCCGAGGCCGCAGAGGTAGGAACTGATGTGGCCGCGGCGCTGGGAGAAGCCGGGGGTATGCTCACAGACGAGCTCGACGTTGGGCTGGTCAACGAGACTGAGGTGCTCCTAGATATTGACGACGATGCGATTGTCGACTCGGGGGCCTCAGCCGGTGGCTTGATGGCTCCAAAGACCATCTGGAAAGACTTGGTGCCGAGCCAGCCGCGGGAAGCCTTGCCTTTCTCGGGCAAGGTGACTGTTCCGTAGAGCATGATCTGATTTCCAATGATGGCCGTCGCGCCAATGCTCTCAACATGCGTCGTGCTTGTGTCGTGATTGGGAAGGATGGGAATCACGACATCGGCCGACAGGAGGATCTGCGGGTGTGGTCAGGAAAGGAAGAAAGCGCCAGCAGCGGAGCGGCATGTCGTTGGAAATACGTTCTGCATATGCATCATGCACCTGGGTCGCCACAGCGATTCGTCGGCGGCCGCTCTTCAAAAATGCGAGCTATCTACCTTGCCATTGTCGCCAAGGACAGCCATATACCCCGCATTTGGGTGGCCGGGATCAAGTCCATCGAACGGAGCCGGGAAGAGACTGTAGACAAGAAAGAGGATAGCCGGGGTCAGATGCAAGCAACCGTCTATTCTTCTGTGCGATGCCCCATCGTCGGATTCCGCCGCCGTCTGCTTACTCCAACCGCCCACACAACTGCAGAGTCCCCATGGCTCGTGAACTTTATCATGGATTGCTAGAGTTGCACGGCATCACGCCATACCCGTCATCGTCGTCGTTCCTAGGAGGTGGCGGATCAAACGCTCCTGTCAGAACCAAGAGTCGAATCGGCTTCTTTGCAATCTCGAAATTGATGACTTCCATCGATATTATGCTACCGTCAGCCTGAACAGGGATGTCTTCGTACACCCATTGCACATGCTCTGTTGCCGTTGCAGATGAAGGCGTTTGTCCGAGGCAGAACCACCAAGGATGAGGTTGTTAGCGCAGAAGTGATATCAGCGGCAGGGACAGTGTGCATCAAGCACCATCAGGTGCTGTAGACAGGTAACCAAGACCGCCGCAAAGTGGTCCGTGGGCACTGTCAAGAACGATCGAATGCCCAGGTGGAAGCGAGCGAGCGAGATCGACTGGATGCGTGGGCATAGACAGGAGTATACATGCGTAGCCAGTAGACAGGACAGTTCCTACAGCCGGCACTGAGTCGCTGCATCAAGTGTCTAAAGTCACCAATCGGTCGATCCTCACCAGATTCGGCCCCGACGCCGGCAACAAACGACGTGAAATCGGCATTGTCCTTGGCAGAGGAGCTCGACGCCACCACGCCGCTAACCCAGAACATGCATCCATCGGTCTTCCGGTTCTTGGTGTGCGACAGCGCCAGGTCTGTCAGAAGCTGGAAGCGAGACTTTTGCGTGACGGCTCCCAAGTCAAAGCTGGCATTGAAGAGCGTAGTCTGGACAAGCATGCTGGGATCGCTCAGGATTGCAATCTTGCCGACCGCCTTTGATACAGCCTTGCCGGACTCGGGATCGACCGTGTATTCGTAGAAGGCGAGCAGGTTGCGCCCGAGGCACGATTCCCACCGCAGCCCCGTAACGACTCGGATCACGCTTCCATCCTTGCTACTGGGGGTGTCGAAAAGCCCAGTCTGTGCCTGGAGGATGGAGCCGTCGGCATTTTTGAACGAGACCAAGAAGATATCGGATTTTTTGGGCCTGCAACAGAGAACACACGCGCACGAACGACGATGGTAATGAGATAACCACGATGGCGGTACAGCCGTTCGAGCCCGGGAGAGGGTGCTCGGGGAACTCACGAAATATCCAGGGTCGACCCCAAGGGCGGCTTGCTCGAGAGCTCCAAGCGAGTGCCGACGAAGGATCCTGCGACGAGAAGGTTGTGGCTGCTATCAAACCCAACGGCGCAGTCGATCGGAATATCCTGGGCCCACGGATCCGAGTGTGTCGAGAAGAGGGTGATGTTGTCCAGCCACAAGAGTCGACCATCGAACGAATGCTTCATCACCATCAGGGCCGCCTGGCCATCGGGAGCTGCGTTGAACGCAAGCAGAGATGTTACAGATCGCCTTGCGGGCGAGGCACCCGAGGGGAGACCGCATCTACGATTGCTCAAGCTCGGCTGCACGATCAATTGCGACCCAAGGCCTCGGCCAAGGCTGCTCTTGGCCACCAGAATCATGGGAATGGGCGCTTACTGCTGAAGATGGTGTCGTCGATGGAGACGCTGCCGCTCACCGCCGCCACCGTGAAGATGGCTTGGTTGTTTGGCTTGGCCTCAAAGATAGAATGTAGGATCTTGAACTGGCTGTTGTTGCGGATCGTTGGACTGAATGTCCACTTGAGCTCGAGGTTGGGATCGAGATGGCCCAGGAACCAAGAGCGATCTGGAGCGGGAAGGAAACGGCCAGAAGAAAGTGCCCTTAGCCAAGCCATCCTGCAGCCTGAGCGATACCAAAAGCAACACTCCTATGACATGGCGAGTAAAGCAGCACAGGGTCGTGGCCAATACCTCTCTGGACCTTGGCCACCTGGCTCGGATGGCCATCAAGCTGGGGATGGAGCGAGAATGATCCCTCAAAGATGCCTGTGAGCAAGCCGGACCTAACACAGGGTGAAAGCCGGTCAGGGTAAAGGATCGAGGATCTAGACGGGCGTGGGTGGGAATCAACAGCATCAGGACATCGGGGCCGATGCTGGGCGGCCTACTTTGTATACGACGGCCAGACCAGCGACTGCAGCGACGCCGAGTCCTGCTGGTCAAAGAACGGCGTCCAGGTGGACGAGGTGTATGCATCCGCCGGGGCGGCTCGGAGGAGGGCTGCGAGGAGCACCAGCGCAAGGTGCAGGCTCTGGATCCACGGTGGCATTGCACAGAGACGGAGACGATGCTGCCGCAGCGATGGGCGAGCTTCAGATGCAAGCAGACCGGCGGAAGGAAGCCGAGGCCCAAAGCCCCTTGCAGCCAGCACGCCCGTTTTGTCGTTGGTGGCCTCGGCGGCGCTGCAAAAGCGCGACGGGACAGCAAACCATCCCGGGCACGCCATGTGGCGACCAGAACATGCAGCATCGACCAGAGCACACAGCAGCGAGGGCCCTCTGGCCGATGCAATCGTCAGCGGCGCTGCATCGGTGTACCTCCATGAATCGCATGCTGGTCTGAGACAAGACGATGCTACACCCGTCGGTATGGCGCTGCACCCTGGCTGTCGTCGGATGTCGACTGATGGCCTGGCCCGTGCCGCATTTGCTCTGGGTGGATCGTGGCCGGAGTGCATCCAAGCGGCCCAATGCTCTGGCCGGATGCGCTCGATCAGCCACTTGGCAAGCCTCCTTGGCCGTACGCCTCCCAATCACACCATCCAGCTATCCAACCGTCAGATTCAATTCAGCGCCCAAGCGATCTGCGGAAGGAATGGGGTGTTTTTCTCGGGCTTTGCCACGGTGTTTGAATCCCTCGCTTGGTTGTCGTTCCCATCCTCCCCTGCCTTACTCCCTGACTCCCCTCCTCGGGCTGCATCTCGCATTCCTTTATTCACCTGGATCCCATCCACGGAACGCCCCTGGGATTCTGTCGTGTGCTGCTGGGCTCATTCAACAACCGCTACCGCCGTCGTCGCCCACACGAGTCTGCCGGGCATCCAAACCACCCCGATACTGTCTTGCCCAACGCCTCACCCTCGTCGGTCTCTGGCTTGCCTTGCAGCAGCTATCGCCCCGTCTACGCAAGCCATCCATCGCCCTTCATCAAGTCACTCGCTCTCCCTCTTGAGAATTACCCCAGTGGCGCACCCCACCGCCCTTGCTGACCCATCGACACAGTACTCGATCATCAGGGGCCTCTCGCCTGTTCATTTGTACGTTCCCACGCTTCAGCATATTTGCTCCGTACATGTTGCCCCTCACGCAGAAATGAGGAGCATGAGATCCAATCCTACCCTAGAACTCAAGCGAGACCCCAACCGTTCCTCGGGCCACCTCGTACCGACAGCGGCCCCCAACGACTCAAGCAGTCTCCTCCGATCCACCTCGAGTGGGAGTCTGGCCGAGCCCACTGGTGCTGCCAACCATCCTCAGGTCGAGTTCCGCTCGCTGGGCCGAGTCAAGAAAGGAAGCGGTTCCCAGCTTCATCTCAGCCACTCGAGCATCAACAAAAACGACATCACCATCACAACCTGCCCCGATCCCGAGTCTGATACACGAAGCATTAACAGTACCGATCCAAAGGCAGACAGGCATCCTTCCCAAAAGACGGAGCGGGTCCGGAACATACTCAAGCTCGGCGTCGATATGCTTTCGCGCAAGAAGAGCCATACCGAGTCCGTAAAGTCGCCCACGATACCGCTCAACTTCAAGCCCCAACGATCCGGCAGATCGCCCGTCCTCGGCTCCCCACAGCTCTCTGGCGATCTGCTGCCGTCCCCGCTTCTGACCGAGCCCTCGCCCGTCGTCGCCACGCCCTATTATTCCGAGCCGCCATCCAACTTTGAGCTCCCAGACATCGCCTCGCCAACGGTGGGCCTGACCCTATCTGGGTCGTTCTCGCGCACCAACAGCGCCGAGATCTCCAACCCCTCGGAGGGGCAGATCTTCAAGGGATCCGTCTTCAAGAAGGGTGCTGCCAAAGAGTCGGGCACTCATCACCGCCAAATCTCCTTTAGCGGCTGGTTCTCGTCCAAGTCGAGCATATCCGAAATGAACACCTCTGGAGCCAGCATCACCCTACCCATCAGCGTCACGGATCCATCCGAAACCAGTCTGGTGTCAGTCGGGCCTGTGTCTTCGACTGCCCCGCCTGCGGGAAAGCCCAAGCCAAGGCCACGCTCACTCATGATTGACTTTTTCAGCACAAAGCAGCAATCGAGCGGAAAGTCTGGTGGTGCCATGCCGGCTCAGACTTCCGGGGACCTGATCGAGGCGCGGCTGAGCCAGATCATGACAAGTTCGCCCGACTCGTGTAGTCCCACGAAGCGGGAAGTCGCGACCACCGGCGACGAGTTTAGTCCAACAGAGTTTCAAATCAGCCATTCAGCTCCGAGCGAGGATCGGGGCAAGGTCCATAGCTGGATCGACAAAGTTGGCCATGCACTCAAGATCCGGAGCTCGTCAAAGAGCCGCCCGTCACAGGTGCGTTGTGGGAAGGAATGATTGACCAGCCGGCCATGTTCGATGGCCCTGTGCATTAAAGTCCGCGGGGCTTTCGTTCTGTCGTCTGTCGTCTGTCGTCTGTCGTCTGTCGTCTGTCGTCTGTCGTCTGTCGTCTGTCGTCTGTCGTCTGTCGTCTGTCGTCTTGGTCTAACTTTCCTCTGGTTGCTGCTCCTTCAGGCTGAGCCAAGTAGACCAAAGGTAAGCTGCATGATCGATACCATGCTCTATATCGACCCTCTATCTTGCCATACCGATACGACCATCTAAATTCCACATCCACGTTACATCTCCGCCACCAGGTGACCCTTGAGGTCCGCGGGCCCAAAGCCAACATCAAAAAAGTCGACTTGGGTGGATGCACGACTGCAGCCCACGTTCGTCAAAAGATCCACCATGCCTTCAAGAGACAGCCAGGACGAGGCACGCTCTGCTCCATTCCGGCTCAGTTCAGTCCCCTTGATCTGGACAAAGGTACGGCGAGCTTGTCTGTTCGTCGACTAGTCTATCAACCAGTACATCGATCGCTACATGATATCGGCTGTTCTCATTGCTTCGAAGCCCAATTGCGACGAGCGAGCGGAAGGGGGGGCTGTAACTTGGTGGCTTGATGTAAATGCTCCAGTTCCTGATGTTGCAGTCGAAATAGCTCTAGCAGGTGCATGTCCTTCATCACATCGACACTTTAGCACTCTCTCTCCTGCTTCGCAGCCGCCCCGGTTCCGGACGAGGAGCTGTTGTCTATTGTCACAGGCATCACAACACCATCATACCACTTCCTTCTGCTGGATCTTCCCGCTGCTCCCCAAGCAAAGACCCCGATACCGGCACAGAAGCTGCAAACCAAGCTTCAGATTGCGACTCCCGAGCGCCCACACATGAAGTCTATTGCCGACAAGCTCGAGCAGTACTTTCCCGGCATCGACACCATCAACATCTCGGCGCCAGAGAAGGGTACGCTCGAGTCCGTCGCAAGCGGCGCCATTGAAGTCGAGCCCGAGATCGTCATTGTGCCAACGGAGACAAAGCACCGGCTGCAAGGCCCCGCACTGGCCTCGAGCACCATCACAAGTACCGACAATGTGTCGATTCTCAAGCTGGAGCACACAAACGGCGGCGCGAGCAGCAGCCTGGAAGAGGTGACGGAGCACCTGCACTCGACGGTAAAGCTCAAGACAGTCGTCATGGCCGTGGTTGCAAGTCGCACACAGCTGGCTCCGGACAAGAAGAGCATGCGGAGCCGGGCAAACTCGGCAGATGTCTTTACAAAAGAGAGACGGTTCCTGAAGGAAGACAGCACCTCGCAACAGCGCAAGACCACGTCGGTCCAGGATCTGCGGGCCGTGGCCCCGGATTTGTCCATCTATGTGAGCCAGTCAAACTCAACGCCCAACAAAATGTCTCATCTGTCGGATCCCAGGGCAGATATACGACATGGGAGCCATGTCTCTATCAAAGCCCTACAGAGCATTCCCGAGATCCCGACCGTCACAGTCGCCCAAGAAACCACGCCAGCGACCGAGGCCGAGATATCGGGTGCTTCGCCACACCCACCAAAACTCATGGCCACCACGCCTGCAACGGCCCATCTCATCTCCCAAATAGGCGACCATATCGATAGCGGCGCCGCGCAAGTGAGATCCAAGGGTCCTATCCTGTGGTATCAGGGCGATCGTCTCGGGAAGGGCAGCTTTGGCACCGTCTATCTCGGCTTGAACATGCGGACGTGGGAGTTTATGGCTGTCAAGACGATCGATATGGTTCCGAGGCGCCAGAGCGGCAAAGTTGTGCCGGCGCAGCCAGCCTCAATATCGGACAAGAAGCTGTCGATCGTGGAGGCCGTTGAGAAAGAAGTAGAGCTGCTCAAGACACTGCACCATATCAATGTGGTGCGCTACTATGGTATGCTGTCACACCCATGCCGGTACAGTGGGCAGAGCCGTAGCGGTTGTGGGGCTATCGCTTGCCTGAGGATCAAACTTGGAGCACCCCTGCACATGGAATCTGACTCGCTTGACCGCTCGTTGACTCTCGAGGATGCGAGATGACAGATTGCTCCTTCAACATATTCCTGGAATATGTGCCTGGCGGATCCATCCAGTCAGTCCTTGCCAAGTGCGGTCCGTTCTCAGAGCCCCTCATCAAGTCTATGACGGTCCAGATTCTCTATGGGCTGGAGTATCTGCACTCAGAGTAAGCTCCCAGGCGACGCCGACAGATTTGGGCTTGTCGGGCTGAGTATATGCTGCATCAGATCATGCGAGTAGCTGCTGATGGCATTCCACGATGCTGCTTGATTGCTCGACCTAGAGGAATCATACATCGGGATATCAAGTCCGAAAACGGTTTGTGCCCCCTGCAATACATAGACTCTGCGCTCGAGCTGTTTTGGAGACTGCTTTGCTGACAGCCCCGCTTGGTACTCGTTCAGTGCTGCTTGATCTCGAGGGCGTGGTCAAAATCACCGACTTTGGAGTCTCGAAGAAGAACCGGAGTAAGTACTGACCCGAGTCGTTCCCAGTGCCGGTCTGGAAATGTGACAGGGGCTAACTCGCGAGACTGTTGGTCTCGAACGCATCTGCCAGGTGCACTCCCATACAGGCGTGCGTCACGCATGTCGATGAAAGGTACTCCGAACTGGATGGCCCCCGAGGTCGTCAACAACAAGAAAGGATACTCGGCCAAAGTCGACATTTGGTATGGCGGCTGTCACGGCGGCTGCGATCCATCCACGGCAGAGCCCGGCCTATCGCATCGCTGCCGGTCCTGCGAGTGGAGGTTTCATCTTGGTGATCTCACACACCTATTGCGTCACCAGGAGCCTGGGTTGTGTTGTCATAGAAATGGCAACCGGCGAGCGCCCATGGAGCCAATGCGACGCCGATTTTCAGGTGTACTTCAATCTGATGAAGGGCCTCGCTCCTCCGCTTCCCGACGACGCACCCGAGGCGCAAGGGAGGTTCCTTGGAGCATGCTTCACGATGTAAGTGGTCTGGACGAGGATACTGCTGAGCAGCGTGGGGCGAAATGCATCCCTGTGCTGCCATCGTCATCACCACCATCAGCGATATTGGCTTCAGGATGACATCTCACGGTCTCAACATTGCATGATCAACCGCAAACGAAACAACCAAACCACTGCAATCTTGCCGACTGATCCCGTCTGGCTAGCGACCCCGAGCTGCGGGCAACAGCGAGCGAGCTCCTGCACGACCCATACATTCAAGGGCTGGATCCCATGGATTTTGACTTTCCGACATACTACCAGGAAGCACAGGCCATCTGGAAAAGGAAACTGGCCGAGATGGAGGTGCAGAGCTCTCCGTCCTACGACTCGGCGCCATTTGGAGCACTTCCCCATATCTCGAAGCGCCATCTACCGCACTATGCTGATCTGCCCGAGGATCCCAATGAAGACTATGAGTTTGCCGACGGCGAGGAGTACCTGGAAGTCGAGGATATGGAGGACTACGACAATGAATACGAGGATGCAGACGACGAAAAGTCCTCCGAGGGAAGCACCGAAGATCTCCGTCCGACTGAGCCGGGGCTCTCTGCGCTCGAGTTTGCCGGCGAGTCGCTCTGTGATCCGGATATCGCCAGCGATGCGGGCTGCTAGCGGCCGGTGGTGCTCCAATACAGTGTCCAGCTTGAGGATGCTTGCGTGGGGCCGACATCCCCGAGTGACGACTTGGCCGACTTGCGTCCTCTGCATGTCTGTCGTCCAGCCGTGCGGATGTCTTTGGGTATCTGTCCCGCGGATTCCAGCAGCAGCGACAAAGCACTCCGTCCAGGGCCGCAGACGTCCCGCACAGGGCCGCCGCTGCCGTGTTGGGCATCGACCCCCCCCCGGACGACAAAAGCCGCTCCCGCCTGGCCATGTCGCCCCTCCCTGGTGTGCTCTTCGTCTCGGTCTTGCTTGCTGCACCTGCTCCCCTGCTGCTCCTGCTGCTGCTGCTGCTGCTGCTGGCTGCCTGCCGAGATCCAGTTGTCTTCGCCCTTATCCTCATCTCCACCCTCGCCCTGCATCCAGTCGTCGCACATCCGCCCGCCCTCCGATCGCCACTTCGTTTGCCATGACAACCCAGCGACGACTCCCGCCGCCCGTCATCTACTCGCAAGTCCAAAAGCACTCGACCCTGACCACCCCCCCGTCCAAGCCTGTCTCGGTGCCATGTCCTCCCACTCCCCCTCCGACGACCGCCATCCCAGAAATCCCACCTCCCTCGCTATCGCTTGACAAGGACGAGCCATCCGTGGACTTTTCGCCGATATCCTCTGGCGTGAGCATCGTTTCCGACACAGCCGCTTTCGCTGCCGATTCTGCTCCCGACCGTCAGTCGGCCTCCGCACACACTCACCCCCGTCTCCTCCATCAGGGCTCGCTTCTCGAGGCTGCCTTTACGTACGCCGACCGAGATTCGCTCGAGAATGAGATCACCGAGTTCTTTGCCTATTCAGACGGCGTCCCCATTCAGCAAGGAAAGCAGTTGTTCGAACAGTTTTTCCCAGGTGCGCATCTTGGCGACCGTTGCACCCAGTCGCTCCGATACGCAAGCAGATAGACATTGGCCCTATCTTCGTCGCTACCCTGACCACTACCATTTGCCTTGCGCAGGGCTGTGGACTGACGCATCGGCAGATACGAAGCAGTCTTACATCGAGCTCCTCCTGCACAAGCTCGAGCAGGCCGATCAGAACAGGCGGCAATCGTCGATCAAAGAGTTGCTGTACATATCCATGGGGGTCTTTGCAGAGGCAGACAGTATCGAGAGCCACATCGAGATGATCAAGGAGAACAACGGCTTTCTTTGCCGGATCGGAGCCACACCGTTCTTCATAGATGGACTCAAGTATGCTTCTGGAACCCTGGCCGCGGTTTCCAAGAAAATCGGACCGACCCCGAGCCCCAGCGAAAGGGGCCAGCTCGATATGCTGTTTTTGGAGATATCGATCTTTTTGAACCTAATCTATTTATTGGTCGAAGTGAACCTGGACGACCCGAGCTTTGTTCGGCAGCTGGGTAAGCAGCGGCAATCGTCTGCCGCTCTGTCTGCTGCTCTGTCTGCTGCTCTGTCTGTGGCTCTGTCTATGGCTGGCTGTCAACATGCTCGGCTTGCTTCAGCCGGCAGTCACGAAAATCTACCAATCAAGCACAGACAGCTGATCTCTGGCGTTCAACCTTTTGCAGACGGCGAGCCGAGTCTCCTGGTGTTCCTGTTCGACTGCATCGGCCAGATGCAAGAGAGCAACCGACAAAACTATCCGCTGAAGAAGGTATCGCATCCGAGCATTGCGCGCAGTGAGAGGAGAATATTGCTTGTACCGACTGAACGAATGCAAAGGTGGCTCTGTGACCATGTCCATGGATCCTGATCATATTTGCGCACGCTCCGCAGTTGATGGCTCTCCTCTGGAAAACGATGCTGGCTTGTTTTGGAGGAACCCGTCATTTCGCCGACCTCAAAAATGCCTCGCGGTATCGAGAAGGGCTCGATCCGCTGAGCGACAAGGGTACGGCTGACATCGGCGTTTTGTTGGCAGCCTCTGAGGCAACAGCGACATCATGGCTCTGGGAACGCAGGACGGCGCCGTGAGCCCAAACCGGACGGCATGTGCTTGTCCAGCGGAAGGCCCACCGAAGAAGTCGGGGGCCGTCGCACTCCGTCGCTTACCTGCTGACGCTTTCGGTCTGGATACGACTAGGACTCTTCCTCAAGTCGTCGCCTGCAGATTTACATCTCTATCATGCAGTAGCATCCCACCGGCATCCAATCTGCTTCTTGCCGGAGGTGCATTCGATCCTCGGCAAGCGACAACAAGAGGCCGGTCTCTACAAGTTCTCCACCTCGCTCTCGGCATACGAGCCATGTCTCCAGACGGCTGACAAGGTCATTTCCCAGTCCTCTACATGGCCGGGAACCATCCTCCCTCTCTCCGACGAGCCACTCCCCAGTGCCTTCAAGGAGAGCCTGGAAGTATTGGAGAGGCATCTCTACATCACACATACATCGGTGCAGATCGCTCGTGAGCAGCTCGACCAGGACAGGATGGCGACCATGGGCAGCTCGGTCTTCACCCAAGACATCCACCAGACGCGACCCATCACCCGGGACCGCTCCGATGATGCTCGCAGATGGGCGAGCGACGACGCCTTTGAGCGGCTCGAGAGAATCGAAGCAACCTATGTAAGCAAAGCATCGACTCACTTGGTTGGCCCATCGGCGGCAGCCGTACTCCTGTCGCGGCTCAGCGGACTCGGTGGCCCTGTGTAAGAAGCCGGAACTTTGTTATTGTCTTCTAACTCGATCGCGGCTGCGTGGTCTCAACTCAGCGGGCGCTTCTCCCCAAGCTGCATACCTACATCGATACCCTGGTGCGTCTTCTTTACTATGTCAACATTGGCTGGACAAACTCCAATCCCAACACACAAGGCAACCAAGCCCTCGACACCCCAGTCGAGAACTTGTCCGCCGAGGAGCGACAGCGCGCCGTCGAGCAGGCAGATCTAAGCCGTCATAAGGAGATCGTGACCAAGGCCCTCACGGGGATATTCTTCCTGCTCCTGAAGAGCACCAAGGCGTGCAGTAAGTCAATCTGCGCTTGTTCCTGTGTCTATGCCAGACTGTGTACATGCCTCAGTCGTGCTATCTGGCGGCTGTGATTCACCGAGGACGTCAAACTGACTCTGTCCTTTGGGATTCGGTTCAAACCACCAAGATGTTTTCATGTTTGAATACATCTCCGAGCAACTCCTCGACAAAAATTGCTCGATTCTCATCCTGAAGATGCTGAATTCTTGGTTCCCCAACCAAGCCGCCGCTCGAGCACCGCCTGTCAACAACTTTACGAGCTGGGGCACAATGGACTCGGCCTCTCCCCAGACCCCAGCGCCCACATCGACCTTTGGAAGTAACAGTACTACCGGTATTAACGCCAATACTCTGCCGCTGTGGCTCAGGGACAGGAAAGAAACAGAGCCCAGGTGAGCGATGGCCACAGCAGCCAGACCACTGAAACTCAACGATTCCATATGTCGGTCGCTCACAATTCACTACTGCGCCACGGTTCTGGTTGGACTGTCGCTAATCAAATCCGCGTGCATTCCCTCTCCTTGTCTAGCTTCTTTGCATACATCCGCTCCGGCGGGGGCCTGACGGATGACAAAAATCCCGGCGCCGTCCCTGCATCCAACACGACCTCTCCAGTCGAGGGCGATGGCACTGTCAAGGTGTCCTGGAGGAACTTTTTCAGTACCATCAACCTGCTGCGTGTCCTCCAGAAGATGACCAAACGCAAGCCGCATCGAATCATGGCATTTGTCCAGCTAAAGCCCAACGCGCTGCTGAAGCGAGTCGTCCGCGTGCAGCACTATGCAGTGCAGATCTATGCCCTGAAGCTCCTCAAAAGCCAAACCCCTTATCTCGGGAAGAAATGGCGATCGGGTGGGTCTCGGATGCCCTTGTCAGCGCCTACCCAGCATAGAGCATCCATGGCGGCGTGATTTGAGATCCTAACCCTACTACGCTCTGCAACCAGTGACTGCAAACATGAAGGTGATTACATCAATATTCATGCACCTGCGCCCCAGGTTGAATGAGGAATATCTCTGCAGCGACTCCGAGTGCAGCCCCGAGCAGGCATTGGTACGTGTCATGAGCATGCGCCGCCGCCAAAGTTCGACAGAGGCCGACGACTGCCGTCTAACGATCTCGATCTCCCTTCCGCCGTCAATTGCAGGCTCAGGAGCAAGATATGCGCGCCTTGACGGTGCGATTCCACCAGCGTCATTTTGAAGGGCTGTTCCCCAGCGCCAGCACCCAAATCGAGAGCACTCCGCCGCCAGGACACCCGCACCTGGAATCAGACGAGGAGCTGGAGGCTCTGCTGATGGAGGGAGGGACGCTCTATCCAAACAATCCCGAGTACGAAAGGTACCTGGAACGTCTTCAAGTCCGCACCGACTCGGCCTTTGTCGAGGATTACGAACACTGGATTTCCACCGAGGTTTATCAGAAGCAGATGATTCGGCTTGAGATCTCGCCGGATGATCCAAAACCGTCGGCCATTGTCCCTCCGGTCGACCGCAAACCAAGCGCCCTTGCGCGAGATGAGCTCGCAGCCGCGGCACCGACGGTGAAAGCCAAAAAATCGGTGGAAAGGTCCCAAGGAAGCTCTGCAGTCGAGGGTAGCGCCATGCCTTTCTTGGCAGCGATTCCTCGGCTGTCCTCTGCTAATCGCGAGGTTCATTCCGATGTCGGCGCCAGCAGCAGCAGCGTCATCGCAGGCGAGGAGCCACCGAGAATGGCGCTGTTTTCGACGGTGCAAAAGGAGATAGCAAGCACTTTCCTCAAGTCGCCTATCCCGGCTGCACCGCTGCTGATATCGGCTGTGTCGCCCAGCCACATCCGCTCTCCTCTGGCCTCACCCCTAGCGTCGCCGCTGCACTCGCCTCTCCAATCGCCCTCGCTGAACAAGAAAAAGTCAACGACTGTACTTCCGGCTCCGAGCCCGACGCCCGTGGTTGTCGATGGCTGGAGCGTCGACGCTGAGCAAGAACACGAAGCAGAGCCACTGCCATGGAGCTCGTCTAGTGCATCCTGGAGCGACTCGACCAAGAGCCCCGAGGGAGCTCGAATCTATTCCACATGGGGAGCTGCGCCCGTTTCGCCGGATCTGCCGAACACCCAGTGGACGGCTAGAGACCCGCCCCAAGTCGGCAGCGAAAGCCCAGGCGACGGCTTTGGTGACAGACCCGGTCCTGGAGACGATGGCTATTTCTGGCCCGATGAAGCTCCGGTGCAGAACGAATACGTCGATGTTTTCAGCGGAGCGTTCTCGACCTCGGACGCCGGAGACGATGGCGAGACAAGCGGCTCGACGAACAACAATTGCCACTCCAACCACCCTGATCACGGCGAGGCATCCAGCGAGATGTCGTCTGGTGAGACGGAAGTAGCCTCTCCGTCAGGTCCGAACAGCATGTCGCAAGGCGGATCCCGGTCAGCAGAGTCGCACATATCAAACCCCGACGAGCACCCCGACGAGCACACCGACGAGTCCGATCTATCAGGCATATCCGAAGACGAAGGAGCCTCCGCGGGTACGAAGGTCGACAGCCCGGAGAGCCAAAGCACCCTGTCAGTGCCGTCTCCGTCGAGTGGAGACTCGTGCATAGCGCCGGCGGTGTTGCCACAGGCCCAGTCACCAGGCACCCAACCAAGGGAAGCAGCCACAAAAAATGCATCCAAAACCACAAACTCCAAAAAGAACCACGCCAAGAAGAAACGCCGCGCCAAGAAAAAATAGGGTCCCATTCCCACACATACTGTCAATCCCGAACGATATCCAGATACTGGGCCTTCTCGAGTCGCTTGGCTTTCCAGGCACACTGAGCACATCGTTTGGTCATGGCTGCGATGGGCGGGTGGGCGTATTTAGGTCCCAGAAAAAGCATATATGGGTGCGCCGTAGTAGCAGTTGCAGGCGCATCCCGTTACCTCTTCTACATTCCAATCGAAATATACCGTCTCATAGAAACGATCGGTAGCTGCCAGATGTATGCGATAGGATCCGTGGCCTATGGACGATAGGTAACGATGTCCGGCTACGGCGGGATATGTTCTGAGTTGATTTTGGAGATTCAGAGTGCAGGCCAAGTATCTGCTCGCCGCAAGCAGCGATCGGATATGGATGCCGATCGATGGCGACGCCTGTGAATGCGATGGATAGAGCCTTGTATTCAAGAAAACGGGGATCATCTCAGAAGAATGCCGCGCCGACGAGCCCCCAGAGATTCAGCGCAACCACACAGATCGCACTCAAGCGACGATGCCATCGGCGGGGGTCTCTGGCTTGAACGTCAGGGTGACATTGCCGTTGAGCGAGACCAACTCCATGGTGCCCTCCGGGAAGCCTGGCCGTTTGATGTCGCCGACCTTTGAGCGCTCTTCATCCAAGATGACACCAAGCTCGTAGAATGCATCGTTGTCGCTGAAGCAATTCGTGTCGACCTTGACCTGGCCATACTCTGTCTTGACACTAAAGATGCCAACGAATTGGTCCGACATCACAATATCGACGTTGGCCTTGGTTGACTGGGCCACGATCGAGTCTTCGCCGCTGGGTTTCAGGAACTCAAAGTTGATGGAGCCATCAGCCGAGCGAAGTCTTGTGGTCCGATACCCAAGCGCATGTCCGTGTATGTTGCCGTGGGTTGTGGTTACTTGAAGTGATCCCGAGCCCTTGCCATTGAGGGCCTCCAGCGTGATGTCACCCTCGCTGAAGAGCTCCAAAATCTTGGCGCTCAAGCCCTATTGAGTGGGAGCCACACAATATTGAGTACCAGGGATTAGTGCGCCGGACTGGACGCACAACCGGCCATTTGCTTCTCTGCTACCCCAGCACACAAGCGCCCTTACCGATACAGCCAGGCTCTTCACGCTATGGTTGCTTGTGGTATATACGGTCTCAACAGTAGAGTCCTGGTGTCACAAATTACAGAGCAGCAATCAGACCAAGGCATTTGGAAGTTGAGACGAGTCCGAGCCGGCGTCTCGCATCCTCTGCTCGCTGTCGGAGCCGTACAACGCGCACGTACCTTGATTGTGACTTGCAAGCCTCCATATAGTCCCAGTAACGATCCCGTAAAGCCCTGTGATTCCTCAGAGTCAGTCATTTGGTTACAGAAACTGAGCAAGCCGGTGCGTTTCGTGTCCACGGGCATACTTCGATGTTGGTCGTGCCCATCAGATTTGTGATTTCGAGTTTGCTCTTGACTTTGCAAGACTGAAGCAGACGACATGAGACAAACATCAGTGTGCGGCAGATACCAAAGACCCAGACACGGACGAGAGGGCGAGGCCGTTACCTTCAGATCCAGCACACCTTCGGTGAGATTTAGCTCGGCGGTCTCGGTCCTGACGCCTGTTAATACACAGCGTGCCTGATTCTTGAGATGCAGCGCTACAATGTCATCGATAGAGACCTCCTGCAAGACGATTGATTAAGGCGTCAGGGGCGAATATGCCCAAGGAGACGTTCGCATCCAATCCGACAAGAAACGTGGTCGTGCTGGTACCTCGAGCTCGATGCGGCCGCTATCCATGCTGGTGCTTAAACTGATGATGCTCGATTCCTGAGGCAAACGAAGGTCAGGCGTGCGCGAGTAGTGGCGAAGGCACTGGTAGCTGGCGATGCAGCAGACATGGTTGGAAAGCGGCACTCACGCTTATTCGGATCGCGCCATCCCATTCGATCTGCAGGTGCTGGCCGGTAACGCTCTACCGATCGATGAGGGTCAAAGCCGCGGGCACCGTGGGGATGCATTTGCAAGGTGAGTTTCGAGGCTGATCAGTCGTGAATGAATCCATCACAGCCACAGCCAGGCTGCCAGCCAACCAGGTGGAAGCACAAAGGCGGGGTATTGTCATGCACGTCCAAAGCTTTCAGCAACAGTTGCTGCGGCACACAGGCTGGAGCGAGACCCACCGCTAGCTGACCAGTGGCTTCTCCTTGATACTTGATTTCGAGATGGGGAACAGTCACTTTCTGCGAGATAGAGAGGGGGGGGGAGGGAGAGAGAATGGATGAGGCTGTCTCCGACAACTGAATTCTCACAGACCAAAGCACATTCGTATGTGCGCCATGACCTCCCTGAATACAGGTAAGCGACTTACCACAGCATCAAGGGACCCGCCTGAGCCTATCAATGCCACTCGCCCCAGAGCTTGGATCGACTGTATGACAAGAAGCGTCATGTACGGCGCCGGCATCAGCAGACTTGGATACGATACTGTTTCGATATCAAACGCGCATACATCGACCGATATGACTGCCGTACTCTTACCGCAATGTTGAATTGGCCGTTGGAGATGTTGGTGAAAAAGTCGTGCGTCATCATTCCCTGCGACAAATGTCCCGATGTATATGGATTGCATTGGCACGGTTAGCTGACTGTCAGGTCTTGGTAAGCTCGAGACACGCTGATGGTACGATAGCGCGACATACATTGATCGTGATTTTACTGTTGCCCGAAGATACCAGCTCGCATTTGTCGATGATCTCACAGTCCTGTGTAGAGGAAAGTAGAAACGGGCAACGTTAAACATCGGGTCAGGACTGGCACGGACTGCTGGCACAACGCTCTGGGGAGAATGGCGATACGTACGAAGATATCAAGTTCACAGCATCCCGAGAGAAATAGTGACCGGGATTGCACATTCTAGTGATCGAGAGACACAAGGACGCATCAGCGCATAGTCGGCAAGAGTCTTTGGACGGACAGTGTCGCGTTTTGACACTTGGCGTGTGGCGACAGTGGATGGGTACTGGGCTTACCGATAACGAAACCTTCCGATCCGACTGAATCTGAAGCGCAGCCAGAAACGAGTTCTGACGATAAACGGCCAGTTGGTGCAGAATGAGACACTGAGGGTATCTAAGGACAGGCAGCCAGATATGGATGGAGTCTACATATACATACCTTGAGCGTCACTGGGCCGTTTGGATTCAGAATGCTGAGGGAAGCATTGCTATTCTGGATATTGGCATGAAGATTCAGAAGCAAATACGACAAGAAACAAGACAAGACAATGCCTGTGCTGTGAGGAGACGATGTCATTGCTGGAGAGTTTGTGGGCAATCACACCTCGATATGTATGGCACCATACTCGCTGAAGATGTTGATGTGATCGGCGAGCGTATTCTAGGACACGAGACAGATATATCAGATGGAGACCACGGTTATCAGTGCTCCACAACACCCGTCGATCGGACTGCCCTGTGCAACGATTGTCAGGATGCGATCCGATACCTTGACGAAGATGTATGACGATTTGGAAGAGAGCTCCAGCTCCAAGAGCTCGACCGCATTGTCGACTACAATGTCGAGGGATTCGGACTGGAGCTTCAGGCCGAGCTGCTTGGAGTGCGGCAGGAGCGGAGGAAAGATGACCTCGACGACGACGAAAAACTTGATGTTCTTGTACTTTTCCTTTGACATTAGCTCGCGCGATGGCTGGGCAGCGATGGTGATGGTGATGGTGATGGTGATGGTGATGGTGATGGTGATGGTGATGGTGATGGTGATGGTGATGGTGATGGTGATGGTGATGGTGATGGTGATGGTGATGGTGATGGTGATGGTGATGGTGATGGTGATGGTGATGGTGATGGTGATGGTGATGGTGATGGTGATGGTGATGGTGATGGTGATGGTGATGGTGATGGTGATGGTGATGGTGATGGTGATGGTGATGGTGATGGTGATGGTGATGGTGATGGTGATGGTGATGGTGATGGTGATGGTGATGGTGATGGTGATGGTGATGGTGATGGTGATGGTGATGGTGATGGTGATGGTGATGGTGGTGGCCAGTTGCATGATTGGATGAGTTGGTCAGTCATGATTCTTGCTGTCTATCCTTGTTCCTGGTCATACGCCATGTCCCGAGAGCAATCTGGAACTCCAGAGCAGGCACAGGAGCGGCACCAGAGGAGAGTCTACGGTGCATCGTCACCATCGCTGCTGCTCGAACGACAGGTTCGGATGAAAACCATACCTTGATTTTCAGCGAATACCGCTCAGGAACCCCTCGGTCCCTTTCGGTGTTGGGCAGAACTTGCATGCAGCTGCTGGAAACGGTCGAGGAAGAGAAGACATTGTATCGGATCGAAATGTTGCGGGCGTCGATGGAATAGTGGTCGACCCGAGACCAAATCAGGCCGTCCTGCGAGATTCAGTGCAGCGAGAAGTCGAGACACTCAGCACATAGCATGCGAAATCAGAATACGCCGTCCAGCATCGGGGCTGGAGAAGGCAGACGAGACGGCGCCGGGCGGTAGCTGGCGGAGGCGGATGCCAAGAACGAGTCTCTTGCGAGTATTTCGCTCGGATCCCAAGCGGCGCCCATCGGTGCTGTCTAAGGAAACACCTCCTCCATTCCAACACTCTGCTCAAACAGGCGGGCTGGTGGACCCAAGCTATCTACTCGAACACCGCTGGTGGCCAGCATTTCAACGAGGCCCATCCCCATTGCCGACCTGTCGGCTTGATGACTCACAATGGGGCCTTCGGCGACGATGGCGATGCCAGTGATGGTGTCCCGCGGGATGGTGATCGATTCGCTCTTGTACCTGCGTCCAGGATAGCAAGGAAGCGCAAGCAGTAGACGACATCAGCCTCCATATCTTGCAGACTCGTCCGTGATCAGATGGAGAGAACAGCCACAGTCGGGCAAAGAAAGGAGACAGCGCCAGGGCATATGCAGGGGAAGGGAGGCAGGGCTGGCAACAGTTTACAGGCAAGGACAGGACCGATAGGCCTCGTTGTAGTGGCTCTCGCGGTCGAGCATCTTGCGGAGGGATTCCTCGGTCGGCGGGACTGTGGGGCTGGCCGAGGCCTCGGAGCCCATATCGAGCGGCCGTTGCATGGTGGGGCGGATGCGACTGATGTGGGCAATGCAACCGACGCAGGCGATGCGACCAACCCTGCAAGGAAGGACCCAGGGCGGGGCGGTGTCGGACGCAGAACACGAGAGGCCTCTCGCTGGGGGCTCGGCGCAAGCGAGAGCCTCCTCGGCCGCTGCGCACGGGGACGACGCAGCACAGGCTGTGTGCGCAGCAGAGCAGACTCAGACACATGGCGAGACGAGGGCGCGGCGAGAGCGCGGCGAGAAAAGCGAGGCCGAGACCGCTGGCTGTGCGACCCCAACAGGCAGCCCGAGCCAGCAGGATCGGCACCACATCGCAGCCCACATCTGCGTCTGCGCCAGCGATCTGCCAACCATGTCGACGTCCGAGGGAGCGAGCAGCGGGGGCAAGAAGCCCGTGGTGCTTCTGTGTATTGGGATGGCTGGATCCGGCAAGACAACGTTCATGCAAGTATGTGTTGCGGGGCAACGTGCTGCACCGGAGCTTGGCCCAGAATCGCTGGCTCACAGATCAAGGCCGAGTGGGCTGCATCAATGGCGGCGGCTGGCCAGGGGAGGATACTTGATGATGGTCTGGATGCAAGCGATCTATATGTGGGCTCACACCCTGTCGCCCTCCGCAGCGCCTGAACTCGCACATTCACTCGCAGCAAGAGAAGCCGTACGTCATCAACCTGGATCCTGCCGTCGGCCACATGCCTTTTGGAGCCAACATCGACATCCGCGATACCATCAACTACAAAGAGGTGATGAAGCAGTAAGTTGATGCGCCGGCTGTCCACGGAACCAACCTCGAACCCGCAGACCGAGCATATCCCGGGCCAGCGCTGATCGTAGCAGCTCGGCAGCCAGCACAGGCGATCATTCGGCATTGCAATCCGATTGCAATCCGATCGCCCGTCCGGTGGCCCAAATCCGTAGTGGATACTGCGGCGACTTGCTGAAGACCGATAGTGCACCTCTGCCATCTCGGCCCTCGTGGCAGATACTGAGCGGCTCATGAAGTCTCGTGTTTACTGCCGACGCTAACGACTCCATCATCGGGCTGGGCGGCATTCGACCCCCCCCCCAGATACAACTTGGGACCCAACGGCGGCATCCTGACGTCCCTCAACCTCTTTACCACCAAATTCGACCAAGTGCTTTCGTTTGTCGACAAGCGTGCCGAGAGTCTCGAGTAAGCATGGCTCCGATCAATCGTGGGGCAGTTCATGGAACTGGGCACGAGACATGAAGCCGCAGTCGCCCCTCGATCCGAACTTGGATTAGAGCCGCGATCTGACAACGCTCTCCTCTGCAACTGCTCCCTGACCGCCATTGAACCGGCATGCTTCATGGCTTGACCGGTTTCTTGTCGATGGCCAATCGGCTGATTTCCCTCTGCTTCCGCCCGAAACCGCCAGCTACATCCTTGTCGACACTCCGGGGCAAATCGAGATCTTCACATGGTCTGCGTCTGGCGCCATCATCACCGAGTCTCTGGCCGCAACTTACCCAACCGTCGTGTGCTATATCATCGACACGGCACGATCGACGGCCCCGGCAACGTTCATGTCCAACATGCTGTATGCCTGCAGCATCCTGTACAAGACCAAGTTGCCGTTTGTGCTGGTGTTCAACAAGACCGACGTGGTGTCGCATGACTTTGCTGTCGAATGGATGACCAACTTTGACAGCTTCCAGGCGGCGCTGCAAGAGGACACAAGCTACATGGCGACGCTTGTCAACTCGATGTGCCTGGTCCTGGACGAGTTTTACCAACACTTGCGTGTGAGTAGTGCCGGTGGCTCCTTTACCAGATGCGATCGTTTGAATCGCGATGTTTGGTGGTTGACACGGAAGGGTTACGACTAAGCCCTCTGCGTCCTTAGTTTGCAGGCGTTTCGGCAGTGACAGGCGCCGGTATGTCTGATCTCTTCAAAGCCATCGACGAAGCCGTCAAGGAGTATGAAACGTGAGTGGTCTCGTCTGGTCACAGCAGAGCCCAGGCCGCTCGGTAGTCTACTCGTCTGCGTCGTATCGCAGCAGATTGGCGGAAATGGCTGACACGCTGATCCTCTGCATATGCTTTGGATCACCAGGGACTACAAGCCCGATATCGAGCGAATGGTGCGCGAGAGAGAGGCCAAGAAGGAGCAGCAGCGCCAGGAAAGCCTGGCCAAACTGGTCAAGGACATGCACATCACCAAGGGCAGCAAGGTCGTGGTGGATGCCTCCCAAGGTCAGTCCTGCACGGAGCGACTTTCTGCGAGACGGGCAGCAGGCACCCGAGGGGGGCAGGAGAGGCAAGATCGGGTACGCCAATCGGTGCCGAGCTCCGGAGGCGACGGATGGTGCTCGGTAAAATTGGGTGGGGTGTGCTGGCAGTGGCGTCGGGCAAGTTGCTGCATTTGGGCACCCGCCCTTATTTTCATATCTGATCCTTGCTCAAGTAGCATTCGCCGACAACGAAGATCCGCGCTCGGACCACGAAGACGACGAAAGCATGGCTGACAACGGTAAGTGCAGGCCAACAGCGTGACGGGACCAGTCGCAAAAGCTGGCACACCAAGCAATAGCGCAGAGCGAAGAGCCGGTTGCTCACGACAATATGGTATCGCTGGCAGATATTGACGACAGATCAGACGAGAGACGCGAAGACGAGTCATTTGGCCGATTCTTGCGCAAGTAGTGCGGTGCTATCCACACGACGCGAGGGAGTGGGTGTTTGACGGGGGTATGTGGGCTCTCCCACGTCTCCATTCGAAGCGAGACACTGGTTTGTTCTCTGCCATCCCCGCCATCCCCACGGCTGTTCACCCGTTTGTCGATCTCCACTGCTGCGTCTTCGTGGCTCGCTCAATGTTGTCAGTCTCGGCTGCCACGCTTGTTGGCTGCATCCCCATTCTTGTTGACGAGGCGGAATAAAGTCATGGACATGGATGTCGGAAATAGTCGAGCAGATCACCATGGATGCCCATGTCTTGACCAAAGGCGGGAACGGTGGCACACCAAGACCGCGCCGGACTCGATGTCGGTTGGTGGCATGTTCGCAGACAGGACGACAGATCGGCCTTGGCCCATCTCAGCTGCGACTCGAGGGAAAGGGGTTGGGAGATGCAGAACCGACCCATGCGGCTGGCGGTAACACGGCGAATCGGTGCCGCTGATGGGCCAGCGACATCCTCCACCGCCGCGACTCTGTGGCCACGTTCGATCCCCTGCCCGAGGCACACACCTCCTCGACGCCTCGCCTCGCAAGGCGCGAAAGCACGCACTCCCCTCCCTTGCTCGGCAGAACAAGACACCTCTCGTCCTTCCTGCCTTGGCCTCATGTCCAAGGGCAGCCCTGGTATCCACGTCCCATGGTCGTAGCCTTGCGCAAGCACATTGGCGACGCCTTGCCTTCCTGCGCGTTGCGTCGCTTCTTGCTGGCGCTGTCCCCCCCTTTGCCTCTGGCTTTTGGGTCGCACGGCTTGCCCTTGGCTGGGTCTGCGGCCTTTGCTGGGTCACCTGAACTCGCATCGAAACGCAGGCTGGGCCCATTACGGCTTGGCGTCGATCTGATTCGCTGGCTGGAGCAGGCGAATCGCTGGGCGAGGAGAGCACCACGCCGGGAACACAACGAATCGGCATGTCCCTCCTGGATAGCTGCAATCTCTGTGGAGGCGCGATGGCGAGATGGCGAGATGGCGAGATGAGGAGGCCGCGGCGAGCTTGCTCCGAGCCCAGCGCATAGGGATGGCCAGCCAGGCCCGACACGCAGCGCACGCCCTCTGCCTGAATGGGGCCTGTGCCCGGTTGCCCAGCGGAGCTGCTGATTCGCGGGCGGAGGTGCTCAGCATGTCCCATGTCCCCAAGTCCTTGACGAACAAGCCCTTCGCCAGACACGCGTCCCAGACGGGTTTGGCGCGCGATCGGCCATCCCGCTGCCCCGCGCTGCAATGCACGCCATGTCCTCCCTCCTCCTCCAAGACCGGGGGCTGCCTGATGGATGCTGTTTCTTACTTTCGCTGTATTAGGCGATGTATCGCAATGCGCAAGCATATACATGAATTCTGGGGAGCAGCGAGGAAAGGAAAAAACGGATCTGCAAAGCCCTCGGTCGCGTCGAGACACATCCGATGGGCATGTGCAAAAGATGAATATTGCTTGGATCGGAGAAGAGAGAGCTCCGGAGCGAGTATGTGAGATAAATAGAGGGGGCCATGCTGAAGAGGGGAAGATACGTGGAGGGGGGGGCTCGGCGAATGCAACGATGTGAAAGGTGGTTGTGTAAGAGTAGGTGAATGAATGGATGGTATAGAAAGCAGAGGGAGAAACACAGAGCCCGGAGAGAGCGAGAGCGTCGCGATGGCAGGTTGACTTAATAAATACTTAAATAGCGACCACTGGAAGATCAAAATGACCCGTCGCCGTAAACGGCAAGGGGCGCAAGCCGCGGGGAAGGAAAGAGAGCTGGAGGGGTCGGGGCCAGGATGCGGCAAAAGCAAAAACAAAGATAGAAAAGCGGAAAAAGAGAAAGGGCGACGGACATCAGTATGTAGACGCACTGGCGCAACAGGAAAGGGAGTGGGAAAGGGCTGCCAAGTTAGAAGCACCGCTTGGTCTTGATGTGCCGATACAGGGCATCGCTTCGGGTAAAGCCAGTGCCGCAGTGGTTGCAGCGGTAACCAGGCGAGCGCGGATCGTGGATGATTTCGTGGCGCTTGAGGTCCTGCTTGCGGAGGAAGGTCTTTGAGCAGTCGGTGCACTTGAACGGGCGATCGACAGAGTCCGAGTCGGCGGGAGCAGCAGGGGCAGCAGCACCGTCCTCGGCCGCGGGAGAGGCCGGGCCGGCTGGGGCAGACTCGGTCGTATCGCCTGAGACAGCAGCAGCGGCAGTGGCAGCACGCTTCTTGCGGTTCTTGAGCATGCGCTTGCGGTTGGCCGAGGCAGCAAGCTTGTCGCTGGCAGCAGTTTGCGAGGGCGAGGTTGGGACGGGAAAGGCGACGGCCGGAGCAGTGGAGGGCGAAGGCGAGGGGGACGGGGGCAGGACGGCCGGTGACATGGAGGGCGACGGAGAAGGAATGCTGCAGGCAGGGAGCTCCACGGATTTCAGCAGCATGGCGTCCATCTCGGCAGCGTCAAGGATCGAGCATGGCAGGGATGAAGGCGAGAGGGCAGCAAAGCTCGGCGATGGAACAAACGGATACGGCGACGAGAGGCCAATCGACGGGGTGGTAGCGGGGCTAAAGTTGGATGGCACCACGATGGTAGGAACCGAGGCAAAGGAGTGGGCCGGGACGAATGCAGGGCCATGCATGGGCATGCTGCGACTTGAGCCGAGGACGAGGCCGTCTTGCGAAGACGCGGCCGGAGCAATACCGAGGCCGTGCGGGATCGGGGAGACGGGAGGGAAGCCGTGGAAGGACTGGTCGGCTTGGGACAGGGCAAGATGGGCCTCGGGTTCGGGCGACACCCACTGGGAGGACTCCCACAGGGCGGCATCATTGAGGTTGAGGAATTCGTCGATCATGTCGACGGTGCAGAGAGCATTGGGGCCGGCGGGAGCAGAGAGATTCGGAGCCTGGAGGAGCGAGTTGAGATCCTGGGGTGGCAGCCAGAACGGCTGGGCGGGTCCAGGTGTAAAGCCAAGGCCGAGATCCGATGGGGCACCAACAAGCCGCTCATCGGGGTGGAAGAAGCCGAAGGGTGCAGATGGCTGCTCGGGCAGAAGCATTGGAGCATACATGGCGGATGGCGAGAGTTGGCTGAAGATGGCAAGAGTGGGAAGACTGGGTTGCTGGGTTGCTGGGAGCCGGGGCAGATGTGGCAGATGTGCAAATGTGCAGATGTGCAGATGTGCAGATGGGGAGGCGCTGGACAGGCGTGATGGAGCAGCAGATGACAGGGCACCAGGACGGCTACTTATAGTTGAGGCGTATCAGGAAGGTGGATGGAAGCCGGGCAGGAGTCGGCTGATTGCATCCACCGACCAGGCCAGGACGGACTTGCACCAATCCCGGGAGGGTCTTTGTTGGCAAGGCAGCGCCCTTACTTATGCACGGCCATGGGGCTGTATCAAACCCAGAAGCCGGAAGACGACAAGGCCGAGCGAGCGAGAAGAGGAAAGGCGGGACCAGGGGCGGCTGGGGCAGTGTCTGTGCAGCAGACAAGCAGGGCCGCGGCAAGGAGCGCAGCGAGGACAGGGTGAGGGCAGAGCGAGGGCGGGGCGAGAGAAGGCAACGGCCGGTATGGACTCGGATGAGAGACAGGAGCGCATGCAGGGTCGCGAGCGGTGGCGGATGCGACGACGGTGGCCAAATGCCGTGGCAGTTGGATGGACAGAGGGATCGCGGAGCACTGCTATGGCATGGCGGCTGCATGACCAAGGCACGGCCAGGGCACGGCCAGGGCACGGCCAGGGCATCGCTATCGCTTGGCTGTTAGGCGACTGCTGGGCGACTGCTGCAATCGCATCGGCAAGAGCCAGCACCGCCGTCTCGCTGCCGTCTCGCTGCCGTGGTTGGTGCGAGACCGTCGGCAGCACAAGCGAAAAAAAAAAAGGTCTGCGTGGGCAGCCTAATCCCCGCACTCCCCGTGCTGGCGCCCATGGCCCTGTGCCCAGGGCAGCCAGGGCTGAATTTGAATTAGGCCTTGTGTTGGCTGGCCCTGGCGTGTCTGGGTCGTGCGGCTGCAGGCATGCCCGTCAGGCGAGTCGCGGCCGACATTGGTGATATTGGCGTGTCGCTGCGCCGTGCTGGCGGCTGCCTGACAATGTGTGTCCGAGGCGCTGCCGACACAGAGCGACAACATTGGTCTCAATCGCCGCTGCGGCGAGCCGTCTGGATCTTGCAGGGCGGTCTGTTTCCTGCGATGCGACGCAACGCAACGCAACGCAACGCAGCGCAATGCCACCGCCGGACGAGGGCCGCGCCGTCAGACTGCACTGCGCGGCCGGTGGATGGCCGTCGCTGTCCCAGCACACTCCGGTGGTCTGCGGCTGCCATTTCCCCCCCCCCGCAACAGCCTCGTCCGCCGTGGGATTGTTGGCAGGGTGACCGTGGGATCGGCAAGCGGCCAGGCCGCAAAGGGCACCGCCAGCAAAATCGAGGCGGGCACGAGCCCGTCTGGCCGTGGGAGCCGGCGGCCCGACCAGCCGAGCCAGCCGGGCCGAGTGACAAGGAAAATGTAAAAACAAATTTGACCTGGAAGGCCGGCGGTCGCTGTTGGCCCCCTTGTCCGTCGGGTATTTAGCAAATTGCATTCGCGTCTCAGAGTCGCACCGACACGCGGACAGCACGCGCACCAACGCGCTACCGAGCGCCGCCGACACGCGTCGCTGCGCTGTGCACGCCCCGCTTGCTGTCCCGGCCAACCGGCTGCTGCCGAGCCGGGCTCGGTCGCACAATCCAATTTACTGATTTGCCGAACCGCGCACAGACGCCATCCACCGGCCAAAGACCTGTGCAACATCAGGCCATGGGCAGCGCCAGCAGTTTTTTTTCCGCACCCAGTCCCGGGTGTGTGCTTCCTCCGGGCAAGTGCCTTGTGTCGCCGTGCCACCCGCACCACTTTTTTTTTTTCCTTGGGCGGTCTTGGTTTTGCCTGATTGTCCAGGCTGAGCGGCGCGAAATGTTGGGGCGCCCTTGCTCACGCGGACAGATACCCGCCGATATCGGTGGATGCCAGCCATGGATATGGCCTGTGGGAGGCCGGTGCTTGGTGTGCCTGTGCTTGCAACTGTGCTTGTCGCTGTGCATCGCCCCCGTCCCGATCGCCACGAACAAGAACGCTGGGCATCCCTCGGCATTTCCTAAATTGCATCTTGGAGCCGGGGAGGGGGAGCGACGCCTTTGGCGCCATGGATTGGCCACGAACACATGCCTCGCTGCACCATGCCATCGCACCTTCACCGCCTGCGGCCACAGCCAATTTATCGTCGAGCCGGTGTGTATCCGCGTCTCTGCAGGATACAAGCGGTGCCCCACCAGCCTTGTTTTGCTGCCCGGCTGGTCCAATCCGATCCGATCTGATCTAGGCAACCTTGGAAGTCGCCCATGTGACCCTGTGGGGGCGGCTAGAGTACTTTGCGGGTCAGGCGCAAGCCACGGAACCGTGGGAACACTTACCTGCTCAGCCCACCACATCGACACAGGCGGAAGGGTGGGTCGCATTGTCTGGCACGTTCACTGCCACCTTGGTTAGTGTGCTTGCGTTTTTTTTTTTCTTCTCTCTTGCTTCTTCGGATTCGAGTGTTGCCCATGGTCGCCTGATCTTGTAATCTTCCCCACAGAGGCGGCTCGGAATGGCCCTGGAATGAAGCACCACCGCCGAGCGCAAAGCCACACACCCGAGACATAGATCAAGGTCATTGCGCTGTGGCTACGGTGGCTAGTCACCTGGGCATCGCCTCTCCCGATCGAGGCTGTCGGTACTTGGACGGTGGCGGCGCTCGGGGCTCCGAGTCCGTCCACTGCGAGCCATCGCAGGGAGCCACCGACGACTTGGACAGGCTCAGGTACCAGACCGACCTGCTCTGTTCACTGCCTCATGCACTGCATCGATGCTATTGCGCAGGCGGTCGCTGTCGCCCAGTCCATACAGCCACCTGATTCCTCCGGTGGCGGCTCTGGGTTCATCGAGTCGTCGTGCCCGTGAGAGCCCTCGCGGCGCTGTGGAGAATCCGTCGGCCTCAGAGCGAGCCTGTCCCTCTTGCTTGCTTGCTTGCTTGCGTGTCTCCCCCACCACCGCTGCTACAGCCGATCTCGGTCAAAGTGCACAATCGTCGGTGGCCCTCACCACCCAAGCATACCCACCAATCGATGCAGCCGCATGGCGCCGCGCAGATGGTGCTACTGGGTGCACGCCGGGCGGGCCGAGAAGAAGCCGACCGACTCCATGGCGAGCAGGTCATTGCTGTTGAGCTTGTGATGGGACTGGAGAGCGACCGCTTTCAGTGGGTAAATGAAAAGGCTTCCCTTCAAGCGATGTGTCATTGGAGGTCGAGCCCGCGAGCCACCAAGCCCACTTCGAAGCGTCCATACCTTCTTCGTTATCTCCCCGAGTGAGGAAGCACCCTGGTCGATGCACTGGCTCTTGTCTGTACCAATCGGGTATGTCCGCGAACAAGAGAAAGTGCGAAGGCAAAAGCAAGAAAAAATGTAAAAGCGTATCGCCGGCCGCATATTAATCGTGGTCAAGCCTCGCCTTGGTGTGGTTCCCAGCCCTCTTGCAGTCGTCCAGTAGCCTTCCAGCAGCCCAACAGCTGCACAGCTGCCGCCTTGTGTGCGCAGAGCCCAAGCCCAAGAGCCCAAGAATCCCCGAGACCGTGGGAGACGTCCGTCTCCCTGGGCTGCACGCATACTCGGAGGCAGCTGAACTTACCTTGCGCTGCCGGATGCACTTGTAGGTCAGTGCCGGACGGCGAGCGCCAGATCGACGACGAGGGCCGGAGGCTTGCTGCTTCTCCTCCCCCCCCCTTCGTCCTCTTTATGTAGGCCGTCGAGGTTTGGGTCAGTCCGGGCCTGCGGGGAAGGGAAAAGACGCCGAGCGACAGTCGCTGCTGTAACATGTGCACGTTCTGCCGCCGGTCAATCCGTGGCCCACCGGGCAGATTCAGTCGACAGTGCTTTGTGAATATTCGACCGGGTTCATCCGCATTGACGTAATCCGGCCGCCGCCACCACTGCAGATCAATGGTTCCTATGGCCTCACACAAGTGTCAAGAATCGGGACAGCTCTATCCCATATGCGTGGTGTTGGGCACTGTTGCCTGACCATCACTATGCCACCGCCACCGCCGCCGCCACCACCACCACCACCACCACCACCACCACAGGCAGCAGCAGCCCGAGTCAATTCAAACCGACAGCTGCATCAGCCCTATCACGCCGCGGACCGGCTCGATGGGGACAAGTACCCGTGGGGCCGTGGCAGTAGACACACAAAACAAACAGCAAGCAGCAGGAGCACGGCGGGGGCTGAGCGCCGACCACTGATTTCGTACAAGTCGATAGACAGCGGCGGTACTGTGTCGCTGTCGGCAAACATGGCGATCGATCGTGCTCGATGCCGAATCGCGTACAAATCAGAATCGACGCTCTCGCGGGTTTGATGTCAAGGCAGGCTGAGCCAGGCTGGGCCGAGCTGAGCCAAGACAAACAGTCGCCATTCGCACCAACAACCATCCCCAGAGCAACCACCCTCTGCTTTCTTCTGTTCACAGCTCTGCCCACAGTTTTGCTCACAGTTCTGTCGACAACCGCTCGGCACGGGCTGTCCTGTGCTTGTGTCTTTGCCCCAGCCAAGATCCCGATTCCCACGGGTCCAAAGCACTTGTATCACTTCGGCTGAATCTCATATTGCACGGTGACACACCTCCTGAACAACAAAGGCAAGACAGGGCAAGGCAGAGCAAGGTCGGTTGGTTGGCAGCCCCCGGGAGCCTGGCCAATCGCTGGCCACCAAGCGTATGATGGCGTGATGCCGCCGCAGATCGATGACCAGATCGACAGCCAGCCGCATGGGCAGGGTCACTCGTGAGCGTGCATCTGATGGCCGACGAACGAAGCGTGCGGATGTGGGTATTTGGGTGCAGCGGCCTAACATTGATCTGCCCTTTCAGAGTCGTCGATGCTCTTGATGGTCAGTCGATGTCCTTGATGGTCAGTCGATGTCCTTGATGTTCAACCGATGCTCTTGATGTTCAGTCGATACAGACCCACAAACGCCTCCCCTGACTGTTCAAAGTCTCACCCCAGAACCCAGCCTGGCGTGCAATGGCTCTGCTGATACCCTGGAAGGTATCCCTTTACCATTAGCCAAGTAGGCACCGCTTTCTCGGCGGCCAGCTGATACCCGGATGCACGCTGATCATTTCAAACCGCCACCACGACGGCGTGGCATGGCGCAGCCGGGCGAATGTGCTCAAAAAGGCCCTGCTCTGCACCGAACTCTCCTCTCAACATTTTGATACCCACTCCGCTGACAGAGATGGCCTCCGCAAGCGACCAGCTCAGCGCCTATCCTATCCACGGACCAGAGCATGCCCTGTTCCTCTCCAGCCAGGCCGAAGCCGACGCCACCATCGTTGGGGCCCTGACAGAGATGCTCCCCTCGATCGCCCTCCGTCGATACGGCCAGCCGCTCACCATTTTCCACGAGGATGACTCTCTCGATGATGCCAACGCCTGGAACAACTTGCAGCTCGCCCTATCCAGGAGCAAGGTCGTTGTTGCCGTTCTCAGCCAAGCAGCCGTGGACTCGATGATGCGCAAAGCCGAGTCGGGTCAGCAAGACAAGACCCTTATCGAGCTGCAGACCGCCCTCCGCCTCATCGACCAAGGACAGCCGCTCTCTATCATGCCCCTGTGCGTGTTCAGTCTCACGAATAATGGCGATCAAGAGGTGTGGCGCCCGTTCTGGCTCCAAAACGTCACCATCCCTGGCGATCCCAGGTTCGGCTCGCTTCGGGAAACTGTGTCTCGCCTGAGCCAGATCCAGATGTTTGGAATCTACCCCGACCTCGTTTACATGCGAATCTATCGCATCCTCAACCTTGTCCATCCCATCGAACTCGACTCGGACATTAGGAACACCATATATCGCAAATACTTTTGCGACTCCAAGCTCCGGGTCGATCCCGCCCACCTCGACTCGCTCCTCCGTCAGGTCACCCTGACGGGCCGCGCCGTCATCTCCGGTATGGGTGGCATGGGCAAATCTGTCCTCGCCCGCCAATTCCTGCGTTTCATGATGGGCACTCTCGATGTGAGCAACAAGGACGACCTCAAAGCTATCAAAGCCGAGACCATCGGCATCAAACCGCAGTACAGCCAGGTCTTCTGGCTCAACTGCTCAACCGAGTCGACTGCCCTCGATGGACTCATCGACATGTTCCCTGGCATCAAGCCCGATGTGATCAAGGAGCATGCCTCGATGTTCCTCGCCAACACCCACGGCTATCTCCTGGTACTCGACAATGTCGATGACATCGGCGTGGTCGACTCTGTGTTTGAGCATTCCAGATCACTCGGCTTTGCGGGCGATGTGGTGGTGACGACCCGGCTGGCCTCGCTGCCTCCTGGTACCTTCGCCAGTGCACTTGGAACCCACATCACTGGATACGGGCACGCCCCACTGCGTCTTGGCACTTGGGACAACACCATCGCGCTCGACTACATATTGTCGGCGTCGCCACTGATCGCCGAGAGAACCAGGTCGACCGAGGCACTGGAGACTCTCAAGAGAATCGTGGTCAAGATTGACGGATATCCGCTTGTGATCCAGACGTTCATCACCTATGCTGAAAATTGCCCTACTCCCCTCTACGTGATCGAGGAAGAGTTTGCGGGGGCTCTGGAGGAGGAAGAGGGCGAGGACCAGACGCGGTCGTCGCTCAAGGTGATTGTGGATCTAGCAATGGACTCGCTGGTGAGCCGAGGAAACGAGGGCATCGAGGCAGCCATGCTCTTTGGTGCCCTCACTCTGGTGGCGCCGACCAACATCCAGCCGGAGATAATCGAAGCGATCGCACAAAAATTGGGAGTCAGGAACGATGGTGAGTTGTGCTGCATGGATGAATGTGTGGGTGAGCGATGCGATTGGCCCCCTGTCGGTGGCGCTTTACTGAGTCTACATGTTCGTGCACAGTATCCAACCTCGTGACGATGGTGCTCCAGAGTGGTCTCCTCAGAAACGACGGCGAGAGAGTGTACTCGACCCATTCGCTCACCCAGCAGGTCGCTCGAGAGTTTGTCAAAAGTCACAACGAACTGAAGCCTGATGAAATCGAAAATGTCACCGGCATGGCGCTGATTGACTTGGCGGGGCTGCTCGACAAGCCTTATCTTCTCGAGCATCTTGACTGCTTCTCCAAGGCAGTAGTTCCTCAGCGATATTCAAAGCCGCTGCACTCAAGGATCGACTGCTGTATCGCAAAACTGGCTGATAGCCGCGGCTTGTTCGCGAAGGCGATGGAAGTGAGTGCGGAGAACGTACAGCGATCCGAGGCCTTCTATGGCACGCGAAGCCACGTCGATGTTGCAAGTGCCATCCAGGGTCTCGGCGACGTCGCTCTCAGTCTCGGCAGACACACCGAAGCTCTGGGACACCATCAAGAGGCTCTGGAGATTCGAGTCCGGATCTTTGGCACAAAGGAGCATCCGTCGGTTGCGAGGACGGTCCAACAAATCGGCAGCGTGGAATTATCGCTTGGGAAATACGATGCGGCCCTTGCCCATTTCCAGGAGGCTCTCGAGATCCAAAAAATGGTCCAGGGAATGTCGGCGAGCCGCGACATCTCCGTGACCCTCGACAGCATCGCCTACATTAACTTCATGCGGGGCCAGTACGATGAAGCGCTTCGACTCTTCAACGAATGTCTTCAAATTGATGAGCAGTTCTACGGCAATTGGAAGCATCCGTCGACTCTTGCAACCCTGTACAGCATCGCCGATATCTACAAAATCCAAGGGCGCCTTGATGACGCTCTGCAGCTGTACCAGGAGATCATGGCCACCGCGGTCGGGGTGTATGGCACACGAAGGCACCCGTCAATTTCCTCGGGGTTGTACAGTATGGCTGGCCTTTTGCATACGCAAGGCAACAACGAAGAGGCACTGAAGTGCTGCAAAGAGTGCCAGGAGATCGAAATGCAGCTCTACGGCAGAGAGGATCATCCTGACGTGGCCAAGACCACTGCGCTCTTTGCCCGAATCATCCACTCGCAGGGCCGACACGAAGAGGCGCTCACTCATTTCCAAAAGCTGTATGACATCCGCCTGAAGATTTTTGGTACTGAGGAGCACCCCGAAGTTGCCTCGGCTATAAGCGGCATCGCAGAGGTGCTTCAATCCCAAGGCGACAACGACAAAGCCCTCGATCTCTTCCGAAAGACTCTCAGTATCGAAACTGCGGTCTATGGCACGAGAGAACATCCTTCGGTCGCCGAAACCTTGGTCAAAATAGCCCAAGTACTCTGTTCCCAGGATGACGATGACGAAGCCCTTGTGCTCTACCAAGAAGCTCAGGCCACTTTGCTCAAGGCCTATGGAACCAAGATGCATCGGGCGATTTCTAACATTCAGATTCGCATCGCTGATATCAAAGAGTCCGAAGGCGATCTTGACGAGGCCCAAAGGCTATATGAAGAAGTCCTTGAGATCGACACTGCAATCCTCGGCACCAGGGAGCACTATCTTGTTTCGGCGACCTTGCGCAAGATCGCCGATATCGTCGAGCAGAAAGGTAACCTTGAAGAGGCCTTCAGCCGCTTTCGCGACATCCTTGATCTGGACGTCATTATCAACGGCACGAGGGAGCACCCCGATGCCGTATCAGCCCTGTCGAGCATGGCCGACATTGCCCGTACACTGGAACACTACGACGAGGCGCGTGCGCTCTACCAGGAGGCACTCGGTATCGAAACATATATTCATGGTACACGCGACCACCCCGACGTTGCCGACACGATCGCAAGTCTGGCAAAGGTCGAATCCGACCAGGGCCGTCTGGCAGAGGCACAGAATCTCTATGAAGAAGCACTCGCTACGAGTATCAAGGCGCACGGCAAGCGCGAGACGGACGAGATTGCAACCATCCTGATGGCGTCGGGCGAAATCGCCACCAAGCAGGGCCGTTTCGACGCCGCATCGCAGCTGATTCAAGAATCCCTCGACATTCTGTTGGAGATTGATGAGCCAACACTTGACCCCGATATCGCCCAGGCCCACCTTGCCTTTGGCGATCTCTTCAGCTCGCAATCTGGCACAGACGAAGATGCACTCCGACACTACAGCGAGGCTCTGGCTATTGCCAACGAGCTGCCGACTCCTGATTACCAGACCCTTGTCGATAGAGCCCGTTGCGGAATCAATACCGTCACATCCCGCTGAGCTGAGTTGATAGTCCCGTCGAGCTGATACAGCGCTCCCCGACACCCTGCTTTGATTGAGAGCTGTTTTTTTCTGACCTGAATACACACATCGCCCATTGCTATAAAACGGCGCGTCCAAGGAGACTGGTGGAGCGACTCGTTCGACCAGATTGTCCTGACGCCGAGGAACGACAGAGGTGTTTGGGACCGTGCTCGCAAAGCCAGCAAGCGGCGGCTGATACGGAGGACGCTCAAGTTCGTCTCTGCATCTGCATCGTCGCCTTCCCCCCTCCTTTCGCACAAGCGCATGGTCTCGGCATGCCTCGCTCTTGCGCTTGCATCGAATCTCATGGCCCGCTGCTCTGCCACCGCGCTGTCTCGGCCGGAGGCCACAGCCGCTATCGGGCGTCATGTGCCGGAACAGATAGCGGGACGCCGGGCTGCTTCCGGGCTCTGCTGCCAGCGCGGACTGCCCTGGGCCACCAGCGTCGACGACACCCTCGTCAGAGAGCGGCTGTGGCTGCCCGGTGACGACGCCGACGGCACCATACCCGAGCAGCGCCATACCCAGATGGCATCATGCCAGGACATGGTCTGTCGGCGTTGCTGGCCGGGGAGGGGGTGCTGTCAGCGTGGTGCTGTCCTGGACACTCCGTTGCATTCCCCTATCTCGGACGCCCTCGCCGAGACCGCGGGTGCATGACTCAATCGCCATGCCAATGGCCGTCCTGTGGTCCGCAGCCACCCTTAATTCTGTCTTGCTGGGTGTTGGGTCGCCGTCGCTTCTCTGCTCGTCATCCAAGTTCATCAGAATCCACCCACTGACCTCTTTGCCGGCCATAAAGCCTCCTCATCGGCCTCTCCTTTCTCCCAATCGTGCCTCCAGCATCCTTCCTTCTGTCCTCTCCAGGCCATCCACCACCATCTGCTCCCCCGAGCCTCTGCAAAACACCTTTCTTGCAGCGCCCGCTACTATCGCTCTGCACCCACCCTTCCGCCCCCCACAGCCCAGCAAACCCCCCTTGGATCAGCCCATTATCGTCTATAGCAATGTCCATCTCCCCAGAACCCCGGTCCAACAAGCGCGTGCTCATCGCCATCGCTGACTATGACCGAGAGCTGAGTCTCCTCGAGGATGCTCTCTCGAATCTGCTCAAGGCCGAAGACGAAGTCCATGTGCTCAACGTCTTTGACATCAAGCTTGGCCCACAAGACGACGATGAGGAATTCCAGTATCCAGGTAACCACTTGCTCCAGCCCAGGGTCAGCTCCGCTTGGTCTCATCCCTCTGGTGTGTCTGTGCCCAAGAGAAATAAAGCTGAGACGGCACCAGCCAGAGTTTCCGAACAGCAGCGCAGTCTCCCGGAACAAAACTCTCTTCGTCCCCCACTCGCACGGTGGAGGTGGGAGGGGGCTCGCTGCTTCAGGGGAACCTGATGTGTGGGGTGGAGCGCTGGAGAAACTCTCCCCTTTGGCGACATTCTCCCCTTTGGCAACATTCTCCCCTTTGACGACATTCTCACCCGTTTGTGTCCCGCGAATCATCCATCGCCCATCTTCTGCTCGTCAATTCCACCCATTCAACAGCCTTCCTGGACATCAAGGGCCCCGTAAGTCGCTTGCAATGGTGTTGGTCGGGCTTGTGGTTGCCTGCGGCGTATCCATATCTTGGAGAACGTCCTTGTAGCTGATGCACCATGGGATTTACTCCTCGCTGTCTCCCTCTGCATCCAATTGACTCTTCGCTGTATCCCTCTGCATCGAATTGTCTCCAACTGTCTCCCATGTCGGCTCGCGCCTGCTGAATCTGCAGCAACTCGACGATCTGAATGGATGTGTCTCCAGAATCACCGTCGACCACCACATGCCGCTCCAAATCGTCACCAAGCTCTTTATCGGCGACGCACACGAATGCATCCGATCGTACTCACAAACCATCGCTCCGGATCTGATTGTCGTTGGCAGCCACGGCCGCCTCTCGAGGTGAGAACTGCGAATCTCGGCTGGGGCCCTGCGTCCTCACTTACCGCCTGCGAATCACCCCCCCCCCAGCACCCACTTTCCGTCGCCCAATTTGATGGTTCCTGCTTCGTACTGATCGATTTTTCCTCTTTTGGATCGATGCTTTTGGCCCGATTGCCGCCCACAATCTGCCTCTCTATCTCTATCTCTATCTCTCCACTTTCGATGTATCAGTCTCTCCAGGAGCCTCCCGTGCTGTATCACTCACAAGTCTGAGTGCCCCGTCCTGATTCGAACTCCCGTCCCTGGACCACACAGCAGCCTGATTATGATCTGAGGCTCTCTCGTTCATAAACGTGCGCACCGAGAAACAGTCCTGGCTGGAATTGTATTGCTTTGGAAGGGGAGGGGGTGATCTCCATGGACATCCGTTGTTGGATGGGAGGACAGCCCACCGGGAAAGCGGTCCATCTGCTCTCTTGCCGTAGAACTGCACTCCACCCACGTATCGAACCCGGCGGTCTATCGAGGCCGACACAAGTGATGAAAATGGTAACGCCAAACAGAGGCAGTGACTCGCCCACCTCCAACCTTGACGTTGAAGTAGTGGCGGGCAACTCTTCTGAAATTGGCTGGTTGACTGCAGTTGATCTGCCGGTTGGTTGCTCGAGTCCCACTCCCCCCGGCTCCAATCCAAGACCTTCCCTCTGTGTCCAAATGTCTCCCGGTCGGGCTTGGTCAGATCGATGCTTGGTGTATACTTGGTTCTGTTCTCCCTTCCCTCACAATCCAACTCCCGTCTCCTGTTTCTCCACTTGATTCCCTAGTCAAGTTCCGCGCTCTTCTCCCCTTCCCTCTCCACCTCCCCTGCCGATGACCAGCTTCTTCCTCCCACCCTCTCTCCTCTGTATGTCCCTTTCGTTCTCCCTACATTGGTATCGTTAGTTGCCTTTTTACGACGCTATTTCTATTTTTTTGGTAAGCCTTTGGGGTGGGAGGACGATTGCGTGCAGCTAATTCCACCATCAAAATGCTTGGACAAAAGTACCTGCTACTGAAATCGCCTCCTCCCCATCTTCGGCCTTTTGTGAATTTACCCCCCCTCTCTCTCTCTCGAAACTGAATATGATGATCTGTCTGAACAAATGAGGTTTCCTGTGGATCCTAGCCAGGAGTTAGAGTCGGAGTGAGGGACCCGTTGTGTGCATCGAAGGGGTGGTGAATCCGATTGCTCCCATGTGCTCACGACCATCATCATCCATCATCATCGTTTGTTTTGGAAAGGGCTGTATTGAGCAAAAGATGAGTCGAGAAAACGGTGGCTCCACAGCCACATAAGATCGGCAAAAGTAAACATACAAAGTCATGGGAAGCTTCCCTCGTCGGGTCGGAGCAGGCCATTGGCGATAGTGGAAGACGACGAGGGTCAAGTCCGCAAAAAGGGAAACACAGGAACGAACGAACAAACAATGAATGATACAGAAGCGCAAATGGCGAGGGGGGGGGTCGTCGAGGCAGACGACAAAAGAACGATCGCTTGGCGTGGTTCGTGTGCTGGGTGGGAAGGAGGGAGAGAGAGAGAGAGGCAGCAAGCCTGCGAGCATGGCAGAGTGCAGCGGCTTTGGAAGAAACAACTGGGCCAGACGGAAAGAAGGCAGTGCGGAGGACAAGGGCAGTCGTAGCTATAGCCATAGTGGTAATGGTAGTAGTGGTGACGGTAGTAGTAGTAGTGGTGGTGGTGGATGCAATGCGTTGGGGAGAGCGGAGTATACATATGCTCGATGTAAGCAATACTGTAGATGCAGGGATGGTGTAGTGCAGTCTTGATGGTCTCCGGAAACTAATGTGTGCACATGGGTGCACTGAGCATCGCAAAGGAAGCGGCAATATCGACATGGATGGGTGGGTATCCTCGATACCGAGAGCAAAGTGTCGGAAGTAGGAAAGTGAGAGAAACGCGGCAAAGCCGACTCGAAGAAGCAGGAAGAGGAAAATCGGGCCCCGAAAACGCAAGGGCACTTATTCCAGTATGAACAAATCGTCGTGGCCACAACAAAAAGGTGCGCGGATAAAGGGATGACTTTGGCCAAAGCCCGGCATCGTTCAGGGGTTGAGTGATCAGAGATCAAATATGAGAATGGAAATCAGCAGCCAACAATCAGCAGCCAGCAATCAGCAGCCAGCAATCAGCAGCCAGCAATCAGCAGCCAGAGATCGAATATCGGAGATCGGGGAGAGACCCAAGGCCAGCGATCTAGTAGTTCGAGCCTCCCAGACCCTTGTTGAGCTGATCCTGGACGATCATGCTCTGGTCAAAGGGATCGTCGTCGTCGTCGTCGAAATACTCAGAGGTCTCCTCGGCGCTGTTGAGGAGAATAGAGTACGTTCGGCTGACCTCTTCGTCGGTCTCGCCCAGGGTGCTGGGTCCCCATTCAGGCGTGTCTATGATTGCGGCAAAGGGTCCGATGGTTGGGCTGGGCTCGCTCGGTTGATCGGGCTGGTCTCCAGTCACCTCCCTCACCAACGGCGAGGACCGCGAGGGCACTCGCGAGGTAGGATGGGAGTAGTCACTGCGACCACCCGCAGGGTCGGACTGGATAGGAAACTCAAACATGGAGTGCTCCATGCGGTCGATGGCGACAGGCGAGAGTTGGCCTTGGGTTTCGTCGACGTAGTTCTGAATGGTCGTCAGCAGCGAGGCCAGACGGCCGCCCGAGCCGCGGCCGTGCGACGCTCGTCCGTTGCGGAGCAAAGGGTGGTAGAGGTGCTCCTGGGAGCGATTTGGGGTGAGCGGCGGGGGAGTCGGGGTCGAGCGCACCATCTGCTGGGCAGCCTCTAACTCGGTGGTCTGGAGTAGGATGGCATCAGCACTGGGGCGGCGTGCGGATCGGAACCGGGATGCCAGTGGGCTCTCGACACGCTTGTGTTCAAAGTACGACGGAGGCGGTGTTGCTGTCTGGAAATGGCCGCTCATGGATGGGGACGACGATGACGGCGGCGCATCGGGGTTGTATGTGGGGACTTGGATGCGGAGCGACGTGTGAGAGGTCTGCGGGGCCTTCATGAACCGTATGCTATTGCCGTTGTGGTTGACGGGAGGCTTGGTGTTGATTTGGTGGTGCTCGACGTCGCCCATGTGGATGGCAGAGTCGTGGGGTCGGAACACGGCAGTCGAGCCAGGACGAGGTGGCTGGTCAAGACGATCATAGTCCTGCGAGACATCGGGGGCGCTGAACTTGCGAGCCGTGACCATGCCGCCAACGGGCGAGACTACCGACGAAGCCGCCGAAGGGGTGCGGGCAGTCGTGGGCCAGGGCTGGTCGTCTCGGAGAGTGTCGGTGCGCTGACTCTGGCCCGAAGCCGATTGCGCCGTAGAGACCCTGTAGCCCTGATGGGAGTCCTGGCGATACATTGTCCCCGACGAGTTGGAGGAGCGACTCGAGTAGCCGGTCGAGGTAGAAAAGTACGACGTCCGGTTCTGCATTTCCTTGTGCGTGGCAAAGAAGATCCGGAGCTGTTGATTGCCAGACGCAGTCCTGGACTCTCGCTTGCAGGTCCGCCATGCCGAAAACAGCTGGTCGCGCTGGGCACGGATCGAGCCGGCTGAGGCGGGTGCCATGAGAGAATTGTAGAGCTTGCGGCCGTTGCTCGTGGAGGAGCCGGTAGAGCCGCTTGTGCGGCTGTTGGCCTGTTGAGCGGGCGTTGTTAGAACGATGAGGGAAAGGGAAGGAGAGGAGTGAGAGAGAGTCGCGTGAATCAAACAGCGAGGCGATGGTCAGTAGCAATACAAATCCGCCGATACAGATCAGCCGAGACGGATCTGTCGAGACTTACGCAGTTGGACGAGTTGGACGAGACGTTCGAATCCCGCTTTGACGATGTGGTGGAGGAAAGGGTCGGGAAGCGCACCGACTCGGCCCGATCGCTCGGCCCGTGGCACGACGTCGGCGACGGATGGTTGTTGCGATTCTCCATTGTTCGGTCGATGCCTACGGGCGACTCTTCCGAGGCAGAATCATCGGCCGAGCCATCGGACTGATTGAGATCGGCACTCTGGGACCGCAGCTCGGTCGCAGATCGCACACGGCGAACCCTGACAGGGGCTGGTGTCAGGGATAGGTTTCCGATTTGCAATCTGGCGTCAGTCTTGGCCTGGGCAGCGGAAATCAGCTCCGAGAAGCAGCGGGCGACAGCAACAGGGGCCAGGGCGGTGGTTTCCGAGAACTTGATCTTTAGAATGTCGGCCATTTGGCGGCCGGTGGTGAGTGGAACCATGCGGGGGCGGCGGGTTGATTGGGTCGTTACTCCATCGGAAGCGACCGTGTCGACCATGTTGCCGACCATGATGGCGGGGATGTACTCGGGCTGGATCCACTTGGTCTCGACGATGATGCGATAAAAGGTCCACATGGAGTCAAACGAGGCTTTGTCGCCGACATCGTATACGAGCATGAAGGCGTCGGCGCTGGTGATGAGCGAGGGCCAGAGCTTGCTATAGCACGGATGGCCGCCGGCGTCGATGATGTTGAGGGTGATGCGTTTGTGGAGCTCATGGCTGTCGTTGATCTGGATGTCTGGCGGCAGGATCGGATCGATGCCGTTGTCGCCAACGACCTGTTGGGCGGCATTTGCCTCACGGGCAGCAGACTGAGGGACGACCACGTACTGCAGTTGGTAAAAGTTTTCGATGGTGGGATCGTACGAGCCCAGATAGCACGACTCGGCGGAAGCACCGCTGTTGATGCGGGATTTTGGTCGCTGCATCTGCAGAAAGGTGTGAATCAGGGTGGTCTTGCCAACAAAAGCGGGGCCAAAGACCAGGATGTTGAGATGGGTGATGTTTCCGTTGCTGTCGAGGATCATGATGGGCAGGAAGGAGCGGGCGGCGAAATGCTGGAGGAGCGATAGATTGTTGGGAGGAGAGATGAGGCAAGGATGCTCTGGCTGACGGCAGGAGCGGCAGGACGAGGGAGTTGGCCAGAGATGTTAGCACGAAGAGGCACGCGACGTGAGGACGACAATATGGTTCCGATATGGGCACCGATGAATGAGGCAGCGAGGGGAGGGGAGAAGGATCTGGGTATATAAAGGGACTCCGATGAGGCGAGCCCGCGAAAGCAAGTGGCAGGGATGATAAAAGTGGTCGAAGCCGGAAGCAGCTGGCCGGGGTACTGCTGAGCGAGCAGCGAGAGAGTAACAAGCGGCGCAAACAGCGATAAGAAACGGCGATGGACCACGAGCGAGTGCAATGGCAGAGCAAGTACAATAGCCGAGCAGCACGCTAGGGCGGTGGATAGAGAGAGAAAGTGAAGGAAGAAGGAAGAGAGGAAGGAATAGCCCGGCAAAAGGGAACAGGCCCGAGATGAACGGCGGTGGAGCGGATGGGGACAGGTGCCAGAAAAAAAAGAGACGGGATGGCGGTAGAGGAGCGGCCAAGGTCTGGGGTTATAACGAACGCAGGCGAGACAGAGGAGGGAAAAGACAATGAAGGCAAGGCGCCGGGCTGAGCGGATGGATCGGCGATGGAGGGGGGAGGGTGTGCCTGGCGATGAGCATCCGGCAAAGAAAAAATCCACAGGGCGGGACGGCGCTGAAAGCGCCTTGCTGGGGACCGAGCAAGAATGACACACCCGTATGTGCCGACGCCGACACAGCCAGGCCCATTGCTGCGGGTCGCAGGCGAGAACTAACCTTGGAGATGCCGGCGCTGGGGGGCGGCAAGGATGTGCGAGTCGAATCGGCGGGTGTGCAGGACGGATCGGGCGAGGGTGTCGAGATCGAGCGAGGGTGTCGGGATCGAGTGAGGGTGTGCAAGTCGAATCAAATGAGTGTCAAGATCGGGAGAGGATGCAGCCGAGCGGGGGAGGGCGACCAGCGACGAGAAGAACAACAGCGACAACAGAAGCAATTCCAACGACCGACTGCAAACGCAACACCGACAACGGCAGTGGCAATGGCGGTGGCAATGGCAGCGGCAATGGAGGAGACCAGGGCCGAGACAGCGGGAGGAGAGTGTCAGCTGGCTGTTGCGGGTCCGTAAAGATCAAATGGGGGACCCTCTGCGAATGTCTTGGCCGGATCGGCAACTGCACCACCAGGCCACAGAGCCGATGCTGTCCAGCGCCGGACGGGGACATGCCTGCTGCTGTCCTCCAAGACAGAGCCGTCGATACAGCAGAGCATGTCGTTAGCGCATTAACGAGTATCTCGTTCTCAGCGCTTTGTCTCAACATATCAGTTAAGCGGGTCTGCAAACGCACGCTGTTGGGGATCAGTTGCCATCGCAACAAGCAAGGCGGAGGGGGGACCAGAGGGTCCACAGCGACCAGTCCGACCTCCAGACGCCTGCCCAGTGCAACACCAGATCCGCTTTAACAGTCGGAGAACTGTCTGGTGCTGGACTTTGGCAAAAGCGCTGCGGAGACGACGCCCAACACGAGAACAGCGCCGATTCACAGCATGCGCCTTCGGCATCGCTTCAGTGATCGGCAACACCCGAGCAACACCGACCAGCACCGAACAACACCGATCAACAACCGGCACCGATCCCGTCTCGCAACCGATGCAGCCGTAACCACTTTCGACCGGGGGGCCGTTGCTCGGCATCGGCAATACCCGCGTGGATCGGGCAGCAAGTGTCGACCGACATCGAGAACACATCTGCCGTGTCGCTTGGATCAACGTCCATCCATCCATTTACTTGTTCATCAGCTCACCCGCCCGTTCATCGATCCGGCTGCCGACTGCCTCTCTCGCTCGCCCCACGTCCATGTCCCCAGCCGGCTGCTTGCTCCTCGGCTCGCAAGGCCCTGGCCCGCCCGGCCGCCATTGCCATTGGTTCGTCGCGATCTGTCCGAGGATCCCGACACAAACCCGTGCGTCCCAGCGGCGCCGGGACACATGCTCAGAGGGGTCCTGCCGCGCGTTGCCTCGTCGCCCTGGTCGCTCCAGCAGCGACGCCGCTCGGGCTTCCCCCGGTCGCATTCGGCATCGGGCCCAGCAGGTTGCCCTTCCAGACAGGGAGCTGACCTCCGGGCTGGCCGGGTGACAGAGCCTGTCGGCGGGTGCTGGGCCTGGTGACGGAGACCAGGGCAATTGCACATCTCCCCCCCCATCACGAGCGACGCCGGACAGCTCCAGACGAAGCCCGTGGGACTGGGACATGTGGCCGATGGAGGAAGCGGCCGGACGCATGGATACCCAGCATCGCCCAGCATCGCCCAGCATCATCCAGCAGCACCACCAGCACGGTCAGCACCGCTCAGGCCGCGCATGGCCTTGACGTCGCAGCACATGGCGAGTTCGGCTGGGTGGACAGAGTCGGGGTCAAGGGCATGCCCCGAGCACGAGTTTCGGCTGGACAGCATCACGGATATTTCATTTTCATTCTCGTCTCGACCTTCGTCTCGACCGTCGTCTCGACCGTCGTCTTGATTGTCACCATTATTGTCCCGCCAGTGCAATCCATCACCCGCAAACAGCGATGACAGCGGCAAAGCGCAAGCACCCGATCCTCGTTTCGCCAACCGGGAAGCGCTTCATGTCTTCACACCAATCGCCCTCCGCCATGATCCTCCTCTGGTGCAAACTGGTGAGCCACTGCATATTCGTGCGCGGAGATGCAATGCATCCCTCCAATGCATCCCTCCACAGGGCTCCGTTGGACTTGCCGGGCAACCTTGCCCACCCATGCCGCACTGCATGCGACTGCTCCTTCGCAGCGACACTGCCCAATGCGCCGAATCGCAAATTGCGCACGGCTGAAACCATTCACGCGCGGATGTGGCCTCGCACCAGCGGCCTCCACCGCTGCCCAAGCTCCCTGCACCAACGGAAGTGGGATGTGCAAGGCGATTGTGGAGACCGGAGGGCGATGCAATGTCTCCACTCAGAGGTTGCCAAAGTGATCCCTTGATTCCACATGGCGTGTATTGACGAATGGCGTGTCTGCCCATGGCCGTGATCATGCTCAGTCTATATCCATCTTGAAGCGGGGCTCGCATCCCGTTGCATCTCGATCATCCGAGTCAGGCGTATCGTTGGCATCCTCCATCGAGGCAGCACTCCGCTCGGCCTCATGTCCAGTAACAGCGGCCAGCGCAACCCTTCGCAATGGCCCGTGTTGCCCTTCAGACCGTCCGCTTCCAGTCATCCACAAAGATGACCTGCTCGCCCGCATCCGAAGCCGCTGGCATGTCAGCGAGGAGACCGGCGCTTGCGCTGCCCAAAGGCCCGTGCGTGAAGCTGCTGCTACTGCCGCCGCCGAGACCAAACGACGTGGCCATGCCGGCTTGGATCAGCGACGGCGGCCCGCTCAGCTTCCGCCGCCGCCGCTTGGCATCGTTCGTGGCAGTGCGGACCAGGAGAACCAGACCGATCGCTGCGAGACCAAGTCCAAGCGCATACCAAAGCGTATGGTTTCCAGAGGAGTCTGACCCTGGTGCAGACGTTGCTGTGGTTACCGGTTGCGAATGGGCACTCAAGTCGGACGGTTGTGGGTTTTGCTGTTGTTGTTGTTGTTGTTGTTGTTGTTGTTGTTGTTGCTGCTGCTGCTGCTCGCGCAGAGTGTCGTCCTTGGGCTTGCTATCCTCGCTCCATCCGTGGTTTCTCGGGATTGTGTTCGATGCCAGGATCAGCGCAGCGCCTAGTGTCCAGCTCGCGCTGAAATCTTCGACCTCGTTGATACTCTGGAACTGTGTCCAGGTGCCGTTCCGGCCTGAGGAAATAGGGCTGTTGCTCGGGTCGCTGGACGACGGCCCGGTGCCGGCATCCTCGACTTCATCCTCGCTGGTGCTGCCGGCGGATGCTTCGGCCCCGAGTCGGGGCTCCGGCCCAGTTGCGTTGACAGACACGGGCACTTCAATGTCCTTGGGAATCTCAAAGCCAACATGCAAGATGGCCATGAGCCAGACGCTGCGGAAGCACTGGGAGGCCAGGCGATGATTGTCGTGGCGCGGCCACTGCCCGCGCTGATGCCGTGCCTGGATGTCGCTCCAGGGCATGCTGCAGAACTCGATCGTGGCCTTCCTGAACTTGCGATAGTCGTACTTGCCGCCGAGCTGGTAGGCATCCGCAGGGGTGTACCAGTACTCGGAGACACCGATGAACTGGTGGAGCGAAAAATCTTCGATCGGCGCATGTACGCCGTTGAACAGACAGGGATTCTCGGAGCAGGGCATGGCCTTGTTGAGGAGAGGAATGACGCTCATTCGGCAATGTCGAAAGTTGCCGCTTCCGCGCAGCACGACGCCATCCTGTGCCTGGTGCAAGAACCCCTTGGGCAGACATGGGTCGATGATCGTCAGGTTGTCCGGCGAGCTGGGTGGGTCGGGATCGGCACGGGACGCATCGTCGCTGCGCCCGCCTGTCGGATGGACTCGCAGTCGAGATTTGGGGTTTCGGAGATGCGGGCTCACGAGCCGCTCAGTGTATCGCCGGCGGGCCTCATTCATGCCAAAGCCCAGGAAGGTACTCACAAAGACGTCATAGTCGCGGTCGTGCCCACCAAGGGTCCGGAGCTGCACCCGAACCAGATCGTTGCGGTGCTGGTGTGCCATCTTGGCGGTGGGCTGGAATGCAATCTGCGTCGACGCTCCACCCATGTCCAGGAAGCCAAAGGTGTGCTTGGGGTCGCTGTCGGCAAGCTTCTCTGCCGAATGCGAGGGTGGCCGGGGCTGCATCTCTTGGGGAAACCCATTCAGCAGGTAGTTCACGGCTATCCAGCCAAAGATGCCCTCGAGCTCGCCCGAGATCACTCGAAAGTGCCGATTGCATCCGCCTGCTGTCGAAAACGAGTAGCCTGATCGGATATAGTCGCACGTATTGTCCATGATGCGGCGCTGCTGCTGGTTTGTGAGCAGGCGCATGCCGGCGGTGGCAAAGAGATAGACCGGCGTCTGCTCGTGTTGCGATCTTGGCACGACCGAGGCTGCGAGATCCATCAGAGGCTTTAGATGCTCGCCGACCTGTTCGGGCTTGTCGCCGTACGACGAGATACCTGGGATGCAACCGAGGCTGGGCTCAATATCGATCGACAAGGTCGAGGACCATCGAAGAGACACACCATGGCAGCCCACATTGCAACGACGTGACCCACGACGTTCCCGGCCGTGGCCGGAATGCACCGACGATCGAGCAGCAAGCCTACCGGGGTCTTCCTTGAACTGCCACCGGACACCGGCCTCGTCGCCCTTCTCGAGCTCGATCCACTCGCCTGTCTCGAAGGCAGGATCGACTCTGGCCCTGGCCTGGGTCCAGTACGGGCTCTTCCACGAGTAGATCATGACCCGCGACCCCGAGCTTCCGGCGTCGATCAAGACGGCGTAGTGTCGGTACTTTGCCCAGCTGCCGGGTTTCTGTTCAAGAGCGGCGGCGTCGTCGGGGACGGGGATCGGCCGGATTTGCGGGCCCAGGTCCAGCAAGTGTGGATCGGGCCAGACCGACCCAGCCTCGATCAGCGGCGGGAGCGACGTGGGTTTCGGAAGCGGCGCACCGCCGGTCGATGCGTCCGAGTCATGGGCTCCGGCGTGCGGCTTCGGATGGCGAGCGGAGGCACTCGAGCTTGACCTCGAAAAGCTTGTGAGGATCAGATATCCAATGCCGAAGCACAGGGAAAGGACGATCGCCAAGACGACCCGGAAGTTGACGAACTTTACTTTAGAATTGAAAGGCATGGCCATTTGGAAAGGCCGGGGGAATGCGCCAAGCACGAGCGGCAGCGGTTCGGAAATGGGCGAGGCGAGGTGAGGCAAGTCGGTTGAGGCCGCAGCGAGGGTGTAGATACGTTCGGATGCGGATGCGTTAGGGGACGAGTATGTCGAGGGGGGCAAACGAAGTAGACGAGGCAAGCAAGACAAGCGAAGTGAACGAGGCAAGGAAAGAAGCGAATCGGGTCGTCGTTCCGGTCGCTGAGACGAGACGGAAGGGATTGGAGGGGGGGGTTTGATTGTGGCGGGCAGCGGAGCCCGATGCAGTGCGGTCTAGCCCAGCCGAATTGGATCAGCAGGACGTAGGCCGTGGGCGGCAAGGGTCTCCACGAAGCAGCAGCCAGGTGGAAGCCAGCGAGTCGAGCCAGGTGTTGACCGCATGGGCAGATGACGGGGAGGGTGGGCTGTGGAGAAGTCGTGCCGATGCCAGCCCGAGACCCGCCATGAATCTACCAACAGGCTGGCAACGGGGCCGGCTGAGGAAGCAAGACGATTTCCCGACGTTGTTCAGATCGGCATGGATCTCATACCTGTTGGCCGCCAGCTCGCTGCGGCTTTCCATTGGACATCCATGGAAAGCGGGATGGCTTGGTGTGTTGGTTTTGGAAGTGGTGTGTTGGTTTTGGAGCAGATGCCAGAATGTAATGAGGGTGTTGCAAGATGGAGAAGGGCCAGGCAGCGTCCAGATACGCTCGGATGCGGCTGAGGTGAGGGGGGGGGGTCAGAAACGGACCAGAAGTGTCCAGCGCACCACGGTGCAGGCCAGGTCGCCGATGGGGGAGGGGAAAGATACGGAGATGAGGCAAGCAGAAAAGGGGAGCGGGGCTGCTGCCGGTTCTTGGGATTTGCAAGCAAATGCCTATTTTTGCGACACACAAACACCACCACGACAAACACAATCCGGGGCGACTCCAGCCTCAAGTTCATGGACAGAGCCAGCGGCCAAAGCTGGCCGGGTTTTATTGACGGGCCGGCTGCTGGCCTGCAGAGCCCAGCTTCCTCTCCACCACCCGCTCGACCAGAGCCTCGATCCCGGCAAAGGCAGTCGATCCAGGCCGCGACAGCACCCGCTCGACAATGTTCTCGACGTATTTGCCGATCTGGTCGACCTCGAGGTTGACCTGGTCGCCAACGGCCTTGAGCGGCATGATAACGTGCTTGAGGGTATGCGGAATCAGCATGACCGTAAAGGTGCGTGCGTCGAGGTCCACGTCGATGACGGTCAGGGAGGTACCGTCGAGGGTGACGTATCCCTTGGGAATGATATACGTGAGGAAGTCGGCGTCGCTGCCAGCGGCGGGCGAAGCAACCTTGAAAGTGTAGATGACCGAGTTGGGCGGATCGGGAGTGACCTGGTGGATCGTAACGACGGTATCGACGTGGCCCTGGACGAAATGGCCGCCGAAGCGGGTGGTGGCCGACATGGCCCGCTCCAGGTTGACCTTGGAGCCGACCTGGAGTTGCCCTGCATCCGGCCCGATGGGTCAGCAGCAGACCCGAGAGCCGAGCGACGGCAGAGCGGGCAGCAAAAGACAAGTGGGTGTGAGTAGGAATCCGGCCGCCCTCTCCTGTCTCGCAATCGGAGCAGCCGGCGTCCCTCCTTACCCAGGTTGGTCTTGCGGAGCGATTCGGGAGCCACATTGACCTTGAACCAGCTTCGGGACGAGTCAAACTCGGTTACGGTCAAGCAGGTGCCGTTGACGGCGATGCTGTCGCCGAGGTGAACATCCGTGAGGACCACGGCGCAGTCAGCGATGGTGATCGAGAAGCCCGATCCGCCGCTGGCGGTGGTGTCCATCTGGGCCACCTCCGAGACCCGCCCCATGATTTCGACGATGCCGGTGAACATGCTGGTGTGTGTGTGGCGATGATGGTGCGTGAGCGAAGGAGCCGATGGGTCTTGGACGAGACTGACGGGCGATGCTGGTTGTATTTCAGGAACGCAGGCGGAACAGGGATCGGGCGGATCGCAAGGCTGGCAACGACGGTCCTCCACGAAGATGCTGCGCTTTGGGCATGACTGCGGTCTGGCGGGACGCTGGCTGACAAAAGGCGGTTTGGGCGGTCATGGGCTGCCGATGACAGGGCGGCTGTCCGGCCAATGGCGCTGCTCTCTGCGCTTTCGCCGGAGCAGCAACGATCAAGGGCCGATATTCCACGCGGCCGATGATCTGGAGGGCAGATTGGTCGGTGGAAGGCGCGAGGGGGCATGAGGGAGCGAGACAAATTTTTGGGAGGGCTGCTTCCAAATGACGAGAGGCGACATGAAAAATGGGATGAACGACGGGAGACAGAGCAGACTATTCGCAGGGTGCGAAAAGGGAGCTGGAGAAACAATGGCGAGGCAAAACAAAGACCAGTCAAGATCACAAGAAAGAAAAGTGAGCAGCCAGGGCTCGAGGTAACGGCAGCGTGCAAACGGAACGGGGCCGTTCGCCGCTCAGCTGTAGATGGACAGCTCGGCCTGCTCGTTCTGTCGTCGCTTCAACCTGGACAGGAGCCCCTCCTTGCGGGAAGGGCTCTCTGCGTTGATCAGAGCCGACTCCGAGTCTGCGCTCTGCAGCGAGTTCTGCTTACGGAGCTGGCGGATATCCGAAAAGATGACCACAATGGCGACAACGAAGCTGATGGCGTGGCCAATGGACATCACAAAGAAGGGAGAGCCTTCGGTCCAGGCATCAAAGAGATAGCCGCCAAGCTTGGAGTTGATCAGGATGCCGACGGCGCCAAAGAGCGAGTACATGCCCGCAACAGAGCCACGCACCGAGTGCGGCACGGCCTTGGAGGTAACGAGCGACAGGGAGCTGACAATCATTCCGATCTCGCCCAGGCCAACGAGACAGACGACGCCGTACATGGCCGAGGAGGTCGGGTTGGTCGTGAGGAACATGGCAAAGTACCCGGCAAAGCCAATGACGGAGGCAATCATGGTGACAATCGGGCGGTAGAGGCGGTCCGAGAGCCAGCCAAAGATTGGCGCGCCGATCAGGGCCAGCGTTTGGGCGACTCCGCCAAGGACCGAGGCCGTGAGGTAGGCTTGTCGGCAGTTGACATCAATGTTGGGATCGTTGTAGTCGCTCTCGCCCGGGCAGAGGCCGGTCTTGATGTAGTATTTGTAGATCCAGAGGGGGAGGAAGATGGTGATGATGATGGTATCGCCGCGAGCCAGGAAGCCGCCGATGTAGCCCTGTGGTGCAGCAGCGTCAGTAAGCATGGCCACGATAGATCGGGATGGCGGGCAGCGTGGTGTGTCTATCGGATGAGGCGTGGGAATAGGGTGCTCACCAACAGAACCTTGCCGTCCGCAGCGGCGCGGAAGCCGGCAAGCGAGGTGCGCATCAGATCGGCAGCAGTTTTGGCACGGGAAGGAGTCGAGTCATGGGGAACAACGGGGCAGCTTGCGGAAGGATCGTGGACTGGGGGGTGGTCGGCCGGAAGAGCCTGGTCCAGGGTGCCGACGCTGACGAGAGGCTTGGTGTCACGGCGCTTGATGCGGAGGGCGTACATGGCAAACAGGCCAAAGACGATTGAGAATCCGCCGACAATAAAGTGGGTGATTCGCAGGCCCTGGAGCGGGTCCGGGAAGAGCGTCGGGATGCGCAGGAAGCCAAAGAGCGCGACGAGAGCACCAACGCCGGACATGGCGCCGACGAGACCAGCAATCTTGCCGCGGTCCTAGCAAGCCAGAGGGAAACGTAGAGACACATGCAGAAGCGACCAATGAGCATTCTGGCCTTTGCATTGCTGAAACAATGAGGCGAGGGGAAGCGGCATTCGCGGAGAGGCGAAATGGTGACGCGCCGGACGAATTCCGGAGCGAGATGCAGAGATGCAGAGATGGCATCAGAGTGGACAGCCCAAGCGCGGATTGATCAAGCAATCCATGCCATGGTGTCCATATGGAGGCATTGGTGACTTTCGGCATCCAAGACATGTGAAAAAGTCGGCACACGCAAACGTGGGAACTACTCACTTGGTCATCGGCATAGTCGGCCAGCACGGCGGTTAGCATCGACGAGGCAGCAGCGGCGCCCAGCGAGAAGATCAGGCGGAAGAGAAGCAGCGCCGGGAAGACGTTCTGGGCATACGTGTAGAGGACCAGAGCCAGGCCCATGAACAGGAAGCCCAGGCCATAGACCCACGCACGACCAACTCGATCCGAGGCAACGCCCCAGACCCAGACCATGGGAATGGTGAGCAGCTCATCGTAGAAGGTGAGCGAGCCCGTGGCCGAGCCGAGCTGGGACGTGGGCAGGTTGATGATCTGGCCAAGCACAAAGCCTTGGGACGAGTTGAGGAAGACAAAGAGGGCAATCGACAGAATGGAGGCCACGAGGTAGGTCAGGAAGTTGAGGACCGAGACGGCCGAGTGCACCGTGAAGAGGTTGAGGAATCGCTTGGGGCGGCTCTCTGGGGCTGAGGCCGGGGACGCGGCCGCGGCGCTCACGGACGATGGCTCGAGAGTTGAATCCGACATGAGCGGGCGATGCGCTGGACGGATGTCGTCAGAATCAACGGGTCGGGATTGGGGCTGGCTTGGCAGCGGCGAGGGAATGAGTCGAAGCGGCTGGACCAAAGTCGGCGGAGAGGAACAGACGGATCCAAGCCGGATGGAGAGCAGACGGATCCAATGCAGAAGAGGCGGGTGCAGAAGAGGTGCTTCTGCTCAGGCGCAGGCCGCGGGAAAGAACAGGGATATATCGTCCAGATGTGACTCACGCAGAGGGAGAAGTCGTTGGGGGAAAGCGCAGGAGCGGGGGCGGGTGAGTCAACGGAATTGAGCCGAAGCGAGGGCTGGCGAGACGGAACGACGGGACAGAGAGAGCGCGTGCGATTGGCCCGCGCGGGTCTCGCCGGGGACGGCCAATCAGCTGGCCGCGCTGGAAGCCGCAGCCAGTCGCCGCTCTTGGCGTTTCGGGCGTTTTGGCTGGTTGTTTGTTTCCGTGGCGGTGCCGCGCTGGTGCCACGGTGGTGTCACATCCAGCACAGACCGGGGTGCGCGCTGAACCCCAGGCAAATGGCACTCACGAGACAATTCGCACATCGATCAGCGGCGTGTTGCATTGGATGGGCCCAGTCCGAGCATGATGCATGGGGCTGCTGCGCGGAAATCGTGAAATATTCGTGTCTAATCACAGAGTTCCCCGAGCCTGTTGACGGCCCACTGGAAACCCTGGTCGGCGGACTTGCGGAACCAGGCGATAGCGGTGTCGCTGTCCCCTGCCACGCCAACACCATCTCGATAGCAGACACCGAGCCAGTACTGTCCGTACCGATTGCCCTGCTCGGCCGACTCGCGATACCATTCGAATGCCTTGGTTTCGTCCACGGCGACTCCGTGTCCATAATAGTGGTAGCAGCGTCCAAGCAGCCACTGCCCGTACGAATCGCCTTGCGCTGCTGACTTGCTGAACCACTCGAATGCCTTGCGGGAGTTCATCCGCACTCCCCAGCACATAACGTAGCAAATTCCAGCCCAGAACTGGCTGGGGCTGTGGCCGTCGCTGGCGAGCTGTTCAAACATTTTTGTTGCTTGATATGCGTCACTTGGGATTCCGAATCCATTGATGAGGCACACGGCCATCAGGTGCTTACACACCCAGTCCCGCTCCGATCCCAGCCGGCACAGCTCGAAGAACTCGCGGGCGACGAGTGCGTCGGATTCAGCCTGCGGCTCGGTGTACCTCATGGACAAGCACTCATGCTCACCGAGCTTGAACCTATCCGACTTGTTGTTGCGAATGATTGCGATACCCTTGCGCTTGTTCTGCACAGTTCCTCGGCCGAGGTAGTGCATCCACCCAACCATGTGGGTGGCGATGGGCTTGAGGACCGGATCGGTGGATTCGCTGACTTCTTGCCAGTGGCTGAAGGCGCTGATATCGCTTTGAGGTGCACCAAACCCGATGAATGAGATCCATCCCCAGAGAAACACCATTCGGACTCGAGCATCGTTATTTCCCTGATCGGCAGCCTTGGAGTACCACTCGATGGCTGCGTCAAAGTCTCGCTCGACTCCTTCGCCTTTCTCATAGCAGCAGCCGAGAGCAACTTGGGCCTGGGATATGCCTCGATCTGCAAGGGTTCGGTACAACTCCACGGCCTTGGTGTGGCTCTGGCCGACGCCGCGGCCTTGGTAATAGTATCCAGCCAGGCGGAACTGTGCCATCGGGTGGCCAGTGCGGGCTGCATCCTTGAACCAGCGGAAGATTTGTTGTTCCTTGATATGCTGCTTGAACGGGCCCCAGTTGCGCCCGTTGGTTTCGATGACCCAAGCCAGAAAGTACGAGGCCGTGGGGTTGTCCCGATATGCCTCCGAAGCGAGCCAGGATCGGTCGGTGATATCTTGATCATCGTAGCGCAACGAGAGGGCGATCTGGTCGCTGGGAGTGAGGCCGATCCGCAGCTGCCCATCAGGGCGGCACAGCTCCGCCGTCTGGCACCAGGTGCGAAAACGAGCCACCCTGGAGCTCAAGAACGGTTTGGCCCGTTTGCACACCTGGAGCAGAGCTGCGATGGTGGCGTGGTCGAGGGCAAGCTGGAAGGCGTCGTTGAGACATATGATGGTGAAGATGTCTGGGTTGTGGTCGCTGATGGCCTGGCGAGACATATCGGCAAGGGGATGGATACTGCCTGTCGAGATGAGCGAAAGGCCGAGGGGAAGCGACAGGGCCGAAATGAGAAGCCCGAGCGAGAGGCCAAGTCACTCAGACGCCGAAGCCACACGCTGGCTCACGGGACGCCAGAGACGACTCTATGACTATCTCCCAGACAATAGCGCCCTGGCAATAGATGCGTATTTCGGGTATTCCGGAGGTACTGTATTGAGAAGGGGGGGGGATGGTGGAGAGGAGCTGATTTGTCCCGTTTCGATTCGAGAAACGCTGTCATTAGAGCGATGGAAGGGGCTCGAGAAGAGAAAGAAATAGAGAAAAAAAAAGAAAGGAAACTGTCTGGGGGAGGGGAGAGGAGTAAGGGGGAGTAGTCCCGAGCTATAATGACGCTCGAGCGTTCCCCATGGGGAGGGGGCGAAACGGAATATGTTCGCTGCCAATAGATAAGTTCACAGATAGATCATATGATGCAAAATCCACAAGCGAGAGTTGCGTGGGGGAGGGGACTGGGGAGACGGGAGGCATGGGCGAAGTGATGGAAACGGCGACCATGCTGATCCCCAGGGAGGACGGATGCCAGCCACGGAGGGGGGCATTTGTGGTCCGATCGGTCGGTCTCTTGTGGAAAAAGAGAAACCCAATCAAAACTAGGCGAGGGGTGGAGCAAAGAAGGGGAGACAATTGGGGCGATAGAGGGAGGGTGCGACGGGCACGAGCATCAAAAAGGATTGGAATAAACAAAAATAAGAAAGAAAAAGTACAGGGCTGATGGCGGCGCAGAGGAGGGTCAGGCTTGGGAGCGAGCAGGGCAAGCACTCACCTGCCGGTGGCTCGTTGCTGCTCATGTCTCTTGCACAAGCATGCTCACAGGCATGATGTGCAAATAGACGTCGCAAGCGAGTCCACCAACAGATATACACCCAAAGGGTCCAAGGTTGCATCGCCGGAAGCACGTCGCCGAGGCTTGCAGGCCGGCATCGATGGCCTCGGATAGGGCCACGGTAGTCCCCCCGATCCCTGACGGAAGGTGTGGCGTTAAGCTGTCACAGGGAGATCGGGGCGGATGCGTCGAGACGGACATGGCTGGCACAGGTCGAGCCGCCTTTAGTCCAGAAGCTCGCCTTCCTCGACCTCCTGGCTTCCGCCGTTCGATGTCGGCGTGGCCCTGAGGCGCTTGGATGGGTCGGCATCCTGGTCGTGGCCTTTCCGCTTGGCACCAGTGCCCAGAGGAAGGGCAGCCTTGGTTTCGTTTGGCTTGGCCGCCGGAGCCGAGGACGGGCTATTGGGCGTCAGACACGATCCCGCCGAGGCCGTCGGATGGTCGGGATGGGCACCTGCAGGCATCGGAGACGTGGCCTGCACTAGGAGCAGCGGTGTCGCCGGGAAGCAGTACGGGTTGGCCGTGTTGGGAGGCGAAAGGGCCTGGGTATTGGGCTGTTGCGCTTGCTGTGGCTGCCGCTTGGGCTTGGCTGCGTGGAAGGGCACCATGCATTTTTGCACAAACCACCCGTCAAAGTACCGCAGGCACACTGTGCCAGGTAGGATAAGGGGAGTCGATAGAGACCGCCGTTCAGCAACAGTGTTCGCCAACAGTCGCCGTCACAGGGCGCCAGTTTCCCCGAACCAAAATCCCGTCGTTGCCGTCGCTTGAGCCCATCAGGGCCAGCCTCGCAGTCGATGGGCCGTGGCTGCGGTCCCGGACATAGGGCAGTGTCGCCATCCATTCCCTCGGCGCCTGACACCTACTGCTCATGTGTTTTCGCTTGGCGAAGGGTTTGCTCCACGCATACTTGGGGAACTCAAAGAGCTTGCCATCGGGCTGTCTGGCAGTGTAATGCGCCAGCATCACACAGGTCGCCGCGATCGTGGCAATGTCAAAGTGCAGGCACATGGGGGTATAGAACCTAGATTGCAGACGGCGCAGCCCTGTGAGTGCCGCGTTCGCCGCAACGCAATAGCCAGCCACAACAGCCGACCGCAGCGAGCACAGGCCGCCCATCTGCTGTCCATCCGTCTGTCCGCCACCAGCAAGGACGGGTCCACGTGTCGCTGCTGTGCATGTCCGACCGGGGATCTGGATCGGATCCAAGAGGCGGTGCACAGGATCGGCCACTTACGAATCACGCAGGTGGCGCATCGCGGCCTCACGTAAAGGAACAGGGGCTGTGGGGAGGGGAGGGAGGGCCGATCAAGACAGATGCATTAGTGCTGTAGTTGCTGCAGACACTCGCCGTTTGCAGGTCCGACCCCGCAACTTGAGCACCCTGAATGCTGAATGCACCGCCTCGTTACCTTGGATGGCATTGAGGATCTCGTGCAGCTTCAGCTCGCCCGAATCGACCTCGAGATCAAAACACAGCGTTTGCAGGACAAGTTCCTCATACTGCAGAATGTAGTCGAACCACTTGTTGTACAGATCCAGGCCCTGGTGGAGATTTCGGGAAGGCATAAGACAGATGCCAAGGGCTTGTTGATCGTCACTGCACCCGAGCACTCGCCCGGGCCATGGCGACTGGGCTTGGGTGTGGATGGCACTCACCTGGGGCGTCATCAGCTCCTCATACCGGAACTGTTTTTTAACGTCATTCTTGCTGCAGAGATAGACGACGCATCGGACAAAGGACTTTGTCGAGCAGCGGCGGTAGTATCGGTCGTCCGACTTGAGGGCCAGCAGCAAGCATGCGGCCGCCAGCTCCATGCACTTGCTATCTTTCAGTCCGGCTCGGGAGTAGAATCGGTGGGCGAGAACACGGGCCACTGGCGGATTGGTGGGGATTGATCAGCGCATGATCTGGCCGAGATATCGAGAGGGAGGCGAGTGAGTCCCTTACCTGTGATGGTTTCACGGGGACTGTGGAGCGGATACCCGAGATGGGTTCAAGGTGTGTCGTTGATGGAGGCGTGTGTCGTGTGCGATACCGTGCGATACTGTGCGTTAGCAAGCTGAGGTCCAGGACAAGCCAGAGGGAGTCCAGAAACAGACTCATTTCGACACCGGCCGCAACCGCCCGGACAGCCGCTGTTTCCACAGCCGGCCAGCTGCCTCCAGCACAGCGATCCTGAGGAGGAGGACACTTTGCGGAAAGAGAGAATGAGAGAGGAGGGACAGTTGCGCTCTGGCAGATACATACATGGGGCCCTTCCATGTTGAGTACTGCATGGCAATGTCGGAGATGAACAGGGCGGTCTTGAAGCGGGGGTCGTTCATCGAAAACGTTGTCAGATTTGTTAGGGAATCGTGCAGCTCCTCGTCGGAAAACGTCCACTGGTTCCAGGCCTTGGGCGGAAGATCCGATCGCAGGGCCTGCGAGGACGGATGGTGGGAGGTGGCTGCAGTCGCCATGGTCGACGGCGGTCGGGAGGATGAGGATACGGATGATGCAGAGGTGGCAGTGGAGGTGGGTTTGGTGGCAGAGGCGGTCGGCAGAGAGCGCCTGGAAGTCTGGGACAGGTGGCCAGAGGCGGCTGGGTTTGAGTGGTAGTGAGAGGACGACGAGGACGAGGACGAGGACGGAGCAGGTTGCCGCAGCGGGCGAGTGTCGGGATGCGGGGGGTGGTTGGAGTGTGCGGTGCGAGTATAGGACATTGTGGGCTGGGTTGGAGACGGCGGCTGGGAGGTCAGACGGAGGACAGGCGATGGAAGACGGGGCCGAGGAAAGGTCTAGAAATGGGAAGGAAGGGGGGGGTCGATGATCCGAAGAGGTGGCGGATGGGCAGGAAAGCGATGGGGGGAGCGACCGTCCGGGGTGGGAGTGGCAGGAATGGAAAGCCCGGCAGTTCAACGGGCCTGGACAGGGGAAGGTGGAAAAGGAGAGTACCAGAGGAGCCAATTGCAGGAAGGAAAGGAGCCGGCGCTGGACAGCGAGTGGTCAGCGAGCAAAAAGTACACAGCGACGGACTGGAGAAGCAGTTGGAATGAGCCGACAAGCCCTAATATCGAAACAAAGCAAAAGGACGGAGATGCCGCCAACAATAAATAAAAGACAGAAAATACAAAAAAGAGCAAGCGGCCGTGAGGATAGGGCCTCGACAAGCAAGTGGCAAAAGAAAGGACAAGCGGATTGGAAGGGATTGGGGGCAAACGCCGAGGACGAGCCGGCAAGCAAGCAAGCAAGCAGGCGAGCGACGGAAGAGCAGGGCCTGCAGGACAGGATGCACCTGGCAAAAGAGGGGGGAGCGAGGAGGCAAGTGGCTCCAGGTATCCTTATCGCTTTGAGGAAAACGAGGCGGATAGATCGAAGCAATTGCACTCGCTCTTATGCAGTTGCGCCGGCCTTGCAACCAAGCGTCAAAGGTGGGAGGGAGGACGAAGGAGCCGCACAGCGTTGGCAGAGCAAAAACAGGCCGAGAAAGAGCGGGAAGTCGAAGGAGCGAGAGCCAACTCTGTGTGTGTGTGTGTGTGTGTGTGTGTGTGTGTGTGTGCGCCGCGGCGACGGGGCGAGACGGGGCGAGGGGGGGCGAGAGCAGCGGGAGCGTGCCCAGGCGATATCAAGCCATATCGAGCCATATCAAGCGAGATCACGGCGAGGCCGCAGCGAGGAAATCACCACTCCAGCCGGCAACACGCTTCTGTCGAGATGCACAGCGACACGCCTGACTCGCGATGTATATATTCGTCCTGGGGGGCTCAGCTATTGCAACAGCAGTGCTCGAGGTGGCAGAAGCAGGCTCTGCCTCTCGCCTGTCTCCAGCCGCGAGCACCCCAGAACGGCCTGTCCCAGTCTGCATGGTGCTGCATCAGCCGGTCCCGTCGCTGTCGAGACCTCCTCGCTCCCGTCTCGATGGCGCCGATGTGGGTATCGACGCAGCAACAAAGGGCGATCAGGGCCGAACAGCACACGCCAAGCGCGCCTCTTGTGGCTCACGCTGAGTCTTGCGTCTTCTGATGCGGGTGGGTCCGGCATGCGGTCGCCGGTGCTTGCATCAGCAGCGCAGCACGATGTTTCGGTGGGGAGGCATGGGGCAGGGAAGGGCCTGGGCGCTGGAGGCTGCCAGTGTGGTTGCTGTCATGCATCTTGCATCCGCATCCGAGACATGCAATGGCCGGCGCATTGGCCTGTTGCGGGCCCCCGCCAATGCGGCTGTTCCTCGGCGGGTGGCAGCCGCGATTCGCATTGCAGAGCGGCTGTCTCTGCGCCGACAGCGAGGGCGGTCGCTGGGCGCATCCCGCATCGCAAAGGTCCGCTGGATCACACCGGAGACAACCGACGCCCACATGCGCTCGATGGGAGCAGGGCGCCCAGCCCAGAAAGCGGAAAGGCGAGCTGAGCATGGTATATGGAATACTGAGCATGGATACGGAATACTGAACATGGATACGGAATACTGAACAACGCTTCATGAACGACGCCCAATACCACCTAGCCCATTGGCGAGACCACAACATCAAGTATCAAGCTCGACCGACCATCGGCGAGGCAGGCCTATCCGACTCGGACCCCACAACACACGGGCTCTCGGGTCTCCGCGGCAGTAGGGGCGAGGAGGTTTGCAGTGCACGGCTCTCGATGAGCCCGCGGTCGCAGCGCTTGCCGCCCTTGGAGTAGAAGAGACATCGACCCGAGCCGCGGGATTGGCCAGTCTCCTCGCAGAAGGTCTTGCACATGTCGTAGGGCGGAGAGTACAGGTGCAGCGATATGGCGGGGGCGTCGTTGGAAGGGTTGGACACCCGATGCAGCCCGATCTTGTCTATACAATGATGCCGGGTTAGTCTCGAGACAAAGCGGGGGCGGCTCGTGCGAATGAGCACAGCGAGGAGCATAACGGCTTAGCCAGTCATGGAGACTGCGACGCTGCGACAGCGAGGCAGCAAGGACAGACGTACCATGGATGTATGCAACCTGGTCCCGGGAATAGAGTGCCTTCTGCTTGAGCTGCATCGAGTGTGGGCACGAGACATCGACGTCGCCCTCGGGCCACTCGAACTGGGTCTCGACAATCTGGCCGTCCATAACTTTCATCAGACAGTGGGACCCTGCATGGTCGTGGATGGCGCTGGAGCACCGAGAAACAATAGAGGTTGAGTCGTGTGGACCAAGTACCGCGCGTTTGGGGCCGAGAGCCAGTCAAGGGGCAGCCAAGAGTCAGGCCGACAGTCACCCCATCAGCAAAGCCACTATTATTTACCTCCGCTGGCCCTCGCTCCAGCACAGGAGCATGAGGTTGAAGCGCCCGTTGCCGTCGTCAATCAGGTTGCGGGTATAGGCCTTGGATCGGTCCAGAAACGCATACTGTGTCCAGTCGTCCGGGTTTGATTTGTAGCTCTCCATGATGCGACGGATGCGCTCCGGGTCGACGCACTCCTTGTCGATTTGGAGCTCAGTGTGCAGGATCTCGACGAGGCCCTTGAGGCTACGGGGCTCGGGAAGATTGGCATAGGGATCCGCCTGGCCAGCTGGAGTTGCGGCGGAGGGCAGTCCCCGGCAGTTTGAACAGTCTGCCTGGTTGCAGGTAAAGAGGGTGGACATGGACGGATGGATGTGTGTACGCGAGAAGGGGATGACGGAGGGCCAGTGACGAGACTCAAAAGCACTCGGAAACAGAGAATCAACAGAATGGTGCGCGACGGAGACTCAGCGCGGTGAGGAGAGGGGAGGGAGCGTGGGAAGAGAGCGGATTGGGAATGCTGGAGCGAGCGGATTCGGAATGCTGGGGGGAAGCGGCTATGCCGGCAATGGAGGGCGAAATTTCGGCAGCGGATCGAAGCGATATTTATTTTGGTTGGCGGACCGGGGAATCGTCGTCAAACCCTCGGCAAGCCGGACGGTGCGGGACACGGCGGGCAAGCCGGCTGTGGGGTCGACAAGGGCGCTGACTGGACAGGGAATTGTGGGGTAGAGCATGTGGCCGGGGGGCAGATGCAAGACGAAGGAGGTGGCAAGCAACAGCGGAGCGAGCTATGCTGGATGTGCAACCGGTGTCGACGGCGCTAGTCCCGGCATGCGAGCAGACCCGACCCGCTCGCGCAGGGCATCGACCTCTCGAGCAGCACTCGCAGCACTCGGCACTCTCAGCACTCGTCTTTGGCGACGACGACTGTTTCTGCGGCGCCATCGCCGACCGTGTGTCAGCCGGTGCTCCCCACATCCCACGCTTGCCGGATTTGACTGCTCTCCCAACATGGAGGCGGATGGCCGATGGTTCCCGTGTGGTTTGGTGGAGGGGGTGTGGGGTCATGCCCAGTCAACATCGCATCAGATGCGCCGTTGTTTGGCGTTGCTGGGAGCCACATCCACTGGAATCGGGGCGCAGAGAACAGGGCGGGGGGAGCGCAATAGCCATGGGACAGACTCAAAGTTGGAGGCGATCCTGATGGACGGGGACGAATGGGGCTGGTGGGAACTCCGGATGATGACGACAGGGCTCCAGTCGAGCACGGCGAACTACAGTCGCGGGGAACTGAGGACATTCGGATGGATGAAAAGCGAAAGCATCTCTGCATGCCCCGACGATGGCAGCCCGCGAAGCCCTTCGTTCTTTCCCTTCGCACACACTCGGCAACCCGAGTCCACGCTGACTGCATGTGGATTCCATATATTGTTCAAAAAAACGCACCAAGGATTAGCCTTTATCCGTCACCGAGCACACGGCAGAGAGCGAGCAGCCTGGCAACGGCAAAGGAGCGAGACGGCGAGGGAAAAGTGAGAGGAAAGGGGTGCACGGCAACTGCGCAGAGAGATCAGAGGAGGCCAGGCAAGGTTGGAATACGAAGGGATAGAGTGGCAAAGGGTGGGCGTCGAGAAGTGTAAAGAAAGGCAATAGAAGAAAAGATAGTGCAATAGTCAAACAAAAAAAAAGGTAAGGACGAGCCAGGAGGCTGAGAAATCCCCTCTAATACTTCTACATGTCCATTGTTGTTTTGCGGGGGAGAGAGGTCGGCAAGAAAGAAGGAGAGAGAGAGAGAAAAAAAGAGCGAGTCGCCTTGGCTTTTATTGCTGTGCCGGACGGGGTTTCATGGCCCCGTCTTACTTTGATGCAGACATGGTGGATTCCTTGAGCGCCAGGAGCTGCTTGGTGCGGAAGGCCTCGTAGTGGATTTGTGAGGTGGTCTCGATCAAGTCCTGGAGGTGGGTGCGGGCAAGGAAGTTGCGGAGGTGGACAAAGTCGCAGTGCTGCTCGTTCTCGACTGGAGACGGGAGGTGGACAAGAGTTGCGGGCGGAGAGTGTTAGTCGCGTCCTAGTGGATTACTTGCAGATCCGATCAAGGCCGGTGCGCAGGCGACATACCGTTGATCATGCCCCAGCGGGTTCGTCGTCCACGAACAGCCTTGCCTTCGACGACAATGTTGCGCTCAGAGCCAACAATGGCAAAGGGGATAATGTCCTGGTCAAGAGGGGAGAGTGGTGTACTGATCAGTCATCCGTGTCGAGCCGATATCACAATTGCGAGCGTGGTGCGTCATGCAATAGACACCAGGCACAGCCACAGAGCGTAAAAGTGGCCATTGAGCGGGTACTTACGCGGATCTGCTGGACAAGCTGCTTCTCGGAACGATCCAGCTCGTCATCGTCGACATCGATGTAAGGGTAGGCGCGGATGCCGTGGAAGTCAATCTCCTCCTTGATGCGCTTCTTGAAGGCAGTGCGCTCCTCCGGGGTGAGCGAGTCGGACTTGGCGATGACGGGGATGACGTTCGAGATCTCAGAGAGCTTCTTCATGACAATAATGTCGAGGGGAGCGAGGCTGCAGCATAGAAATGAAAAGCCGGGGAAAAAAGAGTACGTGGTGCTGGTCAGCAGCGCCCCGGCAGGTGGATCGCTTAGGACGAGAAACGCGGAAGCCGAGTCTATTCTTACCCGTGGCCGCTGGGGGCGATGAAGAAGAGGACAGCGTGGATGCGGGTGTCGGCGATGCGCTTGTCGCGGTTGGGGGTGAGCTCCTTGCGGAGGTAGGCAGAGTACTGCTCCTTGATGTGCTTGATGATGGGCTCCCAGCTGTGAATCGAAACGTGTATGACAGCACAGACAGAGATGAGTGTTTGGACTCCCGACCACCAGCTGCTGGCTGCTGGTTGCAGAGACGAGAATCAAACACGACAGCCAGGAGCAACGATGCTGACGAAGGCGACGACAGCGGGAGATGCTGCGACTTGGACCCGCGGGAGCAGTCGCAGTAGGACTTGACACGCACCAGTTGTCGTTGTTGACCTGGTCGCCGTAGCCGGGGGTGTCGGTGATGGTGAGCTTCAGCTTGACACCGTTCTCCTCGATGACTGTGGACAAATAGTACCGATGCGCATGTGAGTGGCCAGCGATCAGCAATCAGCAATCAGCAATGAGCAATGTGCAATGAGCATCGTCATTGGATACGTCTCCCCCATGTCTGCAGACGGGCCGGAACCAGAGGCGTACCGTGGCTGACGGTCATGATCTCGGTGGTCTGGCGCTGAGGATCGCTGGGCTTCTTGGTAGCTTTGGAGTCAATGAGGTGCGAGGCGAACAGGGTGTTGACCAGAGTGGACTTTCCAAGACCAGTGCGGCCTGCGACGTTGCGTGCAGATGCGTGTTAGCCATCCGCCAGCGGTGCCCATCGTCGAGGACATGGATTGCCCAGCATGCGTTGTGGAGTGGAGCAAATTCCGACAATAATGATTTTGGTGATTGCATCCGTAGGCGTCGTCGGGTGAGTTGGCAGGGCAGATGATGCATGTTGAGGGAGACGTTGCGAGAGACGAAATCAAGGCAGGGATGATGGTGAGAAAGCAAGAAGCGTGGTTAGCATTGGTTTGACAGACAAACCCATCATCCCAGGCCATGGCAACTCAGCACCATGAGCCTCCTGGATCGCACCGGAAACACGGGGCATTCATCGCTTGAGCTGCTGGCGGGCTGCTGGCGACCAAGGCGCTGCCCAAGCTGACAGAAAATACACAAACCGATGCCAATGTGTGCCAGCAGCGGATCCGCATTGCCTTGGCGATGCGATGATCGCTGTTGCCCAGTTGCTCACGGTGCGCCGCGCCTGCCAATCAAGAGGACCGCTGGTGCTGCAGGACCGCGGTCAAAGTCACGGCGGGGCGGCTCCATGCTTGGCGGCCTCTCTCCTGCATCCGGCGACAGCACCAGCCAGCCAAAGATTGCAAGCCCGAGGAGCAAGAGCGGCCCTGACACAGCACCAAGTCGTGGCCAGCGCAACAGGGACGAGAGCAGCATGGGACGGGCCCCCGGAACGATCGTTACCGACAACCATGATGTTCAAGGTGAAGCCACGCTTGAGCAGCTTCTTTTCGATTTGGTTGGTGATCGAGTCGAAGCCGACATAGCCGGTGAGGGTGACCTTCTTGGGAGCCTCGCTGACGGTGGGGGCCAGCGAGGGCACGGTCGAGGCGGACTGGATGGAGGCAGCGGACATGACGGGCGAGAGATTCGGCAGACGGAGAGGAGGGGCGGTTGGGACAGCAGGCACTTGCTGGGCGTTCGTCGACCGTGAGGGGGAGCTGGCTCGGCTGGAGGGGACAGGAGAGCGGCAGGACCCGATGAAAAAGCAGAAGCGAGAGGAAAGAGCGGCGGGCCGAATCGGAAACGCACTTGGGCCGCCCCCGAAAGCGCTCTCGACCAGCCCAGGCGAGGCCGCGCGGCCATCCATCGGCCTCGCCCACGCTCTCGCCCGTGCTCTCGCCCCGCAGCGGCCCACTCAGCGGCGGCCTCGCCCGCCTCTCGCCTCGCCGCGCGGCCTCGCTATCCGCCCGCGAACCTGTCCATTCGAGGGCGTTGTGTCACACCGTGTATTGCAAGACGGGCGTCTGTGCGTGTGTCGTTCCATTTATGGACAGGCCGGCCGCCTGCTGCTGCCCACAGACACACTGCCGCGGCCGGCTTGCGGCCCGAGCACACACACGCCCCCTTGTGTGCTGCGGCGCGACAGCCCTAAGGGCTTGCTAGGGCTTGCTAGGGCCTGTGTGCGCCGTCCCGGTTTCACACCGCGATCTGGCTCAGCGGCTCTTCCATGTGGCTCCGGAGAGCATTGGCCTGCCGGGCGGGCGATGGGACGGACCACCATGGCGGGCGATGGGGACGACATATCCAGTGGAGACGCAATCCAACAGATATCACACGCCAGTTAGCGACGTCGTTAATGGGCTGCTCTCTCCTCGTTCCTCTCGTCCGATGCGCCCCCCCTTCCAGTCGTACCTTCATCCTGAGAATACCAAACTCGGTCTCGTTGCTGCCGACCAGACAGAGTAGCAGCTTGTCCACTCGGGTCAATGCCACCCGTCCTTCCTGATAGCGAGACACAGGCACGAAAAAGAAGACAGTGAGCATCCCATCCAGCGATACCACTCCCCCGGATCTGTGTTGCTCGTTGCCCCACGTCGTGCCGCAGCGGATTTCTGTCCAGCCGCGGATCTGTTCTGCAGCCACACGAGCATCCATCGTCCATTGCCGAATGTCCATCGTTCAGTATCCATCGTTCAGCATCCATCATCGAGCATCCATCATCGAGCATCCATCCAATATCCAACGAAACCCTTTGCCCGCTGCGCATATCGCATTGGTCCGGTGCCGCCGCCGTGTGGGCTGGCGAATAGGGCTGTGGCAAGGCGACAATCAACGCCACAGATTCATGTCCAGGCCGCTCGACATCCAGATTGCCCCCGCTTCGTGATCCGCGTCTTGCCGGTAGGCCAGCCCCCCGAGGGCAGAGTGAGAGGGAGGGAGAGAGGAGCCGGACAGGCGGCACCGAGAGGAAAAATGGCCAGGCAGCGATCTCCGATCATCTTGGGTCGCTTCGTCGGTCATTACCTCGCATTCTAGCAGCAGCGTCTGGAGCTGCCCAGGCGCCGAGGCCGATTCAGCCTCCACGCATGTATTTTTTTGGTAGGTCGACCAGATGTTGGTCACGACGGCGGCGATGATTTTGGCAAACCGGTCGTCTCCACCGGCAAACGCCAGCAGAGACCCGTTCAAGTTCAGAAGCCTGTTTGGTGTCGCAGGATGATTCGGATCCGGTGAGGGTTTGTGTGGGTGAGCGAGCGTTGGGAATATGGTGGCCGTACGTTTGCCATTTTGTCCATCGTCCCAGTGAAGGAGACGATGTCGGTGTGAAGGAGCAAAAGATCGAGTTTACTCTGGTCAGCAAACGGCTCGCACACATGGATATTACGGCGGTCCTGAATCGATGTACAATCGTCTCTCAAGCAGCAAACCCGCCACACAGACTCTGGACTGCTCCCAGCAGAGTATCCTGTCAGGGGCAACAATGGCGATCCCGCTCCTCCTCATCCAGCCATCGTGGGCCAATGCGCCGCGTTTTGATACTGCACTCGCACGTCGCTCCTGTCTCTGGCTACGTCGGCTCGGTTCGGTTCAGTTCAGTCCGGCTCAGTCCTCGCCCGGCTCGCTGCAAGCTGGCTCGGCTCTCGGACGGGATAATGCTCTGGTCGTGGGGGAGGGGCTCCCGATTCCAGACTCGCAGCCAGAACTGACTTACAGCGTCGAGTGCACGCCCCCGGTGTTGGCCTGGGCAAGTAGCTGCGAAATGACTCTTGGCTTGATCATCGGAGAGGCGTGTGCAGGGGAGGAGAGCGAGCGGGGCTTTGTTTCGGCTGTCGGTGTGCGGTCCGGGGTTGGGCCAGGTCGGAAAGGATGGTGTTTGCTCTGGAGCCGCCAGGGGCCTGCTGAAAACAGCCGGCGTGGGCAGCCTTCTGGCCATGCTGCGCACGCTCCTGGCGGATGCTGCCGATCGGCCGAGCCGGTTCAGCGGACATGGCCCGCAGCCGGATGCTGGGGACGGAGGCCATCTGGACGATGCAGTGTGCGCAGGGCCATGCAATCAAGCCGGCTGGCCGTGTTCATGGGCGCTGGCCTGCTGCGAGACGGCCTGCTCGCAAACAGCGCTCACCCACAGCGGAGCATCAGCAGTGCCATGTCGATTCGCGCAGCTGTATTCGGCCCAAAACCGCTGTCTCTGCCTCAAAGATCGATTATCAGAGATCGGGAATTATCAAAGATCGGGCATTATTGATCGACCCCTCAGAGATCGACCCCCCTCAGAGATCGGGCATCCTCAGGATCCGCTTGTCTTTGTTTTTGGCGTGCTCGACCAGATCAGCCCAAAAGACCAGCTTCTTGATGCGTTCGGGGGCACGCCGGGCACCCGTGGCCCAGTAGAAGATGTCCCAGTCGTTTTCTTCCAAGAAGTGGTCGAATTGCGCCAGGGCCTCGGCGTCCATTTTTGGGAGTTGCGTCTTGGCAAAGGTCGCGAGGATCAGATCGTTCTCTAGGATGCCGCGCTTGCGCACCTGGTAGAGGAGCCGTGCCCGCTTGGTCTCCGTGGGCTCGTCCGGGCTGCGGTTCAGGAACGGCAGCGGCTCTGCGGGCTGGAACGTTTCAAACTCGTCGCTTTCTTGCTCTGAGGGCGAGGGCCACTTGCGGCTCCAGTCGGGTGCTTGGGGCTCCCACTCGGCCTTGGGCTCCCAGACCAGCTTGGGGGTTGTCAGGAATCGGACAGAGACAGCCGACATGCGGCTTCTCCGCAGACACGCCGTGAGTCGCGGAAGCATTGTGAAGATGCGGTGCGGCGAATGCGACAGTGCGCCGTACTGATGCGATGTGGGTGATGTGCCGGGATGGTGGTCTGAGGGCGATAATGGCAGCAACGAAAGCAAAATCCGCAGCCATTTCCTCGCCGCGCTCTCGGCACGCTCTCGGTACGTTCTCGGCACGCTCTCGCTGCTTGCAGAGAAACATCGCTTGTTGACAATCGATTTGTCCCAAACACCCGCCGTCCGACCTGCATCAATGTCGAGCGACAGCAATGCACAGAGGACGGAGCCCCAAGCAGTTGCCATGGCGGCGGCGGCCCAGCCCCTCCCTCCTCAGCCAAGCGCAGGCTCATCCCTCGCTCGCTACGATCTCATCTGCATCTTGATTTGCAACGACGCCTTCTTGCGCACTGCCCGACTCTCAACCCTGGTCAAGCTTCCTCAGCTTGCTCGTCAGCACAGAGACATTCTCTCCCTCGTTTCCGCCGATGCATGGATCGACCGGCTCTATGACCAACTCGGCCTCACCGACAGCTTCTTCGAGGACCTCGACGAGCCCGTCGACCGTAGGGCCGTCCTGGAGGGCTTGTGCTCCTTCCTCACTCGCAACAATGGCTTTCCCAGCAGCTTCGAGGCCTACCAGAAGGAGCTTCCGCTTTGGTGGATCCTCCACCACAACAGCGACATGGTGCCGCCCGTCTGGGACTACCTGAATCCGATTATCGAAGCATCGGACATGCCCTGTATCGCTTGCGCTGGTCCCAAGACGCTCGAGGCTGTCCGGTGGCTGGACCCGCAAGAGCAATTTCGGCTCGTCGATAGCGCACAAATCATTCGCAGACACCACTGCCCCGATTGCGCTGCCGTCATTCGCAACTGGGATAGGCGGGCGATCTACGCCATCGTCAGGCCTGACGAGCACCCCTTTCATACCCGCGAGCAGTGGGTCCGGCTGCTGCCGCATGAACTCGACATCCTTGGCGATCCGGATTTCTACGAGCTCCACCTCGTCAACTGCTCCCTTTCGTCTCTCTCCGGCTGGCCCGAAGAGCTCGAGCACATTTCCCACCTCCGGATCGATGGAGAGCCTGCGGCGGATCGAGTCGAGGATCCCACAGGAATGCGCCGTGTGTCTGGCGAGACTGAGCCTGTATCGTCAGCAACATGTGGCAGCTCCAAGCACTTCCCACGCTGCCTCGCCCGCCTGAGGTCACTCGATGTGAGCCACTGCACCCGGCTTGCGTCCCTGGCAGAATTGCATCCGCTTCCTTATTTGAACAAGCTTCGACTCCCGTTCTCTGTTCTTTCGCTGGAGGGATTGCTCACGCAGCTGGATGCACTCGAGGAGCTCGACATGTGGGAATGCAGCAGCCTGAAATCACTCCTGGGCCTTGTATCCATGCCCAAGCTGAAGGTGCTCAGGTTACCACGATCGGGTCGGTACTTGGATGATATGTCAGATTGGAGCGCCTGGCTCCACCACCATCAACAGTCGCAGCCGTCTGCCGAACCGGATGAAGCCCTGGCAACACCCTGGCCGTCTCTGACCGAGCTGTGGGTGCAGTATCCTCCTGGGGGTCTCGGGCCGCTCTCGACCATGCTTGAGTCAATCCAGTCTCTGCATCTGTTCATGAGCGGACAGTCGAACGTGTTCGCAACTCTCCCGCCAATGCTACGCCTGACCAGCCTTTGGCTCCATGGATCGATGGACACACTGGCCCAAATCGACGGATACCCGGATTCGCTTCAGCTGCTTTGTCTCGATCAGGACTGCATGGTCAGTTCGCTGGCGGGAATGCCTGAAATGCCCAAACTGGAGACGCTTGTTCTCCCGTCATGCATCAGCACCATGATCGCCATGGCACCTCGTCTGGAGTCGCTGGTTCGGCTGAACCTGTTGGCCTGCACTGCACTACGTTCGCTTGAGGGATTCCCATGCTCGCCCAAGCTGGAGGAGCTGTACCTTCCGCCTTCGCTCGAAACCCTGGAAGGCATGCCCCCAACGCTCCCGGCCATCAAGAGCCTGAGTCTATCGGTATGCATAAGACTGCGGGATCTCAAAAACGTACCTGCAATGCCAATGCTTCTCAATCTGACTCTACCGGAATCTCTGAGGTCGTTACAGGGGATGCCAAGGACCCTGGAGTCCCTCACGACGCTTGGAGTCAGTCGCTGTCGCCGTCTAAAGTCCCTCGAGGGTCTCTCCAACTTGCCCAGCGTCCGGCGGCTTGAGCTCCCCCCAGGACTCGAGGCCCTGAGTATCGCATCGGTGTCGCTCGACTCGGTCGTCGAGCTTTCCGTAGCCAGTTGCTTGCTCCTCAAGACTCTCGGTGGATTCCCACAAGCGCCGCGCCTGGAGCTGCTTGTTCCTGCGCGCACACTCACCACACTCGAGGGCCTGCCGACGGTGATGGGGTGTCTAAAGAGGCTTGATCTCTCGGGATGCACCGAACTCGCTTGTTTGAAAGGATTCCCACATGCCCCGAGGCTGGAGACACTGATCCTCGACAAATCGCTCGGAAGTCTGCAAGGGCTCCCGCCAGCCCTTCCGGCCTTGACGCTGCTCCGATTCCAAGGAGCAACCGCATCGTGCGCCAATCCCAACTTGCTGTCCGATTTGCAGCACATGGCTCTGCCCTTGCTCAGGGAGCTTTGGTTGCCCCCGTCCGTCCAAAACTTTCAGGGGCTTCCTGGGGTCTTGGAATCGCTTGAAACCTTGGACCTGAGCATGGCGTGCGCCAGCTTGAGGTCTCTGGTCGGTCTCCCACACATGCCCAGGCTCACGATGATGGTCCTCGCTGGCCAGACCGAACCCAATCTCGTCGTCCAAGAACTCGCTGCCGCTGTGACCGCATACAGACCAAACGTGGAGATCCGATGGCGACAATGAAAATATACCAAACCAAGTCAAACCGGGAATGGGGCGGCGGCAATCGAAGCTAGTCGACCGTATGCGCTGATACAGAGGCAAGTGTGCCCGCAAGATCCAGGCAACGACGATAGCTGCTCCGAACTATCCAGGAAGACCGCCAAGTTGCCCGCAGTCTAGAAGACGATGGATGCAGTGTGCACATCGACCGTCGCCCATGATGGTCGATTGTGCTCATCCATGGATGTGCTGCTCATAGACTGCTTCTCATCGACGCCCAAGGATCGGCAACGACGAATCACCCGATGCGAAGCGATAGCGCGGCATTGATCGGAGCCGGCTCAAGCGACTAACGACGAAACGAAGCGAACGGCAATTTATTTCTTGTCGGTGCAGAGCGGGACCTCCCAAGAGCCGCCAAGAAATACACATGTGTACATGCGTGTGCCCGCAACCCGCCGCTGCCGCCGTCGCGGGAACGATCCACACCCACAAAAGTCGCCAGGAAATGACGACTCCGCGCCGTGCTCCTGGGCGCCCGAGCCAGTCAGGTGTGTTGGACTCAGTAAGCCTTCGAGTCGGCATCTTCGAGGGCATGGCCGGAGACGTGTCTGATTGCAAAGCACTCGGAGACAACGTGGTTCTTTCGGCCACAGCGGGCGCATTGAGGCCTGGTCGACTTTTGTCTGTCGTAAGCCGAGTCTGCGCTCTGGCCGGCGGCCTCGGCCTGGCTGGTTTCTGAGCGGAACTTGCGCATCTTTTGTGGCGAGCCGATTCTCGAGCCAAACCATCGCAGGTCGCCAATGACCTCGTCCACGGTCAGACCCGGCCTCTGGCTCTTGGCCATGATGAACGTCTCGAACCGTCTGCCGAGCCCGCTGAGATAGAGTTAGATTTCTTCTTTGGCGGTGATTTCGTTTCCGGAGAAACGGGCGATGGCGATGGCGTGTTCCTTGCGGCTGATGTAGTCGTCGACACTCATGTCGCCCTCGAGTCGAATCTCCATCGCATTCTCGAGGGACTTCATCAGCTTAATGGTGCTGGTGTACTCGAAATCGGCGACGACGGCAGCCCAGAGCTCGGCCGAGGTTATCTCCGCGATGTTGCTTTCGTAGCGCATCGCGAGGCGGATCGGCAGGGACATGAAGATGGTTCCCTTGGCCCTGTTGTCTTCGTGTCTGAACTGGGCGAGCTCCTCGGGGCTGTCTTTGCCGGGTTTGGGGATCGTGCCGGTGATGTAGTCGTAGAGGTTTTCTTGGAGGAAGTGGCCGATGGCCTTCATCTTCCAGACCGGATAGATGTCATGGTCGACCTCGGGGAGGCCGTTTCGATCGACGTGGAGGCGAGCCCGGGACATTTGGCGGAGTTATGAGGTGGTTTGGTGGTGCCCGGTGCAGGAGGCGATGATGAGGTTGCAGAGCGAGAGGAGTGCTGATGGGCGAGCCAAGATGAAAGTGAGGAAGGGAAAGGGAAGGGCAAGACGAGCACGGTCATTGCTCAATCGCAGTTGTGATCCCAATGGCTCAAGCAAATGGCCCAACTGAAACAAGGCATTTCGACCTGTGGATTGAAAGGTGTTGATCAGCTGCTTGGCTGCGTGACGCCGCTTGGTGCTCGCACTGTTGCAATGAACTTGGCCGATGAGATGTTGACCGCTGAGACATTCGAGTCTTGGACCGACTCCATTGACGGGCTGGCTGCACGGACACACCGACTCTGTCGACATATGAGTTGTATGGATGCGCCGACCATAGCCGGCCACCCAGGGAGATGACTTGACTTGATCTACTTGGTCGTGTGTAACCAAGGTTGGGGGAAACTCAAACTCTGGGTCGGGCAGTCTCCAGTTTCTGGGTTCCGAGTACATACGCACCATGGCCGAACAACGCATCCAGATTCACCAGGTGCTTGGGGCCATCCCGCCACTGCTGTCCTGGTTCGCTCTGAACATGCTGTACATATGCTTTCGGCATCTCACGAGGAGAGTTGGGTATATTGCACAACCTCGGGACGAGCCATTGGGGCCAGCCGACGGGAGCTGGCTGCAGGCGACGGACAGGCGAGAGCCAAATGACCAAAAGTGGGCAGAGAACGAGCCGGAATGCACGGAAACGGGCAAACAGGGAAGCCAAAGGATGGCGAGGGACATATGCGCAGGATATACAGAGGTTGTTGTTCGGGCGTGAAGGTTGGATATACTTGTTTTCGTTCAAAGAGAGCGCAAAATTAACCAACATGGAGGACGGCGGCGGCGAGGGTAACGAAAGAGAGTGGGAGGGAGGGGAGGCTATGGACAGGAAGGCGAAAGGGCATGGCAAAAACACAGATTACAGATAAAGAAAGCAAGAACAAAGCCAGGCAGCTCGACTGATGACTGCGGCTGGCGGAGGCATCGCAAGATGGGAGGGAGGAGAATGAACAGCAGATGAGCCCACGGTAAGGGGCGTGAATGTGAGAGTATTAAGCATGGCATGGAGTGCGTGAATGACGTATCGGAGATATGGAATGGGCAGAATCAGGGACCGGAGAGAGAGTCGGACACCCGTTTAGAAGCATCGCTTGGTTTTGACATGGCGGAAGAGGGCATCGCTTCGGGTGAAGGTCGTTCCGCAGCGCGAGCACTTGTAGCCTGGGCAGTTGGGATCGTGGACAATCTCATGGCGTCGCAGATCCTGCTTGCGCAGGAAGGTCTTGTCGCAATCTTTGCATCTGAAGGGACGCAGGACCGACGCCTCGGGCTCGCTGCTGGGCGAGTCGCGCTTCAGATGGGCCGGGGGATAGGGGCGAGAGAGGGCACGCTTGCGGGTCTTGCGATCTTCATGCGAGCCACAGGCGACTGGCGAGTCGGGGAGAGAATAAATACAGGTATCGGCGAGAGGCTCGGCAGGGTATGGCATGATCGGGGACGACGGGGCGCTTGCGGGCTGCAGATCGAGCGAGTTGAGGGTATGGATGGATTCGTCGAGGCTGTGCTCAAAGTAGTGGTCGGCATGGACGGCCTGGAAGAGGCACGGCTCGCTGGGCGAGGCCACGAGCGACGAGAGGCTGGCGGAGCAAGTCGAGATGGTGGTATGAGGCGAGGTGACGGACTCGCACGGCGTGTCCGGGATGATGTCCTCGAGCGGGGTGAAGGGGTGGAGGCCCAGGACGGTGGATTCGTGGCCGAAGGGAGGAGGACAGTCGGCAAAGAATTCGATGGCGTCGGTAGCGAGATCGAGATCGTCGGAATGCGACGAGTCGCTGAGATAGGAGGATTCGGAGAGTGCCGGGGAAGTGAGGCGGTCGTGGACGTGCTGGAGGAAATCGGGCGAGCACTCTTTCAGGAACAGCTCGCGAGCAGGGCCGTCGAGCAGAGGCGAAGGAGCCAGGGTTGGCGAAGCATTGCGAGCGACCTTGAGGGCCTTGTCGGAGTTATCGAACAGGGTGGTTTGCAGGACAGCAGCCTCGGGCGAGGCAAAGACGCTGGCGAAGGGAAGCTTCTGCATGGCGGGTGGACAGCGAGGCGCTTTGGAGCGATTGTGTTGGGCCGAGGACGAGCAGACTGGTGGTGAGCATGGTTGGCGACGGGGCGACGAGAGGATTTATATCGGAAGGGAACCTATTTTTTTTTTTCCTTCTTGGCCGGGGGACATGTCCCGACAGACAGTCGAGGCCGTGTATACGACATATGGAACGGATTCGGTTGAGCGATCAAAGCCGAGAGTGGAAAAAAGGTCGAAAATGGAATGTTGGCCATACAACCACGGGGGCGAGGAGAGAGGCGAGGGGCGAGAAGGAGGGCGCCACAGAGAGTGTGTAGACGCTTGAATGGAAACGGGCAGAGAGAGAGACACAGAGCGAGAACGTGTGCCGAGAGAGAGCGCGCGTGGCGAGGACGGACTGCCACACGGCGCCGCACGACGAGTGGATGGCGGATACAGGCCCGTGGCAGTGCGCGTGGCAGTCCAGCGGCAAGCCGCGGATGAATGGCAGAACCGCCGCAGTGCTGTATGGAGGCCGATGTGTGGCTGGGCGGCCGTTTTTTTTCCTTGCCGTTGGGCGTGCGCAGCGCTCATCCGCCGCGAGAGCACAGGCGAGGACAGGCGAGACAGGCAGCGAGACAGGCAGCGAAACCGCCATGGAGCGATCGGCAGTTGCATCGAGGACGGCGAGCCCCAAGGAAAAGGCAAGACTGGTCGAGTCTCTGCCGTCGACTCGCACGGTGCTGCGATATCTCCATCTGCACGATGCTGCGATATCTCCACTCGCTCGATACCGCCCCGTCGCTTCCACCGAGAGCGCACCGACGGGCATGACGAGACGCGTGACCCCACACACACACCCACGCGCTCGCCCTCACCGCATTCGTCCTTCCGCCACGCCGTTTCGTTCGTCCATCCCTCGCCCGATCTCCTCCAATCCTGTCCTGGCTCGCCGTCGATCCATACATCCACCATTCGCAGGTCCTTCCTGGCGAGCGTGCCCACCCCGCTTGCTTCGGTTGTATCCGCTCGATTCTGCGAGGCCGCTGCAGTGCCCAGCACCGCGCCAGCCCTGCCGCTCGCTGTTGTGCCTTGCCGTCGTTTCATTTCGACCCTGGGCCAGCCGAGCCCTCTTGCAGATTTCTCCAAGGGAAGGGGCGCTTGCCACATTGGCAGCGTATTTGGCAGGTCTTCAGGAATTGCGGGGCTGCATCCAGCGCCTGTTATGCCCGGCAGAGTCCATACAGCCTACTGGGCTCACCTCCCGATTGGTCGCAGACACAAGTCCACCCCCACAAACAGATACCGCTGCCTCTGCTGCTGCTGTTGCTGCTTGCCTGGGTTGCTGTTGTTGCTGCTTGCCTGGGTTGCTGCTGGAGCCACGGCACCGGTTTGCCGTCCGAACCTTCGGCGACGCTGCCACTCCATCTCTGCTTGATCTCCTCAAAAACAGCAACCTTTCATTCCAACACATCAGCTGGCTGTATTTGAGCACGCCGGCCAAAGCCGTCTCTGGACTCACGCCGGGTCCTCCTTCAGCATGCTCCGCAGCATCTGGATACGCTTCTCGATGTACTGCATGCCTGAGGTCTGTCCCGGATACGATTCGGTCAGGAGACGATGCAGACCAGACCCACAACAGGCCCGGCTGATGCTGCCCTGTTTTGCTCCAGCTGTCCTTCGCACCAGTCCCGAGCGCCACCAACGCCCACTTGCCGGCCGACAACGCAACTCACCGGCGACCCGGGCTGGCTTGGGCCTGCCTCGGACTTGGTTCGTCCGCCGGCTGCTAGTCCTGTACCGGCAACCGATGCTAGGTCGGTACGGGTGTGCGGCATCGTTGTGATGTTGACGCTGCCTTGAGGTGTCGTCGTCGCAACCGTCACCGGCGGTGGAGGGATCGAGCTCTCGTTCTGCCCAAACCAGAGTGGACTGGATCAGCGCCACAGCTCGACCGAGCGAATTGGAGTCGCAATTCGGAGCGGCCAGAGTTGAGGAGCCACTCGCCGACGAAGGAAAGCGTCGCATCGACAGACAACGGGCTTTCGTCGAGGCCGCCAGCGCTCAGCAACCTCTCTGCCCACTCATTCATTCGGCCATCCGCCCATCCATCCATCCACCCACTTACACTCGTTCGTCTAGCCCAAACACTTACATATGGATCCGGTTGGTTGAAATGAAAGGCTGCCCATGCGGGATACTCTCGTTCCAGTCGGATAAGAGTATTTTCGATGGCCTTGATGCGTTGCATTGGGTTCATGGAGTTTGCTGGCGGTGTGCATCAGAGCGACATCAGCCGAATCCAAGCGCCCTGGCCAGCTGCTATGGTCGATCGACGACACTCGTCGCTCAAGCCAAGCTCGTCAAGCGAGCCAAGACTCTCACCAAACTCAATATTGAGGTGCGACTCGATGTTGGCAATCCGTTGTTTGAGGTCCGGGCCGGCTCCCTTCGCTTCCGCCTTCGCTATCCGGCTCCGCTGCATCGACCGCGAGAGCGGGCCATCAAAGTTCATGGCCACATTCGTCTTCATCTGGATGCTGCGGTTGAGGTCCTTGGCATCCGCTCGGGCACACGAATACTCTGCAAGCGAATGCAAGGCTCTGGTCGGAATGGTGCCCCCATGGACCCGGACCCGGATGGAGCTCCTCTGCTCGGGCAGGTCGCCTCGCATCGGCCAACTTACCCTCCTTGGCCGCACCAGGCTTCAGAAACTCGACCGTATTGCTCTCGTTGATCTGACTCCGCTTGTTCTGGATCAGCGACTCGATTCTTTGGTCCATCTTGGGCGCCGTGGCCAACAGAATCAGACTCGGCTCCAACAATGGGGACTACGGCGCTGGAGATGCAAGGGTCGCTTACCTCGTCCTTTGTCAATACATGCTGCGAGTTGCTTTCGGACGGCCTCGTTTCTGCATGCCATATTGAAAACGCAATGAGTATCGCCAGCGGCCATACCGGCAACAGTGACGCTGCGAGCAGCCGGATGTCCCTACCTTCGCCCACGCTCTCGTCATATTTTCGCTTGTGGCTTCCTCGAAGGGAGGGCGGCAGGACTTTCTGCAGTTGCTGTGGCCCAGGGTGGAGACAGAGCGGTGGGCAGCTGCAGTGAGCGAGAAGAAGCCGGCGGAAACATATCGGCCATCTACTTTGGGCAGCTGGCTTCGATCCGCCACCCTGAAGCTCAACGAACGCCATCGACCAATGCATCCGACTGCAATCTCCTCTGGCACGATGCGACTGGATCTACCGACGCCGACGAGGACAAAATAGTCGTGGACAGACTGGCTTGTCGTCGGCGACTGCAGCGACTGTGCATATCGATCGTCAATCGTCTGGAGCTGCTCCTCGATCGGGGCGATCCCAAGTCCGAACTGTAAAGTGAAGAGGGAAGACAGTCGTCATATCGACCAGCATCGCGATCGATCGGCGTCGTCCGTTAGATCCAGATCTGAATCCCAAAGCCCAAACCGGCCGTCGAGAATCGCAAGGCAGATCGAAGCAGAACGCTGTGGAGGTCCGATACGAACAGGCCGCAAAACGTCCGAGATGACGTCCATCAGGCTCTGGAAGAACAGCACGTCGGCGGGCTCGAGCTTGGACATGGGTTCTGGCGGATGGGTAAGTGGGCTGGTCCACTAAAGCTCCGGCAGGGAGGGGAGGATGCAACGGCAGCGGGATGGGAAGGCAACCGCAAGACCGGCAGAGGTTCGATCATGGCCGAGCTTTCTCGGCCGAGCCCACCAACCGGCCGATCGAGGCCCAGCAGCCCCCGCTTCCGGATCAAACCCGCAGCGGGCGGGGACGCTCTCGCAAGAACAATGCTCGCCGCCGTGCATCGTCGAGACAGCCGTGCAAGACAGACGAGAGCCCAGGCCGCCCAGCCAAGATAGCCCAGGCCGCAACTCTCTCCCGTCGGGCCGCACATCCCTCGCCAGCGAATCTGCAGCCGCAGAGCCAGTCTGTTGGTCTCGCAAACCGCCCCGGCAACACCTTGCTTCTCTCTCCCCGTTGTTTCCCGTCATGCCTCTATTGGCCGCAACGACCTCGCGGTCCAAGGAGTCGGAAGAAGCACTCTCCGGGAAGGATGCCATCAAGGTTGCCCTCTACCACGGACGGAAGCTGCCCGATGTCAGCAAAGCGCTCGTCCGGCAGGTCATCCGCGAGGAAATCAGTGCCGAGCAGGCCGCTCCCAAGCGACAAAGCTACGTCGCCCGCAAGGAGATGCTCATTCCCTGCTCCCGACGACGCTCCAAGCTGATCATGGCCGCCATGAATAGCAAACGGATGCAGGCCAAGTACAGCGACGCGTCCTCATGGAACCCCGAGGGCTCGTCGGAGGACTTTTCGCCGGTGTCGCTCTGGAACCGGCCGATGAGCATCGGCTCGTCGCTGCGGTCAGAGTTCTCGGCAAGCGAGCTCAATCGGCTCTCAAAGACGGAGCTGCTCGCGGTCGCCCGGGCAGAGCACCGGCAGCTGGTCCGTGCCCAGCTTAACAAGCTTCAGCTTCCCAAGGAGAAGGAGCGCCCGGACGAGCATGGAGACGGCCAGTATCGCAGCAAGCCGGATCTAGCCGCCCCTCCAAGCACGAGCAGCTACTACAAGAGCTTCAAGGCGCTGGGCCATCTCGGATACGAGCAGCTGCCACTAAAGCCCCTTGCTCCGATCGACACCCACATGGTCCGTCTCTCGAGTCCTCTCCATCCGCTGCCCGCCGACGCTTGGTGCGGCATCGAACAAGTGTGCTGACCGCCCGCTGCACTCACCCGGCCAACCCTCCCCGTCTAAACAGACCCATGAAAAACTCTCTGGGACGCGACTGCTGGCCATGCCCGATGTCATCTCGAGTAAGTCTGGGGACGCTGGGGGCTCTGTGGCTGCTTGCGATCGCATGTCCACTTGCCCAGTCCCTCGTTCCCACCCCCCAGACGATTGGATGGATGATCTGCCCGTCCTCCCTCCCTCCCTCGCTCCAAATGCATGCCATTATCCAAGGCTTGACTGTTTGCGCCCTGCCACAACAGAGAAAGCCACGGCTGTGGCCAACAACAGCATCAATGCCACCCTGAAGCGAATCGTGGCCGAAATTGACAAAGTGACATGGCTCACCGAGGACGAGCGTGAGTCTGTGGTAGGCTTTCGGTGCAAAAATCTTTCTGTCGACTGGGCAGGCTCAGTTCTTTCCTAGGTTTCACCGTCTCGCCGTCTCGCCGTCTCACCGAGGGTCTCGCATGCACACCCACATCATTCCTAGGTCAACACATTCATCTCAGATCTGGCATTGCGCTACCACCAAATCGAGGACATCATGATACCCACATTGTCTCCGCAGCAAAATCGGACGCTTGTCATCAAGACCTTTGAGAGGATCGGTGCCATCAAAAGCTACATCCTCGAGAAGCTGCGGAAGCAGCGAATTCGTATGTTCTCTGGAGATACCACTCGCTTTGTTGCCTCCTTCCCGAGTGACTCTTGGCCGAGCATCGTTCTGATAGGGTACCGATATCTGATCTGAAATCGGATTGGGTGGTGGTGGTGGAATACTTCAAAACACAGGGATGGAGAGCGCCGCAGTCTTTGGAGACGATGCAAACAACTGTCGCATCGCATCGCTGTTCAGGACCGAGCTGTCGAGAAAGTGAGTACGCTTGCCGGTGGGGTTATAGCAGTGATGGTGATGGTGATGGTGATGGTGATGGTGATGGTGATGGTGATGGTGATGGTGATGGTGATGGTGGTACGAGGAAGTATATCCATGCAGCAATGCCGCATTGCCAGAGTCAGCGAGCACGGTCGTAGTCTCGAACAAATGGGCTCTGACCTTGCCTTAGCATCGATACTACTCAGATAATGAAATATGTCATCGAGGAGGTCCACCGCGGGTTTGTGGTCCACGAGGTGCCAAAGGCCCTGACTCGCCAGGAGCTGTTCAAGATCGAGCTCCAGCAGGTACTTGTCGATACCGTCAATGCTGTTGAATGCCGCGGATATCCTGGAAGGACGACCACCCAGATACGGTCGCCTGTCGTTGATTCTAACCACTTCCCCTGCGCCAGCTGAAAGACGCCTTGGATGCAATCACACATCCAACGCCGGTCCTGCACCGACCCATCATCTCCGTCAAGCTGCAGCCCACTGTTATGCGGCGGAACCTCATGAACGCCCAGTCCATGTCCTATCTCGAGGCCGCCGAGCTCGAGATTGCCGCCAACAAGGCCAAGGGCAAAAAGGGAGAGCGCAAGCATCAGCTAACCGACGAAACCGCTCTGCAGTACAACCTGGTCAACACCGACTTGGCCTCGCTACTGAACCTCAAAAAGCACGCCGACACGGGCGACGAGGACGCAGACGAGCCAGACGAATCGCTTCTCCTTTCCCAGGGCGATCTTGGAATCGTCGATCCCATTCTCCAGTCCCACCCACGCTTTGTGAGACGCAAGACCCGTCGACCGGTGATCACCAAGATTCCGCCACGGAAGCGCTATCTGCAGCCCAGCAAGATCCGAGAGGAGCATCTGACGTCCTTCAACTACTCCAGTGTGGACGAGCAGGTAAGCACGATGATGGCGGATGATCAAACTCTGAGACATGCTGTTGCAGACCCTCCGTGGCTAGCGATGGAAGAAGCAAATCGACGATAGCCGAGCCTGCGCTCACCATCGTCCTCTGTCCGTGCATGGCTGTGCTGGTATCGATCAGTTCCTACCGTCGTTTGCGAGGAAGCAATCCATGTTCTTTCCTCCAACTCAAGTTGACCATTTCGGAGAGAGTATTCAGACCGTCTTCTCGGACACAAAGGTCAGCGTCAGTGTTTGCCGCTGGGGAGTGTGTGACTAAGCTGTGGCCCATCTCGGTCTCGCTTTTATGCGATGATGCGATGGTGTGCCGAAACGTGCTATCAACTAATAACTCATATTATCGCTCCACAGATGGTTGTGCGCTCGATGGACTCGCGGGTCTCGGGTCGGATGCCACAAGGATTCATAACGCTCTCGGTTGAGCCGGCATCTGAAATCACAGACTTTGGCCAAGACCTTGACTCCAATTTGAAGGAGAATCTTGGTAGGCGGCATGTGGACCGGCCTTCGTGGTTTTTACTTGATGTGCTGATGCCTCTCTCTGAACCAGACGAGCGGCTCACTCAGTACAAGGAAGTCGAAGAACTCTATGACGAAATCATGAAGACGGTCGTTGGAAGCTCGTACTGGGAAGGCGAGGAAGGTGGGTGCACACAATGGTCTGCGTCGGCCCGCTGCGTCTGCCCGCTGTGTCAGCCCGCTGCGTCAGCCCGCTGTGTCAGCCTGCTGCGTCAGCCCGCTGTGTCAGCCATGATCCATGAGATTGGTCATCAATTAATGCGAAATGTGTCCGACCTATGGTCACCCACGCAGCCGAGCAAGATTCGGGCATTATCACCCCCGCTGCGCCCTTCGATAATGCCCTGACGATGTCGTACGCATACCAGGGCCTGGCTCCGCCTCCGCCCACCAGCCACCAGGATATCGAGGCCGAGCAAATCAGCAGAGCCACCAACATCTCCGAGCGACGCGAGCACTTTGGCTCTGAAATAGCGCTCGGCCCACTGCCGAACCAGAAGCCAAAGTACGACGACACCGTCCGGGCCAACATCAACGGCGAGTTTGATACGCCCGAGGTCAGGATGAATCCCCGTTTGCGGGACGTTATGGTCCAGCCCGACGACTTCATCAACGACCGCATGCTTGCGATGAAGAAGACCCCGTCGTCCAAGTACGGTGTGTTCAAGTACAACTACGGTGGATACATTCCCTTTGATTTTGAGCAACGGCGGCAGATGCACAATGTGCCCTTTGGACCGGACGATTACCTTGGCTGGCTTCGGAGCCGCGCCTGCGATTTTGTGGCCGATCTGCTCATCGACGATCTCGACGACGAGGAAAAGTTCAAGCGGGAGATGGAGGAACAGCGACGGCTGCAAAAGATCAAGGAGGAGACCGAGCGCGTCGAGAAATTCAAGCTCGAAAAAGTCGAACGACGCAAGCGGCTGCTCCACTTTGAGAAGGGCATGTGGAACCCGGGGATCATCGAATACATGGAAGAGATCCGCGAAAGCGACGGAGACGACGATGTGCCAGCGCCAAAGTCATTTACGCCTCAGTCACCGCTTTCGGCACCAGCACCAGGACAGCCTGAAATCGACTTGGGCACAGCTGGATCGCAGCCGGGCGATAAGCCGGCCGCGGAAGATGGCGCAGCCGACCAAGATAATGAGGCTCTACTGTCGATTCTGGACGACTCTGGGAGCGACAGCGAACCGGGAGACGAGGATAAGGAGAGGCACCAGAAGGAAGGTCTCGAGCAAATCCAAGAGAATGGCGAGTCTGAGCCCAACGAGCCCAAGTAGGTGGTAGATTGATCGAGGCGAAGCCTCGACGGTGCCTGTCCATCACCAGCTTGCTTTACACTGCGGTGAGCCAAACTGATCTTTGCAACCGCGTATTCGCTGCGGTTAGCAGCGCCGACCAGCCACTTCCCACCCCCGCCGATGGCAAACGAGTCAAGTTTTTCAACCAGGAGACCTTCACACAAAAGGCTGCCGAAGACAACGTTGGCAAGATTCAGGGCGAGCTCGAGAGGCTTTGGCGAGCACTCTACATGCCCCTGGACCAAAAGCTCGACATGGCTATCAAATATGGCTCGCACAAGTTTATTTCCAAGCTCGAAACGGTTTGTGTGCTTAACCTAGCTCGTGAGCAGAGGGACACTCAATGCCGAGGTCGGGGCTGACGACCGCGGCGTTGCAATCTCTTGGCAGGCGCTCAAGTTGTGGAGAAGCGTTTCAGAGCACATCCAAACGCGGGAGACACTCTTGATCGATATCGAGGCGTTCGAGCGCACTGCCTCAGACCCTGCGTGAGTTCCCGGACAGCTTGGCGCGGTTTGCATCAGCGTTGGCTGGCATTGATGGGTGTAACTGGCGTGGCTAACTGGGCTAACGATGAGGCGTTCAGGCGGTTCTTTCGCCGCGGACATGACGGCTCCTCGGAAGCGCGGCTGGCCGAGGCTCGTGCTCGAGAAGACCTTATGCGCAAGCTGCACTATGTCGAGGCGCGCATCCACGATGTCGTTAGCTTGATCAAGCTCGAGTTGAATGAGACTGTGACGTACAAAGGTGAGGCGCATCGGCTTTGCACAAAGGCCAGGCCTGCGATTGCCTATATCATGCCGGATCGTCCATATCATGCTGGATCGTTCGCTCGATGTGGTGGCATTCCCTTACCCTTGACCAGGTCGGCGATCGAGCAGGCAGGACATATTCTTTCCGTTCACAATCGTGCATCGATCCTTGCCTCATGCCAACAGGTGCGCCGTACATCGAGAAGATGAAGTATGACTATACCGAGATCCTTCAAAAAGTTGCCCAGGAGCGTGAGGAGCGGGAGCGACAGCAGCGGGCCGAAGCCACGCCCTCGCCATCCAAGTCACCATTTGGACGGAGCATGTCACGGCCATCGAGAAAGTAACCCAGTTGCAGCTTGGTACCAATGCCTGCTTGCTCGAGTCGCCAGAACGGGAGCTCAGCACTGAATACGGCGCACGCAACGTGAAACAGGACATCCATCCGTCTTTGCTCTGGATCCTCAATACATACCCACGTGGCTGCCTTTGGGAGCAACTCGCGCAAGTAAGGGGAGAGATACCCATCGGGTACATGGAGACGCAGGCTTGCCAAGCGGTTAGAGCCGCTCCACCACCTCCAGAGAACACACGGCGAGCGACTCGTTGAGCCCGCCCAGATGGTCGAGTGCATATGGCAGCTCAAGGCTGTGCCTCCCAGCCAATAACATGCAGTGGTTGATTTGAAGGAATGCAAATGGGCGCTGGCCCGTTTCGATTGGGCTGTATTGTTGGCACAGCGATACATCGTGACTAGTTGCTTGCACCTATGAGATATCAGTATCCCAAGGCTTTTCGACGGATCTCAAGCATCTGGACTCGGCGGTCGATGCGCGCCTGGCCGACCTTGGGGTATCCGACAATGTCGCATATTCTGTTCCAGTAGGGATCTGTGCAGTTGCCGAGGTGTAAGTGCTCAAAGGGAACAGGCGGTGGTTGGAAAGGCACACGGCGCATGACCCCAAGTCGGTTTGACTTTGACCAAGCCCCTGCGGTCTGTGACTCACACTGTCGCTGGACTCCAAAGACGAGCTTCTTGCGGTCGCCGTCGGCGAAGCCGTATTTCTGGTGCTCGTTCTCTTCTTCCTGTCGCATCTGCGGCTCGCCAGGTAGCCGAACTTTGCCTTGCCACACCTGTGCGATCCACTGGGTCTGTAACTGGAACAGCGGAAACGGCTCGACCTGCATGGGCAGTCCCACAAAAGCCAGAGTCGGGTCTGGAATATGGAAGAGCGACGCATATAGATTGCTGACACCCAGGCCTTTCTCCTGCCCGGCACAGGCTCGAAGACTGTCTTGCAGCGAGCGGTCAAGGAATGGGAAGGCGAAGTAATACCCGGTCGCGAGGATGATGGCGTCGATGGACTCGGTCGTCTGCGATCCGTCGACAAAATGGACCCGTCCGGTCTCTGGCTCGATGTGGTCAATCTCTGGTCGGGCCTTGATGTTGGTACTGAGCTTCTTGAGGGTCTCGCCGAGGTCGCCAGCGGCATCGGGTCGGTCCGTGGAAAGATAGGCGATGGATGCCACCGCCGAAACTTCACGGGCAATGTCGATACCCGAGCTTCCGCCACCGACAACCAACACAGAGCGGCGCTCAAACTGTTCGGGCGTCCGATAGTCTCGGGTGTGTAGCAGCTCGCCTGAGTATGGCAACATTGGCGGCGAGCAGACAGTCAGAACACTGGCTTTTGGTCCAAGCGGTTGCCGGCCGCCGCCGTCGCCGGATGGCAAAACAGCTTGCACCTACCTCTGTACTCGGCCAGTCCCCGGATCGCTGGCCATCTGGGCTTCTCGTAGTGGCCGTTGCAGACCACGACGGCGTCAAAGACCTCGAGCCGGGCCGGGCCATCGCCCGAGACTGTTACAACCTCCCAAGCCGGCTCTTGTCCAGGGACGATGCTCTTGCGCACGGCCACAACATTGGTGTGGAATCGGATGAACTGTCGAAGGTTGTAATGAGTCGCAAAGTCCCGGAGATACTTCAAGACGAGATGGTGCGGGGGGAACTCGGGTGTGTCTGCAGGAAAGGGATAGTCCAGGAAGCTCATCAGGTCGTGGGTGAGATTGGTGTGAAGGTTGGCATACATTGCCGAGGCCGTCGGCGACGGGACGGGATCGTAAATCCTATTGACAGAGAGGCATCAGACAGACTTGCTGCAATGCGCTGGTGCTCTGCGCTGGCATCCATATCGCAGCGAGGGGTAAGCAAGGGTGCGGACGGTGCGGCTGCGAATGCCCACCAGGTTCCTCCCACATCGGTGTTGCGCTCGAACACCTGGATGTCGAACGCAGGATTCGAGCACTCGCTGAATGTTCGAGCGGCGGCGAGGCCGGCCGGGCCTGCGCCGATGATGGCGATCCTCATGATGGCGATGTCGTAGCTTGCAAAGCCCCGACTCGGCTGCAGAGCCAGAGGACCTTGGAGTTGCCCAAAGACCGCTCTCGCCGACCGAGGGACTCCGAGAAGCGCTCTCGCTCTCGGCCGATATTTGCTCGAATCCCAAGACAATCGCAATTCCACCCATCATCGTCCATCAAGCGCCGCGGTGGTCAATACGGCTGCCAAAATGTCTGCTACGCCGACCGACTGCCGCCTGGGATTCCTCTGGAAAGCCTCGCACCAGATCTTTGCCAAGCACCCTGCGCTCTCCCGCTACTTGGCATCCAAGTTCCTCGATCTGTCGAAACGAAACGGCACGCCCCTTTCCGACACTGCCAAGAAGAGCGTCTGCTTCCGATGCGGCACATACGTGGTCCCTGGTGTTAACAGCAAGGTGGCGACGGTTCACCGTGCCCGAAAGCGCCGGCAAGAGATTGGGGCTGCCGAAGCCGAGGCTGTTTCCAAGACCAGCCAGCAGAAGAGACTGAAGAGCGACGCTCCCATCGCAGCGAGCGAGCCGAGCCAATGCACAACCGCCGAGGAGAACCAACCCCACACCAAACCGACCTCGGTACCGGCCAGGTCGGCCACTGGCTCAGCCAAGCAGCCTCTGCCAAAGAAACCGAAAACGATTCATCTGTCCCTGAATTCCGACCACATGGCTGGTATTGGAAGGCCCAGCCAGTCCGGCGAGCGATCGCAGCCATTATCCAGCGGCGCTGATGCCCAGAAGGATGCTGTCCACAACCACATGCGGGTAACCTGCTTGGTCTGCGAGACGCAAACGCAGTACACAGGGGCAACGGTTCTCCAGGCCGCTGCTGCCATCTACAAACCGAAGCGAACAAAGTCAGTCCGGAAGACACAGCCCCAGATCAAGCAAACCAGCACCGTCCTGCCGCCTTCTGGACCAGAGACGCTCCTGTCACGGCAGATCAGCAGGGGCCAAAAGGACACTCCGGCATTCACTGTGCCTGCAAAACTCTACGGACGGAGCCTTGCCGATTACGAGCCGGCCTCAGCTCCGACCAGCTCGGTTTCCAAGGGCCCCGCCATTCCAGCCAAGGGTGGGGCCGCCAAGAAGTCCGACCGCAAAAAAGGACTCAAGGCCCTGCTGGAGCAGAAGAAGGGCCAGAGCCGCGAGCCGGCCAAGACCGGGTTGACCCTGAACGACTTTCTGTCATCGCTGTGAGACACAAGCAGTAGGATTATACGTGCAATTTGGTGCTGCTCGACGTGTAAGTCAGCCGGGTTTCGCCGACGAATATATTGCGGTGATGCAGATTTGCATATGTGGATGGCTTGCCCTGCCATCGAGGCTATGGCGGAATCAGCGCGACTCCCACGTCAGCCGGGTGACATGGTCGACCTTCTTGTTTGTTGGGCGAATGAATCCCATAAACTGCAGCTCAGTGATGGCCTTGATGAAGCGGGCGCTAGGGTCACAGGCAGCGTCAGTGAAATGATCATCGCATTGCCAGTGCATGCAGATACTTTCGTCCAAACGCAAGCGGAAGTGAGGTAGCTTACTGGACTTCACTTTGGGAGAGCTGTGGGTCGCCTGAGAGCACCGCAGTGGTTCCCGAGCTGGCGTGCTGCTCCAGAATCGCTCCAAAAGCCAGGTACCAGTCGTAGAGATTGATGAGTCGGCCACATTCGAGGTAGAGCTTGTAAGCGATACTGGTGTCCGATGCCATAGAGACGTTCGTAGGTTTGCCTCTGTCACTGGCTTCTGTTTCAGGTGCTGAAACGTCTACGCCAAATTCGAGATAGTAGTCGCTGTGGTTGAGGGCAGTCTGGATAGTTGCTCGAGGAAACGGATGGAACGCCTGTGCGGACGATGGGGGGGGGGTCATGAGGATGCAACCAACTCTCATCGCTCTGTCCAGGCCAGTCGAACACAAGGTGGTTGATTCAAATTTGGTGGCGGCCGCCACTCCTGGCGCATACCTTCTCTATCCGACCGGGATGCATGTGATACACAATCTCATATAGCGGAATTGACGATGGTGGCTTGAGTGTCTGGCTGCGGGTGTCTCGAATCGAACGAAAGGTGGTTTCGCGACCAGTTAGCACATCGTAGCGTGTGCTACGGTTACTTGGTACTCAAAAGCAAAAAGGCATCGGCGGCACAGCACCGCCGATACAGCACCACACCCTGGCAGGGGCCCACGCGCGGCTCACCTGAACAAATCCTGGAACTCGGCCGCGGCCCGTTTCGAAACATACTCGATGCTATCTTTGTCGATCTCTTCGAGATCAATGAGGGGCTTAAGTCGTTTCGAGACCACAGTGGTCCTCCGCGACTTGAGCTTGGACGTCTCTTCGGCAAGTCGCTTCAAGGTTCCAAGCTTCAAAAAGTTGCCGTCCTCCTCATCTGATGACTCGTCTTCGTCACCGTCATCGTCATCGTCCTCGGCGTCCTCACGTTCCTGCTGGCGAATGCGGTCGTAGTCGGCGAGCAGATCGATGAGCTTTGTCCTGAAGTTTGGAAGGAGCGAGTCAATGTCCCGAAAGTCGCCCAGAATGTGGATACAGTCGCTCAGACACTCGCGAAGTTCTGCTGACTTGATTTTTCTGTCGATGGTATGTGTCAGACTCGTCAGTACCGGTGTTGCTTCAACATGGCAGTATCAATGATCTGTACAGCGTGATCTGACCCAGTGTACCGCACGAATGAGAGTACCGCATTCTCCATGTCCTGGCTTGCAGGGATCGGCCCGAGGCAACAAGTCAATCACACCACTGACCTCATAACAAGCATAAGCTCGCGAATGTGAGCCGACTGCCCGAGACCTGGTGGCTCGAGGCTCTTCGAGTACAGCGTTCGGATTGGTCTGCGGAAAGTCGGAGGTGCCGAATCCTGAATCCGCAGGAGCAGGCGAAATGCAGCATCGAATCTTTGGTGGTATGCCTCAAGTTCCGAGAGATAGCCGCTGACGGCTTGCAGCAGATACTCGTCGTCTTCCAGGAGATTGCGAGCCTCCGTGAGCTCGCCGTTTTCACAAAGACCCTCAATATGTCTGAGTTGGAAGCAGAACCAAAGTCGTGAGTGCAACGATTTCGGAGAACGTGATGTCGTCGCTCAAAGGCAGCTCAATAATCCATACCGTTTGAATGAGCCCAGCATCCGAATCATTACGATGCACTCTTCGTTCATAAGATTCAGCACCTTTTCGAGTTCTTGGTCGTCCTCCGGGTCCACGTCGGTGAGGATGCTGAGTGGATTCGAGTAGTAGTGGTCCATCAAAGAGTACTACTCAAGAACAAGGGCAACGCGCAGACGATGAGGCCCTCGGTTAGGAGTGGAGCTTCGCGTACCGCCAGACCAACACTATCTCAATAGTCGTCAATGCGATTTGTCTGTATAGAGACACCCGCAACAGCAACGTCATCGACAAGCTCGCTCACCTGCAGCGAGTTCATGAACGATTTGGCCGATCTCGAGCACAAGTTGAAGTCGTCGAGCATGTTGTGAAACGACGAAAACGACAACTTCATGCCCCGATGCCTCCGAATGAAGATCTGCAGTGACATCAAGCCAAAGACGTTACTTTTGCTCGCGGATTGGAGGAGTCGCTCCACAGCAAACACGATTGATGATACCCACATGCTCGACGATCTTGTTGATGTATGTGGTGGACTGCTCAATTGTGAAGGTTTGTGTTCTCAGCAGCGACAGGACCGATCTCGGAAAGGCTTGGTGGATGGCGCTCATTGATGTTGCGATGCCCAAGATCAGCACGAAAGGCAGGGTGTGTTGATATGAGCTGAAGCAAAGTAAGGCGGATCGATATGAGCGCATGTATCTGGCGAAGCGCCATTTTGCCCTGGATTCCATCAAGCGGTTTGTGTCAGGTACCTCAAGATGCGAATAAAGTCGTGGAGAACGACTGTATCAAAGCCCTCAAAGTCGGGGACAATCAAGACGAGCTTGCCATCTCTGGACTTGCCAGCAGTCCATTCTGCGTGCCATCCCAGCAGCAGCTGTATGTCGTCGGTTGCCACGCTACAAATGCCCTGCATGACGCAATTTCAGCGATTGAACAATGCCGTTAGTCTGGTGAACGGGAGTGGGCCAAGAATGGTGTCTGAGCGGGTGTGTGGGATATAGGCACTTACACGTTTGCTGGCGAATAAGTCCGTGATATCGTCGTCCTCGTCATCGGCCTGGAGGTCACGGCATGAAATGTAGCGAACGGGAGGTTGAATCAGCCTATGGCAAAGTCGCGCTGATCGTCATCAGAGACGCCACCTACCGCCACCGTCTCAGTCTCTAGCGCCTTCTGGCGGCCGATAATTTGCTCAATCATGTTTGAAAGAATCGATTTGAGGTTGGGACAGTCCTTGGAGTAGAGCATCGCCACTCGATCGCATCGGCCGCTCTCGAGGGTCTGTGAAGCGATTTGCTTGAATACAGGGGTGTGGTCCGAGATGTTTGTTCCTGTTCGCATTGATTCAAGGCAATACATATCAAAATGTGGTCGTTGTGATGACGGCGGCGATGATGGCGGCGATGACGGGTCATCGGAGTAGGTACCTACCGGCAAACACCAAGGCTGTGGGTAGCTCACGGACTGGGAGGCTGCGGAACGATGTCAGCGTATTGATCTAAAAAAATGGGCCGGAGATCAATCCATCACCATGGCTCTGCTTGTTGCGTCATTGATACCTACCGGATGCTGTTGCTATCGCCGACATCCGTGTTGCTCTTGGAGATGAATTCATCCAAGTCTTGGAATGTCTGGTCGTTCACTTTGACGATCAAGCTCTGGAAAGGGGCCGCCGGCAGCAACATAAGAACGCTGATATGCTTCAATCCTCTCTCTCCAGCTATCCTTGCCCGCGATTCAGGAATCCAGACTGTTGCAGCAGTGACATGGCTGCTGATCGATGGTGATATCGCAGTTCTGCACGGTAGCCTGTGGATGGTTGCCCTCCTCCGGACTATACACATTGTGGGAGCACTTGTCAGCAGCAAGCACACCTCAGCCTCTGCCCGGATTTCGTCCCACTTGGAAGTGTATCGATCAAGCCGTTGGAGCACCAAAGATGGATGCTCTTGTCCGCCGTTCAGCTTTTGGAATCCCGAGATCAGCTTGGCTGTCGGCCAGGTCGAGATGGTCTTGTTAGACGAGGAAAGCAGGGGAACAGCAGGAAGAGCGCCTCGACGAGATCGAGCTGACTTGTGGAGAAAGAGATGGCTCCTATTCCGACGGATGAGTGCGGCTTACAGTCTCGGATGGAGGTGTCGGCGGACTTCGATGGCGGGACCAGGAAACAGCCCTGTGGCCGAAGGGAAGGGCGTCAGAGACGAGGATCGGTTTCGCATCCATTCACGGGCATCTGCCTGGATACCGTGGAAGCAGTGCGGGTTCGGCAGATCAGCACCTTGGACAGCGAGTCGAGGATCTGGGCCATGGTTCGCAGATGGATCTTGATGCAGCCGGATGCAAATCTGGATCATGCCCGATCCGGCTGTCGAAGGGCGGTTTGTTGTGAGAGCGGACGGCAATCTATCCTAAAAAGGCAAGTCGCGATCTGGCTTCGTCGGTGTCGTTTTGGCAGCAACCAGGCCCCGAACGGCGGCTGGGCTTTGGACGCTGACGGGCCATGGATCATGACATCGGCGACACATGCTCGTCTGCATCGTCGTTGTGGACTCGGAATCTGGTGATATCCAAGCTGCCTCAGCCCGCAAGCCATCCGCTTGCAGTCGCAGCCGAGGCTTCACAGACGATTTCCCTCAGCGAGCTGCCATCGTCGGTCAACTACGACGAAGAGCGCGAGCTTCTCCGAGAGATTCAGAGCTCGTGGCCAAAACACGATATCCGTCGTCCGATAGCCGTCCGCTTTTCTCTCGAAGAGCACAGCAGCTTCCTTGAGAGTGTGGTCGTCAAGGGCAAACTGGCACAGCCAGATCGCGTCTCGAGCAAATCTGCAATAACGGCTCCACGGAATAGCAGCGGCCCTTCCGACAATGGTATGATCACAGCCCGATCGAGCGACGGGAATAGAAAGATATTCCTGAGTTTTAGAATGCTATATTAACGATGGCCACACTCTTAGTTTGGGGCGGTGACGGATTGCCACCAGCCAGCAATGCCCACTTGCCATGCACATCGCAGAGCGCCAACCCGATTCTCAGCGACGACTGCGAGGATATATTTCGTGGTAAGCCCGGTGATGTGGAGTGCGCCTCATCGATTGTTAAGCCCTATTGGATATCATGGTGATGGGATGTCGCAAAGGGTGATGAGGTGCAGTCCGTTTTGGATCCATTAAGCCAAGACCCGTGACCATATCACCGATTTTGACGGACAGCCTCGGATGTGAAACTCAACAACATCGACAGATCTCTATCCAATATTCGCAAGGAAATCCAGGAACTGTGCCATCAAATAGGTCAAGAGCTTGGACATTCGTCGCCTCGTAGTTTGTGCATTAAGCCACAGCTAGACAGGAAGCCGGAAGCTTCGGTCGACGACGGAGCCAAAGTCCTAGTCACAACAGGAACAGAATCCCAAGAAAGGGTCGTGACTGTTGATCAGCCTCCAGTGCATCACAGTGTGGATACTGGAATCCTGGCTCAATCTCAATTCAAGGAGGAGCTCGAGTCGATGATCCAGTCGCTGCGCGGTGAGATCCGAAGCCAGGTGAAGCATTCAATCGAAGAAGCCGTGAGAAGCAGGCTTGCTCCAGAAACGCGGAGGGAGGCAGCGAAACAGAAGCGACGCCTGTCAGCAAGCTCCAGAATTCATCAAGAAGTGCAAGACTTTGAGCAGCAGCTGGTGCGCATTGTTTCTGAAATCACGACGGATCACACTGAGATTCCACAGGATACCGCCGCTCGATTGCCGAAAGCGATACCGTCGCAGGGACAGGCATCAAGAGAGAAGCACAGCCACAAGCCACACTCCCGACTGCCACCGAATAGGACTGATGCGTCGGATCGGCCACGAGCGGGACCAGCCAGATCCGTCCGTCCATCGAGACAGTCGCCGCAGCCGACGAAGTATCCGTCACAAGCGGCAGACAGAGGAACTCGAACGTATACCGCGCGAGAGCCACCGTCGCTGGTCTCGATGGCAACGAGTCACTATCGCCAAGTTCGGAGCACGCCGTCGTATGCCCAGTCGACGTTCTCGTCAGAGAGCAGAGCAAACGGTGCCGAGAGTCGGTCGCGCGGCAAACCCTCAAAACCCCAGAGTAGAAGCTGAGTCGACCCTGAAGACAATGCAGGGGCAATACACTATATTCAGAAAACAACGGGACAACACAGCCGTTTCCATGAACATGTAGTATGTGGTGTGCTCGCGTCAAGCAAAGCCATAAGTAATACAATCAAATCACTTTGGCAGCCTCCGAGTGAAGACCGCCGGTCGCTCTCCGATCTCCACAATCGACCTGCACACTGTGATCATGTTGCGCGCCGCATTGACGTCGCGATTCCACACTGTCCGACAGCTGGGATTCGTGCAGCTCCTGACAGAGTGGGAATTCGCAACACTGGGCGCATCGAGTCCTTCCAACCGAACTGGCTCCAGGCACTTGGAGCACACTTGCGAGGTGTTGAACTCGTTCGTCGAGGCCACCTTGACACTTCCATGAGTGCGATGTGGGTGGCGACGGTGGTGCTCGAATTGCTCAAAGTACCGAGCAAACCGCTGCCTCCGAGGGCTGGATGCATGGCCCTTACCTTGCCGCTGCACTGGTCTCGGAGTGTCAGTGGTGAATGGTGCTCTTGGACACACTGAATATAGAGGCAATGTTTTTCAGGCTATTGATGAGAGTGTTGCACCGCATCACAGAATGGTCCTGGCCAGCACGCGATGGTATTGGGTAACTGAATATTCGTTCGATGGTCAAAAACCCGGGGGTCTCGTATTTTTATTGGATAGGCTGTAATACACTGGGTCGAACCCAATGACAGGTCGCCGAATGATTGTTCAGCGTCCGATCGATGGGAGTGCCAGTGAATGTCCCGAGCCACAGGCGAACTCAAACACTCTCGTCCCTCATAGTCCGGCATCCACACATACAGGTGGCGGTCGAGTCGATCCTGACGACGAGTCCACTGGCAGCACTCCAAGGTCCTGGCCACGGCATGCAACGTCGGGCTCGGGTCATGAATGCCACCAAGCCGTTCTGGGCTCTCAGCAGACGTCACAGAGACGGTGCAGACCAATGTCTCCTCGACGGCCCGGCTCCTGCAATGTTCGGAGTCTGCGCCACAACGGACATCGATGAATAGAGAGTTTCAGATGCACTTTCCATGTGCACTTTCCAGGTGCCGAGCAGCGGATCACTGAGTGCTCTTGTCAACACCGGGACATCCCTCAAGACCCAGCAGCTCCGATATTGGTGTTGATCCCCGAGACAAGACCGCTCGGGTCTCGATGTCTCGTATCCGCCCGCCAGGTTGTTCGGCGAGGAGGCAGAATCGACGCACCTGGGTCGACAAAGTCTTTCCACTCGGGCGAGGCAAGAGCGGCAGTCATCGAAGCACCCACATCATGGACTGAACGATCGGCGGCTGCAGGAACGCACACCCGGGACTGCTCGATTGATGTGGAATCACCCATGAGCTGCGATGAGCGATGAGCGATGAGTGATGGATGTGATGGATGTGATGGATGTGATGGATGTGATGAGTTTGATGAGTTTGATGAGTGTGGGTCATGTACCCCGCCGATGTGAGTCAGCGAAAGTGTTGTATCGGCAACCATTCCCAGCAACCATTCCCAGCTACCATTCCCAACAACCATTCCCAGCTCATCCGTCCCATTGATATCCCATGCATCCGTCTCAGAGCCACCAGACCCGCCCCCAACAGGGACCATGACCACAGTTCTGAGCATCGGTTTATTGTTGCAATAGTGCACTCGATGGTTGCCACCCGGATGCTGGCCCAGGCCACCCTCGGATGATATCGTCCCACCCCTTCGCAGGACGCAGTGCGGATCGATGCAAGCCAGCCGGGTCACATCGGTCATGAAGCATCGGGAGATGCCAACACATGCAAGGCTCAGGCTCGGCGCTTTCGTGGAGGATCACCCCTCCATTTCCCAGAACTACCACGATCGTTGAGTGTTAAGAATGCACCAGGTCCCCGTGGTGCGCGACTGAGTTGGGTTGAATCTGTGTGGCGATCCTTCAGCGACCCGGGAGGGTCATCGCTCGAGCGAGATTGCGCACCAGTCCGAATCGCACCACTTCGAGAGCCTTCTCGACCTGGCTGGCAGCCTGACTGGCCTCGGTTGCTGAGCCGGACTCATTCGTACCCTTCCCAAATTTGAGGAACTGAGTGCGGCGGTGGCTGAGGGTGATGTGCTCGAGACACCGCATGAGCTCGATGGTGGACGCCTGGTCGAAGACGATCGTGTCCTTGGATTCGAGCAGGGGCAGCGAATCAACTAGAAGCTTTGCCCACACCTCCTTGGGAGCGATGCCCGAGGTCAGAAGCTCAATCAGTCGCGATCCAGCGAGCTTGAGTTGACCGTGCTTGATATACTCTGTGAACTGCTGGTAGTGGGCCAGGAACAGAAGCCGATCGCTGGTGGCGTGGAGCTGCTCGGCGGTGATGTTGTGGACAACAAAGTCGTGGCGCTGGGAGAGCTGGCCATTGGCGACAAACTCCTCAAAGAGCCTGTCGGCAAGAACGACAATCTTCTCAGGCTCGTTGGCTTTGATGAAATACGTGATAGCGTCGCCGAGCGAGTCTGACTTGATCGCTCGGGTGCCGAGGATTCGGTACAAGGTCTTTTCTTCGTCGGGTAGGTTGAACTTACGGCACAACCCAAGCAGTTTGCGGGCCTTTAGGTCGGTGTCGATTGGTACGCGGGTGACGAGTATCGAGATCAGACTTTGACCAAAGACAGGGCATTCGGCGTTGAAATATTCAAAGGCCAGGCTCCAAAGCGACGGGTGCTTGAATATGGCCTGTCCGTACTGGACCAGATGCCATTCCCGGAAGCTGCACGCTGTTTCGGTGACTTTGCTCATCTTTGGGCGAGAGGTGAGCGAGTCTTCCACAAGCTCGCCGAGAATGTTGCCGTCGGTATCGAATACGGCATCCATTGCCGTCACAGCAAATTTGCTGATGAGATCGGTCAGATGACTGACCAGCCATACATCGATCGCGGTGCAGAGTCGGAGTCCCTTGAAGATATCAAGACTAAAGAACGCCAGTAGAGTGGATTCCAGTGGGTCCGTTGCGATTTCATAGCCGCCTTGCACAGTCTCGAGGTGGGTCCGGAGCTCGTGAGACTTGCACATGGGATCGCTGTAGAATACGAGAGCGGCCAGGCCCTCCTGCCACGAAGAGGATGCTGCCAGAATATCATCCGGATTGCCGGCGAGGATTCCAAAGGCGAGCCGGAGATGCTCCAAGCTCTCATCGGGGTCAGCGGGGCCCTCGGACCGGCTATGATACTGGCAAGTCATTTTCCACTCCTCCCATGCCTTGGCGTCCTTGCGAGACTGCAGGTCCCAGGACGCGGTGCCCAGGGTCTTGAGCTGCCGGTCGAGAATAGCCGCAAGCGATTCGTTTTGTCGAACAGAATCGATGGCTTGCAGGAGATCGGATGCCTCCTGGGTTTTGCCACGCAAGATGCATGTGTGGACGGTGGGCCAAAAGTGGGAATGAAGTGGCTGTGATGTTGACTGGACCAGGTCATACTGCGCCTGGCTTGGGGCCGGGTCATTGACGTTGACCCACCAGAGGAGCCGCTCTCGGATAGGCGAGTTGGGGGAGGCGTTTAGGAACATGACTTGGCACAGGTGCCAGATCCAGTGCATCATCTCGGCCGACTCGATTTCGGCGCGCAGCTCGTCGGTGAGATCGTCCTCGGACTCGACATCGGAGGCGATTGTCAGGAGGGCGTCTCGATAGTCGGCGATTTCTTGCAGATACAGCTGGACGAAACGGGCAAGGTGGTCGTGGTTGAGCCTCAGGGGACTCGGGTCTTTGGCAAAGTCGGTGGAAGCGACATCTCGATCAGCCGTCTCGGACGCGGCCCAGGCAGACTGCAGGGCAAGAAAGATGCTGCCTGTGCTCGAGGTGAAGGAGACTCGAGAGGGAGACATGGACGGGGCCGTCTGGACGGCAACGGTTGTGTCGGCCATGCCTCTGTGCGATTCCAGGTCGGAGGGAGTATATGCCTGGTGCAGCAGCACGGTATTCGAGATGGGGTGGAGGGTCGACAGGATCGAAACACCATCAGGAAGCTCGGTGAGGGAGCGGATCAGGCCAAGGTGAGTGGTCGGCGGGGTGAAGCTCGACAGCTCCTGGCGGATTTCGGTGAGAAGATCGTTGCTCATGACGGGCGGCTGGACAACAGCAGAGGCGATCTTGTGAGAACGAAGACGCTGTGATATCAGTGAGAGCTTCAGGACTCAACGAGACTGGAGCAGACCTTTGGCGTTGAGCGAGACCGAGTTGAGTCGACGACGGGACCAGGGGTCTTGGTGAGATGGGAGGTGCTGTCAGGGAAGTGGGGATCTCGAGAAGCAAGATTCCGCGCAGAAAAAAAAAATGGCGCGGTTCTTGGTTCCCCAGGACTCTGGCGCAGGATTGCCTGCCCGCATCCTGAGCGGCAATCTGCCTGTCTGGACCAGGGCCACCATACGTCAGGATGGCGGACATGACAAATGCCGGTCGAACGTGGTCATGGACTCGAGCTGGGGAAGGACCTGGTGCTCTAAGGAATGGCTGTATTCAAAGACAAGGAGCCGATTGTCGGTGCGGCCAATAAAAGAAGCCTCTCTAACAATAAGACTTGAATGCGGAGGGGATATGGAATGATTGAACGACTGAGGGTGTAGTAAAGGGGGAGGTCTCAGGCAGAGGCCGGAGGACGGAAGATGGAGCTGGCGGGCCGACACGAGTGCGACGTCCAAGGTCAAGCCACGATGAAATAGATTGCAAGTGGAGCTGATGCCTAGAGGAGCTGTACGGCAAGCAAGAGCGAGATGGCGGAGATCAGGCCAACAGACATGGCCAGGATGCGGGCCGAGCCCGAATTGGGGCCAAAGCCGTCCGGATAGGAAGGCAGATAGTCGGACTGGACGATTCTGAAGGCATTGGAGATGGTCGGGAGAGGGAAGCCCGAGGAGTAGCAGGGCACCTGGCCGTTGACGACCTTGAGCGGGTCAAGATCGTCGGCGACCAATCGCAGCGAATACTGGCCCGTTTGGGTCTGGTTGATGCTGTTCCAGTTAAAGGTGGTGAGGTTGGGGTTGATTTTGGCAATCAGGTTGTAGACAGGCTGGTTGCCGTTGCTGTTGATGAGGGCCACATATATGCCAATGTTCTTGGCAGGGAACTTGGTGCGGTCCGTGTTGGAGGAGTATCCCCAGCTGATGGTGAGGTTGCTGCCGACGGTGACGATGGTGTTCATGGTGGGGGCGGTGAACTGGAACGAGCCTGGGATGGAGTCCAGCGAGCTGCAGGGCTGGGCGTTGGTCTGGTCGGTGCATCCACCGGCATTGGTGGTGTTGACGTTGCAGCCGGCCGCAGGCGTAGCCGAGGGGTTGAGAGACACCAGGGACTGAGTGGCATTGAGAACAGCGCCGGAGGGTGCGACGGTGGTGGACGTGGGCTGCTGCGAGGCCAGGGAGGCCTGGGAGGCGGCCACGGAGGATTGCGAGGTCGGCTGCTGCTGGGCCGACGAGGCAGCGAGCACAGCGAAGAGCACCATCAAGACCTTGACGAGCGACCACATGGCGGGCAGGCTTGTGAGGAGCGTGATGAGATGAACGATGATGGGAAAAGGAGGAAACAGAAGGACTTGCCGAACGAAGCCGAGGGAGACAGCGAGAAGAGAGAAGGAGAGGAGAGTGGGAGAGATGGGATGAGAGAACGGGAGAGAGGGGGTGGGAGAGAGGGGAGACACCCAAGACATATCCGAGACCACAGCGAGACCACATCCGAGACCACATCCGAGACCGCAGCGAGAGGGCGCGCCGTTGTTGTCCGCCCAAATGCAGCCCGGTTTTGCTTTGTTTGGGCGGCAGTGGGCTTGTGGCGCCTTGTGTGGGGGGCATGGGGCAGTGCGGTGCAACGCCTGTGGCGAGGACGGAGGCGCTCATTCGCAGCCAAGCCACACCGCTCACTGCGACATTCCACACCCACCCACACCATCAAGGCCCTGAGGAGGATTGGGTATTGCGGATGTCCACACGGTGTATTGAGCCATCCGATGGCACAGGTCTGGGCACTGCGTTTCCTCTATCAAACACGTTTGTATTTGCAGAATACAGCGCGGGGTCATGAATCAAGGAGATTTCCCTGCAGGTCACTTCGACAGCCCGTCGAGGCCATTTAGTTCATGGCCTGGATGAGCTTGTTGATGAAGTGCTCACGGTTGCCGCTCTCGCCGCCCTGGATGAAGTGGATCGACTTCTTGCCCTTGAAACCGCCAGTGGGGTTGGAGAGCTTGAAGGGCCACAGGAAGTTGTTGGCCTGCTTGAAGTTGGGGCCAACGGTGAAGAGCTCGTGGATCAGATCCTCAACGCAAATGATGCCGAACTGGCCGAGAGCCTTCTCGATAACAGAGTTGTCGTGGATGGCAATGCGCTGCTTGTCGACCTTGGCGAAGCCGCGCTTGTAGACGAGCTCGCGGACAGACTTGAGGTTGGGGTAACCCCAGGCAACATAGGGAGCAACCCACTGGATCATCTGGAGCGAAGCCTTGTTGAGCTTGACAAAGACACCAGAGTTGATCTGGTTCAGGCGGAGGAGCTGAAGGATCTTTCTGGGCTTGGGCGAGAGCTTGTTGATACCCTTGAGGCGGATAACGAAGGCAAGCTTGTGCTCGGCGGGGACAAAGAAGGAGCCGGTGGCCTTGGCCTGGCGACGGAGACGGATCTCGTCGCGCTCCTGGCTGCGGTACTCCTGGACGTACTGCTCAGCGCGCTTGAAGATGACCTTGCGCTTCTGGGCGTTGTCCTATTCATCGCGGTGCGTGCAAGTCGCAGGGGCAAGCGATCGACAAGGGAAATCACACATTCGTCAGCAGTCTGCACATTCGCCGGCATACAGCCGCAGCGCGCCCTCGCAGCAGATTGCGTCAGTCCCGAAAGATGGTTAACAGTTGACATCATAGCGCGAAGCTAGCCAAACAGTGGTTTGTCATCACCAAATCTGCATCGCTCAGAGGCCCAGTCGTGGACACCAAATCATTACCTTCTTGCGGAGAACAGCAGCGGCAGCACGCTCGGCGGCAACCTTCTCGGTGGCCTTGCGCTTCTTGAGGATGGTCTCGGGGACGGTGGGCTTGCTGCTATCCAGAAACAAGAGGGTGTCAATAAGACCACATGCGCACGCTTATGGCCAGGGAAAGGGAGCCATCCGTCACTCGCAGGGAGCTCGGGAAATGTCCAGGCTTAGTAGCAGCTCGGCCTGGCGTCGCATTGGGACACACGAAGGAGCGGGTCCGGCTGCGACGCCGGGCTTTGACGAGCGCTATTAATCCAACGAATCCATTTGATCGGAGCGAGACTTGGATCGGCCGGACGTCCACCGCAGGCCAAATGCAGGCCGCTGGCGCTACGTCTCGGGCGAGCTCGCAGCCGACAAGTCCTCACGTAAAAAGGCGACTGCGGAACTGGTCCAGAGTCCAACATGAGATGAATATACGTGCTGGGCTCGATGGCCTGGTGGTGTCGATCCTATCGCTCGGCCACCAAACACCAGCACGAATTGATTTGAGGGAAAAGCGGCGGGTCGCCGGATGGCACAGGATGCTCAGACCCGTCGACTGTCCGTGACCGCCGCTTAGTCCCCAACTCCTTCAGTGGGTCGCACGGGCCTCGTCTGCGACAGAGTCCAGGGCGTGTCCCAAAGAAGATTTTGCCAAAACCGTTGTGATCGCACCGGAACCTATTCCGGATGGAGACGGCGGCACAGAAGACGGCGGCTGCGGGAACAGTCACGCCCATCACCGTGGGCCGTCTCCAATTGAAGCGTCGTCCTAGATCGCATCATAGTTCAAAGAGTCTTTTCGGGACAGTGTGGATGAAACGAATTGCCCATCTGGCGAGTCTGGGAAAACGGCCGCCGCGCAGGAGCAAGCCGCCCATCCTGTCGGTCTACTGAGCCTTCCTGCTCGTTCCGCCAGAGTGTCGAAATGCCTGGGGCGGTATGCCAGCTGTGCTCCGTTCACGCCCGGCTGCAGTACGAACCTAGGGGCCATTTCTGTTGGTCTGTGTGCCGAAAGTCAACGACGTTGCAGAGGAAAGAGGGAGGCGGCAAGAGGCAGCCGCAGCCCGGGTCGTTTTGACCGTGTGTCTGTGGCGCAGAAACAGGAAAAAAAGCCAAGCCACGCCCGCGTCAGCTGACCGGATCGAGTGTGGCCGGATCGAGGGCATGCAGCCGCACTCGATCCGACTGCGCAGCGCATCGTCGTGGCTCATTTGTCCGCATTTGGCAATGCGCTTTGGGCGACGCGGAGCCGCTTTGGACATGGGCCGCACCCGGCCAAGACATTTCAAACGCACCCTCCCCGTCGTCGGGCTGCTGCTGCGACCCTCCTGCTGCAACGACTTCCCTGCTGGGCGGCCTTGCTCACCACGAAGCCTTCGCTGCTCTTTATCGTGGCAACCCTCGTCCCACCATAACCGAGCCGAGAAGAACCGACTCAACCCACCGCAACTCGCCGTGCAGTTGACTCTGATCGATTTTGAGCTATCCGTGCCCCGCCTCGTCCCAGGCCACCACCATTCTTGCAACAGCCATGTCGAGCGACTCTGAATCACTACCGCCATCTCAGCGCAGAGTCTCGACGCGGATCCTGTCACAGCGAAGGCTTGCGTCGGCCTCCCCTTCGTCTCCAGCGCCGGCAGCAACACCCAGGACCAAGCCAGGTGAGTCCCATATAACCAGGCCCAAGCCGTGCACGAACGACGGCGCACTGCGAAGCAGCAATGACAGATGTCGCCATTTGCAGTGACAGATACAGCAGCTGGCATGGCCGGTGTTGTCGACGGCCACGACTGACGCCGTTGACTCACGCCGTTGACTCACGCCGACACTCTGTGTGATTGCTCCTCCAGTCTCATCAGCGCGACCAACGCCATCGAAAGCAGCGACGAGCTCCGGCAGAAAGAGAGCTGTGCCTCCAGCTCTTCCTCACGACACTGATGAAAGCGACCAAGACATCGGCGATGACGACGCCAGTGTCGCACAGAGCCCGCCGTCATCGTCACCGCCAACACATACCACTCAAGCGAGTGACACCCCTGAAATGACATTGATGGAGTCGCTCCTCGTTCCCGGTATCGCCCTGAACCTGGTCGTGTCCGAATGGAGTGACAGCTTCTCCCACAACGAGGACTCTGCCTTGATCGATCTGATTCAGTTCTTGATCGAGGTGTGTCATTGTAGCAGGACCCGGACACCCGTACGTTGCCCTGTCTTTCGGCAGCCTTTACCACAGACTGATCGCATTCGCTTCTTTCTGGGCATGTGAATAGTCATGCGGTCTAAAAGTCTCCAAGGACAAGATTGTTTTGGACGACGATGACGCCGTCCCCCAAATCGTCCAAAGCCTGGTGGACGATATCGAATCGGTAGGTGTGGCTCTTGAGACGGCGAATCCCACGAGAGCCGCTGAAACTTGTGCGCCTCATCGAGAGCAGAAATGGCAGCATTTAGGCTGGTCCTGGAGGCCGTTTTGAATCTCTGTTGATGCGCCGTTCCTTTCTATCAGAATCAGCAGCTTGAAGACTATCCACTGATCGTGAAGGGCAAGGGTAAGCTTGCCGGCGCAAAGTTCAGAAGAGTCTTTGGCGAGTTCTGGCTCAAGTGGGCGGCAAAGGTCAAGGCTGAATTCACCAAGGACGAGACTTCCCTGGAGAAACTCAAAATCTGGGTGATCACAATGACATCGTCCATCTTCCGACCCATCCGTCATACCTCGGTTGTGGCTGCACTTGCCATCCAATCTGCCCTGTGCGAGGCCGCCAAGGCTGTGCACAAGGAGTGGGTTGTTTGCAACAAGCAGCTCGAGACCGAGAGCACCAAACCAGCCGGCTCCAAGCGAGCCGCCGCATTTACCGAGCGCTCGGCCGAGCTCCATCGTAAGAAAGTACAGTATGAAATGCACATCAACGACTTTTACACTAGGCAAGTGTTGTGGCAGCTCGCATCGAGCGATCTAGGGTTGTCACTGCGTGCGCTTTGGGCTTGGAGGCGATCCGACCGCCTCTGTCGTCTGTCGCCAACATCTCTGCATCATCTAAAACTCATCCGCACGCGGCAATTTCCAATTCAGCGTGTTTTCGCATCGCTATCGAGACATTGATGCCAACATTCGTGCCGAGTGCATTCACCACCTTGGCCAGTGGATCCTCTCGTATCCCGAGCTCTATCTCGAGGGCCAGCACATTCGCTACCTCGGCTGGCTCCTCTTTGACAAGGAACCGCATGTTCGCTCCGAAGCTATCCAGTCCCTGGCAAAGCTCTTTGAGTCAAACAACATTGAGGTCACCAGCGGCCTCCTGCCCTTTGTCGAGCGCTTCAAGTCTCGGCTTCTCGAGATGGCCTTCCGAGACAAGGACTCCGGAGTCCGTCTGAACGCCGCAAGCACTCTGGTCCAGATTGCACTCGGCGACATGCTCGATAATGACACCCGCGACCAGCTTCTGCAGCTTCTCGTTGTCGATGACCGCAAGGTCAATAGCCAGATCGCCAAGCTGGCAGCCAAGACCCTGAAGGACGACTACATCGAGCCCAAGGTGACTTCCATCAAAGGCAGCCGATCGCGGGCCAAGCTCAACCGCCAGTGGATTGAACTCAAGTGTGTAGCGGTGTTCCTTGCCAAGCTCCTGGATGGCGTCCAAGAAGGCAGCGATTCTCAGCGCCTTTCCGACAGCGGACCGAGCCTGCCCAGAGAAGCAAGCGCAGGCTCAGACCCGCGCCGGTGCGAGCAGCTAGAGTTCACTCGCTGGCTCACGGAGATTCGTGGCGAGGGTGCTTCGATGGCGTACCACCGGATCAAGATCGCTGTCGAGTCGCTCTACTCGAGCATGGAGGCTCTCCAGGTGCGGCTCAGCTGTCCTCGCTGCGGATGCACTTTCATATGTGGCTGGCCGCGATAGAATCACTTGCTATGGAGCCACCGAAATCGCTCCGACACAGCGTGTTGCATAGCACTTGCAGCTAGACCTGACTCACTGGTGCTAAAACGGAGACGAACATGTTCCATTCTCTCGCCAGGACTGGCACGCTATGGCCAACTACCTGTCCAAGGACCTGACCCTGTCAACCGACGATGATCCTGAAAATGATCCGTATGCTCTCTCGGATAGAGAAGAAACCGCGTTGGTTTGCATGCTGAGCGCTTCTGTTGAGCTGCTTCTGACCGACCGAGACACTGGGTTGTGGGATGACCGCCGCATGGAACTCAGCCGCGACATGGTCAAGGCCGTGCCTCAGCTGGTGCGCAAATACGCCACAGACTTCTCGGCTCTTGGCCGCATTCGCATCACCGAGGTGCTTTGTCTGGTTCGATCGATCGACTTGAACGTTTACTTTGAGCTCCGCCAGGTTTCGGTAAGTAGGAAGAACCTTCGTTTCTGCATGCTCCGGTGCTCGTCTGAAGAGTTTCTCTGGCCACCTCTGTCCAACAGACATGCGAAGCTCTCTTCGATGACATTCAGAGCATCCTCATGAAACACGCAAGCGCCCACGTTATTTTCGAGTGCGGTCGCGCCTTGATGTTCCTCGCGGGTGACCAGACCCTTCGTTTTGGAACGGTGCACTCCTCCAGCTCGGGCACTAAACGCACAGCCAAGAGCAAGTTGGCTGAGGACGGTGCCGACGACGCCAGCTCGTCGGCTGTGACTGGCCTGCGAGAAACCATGAAAACCAAGGTTGAAGAGCTTGTAGAGCATATTGTCAATGACCAAATGATGACCAGGGCCAAGTCTCTGCACAAGACGCTCAAGGCACACGGCGATCTGGACGAAGCCGATTTGTTTGGCTTCCGCAATGTGCTCGTCCGGCTAGATCAGCTCATGTCCCTGGTCGATCTGGAGTCCATCAACATTGTTGCAAGTGACGACGTGACTACTACGGAAGCCGACGAAAAGTATTTGCACTCGGGGCTATTTGGCGCGGTCGATTTCTGTCTCGGCGTTGGTCTGCTGATCCGCAATCAAAACGAGGGCGGCGTCGTTGTCCAGATATCCGACGACTCGCTCGGCTCGGCTAATGAAGTGATCGAGGATATCATCGAGCTGACTCTGCGAATCCTCGCTGTCCAAACTACTTGGGATCTCAAGAAGCTCTTCTCAACCATTTCCCCGGCTCCCAACACTGCCGGAACGGCTGCGGAAACCGAGAATACTGATGGGCCCGAGAAAGCCGAGCTGTCGGCGAAGGAAGTCGAGGCGCTGGCCGAAACTGTCCACAAGAAAACGAGCCGCCTTGTCAGCACTGCCGAGAGCTTGCTTCTCGGCATCGACCAAACCGTCTTTGGCCTCAAGCTGCGTCGCGGTGCCGTCGATGTGCTGCTCCATTTTTACTCCGTCCTGAACTCCAATCTTGTCGAAGCTTACCCCGATATGCGCCATGTCGTTGCCGACGATATCCAACCCGAAATCTCCCGGATTCTTTCTGCATACGTCGACTTTTCGTCATTCCCGGAACCATCCGGTAGCTCGACCGATTCTGGACCGGCTGATGTCCTCGGGCTTGCTCGCCGGCTCGACTCTGAGGCCCGCGAATCTGCTCGCCAGATGCTTTTGCGGACCACAGGATCGTTCTCGAACTTGATCAAGCTTGGTGTCCTCTCGCCCGCGAATGCTTCGATTCTTGTCCGGTATATGCACGTTGGTCCTTTGGTTAGCTCCAAGGACGGTACCGCGGTCCTGGGTGGGCCGTTGGTTGACGTATTGGGCCCTGTCTGGAACAGCTTGGGCGAATCGGTCCTGAGCATCCTCATCGGCCCCTATTTGTCCAAGGCGGTGGAAATGCTTGAACAAGACGAAGCGCACCTCCGACCAGAGTTTGATCGGCTTCTGGATGCCCTGCATGACGCCATCGTCGACGGCCTTGATGGGGTAAGGATTTCTTCGTGCCTCTAGTGCCTCCAGTGCCGGCAGTGCCGTCGGTGTCGTCGGTGCCGTCGGTGTCGTTTGGAGCCACATCTTCTGACTTTGCCATTCGCTGTGGACCAGGCCCTCGATTTGCACTACAGCGGTCGGGTGCGCTCGACAGACCCGTCGTTCCAGACGGCAAAGGCAATCGGCACCAAGGTCAAAGCTGCCTTCTTGCACATATTCATGCACTCCAAGCACCCCTCCACGAAGAGCGCTCTCGCCGCCACGCTCCTGCGGGTGATCAAGTCAGGCTCGGGCCGGGTTGTTCAGAGACTCCTGGACAGCATCCGCCGGCGCGAAGAGGCCGACAATTCACTCGTGAGCTCCATCCAAGAGGACCAAGCCGTGCCCCCCGCAATCGACGACGTTGGCGGTGCCTGGAGAGTGTGGGGAGTCCTGGCTGCGGTCGTGCAGCAGCTGCTCCAAGACCCCTCTGCACCCCTCGTTGTTGAAACCCAAGACGAGCCGCCAATCTCCTCGGTTGATGACATGTAAGCCCGCGAACAGCACGGCGGTACAGCGCTGCACTAGCGTAGCGCTAGTCGCAGATGTCTGATCATTGGCAGAGCGGCTTTGATTCTGTGCCGCACAACAGACACTCCGATCTGACTCTTTTCGCCCTGTCCCCAAACTCAGCGTTGAACATACCCTCGATGCCATGGCCAGCCACAATATCAAGCCTGTTGAAGACGAGCCCGAGTGGCAGGGCTTTTGGGACTTTGTCAAGGCGCTGCAGAAAGGCGAGGCCATCAACCGTCGTCGCGGCCGCAAGCCCAAGACCCAGCGCGACCGATCGCCCGAGCCCGCTGATGTTCCCAAAACGCCCACAAAGAAGTCACGGACATCGGCCACGCCAAGAAAGTCGCTTTCCAAGGTGCGGTCTCCCACGGGATCTGGCTCGGCGCGAAAGAAGCGAGCCAGCGTCGCCTCGCCTGCCGCAACGCCCTCGCGCAGATCAGGCCGCGCAGTACCTCGGCGAGTGTACGCCGAGGACTCGGACGAAGAATCTCAACCGGAGCCCGATCCCGAATCCGACGAGGCCTCGTTGAACAGCGGCGACGAGGGACCTCTTGCCGGGTCGCAAAAGCCAGCGCGCCGGCCTCGCCCAACCCCGGCTCGTTCTCGGGCGTCGGCACACACGGCCGAGGCCCAAGTTTCATCGGTAGAATCCCCGCGACGGGCACAGCGGCACGGCCAGCCGGCCGATACCGATAGTGGCGACGAGCCCATCCACATCCCTCAGTCGCCTCCGGCAACCCAGAGCGGCCTCCGTCTGGCGACAACCCCAGGAATCCACCACTCCTCCCAGAAGCGCAGCCTCCGAGGAAACACCCAGGCAGTCGAGGACAGCGACGACGACGACGATGTCGTTGCCAGCACTCCTCCGCTGAACGCTCGATCGCGAGCCAAGCGAATCAAGCGATGAGAAGCCAGCCTCAGGCCGATTTCTGGCGAGCCCCAGGCTCATCCGTGTGATAAACCAGCGTATCATCGATCTCCTGCCATCAGTGCACATCTGCCAATACAACATGCTCTGCCCACATGATCTAGACGACCGGGAGGGCGGCAATGGTCGTGCATCGTCCTACAACTTGGATGTCCAAGCCGGACTCGTTAGCGAAAGACATCGCATTGGTCCAGGCGGCACACCAACCCATCGGGCTGAGAGCACTCAGATTAGCCGTACAGCGAGCATTTTGGAAACCAGCAGCCCAGACCGAGCGCTGTCGCCTCGGTCTGCCATGACTCGACTCACGGGCTTGGTCTGGCTGTGTGATTGGAACGCATGGCAAATGCTCTCTTGGTGCGTTGGATTGACGGCCGCCCCGGGCCGACCTGTCTCCCACCGGCCCTCTGCGCCAGCATCGGGAACTTTATTCCAAAACAGCAACTGCAAAACAGCGAGATTGCCGCACGAGACTTTCCAGCGGAGAGAGGCCATCGTATGAACCGAAAGCGACTCGGCGTTTCGACTCGGAGAGCATTCCAGTACAAGCGTCCGCTCACCGCATCACGCCGTTGCATTCAACAGTCGAGATTCCGAAACATCTGTCCTCTGGCTTGACTCTGCCCTGCCAGCATCACCACCATGGCGACCAAGCCCCCAGCGACCAAGGATCCGAAAGCCACAGGGACCGGGCGGCAAGAAGACAAGGACTCGGACGAAGAGGGCAACCTCTCATCGTTCCAGTCGCATGCTGCTGAGGGTGATATCCTCGCCAAGCAAGGCGACTACCGCAAAGCCATTGAGGCATATACCAAGGTTTGTATACCCCGGAGACGTGAGCTGGGCGAAAGCAGCCGCTGAAAAATGACCGGGTGGTTGTGGGGCCAAGGCGAGATGGGGCCTGGCTCCCAACACGCAGTCAGGGCACGATAGCACTGGACTCGAATGTGGGCGAAGCCGGCCGGTGGTTCACAGTGTTCCCACGCCCATGTATCCCATTCTCACCGTCTGTCTGTCTGTCTGTCGTGCAGGCACTGACCCTCAAGCCAACGGAAAAGAACGGGCTTGTCGCGAGATCCAAATGCTTTCTGCTGTTGGGCGACTCACGGGCGGCCCTGGCCGACGCCGACGAAGCGCTGAAAGAAGACCCAGAGTTTTTCAAGGTCTGGTTGTGGGACGTGGTGGCCGGTTTGGCGAGGGTCACTGATACCGTGTGCCGAGCCCGATTCGACGTTGAGATTCAGTCTCTGGCGTGGTTGTCGCGCATATCGGTCCTGATTCCGGGTCAGCATCGATGCAAATCCTGCCGCATCCACCGCGTCAGAGCTTTCCGTGACTCGATATCTGATGACGATGTGGAGGAGGACGTGCTGCAGTTGGTTCTCTTCCCGGTACCCACCGGGCTGCACCGTCGAACTGCGTTCCTACTGGACTGGCAGATACATGTGATATCGGAGCCGCTGACTGAAATACTGTACTGTTCGTGCACGCTGTCGCTGCATGCTGGTCCTTGCACTCTGTCGTCGCTCACGGGAACCAACAGGGCGTCTATCAAAAAGCGGAGGCGCTCTATGCCCAGGGTGATTTCGAAATGTCGCTCGTGTACTATCACCGCGGCAACAAGATGCGACCCGAGCTCGATGAATTCCGCCTGGGCATCCAAAAGGCCCGGGAGGCGATCGACAATTCAATCGGAAGTGCGTAGGCTTTGCCTCTGGAGCACGCCGGATATCCTTCCGGTGGCGATATAATGTTTACCGCAGTACATTGTGATGACGATCGTCGTTTGTGAGGGACAGAGAGGTAGCGCGGCTGCTGGCTGGGTGCATCGACAAGAGCAATGACACATCGCTCCAAACATAGATCCCAAGGATTATCAGTTCCAGCCCCCGGCAACTGGACGACATACAGCGATAGCTGACTCTGTGCAAGCAACCGTCAAGCCAGGCAAACCGGCCGGACCCAGCACATCATCCGCTGGTCGAGATGGTGCAAAGTGCGTCAAGGAGGGAAGCAGCAACGTCCTGGAAGAGACCGAGAAGCAGCTTCTTGGAAGACTCTACGCCGACAAAGTGTATCTCGAGGGCTTGGTCAACGACGACGGTAAGGCCTATCTTTGCGCAAGGACGAGCATCCCGGCTGCGTAGGCTTTGCAAGCAGGTTTGGTTCGACAGAGCCCCCTCTCCTAGAGCATTTACTTCCTCATGATAGCATCTAAACCCACATCAAGTCACGCCACAACACTCGGCATACGACCTCACGCGCACCTTCTCTCGCTGGCGCACTCCCGCACTGACATGCTATCCCATCAACCTATTGACATTCGTTCGCATTAGCGACTCACTCGGTGCAGTCATGTCGCTCAGCATCCGGACTGATATGTAGCCTTGCCTCTCCCTTGCATCTCCTCTCGACGACCTGTGCGGCGTCGTCCAGACTTTGTCAACAACCCCAACGAAGAAATCATCAAGATTGCATCCGATGCGCTCGATTATCTCGAGAGTCGGACAGAGTTCTGGCGACAGCAAAAGCCCATATACGCCCGTAAGAACGAGCGATCGGATCTTCAGGGAAAGGTTATTTCGGCCAGGAACAGGAAGATGCTGCACGAAAAGGCCGTCGTGCGCAAGCAGAGAGAAGAAGTCGAGCTAGAGCGCGAGAGGAATCCAAAGGCCGGAGGAGGATGGCAGCCGCCGCCGAACCAGATCGACTTGGCAAAGAACCCACTGCCCGACAATACCAAACCATGGACACCCCATGCACACAAGGAGCGAGGTGCAGTGCCCAACGGGTATGTTTTGCACTGCCAGAGGCACGGATCGCTTCCCCCTCCCTCATGCTCACGCATATGTGGGCATGTTTATATGCGACTGATCGGTGCTCGCTGAAAGCCAGTCGGTCCAATATCGCTATAAAGTAGCCCGGCATAAGGACACTGCGCCGTGCTTGTATGGCATCGATAATGGCTTCCGGACTGACCTAGTTATTGGATATCTTGGCTGAACTCTGAAATCACTAGCCCGCGTCTGCCTGCACTACAGGCCCAAAAGGTTGTCAGTTCCGCGTTTTACAAGATCAACCGAGGTGAGCAATCCGCAGGATTTGACGATCCAACCCGACCTGGCGACTTGGGTTTGCTGCGTGACGAGCTTGCCATGTCGTCGTGGATCTACATTGTCTGGGCTACAAGTTGCTGCTGGATATTCAGCAAGCCAGATGCAGTCTCCTGATCTTGTCTGTAACGGCGCCCTGCCTGCGATTCACCTATTCTCTCTCACAACAGCCATGGAAATTGGCGACTATGATGGCGCTCTACGGATGGCCAAGAGCTTCCTCGCACACACCAACAATCTCAGCTATCTCGTCAACCGAGACAAAGTCACCGGTGAAATCTACAGCATCATGGGAACGATCTATTTTGAGATGGGCGTGATGTCACAAGCCGTCCACTATCATAAGAAAGGTGCGCTGTGTTTATTTATTTTTTTTTGAGGACGCTGGGGCATATCTATTGGCTGGACAGATTCGTGCCTGCGGCATATGAATGTAATGACGGTGATGCGGCACGCATGCGGAGGCACGACCAGAGTCGCTCGGAGTGAAAGGGTCAGCAAATGGACTGATTCGGGATAGCAAACGAAGTGTGTGCTCGTGCTGACTGCTTCGACTGCCTCGACTGCTCCCTGCTCTCCCCAGATTTCATGGTCGGAAGGGATCTGAATCTGAAGGAAGCCAAGTCGCGCGCCCTTGGCAATATCGGTCGGGTATTCGTGCGTCTTTGCAAGTACCCAGAGGCCATCCGGGCCTTTGAAGAAAAGCTGAACTACACATCCGATCCGTCGATCGACCGCGCCTGGCTCCTGCATGATATTGGCCGATGCAACCTCGAGCTGGGCTTCCCTATGGTGGCGGCAGAGTACGGCGAGAAGAGCGCAGCGGTGGCCGATGCACTGAAAGACAAACGATGGGCACTGAACGCCCGGGTGCTTGTTGGCCAGGGCTACTGTAAGTGGAGCTATTGCCGTGCCTATGCGCTCGCCGTGCGGACCACTGCGACGATAGTCATGTAGCGGCGCCGAATTTGCGAGGCGAGGCAAACAGGTCGATGCAGCAGCAGTGGCTATGCTTGTCCAGATAACATTCCTCATGACATGTGTCTTGTCCTTGTAGCCCGTATCGCCCAGCTCCAGCAGGCGATCCAGGCATACACAACTGCACAGCAGCATGCCAAGGATCTTTCAGACATGGCTGTCCATCAAAGCATATCCAAGGCCCTTGAGGATGTCAGGGCGCGCAAGGCCAAGGAAGGATCTGGGGGCCGGGGCTCGATCTATGGGAGCCTGCGACCCAACACACCCGGCGAGGATGCACGGGGGGAGCGCAAGCCGTCGACATCTCAGGAGAAGCCTGGGCTCGTTCCGGTCCCTTTGATGGACAAAGGCGGGCTCCGCCCGCAGGTAGAGCAAGCTGGACGAGCCTCGACGATTGGACGAATATCCAAGGTCGCCGTTGTGTAGAACGGCAAAGTGGCATGAGCCCGCTGCTTGGAATCCCGAGGCACAATCATAGATACTCTCGCCGAGGCAGGGTAAGGAGGCAATCATGGTTCATGGCCAAACTTCCAATGGATTTCCACCCGTGCGGCCTCGATGGAGAATGGCCATGGTCAGCACGCGATGGTATTGGGAAACCAAATATCAAGTCCGTGGCCAAAAAACCAGGGTGTCCCATTTATTGGATCGACTGCAAACAGAGAAAGTTGTCGTGGCGGGATGTCGAAAGAACCTGCAGAAAAGCGAGGACAAAAGATGGATTCTCTGCGAAAAATTATTGCCAGATACGAGTGCTGGCTCTGAAAGGCACATGAGCGCAGAGTGTGCAGATCCAGAGAATGGGCCAGAGCAACTGAGGCAGAGAAAAGACGGAAGAATGAAGGGCGAGTCCATGCGAGCGGCTCGGCGAAGGTGGAGTGATGAAACTGGGTCCAACACAGGACCGCCAGATGAAATTTTTGGGGTCTAGTCTCATCCGAGACTACCAGAAGCACTGCTCCGCCTGTGCTTGACAGAGCCCGCAGACCAAGTTTTGGCAAAAGTGTTGGGCCAACAGCGCCAGATGGTCTGAGTCACTCAGGCATGGTGGACACGGTGGTGCTGGCTTTCGACCACCAGGTTTCCTGATCCAAAGTGCGAGTTGACCCAGGCCTGGCGCTTTGCGATCTCGAGATCGGAGATGCCGCGCTGGTAGAGAGCCGCAATGCGGATGGCGTCGGTTTCGTTCATGTGCTCCCGGAAGGTATCACGGGCCCGTCGTTGGACATACTGCGAGTAGTTGTAGGATTTGAACTGTTTCGCGGTGCGGATGAAGGACCGATAGAGCGAGAGGACAGCGGTTCGGGAAGGAGCTGCGGACGACATGGATAGACGAGATGCAGATGCTGGTGGATGCTGGTGGATGCTGGCGGATGCTGGCGGATGCTGGCGGAGGAAGGCAGAATCAGAGTCCGCGCGACGGGGGATGCATACCGATATCAGCAGCCGAATCTATGATGCCGATCAGTTCAGGGAGCTGTGGGGACATACCAGACGAAGATCCAGTCGGGGCTCGATCAGCCGTTCAGAGCGAGTGCGGGATGGATCGTCGACAGAGCGGCGAACCAGCACGATCACACGATCTGGGGAGAGTTTGAAATCGAGAGTCGAGCCGGGTTGATGCGGATCGAGCCGGATCGATGGCCAGCCGACACAAAAATATGGGCATGGTGCAAAATATGAGGCCTGCCGGATTTGAACCGACAACCTTCTGATCTGGAGTCAGACGCGCTACCGTTGCGCCAAGGCCCCTTGTGGTGGGCAGTCAAACTGTGTTAAAATATCTAGATTCTAACAATGAAGGAAATGATTGATCACAGTGAATGTGATATACAGTTCTCGGCGGAAGGCCATGGGATTGGGCTCCTGCATTGGTTGGCACTTGTTTGGATATGAGGGCTCGTCATGAACACATATGGCTGATCTCCATTGGCGAGCAGCCCCTGTGGCGACATGACTTGGGCTCTTGGAACAGCCTCGTACAACGCGCGGTTTCTTGGCATTGAGTGAACCGAGTAAAATCGAATCGTCCAATGATCTTGGATACCCCGTTTGGTCATGATGAGCGATGGATAGGGCGCATTCAGTATCAGAACAGGAACACACTCGAGTCGAGTACAAGGATCAGCAGCAGAGAGGGCACCGCAACAGGCGACCAAGCACCGCGCCCAACTTGAGGTGAGAGCGTGCCGACTCAGAGCGAATCAATCGAGCCAGAATGGAATTAATTTGTCCATCGAGTCGCTCCATCAACTTGACTGGCAACCATCACCATCGCGGATGCCCGGCAAGACTTGGCGGGGAAGGTGCCGACGTGCCCTTCCAAATGACCTGTTCTCATGGCTTCTGTGCATCTCTTCCACTCTGCAAGGCACTGTGTCCACTTTACATGCTCTGTGGACAAGGATTCCACAAGTGTATCTCCCTCTGTATCGGTTCTCACGAATCTCATCTCCCTCGCACCTCTGTCGTATTCGACATGGCTGAGGAGGCCACATGGCCAGGAAGACGAGAGTGCATTCTTCTTTGGCCGCTTTGCGATCCCTGATCGAGCAGTCCATCACATAGATCTGGGTGGTTACCGGTGTGTGCTCGCTCTCGCTGAGAATCCCATAGAATCGAGATCACGCGAGAGTTGCATCAGTGTGGATGTACCGAGATGTGAAACGTCCAGGGAAGGAACAGGGACTGGCATTGGCTCTGGTGTGCCGAGAGGATGACCATGCACATGGCAAAGATGGGGGTGTCATTGGAGAGGCGCTTCTGGCCTTGGATGGTAGAATGCGCACTTGGATTCCATGTTCGATTCCATATTCGATGGCTGTGGCAGTGCATGTGGCAGTACAGAGAACAGCGAATCCAGCCAGCAAACCAACGGATCGAGCCAGTCTTGTGTGTGTGTGGCTTCGACAGCCAGGGTTTGGCTTGCCAGGGTTCGGCTTGCCAGGGTTCGGCTTGCTTCGCCGCAACTTCCCTCTGTCTCCTGTCCACCCACCTCGTCTCTTTCCATCTCGCATCGTCTCGTCATCATCTGGACATCATCATTGAACTCTCATCACAATCCACTCAATCCACACATCGTGCATCATGGCTGCCAGTGTCCATCCCTCAACCGACACGGTTCGACTGGACATCGACGACCACAACCCAGACATCTTCACCATCATCTGCTGCAACGACAGCTTCCAACTCGCTCTCGATCACAGCACCATCAAGACCCTCCTCCGAGTGTGCAAGCGTGCCCGCCCACTCCTGAGTTCCAAGCTGGCTCGCTTCCACACCTGGTGCCAGAGTATGGAGCTACTCAATCCAGACGGACAGCTGCGGATCGGCCTCACACCGAGCGACCAGATCGCCATCTCGATGCATTGCGAGGATCAAGAGACAACCGACCGATACTGGCTCGAAGATCAAGCCGACCAGGGCTGTAGCGCCGCCGCGTACTTCTTGGCTAGAATCCTCCAAGTTGAACTCGCTGGCCAGCCAAAAATCAGCTGGCCCGAGCGGAGAAAAGCACAAATGGAAATCTTCCACCTCTTCAAAGCAGCGGCCGAAGCCGACCACACGATGGCAAAGTTCCACCTGGCTGACTGCTATCGCAATGGGCTCGGTGCTGACCAAGATCACACCAAGGCCGTCGAGTTGTATCGCAGTCTGGCCGAACGTGGAATGCCTCAGGCCCAAGTCGTCCTCGGTCGATGCTATGAGAGTGGTGAAGGTGTCGAACAAGACTATGGCATTGCCATCGAATGGTACTCAAAGGTTGCCGACCAGGGCAGCGACAGCGGTCGACTCCACATCGTGTTCCTCCGTGGCTGGTTCTCATTCATCGGCCACGGTGTCGAACAGAGCGACGTCGATGCCTTTAACCACTGGCAGGAAGTCAGCACCAACTCCACCGATTCAGTAATCCAACCCATCGCCACTCACATGGTCGGCTGGATGCACTATCTCGGCCGTGGCACAGAGCGAGACGAACAGCAGGGTGTCAAGATCATCCGAGATAACAAATCGGCTGAGTTCAAGCTCGGAGAGGCCGAGAGTCAGGTTGGCTTGTATCTGGACTCTACCAAGTCTCCCGTGGCCAGCCACTTCTTCAATCTGTGCCAGCTTGGATCGGAACATGACTGGCTCTGCAAGCATCTCATGGCCGTGTGTCTGTTCCAGGGATTCGGAACTGCAGCGAACGGAAAGAAAGCCGCGGACATCTTTGAGCAGCTCGCCAACGACGGCCACAGTGACAGTCAGCTGTGGATTGGAGGAATATACTGTAGTGGCAGGGGAGTGTTGATTGACCAAGAGAGGGCATTCGAGTGGCTGAGCAAGTCGGCCATCCAAGGCAACTCTTATGGACAGATGATGGTTGGAAATTGCTATTATTATGGAACCGGAGTCACCAAAGACTACACCAAGGCAGCCGAATGGTATCGCAAGTCGGCCGATCAATGCAATCGATATGGACAAAACTCCCTTGGTGACTGCCACGAGAATGGCTTTGGTGTCCCTCAGGACATCGACGTCGCCATCCTCTGGTTCCGCAAGTCCGCCGACCAAGGACTCGACAGTGCCATCGATCGCCTCAAAGAACTCGCCAAGTAGCCTTGGCACCGATGCCCCCCGTCGCTCATCTTTCATACATCCACGCCACAACAGTGAACATGCAAGTTAAACCAAACAAAGAAGTCACTTTACCAAGGCCCATCGCGAGCAATGTTGTATTTGATACTAAATATATCCAGGATTCAAATCAGTGCTGTCCCATTGAACACTTGCCGATACTGATCGACCGACAGAACCATCGAACGACTCGGTAGTAGTAAGCTTGCTGCCAAACTTGGGTAGTGATAATCTGAGCACCATCCAGACCGTCATGGCTACATGCTGCTTAAGAAAGCTGACAACAAGCCATCAGCATTCTCCAACGCCAAGATCACCTTCCCTTGATTCGGCATATGCGGCGTGCCATGGTCAACATTGATGGCCAAGACAGTGACGAGGGTGTTCAAGACATTCGTCCGGCCCATGCTCGAGTATGGATTGACTCTCGAAGTGCTCACGAAGCAACAAGCCGTGATACTCAGACGAGCACAGATGCACTGTCTGACCCGACTCTTCAGAGTGGTGCGGAACACGTCCTACGGAGCGATGCACCTCGGATGCGGACTCATCACCCTGCCCAACCGCCTCAAACAGCTGGCCCTCCAGAACCGAGCCGTCTGGGAAGACCGTCTGGACCACAACGACAAGATGGTCTCGATGGTGTTGAGATATTCCCGCACCCAGCCCAGCCTGATGGATGCATCCCTCGGCTCCCAGTTCTACCTCGACGAGTACTGGCGGCAGCTGATCGTGCTGAAAGAGCAGTGCCAGCCGGACTACCCGATGAAGGAGCTGTTCAGGAATGGCTACTACCAGCTCCCAGGGCCACCAGTCAAGCTGCAGATTCACATCGATGACGAGCAAGGCTTCGACAGGTCAAAGGAGCTGACCTCGGCCCGCACCATGACGACGACCATGTCGGGACTGTGGGCCGAGCGAGGGCCCAAGAGAGATCGATACTATCACAACATGATGGTAAGATGGACCCTCGGTGCCTTCCCCGGACACCCGTATGGCCACTATCGGCTGTGTGTCTCCTGCACGAAGAGCCGAGGAGAGTTCGTCGCGATGTGCCGGACCCACACCCAGAGCTGCGTCGGAAGAGGCGGCTCGTGGCAACGGATAGTGGACGAGCTCAAGCTGCGGCACCCCGAGTGGCAAGAAAGCGGCCACGAAAAGGTCGGTCCGATCGATAAGCTCCTGGACCTGACGAACGTAGTGGGTTACTACGAGCTGGATGGCATGAGAAGGTTCAACTGGCAAGACCCGGATGTCCATCTCCTGTGGCGAACACTCCGAAGAGTGTTCAAGACGCTGATCATCGCCAAGGCGGGGTGGAAACCCCCCAGGCGATAGGCGGCATGGCCGAAGCAGAGCGAGAGACGAGGGCCTCATGCCTCTCAGCGCCCCAGTCGCTCCATCTCTGCCTGGCATTCTGCTTGGTGTGAAGAGAGGGTTGCCTCTCCTGCTGGTCGTTGGGAATGGTGTGTCCCCGAGTCCGAGGTCGTTGTCCGAGACTGGTGCTGAGGTCACAGCATGTCGTTTATAACTCCACACGACCTCCTCGCTCCAGACATCTTTTCTTCCACTTGAACCGGAATTCGTAATCTGGGATGTAAGGGGATGAGATCGGACAGCTTGTCCTCTCACGAGGAGGTTTCATACCCCCATCTTGCCCCGTGTTTGCCGATCGGATGACACACGCAGCCGGACGTTATCCACCGAGTGTGGGAAGGCGACTCATGACCGATAGCTCCAAGGTATCCCGATGCACGAACACAAGTCGAACTGACACCAAACAGCCAATTCAAGTCTTGACCAGCATACTGCACCCTCAGTGACTACGTGGCAAGGCAGTCGACGCTCCAAGCCAAATGTCATTAACATTGGCCGCTGTCTCTCGCCTGAATAGCCCTCTGCCTTTGGTTTCAAGCTTGGAAGGACTCGAGTTCGCGGAGGAGGCAGAGGATGCATTGGTTCAGTCCCTCGTCGAGCTGTTTGCTGTTCGGACAGGGAACGCCTGGGCCATCAGCACACCGTAGTCTTTCGCAGAAGTGCCTATTGGGACTTCATGGGAGGCACATCCGAAGGGGAAGCAGTGGGAGCCAGGACTTTGTCGAGACGCTCGAGTACGATTTTTGCTGCTTCGTGACCCTGGTCAGCCGCCTTTTGGATCCACGATCGGGCAGTCTCGATGTTCTTGGATACACCTTTGCCATACTCATAGCAGAAACCGAGGCCGTACTGAGCTCTTGCATGCCCCTGATTGGCAGCCTTGGTGAACCACTCGAATGCCTTAGTGTGGTCTCTGGCGACACGGATACCCAAGGAGTGACAGATTCCGAGGTTGTACTGGGCATTTGCATGTCCCTGATTGGCGGCACTGGTCCACCACTTGACAGCCTTTGGGTAGTCCTGAATGATACCACGACCTTTTTCGTAGCAGACGCCAAGATTGAACTGAGCCTCCGCATCACCTTGTTGTGCTGCCTCCCAGTGTTCGCTCCTCTCGATGCCATCTCCGGACGATTCCATTGGACGCTGTGATTGGAGTTCCTTCAGAGCCTTGATGGCATCTTTGTTACCCTGATTAGCCGCTTTTTGGTACCATAACTGGGCAGTGTCGATGTTCTTTTCGGCGCCGTTGCCACTAGTGTAGCAGTCGCCAAGTCGGTACTGAGCAAATTGGTTTCCTCGATTGGCAGCCTTGGTCCACCACTTGACAGCCGCCTTGTAGGCCTTGTCGGTGTAATTGTGGTGGCGGTAGTAGCAATCCCCCATTTTTTTCTGCGCCTGTGTATGGCCTTGTTGAGCAGCTCTAGTAAACCAAAAGACAGCCTTGGTATGATCTCTTTGAACACCTCTGCCAGCACAGTATGCCTGTCCGATCACGCACTGTGCATTGGCGTCGCCTTGCTGTGCGGTACGCCAGTATGGGTGATTTGAAATGCCGTCATCGGAATCCGACACCCGTTCAAGTGTTTCGAGTCTACTCTTCGCATCGTTGTCGCCCTGAGCAGCAGCTTTTTGGAACCAGGTCTTGGCGCATACGATACTTCTTTTGACACCCGTTCCATTTTCATAACATAAACCCATGTGTCGCTGAGCCAGCGCGTCCCCTTGATTGGCCGACTTGCGGAGCCATTTGAGGGAGGTGTTGATGCTCGCTTCGATACCTTGACCGGCTCCGTAACACAGGCCAAGGTTGAACTTGGCATGTGCATGCTCCTGATCAGCAGACTTGGTGAACAAATCAAAGGCCTTGTCGGGGTCCTGGTCAACACCCCAGCCATTTTTGAAGCATAGGCCGAGGCTGCACTGAGCATCTGCATGCCCCTGATTGGCGGCTTTGGTGAACCAAACGAAAGCGATGTTGTGGTCCTGCTCAACATATTCGCCGTCGCGATAGACGAGGCCGAGGTTGTTCTGGGCACTTGCATGTCCCTGATTGGCAGCTTTGGTGTACCACTCAACAGCCTTGGAAATATCTTGATCTACGCCTCGGCCGTTTCGGTAGCAGCCACCGAGGCTGTTCTGAGCATTGACATTCCCCTGAATTGCAGCTATAGTGTACAGACCGAAGGCATTTGAATAGCTCTTGTCGACGCCTTGGCCATTTTCGTAGCAAACACCGAGGTTGTATCGAGCGGTTGCATTTCCCTGATTAGCGGCCTTGGTGTACCATTTAAAAGCATTTTCATCGTCGCTCTTGGCGCCGCAGCCGTATCGGTAGCATTCGCCAAGCATTTGCTGGCTTACGGCGTGTTTCTTCTCTGCCAAATATCGGAAATCGTCAAATGTCCTGCGTTGGTTGCGGCGGGTACCAAATCCGTTGAAACGGCATACCGTTGTCAGATGCTTACAAGGCCAGTGATAAGCGGATCTGGAATCGCATAATTTGAAGAATTCCTTAGCGGCTTCCGAAGCTGACTTGACTGGTATGCTTGGATCAATTGATCCAACCCCCAAGTTGAAGTCATCTGTTTTCGACTCGATAATGAGTTTATAGCCTTTGGGGATATCTGGATCGACTCCGAATCCATGGTAGTAGCACCAGCCCATCATCAATGTACTGATGGGCTTCATGACAGGATCCGACGAGATGTCGGAGATGGCTTGCCAGTCGTTCATCGCGGCTTCATATTTTTCTTCCGAAAACAGCTCCCATGCCCTCTTGAAAACTTCTGGGATGTTGACGAGATCGGGTCGCTGCGTCACTGGGGCAACGGCCGCTTCCTCGGTCGGTTGGTTGTCCGGGATACCGAGTGACGGACCAGAGAGTGGTGCGGGTGTATCCATGGTGATTTCTTCAGAGTCGAGGTCGATACAGACAAGCTTTGGGTATTTGTAACTTTCGTCAGCTCGGGGGCGCTTCTTGGGCAAGGTCTCAGGGGTGGGTTGTGTGGTTGAGTCTGCGTGACTGGCGCCAGAGTGGCGAAACTCTTGGAGTTTTGTTTCGATTTTGACAAACGCCGGACGTTGCTCGGGTTGCTGATGCCAACAGCGCTCGATAAGCGCCCATATGTTCTCAGGTATACCATCGAACCGAGTGGGACGGTCGTTAGTGACAGCTCGCTGGAGAACTTCAAATGAGCTGATCGGTTCGTTGTCGCTCGAGGGCCATAAGGGATCGCAATCCTTGAGAACCAAGTAGAGCAGCATGGCGTAGGCGTAAACATCGGAGGGCTTGACATTGTGATTCGGGACATTCTGCTTGATGATTTCGGGGGCAATGAATGCTGGGGTGCCACTCATGGGAGCTCCAAATATCGCTGTGCCATCGGCGAGTTTTGTTGCCCTCTTGTAACCCGAAGCATCAAAGTCCGCTATCACCGCTTTGAAGTCGGAATCCAGCAGGACGTTGGATGGCTTTAGGTCACCATGGGTCACGTCTTTTGAATGCAAAAACGTCATGCCAGAGGCCACTTCGTACATCAGTCGGAGTTTCTCCTCGACAGAAACCCGGGATTGTGAGACGTATTTGTCTATCGAGCCATTTTGCATGAAGGGAGAAACCGTCACTCCCAGATCATCTTGAAAAAATGCACCATAGAGGGGGAGGATGTGGGGATACCGAAGACTGGTCCAAAGCTCGACTTCCCGATGAAAGGCCGTGTGTGTCGAGCGGGATGTGCCACATAATGTCTTTTTGACCGCGACGATAGCACCGCCGTAGCGACCCGTATAAACAACACCAAAATCACCGTTGCCGACGGGTTTCGATGAGAGGTTGGTCACCGCCTCTGGTGGAATCCACCACAGGGGCTTTCTGCAAAGGGGTGAAGAGAATCAGGATCAACTTCAGCCTAGAACCTACTGGAAACGAACGCCGTCTGCGATACCTGTCTGAATAAGTTAATTCTTGCATGTTGATAGAAACCAAAATCGACGGTGCTTGAACTCGGCAGCTGGGCGATGGGGAAAGCAAGAGACCCAGATCGATGGCTGATGCGGGGAAGGAAATCCGAGTCGCCCTCGTGACCGAACGGATCACGTGTACGGTGGTGAAGTGATTGGCCACAGACATGTCGAACCTGCATGCCAGCGATCGGCTGCTCGACTGGTGGACAGTCCGGCTGAAGCCCTGGATGATGCAGTAAGTCACTTGGTTGTCGATCAGAGAAGCAGAGTGCCCCGTTGTTTATAGCACCTGTTCTCTCAATCGACCCATCTTCGCACCAGCACAAACAAGCCTGCCGACACCTGTGAGCTTGACACCGTGAGCGAATCATGAAGTGGATCCGCTGTTGCGAGAAGTTCCTGTCTGGCATGTCGTCGAACCAAACTCCGGGCCAACAAGTTGACCCATTTCTCATATGATTTCCTGCACATTCGACCACAAATGAAGCATCTGCAGCCTGATATCCGTGAGCGGGACAGTTGCCTGAATCCACGACAATCCATGACGATCCATGAATGGCATCAACGAGGTGAAATACCGTGTGGGAGGCGGAGGGCTCGACAGTGCCCGACTTGTCCCGAGACTTGTCAGCGATTGCTGATCGATTCAGTTTGTTTGGAATGGAACAGGACAGAGTGTTCCTCGGTGTCTCTCGCAGCAATCCTTGCCTGTTGGTTTCGGAGGACAGTCTCGAACACACCTGGTCGACTGGCATTGATGTTGCGATGTGGGAGTGTGACTGTATGCATCCGGAATATGGACAGCTTCATCCAAACTATTATCGGTATCAAGATACTCAACCTTCTCCGATCCCTCCGCCTCCTATTTTCTTGGCGTACTGTTTGGTCATGGCGGGCATCGGATGAGGGTGTATTTACGATGACCACAGCGGCAACCCTGGCTCAAGTCATCGTGTCCCGTCTCACTTTGGATAGATTGTATATTCAATCATTCAATCGATGATTGCTGCGAAATGGTTCATTTCAATCAGTATCTGAAACGGCAATTGCCGTATCACCATCCAGATTTTCCCTCATGACCGTGACGGTCCCAGCCATGGCCTGTCGGTGCTTGTTCCTGCTCGCCTCGCCTCCTTATCCGCCAGAACGTCGCAGGCCATGTCGATGGACGGTGTTCCTTTGCGGAGACGGCATGTCGCTGGCAGTCGCCTGTTGCCGAAAGCCGCGCCTTTGTTCTCATCAACTCCTCTGTTGCAGACGGCCATCCAAGCAGCATGGCCGAGCCCACCGACTCCTCACCAACGGCCGAGACCGCCGACACAATGCCCGCAGTTGTTCCCTACGTCCGGAGGCGGAAGCCCGGCGGCCACACCTCGCTATCGGTTCTTGAGGCGAGCCATGCCCTTCGTCTCGCTCCAGCTCTTCTGGCTGTCGATTCGAGCGACACTGGCGATCTGGACAGGCGACGATCCGGACCAAAACCATCTCGGGCTCCTCGCAGCGAGGTTCCCGCTGATACTGCCTCGGATGCGTCATCTGCCTCGTCGCTGCCTCAGTCTCGTGTCTCCACACTCGATCGCTTCCAGCCGATCCATCTCGTCGCTGCAAGCTCCTCTTTGACTGCATCGGCTTCCGATGCATCCTCATCAACACCAAGCCGCCCGGCTTCGAGATCGCTACCGGCATCGGTTCCCCGGGCAGTCATCATTGCCCACAAGATTGGCTCGGGCGTGTCCAAGGCGCAGGCCGAAGCTTCCCTCAACAGACACAAGCGCAAGATCATCGGGACTCTGGTGGGTTGGAATCGCTCAGAGGTCGCTGCAGAATGGGAGGTGGCAGTGGTTGCATTTGATCGACGGCATGCCATACCGCAAGCTCCTCATACGGCTCTGCATCCAACAGACAAGCCAGGCCAAGCGAAAGGGCCAGCATTGACACAAAGCGCACGCCGCTGAGAGAGATCCTTGGCAGTATATGGATACGATGTCCAAAACTCTGGCTGTGGCAGTCGCCGCCTCGCCATTAGTATTTATATTTGGTGGAGTAGTCCTTGGGCGAGACGACCAAGCCTCTGCCCTTGTGTGCGCCGAGATAGACAGTCTCGACAATGTCGATCATTTCCTGCTTGTCCTCCAGCGCCCAGTTGATTTTGTTGTTGTTTCCTGTTCCTAGATCGATCATGATGTGTTTGTTGCGGTAAAAGAACATCGTTGTGCATGGATCGTACAGTTCGTACATTTTGTTGAAATCAGGAACCTCGGAGATGTCGACGAGGTAGATGACGGCAAAGTTCTTGACCTTCTCGGCGATGCCGTACAGGATCTCGTCCATCTTCATGCAGGTCGGGTCCCAGTCGTGACCGAAGCGGATGACGACCACCCGCTCCTCCTCATTCAGGATGGCCTGATCGACGTGCCAGCCGGAAATCAAGTGCGGCAGGAAATAACTGCGTGGAGAAGACGGACGTACGAGTTAGCTTTGCGGTGGGGGTGGGATGTGCGTGGAATGCTGCGATCTCGGTCAAGCGACATGCAGCTCATCAGAGTGACTAGGGTTTGGACCAGCAGCTTGACAGGAATGTCGGCACGCTGACACAGATGTCGGGCATGGACCGATCCGCGATCCGTATGCATGCACGCACGCAGCCGATGTCCAGAGCCAAGCACCGCAGTGTATGCAATCAGGCCAAGCGGCAGCGCTTGGCAGCTGGTTCACATGCGACTTACCTCATGGCAGATTGCGGACGGTGGTCCTGGTGGTGGTGCTCGCTGGATCTCTGTCTGTTGTCTGTCGCTGCGGCTCGCAGGCGATGTGCTGATCAATCGATGGGATCGGTGGGATCGGTGGGATCGGTGGAATCGGCTTGCGCGACGGCCAATGCAGCAGCAAAGCCGGGATGCGTGGAGAGTGCTGCGCAGCGGCTGCAGCCGGCTCCATCCTGGATGCAGCCGGACGCGGTCGCCGCTCCGAATTTTTCGCCGTTTGCGTTTCCGCAGCCGATCTTGACTTCCATCTCTCTTCTGGCCAACACCCATCCAGCCGACTGCATCCTCCTCTGCACCATGATCAACGCCGCCCGCTCCAACTTCATCAAGGCTGCTCGCCGCGCACCGCCCAGCGGCCTGCGATTCCGCGTCCCCACCGCCCTTTCGTCGCCGCTGCTCCGTCCCGCAGCCCAGACCCGTCCCGTCTTTCCTCCCGGCCCGGCTCCGGCTCCCATCCGCACCCTGTCCACCTCGGCCATCCGCCTCAACAACTTTGGTGCCGTCATCGAGGCCGGGGACAAGGACCTGGACACCATCTTGTCAGAAACAGAAGAATCATCAACAGTCATTGTCGACTTTTACGCCGAGTGAGTGGTCTTCGCCGACGGCCTGCGACAGCCTTCCTCCTCCCCACCCCGCATCTGTCTCTGCGGTTTCCTCGGTCCGCACAGCTCACCAATTTCCTCTGTTTGCACTGTTGCCCGGCTCGGCTCTTGATCACGGGTACAGTTGGTGCGGCCCCTGCCGCGTTCTCGCCCCCATTCTCGCTCAGGCCGTCAAGGAAAACGGAAAGACCTTCCTCGTCAAGGTCAACGTTGACGTTCACGAAGAAACTGCTGCCAAGTATCAGGTCAGTCTGTGTAATCCAGCGACCTGAGCCACCAGACTCTGGCAATCGCCGGTCGTCCCTCTACGCAGCGGCGTCGTGTACTTTGTGCCTGGTCTCACCGTCTGTGCTTTGCACTCAACTCCGAATGCAACTGTCGACTCGTTGCTTCAACTGTGTCCACCCAATTTCGAATCGACTGCAATCCAGATCGCCTCCCTCCCCACCGTCGCCGCTTTCCGCAATGGCAAGATTGTTGGAACCTTCATCGGTAGCCGCGACAAGAACTTTGTGGGCAAGTTCATTGCGGAGCACACCAGCGCCTAATCTGCTCGATCGACTGTCGATCCAGCTGCTCGGGCAGCCATAAAAGTCCCACGCCGCTTTTGCTGGTCGCTGGTCCGCTGTTCGTTGTGTTCATCGTCCATTGTTCAGTGGTCCTCCTCCATCGCTCGGTGCCCCCTCGACAGCTCACTCTCGTTGCATGACTCCTGGCCTATCGCTTTCGCTCCCCATCTGCAAAGCAGTACACACGCACACCTCCACTCTTCAATTCCCATCCCGCTGGGATCAATACAGTTGACACTCCCGCATCACTGACTATCGCGCTCGACTTTGAGGACGGCGACGGTGTATTGTTCCACCGAGCACCGGTATTATACTGAGGGAGAACGGGAAAGCAAAGGCAAATAAATGGCGGGGGGCCACACTCGAGCGTGCAAGTTCGCTGCATGATTGAACTGCAGTATCATTGTCGTCCACGAGGCCACCGACGGCTCGGTCGGTCAGAAATGCGTGTCTAACAGGCTCGGTCGACTGTGACTGTCGTCCAAGTCGCTCGGCAGCCTCCGCGGCGATGCCAAAGTGCTGCCTTCCGGCGACCCGGAGGTCGGTTCCAGCGATGGGGACGGAAGAGATGGAGATGGAGATGGCGAAGTCGACTTGGGAGCCATGTACAGCTTGGCTGGTGTGCTCGGCCCAAAGAGCTCCATCAACTGCGCCCGGAACTCTGCTTCGGTTGGCAGCCGCTCGGTCGACTGGTCTGTGGGCGGACTGACATAGGCCTCTGTCGATGTTGATGTTAACGCTGGTGTTAATGCTGGTGCTGGTGCTGATGCTGATGGTGGCTGCGGCTTGGATGAGTGCGGGTGGATACAGCGATGGAAAGTCGCGCCGAGGACGGTTGTGGTCGTCGAATCGAACGGAAAGTGCTCGGGCCGGAGGACGGGCGTGCCGGCGGTGGGAATCGACTGCATGGGTGGGATCGCCTGGAGGGTCGCGTCGAGCAGGGAGTGCATGGGAGAGTTCGCGGCTGCACTCGCCGGCGTCGGAGGAATCAAGGGTGTCCCAAAGCTCAATGGGTCGCCATGGGTCGCCATGAGAAAGTCCGAGACGATTGCGTTGCTCAGGACCACCGGCGGCGGTTCGTCAAAGAGTGTGTCCATGTCCGTTGCTCCGTCGTGATCCATGTTCAGGAGCCCCTGTGCGGCCAATAGGGTGTGCGGGTCCGACAACGACGAGACCGACATCGTCACCACACCAGCGCCGTTCTGAGCTGGGCCGCTACCGCCACTCACGACTGGGAGCGGCGTCCTTGGATGCATACTTGTGAGCGCGGGCGGATTCGAGACAAGGGGCACAGCGCCGCCCAGGTTGGCAAGCTGGGCCGATGCAAAGAGTGGATCCAGTAGACCGGACGGTGCAGCTTCTCCCCTGGTGACGACGCCACTCTCCCGCGAAACAAAGGAGAGGCAACGCACGGTCGAGTCGGAGATCGTGGGGAGCATGCCGTTTGCAATGGCCTTGGTGTGAACATTGTTCCAGTTGATGCCTTCGAGGATGATTTGCCGCAGCCACAGCGATGTGGCCGTGTCGAGGTGCTGCAGGAACAACAGGATCTCGTTGAGCTCGCTAATGTAGCGACTGGCGTCGTCCAGCCGATTCATCACAAAACCAGGGCTGAGAATCAGCTCCAGAAACAGGTTGGCCGCGGTGAGTGCCACGTAGGACGTGATCGGAGCCACGTAGATAAACTCTTTGCTCTGGAAGAAAGAAGACGCGAGGAACTTTGCCGGGATGTCACGCAGGTATCGCACGATCGCATGGGCGCTGTCGATGGCGCTGGTGGTATACTCCTCGGCAATGATCCGCTGCAGCAGGATGTTGAATGAGTGGAAGGCCGTGTGGTAGTGATAGTGAATCGACCAGCGACCGGTGGGAGGACCGCGATACTGCGCCGGCAGCGAGCTGAACCAGTGCTGCAGCTGCATGAGAATCTGGCAGGCCAGCTCCTTGGCTTCGGGGGAAGTCAGGACGACTCCGGGCGAGTTGAGCAGGGTGATAAGCCGCCCCAACACCTTGCACATGCGCACGTTGATGACGAGGTTTCGGTAGTTCATGTCATCAAAGTCTTCGTCGAGCAGAGAGCTATCCCAACCTGCGGGATGACCGGTCGAGGCTGTGTTAGACACACACCTCCTACGTGCTACCGGCTTTCATAGAACGGCACGCGAGAGGCCGGTGGCGGGCTCTAGATTTCGGGGACTGTGTGATGCTGTGCGCCAAGACGCGGAGATACGTACTGTCGTCACGAACGGATATCGGGCGGCCCATCACCAGGGACGAGTATCGATCTGCCGTATAGAGGGCAAAGAAGCACGACCGCTGGATCCGGCGGACGGTCCGGTCTGGAGGTGGTACACGAACGTCGTCGAGGTTGAGGTGGAGACCAAGCTCGATGGCCATGGACCGGGCCAGACCTGTCGGATGTAGTTGCGGTCAAATGTCCGGATTGCAGTGTCCAGGTTGCAGATGCAGTGCCGATGAGAGCGTATCAGAAACGGAGATGGTGCAGCACGATGACGCACAGCCACGACGAAGCAGCCGCGAGATACCACCCAGCACCACCACCCAGCACCACCGCCCAGCACCATCACCCAGCACCATCACCCAGCACCACCGCCCAGAATCACAACCAAACATCGCGCCGCCTACCCATATAATAGTACGAGTTCTGCTTGATGATTGCGCTTGGGTCACAAGCCGCCAAAGACATCATCAGCAGCGCCTGCAGCACGTTGATGTGCGGGTGGTCGTAGAGCTTTGAAATCATGGCGTACGAGTGGTTGGCCAACCGCAGTCGTTCTTCATGGATGTTGTCAAGCCCCCATTCCTCGAGCGATCGGAATTCCAAGGTGATCAGGGTACACATGACCCACAGCAGCAGCGAAAACGGCTAGGAGACAGTGGTGGGGGGGGGAGGAAAGTTCGTTGAGCCCGGTGTGGATGAGCCATTGAATAACTCGCAGAGAAACGTTCGTGGCGCATCTGAAACTAGCAACCTCAAAGATTCTCCCCATACCTCGGTGTGGTACTCCTGCTCCAGCTCCTCGTAGAATGTCGACCGATCAACGACTGGATGGCACGGAGAGATGTGTTCAAAGTACAGATGCACAAAATGGTATGTAATGGAACGGCTGAACGGGAACGAATCTTCGCGGAGGATCTTGAGAATAGGCGTGCCCCGAAAGGCGACCATGACGTTGAAGATCCCGTGGCACTGGACGCCGTTTTTGAAGTACAGATTCTGGGCACCGCCCTTGGCAGACCGGCCAAAATATGTTGTCACGTTGTTGTTGATGTCGGAGACTACAGCCAGAATCGATGGGACATGGCCACGGTTGTGATCATCCAGAAAGTGTCTCGGTCAGCACATGAAACGCTTGCAACGAAGTTGCGATGAGCACATCGAGATCAATCTGCAGGCGATGGGACGGTATAAACCGATGCGGCGACAGACGACTCACTGGCAGTCACTTCGGTGGATTTCAAAGCGGGCTAGCGGGATATACGACCAATACAGTCAGGAAAGCCAGAGTACCAGCGGCGACATTGCCGATGCTCGGAAAGCACGGACACAGCACACTGGATCAGGAAGAGAAGGCCACGTTGAGTCGGACGGAGCCAATACGCACCCTGGGAGTAAAGCTGTACCCTTGGCTGGGAGTGCCATCTGTCTCGGGAGATGACACAGCCAAAGTCGGAATCGAGTCGTTGAGGCTGCTGGGAAAGTCCTCAATCAGGCTGGACCTGGGCTTGGACGTCGACTGGGCTCCGGACCGCACCTGAGGTCCCCGCTTCTTCATGGGGGTATTATACGCTGGACAGCCAAATGCGACAGGCTCAACGTTAACGCGGGTCCTGGGACAGCAGTGGGAGGACCTGACCATCGAGAATGCAGCTACCGAGCGGCGGGCGGCAATGGTGAAGCGACTTGCTACATGGAGGCGGGTAGCTTGTCGGCAGCAGCAAGTTCAAACATACTGCAGGGGATTCCAAAGTCCTGGCACCCGGAGCAGGGCTGGCCGCCCGAGCACTTGTTGCGTTTGATGCGACAGGCTGTCCGGACAACCAAGCCGTCGTTTCAAGGGAGTGGAGTGTGGTGGGTAATGATGTGAGTACGCAGACCGATGTCGATATGCCCGTCGAGGAGCTGCCACAGCTAAATGGGGCGGCTCATCGGCTGCACAGGAGGGAAATGCGGCGCGGCGAGTCTGAAAGTACGCCGGACCCGGTCGGTGGGTGTCACTATAGCTCTGTTAGAGGGAGACGTACTGTCGCATGCTCTTTTGTTTCGGGTGCGCTTGATGGGCCTGGGAGCCTCATCGGGTGTCGTTGTTGCTGGGAGGTCACCAGAGGCGCTCATGGTGGCCGGCGATGACGGCGGATGGTGCTGGGGGACTGCGGATGATCGGATACAGAAGCGCTCCGAGTGGCTGTGCGAGTTGTACGGAGGGCCGGAGGCGCTATGGTTGGCTGTTCCAGGTCAGGGTGGGTATCGCTGGGTGATCCGTGCGATAGCAGATGTCTGGACGATGCGAGGATGATGGCGAGTCCACAGAGGGCCGGACCCGCAGCCACAGGCGTTGGTGTGGGAAGCGCTGGAGGCCTCGGTTGCTTGGAGGGAAGGTGCCGCGAGAGCGTCTGGGAGCCAGAGAGTACAGCCGGGCCGGTTGTCGAGCCGGTGGCCGAGACGACGATCGATGCAGCGGCAGGGACAGCGGGTGGGATTGATCAGACGCAAGACCGAGCAGGGAAGAAGGCCGATGCGGCGCACCGAAGCGGAGCAACCCCCGTGCCAAGACCAGGAACCGCAGCCACGCGGCGCGGCTCTGTTGGCTTTGATGCCCAAGCCGGCGATGGGCTTGCGGATAGTGGTTGCGGTGGTTGCGGTGGTTGCGGTGGTGGTTGCGGTGGTGGTGGGCGAGTATCCGACACTGGGAGCGACAGATGGACATGGCTGTGATCGATAAGATCGGCGACATCGACACTGCCCTCGCCTGGTCGTCATCCGCTTCGACTGCATCCGCTTCGACTGCATTCGATTCGACTGCGGTCTTCTTCAACGGCACTCGACTCGTCTGCATTCGACGCCTGCAATCGGTCGGCATGCTTAGAGTTGCAGAGGACCGTATCGGCTCGAAGCCTCCATTTCCAGTCTTCTGCGCCGCCTGTGGCCGGTCTGCTCTCGAATCACCGCCGTGCTGCACCGCGTCGCCGTCCCTGCCCGTTTCTCCCAACTCTGCTGGGAAACCTTGATCCATGGCTGCCTTGGGCTGTTCTCCTGGAAGCCAGCCGACCGACTCTGCTCGCATCCCTCAGTATGGCGGACGCAAGCGCAACTCCTGATATAAAGACCGAGCCCGCCTGGCTTGGATATGCGCTCGCTCTGCTTTCGACCCTCGTGTGCCCTTCCCGTTTCCCACAACCCATCTCCAGCATCCCACAGCTCGCTTTGAGCATCCCACGGTCCACCTTCGATCTTTCGGTCCGTTCGCAACAATGGCACCTCCGCCCTCAAGCAGTAACCGAGCCCAGGAGCTTGCCAACAAGTGGAAGGCCGAGACCGATGCCCGCCAGAGCGTCAACTCCAGGGTCAACAACTTTGTCTCTAACCGCGACTACAACAACTTTGCCGTCGAGAAGCGAGGCCGGTTCTCCGCCCGCGGATTCCAGTTTGTGATTTCGCTGCTCAACTTGGTCTTCCTCGGCCAACAGGACAGCAACCTCCTGACATTCTACGGCGTTCGGGGCGCTATCATGTTTTCATGTGAGTCGCAGGCAGGCCAGGGCGTCTGCTCGTCTGGGAGACGGCTGTTGTTGCCAATATCGATGACACCGTCGATGACACCGAGACGGACAAACCGAGTGGCATCTGACCACCACCACCCTATGCTTCACCTCTGGCGCAGGGATCATCTCGCTGCTGTCACTGCTACTATCCGTCATTCTGGTGCTGATCTACCTCATGCCGATCTTCAAGAAATCCTTCACCTCGATCCGCATTCTCATCTTTGAGACAGCTATGGACGGGACGCTCATCATTGGCTGGATGGCGTCGTTCCTGGCCGAAGTCATCCCAATGGGCGGCAATTGCCCTCCCTTCAAGTCCGGCAGCTGCGACAGGTAAGTCTCACCCTTCCCAGTCCGCTCGAATAGACTCGACCTGGCAGATGGCGAGTACGGGCTCCCAGCAGTCCCAGCCGACATCATATTGACCTCCGCCATGCTACTGCGGGGGCGGGTCTGTGCTCCGACCGTCGATCCAGTTTCAACTGGGTCTTGACTTGGTCCTTCTTCAGCATCGTCACCGCCGGGGCCGCCCTCTGGTTCGACTACTGCAGCATTTACTCCGGCCTGTGGTCCCAGCCCGAGCCCGACCCGGAGATCCAGTTCGAGGTCCGACGAGCCACACGCACTGGTCGACACTGATCGAGCCCTTGGTCAAGCAACTGCCACTGGCGCTGCCAAGATGCCTGCTCGCTCGCGCCTGCGTCCAGAGTCGGCCATTGCTGAGAATATGCGATTGGATATGGTCATGACAACACGCTGTTTCATTAGAGACATCAGGAGCGCTGGAGCGGACTGACTGAATCGTGTCCTCGTTCTTCAACGACAGCGTGGCTCTCGCACTATCGATCCACAGTCTCAGAGAACTGCGGGCTTGTAGAGGATGGTGGTGATGTACTAGTGGCGATTCCGTCGAGCCGGCGGGAAAAGCGTGCAAGAGAGTGGCAGTTAGGGAGCATGATCATGGACATAAGCCTCCAAATACGGTCCAGCAGCACAGTCCAGCAGCATGGAGACGGGCTCGAAGCGATTGCCCAGCCAGATGGGTCGCTGACCCAACTCACTCCAGTCCAGCCAACACGCTCCAGGCCTACCTTTTTCCGGTACCGAGTGGTCGTCGAGAGGGCCATGACTCCATCGCGGATACTCAACGCCCCGAGATGGTTCAGGCTGACGTGGTTGGGGATGGGCAGAACCGTCGAATCTTGCTCGCCTGCCCTCTGTGCCGAGTTCAGCAATACCTTTTCGAGATGATACGGGAGCTTGGGCGGGGAATCAGTCGGGGGAATCTGGGCGTTGGAGGCGTGGGTGCGCATGATTTCGATCTGCTGGCTGCGCGGCGTCGGCGAGGTCGCAAAGGGCGACTGGGCATTGGGAAACAGGTACGATGGGATTTCGTTGGTGTAGGATTCTTCCGGCGAGTTGGACTGAACTGAAGTTGAGTGGGGAGATGAATGGAATGAATGGAATGAGTGGGACAAGTGGGGCGAGTGGGATGAGTGGGATGGACGGAGCATCGGCGGATCCTTTGGCTGGTGGAGCGAGGATTATGGCACCTCGGAAATCGCCAGATGCCGCTCGCATCCAGCCTCGCGTGCACCATCATATAAATCGTCTAATCCATGGATCCGCCTACTTACTTTCTCCGTCGTCGCCGCAGCGGGACAACCCATCGAGGCCGTCACCAATGGCGTCACCCGACTCATCCGAAACGTGAAGAAAGTTGACCAGATTGCCTTCAGGGTCCGGTCCGATGGCCAGATCGTCCGAGCATTTCCACTGCGAATCCACAATGAATTTCAGGCGGTGTGTCCCTGGGAGCATGTTCACAACCGTCATGAAGTCGCCATCGTCGCTGTGGTCGAGCGCGAGGATGAGAGCGTACGTGGTGGCGATTGTGATGGCGATTGCGGGGACGAGGATGGGCGAGAACGGTGGCATTTGTTGGTCAGTTGATTGCTAATGTCGGAGGAGACAATGCAGGAAAGCAATAGCGTCTTGGTTGCCCATCGCCCAGAGAGTGCATTCGGGGAGCAGCTCGAACCTGTGGGTCAGTTTGACCTTTTGCCGCCAGTTGTTGAATGTGCCTGTGACATAGACAGTCCGCCCGCTCTGCGTCCAGCTGATGAGGACAGGGATGGTTTTTTCTGGGTGCAAGAGGAGCAACGGGCGGCCAGATTAAGCATGCGGTACGAAGAGGCGGTTGGATCGGCCGCGGGCCAGAGTCCTTTCGAGCCAGGGATTGCTGGGCCGATACGGAGCAGCATTGCCGGCTACGCCGTCATGGGTCGATAAGGTAGCGCCATGCTGTCCTATGCCAAGTAATGGCACTAAGCTGTCCTATGCCAAGTGATGGCACTATGCACCGCAATTCCTCGTCTTCGAAACAGTCTCAGAGCAAAACGCATTTGCAATGGCCTTTGCTGTGCTCACCATCGATTTTTTGGCCGCTGGCATCGGTGCTGGGCCCTTGCAGCGCAATTCTGGACGAGTTCTTGTAGGACCTGGGCTCCGAGTCGGATGGGGCGATGGAGATACCCGTCATCCGGTCTGTCGCCGCCGGAATGGCAATATAATTCTTGGAGGATTCCTGTGAGGCATCGTTTTCGGGCACCGAGATATTCTCGACCGAGGTCAACGACGACACGGACTGACGAGTGCGCAGGGCCAAGATGGAGGGGTCGGTCGGCTGGCCGTGGTTGTGGACCCGAAAGAGCGGGTTATTTTGGTTCGAGACCGAGCCGGCGGTTTTGTACTGGTCCGAAGCCAGCAGGGGCGAGCCCACAAAGGGCGACTGCGAGATCATGATGGGCTTGGTCTTGGGTGTGCTGGAGGCCGGCGACTCGGGCGGGGCGAAGCGGGCGTATGGTGCTGATATGGACCGCGCATGGCTGGGCTCGGAGCTGGGCAGCCCTGGCTTGGTTGGACTGGCGATGTGGGCGGATTTCGGCGAGGTGGCAGGCCGGTCGGCGGCCTGGTCGCTTGGAATCAAGTGATGGTGGTCGGCCCCTGCAAGGTCGGCAAAGTTTTGCTGGTAGGGATCCAACGACGGGTCCTGTTGCTCCTGGAGCGACGGCGTGTTTCCCATGATGTGCTACGGCTCGGGCGGGTGGGCGACGGGCTGTTCCGGGAGGCCAGCGAGCCGGCAGTCGATAGGGCGGTCGATGGGGGCGAGAGATACGGCAAGAGACGGAACAGGACGAAGACGGAACAAGACGAACGGACGTGTGTGTGTGTGCAGACATGTGATTTGCGTGGGAAGTCAGAGTGCTGGTGCAGAATGAGCCGACAGTGGAGCCGACAGTGCCCCGTTCTCACGGCAGCATTCACGGACCTGAGGCCCGGTAATATGCGGCCAGTCAATGTTCTGCGTTCAGCAGGAGCAAGGATCTGTGAAAGCAAGTCAAACATTGCTCCGCTTGACAACCCTGTCTCGCGACTCTGTCTCATCGGCTGGTCTGCGCTCTGTACTTTCCTCATCCACCAATGGCCGCTCCTGTCTCAGCGCATCCGAACCACGGCCACGGCCACGGACTCTGCATCCTCGATCTCCCTCTGGAGATCGTCTATGCCATTCTGGCGCTTCTCGATGGCGAGTCATCACAGCCGAGACTCTGGTGTGCATGGCGCTTCGACATTTAGCTCACTTACAGTTGCCCCACAGGCGTCTCTCTGGCAAGACTCGAAATGACGTCGCAGATGCTGCGAGTGCTGATCGGCACGAACGGGCGGCAATATTGGCGGGCCCTCTACATGCGCCTTGTGGCTATGCAGCCATCCCCGTCGTTCAGGATTGCTCCATCGCTGCAGGGCATCTGGGGTGACTCGTTCAAGCACTCCAATGGCGGCGACATTGTCGTCCCAGCCATGAATGCGCAGGAATGGAAGGTGCTTGCAGCTGAAATGCTGTCGAGTTCACCGTATTCCAGCCGAATACCCATCCATCTCGCCCCTGACTGACAGACCTTTCCATTCTCCCACCACTGTCTTGCCCCACGCGGATACGTCTGGCTCATGGAGCGATTCCAGATCCAGTTCTACGAGGTCTGCGTCGTGATGGAACAGCGTTATGGATGACTCACTTCGGATATACTACTGCAAGAGCATCGCGAGCAAGCTAGATGACCCCGCTGACTCTGTGCCTTGTTGCAGACATACATATTGCAGTGCACCCGCAAATGCCTTGTCTGCTGGACGACCTCGAATCAAGTTCACTGGGTCCCAGCCTGGGATGTGCGTTTGTGCTGCTGTCTTCTCGATCAAATGTACACCATCGAGATGGCCAAGGAGAGTCTCATGCTCGACCACGATGACCTGAAGCTCGCCCAGGTATGTTTCGTAGCGGCGCCTCGCTGGCTATCCAGGCGAGTCTGGATTTGGTTGGGGCTATCACTCAAACGTACCAATGCTATCTCGATCACAAACAGGTGTGGGACTGCAGCAACGTCGCCCCTGACGGTGGAGATGGCCAGTCGTGGCTGTTCTACTTCAAGCCGCAGTGCCAAAGGATAGCAATGAAGAAATATGAAAGGCTGTCAGAGTACCTCGACTCAAGCATCGTCGAAGAAGCACATCTAGTGTTCGGAACCGACTCCCGGATACCTCTTGTCCCCGAAGTCAATTCAGATCTCACAGAGACTGAGTGTGACGATTGCGATATAGTGGGCAATATCTGTGGAAGCCCAAGCGACGGCTGTTCTGTGCCGAGACAGCTGTGGTCCGATCCAACCAGCTATTGAAGCGCCGAGCCTGAGCCTTGCATGTGTTGGCATCTCCCGATGCTTCATGACCGATGTGACCCGGCTGGCTTGCATCGATCCGCACTGCGTCCTGCGAAGGGGTGGGACGATATCATCCGAGGGTGGCCTGGGCCAGCATCCGGGTGGCAACCATCGACTGCACTATTGCAACAATAAACCGATGCTCAGAACTGTGGTCATGGTCCCTGTTGGGGGCGGGTCTGGTGGCTCTGAGACGGATGCATGGGATATCAATGGGACGGATGAGCTGGGAATGGTTGCTGGGAATGGTTGCCGATACAACACTTTCGCTGACTCACATCGGCGGGGTACATGACCCACACTCATCAAACTCATCAAACTCATCACATCCATCACATCCATCACATCCATCACATCCATCACATCCATCACATCCATCACATCCATCACTCATCGCTCATCGCTCATCGCAGCTCATGGGTGATTCCACATCAATCGAGCAGTCCCGGGTGTGCGTTCCTGCAGCCGCCGATCGTTCAGTCCATGATGTGGGTGCTTCGATGACTGCCGCTCTTGCCTCGCCCGAGTGGAAAGACTTTGTCGACCCAGGTGCGTCGATTCTGTCTCCTCGCCGAACAACCTGGCGGGCGGATGCGAGACATCGAGACCCGAGCGGCCTTGTCTCGGGGATCAACACCAATATCGGAGCTGCTGTATCTTGAGGGATGTCCCGGTGTTGACAAGAGCACTCAGTGATCCGCTGGTCGGCACCTGGAAAGTGCACCTGGAAAGTGCATCTGAAACTCTCTATTCATCGATGTCCGTTGTGGCGCAGACTCCGAACATTGCAGGAGCCGGGCCGTCGAGGAGACCTTGGTCTGCACCGTCTCTGTGACGTCTGCTGAGAGCCCAGAACGGCTTGGTGGCATTCATGACCCGAGCCCGACGTTGCATGCCGTGGCCAGGACCTTGGAGTGCCGCCAGTGGACTCGTCGTCAGGATCGACTCGACCGCCACCTGTATGTGTGGATGCCGGACTATGAGGGACGAGAGTGTTTGAGTTCGCCTGTGGCTCGGGACATTCGCCGGTCGTTCACTCTCTCTGGACCAGAATCGCCAGATGGTAAGTTTGATGATATCGGATAATCCAGGTCTTCTCGATCGCCCCCGTTTATCTGAAGCGCATCTTCACACAGCACGTCATCGTTCCCGCAAGGATTGTGGACTCAGTTACTCATCGTCTGTATTTTGGTCATTCAGATCAGCATGTCACAACAACAGCTTCCCGCATATACCGTGCTGAAGTCCTCGATGCGATTCTTCAGCGACATGTATCTGGATTTGTCCTCAAAGATGCTCTGGATGAAGTCGTCGACATTTATCACGCATTTGTCGAAAGTAGTGAGCCCCTCCCACCCATGCAACCACTGGGAGCATGTAGCTCACTCCATCCACAGCATGGACAGTGTATGAGCTACAGCCCTGGTGGATGTAAGAATGAATGGCCCACTTCCCTCGCCAAGGCCGTAAGATGGATTTCCCAAGCAGAGGGGCATCGGAAGATTCGAATCCATCAAGCTACCGCCATATTCTCACGCTTTGGTTGGAGTTGTTGCACCATCTGCCAAGAGGGTTTGGTTGGACCAGGGCTGTCCCAGGGTCTGGCTCGATGTCAGCCCATCCATTTGGCCCTGCAGATCGAGGTAAGTTGGGCTCTTTTCGCATTTGACTGAATCTCAAGTAGAGCTGTACAGAGCAGTCACAAACCATGGCACCGGCTCTAAACGACGCCATCGTTTCCTTCCATCATCACCGTCTACTGGCTCGATCGACGCCCCATCATCGATTGCTCTCAGATCCAAAATTTTGTCCGCAATCGGGTGAGTCATTTTGAGGGGTTTGCAAGCATCCAGACCAGTCACTCGATGGCACCCCGTTGGTGATGGCGCTCACCACCAGTCCTGATACCCAGGGAATGACTGAGCGCCATCTTACGGAGAAACTGCAGCGCCATATTGCCGCGCTCCAGCGAACGACTCGGATCGAGTTTGTGTGGCAGTCAGTTGTCTCCAGCTGCAAGTACCAGGCTTTATTTGAATGTGCCGACGAGCGACATAGGTTCAGTGCAAGTCTGTTCATGAACTGTGCGCTGTGGTAAGCAAGCAGAGCCTCACCTATCTGGAGCCGGAGCGAGCTGGTCCGGATCACTTGGATCTGCGTTATTTGTGAACGGACGCATCAGCCCCGGGGAGAGAGTCCTTCCGACTCGCGCCGGACACTCACAACAGGTCTGTGGTTTCAAGGTCCAGCAATGCGCTCTGGAGATATCTCGACGATCCATCCATGGTGGGCTGGACGGATCTCATCGACGATCTCCTCGGCCGAATTGCACGTATCCACGAGCAGCAGATCCCTACATCGGCATGCATTGTCTTCCACGACCATTTTGGATCGGTGGTGACAAAGTCTCAGACATGACAGGGCATGATGGAATCAAACACTTACAGCGGACCCATTTTGAAACGAAAGACCCTGTATTGAGTCAGGGATCTCGTTACTCTGATCCTGAATGCACTCACACCGCCCATCCTCGCCATGGCCAAAACATATGTCGCTCGATTTCCGTATCACCGAGCTGCGCTCCTACTTCCTGCTCCACAGCCCGAGAAAACTGACCATCATCTTCAGAGTGTCCAAGAGTAGAATCCACCACTGAAACTTGGACTCGCTGGTGGAGGGTGAAATTGGTGCGAGTGCACTTCTGGGAGAGGGTTTCCAGAGCGGCGTTGTTCGGGAAGATGACAGCGGGGCTCATTGGGTGGAATGCACTCGCCTTCTCAGTAAGATCATTTGTCCACTTCACATATACTTGTGATATCTTACTCCACAGGACATCCACCTCTGTGTTGGCTGCAACAAAGCGCACCATCCTCTCACCTCTGTCGTATCCGAATGGCTGAGATGGTCGATGATCTTGTCCACATACAGTCGGTCCAGAAAGAAACGGGACAGTCACTTTCTGGCTTCAGCGGCCTGTAGCCTGCCGAACCTCTGTAGGCTCCAGTGAGCAAGCCATGCGATTGTTTCCCATCCAAGCACACATGGATGAACTGCTCGAAGTACTTGACGAATCTGAGCCTCCTGGGACTGGATGCATATCCCTTCCCCTGTTTCCACGAGGCATTCCCAAAGGCAATCACCACTTCGGTCTCCTTGGACATACTTGCTTGGCCATGAATGCGATGAGTGGGCGGTGTATTCAGGTTCCAGAAACAAAACTGTCATGGTTAGAACGGGGGTGTCCTTTTGGAAACGCTGTTTCCAGGGGGGGGGACACGCTTGCTGCGCACTTGTGATCCGCCATGGCCCAGCGACTTGGCCACTGACCCTGCCCTGCTAAATTACGGTTGCTGCCCTTCGCCCCCGGACCATCCTCAACCTCTGCAGGACGAACTTGGACATCTTGCATCGAAGCCTTCCTCCCTGCCACCTCGACCATATCCTGGCCCAGGCACATTCACAAGCACATCATGTCCGTCAAGCCCTGGCTCATTCCCGCGGAAGCCATCACCGACCGCTCCCCGGATATCATCGGCCGCGGTGGTTTTGGGGAGGTCTATACCGCTTGGTACAACGGCTCCAAGGTCGCCGTCAAGCAGGTCCTTGGCGTTTGTACCATGAGGGAGCTGTCTGATTTTGGCCGAGAAGTTCATGTCTGGCACGGCCTCAAGCACCCCAACATCCTGCCGCTCCTCGGTGCCTGCGATAAAGCCGCTCAGCCCTTCATGGTCTCGCCGTTCATGCCCAATGGCACTCTCCGCAGCTTCGTCTCCGACCCAGACAATGTTCGGCCCCTCGACGACAAACTCCGGCTGCTCCTCCAAGTCGCCGCTGGCATGGCCTACCTCCACGACAAGCGCATCGTCCACGGCGATCTCAAGACCCAAAACGTCCTGATCGATCCGGCATTCAATGCCGTGGTCTCTGACTTTGGCATGGCTCGTGTCAAGCACACTGCGGCCACCGCCAACCGCACCAGAGCCGCTAACCAACACAGCGCCGGAGGTACACTCGATTACATGGCGCCTGAGATGCTGGATGACGACAATCCGTCCGACTCGACCAAGCAGACCGACGTCTATGCCTTTGGCATTACCATGTACGAGGTCTTGAACGACGGCAGGACTATCTGGGTCACCGGGAACGGCCAGCCGATGAGGGATGTGGTTGTGATGCGTCAACTCTTTCTTGGAAATCGCCCCAAGCGACCCGGCAACATCTCGGACGCACTGTGGGACGTTGTCGAGCAATGCTGGCACCAAGATCCCTCTCTGCGCCCCTCGTTCCCAGAGATTGCTGTCCTTCTCGAGGCCTTGATCGATCCCATGCCTTCGAACAGCGGCAATGGCGTTGGCTGCATGGCTGCTTCGACACCGGCAGAATCCGAGCACCCCATCACCCATGATGACAACGGGCCTAGCCTCGCCACGTTGGACAACTTGGGCATCCCGGATCCCACCCTCGTACTTGCCAAGCAAGGGGACCCTATCGCCTGTCTCCAAGCTGCCCGGCTGGTGCGTGGCGAGCTGGGCGAGACCGGCGATGACGATAGACTGGCCGCCCAGCTGCTCAAGGCGAGTGCCGACGGCGGCAATTTGGAAGCGACCCTCGAAGTGGGCTGGCTATACCTGACCGGCCACCATGTCGAGCAAAACGACGGAACGGCATTTGCATTCTGGCAGAAGGCCCTCGACCACTCGACCGATCCCGCCCATCGGACCCTTGCTGCGTACATGCTCGGCTGGCTGCACTATCTCGGCCGTGGGACGGGCCAGGACAAGCAGATGGGCGTCCACCTCATGGAACACAGCAAGTCCGACGGCTTTGGCCTCGGAGAACTCGAGTCCCTGGCGAGCTGGCCCTTGACTGGGTATGAGTATGCGTCCACTCGGCTGTCCTCCACCACTTCGCACTCGGCTGCAGCACATCAACTCTTAAGGAACTGCGAGGTTGGATCCAAGCAAGACTGGCTATGCAAGCACATCCTGGCCATATGCTACGTCTTTGGATTCGGAACCAACCGGAGCCAGAAGCGCGCCGTGAAGATCTTTGAAGAGCTCGCCAAGACAGGGCACAGTGACAGTCGGGTGTGGGCGGGCAGGTGCTATTACGAGGGCTGGGGGGTTTCCAAGAACCAACGCAAGGCATTTTTGTCGTGGACGGCCGCGGCGGAGCAGGGAAATGCGTCTGCAATGTTCCTGGTCGGTTCTTGTCTCCATTGGGGGCTGGGAACTGAAAGGGATTATGGCCAAGCACTCGAGTGGTACCGCAGATCAGCCGAGCAAGGATGCAGACTCGGCCAGCACGAGCTCGACCAGCTGGAATGAGTATCGAGGCGGTATGAGCTAAATACATCCACTCGCACCGAGGTGCTGGAGCTACCGAGAATGGCAAATGCATGTTGTTTTTCGTTCACAAAGGCAAAGTAATCGAGTGTCAGTCAATCAATGCTCGTCATCTACATTCCCACACATCCAGCACCCATTCCGGGTCATAAGGAACATATCTTACAGAGCGATGCATCTCGCATGCGGCCTCATCACCTTGCTCAATCAGGACGATGAGGTCCAGCCGAGAAAGGGAAAGAAATTGGCTTGTCAGCTCTCCATTCGCTCTTTCTTCAACTATTCATGAGATACCGAACTGCAAGCAGCGACCGGGCACATGATCTTGAGCGGCATCTGGAGCCGTGTCCGGAGCATCGTCAACATTTTGGTCGAAAGGATCAGGATCAGGTCTGGATGTGATGTCGGTGTGGCTTTCTTTTGCTGCACCCCAGACCATGACCTCATCACTGAGTCGCCGACAATCCCCTGAGGAGGGTTGTATATACTGATATATTGATGTGCCAGAGCAATCCGATACACTGAGGCATTGTACTAGTCGGTCACTCAAGACTACAACACGATTGCACCCAAGATTTGCTCCGGGAAAGCAGCCGCAGCACGATGTATCAACAGAGGGCCATCGATGCATCCACTACCACTCAAGCACCACCCAGGTTGTTCTCTTCTTCACCTGACCTTACTTTCGTCACCATCTGGACTGAGGCTGATCGATGATAGTGTGATGAAGCGAGGATTTCATCCAGATACGCTCAGTTGCGGTGAATCAGTCCTCAGTCGGGCCACTAACTCATCGAATATTGACTTCCGCATGCCACCGCGTCTCAACCTCTGGAGCAGAGGCATACGTGGGAGTCCTTCGATCGATTGCAGATTGGAGCATGAAGATAGATCCAGTTCCAGGAGCCTCATCAAGGACTCAGGGAGCCCCCGAAATGATCGGATCGATCCAGAGAGCTTGAGACGCTGAAGATTGGGCATGATGGGGCATCCCTGGAGGCTTGTCTCGTTTGACGGACTCCCTTGATCACAAACGGCAAACACCGTTAAGGTGGGAAATACGGACGGCAGACCGCGCATGCTGGTTATTGAGGACGTCAGAGCCAGCTCTTCAAGTTTGGGTGTTTCAGGAAACCCCTCCAGCGACGTAAGTGAAGGGCACCAGACACAGAGGATCTGAAGCAACGGCATGCATCTTGGCAGCTCACGGAGGTTGCAAAATGAACCATTCAGATACAGAATCTTCAATTTGGGTGTGTATGGAAAACGATCAAGTGACTCGAGACTTGACGAGCGCGACATATGGAGCTCCTCAAGCGAGTCGATGTGATCCAGGGGTATGTCCAAGGTCTTCAGTCCTTTGGGGGTTATCAATTTTCTCAAGTTTGGGAGATAAGGAATCTCCTTGAGCGACGCAAGCTCAGAACATCTTGAGAGATCAATGCTTTGAAGCGAGTAGAGGATCCTGGGCAGTCCTTGCAGGCTCCGTATCAGTGGAGGCAGTATCAATGTTGTCAATTTGGGCATCTCGGGCATTCCCTTGAGCGACGTTAGCCGAGCGCAATCACTTATATCCAAATGCATGAGGGACGGAAGCACTGGCGGCAGTCCTTGAAGATACTCAACATCTGCCCAGAGAGTGAGTTTTTTCGAGTAAATGCATCTCGGGCATGCCTCTGAGGGACTTGAGACTATACCAGCCGATCTCCAAGTGCTTTAGATAATCGAATCTTGGTGGCATTCCCACTAGACACTCGGCTTTACTGTCCGTCCAGACCATCGTTTCTGCCGTTTGGTCGATGCGCAGTATATAGTTGCTCTCACGATGACTACTTCCAAGGGATTGAGGGTGAACTGTGACTTTCGTCAAGGGAGATTTCCAGTTCACCAGCCCTGTGGGAATCTCCAGCACAGACAGCATGGAGTCATAATCCAGAGCGTAGCATCCGATGTATGTTCTGCCTCGATCGATGCCAAGCAACTGAATATTCAATTCTGCTGATATATCCATTGCCGTGCGAGTGTCTCCTATTAGTTCATTAAAGTTCTCGTCTCCTGATGTCCTCAAGAAATGATCAAGGAGCTCGCTTGGTTCCTCCATGAGTACATTGAGGCACTGGTTTGATAGGTTCGCCTCCGATAATGCATCGATGACCACCAGGCTCAGCAATATCCAGAATTGGTGGAATGCTAGACGGACATTGTGCGATCGATCCTTCGCAGAACAACTCCTCCATTGGGGCGATCGTTGGAACCAATGAATGATATCAACAGCATTCTTCAGACAGATCGATTGAGGAAGCCAGATGTTCTTCAATCCCGGCATCGGCGTCAATCGCTTGAGCGACTCGAGTCGATCGCATGTCCACATGTTCAATTCCGTGAGCGAGTCCAGTTGGCTCGGAAGTTCATCCAGGCTCTGGATGGATCTTGGAAGTCTGAGCTCATTCAATCTAGGCAACGGAGAAAACCCAATAAGAGATGTGATTCGACTGCAGCGGCTCAGATCCAACACCTTCAACTGGCCAAAGTATTGATAGAGAGGTTCGATGTTCTCGATGAGTGGAGGGAGGCTCACTTCAAGTATCCTTGGTATCTGGGAGAGTCCGTTGAGGCTCTGGATGTTCGCACACTCGGATAAATCGAGACGAGTCAATTTCGGCAAGGTATTCGGCATTCCTTCGAGAGTGGCAATGTTGCACCGAATCGCCAGAGACTCGAGTTGCTGCATCTCGGAGAAGCCAGCAAAGTCCGTGACTCTGTTCGGCGAGTCATCAATGATGAGAGTTCTGATGCGGCGAGGGATCTCTGGCCAGTCGGAAAACACAGAGACCCCACAGTTGACCAATCTGATGCGTAGGTGATGATTCGCATCTTGAAGAATACACACTTCGTGTGGGAGAAGCTTGGACACTTGTTCGTCGGTTTGATATGGGTGATGATCGAATCGGACAATGTTCACAGTTCTTTCGGTTCGACAATACCAATATTCTGGGCTGCAGCGGCGGGCATATTCTGTGTTCAACAAAAGTGAACTGTCCAGTATTTTGAATTGATCTCGTGGATTTAGTGAACGAAAGATGTCGGATGATATAGAATGAACATCACTAAATATGTTCGGGTCATTACTGAATGTGAATGGATACTGAAGCCCTAAATCGTGGCATTTGTATCTGATAATTCGCGGATTCATTCCTTTTCCTGCAGCCGCCTCCCAGAGAGGCAGCTCCTTCTGATATGCCTCAAAGTTCGTCGGATATCCCTTCCTGCGTGTGAGGAAGAAGAAAACTCCCTGGAGGAAGTCGTTGGCATCGATGAATTCTTTGACCTTGTCAAGTACATCGTGGAAGTCGATTCCCTCGGGGTAATCAGGTGTTTGCCTGCCATCGATGTGAGACTGAACAACACGGAGCCTCCCATCTTCGGAAACGAGCGAGAGGATGTCCTTGTACTGTGGCTCCAGGCGAGGAAGGAGAGCCAGAGTCGCAATGCCGATGGTTGCGACAAAGGCATCGTTGCAGATCAAGATCGGGAGGATGTCGTGGGAGGCGAGTAAGGCACAAACGTGGCTGGGATGGCCGGAATGGGTGTTGCTGGATGGACCGGTCTCGGCGACAGCATGTGGACTCGTATCGAGGCGGGCGATCTTGGCGGGACTGCTGTATGTGAGATCACAGCCGAGGGTGCGTTTTTGAGACATGCTGGATTGAATTGGCTTGACGGATGGTGTGCGTGGGATGGGAACGAGGACGGCGGTTTTGTGCTTGGTCCGAGATGCTGCTTCGCTCTGGATACCCTGCTTCGCTTGCTGCGCAACAGTTCAGACATTCCGCTCGACAGCTCCGTCGCCATGTTGTCTGGTTGTCATGGTTCCCACGCCAGAGATTGTGTGAGGAGTTTGGCGGCAACATTCTGGACATGTGCGAAAGGCGCTGTGAAAGGTTGGTGAGGCATTGAACGACCGTGGGTGAAACATGGGAGCCGATAGTCCACCTCCCAAGTTGCCATATCATACTTCTCTCCTCTATGTACTACTTGGGCGGACCAGGCCTTGATGTCAGCAGTGACGACAGCTTGACAGAGTTCAGTTGACGAAACACTGCGACAGCCAACCAACTCCCCAGGCACGACACACCTCGGATATCCAGTCCAGGTCGTTGTTTTCCCTTAGGATAGTTGTATTGATGTCTCTTTATACAAGTAGGATATGCATTCAAGTTCGATCAAGAAAGAAAAAAATGGAGCGTGAGGGAGGGGGCGCGTGAAAGGAAATAGAGCAGAAAGAGAAGGGGGAGTGTGGTGCGCTTAGTCGACATCCATGTTGGTCTGGGCCTGAGGAGCCTCCTCCATGGGCTGGTCGGCGTTGGCACCGGCACCAGTCTCGGCAGCAGCAGGCTCGGCGGCAGCGGCCTCAGGGGCGGGGGCGGCAGGAGCAGGCTTGGGCTTGGAGAGGATCGGGGTCACAAGCCACTTCAGAGTCTGGGCGTTCAGGTTGATCTCGGCGCTGGTGACGGCCAGGGTAGCGTGCTTGGCGAGCTCGTTCTGCTTGCCAATGACGGTGTTGATCCAGTCCAGCTTCTTCTGGGACTCGGTCTTGACCTTCTGGATATCCTCGGCAGAGATGTGGTCGTATCGGCCGTCCTCAGCCTGGAGGTCGACGATGACCGAGTTGACGTACTCGCGGAAGGCCTTCTCGGCACGGGGACGCTCCTCAAACTCGCGGTAGCGCTCCTCGATGGGGTCGCCGATCTTCTTGAGCGACTCGAGCTTCTCGATATAGACGCTCTTGGTGGCATCCTCACCGTCGCCGTAGAGCCAGTTCTCGGTCTCGTTCAGGGTCTCGACAAAGCTGGTGCGAATGTCCTCGGAGACAAACTCGCTCCAGGCCATGTCGAGCTTGCCACGGGTCTCGTAGACGTATTCCTCGACGGCGTTCTTGCGGTCGGCCGTGTCGATGACGAGGCGGTCCGAGGCGTACATCTCGCCTTCGAGGGCTTGCCACTGGGCGAGCAGGTCCTTGGAGGCGCCGTGGTGGTGGGAGGCAAAGAGAAGCTCGTGCTTACGGGTGACCTTCTTCTGCTTGGGGGCGGCCTCGGCCTCGCCCTCCTTCTTCTCACCCTCGTCCTTGGTGGTGACGATGACCTCCTCGATCTGGTGGACCGAGTCGATACCGACGATCATGTCGCCATCAAGCTTGAGCTTGACCTTGAGAGTGGCCTTCTTGGACTGCTCGGTGGGGTTGATGTGCTGCTCGCCGGCCTTCTCGGCAATGCGCTTGATGCCGCGGATGGTCCAAGTGCCGATGGACTTCTTGGCGCCAGGGGGAATGTGGCTATCCTGGTAGTGGGCCTCGAGGTCAAAGGTGACGGCGCCCTTGTTACGCTCGAGCTCGGCATCGTCAAGGGTGCGGAAGAGGGTGACGTTCTTGGTGGTGGGAACGACGTTGCCGAGGGGGAAGGCCTCGATGGTGCCGTCGGTGCCGCTGGGGGTCTGCGATGCATCCCAGGAGATCTGGATCGGGAAGTGGTTCCAGTCCTGGACGGTAAAGTCACGGACCTTGAAGACGGGCGAGATGATGGCGCACTGCAGGGCGCAGCCACGAGCAACGGCCTCGTCCTGGTTCATGGTGGTCGAGAGGATGTTCTTTTCGGGGGAGCCGCCAAAGTACTTGGCAAGGAAATCCTTGACGTAGGCAACACGAGTGCTGCCGCCAACGAGCTCAACAAAGTCAATGTCCTTGACAGTCAGGCCCGAGGCCGCCAGGGCGCGGTCCAGAGGGGCCTGCAGGCGGTCGAGGAGGGGCTTGGACAGATCCTCAAAGAGCTCACGGGTGACCTGGGCCTGGACATCCTTGTCGTCCAGGAGACACTCGATATTGAGCATGGTGATGGGGTTGGCGCTGATGATCTTCTTGACTTTCTCGCAACCCTGGCGCAGACGGAAGACGGCCTTGGGGCTGCTCTTGATGTCGAGCTTGTACTTGGCGTCAAATTCCTTGATGAAGTGCTGGACGAGGACTTCGTCAAAGTCACGGCCACCAAAGTTGCGGTCGTAGGCGGTGCCCTTGACGGTGAGCTTGCCCTTGACGAACGAGACCACGGCAACCTGGTAGGACGAGAAGCCAAGGTCGACAAAGACAACGTTGCGAGGCTTGGTGTTGGCGGCGGGATCGGGGAGGTCGGTCTTGGTGATGCCGTAGGCGAGGGCGGCAGCGGTGGTATCGTTCAGGAGACGAAGGGGGTTGATCTGGGCAATTGTGGCGGCCTCGATGATGGAGCGGCGCTGGGCATCGGTGAACCACAGAGGAACCGAGATGACGGCGTCGGTCATGGGGGCCTTGATCTCCTTGCTGGTGAACTCCTTGACTTTGCTGAAGAACATGGCGGCAAGCTGGGTGTATGTGAAGATGCGCTGGTCTTCGCCGTAGTAGACCGAGGCGGCGACTTCGCCGCGCTCGCCCTCGACGAGCTTGCAGTTGACAAACTTTTGCTCATGCGAGCGGACCTCGGGATCGTCAAACGAACGACCGGCAAGGCGTTTCAGCGATGCAGCGGTGTTCTTGAAGTTTGAGATCTCGTTGGTCTTTCCAGACTCGCCAACGTATCGCTGCTTTTCACCAAACGAGACAAGGGAGCTGGATCACGCGGAGTGGGAGGGAATGCGGTGTCGGGGATGCGATACGGAGTAAGCAAGAATCAGACAGGGTCAGCATACGGGGCAGTGAACCTGTGGTTGACCTGTGGTTGACCTGTGGTTGGGCATCGGCCAGAGACGTTCGTGTGTGCACGGGTGATCCTCAAAACTGCAGATGCACTTACGGGGTGGTGCGGTTCGAGACTTCGTTGGTGATAACATCGATACCTCTGTTTCGGGCAACAGCCACGACAGTGTTCAAGGTTCCAAAATCAATACCGACGACGGACATTGGGTTTCTGTGATCTGGGATAAACGAAGGACTGGAGTCTAGGAGAGGTGTGTGCTTGGGCTGCTTGGGTTGCGATGCACGGGCGGAGGTCAAGCTTCTCTTGGAAAATACAAAGACTAGAGCAGCAACAAGAACACCGACAATAGCCGTCGCGATCGAGATTTCGGTAATGGAGGGTTGGATCGGCACAGCGTCAGAGCCCGATGGCGATCGAGTTGCAGTGGATTGTGGAATTTTGGTGGATTGTGGAATTTTGGTGGATTATGAGGGGGGGAAAGGCCGACAGGTAGGGGTTTGCCGAATGAGACGACAGGGCAAGGCGAGGGCAAACAACAGCAGGCCGACGAACGGGGAATCGAAGAGAGAGAGTCGAGATTAGGCGCGGTGGCAATGGCAGAAAGAAGCTACGATGATGACCAAAGAGCCCAGCCAGAACAGAGTCTCCAAGCCGGTTGAGGCTGATCCGTGGCGATGAGAGTGAAACAGTGGTATGCTCAAAAGCGCCCAGAACGAGTTGCTGCAACAGAGCCAGGCGGCAATGCTGCCAACCGACAGAGCAACAGACAAACGTGCAACAACGGGCAGAGACAAAACAACGAGTGGTGATGAAAAAGTAAATGAACAGAGACATGGCGGGTATCCGACGGACACGCCCACAGGACGAACGGGACGAAACAGAGCAGAGGCAAAGTTGGATCCGGGTGCAGGTCGCAGCGACGGAGGGATGGTGCAGATATGCAAACAGAAACAAAAGCACAACAAAGGATTAAAGGATGTATGATGATGCGATTCAAGCCCGCACAGCGCCTCGCAGCAACCCGAACAGCCAAAGACGAACGATCGCCGCAACTGGCTCCCGGAGAGGAACATGTTGCAGAAGCGCTACACCCGAAACAAGCCATGCTGCCTCCGACGATCGCACAGTCTGTGGCTGCGCAGACCAGCTGCCCACAAGATTGGCCACCGCTGAGGGTGCGAAAGCAGCAGCAAACAAGACATGGAGCAGAACGAAGAGGTAGGTATACAAAGAGAGAGAAAGAACGAAAACAGAGGGCATGCCCCCAGACGCCATGGACTGCCACAACCAGCCTGCCGGCATGGCTCTGCGCTTCCAACGGACAAGCCTAGATAGCGGGCTCGGGCAAAGTGCACGGCAGCAGCAGCAACGAACGCCAAGATCAAACCAGACCGTGCAGCAAGCCAGATCAAATGGCAAGATCAACAACAAGGTCGAAAGCCAGAGCCCTGTACCCGACCGGGAGGACCTACCTACAATCGGATGTCACGCCCAAAGTGGATCTGCGATTGACGGTTGGATGGAGCCGTGGCAGGCGAGCAGGAAGTAAGTACGCAAGTAATCGGAGGCAGAGGCAGCGGCGTGCAATGGTCTGGCCTGAGAGCGACGGTGCGAACCAGCGCCTGGTGCGCTTCCATCCACACACACGGCAGCGCAAGCACTTGTTTGCCGGAACAGGTGCCGGCCTGGCAGGGCAGACCAGGTGCGATGCGGCGGCCGTGGGAGACTTGGCAGCAGCTTACCTCGGTTGGCCAGGATCGTTGAGAGCAGGACCAAAGGCAGGCGATCTGAGAGCACCGGCGATGCCAAAGGCGATATATGCGAGAACGGAGGCCCCGCGAGAGCGGCCGAGAGCGGCCGAGAGCAGCCGAGAGTGTGGCCGAGAGCGCAACAGAGATTAATTCATTAAAATTTTTGTTGCTGATTTTGGCCAATGCGGCAGCAGCCAATCGGCGGGCGGCGCTGCTGTTGCTGTTGCTTGTCATGCTTTGTCTGTCTGCTGTGGCCGAGTGAGGTTGTCCCCGGTGGTGCAATCCGCAACCAGCCTCGTTCGACGCTCTTCGGCGGAGGTCCACCGACTTCCATTTCCTTCCAGCCGCTTCTCCATGACATGAGGGCGGGCCCATCGAGGCCATCGTCGGATTGGGAAGCAGCTGTCCGCCCCAGCACCCCCAGGGCTGCATCATGCTCATCCCTGCATATGCCCATCCCTGCAGCAGGCGGCATCATTGATATTGTCGGCGTGCTCTCAAGAGCTACATTGCCGTTCCGCCACATCGCCGGCGGCTGCGATTCACATCGACTCGCACATCCCTCTCACGGCATCACCCCGCGCGATCTCAGCCGCCCCAGGATGTACTGTCTGCTCTCGTCGAGTTCGGCTTGCTCGTCGGCGTCTTGGGCCCGATACTCTCCGAATACAGTCTGTCCGAACGCTGCGTGCCACGACTCGTCGAGCTCCCGCTGCAGCCAAGAGTATCTCGTTGCCGACACCAGCCCGTCCGGCACGAACTGGGCTTCCAGCAGATCGAAATACCCTCGCAGCTCGCGGAAGCTGGGCCGGCCATTCCGCTTCCACAGCCGGAGACTGGATTCGTCCAGAGCCCTGGCGCGCGACGGGTTCAGCTCGATGGCATCGTTGGTGCGGACAGCGTTGGGCTCGTTGCTGCTGTGTCGGGGCGGAGTCGCCAGCACGAAATCAACGCTGGTTGTTCCTGCCGGTCGTGGGATCTGCACCAGGTTTCGGAGAAACTGCGGCAGCTCTTCCTTCATCGCAAAGACCATGAGCTCGTCAATCTCGCTGCGGCTGAACCGGGTCGCTCGACTCTGGCCGCTGGCTCGGGGGATTCTGGCCAACGGGAACAGACTGGCCAGATGCATGACCATGAACCGTCCCGACAATGGCACGCCGAGACGGTTCGCCGTTCCTGCATACAACCAGAGAAAGCACGTTGGGCTCAGCACATTGGGTCTCGGCGCATTGGTCCAGCACGGCCATTCCATCGGATTGCACTGTGGCCTCCCGGTCTGCACGGCCTTGTGCCTCGGTCTGTAGTCCAGTACGTACGGATGCTAGACCGGCTTTGCTGTGCGTGGAGGCTGAACCATCGTGCCCGAAGGGCTGTCTGTCCCAACACTCGATGGAACTTGTGGTTCGTGCTGCCGAGGTTCAGGAACGCTTGAATGTCGCTGAGGTGCTCGGCGACCTGCAGAATGAGCTCCTCTGGAAGGTTATCGAGGCCGGGCTGGCTGGCTTGAGACATTTGCGTTGGTCGTCTGGATCGGTGTATGAGTGTGCTGATCGGGCTGGCGGCGATGATGTTTGAGCTGGCGATGTGCTCTGGGTCTGTGAGCCATGGCATCGGCCCTTGGCAGGGCGGTTCTCGGTCGGCAAGCGAGAACATGCTCGCTCGGTCGGCGAGGACGAAGGCGACGAGATCGCTCACAGCCTCGGTGTCCTCGAGAGCCCCGCCATGCAATCAGAGGTGAGATCAGTACTTGGCTCGCACGGCTCTTGAAAGCCCAAACGGCCGTGCACTGTCTCTCGTCGCCAAGAACACAACACAACATCTGAGTGAGCGGGCTCGCATGGATTGTTCATTTGGATATCAACTGCCGATGGCTCAGCCGCCGCAATAGTAGTCGATTTGGGTGCCGTTGTAGGTGTCTGGGTTCAGCACCCACACAGGCCCTTGCACCCCCAGGACATTGTGCAGCACTGCTATAACCAAAAGTGCCGAGGCCAACCCAGAGTCCAGGGCCGCCGCCAGGATGTAGTTGTACTTTTTCCACCACTCGAAGCAGTATCGGAAGCAGTAGTGCTGGAATACCAACGCAGTCAGCATGGGACTCAGCACCCCGACCTGGTTTCCGCCGACGCCGTCCATGTTGCAGAGGATCGGCACGTTGATGTTGGACCAGAAAGGGTTGCGGTGCCAGTATCGGTGGATCAGATACGGGACAAACGGCAGCAGTAGGCCGGCGGGAAAGCACCAAAGCAGCGCAGAGTATACCGAGCCAAAGCCAAAGAACCGTCGGGGCCCGATTGCGCCCCAGATACTGCCGGCGCTGTAAAAGATATAGTACTGCGTGCCTCTCCAGTCGCCTTTGCCCAGCTGGCTGAAGTGCTCCAGCACCAGCCATGAGAAGCCTGTGCCCACGAACACCGACACCAGCGAGCCGAGGCACTGGGCTGCAAACATCGAGGTCGGCGCAATGTGCAGGTAGTGGCCCAGCTTGAGATCCGACAGCAATGAGCACGCCTGCACAAGGGTATTGAATCCAAGAGACTTGAACGCCATCACCGCGATGGTCTTGCCCGGGATCAGGAGGCCGATCACAAACTCGGTGATCACGTTCAGGCCGATTTGGATTCCCGAGACGGCTTGGATCGTTCCCACGGGGATGAGAAAGACAATTCCCATGAAGATCGCCAGAAGCACCGCCCACCAGGGGATCTCGAACGATGTCGTCGCGCCAATGTAGATCATCAGCAGGGAGCAGACCGCAAAAAACGCAAAGTAGATCCAGTCCGGCACCTCGTCGTACTGCTCCATGAGCTGGTTGTGGATGTCGCGATGGTGGGCCTTGGATCGTCCCGAGAGTGCCACCCGCAGGTTCTGGAACACATCTTCGCTGTACCACAGATAGACATGCGACAGAACGGCGGCAATCGACATGAACGAAGCCCCGTATCCGACCGCGAATGTCGATGTCTGAATGGCGGAAGCCAAAGGCGAGGAAGAGGTTAGGCCGCGAGAAGCGATGCAGATCTTGTGCGATAGTCGCTGCCCAGCCATCGTCCAATCGAGCTGTGGACGACGGCTCCTCCAGAAAGCCTGGATCCGCATCCGACAAGTCACGAGCATGACGACACCCATGGGCAACAAGAACCCCTCCAAGAGATGTATAGCGACTACTCACAATGTAGATAGGCTCAGAGCGCTCGTACACTTCCAGATTCAGATCAAAGGTCGTGGGATCGTATAAGTCCAGGACATTGATCTTGCGAAAGTCGGTTCCGTTGAAGAGGCTGGGGGAGTTGAAGATGCCACAGCCGGTCGTCCCGTTGGTGCGATGACATCCGCCAATCTCCATGGCATGCCAAGCATTGGTGTAGTATACGAGTGGAGCGATAACCCAGCTCCAGATCACGTTTGCACCGACCGTCGATAGCGTCGCCCAAAGCGGCTGAATCAGGGTGCCTCCGCCTGTTGGTGGGGTTGAGTCAGCAGGCCTGTGCTTGATGGTGTCCAAAGTGGGCATACGAACGAACGAGTGAGGCCTGCTGCTTACCGATGTAGTTCCAATCCAGAGAAAGTGTCATCATTCCAACGCCTTCGGAGTAGCCCCCGGAGCCCAGGGTATTCAGCACGCTGCCTTTGCCCGCTCCAAACAGGCAGAGAACCGAGATCATCTGCAGTGTCTGGGCAAAGTACTCGGGTATCCCTGAACCAGGCAGTGCAAAGTTGCATTCAAGGTGGATACGCTCTGTCAGCTACCATCGCATATTCATCCAGTTCTTGAGCGTAAGCTACCATGCCAGCACGCCGGACAGCGCAGCACAATGCAAAGACTGATGGCTCTGCCGAACCAAAGGTCACTCACATGTATACGCAAACATGCACGCAAATGCTGCCCAGAAGAACTGATACCGAGTCAATCCCGATTGGACTCGTACGTTGAGGAACTTTTGCTCGTCAAGGGATTGATCCGCAATACTCTCGGAAGACTCGACTTCGTGACTACCCGTGCTGTCCGTATCATTTGCACGACTCTCGTCATCAACCATGTCGTCGGTATAACTGCGTCGGGCCACCATTCGGTTCTGTTCCCGGCTGGAACTGGCACGGTCTTTGGCGGATGGAGGCGTGTTCCAGTCCTCTAGCCCGACGTTCACGCCAAAGTCATCTTGATGGTGAAAGGACGTGAACAGGGCCACGATTGATAGGTTGGATGGCCAGAACATGTCTGTGGGCTTGACGAGCAGCGTCCTCCCGAGTCCGGCCAGGCCGATGCCCACAAACTGCGTTGCAAAGACAAACAGGAAGCACTCCGTGAGGCCCAGCTGCTCGTTGTTCATCCACAGCTTGCCCTTTTGCACCACAACGTTATCGATGCCGTACGGAAGGGCTGCCGAGGCCGTCATGACGTAGATGAGGGCGTGCTCCTTGATCGAGAATGGCCCTGGGTTGAGTGGGATCGGGTATCCACAGATCTTGAAGGTCACGGATGGCAGGACCTTTGCCAACGCCAATCCCATGGGATAGGAGAGAAGCTGTGGAGACAAGCGAGGTCCTCTGTCCATCAATATGTGCCCTGTGATGCCTCTGGCGGTGGGCACGGGCCCACTTCCATCGGACTTCCATCGGACTTCCATCGATGCCCGACACCCACATGTCCGCAAAGGCGAATTGCAGAGGACGGACGTACGATTCCGACATAGTTACTCAGCGTTATGGCGTTTGTTCGGAACATGAGGATCCCGTTCATACCACAGAGCAGCACCGACCAAAACAGACCCAAGAACACCGCCCGAACGGTCAGCGCAGGGACGGAGGGGTCGTCTGTCTGCGGAACGACCGAGCGAGTGTAGTCAAAGGACTGGCCGTGGCGGTGGTGGTCTGGTTGCCCATGGCTGGACTTGGAGGTGCGTTCAGGGTCGACATCGTCGATGCCATCGTCGTCGCTGTCGATCAGGAAGGCAGAGGCCGAATCCGAGTGGTGGAGCGGACTGTATGTCGCAACGGTCGTCAGCTCGGACCGGGTTGGTTTGGAGCCCAGCGGTAGCAGCTCGTACGCAGTCGAGTCCATCCGGGGGTGTATCTGGTGTATCTGGTGTATCTGGTGTATCTGGTGTATCTGGTGTATCTGGTGTATCTGGTGTATCTGGTGTATCTGGTGTATCTGGTGTATCTGGGCGCGATGGGCTTGCTTTCGCTGTTTGTCGATGTTGTTGATGCGCTCACGGCATGGGCCTGGTCGTTCGCGATCGACCAGGGTGTGCGATCTGCGCGATGCTTCCGATGAGTTGGGGGAATGGCTCGGCCCGACAACTATCGATGATTCGCAGTGCTGCGGACGGTCTTGCTCTCGGTGCAGGCGGCTCGAACTGCAGCTCCAGCCAGTGCGATCAAGAAAGGAAGAACGAAGGAAAGAGCGACGGATTGCAGGCTCAGCGGACGGCTCGATGCCGCACGAGTCGCACGCTGTCTCATCTCCCCTGCACACCCACTGCACATTCACTCACAGACGCTTCGATCGATACCGTCCCAATCAGCCAGACCGATCCAGGCATGCGCCGACTCCACTGACATCGGCTCTGGCGGTGGCATCGTCCAGAGTCGTCGTCCGCATCGGCATGTGGGTCTGCTCTTCGCTGCGCCATACCGGGCAGGCGCTGGAATTGGAAATCGATCAAAGACGCCTCGGCCTGGTCTGCTTCGATCTGCTCTTCATCTCCCCTCCCCCCAAGCCAAGCCAAGCCAAGCCAAGCCAACCAGCACCCCCCCCCCGAGTCCAATGAGTTCCTGGTGCTATCACCACAGCAGTCGGGACCACGATGTCTTTATATCTTATCGAGTCAAGTCCGAGCAGCCGCTTGCCGATGAGCTGTGCTCGAGCCTGCAGCTCGCCAGCGGCCGTCGCCTTGGATCGCAAGCACAAGCCGCAAAGGTCTTCCTCGACAAGCGCTGTCTCTCTCCCGGCGAAGTCTTTGTCACCAACTTTCTCTCGGCTCTCGAGAATACCGCCAACATCATCTATCTCCTGAGTCGACAGTCGCTCGACATCATGGTCGACAATCTGAGCCGGGGGGTGAGTTGCAAGAATGCAGGGACGAGCGAGCGCATCCGCAGGCGATCCTGGGGGCTCCATCAGCACATACAGCTTCTGCAGATGGAGCTGTGTGCCATTCGTTCACTGCACTATTGCTGACCTCTGGTGACTATTTCTGTCGCTGCAATTATGCTGGTCGACGCAACTGTGCGCTTCGATATCTGGTGATCACCGGCTTCCTCGACATGTCGCATCCTTGTTTCTCGACAAACACAACTCGGCCTCAGATATCCGACAATGTGCTTGCTGAGATTGTTCAAGGCCTCGAGCTATCTGCCCAGAGGCCGCAAATCAAGCTGTACCCAGTCTGCGTTATGAGCCAGGTAGGGAGAATGGTTCCCCTTGATCTGCAGCTCCGCGCAATCAAGTACACGGCCATTCATCGTTCAGATCGCATACTGACATCACGCACCTTTGCTGTGATCCTCTCTGGCCACCCCCTTGGCTGAACAGAATGACGATGGATATGATCGCTTCCTGGCGTTCGCCTATCCCGTGCCTGAGGGCGACAGCTTCCAGCCCATGCGCGATGCCCTGCGCGAGCTCTGCACCCGCCAAGTTATGCACATCAATCCTGCGGCCATCGGTTCCTTTGTGTACTCCTTTCTGAACCTGACCGGTCTCTGTTCCGTTTCGCCTGGTGTGGACGACTCCGGACGCCCAGTGAGCCTTGCTATCGCAAGTGACGCCCTCGAGCGCGATGACCTGGCGGACGAAATCTACAACAATCTGGCTTGTCGTAGCGGTGTCTGTATCATCAGCGGAGCCGGTGGTATGGGCAAATCCACCCTCTGCAGGCAGTTCGCCAAGCGGACCTTTGAGCAAGACCGAGTCTACGAGTCAGTCTTCTGGATCAGCTGCTCTTCCGAGTGGCAAGCTTTCGCCGATATGGCTGGTCTGCTGGGCTACACCAGCAGCTCCAGCGACGACGACGAGAGTCAAGAAGCCCACGAGAACGGCACCCAGTCCAAGGATGTCGTGCTGAAAGCAGCTCGGAAGCTGGGCACCGAGACGCGATATCTGCTCATCATCGACAACGTCGACGATATTGATGTCGCAAACGAGTGTCTCGGGAAGATCACCAGGTATACTGGAGACGTCATTGTGACGACTCGGTACGAAAGCTTGCCCCAAGGTGCTTTCCTCAACGCCCTTCAGAACTCGACCAGCTCCCGCAGCCAAAACATTGTGTCGCTCCGGTCGTGGCCGATGAACACCGCCGAGGGATACATTTTGCGTCGGTGCGAATCGCTCAGTATGCTCAGCCCCGAAGAAAAGGTCATCCTTCGCCAGATCCTTGAGACGCTGGACGGCCTCCCGCTCGTGATCGAGCAGTTCATTTCCTACTACCAGACATTTCAGCCTCCTCTGGAGCTCATACAGCACAACTTTTCCAAGGTCCTGGCCCACGACGAGCAAAGCAGCGTCGAAAACGCAAAGTCCAATGTGAAGAAGCTGGTCCAGCTATCCCTCGACTCGCTCCTCAAGGGCTTTGGAGCCAACGGGCGCGCAGCAGTCGAGCTCTTTGTAGCCTCCGGCTACCTCTTCCCGCAGCTCATCAGTTTTCCACTTCTGGAGGCGATTCTCAAGAGCCTGAGGCCCGATCTCGGAGACAATGGTATGAACCAAGTCGGAGCTCATTTGCCAGTCTGTCTGTACTTGCTGTGCACTTCAGGATCCTGGCCGTGCATGCCTATCACATCGTGCTGTGTGGGTCCTAGCCGAGATGGCGAGAGACATTGCGCCTAGATAAGCTTTGCAGTGATCGCTGTGTTCTGACGCCACTAGCCCCTCACCTCTTGTTTAATGCGCGGCCGTGTCCAAGCCTTCGAAATTGTGGTTCTGATGAACCAGACGGGTTTGCTGCGAAAGATCGGCAGCGGATACTCTGTCCACGGAATCTACCAATACGTTGCCCGCGAGCTCATCGACGACCCCGAGTACAAGCTTTCGAGCATCCCCGCGATAGTTGCCGACACTCTCCTCAAGTTGGTAGGCTTCCCGCCCTTCACGCCCAAGCAAATGGAGTTCGGCACCCATCTCCTGTTCTATGCCCATATACACAAAGATCGGCCATACACTGTCACCAAAAACATTTACGTCGACCAGACCTCGGCTCAATTGATGCTGAGACAACGGTACTACCGCCAGGCCGAGCAAATCCTTGAGAGCGCCATCCCCCGCGCGTGCACTTTACTGGAGAGCCGGACCCATATCCTGGTCGTCAAGCTTCTTGGAATCATGGCCAGCGTTGCTAGCCAGCTCTCCAACTATGAGAAGTCTCTGAGCTATCAGAAAGAGTGCCTCGAGTTTTATATGAGCGAAGGCACCGACAAGCAGCGCCGGTTTGTGCCACAGATCCTGAACAGAATGTCATGGACGTGTCGGCTTCTCGGTGACTACGAAAGCGCCATCAAGTACAACAAGGAAGCTCTGTCGCTCATCGCATCCCTGACAAACAGCCAGCAGCATCCGCAAGCGGCCACTGCCATGGGCAGCCTTGGCACTATCTACAAGGCACTTGGTCGCTTCGATGAGGCTCTCCAGTTCATGGAGGAGTCGCTCAAGATCAAGATCAGAGTCTATGGCACTCGCGACCGCCTCGAAGTCTCACATGTGCTTTCTGGTCTGGGAAGTTTGTATCATATCCAGGGAAACTTTGTCAAGGCGAATCAGGTGTTCTCCGAAGCCCTGGCAATCATACAAAAGCATTCAAGCGCAGATGCATCCCGCTCGGTCTTTGTGCAACAGTGCGTTGCCGAATGTCACTTGTCGCAAGGCCGCTACCAGGAAGCCATGGACACCCTCGTCCAGGCCGAGAAGTCCGTCACCCAGACCTACGGTAGCGGCAGTCCTGGTCTGGCCACGATATGGCGAGACATGGGTATCCTCTTGCGCGCATGGGGCCGCTGCTCAGAGGCCTCGGCCTACTTCCAGAAAGCACTGACCTTGCAGATCGAGTCGCAGGCCACGCGGGAGCAAGTCGAAGTTGCCCGCACGATGGATCAGTTCGGCCTCTTGAAGATTCAACAGCGCGAGTACGATGCCGCCAAGCAGCTTCTGGAAGAGTCGATTGAGATCAAGCGCAGCTGCTTTGGCAACCGCCCGCACTCACTGATAGCACAGTGCCTCGACTTTCTCGGCAAGCTTGAGTGCGATCGGGGACAGTGCGAGCAAGCTATCGAGTATCACAACGAAGCCCTGAAAACCAACACTCAGTTTTTCGGCAGCTCACAGCATCCGCTCATCTCGCATACCATCTGCGATCTGGGCTGGGCGTACATCGGCCTGGGCCGCTACGACGAAGCCCACCAGATGTTCAAAGACGCTTACGACTATCGACTGCACGTATTTGGGCCTCAGCACTACTACGTGGGTAAGGCGCAGTTTGGTCTCGCCACTGTCGCTCTGAAGCGGCATCGTCCCGCCGAGGCCCGCGAGCGCTGCTTGAAGGCCCTGGAGATCCTGGAGGACGTGTACGAGGACCGGCCCAACGAGGACGTGGCCAAGTGCTACAAGCTGCTTGGCGAGATCCAGCACGCTTGCTATCAGTACCGCCCGTCGCTCGAGCATTACCGCCAGGCCCTCCAGATATACACACAGCTCAGCGACCCCACTCTAGGTCCCCGTCACGAAGCTCAGGAGCTCGAGGAGGCTATGTCTGCTGTTAGCGCCGAAATGGGCTCGCCCACAGGCTACATTCGCAGCATCGGCGTGGGCCTGGGCGGATCGGCCCTGGGTTTGCGACCAGAAGTTACGGTGCTGGCCGTGGGCGCTGTCTGCACAGTCGCTCTCGCCCTGGTGATGCAGCACTACCGCATCCGTCGCTAGGATTGCTCCGTTGTGCACGGATCCCGGTCAAGCTCTTGTCCGTACCGGTGGTGGGTTAGCGCCGTCCATTTCGTGGCACCAAAGACTCCCTCCGCTCAAGTTCGATATCTTGAATGCTTCCCCGTTGTCTACTTCCATGTGCCGCCCCAACTCTCCATCTATGACAGTATGCGGCATTCAATGTGTCTCCTCCAGCGGATGCATGTTCTCATCCTCGCTCTCCTTGCTTCAACTTTCGTCCGTCTTCGCTGATTGTTGCTTTCCAACCATCCGTTCCAGCCATGTTTCTGTTGTCGTTGTTGCTGTTGCCCTTGTGTTTCGCATTGGCCCTTTGACTTGGCTTCTGCTGACCTTTTCCTGCTCATGCGTAGAATCCGCCCATCATAGAGACGCGGCGATTGCTCGCTCCTCTAGATCTCATAACTTGCATCCGACCTGTGGCCGCTCATAGACATGCTTCTTCTTTTGCGCACTGTATATATATTTGCGTTCACAAAAAATGGACCAGGCCAATCGGCTCATTTTTTCTGAATCTTGAAACACGCACCCATGATCCTCAGAATGCGCTTGGTTCACCAGTCCAAGTTGGGCTTGACAAAGATCGTGATGTCGCGGGGCGGGGCGATCTCGATATCGCTCGTCTTGGGGATCGTCGCCGCCGAGGCTGCCGGGGACGGCCCGACGGGATTGCCCGGGCCGGCTGCCGGGGCGAGTTCCTTCTTGATGATCTTGATCTTGGGTGGCGTGAGTTGCCCAGACAGCAGCGCGATGCAGTTGTACTGCAGCCGCGCCGACGACAGCGGGAGGATGCGAATGCCCGTTTGCTTGTATCCCGAAAACACAAAGCCCTCGGCCGCTTCGATCGTGGCATGGAGCTCGACAACCTGGAGGCTAGGGTTCTCGATCACATGCTGCACAGTGAACAGCCGTCCAACCTCGATTTGTGGCGGAAGATCTGCCCGCAGGAATAGAAAAGGTCAATCGTCTGTCGCCACACTTGCAACATTGGATTGCTCGGCCTGTTGGTCCACGACGATGGCGCATTACCGGTGAATACTTGAACGACAGGCTTGGGTGGCTCGGTCGGCGGGAGCTTGACGGTCGTGGTTGCCCACTGGGAGCCGGATTGTTCGAAAGTCTTGTTTCGGAATCGTCTGCCCCCCACCAGTCGACGAAAGCGCAGTGTGTTGGTATCGTGGGAGAGCAGCGCCCGAGCGTCGATGCGGAAACGGCCCCAAGGGAATACGGCTACCTGCTTCCCGCCATTCATGCCACGGCTAACAAGATCCAGGCACCCACCGTTTCCAGTTGATTTCAACTCGTCCGAACGACAGAGGCTTGCTGCCCGACAGGATATCAGAGGTCACACGGACGTGATAGACATAATTGGCCAAGCTTCCGGGCTTCCACACTGGTGTGGTGTCCGGCGGAGACAAGATGGATATTAGACACAGAAGTGATATCATGGCGCCACCCCGATCTTGACATGCGCAGCTGCTCCCCACTCACAAGTCCGCAGATCCAACCCCAGATTGTACCTTGCAGGGTATGGCAGTGAACAGGGACATCCAGAATATCGATTTGGGGGGAGGAGGTGGTCTGGGGGAAGACAGGCGTTGTGAGTGAATGCTCTGAGCCATTGTCACAACAGCTCGTGTTCATGGCCACAGTCTAACAGGCTCAGCAGCGCCAACAGACCAGCTAGAGCGAGCATGGCGTTCAAGGTGCTGAAGCTGTTGTAATGCGACAAGCAAGGCCCATCGGCAACCTCGACACGCACCTCGATGGCTTTCAGTACAACAGACTCGATTTCCATGTCGTTGGAGCTGGCCGTCTTAATGTTGGCCAGGACCGAGAATTGATCCATTTTCTCGAGCGCGGCGCCGGAGGCGCCTGATGCGAAGCCCAAGAGACCCACGCGCTCTTCTCCTTCTCGAAGGGCGAGCCTGCGAGTCTTTTGCGCAATGATATCAAACTTGACATCGAATGGAGATGTAAAGGCGATGCGCGCGGTTTCTTGCATCCGGATGACTTCGGTTGTGGGGACGGAGGCGGGGTCGACCGGTTCGGTTGTGAGAGAGCTTCCAGCAAAATGTTCCTGTCCGTACTGCACCGAGAGAATCAAGAGCCGCTCGCCAACAAACTTGTCGCAGCGCAACCAGAGCCTGCGAGATAACTTGGAGTGCGCGGCAATGGCACCGAGGCTGAGACCGGACAGCTGGTTGGACCCTGCTGCAGCCGCATTTCCAGGATGGCTCTCGAAGATCTGGGAGTAGGCATCTGAACACACGTGAGGCATCAGCACGGGCATTTTCAGACCGCGGGCTCCATATCCTGCCGATTATGATGATGCGGTTTGCTTCCGTGCTTATATCCCTCAAACATCGGGCGGGCGACTTGAACTGCTTACCATCTGATGACATGGAGCTGCGGAACTCTGCGTCCATGAGGACGTGGATTTCGCTATCTTCTTCGTTGGTAATCTCGATATCAACCGGATAGAGCTCGTCGAGGTATCCGTGCTCATCGTGGATGACCTGAATGCGGATGTTGGGCTGTCGGCGCGACACCCTGGATCAAACGGTCTCATGAGTCATATGTGTCGGCGAGGATCTCAGCAGCGTCAACAACCCAACAGATGGGCGCCACAAACCTCAGCAACGACTGCTCGCCGTATCCGTCTGGCAAATAATCGATTTTCGGGGCACCATCTGAGCAATTGTTCGCGTTAGTCGACAAAAGCACTGCACAACCCGCTACAGACACGATGCACGGCTTCGCACACGCTCACTTGTGCTCGCACATATTCTCACCCGGTCTGTAGTGACACAGCAATGTCGTCGGCGAACTTACCCTTGTCCACAGTCATCCATTTGCGGCGGAACATGGCTCCCTCGCCTCGGTCGGCGATGCGGTAGTTGAGCGAAATGTGCCCTAGAGGAGACTCTAGAACGAGGCCGACCGCCCGGATCTTGATGTCCTGGCTGTCGGCGGCATTCACGACGCCCTCGACGACCACTGTGCTGCCCATGGCGACTTCCAGATCCAGGGTTTTGGTCCAATACTTGCGCTCGCTGCCGGTTTCCAAGTTCTTCATAACCTCTCGTTTGGCGTCGGTGCAATCCAGGAGAATCAACCGCGGCTTGGTTGAGTGTGTGAGGGTCGACGCAACCTCGTCACTGCAAAATAAGCAGTAGTCGTAGCGGGGAACCGAAAACAGAATCTGCACTTTGGAGAACCGCAGGGGGATCGGTGGGCTGGTTGCCCCGGCCGAGGTGAGTGTGACCTGGAACGGCACGGGACAGCCGGCGTAGGCCTCGGTCTTCTTGAACTGAACCGAGCACTGGATAAAGGCGTTCATTTGATCCATATCAACGATCTTGCGGATCGAAACATCGGGGTGTGCTCCGGTGGGCGAGCCAGGAATCAGTGAGCCGTAGTTCAGGACGGTCAGGAGCTGATTGAGAACGTCGATCCGTCCGTTCTCGTGCGGCAGGACCGATTCGCTCATCAGTTCTACCAGGGCATCGAGGACGATGTCCCAGAGGGCAAGCTCTGAAGCACATCGGACCGTGCTTTCGAGAATCGATTTGAGAATAAAGTTCCATTTTTCTTTGCGGTACGTTTTGCCGATCCGCTCGTAGAACTTGAGGGCCATTTCATACTGGCTGTTCCGCTCGTAGACACGGGCAATCTCTGCGGCCAGAAAGAGAGTGATCCGGCCGCTCTTTTGTTTGCGGAACTGCTCATAGGATTTGGTGAACAGCTCGATGGTCAAGGCGCCGTGGTCAACAGCCTTGCCCTGCTCCAAGGATGAATTGAGATAGTCCTGGCCGACTGGATGAGCGAAGCGGCAAAGGAGTATAGCGTATATGTGAGCGGAAAGCAAGCGATATGTCCAAAGGACCTGTTGAGAACAATGGCCGCAGAATAGTCGGGATGTGGTGGGCTAGGGGCTGGAGGAGGTCCTGCGAGAGGGTTGAAGGCGACACGTTGGAATGCCGATTGCTGCATGATACCCACTCAGGTCCAATGTCGATTTAGAAAACACGTCGTGTCCAGAGGGATCCTCGATGACCTAAGGCAGCGTCAGTGGTGGGATCGATGGAGAAAGAGTGGAAGCACTGTCGAGGCGAGTGTGCATGTAACTATGGATGCATAGCTGCTGCGGTGGAGCTTACTTCGGCAATCTCCTTGAATTTGCGCCATGCTTCTTCAGCCGCCTTGGCCGACATGTAGTAGTAGTAGCCAGCATGCTGCACAAAGTTGGCCGGATTGGTCATGCTGAAGGCACTAAAGGACGTTGCCGGGATCTCGCCACCAGTGAGGACATTCATGCCGTTGTTGGCAACGGTGTTGAGGAGTGCTGCGGCTCCACCGTTGCCAAGAGTTCCAGGCGGAGGATAGGGCAGCGACAGGCGCGACTTGCTCGTGGCGAGTTCAATAAGCTCGCCAAAGATGCGGTATCTAGCGGGTGACCATTCGAAAGTCAGCAAATGTTTGGGGGATGCGATATGGCCACAGTATGGTTCGGTCGCGGCCTGAGCGGCTCGTGAGTGCCGATAGCCCAGCAGACGGACAACGGCTAGAACGGCCGATGCTGACCGATACAAGCACGTTGCTGGAGGGACTGTTGGCCAACTGTGCCCCACCCCCAGTCCGGCACGACAGCTTGTTGCCAACGCTGCTTGACACTCACTGCTTTGAAACCCAGGACCAGTATTCGTGCGTGCCACCGCCGACAATGTCGGCGACTTGCGAGAGGCCGGGGGGCGGAGGGAGGTTTGATTTTGCTAGATAGGCGAATTCGGGGAGGATCTTGCAGCATCGCAAGTGCCTGTTCATGGCCTCCAAAGCCAAGAGAGGGAACTCCGTGTACAGATGCAGCTTGCAGATCTGCGGAGACGCGTTAGAGTCGGCTCAGGCGCCGAAGGCATGCAGCGCCCTGTTTCGACAGAGAATGAGCCTGTACCTTCAGATTGATGGTATCCAAGAGCGCTCGAGCCTCTGTCCACCGAGGGGATCCGGGCGGAATGCTGTCAGCACCAAGCAGGGTTGGTCCGGCTGCGCTCTTTCGGAGGAGCTCGAGGAGGTTGTCGTAGCATGTTTCGTAGAGCCTGAGAGCAGGGAGTATCAGATACATTGCGATTTCATCGAAAGTCCATGGCCAAATGCATGCTCGCCGATGTCCTACAGCATGTTGCTGCCCGAGACAAACCGTACTTGATGGCGCCCTCCATGTTCTGCTGGAACTCGGTAAATACAGCGAGCTTGTAGTCGTAGCGCAGGCCCCAGCCCTGGGCCGAGAGACCTGAGGGGTCGCTGGTGCGGGCACCGGGGGCGGGCTGAGGCGAGCGAGTCGGCGATGTGGCCACGAACTTGCTCTTCTTTTTCTTGACACGCTTGACATGTTCTCGGTAGTAGTTCAGTGCGCTTTCGAAGAGCGTTCGTTGCATCCTAGAGAGATCGGGATTAGGATCAACCTTTCAGCATCCTTGGCCATCAAGCTGGGATTGTTTCACTCGACACAACCCGATTATGTGAAACTTCAATCAGCGCATGCGTATGAAGCCCGGACTGTCACAAGCCTTGATATCGCATCGACTCGACGCAGAATTTAGCCGCGACTTACGAAGTGACAAACTCCAGCAGGTCAACTGTAGTCGAGCGTCGGTTTACGTCAAAGGGAATCACAAAGACCGAAGATTTGGGATCGAGACCGCAGTTCTTCTTGAGGAAGGCGAGACGGTCCTCGATCTGTGTCTCGTCATCTGTCACGGACGGCAGAGTTGAGGATGAGGGTGGGCATTGACAAGCATCGCTGCGGTTATACGAGAATGTCTCGTTGCTTGGCTCACCTGGCGTGCCGACCCGACAGAGGAGTATGACGGCATACTTGATTCCGCGCTCGCCAAGGGTTTTCCTGGTGAGTCCGCAATCGGACAAATTAGCGGAATCCAGGTTGCATATCATTGCTTCCAACATCGGGCTGGACGACAGGGACCGCTCACGCACGACAATCCCATCAGGTCGAGCATGATAGCCATCCGAATTGGATCCGAAGTCGATGTCGTGCTGAACAAAAAGGCAGCTCGGCCTCGCTTCCGTTTACGAAGGACCAGCCAGCGTGCTTTCCGCCGCCGCCGCCGATCGGAAAGACAGGAGAAGGTACGATGCTTACTTGCGATCAATGATTTCGGCGGCCATGACAGTGTCGTTGACCGCGAGGCTCGAATCAACGAGGTCGTAGAATCCAAGCACAACCGATGGGAGGATCTCCCGATGCTTCCTGACCCATTGCGGGCACATCATGCCGCCAGGATGCAATGGCGATCCAGGCGTCAGGGGCGACAGCGGCGAGTGAATGAGCGGGGTTGCTGGAGGACGGCCCGGGAGCTTGTGGGCAGTAAACACATGGTCCTGAAGGGGCCAAGAGCGTCAGACGGTAACAATAGCCAGCCACACAGGCGTCGGTGGATCTGGAGCAATTGATGCGAACGAGAGGCCAATCCGGTGCGAGCCGATGCAGCCGAGAGTGCCGAGCCAAGAGGGGCTCACCTTTCCGAGCGAAACGACGTGGAAGAAGCCAGAGAGCTTCACGGCGGTCGTGGTGTCCCAAATGCCGAGGTTGTTTTTGGCGACCAAGATCGTGAGCAGACTTTCTTTCAAGGAGGCCAGGGATTCGACGAGCGGGCTGGATGGCGGGGGCGATTCAACGACCGAGGGCTGTAGCCCCAGCACGCCCATCAGCGGCACATGGTGGAGCACATATTCAAGTGGATAGGACTCCATGGCGATTGCTTGGGCGATTGCTTGAGCGACTGCTTTGGCGATTGCTTGAGCGGGGAGCTGTAGAGCCGAGGACTTTGAGGGAGGTGGCGGACGGCTGCGACTGGGGAGCGGTGGGCCGGCGACGTCAACGGACAGCCGATGGGCAGGAGATAGAGGGGAGACGTAGTGGCACCTCTAACGGCAAGCAGAGGGATGGTGCTGGGTCGATCGGCTGCAGCTATGGCCGTGAGGGTGGGAGATGCGGGCCAACGTCGCAGAGCCAGGAGCGGGACGGGAGCAGACCCGAAGAAGCCCAGCAGGCATCCAGGGTTGCGCGTGTTTGGGGACGGCCAATCGAACCAGGCCCATCCAGCACGAGACAATCGCAACGACTGCAACGACCTGCCTTCTAGACTCGTCGCAGCAACAGGATGCAAGACATGGCGATGGCGCCGGTGCTTTATTAGAGCAGCCCCATCGGCATGCACAGATGAACAGAGGACACCGCCCAGCGACGATCACCGCCGCACAGCTATCGCTTGCGCTTGAATCGCTCTTTGGCCCCCAGTTGCTCCTCTGGCTCCTGCGACTCGGTGCCGGGCTGTTGTGCCAGACCACCAAAGACCGCATCAGGAACAGGCCGTCGGTGCACGCCCTCGGTTCCCATGATCGTGTCTTCGGCATCCTTTTCGTCGCCGTCTTCATCATCATCATCATCATCATCATCATCGTCGTCGTCGTCGGCGATCGCAATCTCATCGGGATTGATGGCTGCAGGAGCCGAGGACTCTTCGTCGGCCGCGGCAGATTTTTTCTCGCTGGCCTTGGATCGAACAAACCCAATGACCCGGGTATTGTGGCCGTCGTTGTTGCCACCTTCTTGCAGAGCTTGCTGCTCCAGGGCGCTAATGCCGCCAGCATTGGGCTCGGGCTGTCCCTTTTTGCGCGCCGCCAGGAGCTGCGACGAGATGAAGCCAATATCGGTGTTGAATTTGGCCTGAACCGAGCGCTTGATTCTGAGCGAGAAGATGTGGATGCGGGCATAAGTGTGAGTGCAGATGGATATGCGAATGTCACCAGCGACTGCAGCGCATTTTGGTGGCAATCGCCCAGTCCGGATTGCATGATCCTGTGGCGGATATGGTCGGCCATCGGCATCGAGCAAGATAGTGCCACCGGCATCCAGAAGCGACCAGCAGTCAAGCCTACCTGAGCATCTCCTTGAACGTGTCTTCGTTGCCGTGCTTGACCTCAAAGTTCTGCCATTCCTTCCAAAAGTCAGGGTCCATCCGCGGGTCGCAGAGCTGGCTGACGTAGCCCAACACCGCACGGGCACGATCGATCTCGCCCAGACGTGTCTCGAGATCGACAAACTTGAGACCCATGTTGCGGGCCTGGGCATCGGGCAGCTTCTCGATGGCGCGCTCGTAGATCTCGCGGGTCGAGGCAAGGCCAAAGGACGAGGTGGCCTTGGAGATGTAAACCATGTACATGTCGTATTGGTCGCTGGGGTCGACGGCCTGGGTGGCCCGGTCGTAAATGCGCATGGCATGGCGCGCCAGACCAAAATCCTCTTCCAGCTTGGCGTACATCAGATAGAGCGTCTTGGCATATTTGGGAGGGCACTTGTCCAGTGCGTTCTCGAACAGATCGCGGGTTCGTTCCAGCTTGGATCCGCCGTATCGGGCCACAAACTTGGTGAGGTACATTGTCCATATATCAAAGGCCGCAGGCCATCCAAAAAGCTCGATGCCGCGCTCGTAGATCTTGTAGCTCTGCAAGAAGGCATGAAAATGTCAGACAAGGTATGGGGCAGATGTGCTGCGAGTCAAGTGTCGAAGCCTGCTTTGGCACGATGCAAACGGCCGAATGCAAGCTGGCCATATATATGGCTGTGGATCGCGCAGACGATGGGAAGGGAAATGGTGAACGAGTAGGAGGAGGAAGCAAGAGATCGCTGCTCGCACACATGCATGTCCAGTGCATCGAAGGGACGCACCTCTTCAAACCACTTGTTCTCTTCCAGCCACAGAGCGTAGTTGATGACCACTTGCGGAGTAGCAATCTTGAGCTCGAGGATCCGGTCGTAGACGGCTCGGGTGCTCTCGAGGCTCCCGATGGACTCTTCCAGATCGACATAGAACGACCACAGCTTCAGGCTCTTGAAGAGGCGCTGCTGGGGAGGCAGCGACTCGTCGGCATAGCGGATCGATTGGTGCAGATGCGCCTTGCCGCGCGGAGGGGCTGTGGCTCGGCCCATGACCTGGAGAGCCAATCGATCGGTTTCATCGGTGTTTTGCCGCAGCTCCATTTCGGCCCACTGGCACCAGATCTCGGCGAGGTCGTCGACTCGTTTGAACTGCACCTTTGTGGCCTGTTCAAAGATGGCTCGGGCCTTGTCGAGATCGCCGCGGGACTCGTAGAACGTGGCAAAGTGCACAAAGAGCATCTGCAGCTGGCCGTATGCCTTCTTTGGAGAGATGGTCGAGATGGCCTCGGTGTAGGTTTCGATCATCATGCGCTCGTTGCCGTGGCCTTCCCACAGCTTGACTCGGTTCTCCCACTCGTGCACGTTGTGCGGGTTCTGGCGGAGCAGGACGCTGTTGACGAGGAACGGCCGTCGTTCCATCAGTTTCTCGAATCGTGCCAGATGCAAATCAATCTCGAGCTCGTCGTCGTCCTCTGGCTCGCGGTCCTGGACAGTCAGGCTCTTCATCTTTGCGGCGATGGTGGCTTCCTCAACTTGGGCGTATGCGTCAAAGACCATGGAAAAGTCCCGCACGGTTGTGACTTTGAGGAGGGCCTCTTCGTAGACATCCCGGGCCTTCTCAAACTCGCCGCGCAGCGTCCACCAGGTTGCGAGGGCATTCCAAAGCTTGCCGACCTGGTCCGAGAACCTCGAGATGCCACAACGCAGGATCTTTTCAATGTCGAGCTTCTCAACCTTGCCGAGCCGGCCCTCCTTGGCGCCGACGACGAGGTCACTGGTGGCGACATCCATCTCGTCGGCGTGCTGGCAGACCAGGTCGCAGAACTCGGTCCACAGCTGGTACTGGGTCTTTCCGGTGGACGACGCAAACTTGGGATCTTCAACCATGCTGGCGAGGATACGGGCAGCCTCGGCATAGCGCGGCTGCGGTAGGTTCAGCAGGATCTGGACGTACTTGTCGGCGCCACCCTGCTCGAGCTTGAGATATCTCTTCCAGATGCGCACGATGGTTTCGCCGCCGGCCGACTCAGCAAACTTGAGATAGAGGTCCCAGATACGATCGTGCTGGGTGATGGGCAGGGCTCGCAGAGCCTGATCAAACTTTTGGCGGATCAGAGTGATTCTCCTCTGGTGCATCAGGAAGCGGCAATACATGATCCATATGACAGGGAACTTGTTGCAAAGGATAAGGCACCGCTCGAAGCAGTTGTTGATCTGGTCCCACTCGGGATGGCTCCGAGGTGCCTTGATCGACGAATACAGGCCCGTCTTGGGGTCGGGTGCCTGAGAGATGTCGATGAGCTGCGAGATGCGGAGGTCAAGATAGGCTTTCCACAGCTTGTAGCTTCCGGGGAGCTCCTTGAGTGCCCGCTCATATATAAAGTAGAGCGAATGCAGATGCGCCGTCGGGCCGAGAGCTGCTGCGTTTTCCTGTTTGTGATCGAGATAGCGCAGCCAGCACTTGAGAACGCATGGGTTCCTCAGGCACTCCTCCTCGTATGCTGACGACGATATGCCACGAGGGTGTCAGGCAACGTGGAGGAAAGTGAAGTCCCCCGCAGCGAGCAGATATGGGACCGGCAAGAATTGCACAGCACGGGTTAGTGCCAATCGAAGACCAGTGGGACAGATGGCACTAAAGCACACAGCACCCCCATCGAGTCTGATTCTTGGTGCTGAGACAGGTGCGTCGACAGGCTGTGCCTACCAAGGTCGTCGGGGGTGATCAAAAGCAACGATTCGCTCTTGGCGATGTCGATGGCGGACTCGTCGGGCTTGTTGTCAGCCATGGCTGCGGGTGTCGATGGCGAACGAAAGCTGCGGGATGGATAGACACACGCTACCGCGGGATTGAATTCTCAGAAGCCGCCGGCCCTACAGTATCGGCGAGGCTGGAGGAGTGGCTCACAAGAGAGCGTTGGGCAGGACGGGATGCACGTCGGGCCGATCGGCGCAAGAGCTGGTCGGGTGAAAAGTCGGAATCCTTGGAGATCTCGGTGTGGTCGCGGCGGCGAGGAGCGAGAAGGCGCGCGAGGCGTCTCGGCGACCGCGGACAGCACAGCGACAGCGGCGACTGTGCTCTCGGCGGCGGCTCGGCTGTTGCACCAAACCGGGATGGCATGAGCACTCCGGGTTTTGCACTATCAACCAAGGTCGATGTTACACTTTATTCAGAAAAAACGGGACACCACAGCCGCTTCCATGAACATGTAGTATGTGCTGTGCTTGCGTCTAGCAAAGCCACAAGAAATAAAACAGATCACTTTGGCAGCCTCCGAGTGAAGATCGCCGGTCGCTCTCCGGTCTCCACAATCGACCTGCACACTGTGATCATGTTGCGCCCGCATTGACGTCGCGATTCCACACTGTCCGGCAGCTGGGATTCTTGCAGCTCCTGACAAAGTGGGAATTCGCAACACTGGGCGCATCGAGTCCTTCCAACCGAACTGGCTCCAGGCACTTGGAGCACAATTGCGAGGTGTTGAACTCGTTCGTCGAGACTACCTTGACGCTTCCATGATGGTGATTGGGACGGCGTCGGTGGTGCTCGAATTGCTCAAAGTACCGAGCAAACCGCTGCCTCCTCGGGCTGGATGCATAGCCCTTGCCCTGTCGCCATGACGCATTGCCAAAGGCGATCACCACATCGGTCCGTATCGGGGCGTGCTTCAGGACGGCCTTGCACATCTTGTCGACGGCCACTTGGCGTCTCCTGTGGCCTGTGAATCGATGGTGACGGGCCTTCTTGCCAAGGTGGAAGTCGAGCTGCACTCGCAGCTCCGGTCGCAGGACATGGGCGAGATGGACCTTGAAAGCCTCCGAGGACGACACCTTGGGCGAGGGGGTGGTCGACATCCAGGTCTCGATGCTGAGTCGATACTTCATGGTGTTGTGCCACTTGGTGTTGGACGTATGGCCACACATGTGCTGGTAGTGGCCATTGGAGAATGAGACCACCTCGTCTTGGTGGCCCGGTGCTTGGATGACCGCCGTGAAGATGGAGCCGACTCCAGGATCGATGCCAATCCAAGTGGTGCGACCGGGGTCTGGGTCGCCGATGTGGGCCTGGATACGCTGCTCGGCAGTCGGAGGAGGCTCGATGGTCTCGGTGTGATCGGTTCGAGGCAAAAACTTGACGAGACCGATGGTGCATCCAATTCCATCGGTGCTGATCTCGTAGTTGAACAGCTTCTTGTTCACGTCCCGCTCTTGGAAGAGGGAACTACGCAGCTTGAAGCAACTGCGCCAGAGACGATCCTGGTTGTTGACACCGTCCTCACCTTCTTCCTTGAGCTTGTCCCTGGTGAGTCCAAGGCGTTTCTTTGGACCAAGGAGCTCCCAGAGAGTGACGGTGTCGATCTTGACATACTTGGCCGTGGCTGTGCACAGAGGGACCATCGTGCACACGGCCGGAGGAGTGTCGAGAGCGAGCTGCTTCAGTGCCCACTTGATCCTGGATGCCAGCTTGTTGATCTTGGCCTTGGTGGTGCCGAGCTCAGACTTGGCCGTGGTGAATCGCTTGTCGTCGGAGGGAATGCCTCTGGCAGTGAGCTCGTCCAGCTTGGCCTGGCGCTGCAGCTCGGTGACTCGGAGGGCGGACATGTCACAGTCGATCCACTTGTGGACATTGTCGACCATCTTGTCTCGGGCGAGGATTCTCACATGGTGTGAGAGGCGATGGAGGGCCCGGAAGCGGTCCTGGTCGTTGCTGTACCGAAACTCGTCCAGGACGTAGCCAAAGTCTGGATAGAGGAACTCGAGATCGGCCTTGGGTGGAGTCTGCCCTGGTTCTCGAAGAGCTCGAGACAGGCCTCGATGGCTTCGTGCTTATGCTTGTTGGCTGGGAAGACGGCAGCACAGAAGCGGCGAAGGAGTCGCCAGTAGGCCAGGTCGAGGTGGGTGGTGCAGTTGGTGGCATAGGCATTGACAGCCAGGGTGAGAAGCTGACTGTGAGCACCATCAGGCAGACGAGGGGCCGGAGGCAGGTCTGCGTGCCGAGTGGTCTGGTAGTCGCGAAAGGAAGCGACCAGATGCTCGTTGTATTTCTCATTGTCCCCGGTCGGGGAGAGGGCATCGGCCTGGACGATCCTGAAGCATTGGCGAACGAAAGCAGGTGTGGACTTGGAGATGACGGGGACGGGAAGATCCTGCTCGATGCACCTCAGGATGTGCAGGTTGAGCAGCCTGGATGCCTCGAACTGGATCTGGGTCATGGCCTCGACGGTGGCCTGGATCTTGTCGCGGAGAGCGGGATTGAGACAACAGCCATCCATCGTCTGCTTGAAGCAGCTGAACTGAGGGGCGGATGACCTTCCATCCACGAGTGGGACGACAGAACTCTTGAGGGGCCGGTATTTGGGACATTTGCTGGTGTTGCAACGTTCGTGATCGGTGCCATCGCACTGGCGACATCGCTTGCCGGTACTCGAGGAAGTAGATGGACCAGGCTCGGTGGGATCGACATCCATTGGATCTGCAGAAGCAGTGGTGGTGAGCGACGGAGCAACAGACGACCAAGCATGCGTGGGGTCAGAATACGAACCAGAGACAGGCTCCGACTGTGACTTGGCTTTCTTGGGCCTGGGTGGCCGAGGCTGGCCATCACCGGTACCCTTACGCTTCGGAGGCATGGGGACAGAGGATGCTGGATGTCTGCCAGTGGTACTGGTCAGAACAGAGACTTTCTTTATCGTACAATAGCGCGATGATCAGATCAAGGCGAGATGAGGGAAGAAAGCAGCAGGACGAAGGTGTGGCATTTATACCCGAGAGCAGGAGCCCGTCTGTGCGGGCTGGTTGGGGAAGTGACCCTGTTCAAAAATCGCCGAGAGGTTCAAGCCAGGGATGTGAACGCGAAAATGGCGGCTTGATTGGAGGGAACTCAACCCCAGAAGCGCATCGCTCGCTCAATCAGCCGTGGGAAGACATCTGGAAGCACCCTCCGAACGGCAGACTCGAACAATGTGACCATCCCGACCTTGAACCCCTCAGACGCATTCAGCGCTGCTGCCTTCCTGTACTGATGCTTCACAATCCCAAAGAAGTTCTCGATGGGATTGAAGTCGGGCGAGGCAGGTGGGGTGAAGATCACTGACCATCCTCGGCGCTCGATGCAGTCCAGGACAGCCATTGTCTTGTGCATGCTGACATTGTCCATCACAATCACAGAGTCGTCTGGGAAGCTCGCTCGCTCAAAGAACTCGACCATCGAGTGTGTCTTGAATGATGTGGGGATGTACATGCGATGCAGCACACCAGAGTGGTTGATGGCAAATGCAGCCGAGACAGACTTGTGTTTCATGTGATTGCGCTGGCGAAGCGGAGCACCCTTCGGCGAGTATCCGTAGAGAGGGAAAATGGATCTCCTGATCCCTGTCTCGTCGACAAAAACGAGTCGTCGTGGGTCAATGGAGCGGGTCTCGTCCCTGAACTGTGCCACTCGCTCATCCAGTCGCTTGGACTTGTAGAGGTGTGTTGCCCTCTTGTGAGAGAGACCTGCTCGCTGGATGGCAGTGTGGCAGAGCGAGAGTGAAACTTTCCTCTGGAGGATGGACTCGAGCTTGCATCGCAACACAGGACCAGTCTGGAGCGGGTCCTGTTCAATCAGGCTGCGAATGACTGGACATGCCTGCTCGAAGAAAGTGGATCTGCGAGCTGGGACCCGGGATGGGCCATCCAGCTTGCATCCTCGGTGTCATCGATGGATGGTGCTCTTGGATACACTGAATATGGAGGCGACCTTACGCAGGCTATGGATGAGGGCGTAGCATCGCAATGCGGCGGTGCGAAAGTCGGATGTGTGGCGAATGGTCATGGCCAGCGCGCGATAACATTGGGTAACAAAATATTCGATGAATGGTCAAAATCCCGGATGTCCCGTTTTATATTGGATCGCCTGTAAGGAATTCAAACAGTCGTTTCGTGACCAACAAGCAAGCCCGAGGCGAGAGCCTGATTCGCTGAAGAGACCATCGAGATGGCGATTGTATTGAGCATGGAAGTGAGTGCGACTGGCTGGGCTCAGGTACGACGATCCGGAGGGCTGAGGCAGCCTGGAGCAGAGGTCGAGATAAATGGAGGCAAAGTGCAGTCCAAGGAGAATGGACAAGTGATCCCCAGCCTGAACGCCGTTGACTGTAGCAAATGAGATATGGCTGGAGCTCAGAGTTGCTTGAACTGCGTGCTTTCGTAGTTGATGAAGGACCGGAACTCGTTGGAAAGGCCGCCCTTGTGCTTGGGCTCAAAGTCCGTGATTTGGCAGTCGAGCTCGCGGCGGATCTGGGCCTGCATCACGGCACCGGTGCAGACAAGATACTTGCAGCCCTCGGGCTTGGCCAGCCACCGACAGGTCTCAGAGGTTTTGCTCCAACACTCGTCGCTGAGAAACGGTGGGTCTGCGATGATGAAATCGAAGCGTCCCTTCAGCGGACGGGTGCCGGCCTTTTCGTCCAGGTCTGTGGGGTTGTTATAGTCGAAAAAGACAAACTCGGACTGGAAGACGGCAAAGCGCTGGTCGTACTCGAGAACAAAAATCTTGCGATGGCCGACGTCGATGTTCTGGCAACACCACCATCGACCAGGACCCGCAAGATCCGCCGTGACGACACATGGCGCATTGAGTAAACCGAGAATGGTCAAGTTGTCAAGATTGGATGGAACAGCAGAGGCCAGCGACGACGCAGACATCCAGCCGCACGAAAACAAAGAGGGAGGCGTATGAGTTGGATGGACAGAGGGAGTCGGTGGAAATCGGCCGCATGGGCACGTCTCTTTTTTATTGGATATCACTGGTTTTACACATCTGTGGATCGATGCCACGGCTGAGACGGCGGTGTGCCAATGTCGATCGTGCCGGTCGCTGGGCCAGCCGGGGAGACTGTGATGACGAGAGCGCATTCTTACCTTGAGGGCAACAAAGGCTGTGGGCGAGCTCACGCAGGCAATCCAGGCGCCATCGTCTGTCTGCTCGATGGCCTCCTTTGCCAGCGCAGCGGCGGTCTCTTCAGAGTACTGTCAGTTGCACAGGGAGGAGAGGGCGTTAGCACACTCGTTCGGCAGGCCAACACACAAGTCAGCAAACGACGAGGGCTCTGCACTCGCGACTTTCAGAAAAAAAGGCAATATGGTTTGTCCAACATGTCCGATTCGGTACAGGTCTGAGATTGTGATCATCATTACAGCGACAGGGCACAGCAGCCGACCAAAGGGCAAAGGTCCAAAGTCTCGACACTTACCCAGAACTGCGAGAGCCTTGCACAGCCGGGAGTGACCGGGTGGAGCGGGAGTGAGTCGTTGGGCGGCAAGGGCAGTCAGACGGAATCGTGTGGAGGATAGTGGGAGATAGGGGACGGAGGGCGGAGCAGCGGTCCTTACTGCCAGTCCTCTTTGAAGGCGGACATGTCGAGGATCCGGGCCTGAGCAGCCATTTGGTCAGCGCTCTGATGGGCAGCCTCGCGCAGACACTCAAAGGCAGCCTCCTGCTCCTTCTTTTCAGACAGGAACTGCGTCAGCGCCGACATGGCGTCCGAAGAGAGTGTCAGGGGCTCGTCGTCGTCAAAGTTGCTCATGGAGGCAGAAGCGACAGAGGAGTGGTGGGAGTGAACCAGAGCCGAACGAGGCAGTGAAGAGCGAGGCAGAGAGAAATCGCGCGCTGCCGGCTAATTTATAGTGGACACACACACACACGCCTGATCACGGCTGCGCACGTGTGGCGTGGCCCAAGCCACACGCGGCACTCGAGCCGGCGATCCAGCCAGTCCGCTGGCTACATCCACAGTCACCTGACTGGGTGTGCGGCTTTGGCCAAGATCGAAACCCAGCCAGCCGCATCGGACCACTCCTGCCAGATCCTGCCCAGATCCAAGAACCCGCCCCTCCCACAGCAGATCAGCCCAGCCGAAATGCTCAGAAAGCCTTCGACGACGATCCAGCTGGACCATCGCGACGTTCGCGACCTCGAGGAGATCATGGCCATGTCGCTACCGACGTCGCAGAGCGCGTCGTCTCGCTCTGCCGCTGCCGCCGAAGCCACCCCGACTCCTGCAATAGCCTTCTCCAGGGCAGCATCAGGTGCATCCACTTTGGCAGGATTCGCTCCAAAGCAAGACGACCTTTTCCAGGCGCCTGCTCCCAGCAACCTCTCCACAACGCTGGCATCCCGGCTCACAACGCGACAGAGATTGGGCTTTGACTCGTGAGGGCCTGCCGTAAAATCCCTGACCAGCGACAACCGGCGACAACCAGCGACAACCCAGGGCTGCAGCATCGGACCCGGATCACCAGGACAAGCACAATCGCTGCGCCCGCAACTCGGTGCCAGCCTGCATCCCTGCCGCCAACCACTTCCCAAAGCACCGCCAGAACACCTGCTTGCAGTATCGCCGATGGCATCGACTGCATCAGTCTTTCGATGATGCTCGTATCTATCTCTCGAAGGCTCGGAGCTGTGGCACACCACACCACATGGGTCGACGGCCCTCTGCCTCCCCTCTCTCATCTGGAAGCAACGGACAATGTGATCGACGAAATCATGATATTTGCATAGGAGTCGCTTCGTGGCGGCCATAGTCGGGTTCCAGTTGGATCGTTTGTTTTTCTTGCTCTTGTTTTCGACCATGGTAGTATATGGCTCAGGAAATAATACATTCCCGAGGCTCGTCGTCGGCATACCAGACCAATATCAGTATCAGTTTTATGCTGATGGCGTATGGTGGGATGTCGCTGCGAAAAGTTGAAGGAAAGGGAAAAAAAGAGGAAATTGGCAGGAGGCAGGAAGAGAAGAGGAAATCAATCGGGCCTTGCAGTTGAAATAGAGGCGGGAGCAGCATGCTGAGCAAAACAGAACAGAACAGAGTAGGACAGGGCAGGGCAGGACAGAGCAAGCGCGGGTATGAAAACACAAAGGTCAAGAAGAAGAGGCCATCTCGGGCGCAACCTGTGCGCGGCTGAGTGATGGGATTGGGAAATATGTGCCAAGTGGATTGATGGATGCTGCGACAAGTTAGGAGGCCAATACGTCTTGGTGCAGTACTCCCTTCTTTGCCAGACCGACCGGACTGGACTGGACTGGACTGGACTGGATTGGACTGAACTTGACCAGATCGAATCAAACCAAACTAGGCACAGGGGGGTGTGGGCTGACTACTTGCGTCCGGTGCGGCCAAAGACGACGGCGTTGCCAAAGTCGCTCATGTCCACAAGCCGCAGCGACGGGGGCTTGCTGGGCGGAGGAAGGTAGCGCACACGAATCAAGTACTCGAGACACTTGGCGACGGTGTTGGCGGGATGGGGCAGCGAGCACGGAGCGATGGCCACGGTGTTGGCATTGTCGAGGTTGTAGGTCATGGTCATGACGACGTACATGAGCGGGAGCAGGGCGTTGACTTGGTCCTGGCTGTAGCTGGCGTCGCGCAGCTGGCTCTTGAACTGCTCGCGGCTCTCGAAGGTGAGTTTCCAGCCAAGACTGGCAACGACCTCGAAGATGTCGTGCTCGCCAAAGGAGCGGTTCTCGCGGTCGTAAATGTGGAAGACGAAGAGGTTGAGCGACTCAGGCGTCGACACGATCTTGGCGATCGTTTGGGCAACAATGTCGACGGGGATGAGGTTCATGCAGACGCTGCTGGCGTGGGCCGGGGTGATGCCGAGCTGGATGCAGCCCTTGACGTAGCGCCAGATGTAGTCGTCTGAGTTGGACACTGGAGGGTGTGGGCGGAGGGCGACCGTCAGTTGCAGCCCTCTGGAGGGTCAAAGCATTGGCGCAGCGCTGAGACAGAGTGCCCTTTTGATGCTCGAGCGATGACGCCGGCACCCTCTCTTCCAATGACTTCATGCCAGCCAAAGCATTGGCCATGACATTGGATCTATCGGCACATATGTGCGAGGACTCGGTCAAGTCCGTCGCGCCAAGCACGCTTACCTCCATGTCGTGAATCGCCCGCGATGATACTGGGGCGAGTGATGGTCGCAGGAACGCCACGGGAACGAGCCCGGTTTACAAGCTGCTCCGAGACCCATTTGGTCTGATTGTAGCCGCCAGAGACGGTCCAATCCGTGTAGATCTTCTCGGCCAGGACGGTTTCGCTGGACTCGTGCATGTTGGGAATAGCACCGATGGTGGAGATGTAGTGGAAGGCCTTGAGATGATGTGTGGTTGCCAACTTGAGACCCGTGGCCGTGCCGATGACGTTGGTGGCGACAAGGGTTTCGTATGGGTAGAGCCAGTGAACATGGGCGCCGTTGTGGACGATGATGTCGGCTTCGATCGCGAGCTGGTTCCATCGCTGCGGGCTGAGCCCCCAGTTCTCGAGGGCCAGATCGCCGCAGACGGGCTTGACCCGTTCCCAGATATCGAAATCGGGCCGTGGACTGGTGCGCAGGGACCACACCAAGTTGCTGGTGACGTCCCTGATGCGCTGCAGAGCCTCCGCGTCGGTTTTGGCGCGGACCAGGCAGATGATGTCGCTGCTAGGGAACACCTTGGCGAGCTCAAAGAGCAGGAAGGCGCCGAGGAAACCCGTCACACCGGTCAGGACGATCGCCTTTGGGGTAGCGGCAGGATCGAAGGGAGGGAGGCCGCTGGCAGCGATCCGCTCATGGTCGAGCTTCTCGACCTCAAAGGCCAGATTCACCGAGGGGAGGGCAAAGTTGCGCTTCTCCTGAATGTCCAGGATAAACTTGGCTACCGACTTGGGCGTCATGCCGTGGGCGAGGAGGACGTGGGGCGGCACCTCGACGTCGTACTCTTCGCGGATGGCCAGCGAGAGGCGCACGGCCGTGAGCGAGTCAAATCCAATGCCGGCAATGTAGTAGTTGCGGCCGTCAAACATGTCGACGCCGAGGATGTCAGAGCCCATGCGGGCAACGCGGAGAGCGATCGAGACCTCGGGCGAGCTCTGGTTGGTTGGGAGCGGGTCGTATGTGATGGCAAGGCCGTAGTAGCCGGCTTGGTCCGCCAGGCGCTTGAGACGCTTGAGGTCGCGCTTGCCCGAGTCGTTGTAGGGCATCTCGCTCAGCTCGATGCAGTTGTTGATGGGCACGCTGACGATGTTTTCAAAGGCGAGGATGGTACCGGCCATGTCGAGGATCTGGCGCGTGGTAAGCTTTGGAGCTGAAGACCGCCGCGACAGAACATAGAGCATGGTGATCTTTTGGTCCGAGGTCTGCACGACGGCACAGCCCGTGATCATGGCGGCCATCTTCTCGGTCAAGAGATCCTCGACAAACTGGAGATCGACAAAGACACCATTGATCTTGATCTTGCGGCCGAATCTAGGGTCGATGGCAGCCGAGAGGATGTCAGCAGAGGCGCGGCAGTGTCGAATGTTGCTCTCGTCGGCAACAAGCAAAGTGTGCTGCTGGTGGAGGGGTCGGATGTTGCACATCGCGGGGAGAGCATGCTGGCCTCCTGCTGCCAAAGAGGTCTCCTAGTCCTACCTGCCCAGAACAACAAAGGTATTCTCCCGAATGAGTTCGGCCTCGTCCAATGTGCAGATGCGCGGAGAGCCATCGGGAAGATGGCCAAAGGAGGCGAGTTTGTCGCGCGGATCGGTATTGGCAAAGACCGTGAGCTTGGCGAGCGGGTCGTCCTTGCTTATGGCATAGCAGAGAATGCCTTTCTGTGGATAGTCGCCCGTGACAATGTCGCCTGCTTCATTGAGCACGACACAGCGAATGTTGGGCTTCTTGAGAGTGTAGACCAGGCGCTCGGGGGTCGGGCCCGGCCGGATGATGCAGTAGGCGATCGCTTGGAACAAGCCCGTCTGAGAGAAGCCGGTGTGTATACCCGTGGGGAGGGAAGGAAGCGATTCAGAGACGACACAGCAAGTCGTATGTGTGAGTGAGACATTCTGTCAGATTGAGACCACCTGATGTGGAACGACGCCCTTCCCGTTGTGCTTGATGCAACCCACTCACTCGGGTTGCACTGGTCCAGATTGACGGCTGGGATTATCGACGGCTAAGGGCACACTCTCACCTCACTGGAACCATATCCACAGCTGATGATGGTGTTGGGACAAATCTTGAGGGTCTCGGTGACGAGTGCGGTGGAGACACTCTCTCCGGTCAGAGAAATGTTCTTGACAGCGGGCCAGACCTTGTTCTTGTCCTTCTGGCGCGCAAACGTGAAGATGAGCTTGAGGACCGACGGAGTGACTCCGAGCTCCTCCAGGCCGTCATCGAGAAGGCGCACGATCTCGGCGGACTGCTGGACGATATTTGTCGTGGACTTGGGAAACCACAGCGAGGACTTGACGTTGGCTCCGCCGACCATGCGGGCCATGCCGGCGACAAAGGAGGGTTTCTGCGTATCAGTTGAAATGGACAAGATCTGATGTGAGTATGAATGCACTGACGGCGGTGGACAGCGTAGCAAGGCAGAAGGTGCACCGGGATGCAAACGAGCACAAGCGTACGTTGACCACGGCGGTGGAGACATAGTAGCCCGGCCAAGAGCCGCGGCCGGCCGCTGGGAACTTGTGGGACACTGGGAAGCTGGCGAAGGTAGTTTCAAAGAGGAACGATACGAATAAGTCTGGCGGAGCGAGACATGAGCGAGGCGAGGCCAGCGAAAGAGTGGCAAGGAGTACGACGAAGCGCGCATAGCAAGCCAGGCTTTGGTCGAGGAGCAGGAGGGGGAGGAGCTACTGGTGGATTTGACGCCTACGTTTTTGGGATGCCTGTTCAAAGAAAAGTCAGGAAATTAGGATCGCGCCATCGAATCGCTGCTTGAATTTGTGTGGATCCCAGACACAACTGGCGAGTGGAACCTACCTGTGGTGCCGGAAGTGCTCAGGAAGGCAACATACTCTTCCAAAGGAGCGCAGAGGGACAAGGACGGCTCGGGAATGCTCTCAAGGAGGGGGAAGGTGCGACCGTCGACGGCCTCGATATAGTCGGTGTATCCAGGCTTGGCGGCTCCATGAAGCAGTATCTTGATGCCCAGTCTACAAAAGTGGAGATGTTGGATGCAGGGCAAAGGCACATGCGTGCGCGGGCGACCCACCATCAGTCATCCGCCGCTGGCCATTAACCGTCAGCAGCATATGTCCCTGGCTTAGGCAACGAGTGATGGACGTCTTGACGGTGTGGTTTTGGACACTACCTTTGGCAGATCTCGCGGCGGGTGTTTGCAGGCCAGTTGAGGGCAAAGTTGATGACTTGTCTGCGAAACATTGGCGATGGCAGGTAGATGGTGATGATGGAAAATCAGTCATCGGTAGGACACGCCGACCCAGACAAATGCCACGGGGCTGGAGGAATCCCGTGTGTCGGTCGGATACTCGCTCACGATTGGGTGGCGACGCACTTTCCGAGAATCCAGACGGCATAAGTATAGTAGACCCAGTGAGCCTCTGTGTCGATATAGAGGCCGATGACCTTGATGTCGTCTGACCAGGCGGGCAGCGCCTTGAGACCCATAGCGATCGAGTAGGCGTGGTCCCAGACTTGGCGGTAGGTGAATCGCTGGGGCTCGGGGCCCTCGTTGGTGTAGATGGCGAGGCAGTCGGGCTCGTTGATGGCGATCTTGATGAGGGCCTCGAGCGGATGCATCCAGGGCTCAAAGACATGGATGGACTCTGGCGAAACCGGCTGCTGGCTTGGGGAGGCCTGGGAAACAGGCTTGACCTCGCGCTCGGAGACTGCCGGCTCGGGATTGGCAAGCACCAGACAGCCGAAGCAGGAGCACAGGGCCGCGATCTGCGGGAAGAGGCCGGACGACATTGCGGGAGCAGAGGGTGGCAGACGATGTGGTGTGCGGGATACTATGCCACGGAAACGAGATGGAGCCGATGGCCGAGTGATTCCTGAGCGAAGTGGGCGGAAGGACAGACTCAAATACGGGGGCTGGAAGAGCTGGAGCGATGGTGGGTCTCTGGATGGGCGACAAGCGGCCAGGGGAAGACGCGCGACGACAGGACCCGGGGCGGCCACGCGATGGGCAACAAGGCGGCTGCGGAGTGTGGCGCGATCGGTGTCGCTGTGTGAGCGGAGTTGCAGTTGTCTGTTGTATTTGTCTGTGGATTGCTGTGTTCTGTTGATGCGAGTCAGCCACTTTGCTGCCGCTGCAACCCTTGCACAAGTTCCATCACAGCAACAGCAACCGTCACACGCACCACCACAGACAGTGTAGCCCGCCCAAGCACATCGATCCCATCGCCTCTCCATCAACGCGTCGCACAACGCGTCGCCGAAACATTGCGCAGCGCCACCCGTTCATTCGCCCACAGCGCGTGCTGCGCGAGCCGGCTCGGCCACAACGACGTGCGTCACCAGGCCGCAAACCAATCGCAGCGCGCGGCCGGTCTTGTGCCCCACATTGCACCACTGGGTGTGGGTCAGATGCGCCGCCCTTGTGTTGCGGGACAGCGCACAACCGATCGTCGGAAGCGCCGCCGTTGGTCGATTGGTCGGCCAGTTTTGGCTGATCTGGCTGGTGCGCCGATCGCCGCACCGACACCGATTGTGGCATTCGCGAGCCGTGACACAGGCGCTGGAACTGATCGCCGCAACATCCATGTCGCAAACAGCGCTTGGCATCAGCAAGCAACACGCCCGGGGTCGAACACATGCAAGTCTGTGATCATCACCAAACAGGCTCTGAGTCGCACATGAAAGGCCTCTGGTATGAGGAGAGCGGAACGAGCCAACATTCCCACGTCCCCTCCCCAAAAGTCAATCATGCCGCGAAGGAGCCAACGGTGTTCAAAGCAAGCTGCAAAATCATGATACTTTGATTGCGCATGCCGCCGACAGCACACCTGATCAGTTATCGTGGTTGGCACGCTTTATCATGGCCACCCTCGATTCCGACGGCAGGGAGTGCACATCGCAACACGATATTCAGATGGTGTGTCGATATCAAGATACTCGGCCTTCTCGAGTCGCTTGGCTTCCCGGAACTGTGAGCACACCTGGAGATCGAGTTGCTTGAATCGCCGTCGCCTGGCTGGTGGCTTTCGCTTGCAGGGAGCCATCTGAGCGAGAAAGCATCCTTGATGCAGATCCAGAAACACATAACTGAATGGTCATGGCCAGCACGCGATGGTTTGAGTGATAACATATTTGTTCCACGACCAAAATCCGGGGTGTCCCGTTTTTTATTGGATTCGATGAAACGATGACCACGCAGGGTCAAAGCATTGGTTTCGCATTTGTGGTCATGGTGGAGGAGGAGGAGGAAAAAAGTGTCATGGATGGCGAATGTTGTCAGGGTGTTGAGGTCTATAGTGGACCCGTGCGGAAGCCATCCGCAAGCGGAGCCGAAGCAGAGGGAGCAAAGAACTGGATCTGGGCAAAAGACACGTGCAAAGAAAACTGGGATTTGGGGACCAAGAGGCGAACGGGCGGGTTCGGTTCATGATCGAGTATCTAGTGCTCGGCAGTGGCACGGGCCTTGGATCGAGAAGAGAGTGCGACGCAACCGGCAATGATCAGGGTAGCAACGGCAACACCACCAACAAGGATGCCGTTGAGGATAGCGGGACTCTCGACGGGAGTGTTGATGGGGCCAATGACGGCACCTTGGTTGGTGTTGGTGACGTTGACGTGGGAGCCGGCGGTGGGAGTGCTGGTCTGGGAGCCGGAGATGGAGGCAGCCGAGACCGAGGCAGAGCCAGAGAGGGCAGCCGAAGCAGAAGCAGAAGCAGAGACGGCGACAGTAGCCGAAGCGGAGACAGAGGCCGAGACAGCCGAGGCGCCAGAGGCAGCGACCGAGCCAGAGACAACGGCAGCAGAGGAGGCGGCAGAAGTAACCAGAGCGGTAGCGCTGGCGGAAGCAGCGTCGGTGGTCGCGGCGACGCTATCGGTGGCAGTTGGCTCTGGAGGGGAATGGAATCGGGAATGGAATCGGGAATGGAATCGGGAATGGAATCGGAAATGGTGAGGGTTTCAGCCAAGACGATGCAGGGAGACAGGGGTCCGGGTGGTGCTGAAACAGCATCGACCATGGATCGCTGCTCACGATACATCACTGCCATCTGCGACGACATCGTGATTGCCACATCGGCAACATGGTATCGCGATTGCCATGTGGTGACGTGGTATCGCCCCCCCCCGGCACCAGTGCTTGTCCTGCTACATACCGACAGAGGGAGCATCAGTGCTGGCGGTCCAGCCACTCCAGTGCGGGAGGGCGTTGGCAGCAGAGATGGCGGCAACGACAAAGAGGAGCTTCTGGATGGCAACCATGTTTGTGGAGTGTTGGAGGGTCGAAGGCAGAATAGAAGAGCACGGCAACAGGACAGGGAGGAGCAGCGGCGATCGCAGACGGGCTTTATATCGAGAGGTCGTGCGCAATCCCGGCCGGCAGCAAGATGGACGCCGATGCGACGACTCAGAACGACACCGCCGTCCCGCATGCTGATTTGCCAGAGGAGCACCGCGAGGCGGCGGTCTGTGTATCCTCGCCGGGCTCGTGCATTCGCCGCGCAACGCAGGAGGTGGTGGTGGAGGAGGGAGGGGTGGGCTGTGCGAGCCCGGCACAACAGACGATGGATTCTGCGCTCTTGCCGCACTGGGTGCTGTGGCAGCGCCGAGGCTCGCACAGACGGCACGGCGCCCAAGTCCAGAGCCGCGTGCTGCAGCGATTGGCTGCCGATGCTCCAGCGCGCACGTTCGCGCAAGAAGCAAGGGACGCGCCTCATGGCAACGGTCTCCATGGCGATTTCATCGCAGCAGCCCCGGGCGCCTTGCGGGGAAGAGCATCCTGGTATTCATGCGTCTGGTGGGGCCGACTGAAAGATCTGTCGGTGCTGCGGTCATTTCATCCTCCATCCTGAGGGTCTGGACCGAGGATGGCGAGCGACCGCTTTGTTGTTACCACATTGGTATTACATTGATATCATATTGCTATTCCATTTCTATCGCATTGCAATTCCACTTCTATCACATTGCCATCACGTTGCTATTACTTTGCATCTGCGGTTGCGTGCTCTGCTGTCCACTGATCCTTTCCCGCGCTGACCATGTTGTCGGTGTTCATGCTCCTGTCGCAGCGCCCGCCCCTGGCTGCTGGCGCTGTCGACCGGCGCCTCAAGAGCCCGCCTTCCCGCCAAAACCGTCGGTGATCACGACGGTCTCGGCAAAGAGAGTGGGCTCTGGCCGTGCTTCCTCGTCTGTACTTTGGCGCCCCTCAGGGCCAGCCTCGGCAGAGCACCCGAAGGACGAGACGGAGGTGATGCCAGGAATGGCGGGAAGTCCCCGCCAATGCCGCCATTGTGGAGCGAGTCCCGATCAACGACGCTGGCAGATAATCGATATAAAGACGCCGCCATCTGCTGGAGTACGCCCCTCAATTCCTCCTTCCATAGCACCGCCCGCACCGCCATCGAACGCCCCTCCATCCCTCGCTCCTCAACAATGAAATCTGCTGTGTGTCTTTCGGTTGGGCTGCTCGGTACGTCCATCGACCTTTGGCAAAGAGAGTGCCGCCATTAGTTATCCGAAGGACTGGATCTGCGATACAAATCCGGAGAATCGCCAGACTCATCGCACCGTCATTCTAATCGACAACCTTCTGCAGCTCTCTGTGCTGGAGCAAGTGCCGCATGTGCCAAGTAAGACGGGTGCTCATCACCCGCTGTTACGCACTTGCGCAATCGTTTGTGTCGCCGAGGGATAGTCGATATCGCTGGACCAAGCGAGATTGCCATGTCGGAGGAGGAGGAGCGATCCTGAAGGACATCACTGACACATCCATGGGGTTCCATCCCACTTTACGACACCTGCAGCTCCAAGGTTTCCATCAATGACCCTGTGCTGATCACAGCTGGTGAACAGCCCATTGCATGGGGAACATATATCAACAACGTTGGCGGCCCCAATGACGCCTGCATCAGCGTGACCGATGTTCGTAAGTACACAGAGCTTGTCCAGGTTTTGGCATACACACCATACGGGTCCGAAAGCTGGCCACCCAGAAGAGATCATGGCGACATGCACTCGGCTCGGCCGTCCTGTTGCCGAGGCGACTTGGCAACGCAAGTCCTTGGCCATATTGTTCACATTCGAGATCCAATCCGGCGGCTGACCGTGGCGCTGATACCCATTCGCTCAGGACGAACCCTGTGGTTCAACACAAAGGACTTGGACTGCTCCCGTGGCACCATTCCGCAAATCGCCCGCTCGGTGTCCATTGGTTCTGGCATCCGTCTGCCTCAAGCCTGCAACTCGGCCTCGCGCTAGTTCACCTTGTTTGCAAAGGCGACTTGCTCCGATGCGCATCCCCATCCTCGCAGATTTGGCGCACAAGTACAATCGAGGGGAGGATTGGGGATGTTCTGCATGCACGGATTCCAAATTGGATGGGACATTATCGGCGACGAATCGACGAAGAAAAAGGAAACACAGCAACGATGGATCACTCGGAGGCGAGAAGCAAACGCATTCATGCTCCTGTTTTGGACCGCCTAATCCACAGAACTAGGCATTTTTGTTTGCGAGCCAGTGTGGCAAGAGTGGGACTGTATCTGGTTTATTATTGGTCATTGTGTTGTTATCTGGACTGGAGCTCCATTTGTATTTAGATGGATTAAATATACAATGTATACACAAGGCCATGTCAGGGACACATGATGACTCTGGGAGCGCCGTACGGTTTCGAAGAAGTGTCGCTGTATTGAGTGGCATGAAGGCGATGATGGTGCAATACTCCCAGTCATACTCTGCCAAACAGACAACCGAGACAAGACAACCAACAAACGAGAAGAACAGCGAGTGGATATCAAGTGGGAAACGGCCCAGGGGAAGGTTGGGGCGGAGATGGAAAGAACAAGCACAATACAAAGCAACGACAGAAGGAAGAGTGTCCTCGCTGTGAGACTCAGTCGAGGACTCAGTCGAGGACACTGGATCGATGGTGTGGTCGAACAACCAGGATCTGCCAGGTGAGACTCTGGGTGAAGCGCCGAGGGCTATCCGAGTGCAGTGCATCAACTGCCACTGCCGGTCACTGCTGGCCATGCCTCAGGACAACCCGTCGGTGCAGCCTGGTCCAGCACATCTGTGCCGTTCAGTTGCGGCCAGTGCGGCCAAAGACGCTGACTTCGGGATAGTCGTCCGTCTGGAGCGGCGAGACAGGCTCGGGCGGAGCAGGGAGGTACTTCACACGGTCCAAGAATCGGAGACATCGCTCGACGACCTTCTCGGCCGGGGGACTCGGTGTCGGATAGATCGAGCGGGTGTTGGGGTTGTCGACCTGGACGGACATGTCCATCAGCATGTGCATCAGCGGGAACAGGGCGTTGGTCTCGACGGAGGGAGCCGAGTGGAGCAGGATCTTGAACTGCTCGCGTGTCTCGAACATGACTCGCCATCCCATGGCATTGACGATCTCAAAGATCTTCTTCTCGGCGATGAGGCTGAGCATGGGGTGTCGGTGTGAGATGGGTTGGTGTGTGATGGGTTGGTGTGGTGAGCCGGTGCTGTCCCATCCATTCTCTATCCATGCCCTTCCTTCCCACTCGCTGCTCCCCCAGCATGCCATGAGCCACATCCTCACCTGTTCTCCGAGTCGCTGACATGAAACACAAAGTTGGAAAGGGCCTGCTCCGAGGCCACAATCGCCGTGACGACCTTGGCCACATGGTCGACCGGGTCCATGGTCAGTGTGACGGGGGTTGCATGGGAGGGAGCGATTCCGATCTGGATGCATCCCTTGACATATCGCCAGATGTAGTCATCAACGTTGCATGCTGGTGGCGAGAGAGAGATGGAGAAAGCGAGTGAGTGTCGGCCGAGGACTCACCAAGCACATCACCACATCACCACATCACCACATCACCACATCACCACATCACCACATCACCACATCACCACATCACCACTCGCTCACCTCCGTATCGGCTCTCGCCGACGATCGCGGCCGGTCGGATGATCGTCACCGGCACGCCCCTCGATCGTGCCTTGTGGATCAGCTTCTCCGAGACCCATTTGGTCTGTGCGTAGCCGCCAGAGAGGTTCCAGTTCAGCGACATTCGCTCCTCGAGCGGCTGGGCCGAGCCCTTCATCGGCAGCGTGCCGATCGTCGAGATGTAGTGGAGCGGCTTCAAGTGGTGGGTCGTGGCCAGTCTCAAGGCCGTCGCCGTGCCGAGGACGTTCGGGCCCTTGAGTGCCTCGTAGTTGTAGAGCCAGTGGACCTCGGCACCGTTGTGCACAATCACATCGCTCTGCTCGCTGATCTCCTGCCATCGCTCGTCCGACAGGCCCCACTTGTCCTGTGCCAGGTCGCCGGGAAGACCCACGATCCTGGGACGGATGTTGTGCTCGAGGTCGTGCATCTGCTGCTGGTTGAGGATCAGCTTGCTGGCCGTGTCAAAGATGCGGTCGATGGCGGCCGGCTCGTCCTTGGCTCGGACCAGGCAGTAGATCTTGGCGCTGGGGAACCTGCTGGCCAGCTCGTACAGCAGGAATGCACCGAGGAACCCAGTGGCCCCCGTCAGGACGATGCCGCGAGGATTGTCGGGATAGACAAACCGAGGGAGGCCGTCGGCCGTCACACCCGCATCGTCGAACCTGACGGCTTCCTGGTACAGATCCACGGTCGGCGGGACCATCAGTCTGTCGTCGAGCATGTCGATGGCAAGCTGGGCGACATCGGTGGGTGTCATTCCGTTCGACAGCAGGATCAGCGGCGAGATCTCGACATCCAGCTCGTCCTTGATGGCGAGGGCCAGGCGGCCGGCGCTGAGCGAGTCAAAGCCGACACCGCCAATGTAGTAGTTGCGGCCATCAAGGGCGGCCCTGCCCAGGACCCGGCTGCCGATCTGAGAGATCTTGGCAGCGACGCGGGACAGGAGAGTGTTGTCGATCCTGAGAGCCGGATAGACGACCGACGCAGTGTACTGCTCGACATTCTCGGCAAACAGCCTGAGCTTCTTGAGGTCGCGCTTGTTGGAGTCGTTGAAGGGGAATCGCTCGAGCGCAAAGCAGTTGTGGATCGGGACCTTGGCGACGTTCGAGAGCGCAAAGAGCTCCTCGGTCATCAGGATGATGTTGGCGGGGCTCAGGAGGATGGCAGGGCCGGTTTGGGGGACATAGAGCATCACGATGCGCTTCTCGGAGGTTATGACAAAGGCACAGTCGGCGATCGAGTGGCTCAGGTTCTGGTTGACAAGCTCCTCGAGGGCATTGAGGTCGACATAGACGCCGTTGACCTTGACCTTCTGGTCGAATCTGGAGCGGTGCATGTGGAGGGATGATGTGGTGTGATGGGAATGTGGGTGAGAGGTGATGTGGGTGAGAGGCGTGATGAGGTCGATACATGGCAAGTGGATGAGTGGTGGATGGGTGGTGGTGAGGCAGGAGATGAATGCCACATCGCAGCCAACATACCGACACAGTGCCTCTGCATCGCACCCACCTTCCAACCACAGTGAACTCGTTCTCGCTGACCATCTCGACCCAGTCCATGGTGCAGACACGAGGCGAGCCGTCGCTGAGGAAGCCAAAGTATCCAATCTTGTTGTCCGGGTCGGCGTTGACAAAGCTGGGATGATCCTTGACCGGATGGTCGGGATGGACAGCAAAGACAAGGACGCCGCCGTTGGAGAACCTTCTGTCGATGAAGTTGCCGTGCTCGTCGATGATATGGCAGCGGACTCCTGGCTTGGAGAGCTTGTACACAAGTTTGGGTGGGACTTCGGTGACATCGGCCGGGAGACTGAAATAAGCTCCGGCGCCTATCAAACCAGACTGATAAAGCATATCGTTGCTGGAGTCAGTCGAATGGTTAAGGATCACAATAATTTTACGATTTGATTATGTCTTACCTCACTTGAACCATAAACGGATTGAATCTCGGCATTTGGGAAGCGGCGTCTGGCTTCACAAACGACGCTTCGAGGCACAATCTCGGACCCAAGGAGGATCTTTCTTGTTCTTCGCCAAATGATGTGCCGGTTGTCCGACACCCCGACTCCGATGATCAATTTGAGGAACGAGGGAGGCTGAACCGTGTCGAGTGGTGTCAGTCTTGTGATTGAAGTGGGAAGTCACCAGCTCCATTCAAGTCTCACTTACCGCGAAGAGATACACCAGACCATCTTTGAGCATCTTGGAAATGCTTCGGACTTTCTCAACAGGATTCGGAGTTGTGTCTGGAATCCATGCTGATCCTCGAAGGTTCAAGGTTGCCAAGAAGAGACTCAGCGTCATCGAAAAGGAAGGTGCCTGTGGAAATGGAGGAGTAAGTTGAAGATCAAGGACGATTCAATGTGCCTGCACAAACAGCCTATACCTGACCGATTCCGATACTGGCACTGAGGATACCAATTGTCTTGTGAAGAGTGATTGAACCAAAGTACGAATATTTGTATCTGATACACATTTATGAACAGAGAGTGGTCAGTGATCTCCGTTGAATCGCTTCGGACTGTGCTCAGCACACAGTCTTGATCCACTTACGTCTTGGGGATGCCTGTCGAGGAGCAACAAGAACCACCATGAGCATCATGCATATCCTGTGATGACCCACAGACACTTGCTCGCTCGTGCCATGCCATCAGATGCGCCACTCATCCGATGTATCAAGCACTCCACCCAGACACATAGCTGGCGGATACTTTGACTGCCATCCATACCTGTCGTTCCAGAAGTGCAGAGATATGTGACGAACTCATCGAGAGGCTCGCACGCCTCAAGCGAGGGCAGTGGGATGTCGTCCAGCATCGGGAATGTCGATGCATCCACAAGAGTCACTCCCTGTGTGCGTCCAGGCTTGACGCAGTGGTGCAGGATATACTTGATCGAGTATCTGGATGGATGCAGCCCTGTCAGCTGCTGTTTATCAATCGACACCCACACTGCCGCCATCATCACTTCTGAGGCCAAACTATCCCACAGACAATAGACATGCCCACAAACGATCCAACCATGCCCACAGACAACACACCTGTCGCACAGAGCCTTTCGGGCAGCCGGAGGCAGGTTGAGACCAAAGTTGATTGTCTTCCTGGATGGTGGTCAGGGAACGAGCGAGGAGTCGGGAGGATCACAGAGCCAGGAGGGAGAATCGCAGAGTCAGGAGGGATCACAAGCCAGGACAGAGCATGGACGATGGCACTGGATCGACAGTGCTGGTGGCGGATGTGTGGAGCAAGTAAGCAGCAGACGACAGATGCAGCGGGATTCGCCCTCGATCGCATCCAAGCAGCACTCACTTGCCGAGCATCCACACTGCAAGGGAATAGAACACCCAGTTGACCTCGGACTCGCAGAAGGTGCCAATGACCTCGTGGTCGGCGTCGTCCCAGCCAGGGAGGGCCCTGAGCCCCTGGGCGATCGAGTATGCTCTCCTCCACACCTGGCGATAGGAGTGTCGCTCGGAGGCACCGCTCTCGTAAGTGTTGATCAGGAGGGCATCGGGCTCGTCGCGGGCGCCGTTGATGAGACACTCGATGGGATGGAGCCAGGGACCAAGGGAGTCGGCTGGTTTGGAGGGTGCCGTGCCTGACGGCTCGGGCTGGGTTTGCTGGACAGGGGCTTTCGAGGTTGTGTCATCCACATCCATATTGACATCCACATCCATCAACGACTTGGCCGGGAGACTGGAGCTCGAGGCCATTTGGTGGCGGATGCGACGGAGCAGGGGAGATCGGGGGAGGAAGAGGACGAGGAGAGGGAAAGGGGCAGGCAAGACGAGATGCGGCGGGATGGAGTGGGATGGGTGTGGGATGTGGGATGTGGGATGTGGGATGTGGGATGTGGGATGTGGGATGTGGGATGTGGGATGTGGGATGTGGGATGTGGGATGTGGGATGTGGTGTGGGATGTGGGATGTGGGATGTGGGATGGCATGCAGATTCACCCCCTCGCCGATCGGAATGGCCATGACTGGTTCGGGGTTCGCGTCTGTGGAACCTGGGGCGAGTGGCCCACCTGCCACTCTGGCATGGGCTGTCGCTGCTCGGCTGTCGCTGGTGGCATCTGTGGGTGTCTGTCTCTGCTCCGATAATGCAGAAGCACCATGGGATAATGCAGTAACACAGGCTAATGCAGTGGCACCAAGGACTAATGCAGTTCCACAACCGATGGGTGGCGTGGGCTGACCTGCCTTCCATCCACCCAACCAACAGCTCTCCTTCGGCATTCGCGAAAGACCGGAAGGGAAGAGCAGTCCTTCAATCCCTCATCCAGGGTCTCGGCGGATCACCACACGCCTAGCTCGATCGATGATCACAAAATGGGAACTATGCGATGTGTATTATCACACAGACAAAAGCTCCTCCCGCTTTATACTTTTTTCTTACAAGACCATTACTCAGAAGCCCAACGCAGCCTGAGCTTGCATGTGTGCAGCCGATGGAACGACCGCTTACTGGGCAAGTCGAGCAGCACGCTTGTAGTACTCGGAGAGGGGACCCTTCTCGGACAGGTACTTGACGTAGCAGCCATCGGGCTGGAGCTTGCCAGCCTGGCGGTCAGCAACATACTGCTCACGAGTGAGCTTGGTGAAGCCCCACTTGTTGGAGATGACAATGTTCTGGCGACCGGCAAACTTGAACTTGCAGCGGCGGAGAGCCTCAATGACAATGGCCTTGTTGCTGTCCTTGGTGCGGACCGAGATCAGGACCTGACCAATCTTGACACGGGCGGCGAGACCGGTGGGCTTACCGAAAGCACCACGCATACCCTGCTGAAGTCTGTTGCGAGGGCGGATTTCGTCAGTGGCCGCGTTGGGTTGCAGTGCAATATCCCCTTGGGCAGGACAGCCCATGCACACAGCGCGACCGGCTCTCCGCAAGAACACACGATATACCTATCAGCACCGGCACAAGAAAGCATCTTGTTGATACGGAGAACGTGGAAGGGGTGGACACGCATGCGCATGTGGAAGGAGTCCTTGCCAGAGTTCTTGGTGATGTACTTGTTGGCACAGATACGGGCAGCCTCGAGAGCCTCAGAGGAGATCTGCTGGAGCTCGTTGGAGAGCAGGTGGATGGTCAGGGGGAACTCATCGACACCAGCCTTCTTGCGACCCAGATCGTAGATTCTGAGCTTGCCGTCTGGGGAAGAGAGTGCCAAGGGTGAGTCGTCGGCATACAGATTGCGCAATTCGAATCAGAAGCGTTGTGCATAGATGGCCACGTACCGGGGACACCACGGCAGTAGCGAGACTTGGGGTAGGGCTTGTTCTTCTGGTAACTGTAAGACAACGGCGGGTTTAGACTCTGGAGAGCGGCAGCGGCGGAGCTGCATCTACCACAAAGTGTGTTGGCTGGATATTTACCGGTAGCAACTGAGATGGGAACGAGAGAATGATGTTAGTTACCGTATTCCAATCTCTAGGCCGCAGACACAAAGCAAAGCAAAGCGCCCGGGTGAAAAAACCTACCGAGCGGGACGGCGACCCATTTTTACTGACTGGATGCAGGAAGAATAAAATCGCACACGTTAGCAGCCGTCTTCAACAGACGCATGTAGCCCAACTATCGCACTTGATCCATCGCCTCTGCCCTCATCCGTGTCACTGTCGAGACAGATGGTCCGTTGACGGTCTGGCAGCGACTCAGCCATTGATCCAGATGTTGGCTCTGAGGCTCTTCCCACGCAGACAGTGCGTGTTTCATCTCAGATGCGAGGCCCGCCATCGTGCTGGATTTCCCGTGCGTTGGCGCAAGAGTTCGCTCAAAATGCATCGCCTCGGGGTCAGCAGCACCGTCTCCTGTTCCCATCTGGTCCAGCTTGCGGGACGACTCGACTTGGGCGACGAACAGCCTCGGAGCAGACACGGTGGCCTGAAGGCAGGCGACCGAGCCGAGAGACTCTGATCTTGTTGGAGCGTCGGTCCCGTCATGATCCAGGACGGCCAGGGCAGAGGATGGCCGTGCGGCGACACCGACATGCCACGGTGACAGAGAGCACCGGTCGCTTGCAGGCGGCGGCCACGGAGGAGGGCGTGGCTGTGATCCCACACCGAGAGAGGCCCGATGCGTCCACGGGCGGTCTGGGCAGCGACACTCACCTATTCCTGAGGAAGAGAGGGACAGATGCCGAGGGAGGAGAGAGTGAATAGAGCTGGCCGGGCACCGGCAAGAAAAAGCCCTCTGCACGCCGGAGGCAGCGCCAGCGAGGGCGGCGCACTGGCGTAAGAAAACTACGCCACACCACAAGCCACGCGCTGCGATTGGCCACGCCGCCCAAGCCACGCTGACGTCACGCCTGCCAAACGCGGCCAGCCCTAAATGCTGCGCACCCAGCCCTCGCTAGGGCTTGACACGTGTCCGCAGCACACCGAGCCCACAGCGACAACGCAGGTCCCCCGCCATGCAGCGCAACCAAGTTCAGCAACGAGCCACAAGCACCAAAGCGAACGAGATGCCCACCAGAGACGGTGTTGTGAGGAAGCGCAGAGCGAGAGACGGTTGAGCGGCGGTGAGTCTGGCGCCGATTTCAAAGAGACAAAACGGAAAGGTTGCGGCGGACGGGGTGACTGAGGTCTCTAAATATGCGTGAGGAGATTTGAAATGCTGTTTGGTGGCCCAGCACGGTTTCAAATCACCAGCAAGAGCAAGAGCAAGAGCAAGAGCAAGAGCAAGAGCAACGCATCCTCATTAACAGGAGCAACGGCATCCTCATTTACAGGAGCAACGGCATCCTCATTTACAGGAGTAGGCGGCAAGAGCCGGTCCAGGGGTCGTCTGATGGTACATCGCTGGTGGATCGGTTGCAGCGAGCATTTCCCACCCACAACGCTCCCACGAACCACTCGCTGCGGCCCGCATCCAAAGCCCATCCCACCGACATGCTATGAGCAAAGAGCATCCATATGAATGCCATTTGCATCCGGCATGCTCCGTCGCTGTCGTCATGTCCCCATCATCCATGCCCGATCCCCACCCTGCCGCCCTCCCCTTCGCCGCCCTTTGTCGCTGCCAAACACCCATCGCTCCGGTCTCGGCACAACCGCCATCCCGATCCTCCTCGGAGCGTGACAAGCCGCCGAAAGGGCTTCACCGGCATCAATCGCATCAATCGCATCTCTCCGGTCCGATGCCTGCTCCCTGCGGCTCGTGCGGCTGCGGACCCAGGCCATTTTTTTTCCTCCCCGGCTCGTTCCAGAAATCGCGACATTGCGCCTGATGCCGCTGCTCCCCTGCCAATCTCGCTGATACATATATGAGAGGCTTGACTTGCCGGTCCCTTTCTCCGTACTCCTCCATCCATCTTCGCCTACTTGCCCATCCTCACTCAGCACTCTGACTATGGCCCCCGTCCGACTTCCTCGATCGACCCGGATCATCGCCACGGGAATGACTGCTCTCAATCCCGCGCAGAGCCTTTCACCCTCGTCGCTGATGCAGCGGGCGCTCTATGCTGCTCTGGACTCGCTCGGCCTCAAGGTCAAAGACCTGAACGGTCTCATTGCCGTGCCGAGTTTGGCTGAATCGCATTTCATGGTAAGGCTGAGTTCTTTTGGCAGATGGCCGCCACACCGTACGGCAGTGCTGCCTGGAGGCGGATATCCAGCTCCCGCAAACACCATCATCCAGCACGCAGCCCTGCAAAGGCGCCCATCGATGGTGTGTCGTACTCGCCCGATGCCACTCTGCTCTCCATCGAGACAGGAGTCTTCGTGCACTGATGCTTCCCCTCCTCCTCCTCCTCCTCCTCCTCGTAGGAAGCGCATTACCTGGGCACCCAAGTCGGCCTTCTTCCGGGAAAGAGCGTGATTGTTCGGACCGTCGACACTGGCGGTGCTGGCCCTGTTACAGGCTTGGTATGCGCGAGCGAGCGGGCGAAGGGAGAGAACATATGCAAGTCCATCGGTGTTGCCTGTGGTACTCACCAGCAGTCGCAACATGTGTCGAGCCAACCCCACATATGCGGGATTCGAGGAACGCTCGCCCGAGTCGTGTGCTGATTTCTACCATGATCCACTGTGTGGTGCGCATTGGGGTTTGTCATCATCCCTTTGCAATATCGGGAATGTCCACAATGCCTCACACGAACTCGCTGGTGTTTGCACAGCTCGAGGCCCGCAGAATGGTCGAAAACGAAGGCGTCGATCTCGTAGCAGTAGTCGCCGGCGATGCCGTCAAGGGCCTGGTATGTATCTGACATCAATGTCTTGGTGGGGTCGTGGCGATTATATCCTTGCTTTCCGCTGCTTAGACTCCTGATGCTGCACTGACACATTGTTGCGTTCCTTGCTCCCTGAAGTCGAGTCAAGAGTTCCTCAAGCGGGCCGACCAGTCGTGCTCCCACCCTGCTGCTGAACTACCCTCGCCTGTGATTCCAAATGGCTACGACCGGATTGCTCGTTTCCAGATGTCTAAATATGGCGTAACCCGCGACCAACTTGCCAGCTGGTACGTGAATATCTATGCTGACGTACATGCTGCAAGCATCGAGGCTGTCTGGCGACTTGTTGGTGTTCCGCGCGGCATCAAATATGCATCGTGTTGTGAGCGATGGACCACTGATATTGCCTGTTGCTCTGGCACTGCGATACGATACGATACGATACGATACGATACGATACGATACGATACGATACGATACGATACGATACGATACGATACGATACGATACACTCGGCCAACGCTGCGTCACAGTTCGGCGCTCATGTCGATCATGGCCTCACGCCATCCCTTTGCTCTCACCAAGAAGCCTCGCACCATCGCCGACATCCTTGCTGCCACATCCGTCGCCCCAGTGACTTCCGTCCTGGAGTGTGCCCGCCGAGCCGATGGCGGTGCAGCCATCCTCGTTGCGTCATCGCAGTTCCTTGCCAAGCGTGGCCTTCCGCGCGATACGGGCGTCGTCATCATCGGCGGCGGCGAGGCCTCGGGCCCGCTGTATCCACCCAAGGAAATCGACACTATCTCGGAGGAAATGTTTTCGTGTGAAGAAGCGGCGGGCGTGGCCTACGAAGAGGCCCAGCTCGGCGTCCGCGACATTGATTTTTTCGGTCTCTATGATTGCTTCCCGATCTGCCTGATTCGAGCGGTTGAGGCGGTGGGGTTGGCCGAGAAGGGCCTTGGTGGTGTCTTTATCGAGGAGAAGTATCGCGAGATTGCCGCTCGCGCAGCAGTCGACCCCGAGTTCCGCCCACAGGATATATTCCCCGTCAACACTCACGGCGGTCTACTGGCTTTTGGTGCGCCCTGGGAGGTGCCTGCCATGTATGTGCTTTGGCTGTGACTGTCGTTGGTTGTCGTGGCGCTGCGAGCGATGCACGGCTTGGTTGCGCTCGTGAGATCGGGCTGAGCGGTTCCCCGCCTCAGGCGAGGCTGTACAGCTCGATGCGAGTGAGTCCGCGCCCCCGAACCTGAATAACCGAAATCGGCCTCACTCGCAGGTACAACATCATCGAGGCATTCCATCAACTCACCAACTCGGCTGGCAAGCGCCAGGTCAAGGACGCTCGGCGGGCACTCGTTTACGGCAACGGCGGTATCTTTTCGGCCTCGGCCGTGGCCATCCTGGGAAAGGGAAAGTACTAGCGCGGCGCACCTTCCCCCGAGACTACGATCGATCGGACACAAGCCATCGCCCCTCCATTCAACGATTCCATCCTGATGGTTTCCGCCCCAGAATCAGTCGCACTGTCCGTCCTTCAGCATCCATCATTTCATTGACGCAGAATCTTGCCGAGCGCTATCGCTCCACTTACAACACTTGCAACCCTCGCGCACCGGCCACAGACGCCCTGCTTCTGGATCATGAATACACATGAATACTCACATGAGTACATACATGAATACACACATGAGTACACATGAATACACATGAATACACATGAATACACTTGATTCATCTGGTGCGTCCGGGTCATTCATGCACTGGTGGGGCGGACAGTGGGTCTGTGGTGTCGGCCCAATCGCCAAGGCAGCGACAGCATTCGGAGAGCATCATCGCTTGGATCAGGGATCGACACCACCATGGCCTGCAACTTTGCGGCTGCGGTTCGTCGGGTTCATGAGCAGCTCTCTCATCATCGCTTACAGATCGTCGCAACGAGCGGGCTAATCGCCGCCACAGGATATCGACCGAGTATATTCACGATTCCCGAAATCAAGCACATCACGATTACCGACATATACAGAAACCTTCCACATGGCTGCGACCATGCACTGCAGCTGTAGCTGTTCCGGCGACAGGATCGATACATGTTTGTTGTTGAGGCATTATAACCCAGTTCACTCGTCTGCGCGCTGATAGTATGAGGTGGGCGTCCATTTGCCCTCCCCTCTCTGTTGCGTTCAGTGGAGGGGGAGACGGAGGAGGATGAGGATGTATGTTTCGTTCCATTACTTCCAGAGCTGGAAGATTTCGTTTCGTCGGCTGTACGTTCCGCGGAACTTGAGGTAAGCCAGTGCGTAGCTCTCGCTCGTAAAGGCGCCATCCGAGTTCAGGACGGACTGGGTCACGAGGGGCTGAATAAACTTGAGGACATTGAGTTCGCGGGCAAGCTTGAGGGCATCGTCATCCGACTTGAGTACAATTTTGTTGGTGGAGCTGACGAGGCTATCGAGGTACTTGAGGAGAGCCGCCGATTCCTTGACGGTGAGGTTGTTTTGAGTGTCGTTTAGGACCACGAGCAGATTTTGGTAGGCGGCATTGAGCTCGGTCGCGATGGCTGACTCGATCGTCTTGTGGTTCTTGGAGACCTCCTCTGAAATACGAGTCAGGCTCGACAGACGCCGACCGACAGCAGTCTGGACCAGTACGGACTCGTGGGGTGTGATGGCAGGAATCCTCGATCTCAGGAACTCGTGGGCATTCTGTGCGGGAATCGGCAGGGTGAGTCATGTTACGCACCAAAGACGACCGAGGTGGTAGACCACGATGTGATTTTGGAGGGAGATGGCCGGACCAAAACACAACCAACTGCTTCACTGCAGCGCTACAGTGCCGCAACCAGCGAGAGCACTGGTGACGCCGCAGTCATCGCCCACGCCTCTTCGCAACACACCTTAGGATCCAGGGGACCGACGTTGACGATCTTGGCGCTCTCTCTAAAGTACGAGTCCACATGCTTGACGATGGCATTCTCGTAGAATTGGTCGCTGCATCCAAAGATAATGGTCATGGTGTCCTCGCGAGCCCACTTGTGCGCGGCCGAGAACAGCAGCGACAGGGCCTTTTGGCAGAGCGGATCCTGGACCTGAATCGAGTCCAGATCGTCGATAAAGAGGGCCAGGCGGTGCTTTTCGGTGTTTTTTGGGTCGAACTTGAGGCTCCAGGCAGCCTCCTCGAGTTCCTGTTGGCATGGCAGAAGAGGACACAGTATCAGTTCCGACCATGTTGCATCCCAGGCGGCGAGCAACGACTCCAGCACGCTGATGGGGGGGGAGCTCGTCAGCGCAGTCCCAAGAGATGCATCAGAAGCAGATCTCAAAGCTCGGTCCAGGCCAAGGCTGAGGACGTACATCCAAAAGCATCGCCAGTCGGTCGATGGGGCCAACCGAGGCTTGGCCCGTGAAGAAGTAGCTCTGGATCACGCGCTGGGTCCAGTCGTCAAAGTCGTAGCCGACCTAGAGGCAGAGTTCATCAAGGTTGGGCTGTCAGTGGCTGGGTCGAGCCCATATGACTTGGAGTCCAAGGTCTGGCCGTCCAGGGTCTGGCTGGCGAGGGCTGCCATATTCTTGCAGCCACAGTGTCCAGCTCCAATCGCCACAGGAAATACGACAACATGGCAGGACAGCAGCTGTCTGGCGCAAGCGAGACTCACCTCCTCGGCCATCTCCTCGACGAGGTTATGGACGCCGCCAGCCGTTAGACCGAGAGAGAGGTATGCGACATATTGCTGATTCTCGGCCAGGTTGCGCAGGAGCCGCGACTTGCCACAGCCCGATGGGCCGCGCAAGATGCCGTATCGGCAAATCGGGGCGGTCAGCAGGGTGTTCTTGATGTCCTCGGCCTCGGCAGGGTGCAGCGTCAGCTTCTGGTCATCCGAGTTCCCAATATAGCGACGCGACGATTGGAGAAACTCCAGGATGCCCTGGTGTCGCTGGCTGGTGAGCCGATCCTTGTAGTCTCTGTTGACGGGATTGCGGTTCGGGAACATGAGTCGCTGCCTCAGATGCCGGTCGCTACACCCAATTGCATGGCGCTGCCGATCACGACGATAGTACTCACTTGAGGATCTGCGAGGTCTGCTCAGGGAAGCACACGGCCAAGATGCCCAGGGTCGTGGTGGCGACCAAAATCAGCTGGGCGGCGGTTGTCAGCTTGTCGCCGAGGTTAGAGCCGGAGCCTTCCTTGCCGGAGGTACCTGTTGCTGGAGGAGCAACCAGATCAGATCGGATGGTAAGCGCGAGAGCTGGATGTGGGTGCACTCTGGTCCGATGGGACTGGGCCCAGAGTGTGTGGAATAGATGAACTGACAGCATCGACTCGGCCAGACAAACCACCTCCACGGGGAGCGCTGTCCCAGTGCCCGAATCGCAAGTGCCGACACCCAGTCGTTCGGATCAGTAAACTCACCGTTCTTGCCTTTGACGCCGAGATTCTTGCGGGCTACCAGGAGAGCACGCAGCCGGTGCAGGGGCAAACGACCGCCCTCGACTGCCAAGACAAGAAGCAAAGCCAAATCAGGACGTTGGATCAGCGGCACATCGGAGTAGAGGCGGGAGTAGCAGACATATGCACGACCGGGACGCAGCCGGCGCGAGATCTTGGCAGAGACATACTGGAGGAGTACGGGCGAATAGACGCAGCGAGATGGCTGGATCAACAGGGAAATAGCCGCAAGGTTGGCCCGCCCGTTTGTTCCATAGAGGCACAGTGGTTTCGACAGAGGTGAGTTTGAGAGCGCAGGAAGCAACGGCAGACAGCTGCACGAGTGGCGGGGAACGGCGACTGCGGCGGTCAGATCGAAGAGCCAAGACACCATTACCTCTGCGAAACGGCAGCGAACGGGCTTTTGGTCGAAACAGAGCGCAACCCCGAGGCAGACGAGCGAAGCAAGCTCGACAGGGTGCGGGTGCATCGGAGCGAGTGCAGCGAAGCCATGATGCGGATGAGACAGATGCAGATCGAGAAAGAGAGGGAGAAATGAGGCCGGAGGGGCGAGACAGCGGATGATGATATATATCGGCCAGCGGCGAAGCGATACAGCCACGGCACAGGGGAGCAGTCAGAGGCAGAGGCAGAGGCAGAGGCAAAGATGCAACAACAGAATCAGCGACGCATGGAGGCGAGACACTCTGGTGCATCGCTGATTCGCCGTTGGGACAGCGTCCTTGTTGCAGGAGGACCGGTGCGCGTGCGAAGGACGACGTTGTCGGCCACAGACGATGCGGCGGATGCGATGGCAGATGGAACAGACGATGCGGCGGATGCAGCAGCAGATACCAACGACGGATGTCAATGCAGACTTCAGCCGGAGAGACAGACTCGTCGAGCGATAGAGAGCGATAGACAGCGATCAGCAACGAAGTGCCGGCGATCAGCAACGGACCCGCAACGGACCTGCAATGGACCTGCAACGGACCCGCAATGTACCCGCAATGTACATTCACTCCGCCAGATCCAAAACAACAGTCGTTGGCGATTGGCGCACGTGGCACGTCGCGCGTGTCTGCACAACAAACAGAGACTGCTCGCGTATGTCGTGGCGGTGAGTGGCGGTGCATGTCGTGCGCCACCAGCCGCACTCCAGCCACACTCCAGCCACACAGCCATTGCCTGGCTGGCCGCTCTGTTTCCCCCCTTTCCCACGCCCACACCCGGATTTCCAGGTGGAACCCTCCAGGTTCCGTCGACTGCACCCAAGCACAGCCGCCCACACATATCCCATTCCTCTCCGCCCGTCGCCCCCATCAGCGCTGCAGCAGCACCCGCATCCAACTCGACTCGAGCACCTCCAACCCGTTTAGTGCCCCCCCCTATCTCGCTCACTCCCAGCTCCTACTCCGCGCTTAACCACAAGCCTTCACACATGCCAAACGAATCTCTGCCGATCTATGGCCTTGACAAAGAGCTTGGTGAGTCTCCCTGCTATGTCCCATCGCTGTGAGTGTGGCAATTGTGTTGATCAGTGTCATCGCAAGTTTGCATCCGTTCTGGAGCTTGGGCCTCTGAACTGACGGTGAATCAAACAGCGGCCAAGCAAGCTGCCAAGTACGACCCGCAGAGAGAAGTCGAGGCTCGCCAGTGGATCGCTGACTGCACAGGCGAAGCCATTCCAGAGGGCGCCTCCTTCCACGAGGTCCTCAAGGACGGCGTGTTGCTCTGCAAGTAAGTCAGCTCGGTATTGTGACAGATCCGCTTGGCTGGAGGACCACACGACCGAGTATCTGGGTTGTGCTCCAATGCCATCGGCATCTCGTTGTCACTCGATTGGTATGGATAAGTCTCCATTGATCTGACTCGACCACACTGATTCCGTGTCTTGGTCGCCTGCGTCGGCATCATAACCTGTTCACTTGATCAAAACTATGATGCCCCAAACACATGTCCGCTATTCAACCAGACTCGTAAATGCCATCCAAAAGGAAACCACTGTCAAATTCAACACAAGCAAAATGCCGTTCAAGCAGGTTCGTTTCGGTTTGTTTTGACCGAGAGCGAATTCCACGTTGGTCGCTATGAGTGGCTTTGAGCCATCCGGTCATCGTCGTGCTATTGACACATCTCGTCCAACTAACTTTCACGACCATCTTGGCCATCCATCCCATTCGACATCCATTCGTGTCATACGCGACGTCCAACCGGGGATGGGACAATGTAGATGGAAAACATCAACAACTTTCTGCAAGTGGCTGAGAAGATCGGTGTCCCCAAGGGCGACCTGTTCCAGACCATCGATCTCTTCGAGAATAAGAACATGAATCAAGTCATCGACAGCATTTTTGCGCTTTCTCGCAATGCCGTCAAGAACGGTTTCCAGGGCCCGCTGCTCGGACCGAAGCTCGCCGAGAAGAGGGTCAGCATCGTTGGTGCCTTTCCACTTGCAGAATTTGAGCGCGCTCTGAACAACATTCGATGTCCTGCACCTTGCCCACACCACGAGATATATAGCACCTCCGCAGTCTGCCAAAATCACCGCTGCCGCTATAATCTGCTGCGATCAATTCTGTCCACTCCAGTTTGCTCCAAAACTGACCATATCCCCTTCCTCATTTGCATGTGGCACACAGGAGGTTGTATTTACTGAGGAGCAGCTCAACCAGGGCAAATGCATCATCCCGCTCCAAGCCGGCTTCAACGGCGGCGCAAGCCAGGCAGGCATGTCGTTCGGCGGCAGACGCCAAATCATGGATTCCAGTGTTGGGTAAGTCCAGGACCGCTTGTTCTTCCCCGCGATCGCTGCCATCTGCATCCTGCATCGACCTGCATCCTTCCCGGCCACGAGCCACAGCCGACATCCTCATACCAGTGCTTTTGTTGCTCATGACACAACTGCCTGCGATGCACCTGCCCGCGATGCACTTGCCACAACAGCTCGGGCGATCCTGGCTCGGTCTCGCAGCAGATGGGGTTCAACAAAGGCGCCACGGCATCCGGCATCACTTATGGAACGAGGCGCGAGATCGGCGGCCAAGATCCGAGCAAGTAGATGATCGTCTCGTCGGCTGTCGTTGCCTCGTTGGCTGTCGTCGCCAGCCCGCACACCGGATCGAGATTCACTGACCATTCTCAAGCACGACGGTGTATTCGATGATGGCGGTGGGTGGTGGGGGGGGGTTGTGAATGTTGTCGATGTTGTCGATGTTGTCGATGTTGTCGATGTTGTCGATGTTGTCTGGCCCCTGCACACTGCCCCCCGCCATCCATCCTTCACCGAGCCGATCGGCCAGAGTGACCAGGACAAGCAAAACACGCTGTGCTTGCCTTTGGAGTGAAAAAAAGTGGATTGGAAGAGAATAGATTGGAAGAGAGTGGCTGTGCACATTCATTGCACACACACTGGCAGCTCGGTTGAGCACTCGGTTGAGCACTCGGCCACTGGGCGACTGGGCTCAGAGCTTGGCGGCAACATCGCTGATGCTTCTGGAGGCGTGGAGGGTGGCATACATCTCCTCGATCTGCTTCTGGTACTTGTCCTGTGGCCAGGCAGAGTCGGTGCTGTCAATGATCCGGGCAATCGGCGGCTCTGGCAATCGCATCCTCCGCCAAGCCAGGACAGGACAGGACAGAATCCACACCACTCCCTGCACTCGACTCACCCTTGCGGTGTCGCGCTTGAGCTTCAGGGTCGGCGTCAGGAGATTGTTGTCGATGGTCATGACCTCTGTGTCCAGGAAAATGGCCTTGGGGGTCTCGAAGCCGGCCAGCTTGTTGATCTTGGCGAGCTGCGATCGAGAGGCGAGAGTGAGTGTCTGCCGCTTGGGGAGTGCCGCTGACTGCTACTCAGAGTGCCCTTGATGCTGGCACGGTTGTCATGATCCTCTCCGGTGGCTTGCAGCGATGACTTACGCTCGTAATGTCGTTGAGCACGTCCTGCTTGAACTTTTCATTGGCCACGAGAGCCTTGAGCTGCTCGGGGAGCTCGGCCTGACCCTGGGCAATAGCCTCGGGGATGGGTGTCGACTTGGGCAAGTATCCCTTCTCGATCGCAAACTTGACGGCCTGATCCGGGGAGGGAACGACGATGCACACGAGCTCACTCTGGAGACTGTCGCCGTGGATAAAGATCTGGGCGACCAGGGGGCTCTGCACAAAAATATTCTCGAGCTACAACGGTGCAAATCATGTGCATCAGTGAGCCATCGGTCTTGGCCAGCCTTCCGCCTCGGCCGAGCCGCAAGAATAAAGCCCAGCCACAGATCCAGCCACTGCTGGGCTGGAGGTCTTTGGACCGTCAAGTTACCTTTTCGGGTGCAATGTATTCGCCCTGAGCCAGCTTGAAGATCTGCTTCTTGCGATCGATGATCTGGATGCGGCCGTTCTGGTCAATCAGACAGACGTCGCCGGTCTTGAGCCAGCCATCCTCAGTCAGGGTCTCGCGGGTCTTGGCTTCATCGTGGAGGTAGCCCGCAAACACAGATCCGCCGCGGATCCACAGCTCGCCGCGGGGAAAAGGCTGGTCGGTGGAGAGGTACTTCATGTCGGGAATGTCCACCAGCTTGCACTCGCAGCTGACGAGGTAGATGCGAGGCCAGAGTCAGGAAGAGTATACACGGTCATCGTTCTCAGGCGATTCCAGGCTATCCCAGGGACCAAGATCTCATCGTCCATCATTCACGATTCGATTGCGAATGATCCCGCTGTGGTCGCAATCCCGTGCCGCAATCCCGTGTCTCAATCCCGTGTCGCAATCGTCTATCACCCCGGGCACGGTCAAACTGCTGGCCTCCACCTACCACGGGGAAATGGCGCCGACCTTGCCATAGTTGCGATTGTCGCCGCGCCAGTTGAGGGATCCGTCGGCCATGTTCTCGGTTGCTCCGTAGCCCTCCAAGACGTCGCAACAGAAAGTGACCTTCAGGAATCCCAGGACGTCCTTGGAGATGGGAGCCGAGCCCGTGGTGATGATGCGGATGTTGCCGCCGAGCAAGCCCTTGATCTTGTTGAAAACGAGGCGGTCCCACAGGGCATGCGTGTAGTGGCCCTGCTGCAGACCGGCCAACTTGGCATTGAGCGCTTGCTGAAAGAGAGTCGCGGTAATGGCGTTGCCCGAATAAACAGTCTTTTGAAGCACGGCAGCATGGATGCGGTTCAGGAGCCTGGGGACACTAGCAAAGACGGTGGGGCGCAGAAGCGCAATGTCCTCAAAGAGGAGCGAGGCTGAAGGACACGACGGAGATGAAGTGAGACATTTAGGACGTGCACGGAGCTGGATGTGGACGGGATTGCCCAGACGTGGAATCACACATTGATCTGTGAGCTCAACAGGAGCCAGTACATCAATGTGCGGTGCGACCACAGCCGAGTGCAAGCCTGGCCGCAATCACATGTAAACTTGGCACAAATCACATGCGGCACATGCTTCAGCCGGTTCGCGCCTGCTCAGAACCCACAGCCTCGCACTCTCCAGACGGGATTGCGACGGTGATACTTACTGTCGCCTCGGAAGAATCCGATGGATGTGCCACTGAACGTGGACAACACAATGTTGCTGCGTTCGTAAATGTGAGCCAGGGGAAGGTATGAGATGTAGACGTCGTTGTCGCTAAAGTCCAGGCTCGTGAGTCGCGACGAGCAGAGCGAACCAAAGTTGCGGTGGAGCAGAATGGCGCCCTTGGGCTTGCCGGTAGTGCCTGTGTAGTGCGTTGGCGATTGACATCAGCGTCACGCAAAGGGATATTGGACAGCGATGGATCGATATCAGGAGCCGGACAACTCACCCGAGGTGTACATGATCGAGCAAATGTCGTCGGGCTTGGGCGGACGGACCGACAACGGATGCGCCTTGCCGAGGTCCTCGACATCCTTGAACGACACGAGTGTGATGCCCTTCTCGGCAGCCCACTGCTTGACAACGCCGGCGGCCCTGGGGAGGCCCGGGACCAGCGCAGTGTCATCGAGCGGGTCCATGCAGATAATCAGCTTGATTTGCGGACAATTGTGGGCCACCTTCAAGAGCTTGGGGACGAGCAGCAGGGAAGCCGCCACGACCTTGATGTTGGCGTGGTTGAGGATGTATTCGATCGACTCGGGGCCAAGGGTGTCAAAAAGCGACACGGTGATGAGGCTCTGGGACTGGCAGGCATAGTCGGCGATAACCCACTCGGGACGATTGTGCTGGTTGTTGGATCGGCGAGGGCATCGTGTCAGGGGCAAGTCGAAACGGACGACGCAAATCCAGCGGATCGTGTGAGTGGATATGCAAGCACAGACAGATACCACCGACACATTCAGACGAATCGCCAGTGCGCAGAGGCAGATACAGACTATGTCCGCAGAAGCAGATTTCATCCATTCCATGCCGAGGCCGCCACAACCGGATCATATGCGCAACAGCCACAGCACAACAGGCAGCAGCCAACTCGCCGCCCATCGGTTCTGGACCAGCGAACCGGCCTCACCGCAGATGCACTGAAGATGGCTCCGATGCAGGTAAATGGCGCTTACCGCATACAATCCAAGAGTCCACTTTTCGTTGTCGTCGCCCTTGATGACGTCGGCCCACAGCTTTCTCAGGCCATATCCAAAGTTGAGGCGGCGCTGCGAGACTGTCTCGAAGCTCTCCCAGGTGTAGTCGGACCAGGTGGGCTTGCCCGTGGCCGGATCGACGGGACCAGGCGATCGCTTCCCCAAGAAGCGCTTGCTCTTGTCGATACGACGCAGACGGTATTCAAAGATCTCGTAGATGGTCGATGCGCCTTCGATGGGCTTGAGCAGGGCGTTGGAGGCCAGGGCGTTGCGGTAGACGGCTGTGCCAGCATCCCGTAACAAATGCGCGGCGAGCAAAGGGCAAGCGAGCCGGGGTCAGCGCTTGCTCTGGAGTAGAATGGATCGAGTGGATCGGCAGCTGTCGCTCTGGATTTTGGTGTCCCGCAGCAACGATCAACACCGGCGCTCACCTGTTTCCCCTTCGACCTTGGGACCGTCGACCTGGACCATCTGCCGTCTCAAATGAGAGCGGATCGAGTCTCTCCGGGAAGCCACATAGGCATAGCTGTCGGTGGGCGAATCGGCCAAAGACATGATGGCAGACAGGGAGCAAAACTAGATGGGGGCTGAAGCGGCGGCGGATTCTGCTTGCAGGAAGCAGACGGATCGATCAGGAGCTGGAGCGAGGGCGAGGGAATGAACCAAGAGGGCGAGCCAGGCGCGGGTAAGACGACGACTCTGGACTATTAATACCGGGCGATTTGCAGTTTATCCTTGGATGAGGGTAAGCATGTGAAAGAGCAGGTGGTTGGAAGTCGGTTGGGCGGGAAAGACCAGCTGCGGATGAGCGCAGGGATATGGTACGTAAAGTGCAGTGCGCAATGTGAACTGGAGGGTCGAGCCCGAAGGCCGCATCGTCGTCCCGCGCATGCCACCGCAAGGCGAGTGGTGCACCGTGGCCGAACATCCGGTCTCCCAGAGCCAGATGACCATCACAGGGCCTCACGCAGGGGCTTGTGGGCAAAACAAACAGCGCTGCCTGGCCGCAATGCCGGGACCGCGACGGACCGGCGCGATGCGATGCAGTGCGATGCGATGCGATGCGATGCGATGCGATGCGATGCAATCGAATGGGATGCGATGCAGTGCGATGCGGTGGCGATAAAGGTGGGATTGAATGGCATTCTGGTGTGATGTGCAGCAAAGGACGCTCGAGACTATGCAACAACGATGCAACGTAATAGCAATGCAACGTAATAGCAATGCAACGTAATAGCAATGCAATGCAATAGCAATGCGATTTAACAGCAATGCGACGCTGTTGGCCACTCACTCTGAGACCCAGGGCAGGCTCGATGCAACAGCGACGGGGTGCAAACACATCAACTGCATCGCACCGCCGGACTCGAAGCCATTCATTCATTCATCCACGGCTCCAACCGCTGCGACTCGACTCGATTCAACGCTGCTGCGACTCGATTCAACGCTGCTCGCTTCAATGCAGCTGCTTGTCCATTCGTTGCATTGGATTCCTACTCAATCACAGCTGGCGCTCACCTTTCCAATGATGTGTATCTGAGCGGACCGGCCCGGTCTCTTTCTGCCAGTCGGTCGATGGCGAATCCAGATTGGACCGCCAAACTGAACTGCGGGTCTGTTCACACCACTGCATCCGCTGCGATCACATCCGTAGCCACTACCGCCCTTCGTCCAGTCCGTCGTCACGCTATCATATGCCTTTGACTTGCCATTGTCGGCTGCTTGCCTTCTGCGATAGGCTCAGCGATCCTCAATCGATGTTTCCCCAAACCTGATCGGTTGCCTCTCACGGCCGCCTCCCCTTGCTCTCCCGTAGCCGATTGAACCCTCCACATCGTGCTCACCAAATCCGCAGTGTCGGTCTCCAACTCAAGAAACAAGTCCATTTCTCGTCTGCATCGCTCAAGTGTGTCATTGCCAGAAAGGCCGACCCAGTCTCAGAATCCCTAGCAGTCTACTTTCGACACCGGCTCGCGCCGATTAGATCATATCCGGGTCCTCGTTTCTATTTCCCATCATCTCTCGTCTACGTTCTCGACGGTTTCAGCGAAATGAATCCCGGCTCACCAGTGATGATCAGCATCATCGAGACGGCGGCATCGCATCTGTCGCTCAACGCTCACTCACCTGCCGCTGCGGCCGATGGTGCCTCCATGGCCGTCGGCAACGATGCAACCCGGGCAGATTCGCTTGCACCCCAAGATGGCCATCCTCCCAGTCTCCTCAAAATCCGCAGCGCCGAGGGTACGTCACTGGACGGGCAGGACTCGGTCTCCAAGAACGGCAATCAAGAGCTCCAGCCTTGCAAATCCGACATTCTCGCTCACGAACATGCCCGCCTCCATAACCTCGATCGCCGGTCCAATCTCAGCTTCTCGGACAATCCGGCAGGGGCCGGCCCAACACCGCTCCCGTCAAAGCAAAGAGTCGAGCCAGATACCGACAGGTTGATTCTGCTCGGGGACCTCAAAACCCCGCCGGCATGCACCCCAAGCATTCGGTCGCTTCAGGATCGTGGCATGCCCCGCACATCAAGCGAGTCCGAGTCCTCCAGAGCCGGCGAAACCGACGTATCTGTCCTCAAGCGGGGCTCGTTTAATCCCTCGGGCTCGATTGTCTTCCGCCATGTCCCGGGCTCCGGCACAGACTCTTCGCTGGTCCCACAGCGGCTTCTGCACTCACCTCGCTCCAGCATTGAGATCCATACCTCGCGGGACTCGTGCCGGTCCGAGGGAAATCCACAATCGCCCAAGATATCGGGGCTCAAGCGAAGAAACATTTCTCTGCGGGCCAAGCCGAGCGTCAAATCCAACAGGTCCTCGCACAAGAAGGAGAACACGGAGCAGTCACTGCCGCCGCAATCGGTTGAGATCAACGGGTGCTGCGACTTTCCCCCGGAGCTCATCCAGCAAGTTCAATGCGGGATGGCGGGATATTTTGACTTTGCCGAGTTCTGTGAGCGCCTCAACTCGACCTGCGACTATCTCGACGGCATCGTCAAAAAGGCGGCCCGGCGCCAGAAGCGGCTGCAGCGGAAGGGCCTTTCGGAAGCATGCCCTCCTGGCGAGAACCAGCCCGGCCTCGCCGACGCCGTCGACGGTGACCAGCAGCTCAAGTCCTCCTTCAACATTTCTGAGATGGCTGTGTCCATGAGCCGGAGCATCTCCAGTCGTCGATCGACAGCCAGCAAGGACATTGACATTTCCAAGCCTCCTGCGGGTCTGCCGTGGAAACATCCAGCATGGAGCCCCTTGAGATTCGTCAAGCGGTACATCAAGCGATTTGTGCGTTTTGTTCGGCGCAAGATCCGAAATGACTGCGAAGAAGGAGAGCAGCAGCGAGTGGCTCTGCTCTCGGCCAGTGCGCTGCTGGCGATATCAAACATACCTTGTCCACCTGTCCCGGCCAACTGCCAACAGATGGACTCACTCGAGTTAGCGCTGTACTACTATCACCAGAAGGAGCCCAACTTTTGTGTGCACTACCTCGAAAAGTCGTCTCAAGAAGGAAATCCGATGGGCCTATTCTTTCTGGGCATGTCCAACCTTCCTAGCTGGTACGATGGATGCGCCGCTGCTGGAGCAGCCCCGGGTGATGCCGCTCCGTCCTGGGTACCAGCGTGCGGAAACCGATTCCGGGCGCTGCAACTCTTTCTCAAGTCCGTCGACACCACTTTGATCAATCTGCCCTCGGTCATGAGATGGCGGACCAAGGGAGAAGTCATCTTTGAGGACACGTCCAAGTTTGACGGCGATCACTCGCGCAAACCCAATCGCCCCAACTTGATCCACAGCTCCAGCGTCCATCAAGAGCTGGTGGCATCCAAGTCGGGATCGATAACTTCCCTCTTTGCGTCCGGCGTGCTGTGGACCAACCCGGGGCTGAGGTCGACCCTGGTCCGGGCTCGATGCGAAAGCGTCGCAAACAACTCACTCTCACGGCATCTCTTTGGCAGCACCAACATGGAAACGTCCATGTCGGCACTATCAAGCTTTGCGTCCATGTTCAGCTTCACCGACCAAAGCGGGGGCCGGCGACTGCTAAAGGGCCTCGACGACCTGGAAGTGGCAGCGACGTTACTTCCGAACCCTCTCTACGAGATTTCCATGATCCTGCGATGCGGCGGCGACGGCGTACCGGTGTCTCGAGCGGCTTCGGCGTACTTTATGAGCGTCGCGGCTGCTCTCGGCGACACCGATGCTCAGTACGAGTACGGATACTGTCTGATACACGGCTTGGGAGTCTCCAAGAACCTCATGGAGGCAGCCAGGTGGCTACGACAGGCGCATGCTGGCGGGCGGCGGGTCGAAGGCGAGGGATGGATCTTCAAGAAAAAATGGGGCGGCGAGGAATAGCCGAGCGCAAATGATGTCGTCTCTGGCCTGCTCCCGATCCCAAGACAGCCAGTCATCACAATCTGAACATGTACTTTCTTTGCTTCAGCTCTGACTCCAATATACTTTGTCCGGACTGCTGCCTGTCCTTGTTGACAATGGACAGTGCATCTTCCCATCTGCACCAGTCCAAACCTGCACCCGGTCGGCCCTGGCTTGCAGACTCTCTGCTCGCTTGGTACTCTTGCGTCGCAGGTGTCTGATGGATTTGCGTCCTTTGCGCCAGTGGCCCGCGCTTTTATGAGGTGGGTCATCACTGTGTGAGGTGTGTATTCAGGAGCCCGGTCGATCCGAGATCCTCAGAGGGATCTGCAACATTCCGAATCGTGCACGCAGCGAAGCTCACATATGCTCGGCTTCCTGAACAAGCCGGCCGCTGGGTAACCCTGTTCAGGACGATCGCCAGGTCATATGGAGCTGAGCGAGGGCAGCAATCGTTCCCAAGACACCGATAGAAACATCCGAAATGGGGCTATTCTCAAGCGACCAGTGCTGTGCGGGGAGTGAATGGAGGCACAGAATCGGATCGAGACAGGATCAGTACGTGGGCCGTGGGAACTAAGAGTTGGAGGCTGGATGGCCAGCAGCAGAGGCAAATCGGGGCCAGGTCCAGCCGCAGAATCATGCTGCGGCCGCATGGAACCGCAGAGAATCGCATGGGATCGCATGGGATCGCATGGGATGCTGGCAGGCCGTGAGAGCCACACCAGATCGCACGTGAAAGAGATTGCAGCGAGCCATGCCCTCGCACATGTTCCCGTGGGGTAAATGGGAAAACAACAGCAGCAACAGGCAGGAGAGAGCAAATAGATGTGGCTGGTGGGAGCAACCAAGCGCCGGCAGCATCGGGCGAGCCAGAGGAGCAAAAGGAGCAGGCGCAGACGGCCAGCCCGGACGATACTCACGATGGTCATCGGGAAATAGGCCGAGTTGATGACGGTGTTCATGAGCCACGAGTGCTTCTTGTCCTCAAAGACTCGCTTCTCGAGCTGCCATGTCTCGCGACCGCTGGGCTTGTCACCAAGAGCTGCCTCTCGTCTCTGCAGCTCGGCGCCCTCCCGACCGAGCATCAGGTACTCCTCGCCCAGCTGCATAAAGTACAGGACCACATAGGCCGCCCAGAACCGACAGGACCACATCCCAATCTTTTCGCGGAGCTTGGCGTCCATGGATATGACTTTGTGTGAGGCAAGCCAGTAGATGTGCTCGAGCGGGTAGTAGGCCAGGTTGGCGGCGTTCTGGAGGCGGACAAGCCAGCGCAGGACGGGCGTGGTCGATGTGTCCAGCTCCGAGATGATGATCCACCGGACGAGCGGAATCAGCCCATAGTAGCGGAGGAGCACACGGGTGTCGGAAATGGGTGCGGCCAGGTTCTGAATGCGGACCGCCAAGGGTGACTCGGGGTGGCGGCTCTTGAGCTTCCACACAGCAATCTTGGAGACATATTGGATGAGCTGCAGGACCCGAGGGGGAGGAAATAGTCAGTTTCACGGACAGCCCATGCATATACGGGACATGCAGCGCCAAGCCCAGGCACGCGATCATGAGAAGCAGGCCGTGGGTCGTGCAGACATGCTCGATCGAGAGGCGGGTCGCCATCGTCGTCTGTTGCGCATACCATGAACACCTTGTCGGTGCCTCGGACCGAGTCGAGGAATCTGTCGTGTCATCTGCAGAATGAGCATTGGGAAAAGGTACGGGAGGGACGCTGCCGCCGACAAAAAGAGCCCGGCCATGCTGCCGGCCCGATCGTCCCCCACCTGGATGCCTTGCTGAGCCGGTCCATATTGGTGGTGGCCGAGTCCCAGACGAGTCCCAAACGGATGCAGATGCCGAGAGAGAGTTCCGCTGGCGAGTTCCACGAGAGAGTTCGCGCTCGAAATGCCGGGGAGAAACCGGGCTGGCTGGCGAGGAGAGACGGATGCGAGATGCACCGAGAGGACAGCGAGAGCCAGGGTGGCGTCTCGCTGGATCGAGTCGGCTGTGCTGGATCGAGTCGGCTGTGCTGGATCGAGTCGGCTGTGCTGGATCGAGTCGGCTGTGCTGGATCGAGTCGGCTGTGCTGGATCGAGTCGTCTGCCCTTTTTGGTTCGCCCTGCCTTCTGTTTCGGCCGATCTGCCCCTGCATCTCGTCTGCTCGTCTGCTCGTCTGCTCGTCTGCTCGTCTGCTCGGTGCAACGAATCTGCAACCAAGCATCACTGCCACTGCCTCGCACGTCTCCGATACGACACAGCCACCATGGTGTTGGCTGACCTGGGAAGAAAGATCAACGATGCGCTGCGATCGCTGTCGAACGAGACCGTCATCGACAAGCAGGTCCTCGACGCCATCCTGAAGGAGATTGCGGCGGCCCTGCTCGAGTCCGATGTCAACGTCAAGCTGGTCATGCAGCTGCGAAAAAACATCTACAACATCGTCAATATCGAGGACCTGGCCTCCGGCACCAACAAGAAAAAGATTATTCAAAAGGCCATCTTTGATGAGCTGTGTCGTCTCGTCGATCCGGGCGTCGAGGCTTTCAAGCCCAAGAAGGGAAAGGCAAACGTCATCATGTTTGTCGGTCTGCAGGGCTCGGGCAAGACTACCACCTGTACGAAACTGGCGCACTACTACCAAAAGAAGGGTAGGTGCACGGCTCTCCCCACCTTTCCCCCTCCTCATTCCGGCGCTGGGATGGATTGGCCGCTCGCACTGGAATGACGCGGAGACCCGCAAACACCACGGATTATGTGAAGGCTTCGGTCCAAGACCGATGCAGAGACCGACACCAGGGCCAATGCCGAGATCGAGGCATCGAGAGGCCGGCGGATAGCCCGGACACCAGTCCAGGCGTGGTATTCGTGCCAGGACACAAACGAAAGGCCGCGGACAACGCCGAACAGCAGCCGATCGACCAGCTCCGTCGAACGCTTGCAGAAGACTTCGCTGCTGACGCATGCTGCCTCTCTCTCTCACGCTGTCTCTCACTCGCTGGCAGGATGGAAGACATGCTTGGTCTGCACAGATACATTCCGCGCCGGTGCCTTTGACCAGCTGAAGCAGAACGCAACCAAGGCCAAGATCCCATACTTCGGCTCGTACACCGAGGCCGATCCCGTCGCCCTCGCCGCAGAGGGTGTCGGCAAGTTCAAGAAGGAGGGCTTCGAGATCATCATCGTCGACACCTCGGGTCGCCACAAGCAGGAGACTGAGCTCTTTGAGGAGATGAGACAGATCTCGAGCGCCGTCTCGCCCGATAACACCATCTTTGTCATGGACGGAACCATCGGCCAGGCCGCCGACGCTCAAGCCAGAGCCTTCCGCGAGACTGTCGACATTGGATCCATCATCATCACAAAGATGGATGGCCACGCCAAGGGCGGCGGTGCCATCTCGGCCGTGGCGGCAACGGAATCTCCAATCATCTTTATCGGCACCGGCGAACACATTCACGACCTGGAGCCATTTGCACCTCGGCCGTTTGTCAGCAAGATGCTGGGTGAGTTGCGTCGGAGCCGAGCATTGAATCGGCCTCCGTGGCGCCCCATGGCCTCCATACATTGCCTGCATGTACTAATGCGCCTTGTTGCCATTGCTGGTCGTGGCTTGCATCAGGTATGGGCGATATTGGCGGCCTGTTAGAGACCGTCGCGGACATGAAGACCAACCCCAACCTCATCAACCGCTTGGGCGAGGGTCTCTTCACCCTGCGCGATATGTACGAGCACTTCCAGAACATCTCGTCGATGGGCCCGATCTCCAAGATCCTGAGCATGATGCCTGGCATCTCTCCCGAGATGGCCCAGCTGTCGGAGAAGGAGGGCGGAAACCGCCTGAAGAAGTTTATGTGCATTATGGACTCGATGACAGACGAGGAGCTCGACTCCGAGGGCAAGCCCTTCCGGGACCAGCCCAGCCGCATCTACCGCGTCGCAAAGGGATCCGGCGCCCGGGTGGGCGAGATCGAAGAGATGCTGTCGATGGTGTCGCACTTCAAGAAGTTTGCCGAGGGTATGAAGAACCTCAACGGCATGGGCAAGAACTTGGCACAGGGGCCACCCGGCCGCGGCGGCATGCCCAGGATCGACCCCAGCCAGATGGCCCGCATGCAGAGCCAAATGTCGCAGATGCTGCCTCCCGGCATGCTGCAGCAGATGGGTGGCATGAGCGGCATCCAGGACATGGTCCGCCAAATGACCGAAAACGGCGGCCTGGCCGAGATGATGAAGTCGATGGGCGGAATGGGCGGAATGGGCGGCCTCGGCGGTCTTGGTGGCCTCGGTGGTCTTGGCAATCTTCTGGGCGGCGGCGGAGGCGGTGCTGGTAGTGGCAGCGGCAGCGGCAGTGGTGGACCATCGGCAAGCCCAGGCTCGAGCCGGGGCAAGCCCGCCGCTCGCGGAAAGGGCAGGAGGTAAGCGCCACAGTCGGAAGCCATGGCGATGCCTCCAGGGACTGTCCCGAGGAGCCGTGGCCACTTCGTGCGCATACTGTTGTTCTGCTGTTCCGAATTCTGTGCAGAAAGTAATATCTGATCAGTACAGTTGCTTTGTCGTCGACACAATCCGTCGCGCACGCACACAATGGTGCTTGGTGTTATGGTTCGTCTGCCGAGTCCGTCCCACGGAAAGAGGCGGCAGGCAATACTCACAGGCCCAGAGCAATCGGAGCTGTCGACTTTGGCTCGTTCACGGACAGGGGCACCCTTTCCCGGAGCAACAGGACGGCCGCGGCAAGCCGGATTTTGCCCAGCTTCCTCCTGCTCCTTCTGGTGCCTCTGCCCTCCCCGGATCTAGCCTGCGCCACCCCACTTGGGCTTGTGGATCCAGCTCTCGCCAGTGAGGCTGCACCCTTTCTGCTCGGCCAACCGGAGGAACTTTGCCGCTTCCAGCTTGTCCCTGGGAACGCCCATGCCGCGCAAGAGACAGTATCCGTATTCGAGCTCGGCATCGCGGTCGCCGAATGCAGCAGCGGCGCGAAAGTAGTAAGCGGCCGCAGACTTGGAGACCGGCGTGCCCCAACCGTGCGAGAGGCAGATGCCGATCTCGTAGAGCGGCAGCGGCAGAATAGCCTTGACGACTTCGATGTCGGGCGGCAGGGGCAGCGTGGTGTGAAAGGAAGTGGTGCTGTTGATCGAGCGGCGGGTAGCGACGCTCATCAGCGAGGCGACACTCTTGAAGACGCTGAGCGAGGCGGCACTTTTGAAGGCGCTGATCGAGCCCATGGGGCTACCGATGTGCGAGTTGGTGGGAATGGATTGGTTCGAGGTCATCGGGGAGGCCATCTGGGGCGTCGTCAGCTGTGCGCTGACGCCGGATATCGAGGGCTTTGAGGCATGGCTCTCGGCCTTGGCTTTCTGGCCGTAGGTCAGGCGCCGGATCAGGCTGTTTCGGCGGCTCTCGACGGCGCTTGTGGGCACATGCGTAATTTCTGCGGAAGCGAGGAGCGAGGGGCTGACGCTCGAGACGGACTTGGTGGGCTCCAGCTCTTCAGGAAGAGGCACACCCGTCGACCATCGCTGCTTGTTCTTGGGGTTGCCCGGGATTTGCTTTTCGTTAATGCGATCCAGAAGCTCCCTCTCCTTCCTGTCTCGCTCCATGCGCTCGGTGTTCTGGCGCTCGATCAGCTTCTGGGCGCGGATGATGGACGGGATGCTCAGGATGAGATACTCGGCCGAGTTGATGAGACACTGGAAGCCGCGATGTCGGCTCGGCTCGCGGCCCCAGCCGTGTCGCAGGCAGATCCCGAGCAGGAAAAAGGCCAGCGGGTTCTTGTCCTTTTGGATGGAAAGCTCCAGGTAGTAGATACTGATATCCAGCTCGGCCTGCTCGTGATAGTAGATGGCCAGTTGCAGGTAGTCGTCTAGGTCCACCCCGGGCGGTGGATGTGTGCCGTGAGGGGGTGTGTGGAGAGACAGCGCCAGTGGGCTATCGGCCGAAGTCGGGCTGGAGCTGTCCTCGATCACCCTGGGGATTTTGTAATGCTCGCCATCCAGGACCCGCTTGAGCATGATCCAGAGGCGCATGAGTCCTCGCGGATTGGCCTTGATCTTGGCGCGGACCTTCTCGTATGTCGTGAGCGGCTTGGAAATATCGATCTTGGTGTGGCGCAGGACCTGCAGATACGGATCGTCGCTGTTGATACGGGTGTCTCTCAGACGCATACACATCTCTCGCACATTCAGGACGTGGTCGATGTGCGACTGGATCAAGTCCAGGGTTTCCTTGGGCAGCTCGACGGCCTGGCGGATCGGATGTGGCCTCGACCCCGAGGCTTGGATCGAGGCAAGAGATTCGGACGTTGTCTGCTGTGCAAGGATCCGTGGGTCGTTTGAGCCCAGCCCGCCACTAACGACACTATCTGCTGGGGTTGAGTGGCTCTTTTCGATATGGATTTCGCCCGCCTCGTTGGCAGAGATGGTGATGCGCCGTGTAGGGCTTGGCGAGGAATCGGCGCGGCTGATAGTCAGCGGCACTTTGATTGAGGCCTTTTTCTTGATGGAGAGCTCCTGCATATTGCTAAAGTTCCATGCGTTGTGGTTGATGCCACCACCCGCAGGGCTGCTGGACGCAAGGCCCATCAAAATGCTCCCGCCCAGGTGCGAGCTTGCGCTGAGGGGGGTGTTGCTCAGGGCGCTACCGGTGAGGGGCGAGCTTACGGGGTTGATAGAACTGATGGGGTTGATGAAACTGATGGGGTTTGCAGAGCCGATAGCGTTGGCGGGATTGACGAGGTTGACGGAGGCGGAGTTGCTGGTGATGCTTGGATTGCCCATGCCGATCATACCGTTGCCGGTGGAAACGGAACTGCCGGTTTCAGTTGGGATCGTGACGCTGTTTCTGCCCATCCAGCCGACGATTCCCTCTACACTTGCAGTGTGCCGTCCGAGCCTTTTGGATTTAGTCGCTCGAACCACCGACGACCGGCTCTCGCTTTCGTTTGTGAAGGAGTACCCCGAGGCCGGAAGCGGGCCATTTGGGTTCACATCCGCGACCGAGTGGCTTCGCTCGTTCATGCCGCCGGATGCGCTCACGCCGCTCGCGCGGCCAACTGATGAGTTGCTTCCCAGGGCCTGGTCGACCGAGACCTTTTGTCGGTGGAGATGAATAGAGATGGCCGAGTTGCTGCTGAAGGCGCTGACGTCGCGCACGCGGCGAAGAGTGCCATCGGATGGGCCAGCGGGCTCTTCGCTCAGCCGATGAAACCTCTGCTGGATCACATTGCTCGAGGATATTTCGGAAGAATAGGATCCCGACAACGCATGCTCCATGTTGGCTACGAGGGTGTAGGTCGAAAGGGGAGGAGACGAGAAGCGTTGCAGAGTATTGAGGCTACAGATGACTGTATCCGTACAGAGGGGAGCCAGAACGGTCGAACAGACAACATCAGATGGATCCAAGCATCCGTATTCGCCTCAGACGAAGCCCTGGCTGTGGAAGTAGCCGGGTGCAAAGTGTGCAAAGTGTGCAGAGTGTGCAGAGTGTGCAGAGCGTCTCTCCAGATGGACGAGAGCAGAGTCGATGAACAGATACAACTTTGCGTGCCCTCTTCTCCAAATCTCTTGCCTCGATATCTCTTGAGTCGTCAAGCGTACCTACCGCACGTTGTCCGAATGCCGATGTCTGTGGAGATGTGCTTGTGACGAAAAGCCTCGCGTCAAGCAGCCAGCTGCAACTCCCCCAACGTCGACAGCTCCAGCGACAGTGTTTGACGGCAATATGGGACCGGCACCCTCGAGTATCGGGGTTGATGGGGGTCTTTGGAGATTGCACCGATACGATTGTACCGACACGATCGCTGTGGGCTCGTAGAGCAGCTTGTGCTTGCACACCAATGCGCAGACTTGACTCGAGTTGTCTCTCTCCAGGACAGATGGTGTCGCTTACAGGACGATGCTGCGATGTTGGCAAAGACGACCGCAAGGTCAAAGGCTGTGGCTACAGAGGAGGGGGAGCTCTCGAATAGAATGACGAGCCGGCCAAAGACGGCGCAGGGCCGAAACTCGATCCAGCGGCGGCAGTATAAGGAACATCGTCAAATATTGTCACGGATATCAGCGAGCTGTGATTGGATTCGGTTGAACCCCGGAGAAAAAATGGACACTCGCTGCAGACAAACAAGATCTTGCGGTAGGTCTCGGCCGATACAATGCAGGCACAGAGTAATGATCCAGCTATCGCCATTGATGGCAGTGCAAACACGGCTCTGGCAGTGGCTTCTCGGACGACAATACCGAATCGAGCCAATCAAGTGGCCAGCATATGGCAGAATGGCAATCGAATCCGGTCTGTGGTTGGAGCAGCAGCCACACTATCGGTGAATCGACCCTTGGTTCACCAACAACTGCTCGCCGCTGAGACGGGAGCTCGGAAAACACACCTTGTCGAGCCTGCACATGCGTGCTGCTGTATTCTGCATGTGCCGTAAGTATGATGCATGAAACAAAAGACCAACATGGATATGCGTGAGCGAAATGCGTGAGTGATTGCAAAGGGGGGGCGGAATGGGAATGGCAGATGAAGAATGGGAATGGCGTGCAAGGAGTGTAGTAATGCAGGTTTGTGGCCTATGATGGACCAGTGGGATGGACCGGGCTGTTCGATCCAGATGATAAATTGATGCGGAGACAATCGCACATCGACAAACAAAACGAGGTCTGGTTGGTGGAAGCAAAAATGGGCATGGCTGTGCCAGACACGACAAGCTGCGGATGGAGTACATATGAAGCATGGCCAAGGGGCCATGTCCCCTGCCAGCAAAGAGCGCCCTTGTCAACGAACATGATTCCTATCAAAGGATCACGCCCCCTGTCAACGAACATGGGTCCGGGGAGTGGGGTCTAGGACAGCGCCGTCATGCCGCAACTGTGCCGGCGCCCGTCTGGGATCGAGTCGCTTGAGATCGGCTCGCCTGCGATTGCCTCGCCTGCCGATTCCACATCTCTTGCTGGTCCAGGATAGCGACTGGGATGAACCCGTTGGTACCTCGATGGCTCCTTCCCATGGCCCAGCCATCTTCAAAGACTTCGTGAACCGTGAAGCTGTCGCCGACATTCAGCCGAAGTGGATCGGCCGTGGACGACGGCGACGGCGATGACGATGACAGCTGTCCCCCAAAGTTGGTGGTGACCGTGAGGGTTTTGCCAACGAGGCTGGATTTCAGAGTGCCCGGCAGGACAGTCGGCTCGATCAGCGATACCTCGAAGGGCCGTTCCTTGGGGTCGCATGGCACCAAGATGGAGATGGGCACGATGCCCCGCTGTCCCTCCGAGGTATGAACAAAAGCCCAGGCATTCTTGTAGATTCTGATGACGGTTAGGGTCTCGTTTCGTTGCACCGAGAGGCCGCCGATGATGTCGGCCTTGTGGTCGTGGATGATCCGGTAATAAATCACCGGCTTGGGATATTGATTGTGCCGAGGCGAGGCTGTGTACTGGCTGCGGAGAGTGGGTGTGCTGCTGGTGGTGGTAAGGGCTTTGGTTGCCAACATGCCGGACTCGCCCCGTTGGTTACGGCCGATGGCCGAGCCGTCGGGCAAGATCCTTTCGATCCGGATAACGTCGTCCAGCCGGAACTCAAGAGTCGAGCTCGCCACAGAGGCGAGGGTCTCGGCTGAGCTGCGGTGGATCCGCTTGCCCTTGCGTCGGGCGGGAGGAGTGGGTGTGGTGGCCAGACCGGGGGCCAAGATTTCCTCGGGCAAGTACCCACACTCACCCCGGTCGTTTTGGGCCATGACCTGGCCGTTCTTTTCGATGCGAAGGACATTGACCCGCTCATGCAGCTCGACATGCAGCTCGTTTGGATGAGAATGGATGTATGGATACCGGACGATGCGGGCGCCTGCGTCAGAGAGTGACAGAGTGAGTGAGTGAGTGAGTGAGTGAGTGAGTGAGTGGGTGAGTGAGCGAGTGAGTGGTGAGTGAGGGGAGGTAGGTTAGCGGAAGCTGCTGGATGATAAGGGTGCTGGCTCGCAGCCTGGCCGAGACGGCGAGCATGGGCTGGCCACCATGTACCAGATGCAGCATTCCGGGAACATGATCGCCAGAAGCGACCAAACACCTCGGGGAGGGATGGCCGTGCTGGGATCTGCTGTGTCCGGGGGTGTCCGGCGAGACTGCAACTTACCGAGACGAGTCGTCTCAGGCAGGATGCGGTTTGAGGACGGACCGGTGTCCTGGTCGAGGACCGCGAGTGCCATGCGCACCTGGGCACTCGGTGTCGGGGGTTTCGTCGTCGGGGTAGAGCGGTTGAAGGCGGAAGCCATAGCGAGTGACGATCGCCGAGCAAGGTTCGCCAGGCGATCCGGGAAAGCGATGAAGCCGCTGTCCTTGAGCATGGCCCGGAGCGAACGAGGACAGAGAGACGAAGGGCGGCTGGATGGCGAGAGAGGGCCTGCTCAGCTCCAGGGCAGGGCCGGTGGATAAAGAGACAACAGGAAGCGATCAAGGGAGGATGACCGGGCAGACGGCAAGGGGACCAACTCGGCGATTGGGATCGCAAACAGAATGGCACGAGGTGGGAAGTACGGGCGAGCTGAGCAGACGGCTCGCTGGGCAAGCGGGTGGAGTCGGCGATGGAGATGAAGCGGGTGTTTGGACAGGGCATGCGGGTTCGATGCAGCGGTGAACGAGTGATATCGGTGGATGTGCACTGGAGATGTGTGATGAATTGTGTGATGGAGTTGTGTGATGAATTGTGTGATGGAGTTGTGTGATGAATTGTGTGGTGAATTGTGTGGTCGAGACGTGGGGTATGTATGCGACAAGTAATCAACAATGTATGTAAAAGTGCGTGGCGACCCACGTCGGTGGTTTATGTATCGCAATAGTGAGTGAGAGAAGCAAGACACAATGGGCGATGGATGTGGAAGCGTGGAGACTGGTGCAGGAAGAGACAATGAATGTAGAATAACAACTGATGCTTCCGCCGACGCGATATCTCCGTCTGCCCACCGAGCGGCATGCGGATATCTGCTGGTGGAGCAGCAAAGTCGCTCGCCAAACGAATGTCGTTCGAAACACTCGAAGGACCCCCTCGTCGGTCTGCCGGTGCGGCCAGCCAGACCGAACATCCACCGGGCAGAGCTGTTGCCGTCCGGTCACAGCATCGGCCGCTGTCCGAGATCCGCGAGAGCCAGGCCGTGCCGTCGACCCGCCTCGTCCTCTTGGGGCAGCCCATCCTCTGCTGCCCTTGAAGCACTCGGATTCTTGCTCGCCCCTTGAGCCTTTCTCTCCGTCAACCCCCTCGTCGATCCATCGTCGATTCATCGTCGCCGTTCGATCTCTGCTCGGCTCGTCAAATCACGTGGCAGCCAGCCAATCGCCGCACGAGCCCCTGGCCTGGATCGGCATGGCACTCGGCGCATGGCGTCGATGTTGGGCTCTTGAGCACACCCTGGACGAAGGCAGCTCTGTGCCGGCCAGAGGATCTCGTCACGGCGGCGCACTGCAGCGGTGCGGGAGTCGAAGATGTGGCCGATAGCCACACGGGGCGATCGACAGGATGTGTCCTATTCCAGAGCAGGGTATCCCGTTGTATCCTCGTTTCTTGCCCGCCCTGCCCAACACCAGCCGTCCTGGTGCCCTTGGTCGATCTGCACCCGCACCGTCAACTGCACTGTCCACAGCTCGCCATCCCCCGGCCTGAACCCGTCCATCCATGTCCACATCCAGTCCGCCGCTCGCACAGGCCCTGCATTCGCTCGGCCACCCACCCCTCATCTACACATCCTGCTACTGCGAAGAAAACTGCTACAAGCTCGTCGAGCGGCTGCGGTCGCTGCACGTCGATCTGCGGTCTGTCCATGTGGTCTTTATCTCGAATCCACACGAAAGAGCCATCCTGTGGCGGCAAAAGTCGTCGACCTGGGGGCTTAATGGCCAGGTTATCTGGGTAAGTCGGCCTGAAGCCACGTCTTCCTGTCGGGCCGTCCGTTGCTCCATTGGAACGCATGCCACTGGCTCTGTCGGCCCTGCCGCAGTCTTAACTTCAATTCACTCCGGATTTTAAATGGCCGATTTCTTTCGACCGGCCTCGCTGACGATGGGGTGCGGGCTGCTGCGTTCTGCAGGACTATCATGTCATTGTCGTCGTGAAGAGCCCGGAGCTGCCGTAAGTTGTTCAGCTTCGTTTGCCGGCTCGTCGGCAATCCGGTGTCCCTCGCCAGGAACAGCCCAGGGCATCATTCGAGCTACAACCGTCCCTGGAATACTGATCGATAGCTGCATGTGGTATCCCTCCAGCCACGCTCTCGTCCTCGATTTCGACACCACCCTGCCGCTCCTCTGTCCCTTTCCGACTTATGCCCGTGAGGCTCTCTATCCCAACGGGTATCAGGCCTGGATCCGTGATCTCGGGGCTCGGTGCGTCCACAAGGGAGGGTTGGCCATTGGCGAAGGATGGAGGATGGCTGTTGGTGTCAACGGTTTATTTTGTCGACGGTGCTCTGAGCATTTGCATAGCAGCTGAATGACCGACCGACAAACTGACCGACTGACTGGCCGAATTGGTTGTCTTGTTGGTCCAGTCTCTACCGAGTTGTCTCTGGCGACGCTTTTCTTGAACACTTTGCAAGCGATCGAAGCCACATGGTCTGCAGCTGCATACGAATGGCCCGGCGTCTTGGTGGAAGGCAGCGACAGCATCGCTGGCTCGGAACGACCCATCTTGTCCCGCTGCTCACCAGTCCCATTTCGTGCTGTAGATTGCCGCCGACGGAACCTACAACTCGCCGCCTCCGTCCTATCCGCCGATCAAGACAAAGGGTATGCAAGAATATGGATCAGTTGTTGCCCAACTGTCTCAGCGTCTCGATCACACGGGGGAGGGGCGAACACGGCCTCGGTATCTCATCGGCCATTCCGGTCGCTCACGATCTCGCCCGCGTTCCAGATTCGACCATGAACTTGGACAGCTACCGCAAAATGTCTCTTGCAGAGCCGAGTGCGGATCGAAGTGACTCCAAGTTTGGCACTCTGTTCACCGAACAGCAATTCTGCAACTATTTCCTCGGCGACGGCTCGGGATCGTCCGGCGAGTAGGATCAGGGGAAACGAAGGAACTCTGGCGAGGAATGCGGCGCTCCTTTGGGAGAACCAGGAGCACCTCAAACAGTCCGAACATGCTGGGCCTCGCCGTGGGCAAGGCGGGAGGGATGGTGGCGCACTTGACAATATTAGAGAGGATTTAGATCGCTTGAAGCACCAATGTCGGCTTTCCGGCACATGCGCTGAGTACCTTCCAGACTCTACAGTCAGTCATGATACATGGACAGATCGAGGGGGGATGGATGTGACGCTCCAGGCCAGAGAAACAGGAATCGAAAGTGCTGTAGATAGCCATGGTGGTGGCAGGGAGTTCATGTATTCCGCAACCAGGAAACCAACAGAACACACAGTCGCCCGTCTCAGAATCAGATGTCCCGTTCCATGTGTACACAGCCTGAATGAGGGCGAGTCATGAAGGAAGAAAGCGAAAGATAAATCCGGTAAAACAAAACAAAACAGCAGAAGCGTGAATGCGGTATGAGAGGAACCGAGCCCGCGATGGCAAGAAAACCCCCCCCCACCTTGTGAATGTGTGGGGCGAGAGGCGGAGGGGATTGTGCTGGAAGCAAAGGGAGCCCAGCCGAGCAAGAGAGGATCGATGGCGTGAAGAGAGTGGATGCGGTCGGATGCAACTTGATCATTAGAACCCAATATACAGAATCCCAAAACAAGGGAGATGATGCCAAGGCGAGCGTGGAGCAACGTGAGGGCAAGGGAAAAGGCCGATAGAGAGTGTAGGAGAGACTGAGGGAATAGATGGATCCACGAGTGGATGGACGGATGGACAGAGGGACGATGTGGTTGCGACGCACCGGGACTCGAATTCCGGCATCGCATGCGTCGGGGTGGGGCTGTACTTGGCTTGTTCGGGCAGCGATTTCACTTGTTTGTGCTTCCGTCCGATTGGTGGCACTGTCCATGACCCTGGTTCATCGGATGCAGCTGTCGAGCGAATCGAGTCGATCGGGACTTGGCGGTGCAGCATGACATCGCCGCCAAGTCCTCATGGCGCTGTCCTTGTGTGGGGCTATCCATGTTGCTGCCAAGCTGCTCCGCCTACGGTGAATATGGTGGAGGCGGCTCGTTGGGTATGTCAAGGGACGGCACAAAGGCATCCACGCTGTTCAGGGCTCCATCTAGCCGGCTCGGGTCGTCGGGGTCGCTTTGTGGAACATTTGCGTCTTGGTCAACCTCACTGTCGTCAATATCGGCATGATCGTCAGCGTCGTCGACACTGCTCCCGCGATCGTCAAGTGCATTTTGCAGATCAACCGTGCCCGCGCTCGCTAGTTGTGCGCTGTTGAGGACAGAGCGGTCCCAGGTTGTGGCCGTGGTCGGTGTCGTCGACTCGGTCGAGACGGTCAGGGTGCTGAGGTCGAGCGGTTCGATATGGAAGACAGGATGGTCACGGCCGGCGGGCTCGTCGTCCGGACGGGTACTTTGCATCTCGTCCGGCAGTGCCTCGTTGGACTGCTGGCTTTGCGGGCTCGGCTGCCCATTCGACTGCTCGTTCTGTCGAATATCTGGCCGCATGTCGGATCGCGGATTTGATCGCCTTCTTGTTTGTGAGTTCCGAGGGTCGGGCAAGGCAGCAGCAGCAGCGGCGGCGGCAATATCAAAGTCGGACTGATGTTCCGAGTACGGCGGATGCCAGACCTCGCCTCCGACCACTTTGTCGTAATCCAGCGTTGGAACCAGATGAGGCTCGCTTTCTAGGAGGGCGGCACACTCCTTCTTGCCAACCGAGGTCAGACAGCACCCGCACTCCACCACGATCTTCTCGGCTCCTTCCAGCTCGATGGTGATCTGGATCGAGTGCTTGACGTCGATACGGGCCGGAGTCTGGCCCGTTTGGATGTCGTGGTCGGGCAGGGGCTCCTCGTTGGAGCGGGGTGTGGTTGGATAGAAGCCGCCGCGCGACGGAATGCGCAGGACCACCTCGGTCTCAGCGTACAGCCCGTCGCCCCCGCCGCCGTAGCCACCGAGTCTCGGCAGAAGACTTGGCCGATATGAGGCATAGAAGTGGTGTCGCCGCGGCTGCGAGTCGACCGAGTCGTTGGAGAAGTTGAGGCCCATGGGAGCATCGCCAAGGTCTCGACGGCTGCTGCTGCTTCCGGCGTGGTCGTCGAACGAGTTCAGGCTTCTCCGCGAGGGGCCAGGGCCCGAATCGGTGCCGACCGAGCCCCCGTCGCTCTCGAGGCTCATTCTGTTCTTGGGGACAATCATCTCGCTCCGCGGCCGCAACTCGGCAAGCTCGTATCCGCCCATGACCGGGTGGGCGTCCGGGCCCTCGTTCTGTTCCCACCGCAGGATCTCCAAGACGCCTCGGACGTAGGAGCCGCGATTGTCGCCGACGAGATGATGCTCGCGCAGCAGAAGCCTCACCCGCTTGATCCGAATGCCTTCGTTGGCGGCATCGGACGAGATCGACACTCGGTAGTTGAAATGCAGATCGTCGCCAGGGCCAAGGACGGTGGGCTGCACGTCGACATCGTATTCGCACGGGTATGCCCGCGGAGCCGATCGCCACTGTCGGGTCTCGGGGTGCAGGATGCGGGGTATCAGTCGTGGGTCGTAGACGACAAAGCCCTCGACCCGCTCCGAGGCGGTGCGGGGGCCTGGCCGGTAAAACGTCGACGGGAGCTCCTGGAGTTCGACATGGAGCTCATAGACGGTATGGGCCTCGTATGGATACGAACGGTTGGTGACTCCGAGCAAGTGGGAGCTGGCCGGCAGGAAATACGGCGTGGCCGAGGGATAGGCATGCGTGGGCGGCCGGTTGTAGTCCTCGGGAGCATCCGGGAAGGGCAGGTCAAAGGGAATGTCCAGGATGGTCTCGGGCGGCAGAATCTCGTTCTCGAGCAGGTCGGCGTAGATTTCGCTGAACAGGGTGCGCTCACGGTTGACGACCTCGTACGAAGGTTGGCAGGAGCAAGTCTGCTTGCCCCGAAGATAGACCCGAAGGTGCTTGACCCGCACCGACCACCGGTCAAGGGCCGTCAGGCGGACCAGACCCCGGACCGATGCCGGCGACAGGCCATAGTAGCCGTTCACAAAGGTGGCCTCGTCCGGCAAGGGACGAACCGAGACCGAGGGTGCCATGGCCGGATGGGTGTCCTGGGCGGTGGGCTGATGCTGGACAGCGGTGCCGTTTGGGCTGAAGAGGTTGGGGCGTTGATCGTTGTGGGCAGGCGCAGGCTTGGTTGCAGAGGAATCCGACGGCAAGCAATGCACAGGGCCGACGGATCAGAATGATCCGTGCGAGAGAGAGAGAAAGGCTGGCAGTGGGTATGCAAGACGGTCGTCGGCAGCGCTGAGGCCGGGTAGAGCGCTGGATGAACCGACAAAGCGGATGAGTGGGAGGGGGGGGAAGGAAAACGATGGACGGACGGAGCAAAGCCCGATGGGCAGACAGGCCGGCGACAAAGAGCCACAGGCAATGGCGAGACGGCTGGACGATACCTGGGGGCTGTGGCTGGGAGAGAGGCAGCTCGAGACGGTCGCCGGGGGGGGGAGGACGGCGGTGCTGATGCAAGCAACGGCAGAGATGATATCGGCGGCGACGACGCAGCGACGGTGTCGATGGCGGTGGTCCGATGACGGCCAAGGAGGGCGCCGGGCGAGCTTGGCGGGTTTGGTGCGGCCGTGGTTGCATCCCCTGGCTCGCCACGGCGGGTGGGAACGACCCTGGCGCACGGCGATGGAGGTAATACTTCGGTGCTGGTGTTGATATTATGCGATGGAGGTAATACTTCGGTGCTGGTGTTGATATTATGCGATGGAGGTAATACTTCGGTGCTGGTGTTGATATTATGTGGCGGAGGTCATTTCCATCGGAAGAGCAACGCATTTGCATAATCCAGGCATTGTGGATGTGTATTGACATTCCCAGTCCCCGGACACACTTAGCACTGCCATAGCCGCACACCTATTCGGCATCCTCGTCGTCCCACTCCCCGTCGTCGTCGTCGTCCAGCACACCGAACGCCTCGAGTTGCTCGCGCAGCTGGGTCTTGTCGGGATACTTGGCGAGCACTTCCACCAGGATCTCGATGCCCGTTTCGTATGCCTCCAGGACCTGGTCGTCATCAGCAGCCGTGGTGCTCTGCAGAATGTACGCTTGGCCGAGCTTGAAGAACAAAGCCAAGATCGACCCCACCCCATGAGCAAAGGGCGATTAGCCAGTGGCCGCAAACGCTGCCGTCGTCTCTCCGTCATTGGCACCTGGCACTCACCATTTCCGAGATGTTGTAGTAGAGATCACTGTCTCTGTCGCCAACGAGATCTCGGGCCTGCGACAGCCTGGCGACGGCGTCAGCAGTTTCTCGGGATCCATCGTCCCTTGGATCAGTGGAAGACTTTTGCTTGACATCGGCCAAATAGTAAAGCGCCATGCCATGGAGTTTGAGCGCATCGGCATCCGGACGTTTGGCATCGCTTCCTTTGCCGATGTACCGAAGGGCCTGGACCAGCGTCTCGATCAGGTGGGAAGGGTCTGTCGGCCATGCATATCCATCCCAAAGCGAGTCAGTGTCCACTCGCAACGATATCCACCCGACACTGGCATGTGGATTCCATCACTGCGGCCCGACACACGGGCTGCCCAGACTGAGCAAACGCACTCTTCTTTCTCTGGTCCTTCTGGAAGAGAGCATAGTCCAGATAGGCCGATCCAACGACGATCCAGTTCTTCCTGGCCTCTTCTCCTTCGGCTTTGAGGTGCTTCTGAGCCTACACATCAGCGGAGCGACGTCTCGGTGAGGGGTAGGTTTGCCATATCGAGCTGCAAGGATCGAATGCCATCTCTCCTTGGTGCTATCGGCCACTGTGCTGTCTCCAAGCCCATGCCGTGCACGTTGTCCGAGCCTCTCCTCAACCTACATTCTCAAAGTCGCTTCCGGCCTTCTTGAACATCTCGAGCTCGGTCTTTGGCACCTTGTAGAGCTCGTCAAGTCCGTCGTCTTCGTCTTCCTCTGCATCCTCGAGATTGAACGAGTCTTTGCCGGCTGCGTCGTCGTCGTCTGTGATGCCGCCGGTCGAGCGAATCCAGAGCAAGCGGGCTTTGCCGAGTCCGAGCCATGCAGGTGCCGAGTCTGCTTGGGCCTGGACAACCTTGCTGTAGATCGCAATAGACTCTTCGAGCATTGTCCGCACCTTGATATATGCACCTGAACCGAGAGAATGTGTGATATGGGGGCCGGTGAGCGCAGCGTCGATGCAACAATGCCGACTGACGATCTTCCAGCCGATCTCGTACCAAAGTCGCGCAGGCAAGAGGCATGGACCAGCAGATCCTGAGCGTCCTGAGGATTTTCCTGCTTGAACTTTTCGGCAGCCATCTCGAATATCTTGGTGACGACGACTCGGGTATCTTGCCGGTCACCCGAGAGCGCCTCAGGCCGGGTGGCCGAGGACTTGGGGTTGCCGCTCTGCTCGTCCAGGGCAAGCAGATACAGATCCGAGGCCGAAGGGTTGCCGCTGAAGACCAGCTCGAGCTCGCCCAGAGCATCCTTGGGCTCGTCGCTGGGCTGGTCCAGCTTTTGGCGTTTGCGATGGGATTCAGACATGGAGGCAGCGGGGATGTGCAGATTGGATCGAGGCAGGGCCAGTGGCAGGCGATCCCCATTCAAGAGCTCGGCTTTTGGCTGGCGGCCATCCGCACCCGCCCTGGCCTCTGTTGGTTTGCTCCCGGCAATGTCGCAAGAAGCAACGGTCCTCTCGCTCTCCAAAGAGCACATCCTCAAGTGCTTCCATCGCTTCCGGCAGACCCACCCCGGGCAGCCGTTCGTCGTTGCTGTCTCGGCCCCACAAGGTATGCGCTTGCAAGAGACACAGCATGGAAATCCAATCGATTGTGCCAGGCGAGCGCGCTGATCTCATCCGCCGCAATATCACAACCTGCCTCCATCGTCGTCGGCTGCCAGTCTCATGCCTGCTGCTGACGGCATAATATCGCTTCTCCCTTTCTTTCCTCTGTCGCAATGCGCGACGGATGGATGCTGCAGGCAGCGGCAAAACGACGCTCACCCGCAGCCTCGAGAGCGAGCTCTCGTCGCTGAAGCTCGGTGTCGTCAGCTTCTCAGTTGATGACTTTTACTTGACCTTTGCCGAGCAGAATGCCGTCGCGCAGCAGCCCCTGGCTTCAGGCAGCCCCAATGCTCTTCTCCAGTACCGAGGCAACCCGGGCACTCATGACGTCGAGCTGGGATCTCGGCTGTTTGCCGCTTTGACTGCGAGCCATGCCGAGCATCTCGGCGACACTGCGGCCCAAAGAACCGTCTCGATCCCGATCTACGACAAAGCCTTGAACCAGGGCCGTGGCGACCGTCTTTCGCCGGGGCTATGGAGGACCGCCAAACCGCCGTTCGACATCATCCTGTTCGAGGGATGGTGTCTGGGCTTCCGAGCCCTTTCCGACGCCGTGCTGGTCGAGAGATATTCGGCCGTCATTGCCGGCGATGCCGAAAGCGTTGATCCCGTCTCTGGAACATCCATGGTCAACACCAGGCGCTGTCGGCTCGAGTGGCTGCAGGACATTAATGCGCGGCTCCGGCAGTTCGAAGACCAGTGGTATCCGTTTTTCGAATGCTTCGTCCATATCATCCCGGATTCCATCTCGCACGTCTATCGCTGGCGGATCCAGCAAGAAAACTCGATGCGCCAGCAGCTTGGACAGCCTGATGCCGGCCTCACCGACGACCAAGTGCGTGACTTTGTGGACCGGTTTATGCCTCTGTACGAGCTGATGATGCCGACGCTCTGCCGAGACGGGCTCCTCGGTGACGGTCGGTACATTCAGATCCATATCAACGAACAGAGGGCCTGTACGGGCACGCGGGTCATCTAGATGGCCTGCTCGTAGCCGATCTGGACCTGGTGTCTGGAAGGGTGGTCGCAATACACACCCGTTCTGTGATCCGGCTCTATCATACATGCGGCCGCTGCTCATGCCGAGCCTGGGAGGCGTCTCGCGATGGGCATGAGATACTTGCCAGACCCAAGTTCCATGATTGAAAGAGGGGTGCGCCAGACCCAAGTTCCATGGCCGAATCATTGCCGGGATTGATCAGTGATGCTGCGCATCGCTCTGGTCACGCGGATGGCAGGATACCCACGTGACATGCATCGCGAGTCGATCGGCTCGCCTCGCTTTCCAGCATGCTTCCCAACTCACTTCCCAGCCACCATCTCGGCCGCATCAACGGCGACAATCCGACTGGCTCGTCCGCTCGATCCCGGCCCCAAAGCAGTTTGCTCCAAGTCGTATCGCCAATCCAGCTGCGCAATGGCTCAAAACCAGCAACAGGAGCCGGCCTCAAGTCTGCCATCCTATCTGAAACGCAACCCCGTCCTCTTCGTTGCCAAGGCCTCGGCGATCGCGGGCCTGTCGGGGGCAACACTGGGTGCAGCCATGGCGGCCATCCGGCTCCAAAATGTGGTCTCGTGGTCGGTCGTTATGGGCTCGAAATGGGCTGGTCTGGCCCTGCCGTTCTTTGGTGGGTGGTTTGCTCGGCCATTCGCCGATCCGCCGATCCGCCGATCCGCCGATGCCGCCGATCCGCCGATGCCGCATCCTTGCCTGTTCACCTTCATGCCGGTCGCTAATCTGTTGGTCCGCTGGCTCAGGCATCCGAGAGGGCATCCTGCGCTACAGAGCACATGCCAACGAGTCGACAAACACACCTCATCTGCTCGTTCGCGACAAGGATGAGCTGATTTCAACAGCGACCGCCGGGTCGATCATCGGTGCCGGACTCGGGCTCCTCTGGAGTAAGCCCCACCCACTGCCGACATCTGTCGAGTGCATTCGGTCTCTGCTGGATGATGAGCTTCCCGTCTTGCACGGGTCTCTCTCGAATCGGCAAGCTGTGGTGTTGTTATTCCTGAAACCTGAGCTGCTGTTCCTGACGATCCTCTGACCTGTGTGTATCATCGTCGTCGATCAGGAGGACCCATGGCCGTGATTCCTGGCTCGGTCATGTATGCACTGCTGACGGCGTCCGGTCAGATGGGGTACACCTATCTGCGTCACTACCGACAGCGGGTAGGTGTCGATCTGCTGAACCAGCAACTGTCGCCGGATTCCCAGGCCGATTCCAAAGACGACTGGTACAACAAGCCCTTCCGCAGCGAGCCCATTCTCGACCCTCAAAGATCGACCTGGGATCCGATCAAAGATGCATACCACCATGTCCGTGATTTGATCATCGGCCCCGTGGGCCACGATAGCGAGTACCAGGTGCCGTCGTGGGCCTCGCCGCTTGCCAACGCACTGGACATGGAGTACCGAAACAAGCTGAATTCGTATATCGCCACACTGGAGTTCCAGATTGCGGAGGTGTCGCAAGCGAATCGTGCTCTGAGGGCGCAGCTCGATGTCGCCGACAACGTTCCGAGCGAGCGAAAGCTCGAAACCGAGTCGCCTTTCCAGTGGCAGCCCATGGAGAAGCAACTCGAGACCCTGGCCAGCCGCTAGAATGGCTCGATAGGCGAAAGTTGCACCCAAAAATGTCGACCCTGATGCAGCTGGCTTACCGCCACGCCCTCGTTCGAGACGCTGGGTATGCCAAGGACCCATATTCGATCCCCCTGTTCGGCATCAGACTCGCTGTATTATCACTTTCAACACCCCTCGATGCAGGGCCGTTGTTCGTCCCGCCTTGCGTCCATGACGGACACTTTGAGGCAATCTGCAGTCTTGGCCCCACACTCCAAGCGTTTGTCGGCGACATTTGAGGGGCAATTAGACAAGCAAGCAATCATAAATACATCATACAACCCCGCCCTTCCAGTTTGCAGCTTTAGAGCTGGATGGCTGCTGCAGGCGCCGAGCCGCGAGTTTGTGCCGAGTCGGGCTCCGAAATCGTCTTGCTCCGAACCGACTCGTCGTGGATTATGAACTCTGAGTGCGACTGAACCGATGTCGTGGTATGCGCGGATGTGAGGAGTGTCGGAGGCGAATGGTAATGTACCGACTGCGAAGGTCCGGTGGACATGTTGAATCCACCGCCCGAGAATCGTGGGCCCGAGGATGGATGTGCCTTGATGAGCTTGGGATCGGACAGGTTTGAGGTATAGTTGGGCTCTAGGCTGGTGACCAGGGGTGAGCAGGGGCCGCGTGAGGTTAGCAACGCTGATTTCTGGGACTGCAGCTGGAATTATCGCTGCTGCTGCCATCTGGAAGCACCGCCGACACTGTCGATGGCGCTCCAAATCTCGGTGTCCCTCTTCCTCCATTCTTGGCGGCAGATCCTGGGTTGTCGGTGCTCACAACAACCCCGAATCTAAGGCTGGCTTTGGACAGCTGGTACCTACCCCGTCATTCCTCCGGCAGATCGCTCCGTCTTGTCTCCTCCATTCTTCTTGCGGTCTTCTCGATCTCGTCGCCGTTGCTCGTAGTACTTTTTCTTGACCTCCTGGAGCTCCTTGGAGAGTCTCTCGATCTCGTACTTGTATTCGTTGACTTGCGAGTGGTACATGTTGAGCTCAGAAGCCAGCGACTGGATGTCAGAGAATGTGTGAGTCGCACAGCAGTGTGTGTGTCGGTTGCTCAGCCTCTAGTCCATGCCAACTTGGTCCGCTGTGGAAGCCCTTACCTTGCACTCTCTCATCTTGGTTTTGACGGCCTCCTTGACCACTCGTAGCTCTTCGACAATCTCTGGCCCAGGCTGTCGCTGGAGCACCTCTTTGATTTCTTTGTACAGCTTTTCCTTCTGCTGAATCACCAGCTCCTTCTCGACAACCTCCTCGGTCTTGGAGATGAGTCGCTTCTGCAGAGCCTGGATCTTGGTGATCAGCTCGTACGTCGAGGGATCCGATCCAGAGAGCTTTCTCCATCGATGGATATTCATGGGCGACTCCAGCTCCTCTAGTGATGCATTGGCGGTGGTGAGTGTCCGCATGACAGAATGTCGCTCGGCAGGGATGCCATCGCGTGGATGATTTGTGCTCCACACCCCGCTCCTGTTGCCCGTTGATGGTCAGCAACAGGCCTCACTACTCACCCTCGAGAACCTTGACTCGTGTTCTTTCGCGGAGCACTTCCCTTTGCAACCGAAAGATCTCGTTTCGTAAGCCCTCGACATTCTGTGTCTCGGTCTGGAGGATGGCCTTCTCGCGTCTGAGCTTCTTGATCTCGAGCTTGAGCACGCGGATGTCTTCGAGCCGCTCGCGATACTGGATCTCTCCCTTGTTGAGCGTCGATATTTGGATCTTGATTTTCTCGTACAGAAGCGAAAGTTCGTCATTTCGGCGAATCAATTGGGTTCCGAGAATGTCCTGGTTGAGTGAGTGAGTGAGTGAGTGAGTGAGTGAGTGAGTGAGTGAGTGAGTGAGTGAGTGAGTGACAAGTCAATTGAGTATATCTCGTTTCCTCATGCCCCAACTGCATTGGCTGAAGTACACAGTCGGTGCATAATCGGTCGCATAGTTCTGTAGCATGCATCGATCCAGTCGGCGCTTACCCGCTCCTGCACGACGCCGTCGTACTCTTTCTTTTGCTTCAGCCTCTCGGCGTCAGCCTCTGCGATGATGTGTCGGAGCTTGCTCTCCTCTGCCCTCTACATCACATGCCGATGTTTGTCGCGAGCATATCCGTCAGTCATCTGAATGCTCAAGCGAGATGCAGTGCAGACATCAAAGCTGATTATGCTCAATTTGCAGCTGGCACTGAGCAACCGAATCCAACGCAAGGCATGAGCAGAGACTCGACCCACTTGATTTTGGATTTGGTTCTGAGAGTCCTCGTACTGCAGCTGGAGCTTGCCGATCTGGATGGAGAGCGCTTCCTTCTCCTTTTCCAGCTTTGAGTGCTCAAAATGCTCCTTGACCAGAGCTGTTGTGCGAGGCGTTCATTAATGGCGTCTTGCAGCACCACTTTGCTCATTGGGGCGTCGACCAAGTTGACCGAGCATGATACTGTTTCTCTGGCAACATACTGCTCGACTGTCGAGAGCCACACATCATTCTCCATCATTGCACGCTGCATCCTGCACCACGATTTTGTCTTCTGCAACAGTGCATCCTCCCACTTTCGCACCAGATTCCTTGTTCGATATCTCCTCTTTTAGCTGTTGGATCTGGTGGTTCATGATCTTGAGCTTTCTCTTCATTTCCGTGATCTCGTCCTGAGACTCGATCAGATTCTTGGAGTACAAATTGCGATCGGCTCGAACGTTCTCGTAGAGCGTCTGAAAATACACATGACGCTGTCAGAGCTTGTGTGCTCATTGCTCACTCGGGTTGTGCATCGACGAGGCTGGCCGTGTGTCGCCAAGATTGACACTGTGCACAGCGGAAGCAGTATACCTGCTGTTCCTTGAGCTTCCTTTCGACATCGGCAATCTTTTTCTTGGTGTCAAAGATGGTCATGTCTTTCATTTTATTCTCCTCTTCCTTTGTCGAGAGCTCCTGCTCTTGCTTCAAGCACTCGTTGATGTGCCTGTCGCGATCCTTCTCGAGCGAGTAGATGAGCTGGTTGTGCGAGAATGCGGATGCAACGGTAGATGCAAAGGTAGACGCAAAGGTAGAAGAAGTATATATCCTGGATCAGTATCACTGCGGACATATCAATTGGCAAGCATTTGTGGGATTGCGAGCGAATCAGCCCAGTTTGCACCTTTCTCATCTTGGAGGCCTCGTCCTTGTACGCCATGATCTCCTGCTCCAGGTTGCGCTTGGTCTGATCAGACAGCTTGACAATGTTGGCCTGCTTTTGGGTTGCTGTCGTGGCCTTGATAAAGTTCTTTTGGGCAATGTCTCGCTCGCGAGTGAGGTTCTCGATCTGCTTGTGGGTGTGGTCCAGCTCCTTCTTGGAGGCCTCGAGATCGTGGACGAGTCCCTGGTTGATGCCCTGGAAGCCATAATTGCAAAAGTTGAGTCACGACAATGCGGATGTGCTGGGTATATCGCTATTCAGATGGAGATATATACCCTGCACATGCCATCCTGGGCGCACTTGCAGTCGCTGCTTGCCCTGGCAATCGAGTCAATCGCCAACTACGCACCCTGAGAGAGTCTCGGTCCATCTCTGCTTCGTATTTGCTTTCTTCGAGTCCCTTGACCCGCTTGTAGAGCGAATCCTTGACCCTCGCTACATTTTTGAGCTCCTCCTTGAGCGACGAGATTTCTTCCTCCCAGTTCTTGAGGCCCATGGCCTGCCGCTGGTTGTCGTCCAGCAGTCGGTTGGTGGTAAGGAGCTGCTCCTCGTATTCTTGCTGCAGCTTGCTCCATTTGCCTGTGAGCTGGTCTCGCTCTTTCTCGATGCGCTCGTTCTTTTGCCGCTCCTCCTTCAGCGACACCTCAAACTTGGATACATTCTCGCGCAGAACCTTGATTTCCCCTGTCTTTTGCTGGAGCTCGGCATCTTTCTTGGAGATATCACTGCTCTGGCCCTTGACAGTATGCTCGAGCTTGTCGCGCAGTCGCAGCTCCCGATCCTGTTCGTTTTTCTTGGTTGCCAGTAGCTCCTTGAGAGTCTTCATGTCGTTTTCGAGGGACTCGTGCTCCTTGACCAGCGTTTGATACCGGACCTCTTGGTCTTCAATCTCGATTCGCAGGCCGCGCTTGTCTGCAAATGCAAACTCGAGCTCCTTCTGGACCTCTTCTCGTTGCTGGGTGTCCCACATGGTATTCCGTTGAGAAGCAACCCGTGAGTGTTCCGATCGACATGGGAATCGTTCGAGGCCGCGGAAGTAAGCCACAGCCCAAGTGAGCTTGCGATCCATCGGCTTAAGGAATCTCGATTGTGCCTTTGCATCGGCATCACCATCGAATGCCACCGCAAACACCCGGTCGACATAAAGCCGCTGCACCACGAATCGAGCGGCAGTTCATGCTTCCCCTCGGCCCACCACGCATCCGCCACGTATCCGCCATACCTTGATCAGCTCCTTGATTTGCTCTTCCTGAGCCATCTGAATCTCGATCAGCTTGTCTCGCTTGAGTCCGCCCACCCCGGCAGTGCTGATGGCCAGCGATGCCGTTTTGCTGAGCCCAGCCTCGGCGGTTACCCGTTTGAGTGCATCAACCTCGGTGCGAAGTGAGGCAATCACCTCCTTGGCCCGATTCTCCTTCTCCTGCGATGCCTCCACCACCTTCCAGGCCTTCTTGATTTCCTTCTTGAGGGTCGTGATCTGGCTGCGGTCATTCTGAGAGAGCTTGAGGGCTGCCTGCACCTTGGCGGCATTCGAGGCCAGCTCGGAATTCATCTCCTTGCACTTGCGCATCAACTGCTTTTCGTTCTTGCGACTCTGGATGAACAAGCCATGGATCTTGTCGTACTCGGCCTTGAGTCGAATTAGGACCGGATCTGCCTGGCCGGTGCCTTCCTTGCTCTGGTCGGCCAGCGCCTGGAGCGTGTTTTGGATGTCGGCCATCTCTGCTTCGGTCTCCTCGGGGTTTTCGCCATCGCCCAGGGTAAAGTACTCATCGAGCTCGCTGCCCTCGGACTTTGACGCCTGTGCAATCGAGCCCAAAATCGACGTCGAGGTCTCCTCATTGGCCGCAGCCTCATCCCTGTCGTCGTCCTCGTCCTCGGTCTCGTGTGGTGGTGCGGTATCGACTTCGGGAACGCCCTCTGGGCGAACAAACTCTTGAAGGACGCTCGCACGCCGCGATTGTGCTGCCATCTTCTCGTCCGCCATATCATTCTCGACAGCCAGGTTTGTCGGCTCGTTCGGCGCCGTCGCGGGAGGCGGCGTTGAAAGGCGGCTCTCCGATGGCTCTGACGATGCGTCAGCCATGAGCGCAGAATATTACGGATAGAGCGAAAGCGGGGAAAATCGCGAGGAAAGCAGGTCAAGCTGGATCAACTAAGGCAGCTCGTATGGTATGGAACGGAATGGTCGGGTCGCCTGAGAATCAGCGCGTGGTTCGTTCAGATGAATCCGGGGAAGCCTCAGCAGATAGTGCAGCGTGATGGCAGGAGCGAAGAATGCGGAACAACCCCAGCAAGACGAGAGGGCGGAGCGCTTTGGGGTCGACGCCGACTCGGCAAGTGAGACCACCCAGTTGTCTTGCACCGACGGCGTTGATTCAAGCACTGGCGCTGTGCCGCTGTTCAATCATCACCGCCAATCATGGAGGCCATGGACGAGCATGTGGCTGCAGCGATTCACAGCGTGCAGAGCGGGAGTACGCTCGTGAACACACTCAGTTGAGGTAGATAACCATGAAAGGTGAACCGGGTGGGCATATTTGCATTCAGAAATGGCTTTAGTCTCGAGGTTGGAAGGAGATATTGGTGGTGCCAGTGCTGGACGGAAGCATCGGTTGTCACCAGGAAGGGCGAATGTGGGCGAAACAGCTGTATATCGTGATGTTGTTCGATGTTGGGCCGATATTTCTCCTCGTTATCTCCCACCTTTGTCATTCTCAGAATCAACTGCACCTCTGTTTCAATTTTTACGATCGCACTCCATGACAGCCAGCGCTTGTCCTTATCTCTTCACAAAGCCATTACTTGACAAGCTCAGTCCCGACATCTTCACCATCGTCTGCTGCAACGACAGCTTCCAGCTTGCCCTCGATCACAGCACCATCAAGACCCTCCTTCGAGTGTGCAAACGTGCCCAACCCCTCCTGAGCTCCAAGGTGCCTCGCTTCTACACCTGGTGCCAGAGTATGGAGCTACTCAATCCAGACGGACAGATGCGAATCGGCCTCACTCCGAGCGACCTGATCGCCATATCGCTGCACTGGGATCAACAAGCCACAGCCGACCGATCATGGCTTGAAGATCAAGCCGACCAGGGCAATGTTACCGCCTCCTAACTCCTGGCTCGAATGTTGCAATCTGAGATCGACTCCCAAACAGACGATGACGATGAGCCCGAAGAGAATACCAATCATCAGCAAGTCTTCAGCCTACTCGAAGCAACAGCCAACGCAAGACATACCATGGTACACTTCCACCTGGCCGAGTGTTATAGCAAAGGTGTTGGGGTCGACCAAGACCACACCAAGGCTGTCGAGCTGTATCGCAGTCTTGCAGATCACGGAATCCCTCAGGCCCAAGTTGCCCTCGGACGATGCTATGAGAATGGCGATGGTGTCGACCAAGACTACGAGACTGCCATTGAGTGGTACTCAAAGGCTCCCGACCAGGGCAGCGAAGATGGTCGACTCCATATCGTGTTCCTCCGTGGCTGGTTCTCGTTCATCGGCCATGGTGTCAAACAGAGCGACGCTGATGCTTTCAATCACTGGCATGAAGTCAGCAACCTGTCCGCCGACCCGATTATCAAGTCCATCGCCACCCACATGGTCGGGTGGATGCACTATCTCGGCCGGGGCACCGTGCGAGACGAACAGAAAGGTGTCAAGATCATCCGCGATAACCAATCAGATGGGTTCAAGCTCGGAGAGGACGAGTGTCTGGCAGGATTTCTGAACGATATTTTGTCCGACTCACCCGCACCACGCAAGTTCTTCAATCTCTGCCAGCTGGGATCGGATCGGGACTGGCTGTGCGAGCATCTTATGGGTGTATGCATGGCCAATGGATTCGGGACCACAAAGGACCGGAAGAAGGCCGCTGCCATCTTCGAACAACTCGCCGCCGACGGCCACAGCGACAGCCAATATTGGATCGGAGTGTGCTATTGGTGCCACGGGGGAGTATCGGGTTATCGAAAGAAGGCATTCAAGTGGTTCATCAAATCGGCCGACCAAGGCAATTCGTATGGGCAGTGGTGTGCTACTTCAACGGATTTGGTGTTGCTGAGGACAACCAATGGCTGATAGTTCAATATACTTGACATTGTCTGCAGTATGCTGGGGTGTCAGTGCTATTTCAACAAGAGTCCATGAGCCTGTTGGTTCACCCACCGCCCGGTTAAGCTTGGTACTGATGGTCGGCTATCTTGGACCAATACAAATATAGTCAGCAACCGATGGCCAAGCTGCTGGACCTGCTCAGTTTCGATCGCACTCCCCCTCGCAGTCGCACCCCTCCCGCACTTGGATCGCTGCCTGCTCAGGTACCCGCTCCGCGCACTGCCTTCCGAGCATTCGCACTTGGTGTACACCCCGCACCAGCACCCGTTCCCATACTCAGTGTAGCTCCACCCTTGCAATCTCCCCCTTCATCCTCATCACAGCGTAGTATTGTGCCAGCACTTGCCACTCCACCACCCCGACCACCTCTCGATCCTGCTGTTCCCTTGTGGGAACTGCTTGAAAATGTATTCACCCGCTTGGTCTCAGACCTTGTGGGCAGCTGAGGCAGCACTAGGCTGCAACAGGAGTAAATAGGCTTGCCTGTGTACTCAACGTGCCGGGGTACCAACCTGTTGGACCTGATGGCTTGTCTTCTTGAATAAAGTTGACTATGGTAACAGAAAAAAAAAAATCCAGAATTGCGTGCATCGCCACCCGGCTCCAACCTGGATCCACCCTGGCTCCATTTGGCTTCACTGGCAAGTTGATTCCCCAAAACTGGTGGCGTCTGCCAGCCTTCTCATTCCCCCTCGCCTTCTGTCAATCTGCCTTCCATTGACATCGCCTGTCCTGAGACTCTGCAATGTCAGGAGGTGAGTTCCGCATTGTGGCAGGATGGTGGACACTTGCACAGCGACTGACTGGTGGCTGATCCCGATAGACGACTTTGATGCTTTCCTCAAGCGATATGGACTGGAGAGAAACAGGCAATGCCTGCTGGACAATGAATACGACACCATTGACTCGGTATGTGCTTCTGATATGAGGATGTGGTTGGCCATGCGCTGATCTCATTCACAATACAGATCCTGGATATGACTGAGTCCGAGATGAATCAAATTGGGCTGAAGCTTGGTGCCATAAACAAGATCAAACGAGCTCAGCGAGACCACAACCAACAAGCCATCACAACTCCCACTGCCCCTCCAGTCGTTGTCATTTCTACCTCGACCCTCACTCCTGCTGCCACCGAGCGAGAATACAACCCGCCTGTTCTCAATCCACGATGGACTTGCGCCAGCGGTTTCAAGATCCACGACATCTTCATCAGGTTTGTTGGTGGCGCTTGTTGTTGCCCATGATCCAATCACATTCGTCTCGCATCCATCTCATCGATATCGCATCCATCCAGCTATCGTGTGGCCAGTGAGGAGGTGACTGCTGTCAAACTCCACTCGGCCCTCAGTGTTGGCCGTGTCGGCGAGCAGCATCCCTCCCATGTCTACCTGGATGTCCGTTGTCTCGAGAACGGACTGAACTGGGAGGATGGCTTTATGAACGGCCTGGCCAACTCCAAGGTCATTGTCGTCCTCCTTTCCGAGGCTGGACTCGAGAGAACCAAGACTGCTGGCACCTGCCCAGACAATCAATTCCTCGAGGTGAGTGTCGTCGATCCAGTCCAGCACCACCATCACCATCCACTCACCGATGATCCTGTCCCAGATCGAGCTGGCTCTGAAGCAGATGAAGGAGACCCAGAACACCCGCTCTCCCGTCCAGATCCTGCCGATCCTCATCAAGTCCAGTGCGATGATCGACGGCACCAAGTACACCAGAGACTGGTTCCCCAACAAGAACGACTTTCCCGATGCCATCCACTGCCACAAGTCCAGTCCCTCCAACTTGCACCAGATCAGCCCTCCCCTCACCGTGCGCCAGACTCTCGAGGAGTTGCTCAAGCTGCAGGCGCTGATTGCTGCCGACGACTATGCCGTCACCAAGTGAGTGTGTCTGTAAGACTTGCTGATGGCATCCGTCTCATCCATCAGTTCATTGATGCAGACCATCCAGATGCTGACTCACACATCCACAGACTCGTCCCCGAGATCTGCGAGACTTGGAAGAAAACCAACCTCGTTGCCACCGTGCCAACTTATCTCCCGACTGGATCGACTGTCCTCACTGCCAACGAGAACCACGCCCTGCGACTCCTCCTCAGTCCCATCGACTCAACCCTGGACAGACAAGCACTCGAGAAGCTGTTTGTCGAGGGCACTCGCCAGTGGCTGTTCGACCAGACTACCGAGTGGACTCGTCTGGTCTCTGAAGAAACAAGGGTCCTGTGGATTACGGCTGTTGCTGGAGTGGGCAAGTCTGTTGCTGCCGCCCAGATCGCCAACATCCTCCAGGCAAACGCACAGTTGGTGGCAGCGCTGTTCCTCAAGTACAACGACACCCGCAAGAACAACTCTCGATCGGTGCTGAACACCATCGCATACGGTCTGTGCAAGTGGTACTCGCCGATCGGCCGCAAGCTGCTCGAGGCTGGCCACACCAAGGACAGTCTTGACAAGATGAGCATCAACGATCTGTTCAGGGCCGTTATCGAGGAGCCACTCGCGGCTGTCGGCGGCTACAAACCACAGGAAGCGATCGTGATCATGGTGGATGCACTGGACGAGTGTCATCCCCGTGACGAGATCCTCGGGTTCCTGGCCAGTGGACTGCAGCGACTGCACACGAAGCATCCGTGGCTCAAGTTACTGCTGACATCCCGTCCCGAGGACGATATCAAGGCAGCATTCGATGGAGTCCCGACCAAGACGATCGAGCCCTCGAGCGAGGAGAACGTCCGTGACCTCGAGGTGTTCATCCGCCACCGACTCCGAGTGTATGACACTCTCAGTGACTCGGACCGCACCGAGGCAGTTGCCATCCTGCTGGACCAGTCCAAGACATTCGTGTGGATCAACCTGATCCTCAACACCGTCGATGCAGCATCCAGAGACGGCCCGGTGACACTCGCCACGATCAAGGACATCAACGACAGCGCCGCCGATGTCGGCCAGCTGTACCACAAGACATTCGCCAAGATCCACTCACAGTCGAGCCACCCGGCCGAGCTGGTCACGGTGGTGTCGGCAATCGCCACGGCCCAGTCGATCCTGACCCCGCAGATCATCGCCAGTGTGTTTGGACTCGAGATCGGCGTCGTTCGCGAGTGTCTCACGAGCCTCAGTCTGGTCCTCGATCCTGGTGCCAATGGACTGGGTCCCCGAGGCAGCCCGTCCACCAATACCGAGGTCAAGTTCAACCACAAGTCGGTGGCGGACTATCTCCTCGGCGATGCATCGACTGGCCATCCGTGGCATGTGTCGAGCTCGTTCCACACGGTGTTTGCCAAGGGATGTCTCGGTGTGATCCTCTCGCACGAGCCAATGATCAACATCTGCGAGATCTTCGACTTTCACGACGATATCCCCGACCTCGAGGACAGGGTCGCAGCCAAGATCACACCGTCGCTGCGATACAGCGTCGCGCACTGGATCACACACTTTGTGTGGTGTGTGGAAGGAGTGGCCGAGTCGAGTCCGGTGTGGCAGTCGGCCGAGATGGTCGATGTGGCAGCGGTGCTCACTCGGTTCGTCAAGACACATGTGTTCTTCTGGCTCGAGTGTGGGTCGCTCACACATGTGGTCAAGCCGATCATCGAGCAGCTGGCTGTGCTGCGAGGAGTGGTCGCCAAGGCACCAAGCACCATCGTCGACGACACCACGAAGGAACTGGTCAAGGACACGTATCGATTCATCCGCGAGTTTGCCGATCCGATCATCAAGAGTGCACCACAGGTGTACAACTCGGGGTATGCATTCACGCCGAAGGAGACGGCGATCTACAAGACATATGCCACCCAACTCGAGGACAAGATCCCGTTCCTGGTCACGGCTGGTCCAGCACCCACCTGGGATCCATGTATGATGACACTTGCTGGTCACAAGAACCGGGTGAACGCCGTGGCAATCTCACCCGATGGCAAGTGGATTGTCTCTGGTTCTTGGGACAAGGCCATCAAGGTGTGGGATGCCGCCACGGGCCAGCTGAAACGCACTCTCGAAGGACACACAAACTGGGTGGCCTCGGTGGCCATATCACCCGATGGCAAGTGGATCGTCTCTGGCTCTGATGACAAGACCATCAAAGTATGGGATGTCGCCACCGGCCAGTTGAAGTATACTCTCGAGGGACACACAAGCGCTGTGAACTCCGTGACAATCTCGCCCGATGGCAAGTGGATTGTCTCTGGCTCTCATGACAAGACCATCAAGGTGTGGGATGCCACCACGCGCCAGGTGAAACACACCCTTGAAGGACACACAGAGAGGGTGAACTCTGTGACGATCTCACCCGATGGATTGTGGATTATCTCTGGCTCTAACGACTGGACCATCAAGGTGTGGGATACCGCCACAGGCCAGGTGAAGCACACTCTCGAGGGACACAAATGGATTGTTAACTCCGTGGCGATCTCACATGATGGCAAGTGGATTGTCTCTGGTTCTTGGGACAAGGCCATCAAGGTGTGGGATGCCGCCACGGGCCAGCTGAAACGCACTCTCGAAGGACACACAAACTGGGTGGCCTCGGTGGCCATATCACCGGATGGCAAGTGGATCGTCTCTGGCTCTCGAGACAAGACCATCAAAGTATGGGATGTCGCCACCGGCCAAGTGATAAACAATTTTGATGGACATAACAAGATTGTCAACTCTGTGACAGTATCACCGGATTTCAAGTGGATCGCCTCTGGTTCATGGGATAACACTCTCAAGGTGTGGGATCTCACGACAGGCCAGGTGAAACACACGCTCGAGGGGCATAGCAACTCTGTGCTTTCCGCAGCGATCTCGTTAGATGGTAAATGGATCGCCTCCAGCTCTCGAGACCAGACCGTCAAGCTGTGGAGTGCCAGCACGGGCCATTTGAAGCACACCCTCGAGGGACACTCAGATTCAGTGAATTCGGTGGCGATCTCACCCGATGGCAAGTGGATTGCCTCTGGCTCGAGTGACAACACCATCAAGGTTTGGGATGCTGTCACGGGCAAGTTGCAGCGAACCCTCGAGGGGCACACATGGAGTGTGTACTCCGTGACCATTTCACCCGATGGCAAGTTGATCGTCTCAAGCTCTGTTTGCGAGATTTCCTTTCGCGACTCCAAGTTCAACACCATCGGGCTTGGAGATGCCACCACTGTACAACTAAATCGCAATCGCAAAGGATCCATCAGGAAAGCGAGCGGCAAGGACACTCGAATGAAGTGGCTGAATGAAAAAAATAAAACCAGGACGGCGAACTCGGTGGCTATCGTTCCCGATGATAATTCGATTGTATCAGGCTCTGCATCGCTATTAGACTGCCCAAACGAGTCTCTTGATGTTGGGGATGCCATCACTGCCCAGTTAAAACGCAGCCGCAAAGGATACATCAGGAAAGCGAAAAGCAACCGAACTCAAATGAAGTGGCGTATTGAAACAAATAAACCCAGGAATGTGAACACGGTGGCCAACTCTCTCGACCACAAGTCGATTGTCTTTGGAAAGATCTATATATGGGACGTCGCGACGGGCCACCTGAAGAATACTCTCAAAGGACACACAACGAGTGTGACTTCCGTGGCGATCTCACACGATAACCAGTGGATTTTCACTGGCTCTGGATCGCTTCTTGGCCACTCCGGTAACACCATCAAAGTTTGGAGTGCCGACACGGGTCAAGTTAAGCATACCCTCGAGGGACACTCGGGGAGGGTGACTTCCTTGGAAATATCACCCGATGGCAACGCGATGATTTCTAGCGATTACGTTGGTTATCAAATCATATGGGTCCGCCACGGAAACGAGTGGGTTCGTTCCGACGAAAATTCCTCAAACATTAATTCTAAATCCATTCTTTCAAATTCCTCCCGGTGGAGTGAAATCGACAGACGCAACTCTCCCCAGTGGATACGCCACTGCAAGCACACGGCCAAGGTCCCATATCCTCTCTTTCAAAATTGGGAGGGTCGAATTTGCGCCCCATCAGGTGGAGTCATATTTTGGACGATCATTCCTCAGCGCCCAGTAATTATCCTGGTAAGGCCAACAATCAGTCATCACTTCTCCAATGCGTCATACTGATCCTTCAACTCCCCAGCCCATCAACTTTCACAATCCCCAAACTGGGGCGAAGTAGGAGCGTTCTTTTGCGATCCACCCAAGCCTCAGACACAAGCTTGGGGCCCAAGTATATTTTGGGCCCTGAAGTTAAGGATCTCAACAAAGGAGAACTTTTTTGGATAGTTGTATATTCAGGAATATTCAACATGCCATCAGCATTACAGTGTTATGATTGCGGGCTCCAATCATGCGACTCGTCGTTCGTGACCCGCCCTACATGACCACTCTGGCATGGTACATGACCGTAGGAAACATAGGGTAGGAGCTCAAAAATATTTACCGAAAGTAGTAGTGATTTTTTTTCTCTCTCTCATTGTGCACTTGTTTCAACTGCAGTACAATAGCCATCAGAACCCCGTGGTCCCCGGCATCTCGCGCTTCATGGAGTACATCGAGTGTTTTAAAAGTCCCACTCAGGAATGTCGCCGGGCCTGGCTTGCCATCCAGCGAGTCTCCACATCGGGGTATGGAAGATCTGTTCCAGATCAGTCCACAGACCGTTGAAGGCCTGTCCCACGATGGGTTCTTTGTTTTCCAGCTTGCCAACCTCTCCCAGCATATCCAGCAATTTATCAATAGGCCCGACACCTTCGGTCTCGGGCTCGGTCCATCCAGTGAAGATATCCTTATAACCCTGTTCCAGGGCGTCCAAGGCGTCTTCCTCATCCACACACGTCTGTGCGTGGGATCTGCTCAGTTCGATTCGGCCTTCGCCGTTGCGTTTGCACTTTTTGCAGAGGCGGTACTTGCCGTGTGGGTGCCAGGTGAATGCCCCCAGTCTCCACCACACCATTACTACGTGTAGTCTGCGTGGGATGCTTGGTCCAAGTTGGGTCCAGACTCCCGACATCTTCGTTCTTGGTGTGCACGCAGCCGTCAGCTGCTGTCCTCGCTTGAACGATGTGTGGGCATCGTGGGTCAGCATGAGTGTTTTGACCGACAGGATCTGTGTGCGATCCGTGGTCGAGTCGTCGTCCTTGGCAAAGGCCATGGACATCGAGAACGTGGCGTTCTTCTCCTTGCGGGTGCAGGTCAGGTTCCATTGGATGCTTTCGTAGAAGGGCTTGCCAAGGTATGGCTGGTCCTTCATCGCCGTGGATCGGATAAAGCGGGTGATGAGGGCGATTATCTTGTCGTCGTGTGTGGCGACGTCTTCCCATCGTGCTCGGCATTGGATGCCGAGGACCTTTGCTCTTGTCGCCATCGTGGGTAATCCGCAGTTGAGGTGCAGTGCTCCATGTGTAGTCGTGTGAGCTGTGCGGAACAGCAAGTTCAAGCAGAAGGTTTGTGTCCGGTGGAACCGCTTCTGTTCGTTCTTTGGGATGGCGTCGAGGGCGAGGCCGTATTCCATCATTAGCCGCAGGAACGTGCGGTATGCAATCGTTAGGGTCTTAGCCGTGAGGTTCCCAAGGGTCAGGCCCATCTTGGCCATGTTGGATGCTGCTTCTCTCGTCCTGGTCACCATTCGGTCCTGGCAGATCGTCGATGAAGGCGCTGAACATGAGTGGGCTCAGCACCGATCCTTGGATCAGTCCTTTCTGGAGCCATACTGGCTTGGATCTTCGGCCCTTGCTGACCATTTGAATGGATACCCGGTCATACATGGCTTTGAGGAAGCCGAGGGCGATGCCGTTCATTCTTCGCTGCTTGAGCTTGGTCCACAGTCGCTCGCGCCATACTGTGTCATAGGCGGCTTTGGTGTCGAGGAGGATCAGAGAGTACTCCTCACCGTTCATCTTGTGGTGCTTGATCAGAGTGTCCAGGGCGACGATCTGATCAAGGGTTCCTCGTCTGGCTCGGAATCCGCCTTGGGCGACGTCCATGTCTCCTGCCTGTTCTGCCAGGAAGGGGAGCATGATCCTTTCCACGATCTTCCTGCAGGTCTGAGTGAGACCGATCGGGCGATACATGGCCGGGTCCAGGGTCGATCTCTTCTGTTTGTACACTGGGTGGATCAGCACGCTGTTCCATTCGCTTGGCACCACGCTGGCCTTGAGCGCCGCCATGATGATCAGGCGGAGCCACTCGGCTATCACTGGTGCGACTGGTATGAGCATTTCGCTCTTGATCTTGTCGGACCCCGTTGCCTTGCGGCGTGGTGCCTTCTCGATGGTCTCTTGGATGTGCTCCAGCGATACTTCTGGGAGCCGCTTGTCGGGCGGCAGGAGGGTCGCCTCCGTGCTCAGGGGTGGTGGGGTTATACTTCTGTCGTACTCTGTCCCGCTGTCCTGCGAGGCAGAGGATACCTTGCCAAAGTGCACCACGAGTTTCTCGAGAGTCGGATCCGAGTTGTCAAAGAGATGTGATCCTTCCCTCTCCTTCCTCGTGCGCATCGCTCCGATGGTCTTGGTCATCTCGGAGCACTTCTGGGTGTCCATGGTGGCCATGGATTCCTTCCATGACCGTATGCCGTTCTTGCGCTTGAGCTGGGTGATGGCCTTTCTCGTGGACCGAAGCTGACGACGCAGGTCGTCCAGCTCTTCCGTGTCATACTCGGGGGTCTGGGCGAGCATTCTGCTCAGGCATCGCCGTTCTCGTTCCAGGCGTCGGATTTGGAGTCACAGTGTGCCCTCGATCCGACCAGGGCTGATGCTGGATGACCCCTTGGTAGGTTTCTGTTGTTCTGCGCTTTGGCGACCATCGCTGGCAGTGTGCCAGTCGGCAGGGTGCGGTTCATTATCTGGTGTGCTCTCTCCCTGATGATCCTGAGAATATCGAGATCAAGTAAGGGCATGCCACTTTTCATATCGCGGAGCTTGTCGCCATCGAACGACAAACAACCCTTGAGCACGGCCTCGATGATATTGAGCAGCATTGACTTGCCGTTCTGGGTGTCAACCACAAGGAACATGATCATTTCCCTGTTGCGTTCGGCGGTCAGTGCCGCATGGTTGTATCGGACCTCGAGCGTCGTCGTGAACATGTCCTCTGCCGTGGCCATGCGCCGTGTGTCATCCAGGAGATGAATGAGAATGCCATCACTGAACACGACGCTGTCCGTCGATGTGTCCAGGGTGCCCACAAAGGCCTTGTATCCTTGGCGAAGACGGTCTTGAACGACGAGTGGTGGTTGGCGAGTCCGCTACCGTCCTTGGTGATCAAGTCACAGTGGATCTTGTCGATCTGGGCAGCAGCGATTGCTGTATGGGATCGCATCGATTTGGGCCTGGTAGGTGCTTGGCGGCGTTGAGTGCCTTGGAGAATGCCAGGTTTTCGTCCCGAAGGAGGCGGCCAAGGATGTTTGAGAGTCGTAGCTCTTTCCACACCGGAAACTCGAATAGATAGCCCATGGTGATATCAGCCTTGTGGTAAACTGGGCAAGGTCATGGGCACTGGCATTGAGGCAGGAATAGATGCGGATGACATCATTCTTGATGGCACTTGTATCCTGGCAGCTGTGGATCGAGAGGAAGTGGTACTTGTCCTTCGTGGTCCAAAGAGTCCTATCTCAGTCGCCAGGCTGCACTGTAGTGGACTGGTTTCATCCTCGCATGGTCTTACCACATACGCCGGCGTGCCCCGGCGTCCCTGGGTCGGATCGAGGGTGGACCAGAAAGCTGCAATGTGGCCATTTTCTTTCCTTTGGCGGCTGTAGAGGCGAACCTATGCCCGATTGGATCCAGGCCATTCGTCGCCTTTGCCATCCTTTTGTGGGTCCATCGATGCTGATCAGGGCACGCTGCCTGGTGTCGGATCGAGGGAGGATGGTCTTGGTGCCGGGGAAGGCTGGTGGCTTGTTGTCTGCTTTCTTCGGTACCATGTGGCGAGGGATGGTCTGGATCGTGCTCGCTAGCTATAGCTGCAGAACGAGTATTGATTGTAGTGGTCGAGTGTTCGTTGTCGAGTGATTCGATGTTCTCTCAGTCGATCAACATCAGCGATTGTTATGGGACGGCACTATTGTATATTGGATGTATTGGATGTATTGAGTATCAAATACAACACCACTCGGCCATTACCGCTTCATCGGAACTACTTGTCAAGTCAAGGTCTGGGATCTGCTCGTTTCGGGGTTCCATGGTTTGGTTGCCTGCTCGGACTACAGGTCCGGTCATGATGAGATGGCAGTAGGAATGATAATTGATGATCAGGGCCACTGGTCGAGTTCCTTGAGGTTGCCGATGGCATCTTCGTCGCCTTGTTCGGCGGACTTGCGGAACCAGAAGACGGCGGTGTCGATGTTCTGGGGGACACCACGGCCATATTGGTAGCAATGGCCCAGGTTGTTCTGTCCGTACCGATTGCCCTGCTCGGCTGATTTGCGATACCACTCGACCGCCTTGGTGCGGCTCTTGGTCAGTTCATATAATCCATCAAAGTAGCAGTCTCCAACCCAATACTGCCCAAACGAGTTGCCTTGGTCGGCCGATTTGATGAACCACTTGAATGCCTTCTTTCGATAACCCGATACTCCCCCGTGGCACCAATAGCACACTCCGATCCACAACTGGCTGTCGCTGTGGCCGTCGGCGGCGAGTTGTTCGAAGATGGCAGCGGCCTTCTTCCGGTCCTTTGTGGTCCCGAATCCGTTGGCCATGCATACACCCATAAGATGCTCGCACAGCCAGTCCCGATCCGATCCCAGCTGGCAGAGATTGAAGAACTTGCGTGGTGCGGGTGAGTCGGACAAAATATCGTTCAGAAATCCTGCCAGACACTCGTCCTCTCCGAGCTTGAACCCATCTGATTGGTTATCGCGGATGATCTTGACACCTTTCTGTTCGTCTCGCACGGTGCCCCGGCCGAGATAGTGCATCCACCCGACCATGTGGGTGGCGATGGACTTGATAATCGGGTCGGCGGACAGGTTGCTGACTTCATGCCAGTGATTGAAAGCATCAGCGTCGCTCTGTTTGACACCATGGCCGATGAACGAGAACCAGCCACGGAGGAACACGACATGGAGTCGACCATCTTCGCTGCCCTGGTCGGGAGCCTTTGAGTACCACTCAATGGCAGTCTCGTAGTCTTGGTCGACACCATCGCCATTCTCATAGCATCGTCCGAGGGCAACTTGGGCCTGAGGGATTCCGTGATCTGCAAGACTGCGATACAGCTCGACAGCCTTGGTGTGGTCTTGGTCGACCCCAACACCTTTGCTATAACACTCGGCCAGGTGGAAGTGTACCATGGTATGTCTTGCGTTGGCTGTTGCTTCGAGTAGGCTGAAGACTTGCTGTTGCTTGGTATTCTCTTCAGGCTCATCGTCATCGTCTGTTTGGGAGTCGATCTCAGATTGCAACATTCGAGCCAGGAGATACGAGGCAAATGCGTTTCCTTGGTTCGCCAGAGCAACGAGCCAGGATCGGCCAACTGGGACTTGATCCTCGCAGTGCAGCGATATGGCGATCTGGTCGCTCGGTGTGAGGCCGATCTGCATCTGTCCATCTGGATTGAGTAGCTCCATACTCTGGCACCAGGTGTAGAAGCGAGGCACCTTGGAGCTCAGGAGGGGTTGGGCACGTTTGCACACTCGAAGGAGGGTCTTGATGGTGCTGTGATCGAGGGCAAGCTGGAAGCTGTCGTTGCAGCAGACGATGGTGAAGATGTCTGGGTTGTGGTCGAATGAGAGCTGGGTGATATCGGGCATCGAAGAAGTTGTGCTGGATTCAGCTTGAGTTTGGTGAGTGGACGATGATGCGGTGTTTGAAGCAGGCTCGTCCGTGCTGGCCATGTCGACGGAGACAGGATGGAGGCAAGTGGGTGATGGCGATGGACAGGAGAGGGAGAGGCAGGTTGTGGCGAAGCAAGCCAAACAATGGCCAGCCATACCCTGGCCATCGAAGCACACACACACACAAGTCGACAGAATCAAAAGCGAGATGCACCGTCCAGCGGCTCCTGCCGTCGCTGAGCGGCTCCGCGACATCAGACGAGCCGCAATAAAGGTCTCGATCATCCCCTCCGAACGGAGCGCCGTCCTGATCCGCCCTGTTTACAAGAGCAGCTGGACTCGGCGATGTTACTTGCTACAGCACATGGACCACTTCGTCCAGTCCTCAATTCCTGGCGCACATTCCTCCCATGTGTCGGTGGAGTTTTATTCAATGGCTCTGTCTGACAGAATATGAGAACATGGGAATCATGACAACGTTGGTGTATCGCGGAGATGAATGTGCAAATGACCGTCACAATCATGACGATGATGATGATGATGATGATGATGATGATGATGATGATGAAATGATGATAAAATTAGGATGTGGTCGGCGGCGATGGAGACTGATGGTTCTTATAACGTTGGTTCCGAAGGGGCGGGGCACAGGCAGTCATTGCGGCAGCGAGATAGCTGCCGGAGAAAGCGCCCTCTCCTATCCTCGACTGCTCGCAAAGTGCTCGTCGATCATGTCGACCCAAGCGGGCACCTTGCACTCCTCGATCTTGTTGTAGAGGTTGTCGAGCGCACGCAGCCATCGGGTGCGCACAAAGGCGTTCTCGCATCGAAGCACGATTGTCTCGCCGTCTTTGAACTCGAGCTGGAACTCGGCAGGGGAGTCGTCCTGGGACCGGTTCTTGATGCGCGACGACGTGTGGTTGAATTCGACTTCGTTCTCGGTCCACTGGTGCTCCTCGGATAAGGGTGTGCAGTGGACCCTCGACAGCTGGGACAGGTCGATGGTCGCTCGGTGCTCGCGGTTCTACAGGCAGCAGTTTGCACAATTCAGCACTGTCAGAACTCGCAGCGCCCTTGGTAGTCTCACAGTATCATGAGCGACTGTATATACTTCCTCACCTCTTCGTGGAGCGCAATCAGCTTTGATCCCTGGAGCTGAAAGTAGCGCTTTCTCCAGAACTAGACGTGCAAAGCCGACAGCGCAAAATCAGCGACGGAGAACAGAACAACCGATGTGTGAGCAATTGGATCAGCGCTTCAAGTCGTTGGAGTGGGTTTGGATAACCAGCCGTTGCTCTGTGGATACACTCCCAGCTACACTCTCGTCGTTGGCTCGGCAGCGAATCACAGTCCGGACCTACCTTGAGATCACCGCCCTGCTGCTCCATGTATCCCGATTGCTGAACCTTTCGGCTCCAATGTCGGATGGCCAATACTTCCTCGCATTCAGCAAACGACTCTGGCAGCGTGCACAGGTCGAGCCCCGAGAAGTGCGGGATGAAGAACACACTGCAGATCACTCGGCCGATGGTGCGCGTGGATCGAGTCATGGTTTCGTCGCTGTGGGGATGCCTGACCTCCAGTAGATCCCAGGTGTGAGCTGCGACGTTGCCCATGGCCTCGGAAGCCACCCGACGGAGGGCACCAGGGCGAATGGTGGCATGGGCAGAGATCGGACCCTTGGGCTTTGGGCGACTCAGGGTCGACAGCGAGCCGCTGCTGGCCTTGGATTTGAGCGATTTGAGTTTGAAGGTGTCCATCAAGGTGTTGAGAGATAGGAATCCACGCGCGCCTATGGTCGGAGGCGGCGACACATCATTGAGTCGCTGAGGCGGCTGTTGCTCCTGCAGCTCGATATCGATGGTCAGATCCTGGTCGGGCGCCAGTGGACTGAGCGCATGGATAAGGAATGGGTCAGTTCAAATTGCCGGTGCGATTGGCAAATGACCAGATTGCTTCCAGCAGAACGCATGAACCTACATGCGATAATCATAGCTGATCTCGACTTCATCGTCCCGGTCACTCTCCTGGTCGCTCAAGCGGAGCGAGTTGCTGTCGAAAAAGTTGCAGCCATGGGTCACAGAGACATTGACGGTCATATTGGCTGTTGGAGCAAAGTCGGAGTGGTAAGTGGCCGGCAGTGGGCTGGTGAGCCGCTCAGGCATGGCGACGCAGGATCAACACGATGCAATCAGCACACCTTTGGTTCGGCAAGAAAGTTCCTGGATCTTGCACACTGCATGCCGCCATGCGAGAATGAGTGTAGTTCGCGGTCAGCATCATGGCTCAGGATGATGGTCATCGCATCGGGAAGTACCAGTATCGATACGGCGATCGGATCCGCTCGCCGATTGCAGCACACATACCTTTCAGATAGAGCGTGCCGACGTGTCCAGAGGCAGCATCGACAACGGGTGCCTGCGCGGCCACAAACTTTGTCTGCTCCAATTCCCCCTTCCATGCCGCCTGATGTATAGTGACAAACACGTAAGCAGCAAACTTGGGATGGTACACAATGTATGGGCCAGTCGCCCTTCGAATGCCCAGAGGCACTGTGCAAGGAATCCGTGTGAACAACTTACTCCAAAGCGAACCGACTTTTTGCGCTTGAGTCGCTTGCCAGGGCCGCTTGCAGAGGTCTCGGCGACAACAGGGCTCTCAAGCACAGGCGAACTATCGGCCCGAGCAATGCTGGGCTCGAGCTTGGCAACCACGACAGCATCCACAACCTTGAAATCGTGTCCATTCTTGTGGATGTCGACGCCAGAGTCGGTCTTGGTGGGGCTCGAGTTCTGTGACAGCACTCGTTGGATTGCCTTGGTGTCCAGTCCGTTGATGTCAGAGACAGAGCGCACCAGAACGCAGCCCTCGGTCAGCGACACGGCCGAGAGTGAAGGAGACGACACCCCGGCAGAGCCGTGCAGGGTAGCTCCGCTGTGTTGCTCATCCGGGATGAGCGCAGCTTGGCTTTGAGTGCTGCAGTCCTTGGATGTCTCCTCGGGGACCAGCGCCGATTCCGGGGCAACCGGGGTCGGCGGCAGCGGCTTCTCTGCGTGATCCTGCAGATCGGCTTCCTTGACCATCATCTGCGGTGTGGGCACAGCAGGTGCCGAGGCACATGCCAGAGGCGGGCTGGGCTCGACAAGAAAATCGCTGAACCATCCCTCCGAGTCGTTGAACAGTGAACTGACAGGTATCTCTGGAATCTATGAAACGTGAAAGATAGTACCGTCAGCGCTCAATAAGCAACACCGACACGGATCAGCGGTGAGTGGTAGCGACCTGCAGTCCCGTCTTGTGCCGTGAAGTGGCGCTCATACCTTGATATGAATGTCTTCGGGACCAGAAAGACTCAGGTCGGCAACCCCAACAGCCGCAGCAACAACTGTCTCATCCCCGCACTCGACAACAGACAGCTCCACGTTGTCCTCGACCAGCTCCAGCTTGGGTCCATCGTCGCTTTCGGATTGTCCATCGAGGCTATCGCGAGTTGCCAGAGCATGGCCACGGCCGTCATCGCTCGCTGTCTGAGCCTCTAGGCTGGCCATGTCCTGTTTCTGACCTATATCAGATGTCCGCCCGACTACGGGGTCGTTGCGTGACTCAGTCGCTTCCGCTAAAGGGGCTGTCGGAGCTTGGCAGGGAACCTTGTCACAGGATTCACTCTTCGTGACCATCCTGGGCTCGGCAGCGGTCTCGTGATGCTGTCGCTCACGAACGATATTCTCGGAAACATTCTCGAAGAGCGAAGCGGCATTGGCGTGGCTTTTTGGGGTCGGCGAGGCTATCGAGCCGTAATCAAAGGTCTTGCCCATCTTGCGGCCATAGGTCTTGCTGAAGGTATCCTTGGGCTGGAACCGGCTGAGCTTGGACCTGAAAGAGCCGCCGGCGTCTTGGACAGCTGCTTCCGGCGCAGGCTGGACTCGGATGGGCTGGTACGCTTCCTGCGAGTCGTTTCGCTCGAATGGAGGAGGGGCAAACTCTTCTTCAGCGCCAGCGACTTTGGAAGAAGCGTCCGAGCCAACGGCAGTGACAGAGTCACAAGCTCGCTTTGGAGACACAGGAAGAGCTCGATGGTGCTGACGAGGCTGTGCCGGCTGTGCCGGCTGAGGCGGTTGATGTTGCTGCTGGTGTTGTTGCTCAAATGTACGAGCGAGTTCCTGGACCGTGCTTTGGCGACGAGTGCGTGCTTTGGATACGGTGTTGAATCCAGGCTCATCCATCTCGAATGGCTTGACGTGCTGGCTTTGTGGCTGGCTTTGCGGCTGAGGTTCTTGGCTCTTGTCTTCCTTGATGGGGCCTTCAAAGAGCGACGACAGCTTCGTGGCCTTGGAGACGGTGCCTCTTTGCACGCGAACAGACTCGGCCGCCTTCTTGAGCTCCATCATCGACTTGGACTGCTTCATTCTTCGCTCTCCGGAATCCTCGATTGAACTCGATGCTGGCGGCGCACCGGCGTTCTTGGAAACCTCAGGTTCCTGTGAAGGCTCTCTGAGGTTGCTGGCGGGCTGGTGGGCCACCAGCGGCGAGGATGAGCGAAGAGTACCCGTGCCAAGCGCCCTGAAGGAGTTTTGGCTTGCCGCAGCCAGCGAGAGTGTCTGGATGGAAGGAGAAGAGTCCCAGGGTTAGTTTTGCGGGCACCCGTCTCATTATGCCTGGGGGCAAAGGGCAAACGGCGTGATTATCGCGCTGGGAACGAGGTGCCAGTGTTGCGCTGGGAACGAAGTATCGGAGCCACTCGTCCAAGTGAACATGGTCGCGATCCATGAAGATATATCCGCGTTCGAGAGCCAGGATGAAAGCAATCGGGCAGAGCTTGTCGTGGATGGCTGCCTACCGATCGACTGCGAGGAACACCTCGGGATCCGTGGGCTTGATCGGCCCGGACAAAGGGATTGTTGGACACCAGTCCCTGGACAGCGTTGCTCTCAGTGCTGGGCTCGGGGTCGCTCGAGACAGTCTCCTGAAACATGGACATGAGGCCAGCAGCCGCATCGCCGGCGCTCGGAGCGCTTGGCCGACGGGAGCGCTTGGATATTGTTTCGAATTCACCGTGGCTCTTGCGAGGCGCAATGACGGGCTCGGCAGCAGCAGCACCCTCGGCATGGACGACTTTGAGAGGAATCTGGGATCGCTTGACCGATCGGGTTCCAGCAGCCAGATCGCCCAAACTGGACTTGGTCGAGAGCCTTGATGCATCCGTCTGCAGCGTACGAACAACACCCATGAATCAGCATCACTCGGTGCGGAGCATGTCTCCATATCGGCAATGCCGGCCGAACACTTCCGAACGCACGCACGCAGAACCTTACCGCGGCCCCATCGACGAGTCCGGCAAATGTTTCAAGTGACAGTGGCCCTCGGGTTGACTTTCGAGGATCCTTGGCAATGGCGCCGACGCGATTGGAGCCGGAGCTGAGCTTGGGGATCGAGGGGCGATTCTTGTCGCTGCTCTCGTCAAAGAGACCCTCAAGACCCGAGCGCTTTCCGATAGTCCGCTTTGAGATGGTGCTGTGGATTTCTCCGTGGCACGAAGACGGCTGAACGGCAGCAGCAGCAGCAGCAGCAGGAGCAGGAGCAGGAGCATCGGTACCGACACAAGAGCCAGAGCCAGAGCCAGAGCCAGATTCGTGAGCGTCAAAAGCAAAAAGAGCTCGATCCATGTTCCTGGCGGTGCCTTTGCTGAGGGTCTTGGGCAGTCTGGACTTTGGCTTTGACGGAACCAGGCTGGCCAGGAGGAGACGGGCATCCTCGGACTGGGCGACATCGCATGGCGTGAAGCCCAGATTGTTGGTGGCTTGGGTCGACAGTCCCCGCTGGATCAGGAGCCTCATGCTGAAGGTATCTCCCAGGAAAGAGGCGAGGTGAAGGGCTGTGTTTCCGGAACCCCATGTGCTTTGGATGTCGCCTGCATTGGAGTGCTGTTGGAGGGGACAGCAGTGCGATGGATGTGGCAGCGGGATGAATCCCAGTGAGAGACCGTGCGATGGATCGTGTGAGACGGTGAGCAGGACCGCATGGGACGGCGCAATTAGACACACCAAAGAACCACGACGATACCGTCGCCTGGGTGATATCGCGCCAAGCAACGCAGCCATGAAGCAAAGTCGCCTCGGGGTCGTCATGACCCCGCAATCCGACGCGCTCTGATGGGGCAAACTGGCGGTCCGCAAAGCTCCGGAATGCGGCCAGGCCAGCGTGTCGGCGTCGGCACCAGCGACAGCATCACTTACCTCTATGAGAATGCGGATAATCTCGCGGCGATGCTCCTCGCGGCTCATGCCAAGAGGGTAGTGTGCACGCACGTCGTGGATGTCGTTGGGCGACCACACGAGCGCAAACATGAGCAGGGTGAGCTCCCAGCCCTTGACCGGGCCGAGCACATTGCCGCAGTTTTCGGTCTGCAGCCGCGCTGAGACCGTGAGGAGGGTTTGTCGGGCGCCCGTCAGGTCTGGCGACAGCAGTAGCAGCCGGTCGAGGTCGGTTGGCGAGATGGTGCAGAGCCTCTCGAAGGGAAAGTGGTGCGCGTTTTCGAGGCCGCCGGAAAGCATCGGTGCGGGAGCGAGTTCGACGAGGGCATCCATGGCTCACGGAGCAAAAGAGAAGGCGCGAGAGAACGGATCGGGATGCAAGATGGTTCCCGGATGCAAGATGGCTGCCGGACTCTTGTCGTCTGTGGATCGCGGCGTCACAGGAGGGAAGGAGTGGGTTGCGAAAGCGCCGGAAGAGAGTGTGATCGCCCGCCTCCGCGGCCGGGGGGCAGCGCCATTGATTAAATACTCTGAGGGTTGCATAGGCCCGAGCGTCCGGGTTGTTTCTTCATCAGCCTCAATCAGGCGCCAGGCGATGGAGGGAGCACCGGTCCGGACAGCCCGCGTCCACCACGACGGACGGTCAGCATCAGGGTTGGCCAGCCCCGACGAATACACCTGCCCAGGGTCGAAGAGAAACGACATGCTCGCCAGACGGGAAGGTCGTGGCAATGGAGAGTGCGAGGAGGGGATGGCGATGCGGGCGGACGGATGGGACAGAGGGGATGGTCAGAGCGCGTGCGGACGAGCATCGCCGTGTTTGTCTGGTCGCTGGGGGGGGGATACTGTTCGGATTGCCGGGGGAGTTGTCTGGGCGGATGGGTGGACAGCATGAACTGTGGGATGTGGAGGGGTCTTGGTTCGGCCACTGGGGGGTGTCGGATGTGTCTGGATCGCCATGCGGAATTGATACGATCTGGGTTGGGTTGGACATTCAAGCCCACAGAACCAATCGCAGGACGACGAGAGGGATCGCCAGAGAGCAGAGGGACGGAGCCAACTCGGTCGTCGCTGCTGGCTATGCTCCCTGCGGCTCCTCATCATGACCATCGAGCAGCAAGGTGTGCTGGAGGCAGCGATGCGGATGCTGAAAGCAGCATGGACAAGACTGGGGGGGGGGCAGTTCAGCACGGCGGGCCGATCATGTCGTTCGGATGGTGATAGAGGCGGTGCGATATCGACGCTGTGAGCCAACAGCCAGCTGCGGCTCAATGGCAGTGGGCACCAAGCTGCCGAGCGACAGACATTCGGGGCTTCACGGCGGGGCAAGACCGAGACCGACCGGACATACAGCGGGCTCAACCTCGCAGATCGGACGATGGCCTCCTGGCACTCGATTGTGCCCGCGACCGGGTCGCCAGGTCTTACGGCAGCCGCACGGGCCAAGACAAGAAGTATGAGTCGCAGGAGCACTGGTTGCAGGAGCACCGGTCGCAGAAGCTCTGGCCGTCGCATAGTGGTTTATTGGCGTTCAGGCAGAGGTGGTGGAGGTGGTAAAGTCGTACTCGATCGTCGGGAGGATTGCGCTCATGAACTTGAGGAAGAGCAGCAGGTACTGGTCCACCCGGAGCTCGTCTTCCTTGCCGGCCTCGACGAGCTGGTCGATGATGCGCTTCATGACGTTGGCGTGCTTGCAGGGGTGAATCGAAGCCAGTGTAATGAGCTCGTGCGGGTGACCCTCGAAGGTGACCGTCTTCTTGGCGTGGTCCTGGGAGATGTCTTCGAAAACTTGTTGAGAGGTAAGGGGCTGTCGGTTCTCGTCGTAGCCAAAGAGCCACATGCGCGGAGTCTGATAATATTTGTCGTAGGTGATCGACAGATCGTAGGTTCTGAAGTCGCGGCGGCGGTAGAGCACAGTCGGGATGGGGTCAACTCACGGCGGGGTTGCATCCTGATGAATTGGGGGATACCCATGACCCTCGGACCACCCATGGTCTCAGACTACTCATGGTCTCGGGATATCCACGGCCCTGGGGATATCCGCGATGCTCCAAGCCAGAGTCGTTGTCGGGGAACAGACGCAGCCGCTGCACGATCCCATCAACCTGACCCATTTGCCCCTCACCCTCCGCCCTCAGCTCCTACCTGGTCTTCAGCACCTTGTCATTGTCCAGAGCCCCGCCATGGAGCTCCGAGGGATGCGCCGTGCCTTGGGCCGGCTGGACGGCGGCGGGATCGTCCTCCTCGTCGACTCCGCCTTCCAGGGCATCTTCGTCGATATCGGGAATCTCGTCAATGTCCTGGATCTCTTCGGTGGGCTCACTGGCAATGTTCAAGCCCGCGACGTGGTGTCCAAGCGATCGCACGGCAGCAGAATCGGCGGCGTTGTGAGCATTGCCCTCGTCGTCGCCATCAATGTCCTTGATGTCTTCGGGATGCTCGCGGACCAGGTCGCTGTGGGTCTGCACCCAAACATCGTCTTCGTCGACGGCTTCGCTGTCGCCGAGCCGGACCAGGGTCTCCTGATCAATGTCGGCCTGCGAATACTCGATCGCCTTGACCCGACGGAGGCAAGGGACGTTCCGGGTGATGAGGTACTGCTTGTCGGCAGGCAGGTAGTCTCGTCGCTTGGAGGGGTGGCCCGAGGCCCAGGCCCAAGTGGGGCACTTGAAGACAAGGTAGTCGCCGGCGAGAATGAATTCCTCGGGGGTCAAGACGCCCGTCTCTTTGAATTTGGATGTCTTGAGGAGCGGGTTGAGGTACTCGCGGAACGAGTGGAAGACGGCGTGTACCGAGTTGTAGGTGTCGTGGATGGTATCCTGCATGGCGGGAAGGGCTGGGCCGTGGGTGGCACGGGACGTTGCATCAATGGTTGGTCGCAGTGGCCGGAGTCATGGTTGGGACCGACGACATCGTGCCAGTGCCAATGCCGGGAAGAGGTGGAGGGGGGAAGGAAACATGAGTTTGGAGGCATGAGTGAGAGAAGAGCCATTGAAGAATCGAAGCACGGACGACATTGAGCAGACACTGGACGCGAGCCCGTCCTGCCGATGCGGGATATCGATTGCATGATGGGCGGGTGGCCTGCGGGCTTACCTGGCTTGGCTGCAGAAGGTGGATTGGAGAGCAAGCCGTCGGGGGCAGAGAGCCGAGGCAACAGGCCGAGCAAAGGACGAGGGCGGCAAAGCCAAGGGCAGAGCCGAGGGCAGAGCCAAAGCCAAGGGCTGTCCGATCTGCGGACATCCGGGACGGCTAGGGCTGGGGGTAGGGCTGCGACGGTGGCGGCGAAGTGGCGGTGCGGTGGCGGAGACGCGCTTGTGCCGGTTGGGCAGTTGCGTTGCGCTCCCCGCGCCACACGAGCACAGTGTCTGTACACCGACAGCAAAAGCATGAATTGCCCTGACAGCACCAACAAGACCAACCAGACCAACCAGACCAACCAGACCAACCAGACCAACCAGATCAACCAGATCAACCAGATCAAGTCAACAATGTCATCACGGCCCAGACGCATCGAATGGATCGTCGCTGAGCGAATATAATACCAAGCCCGTCCGCCTCCACGGAACATATCAAATCCGCCAGCCAACCAAAGCTGTGCCTGCCAGCGATGCCAATACAAAACCGCGCATATCAAATCCGCATCGGCATGTCTGTGCAATCAGAGTTGTGCACCGCCGTCGTATCGCTCGGCCCCGCTGTCCCGAAATTGCCCTTCCAACGGCCATCGTTTCTTGGCCTCGCTTTGCGCTCTCCGTCCTGCGCTTTGCGCTCTCCGTCCTGCGCTTTGCGCTCTGCGTCCTGTCGTCCTTCCTCGCCCTTCGCCAAAGGCCAGTCGGCGCTCGCATCGACCCGCATTCATGGCCGACACTGTCCAATCCGACCGGGTCGCCACCCTGGCGCTGCAATTCGAGCATCCTCCTCTTCTGCTCCGTCCGCTCGACCGGGCCCTCTCCCCAAAGAGCCCGCCGCCACCAAAGCCCAAGCGAGGCCGCCCGGCTCCCCTCAGTATCCCGCCCCCAAAGCCATTTCACTCCAAGCACCAGGGCAGATCTGCTGCGAACGCCACCGAAGCCGGCGCAGACGGATTGCTCTCGCCTGCATCGCTCTCGAGCCAGTCGTCGCCCCAGGATGGGCTGCAGCCGCAGCCGCAGCCGCTCTTTGCTCCAGTGTCGCTCTGGGCCAACGACTCTTGCTTCCGCAGTCCCAGCCCGCATTCGGCTCCGCTGTCGCCTGTCGATCTCCCTGATCGTCCTCCGGCGCTTCCTCCTCGGCCCTTGATCCGAATCGAGCATGCCCCGGCGCACTCCGTCTCAGTCTCCGGCCGGGAATCGCCTCTGCTGCCACCAAGGCCGGCGATCCCGCCTAAACCCAAGCTCAAGTCCAAGCACCCGCCCTCATCGGAATCGCGTGGTTCCGTCTCAGGCGACCTTCGCAAGGTCAACAGCTCGCCGGCACTGTCTCCCATCGATGTCGATGAGCCCCTCGGTCAGCGCCAGGCTTGGGCCAAGGCGTACAAGAGCCCTCCCACCTCGCCAGGTATCGAAAGCAGTCCCGGCCTGCCCTCCGAGGGTCGCGATGTCGCCCACTCGGCCGTGGGGTCGCCGACCATTCCTCCACGGCCAAAGTATCTTCCTCCTGTCCTGGCCAACGACGAGCGCCAACCCGCACTTCCCGTCCTGCCGTGCTTTGTCGCTCTCAACTGCAAGAACCTTGTTCCAACCGCACCCTCGATCGTCGTCGGCGGCCATGCGGTCGAGGTGTCATTTGATCTGCGGCGTCGCGACCATGCTCGATACGATGCCTTCGCGAGCGTCCGATGTGGCCCAAGAGGACATGTCGTCGAGTGCGATGTGCTTGTCGAGCGATGCGAGCTACATTCGCACTTTCGGATCCTTGCCATGTGTCCCGAAGATACCCAGGGTATCCTGAGCATATCCCTGATGGTGGCGTCGGATATGGTACGTGACAAGGAGAGCAGACAGGAGAGCAGCGAAAGCTGTCAGCGACTGAGAATCAAGTGCGGCAGCACTCCGTGTCGACTCTGCACACGCTGGCTTGTCGATTCGGACTTGTTTCAGTCATTTACTCGCCCGAGCGATGGATATAGCATCTGTGCTGACTCGTTTGGAAACCCCATTGGCATTCATCCCCATTGACATTCATCCCCATCTCCTTCCCACGACTGATGTGCAGGCGCCAGAGTCCTCAACCAATTACGGCCAAGAAGCCATCCTCACGGTCGCCCAGTATACCATCATCCATAGCCGATCGGCCAAGCTGCCACGCTCTCGCCCAGGCTCCCCTGATCCAACGGGACTCGAGTCGTCTTCTGAGCAGTCCAGAGCCCACAAGAACATGCGCAGAGACCTTGAATCAACTGTGATGCAGATCAGCCGGGACCTGCGAGCATTGTTCCGATAGGAGCACCTCGCCTCCTCCTCCACCGGCTTCTCTCTCTCGCTACCATTCTCCTTCATCTTCCCCCTTCCCCTTCTCCTTATCACCATTGCATTTGATCGAACGGGTCTATGCGGTCGCCTTTCCCCAGACCTTGTTCAAGGCGGCGATCCTCCCGCTCCTTTCCTTAGAACACTATACCCGGATGGACTCTCGACAGCCAGGCCATCCGAGCCCCAGTATGTACCATTCCATTCATGACAAGTTTGAAATACAAGCTCCTTCCCATGCGTCCGGTCTACTCGCCGGCTTTCGACGACATCTTGGTCATCGCTGTGACTCTTGGGCTCTCGAACATTTGCAAACGATCCCACATTTGAAGTATCCATACATTTGTATATTCACAAGTGTGCCTGTCCTGACTCTCAGCACGCTCTGTCTCACCACACACACTCCAGTGCAGCAGCAGTAATATGGTACAAAGCTGGGAGTGTCGCCGATGAGACGGTCGGCACCAGTGCTACAGCAACCATCTGCCCGATAAACAACGCTATCGTCATTCTCCCCAGCTTCCCCGTTGTCCAGTTCAACGATACTGTTTGGCTCGATCCTCCTGTTCGGCGGCCTGACTTCATGGCGGCGCTATTGCTCCGCAAAGGTCCGCTCGACATCCCCGTGGATATACAACGGTACAAGGGTCTTGACCAGACCAAGGGCTTGGCTCCGTTCGAGTATCTGGTGCTTGTGCAAGTCTGCCACCAACTGGACCAGGCCCGGCACCAAGATCTGGGTTTGATGCCAGACACCGATAATGACCCGCAGTAAGCGATCGTGGTCCATCAGGTTCTTGACCCGCAGCTCGGCCAGAAGCAGACTTAGTTGCGAAAGCTCCATCTCGGCAGTGAACAGTATGCGGCCGAGCGCCGGGTGCCCGCCGCCGTACAATTGGTCGAATCGGTTGCCGAGCTGGATCTCGGCCAGGAGCTCGACGGTCTCGGCGTAGCTGAGGCTGAGCTCCTTGAGAAAGTGGCCCAGTGCGAAGGGGCCGGGGATATCGAGCTCGTTGATCAGTCGGGCGACGGCATGGATCGGCACATCGAGCACCTTGACCAGCACAGCGTACTCTCGCAGGTAGCGCAGCTCGAGGTTCAGGAGGATGTGGATCAGCTCCTGGAGACGCATGAAAGGAACAAGAAGAAAAAAATCGAACACAATTGCATCAGTGGCATGGCCAGGCAACAGGGACTCTGACTGAGCGTCGGCGCCATGATGCGCATTCACATTTGCTCGCTCCAGAGTCGTCGTGGTGCCCATTTGCTCATTCCGGCATCACCATGGCGGCCGCATTGCACTGCACTGCACTGCAGCGCTCTACAGATGCATCTGTACCGGATGGTGTCGCAACTCGACCATGACAATGGCCAGCGAGTCGATAGAGTACCGGAGCTTGAATCGGTCGAGGATTTCGACGATAGCGGCCCACCCAAGCTGGAGACGGCTGAGAATCCAGCCCACATCCGCCCAGGATGCCCGCAGGGCCCTTAGAATCACGATGAGATCGGTCGCGGTCAGGGTGCAGGTCTTGAGGATCAGGGCGACCGAGTCGCGGCTCTCTCTCCGCAGGAGCTCGACCTTGTCCTTGAGTGGGATGCGGATGTACTCAAAGATCTGAGCCAGTTGCGGCGAAGAGAGGGACAGGGATCCGATGACGGCCACGACTTGCGGCGGCGACATTGTCCGTTGGGCGATCCAGTGACCAAGCAGCGGGAAGAGATCGGCAAAATCCAGGCGGAGCTCCTGGATGAATGCCGGCATCAAGACCGGCTCGACGCGGAAGCCCGAGAGAAATCCAATGAGGTGATGGATCGGATACCGGATCTGGTGGAGCACGCACACCACCCGGGGTGTTGTCGGCTGGCGAAAGACAAGTTCCGAGACGACCTTGCCGACGTCTGGTGGTGGGAAAGCCGCCAGGGTCATCATTTGGCCGACAAAGCGGGGCGGGACGGGCTCCAGGGTATTGAGTGTCGCCGTAACTTCCTTGGTGTTCTGGCACTGCAGGATTCGGAGCGAGATGCGGACGAGGGCGATGTGGCGGAAGGTCTTGGAGACCGTTTGGATCCTCCAGAGCTCTGGGGTTGGGACGAAAGACACAACCAGATCGAGAAGCTCGTTTGGGAGTCGCCTGTCGTCGGGGTCGATAGCCATGCTGGTCTCCATGGCAGTTCGTCTGTTCACGAGCGAAACCGGAGCCAAATGGATCCAGTGTCTCGCCGACGAAATGCTGGGCTGGATTGGGTGGGAGTTCGATGGCGAAAACAAGGGGGGTGCCGGTTCAAGCTCCCAGCCGCGCTGCTGGCTATTGGGTGAGCAGGATTGCGAAGAAGGTGCGTTGGTGGCTTAATGCTGAAGCGGACCTGGACAACTTGGACAGAGAGAGAGGGATGAGCGAAAGCGAGGGTCCTGGTCAGCGAGAATGAGCCAGACGGATGCGATGACGAGGCCTTCTGGATGTCCGAAGGTCCCTCCCTGGACAAAGTCGTGGTGGCATCATCCAAAGGCGGCGGCGAGCCGACGAGAGAAGCAAGCACTCGAGACGGGCTCATTCAGCCACACCTGGATTTGGAATCGAGGGTCGAGGATTGGGAGCGAGTCTCGTGGACCGATGGAGGTTGAGCAGATCGTGGACAGTCGATGGGACTGATATTGTGGCAAGGCTGGCCTTGTCGAATCAGATGTGCCAGAGAAAACACTTGGTGGACAGGATCGGCGAATTGGCGTGCAAGCCGAGACGATCAGCAGCAGCAGCAACAGCAGAGGCGATGGCGGTGGCGAAAGACCAGGAAAGTCGCCAGCCCAAGAGAGGAGACCAACCCGCAGGACCAACGAACACAAAGCGAGGCTCGATTCTGGACACGGACGACGGGACGGATAGAGACCGAAAACAGCCGCCGGAGACGGAGGTCTGACCCCAGCCGCCAGAGGGTCCTTTGGCCACACACGCGGCATGCAGATCCGGCAAAGGGAGAATCGGGATGGCGAAAGAGATTGCCCAGAGCGAAGAAGGGAGGAGGAATGGAATGAGGGAGGGGCAGCAAGCCGACAAGCAGGTAAGCGGGCACAGGATGCACAGGATGCACAGGATGCAGGCACAGGATATGAAGGATGCCGGCCAAGTGCGCCCGAAACATATGGGTGCCAGGCCGCAGGGCCGGCCGTCTGGGACCAGTGCGGAGGACCCGGGACGAAGAAACCAGGACGCAACTCCGCCCAGCGGACATGCGCGCGCCATGCGATTGGCTGGCGCGGCGATGCTCTGTCGCACACGGATGAAGCTCGGCCGATGCACACAGACTGTGGCTGCACAGATCCTTGCCCGGTCCAGAGCGTCGTTACGAGCCCAGCGCCGATGCTGGTCCTGGCCCGGGTCGACGTTCGAGCGCCCCTGTTCTGGCCCCGTCGCCGGTGCGCATGGCCGTATGGCCGGCACTGTCTCGGCCAGCGTGTGCGGTTTCCAGGCAGCTGGCGCCGATGCAGCCTGGGCCGGTGGGCTGGGGAGGGAAACTCGAGCCATTCGGGAGCAGCCTTTGCCACGGACACTGGTCACCGGGCCCCATCCGGATGCTGCCGCCGCTCAAAGCCCCCCCCCTCGGCCTTCCAAGCATTCGCCCGACGCCGCCAGTCTCTCCGCTCTCTCGCTCTCTCTCTCTCGCCGATCCGTCGACCGATCAATCCCAACCCGATTTCGCCAACAATGAGCTGCCAGGATAGTCCGCTATGCAAGGTGTTCTTGGACCAGGTCGTCCCCGTCGTGTAAGACCGCCAATGTCGAGCCCGAGATGCGATCGACCGGGTGCTGCTGCGGCGGTATAGGATGCGATACTGAGATTGCCTTTCGTTTCCCCGCCCTCCCCGCCGAATCCCACCACCATAGCGGCTCCTTGACCTCGCTGTTGATCTACATTGCTCCCTGGAAGGAAGTCAGCCTGATCATTGCCCTGCGCGAGCTCGGCGGCGTGAATGTGTGAGTATTGTGCCCTGGCCGTCTTTGCCTGTGTGCATCTCGGCCGTCGTTCGTGCCATCGGGCTGTTCGTTGGTGGTTAGGTGGCACCAGATTCTAACGATCGGCGATCTTGCCCCCATCGCTGCCCAGGCTGCCCTATGCCATGATGGTCTGCAACTCCATCGCCTGGCTCATGTACTCCTTCCTGATCCGAAACTACTTTGTCATGGTGACCAACCTGATGGGCTACGGCTTGGGTATCTACTACACCCTGCAGACCTACCGCTTCAGCACCTCGGCCCAGCAGGTCTCGGTGGCCCGTCTGCTGCTCGTCGGGACGGTGGTCATCTTCTCGGCCAGCGGCATATCTTTTGTCTTCATCTCGGACCCTGTCTCGGCCAAGCTGTTCTTGGGATGGGTGGCCGTGATTCTTCTGGCTGCCTTCTACTCGTCGCCGCTCTCGACCCTCTATGCCGTCCTCCAGGAGAGAAGCGCAAAGTCCCTGAGCTGGAACCTGGCTGCGGCATCGCTGCTAAACTCGGCCTTGTGGACCTGCTACGGCGTCACCCTGGACGACTCGGTGGGTCTTGGTCGAGCGGATGCATGGCTTGTCCATGGATTGGGTCTCGTCCTCAGAAACCGCTCTCCCTGGCCTTGATCTGGAGCATCCAACTCACACGACACGCATCGTCTCGCTCCACAGTTCATCTGGGCCCCCAACGGCTTTGGCATCGTCGTTGCCCTCGTCCAGCTGGTGCTGCTGTATCTCTACGGCGGATCCGTTCTCGAGCGCCAGCGCCTGGTGTCTTCGCCAAGGGTCTGTGAGACGATTGACGAGGAGGCATGAGCAGAATCGCAAACTGAACGAAACTGATCAGCGACCATCAAGAACCAAGCAACCATCAAGAACCAAGCAACCATCAAAAACCAAGCGACCACGGCGGAGGAGAGTGGCAAGAGGACAGCCGCCCATGCTGGCCGGCATCTTGGGCCAGAGCGAGCAGCGAGAAGCGAGCAGCGAGGGAGGGAGCAGGAGCTCCAATGCGTTGAAGTCATAGACGGACTGTACAATACAGCCCTTGTATCGAGTGATTTGAGCTTCACGGACAGGAGTGTTCCCAGATGTACGGGCTGTGCAGTATGTATCCATGATCCAGAAAAATTCACCGACCAGAAAAACAGCGTTTCCAGAAAGAAACGGGACACCCCGATTTTGGTCATTGATCAAATATTTTATTGCCTCAAAACATCGCACTGGCCATGACCATTCTGTGATGCGGTGCTCCTGTCATCCACAGCCTTAGGAATGCTGCCTCCATATTCAGTGTGTCCAAGAGCACCATTCACCGCTGGCACTCCGACACCAGTGTGCAGGTCGATTGTGGAGACCGGAGAGCGACCGGTGGTCTTCACTCGGAGGTGATCTGTTATACTTCTTATGGCTCAGCTTGACGCATGCCATCACATACTACATGTTCATGGAAGCCGGTGTGGTGTCCCATTTCTCCCCAAATAAAGTGTACAGAGGTGCAGCATACTTTTATTCCGCAAACATGGCGAGGGACATGCATCAAGAAGCGTCCGGGCGATAAGCACATCGGGACGGTCTGCAGCTGGCCAGTCCACCTGCAGATCGGCAGAACGGGGCTACCATCCAACAAGTGCCTTGAACGAGTCCAGCGCCCAGCCCTGGAGCGCCCGGCCGTTGATGGAGATGGCATTGATCGACACAAAGGGAAGATCCCGCATCGACGAGTACCCCATCACCCCGACATAGGGTCGCACCCGGATCGAGATGACCTTTCGGCCGCCGCGGCTGTTCTTGGAGAGCTCATAGTCCCAGCAGAACCCATCGCGGCCCCACTTTGGATTCTCGGGGATGCGTTCAAACACAAAGATGGACTCGAGCACCTTGCGGCCATCGTATTCTTGACACTCGGCGCATGAGTGTTGGATACGGGCGAGGCTGGCTTCGCCGCTGGGCTGCGAGAGCGGGACGAGGCCCTGAACGGCCATGCTGTTGAGTTCTCGCTTGTAGCAGGGCAGCGTCTCCCGGTGCTCGAAAAAGTCTGAGGCGATGCGGATGCTGCAGGACTCGGGCCCGCTCGAGACCAGCAGGGTATTCGGGTTCCGGTGGTGGATCGTCAGGGTGACGCCGCCGAGAAAGTCCATGCCCTCAAAGAAGGAGCAGTGCTCAAAGAACAGTGTGGTCTTGTCGACGACGGCCCTCTCGGCCAGTGCCGCCGACGAGAGCGAGGCCGGGCCTGCTTCGGGATTGTCCTCGGCCAGGGTCGAGAGCGAGTTGGCCAGCGATTGGGTCGAGCTCACCGTTCCCTTGGCCATCCACTCGGACGAGGGCTTGGCAGGCTTCGGAGTCGAGGTCGGAAAGTCGCCTTCCCAGTGGCCAAAGACGAGGTGGTCAAAGGTGTGGACCTTGGTGACAATCGAGACATAGTTTTCGAGGTGGTCGGTCGACAGGTGGTGGTAGTCGAACCACGACGCCGGGTTGGAGAGCAGGGTCTTGAAGCGCTTGCAGGACTGCAACAGCTTCAGGGCCGCAAAGAAGCCTGCATGCATGGCAATCCTGCAGACGACTTCCGAGGGCAGGTCGTGCAGAAATACTTTCTGGTCGAGGCTGAATCGGGCAGCCATCATGGGCGAGTCAGGCAGCGGCGGCAGGAGCGAGAAGTCGTCCGGATCGACGGGAGTAATCACAATCTCGGGGATGGGCGAGGGCGTTTTCGGGATGTTGGAGAGGAGACTCATGTCGACTTTGAGGGTGGCTCCGGTTCGTCCCGGGGTCATCGTACTCGGTCGAAGCGGGGGATTCTGCAGAGCGACGGCCTGTTGGCAATCAGGCGGGGAGACGGCGCTGGTTGGTTGGTTGTGGTGGCGAGGCTGCGTCGGCGAGAACCGGCGAGTGGATCATGGCTCCGCTCATGGCTATATAGCGTGCCTCATGAAAGGGCCTGCGAGCGGGTCGGAGGCCTATTTTTAGCTGCAGTCGCGGAGGGGCAAGGGGGCTGCTGCTGCTTTTTTTGGGTGCCGCTGCTGCCTCCGTGGCGGCTCGGACAAGCAGAGTTTGGGTTGCCGTGCCGGAAGCAGGGCTGGTGGAGCAAAGCCAACAAGCCGAGAGGAAGGCAGCGGCTGCAAGGCCAAAGCAGACAAGAAGCTGCTGCTGCAAAACGGAAAACGGCGGCGCAAAAAGAACAGCACCGCGAGAGCGGCCGTGAGGGTGTGCGTTTCGCACGGTCGACAAGGTCAACGGAGCATCGTGTTGGGTCTCTGTCAGCCAGCACGAGCAGAATCACCCTCTGGCCATGAGGGCTGAGTGCATGCACCGCACCCCCCCGCATCGCGATGGCAATGCCGGCTGATCGTCGCCATGGAGATCGACTGGGGGTGTCCAAGAATGTGCCGGGATGGGGAGCATTCATCAGACCGTCGCTGGTTCCGCTCTCACTATCAAGAGCTACGCCCCCTGCCACATTGCCGCCACAGCCCATGCAGCCGCCAATCCGGCGCCCAGCATCGCTTGCCCATGTCGAAGCGAGACAGTGCTCGAGTCGACATTGGCAAAGCCCTGCGGCTTGGGACTGGCAGTCGGGTCGGCGGGCCCCAGAGTGATGGGCATCGGAGCCGATGTGGCCGACAATGGCGCCGTCGTCGTCAGCGCCAGCTGGGCTGTCGTGGAGACCAACAGCCTCGTCTGCACCGAGGTCGTCCACGGGGCAACAGAAGTCGGCACCGGTGTCTGCCCTGTCCCCAGGCAGCCGTCGCCCATGTCCATCGAGTTGACGTATGTTCCAGCAACCGCAGCAGCGCCGAGACCGCGCTTGGCAAAGCCGGCCCATAGCAGGCACACATTCTGTCCCTGGTTGGCAATTTTGTCGGCCTGGATGATGGCGTTCCGGGCCGAGACAAAGTCCGGGTTGCATGGCTGCAGCTTGAGACCGTCGATCACCAGCTGAAGCTGAGGGTCGGAGCAAAGGGAGTGAGCACAGACGTGAGTCGCAAGCACGGCGCCAGATGAATGCAACAGGCGACAGGCATCTTGGATTTGTTCGTGACGATTGGGTGCCACATCGGCTCCCTCTTCCTACCATCACCGTGTTGCCCTTGCCGCTGTCGCTGTTTCGGATGTCGTTTTCGAATCCGAGTGTCTCGATCAGATTCCAGGCTGCTTCCATCAGCATTGCCGTCCAGATCTCGCCGATGGAGTGCACGTTGCCAAAGGTTGTTGTCATGTTGGCGTAGGTCAGCGGATTGGCTGTCGTGTTCGAGGTCGAGGGGTAGTTCCGGACGTTTCGCGGATTGCCTGCGGTGTACCCGCCTATGGTCAGATTGCTGAACCGGCTCAGGGTTGAGCGAAGGGAGATGATGTAGGCGAAAAAGTCGCTCCAGCCCTCTCCAAGACCCATGGACTCGGTCCGCGTCAGGCAGTTGGCGATGCGCTGGCCGCCGGTGAGACGATTCGAAACACCATGACCGTATTCATGGAAGATGATCGAGTTGTCCATGGCGCCGTCGCGATTGGGTGTCGTCTTGGTAAAGATGTACATCCGCATCCGGCCGGGCGATCCATCGGGCGGGGTGGCAAAGTCCGCTGTATGTGCGTGGATGGGATTACAGTTGTTGGTGGATCGAGTTAGTGACGGCAGCCATGTTTGTTCAGGGCCGTGATGGCAGCCAGGGTCAAACGGTAAGCATCCATAACCATGTGTCTGCATTTTCGCCCGTACAGGTGCGATGTTGTGCATGGTTGCCGCCCGAAGCCAGTGCTCACCATTGTTGATCCCAGCGCCGTCTTGTGCGAACGCTACGACGGCGTCGTTGCCCAGTCCGCTGTTGCCAAAGTTGTTGGTCTGGAAGTTGCCGGCCGCCTCGGTGAACCCGTACATGTAAAAGATATCGTGCGCCATGTTGTTCATATAAAACAGCTGTGTGACAGAGGCATTGATGCTCGCCATCGGATCCCGATTCGGGTCGTACGTAAAGTCGAATGCGAGACTAGCATTGACAGCCGGGCGGTGGCGGCCGTCGATGGAGCCGGTGTTGTTCCAGTCCTCCTGGGCATAGACGTTGTTTCCCATCGTGGTCAGCAGCGGGCCATTGCCCTCATCGTGCCAGCCCAGAGGCGAGACCGAGGCATTGAACATCCTGTTCTCCGAGACCGGATCGACGAGCCAGACCTGAGCCGAGACGGACAGATCCTCTGAGGTAAAGGGAATCACCCGGTAGGACGCCACAGCGAACTGATTGACCCAATTGGAAACGCCGATCAAATCGCCGGTGGTTGCGTCGACAAAGGCATCGTACCAGTCGTCGCCGCTGCGGGTGTAGATATTGATGTTCCATGCCTTGACAAGGCCTGCAGGCGTTTGGTAGTAGATGAGGGATGCCTTGACGGGCTGCTGGGCAAAGTCATCGACTTGGTCAAAGCTGGTTCGGCCAGTGGCATCGGTCGAGGATGTCCAGGTCTGCGGGTTGCTGGTGATGTTGGCCTTTGCCAGGAAGGCGGTCAAGGCATCGCGAGCCGACAAAGCTGGTGAGGAAGCCGATGAGCTTCGCTTTCGTCGCCCTGGAAGGGCCAGCGGCCGATTGTTTTGCTTTGGGATGGTAGAGCCTATCGAAAGCAAGTTGCCGTAGCTGTCCAGGTTGACGTTTGCTACTGCGTTGCCAATGGGCAAACCCTCGTATACTTGCTGGATGTACATATGAAAGACGCTGTTGTGGCTATCTTGGTACCTGGGTGTCGAGGCGGAATGCAGGCAAGATAATCAGGGAGGTGGCCAGCCCAGCAACAGCCCAGCAACAGGTTGGGTGCTGGTGATGGATCAATCGAACCAGCAATGGTGTGCTGCCCGACAAGCAGACAGTAAGCCGAAACACTTGAAGAGAGGCTCTGGTTCAGCAGCACATACGAGCTGGTGACTACAAACTGATCTGACGCGATGCCCAGGTTCTGAGTGAGCACAGCCGTGGCAATCTGGCTCAGGCTGTTGATGTCCAGTGGCTGCGGGTCGGCAAAGTTACTGGACTGGACCTGGCTGACTTCGAAGGTCGCTGATGGCCAGTACGGCTCGAGCTGAAGCGAGCCGTGCGCGATGGTAGACAAGAACCAGGCAGTCAGGCAGCATATGGCCGGCGGTGATAGGAGTGCTTTCATGGTTGCAGCGAGGAACGGATGGCGATCGATATCGATGGCGGATCGGTATGTAGACAGGGGTAGATCGGAGCGAAGAGGGTAGATCGGAATGCAGAGAGGATGTTCAGCAATGAGAGCGATATCCAGAGACGACAGGGTGCTCACTTGGCCAAGCGGACAGCATATCGGCGGTAAAGTTACGTCCGGCTCGACCGACCTTGGTGGGAAAGCACGGGCTTGGAACATGCTCCCAGACAAGCGCGCCAAGTCAACATTCATAACTCTGCTCGTTGAAGTCGCCAGAGGAACAGTACCGATCGACGCGCAGCCACGATTGTGCCTAGAATGCCGCTGGGTTCCTGGGCCGTCCTTGCCAATCAGAACGCAGAGTCGTTGGTTTCAAGGCAGCAGCAGAGTACCACTGTGAGCTTGTTTTGAAACGGGACACTCCGATTTTGGCCGGTGATCAAATATGTTATTGCTTCATAACATCGCTCACTGGGTATGACCATTTTGTGATGCGGTGCTACGCCCTCACACATGGCCTTAGGAATGCTGCCTCCATATTCAGTGTGTGCAGGAGCATCATTCACCGCTGGCACTCCGAGACCAGTGCAGCGCCCACGAACGGGCCACAGGAGGCGCCAAGTGGCCGTCGACAGGATGTTCAAGGCCGTCCTGGAGCACGCCCGAGGGAAAATGATGTAATGATCGCCTTTGGCAATGTGTCACACCAAGTGATCCATATTGGTGCCGAGTGGAGAAACAAGCAAACCAACTCGGCGCTGGCGACTGGCGGACTCTATTGAGGTGTTCGACCGTTTGCAAGGCTTGTGGCAGAGGAAGGTGGGAGGAGGTCTCTGGCCGAGTGAGGCCCTCCCCTGTTTTGCGTCGAGGAATTGGTCGGAGGTGGGTTGGGTGGAACAAGGATATAACTATCCCCTGATATATAGATCTGCGGAGTCTAGATCAAATCTATCGAGTCTTCTCGTGCCTGCCGCTGCATGATGGTTTCGAGTATGGACGCTCGCCATCTGAGGAACTCGGCGTACTTTTGTGTGCTCCTCAGCGGGGCTCGGGCAATCTGGGAGAACGGCATCCGAGAGGACAAGAATCGAGAGAATCAGACGAATGCTTGAGCAGAAGCCACGGACAGGGTAGTGGTGTGCGGGGGGTTGCGGGATTGGCAAAGGCGGGCAAAAGTCTCGCCTGGAGAAAGTCCCACGGCCCCAACGGCGGTTTCTGTGACGCTCAGGCAGTGGCAAGAATGCGGCAGATCAAGAGTCGTGGCAGAGCAAGCATTACCATGCTGTTGATTCCGTGCTTCGGCCCATACGCCGACGGCCTTGCCCCATTCGGTTTGTTCGATGCAGCGTTTTGTCGATCGGACGACAGGGTGCCCTTCACTGCTGTTGCACGATCCAGTTGGCTCCTGGCTGGCTCTGTGCCTTGTCCCGATTCTTGCTCCACGAGCTTGCGTTTGTTACGAGCCGAGGCTCGGGTGGCTCGTACGCGGTTCTCGGAGGACTCTTCAGATGCCTCCTCAGCCTCCTCAGCCTCCTCAGCCTCCTCAGCCTCCTCAGCCTCCTCAGCCTCGTCCGGCACAGGAGCTTCGGATGGGTCCGCCCGACGCCTCTTGCGCGGAGTCGACTTTGCCACGCCTGTCTTTTTCATGGTCTGGAAGCGCTTGGTGTCCTCGCTGCAGAATTCGTCCAGGAGCTTGCATATGGTGTTGATGGTCTTGGTCTGCATCTCGGCCGCTTGGGCAAACTTTGACGGCGGTTTCTGCGGACAACAGTGAGCGGAAGGCAGCCGTGAGCCAAGGGCACCAACTCGATGAAACTTGGGTGCACGAAGGCAGAGATGCGGCATAGCGTGCAATGCTATGTTACGATCCAATCCTGCTCTGGCAGAACGGTAGTCAAGAGTCGCGGCCATGAGCAAGCGAGTGCGTCGTGTCCAAAGAACATACGCCGAGAAGCTTGCAGATCCAATAGAAGATCGAGATGTAATAGTCAGCGCCCTCGTTCTGTTTGATGTATTGGCGCCGGTTGAGAGGAATGGAGGGCAGATATGCGTCCATGAAGCGCTTGTGGACGGCATAGACCTCGTCGAGGATGAACGCTGAGTCGTATTGGATGGCCAGGCGCTCGAGGAGCTCCTTGACAACATGAACGGTGGCGCCTGTGCTGGCGGAGCCGGGGACGGAGCCGGGGACGGAGCCGTTTGCCGTCAAAGTGTCTCTTGGAGCAAGCAGAGATCGAGCAACCTTGATTGTGTCTGCGTAGAGTTGCGAGCGGATGGTCGATCGTTGAATCGCTGCGGTCTGTGAGAACGGAAATCGCAGGCTGGATACCACGATACCGACGCGGGAGGTCAAAAAAGCGTCTCAACTTGGTTGAATGGCACAGCGGGACTGATTGGGAGGTCTCGGTTGTGATGTATATGGACGAAGCCGATGAGGTACAGTTCTTGCGCCGCCCCTACCTCTCGCATGCCAGCTGCAGACAGATGATCGGGATTGAAGTCGCAGCTGCGGGCTGGAGTTGGCTTGGCAGGCGCTTAGCCGCGGCCAGCGAGTAGAATTCCCGGGCCTTGTCCAGGACTGCCGCCGGGAGGTCGCCGAGGATGTTCAGGTCGTTGGCTGCCGTCTCGCATGGGTGGATGGCTCGCTCGGCATACTTGGATGGCCGCATGTGGACGTTATGGGTTGCTTGGCAGGCACGGTGTTGGTTCGTTCGTTCGCTGTGGGAAGCACGACTCGATCAACGAGGCTGCAATGTAAACAGTCCAGCTTGGATAGACGGCCTGGCTCTGACAGAGGCTGTGCGATGCGATCACACTCGCTGCTTGGTCGTTGAGGTGGAGAGCGGGGCGACCGAAACGTTAAAACAGAAACCGGGGCCAGTCGAGGCACGCGCCAAATGCGGACAAATGAAACCGGCTCGAGTGCGGATCGAGCGCGGATCGAGTGCGGATCGAGCGCGGATCGAGTGCGGATCGAGCGCGGATCGAGTGCGGATCGAAATGAGAGTATAAGTGCCGGCCGCTGGCCTGGTTCGGCTCTTTCTCCTCCAAAAAGGGCTGCTCCTCGATCGGACAGGGCAGGGCCGTCCGTATGAGGTCGTCTCTGCTTCTGCGGTATGGCCATCAAGACATATCGGCAGCATAATTTTTGTAAACCCCCGGCCAGCAGACCAGGCTCGCGTTCATGAGCTGTCGCTGGTCCCCACCCCCTTGGCATGATCACGATCAAAACGAATGAATGAATGAAACAACAGAGAGGGAGCGGCAAGCCTGATCAGGCGGCTGTCCGAACCAGCGGTATTCGCGGTGGCAGCTGCGGATCGGGGGTGCATCCATAGAGTGGATGATCTGCCCTATCGCAATGAGCCATGATTTGGTCTGGTGTGGTTGAGCAGTCTCACGGTTGGTTCGCCCACACCGGAACCAATTCCCGTCGCGCCTGGGCATTGATTGCAGCTCTTTGGCCACGGGTCTCAAAGGCAGGATCCTTGGTTGCATGCTGTAAGCACTGTATTGAAATGCATTCAGATAGGCACTGCCGTCTTGTTCAAGGCACAAGGTCGGTGCACAATATCAATGTCAGGAGGAGCAGATGGACGAACGAACACTCCTTTGCGAAGATCGCTCGCCCTCATCATCTTTCCACCATTCTCTCAAAAGAGTTTCATGGCAAAGATAACGATCGATCGATCGACCGAACGAGAGAATTCCTCCAGCTCATGATCCCCCGTCCCATCTATCCAGAGATGATCGCGCGGGTCTCCGCAGAGACTCGCTCTCAGTGTCGGCGGCGACGATCGTCCGAGTCTCTGTTGCTTCTACGGCGATCGTCGTCATAGTCGCGGCGACGGCGATCATCATAATCGCGATCATAGCGCCTGTCGTCGTGATAGTCTCGCGACCGACGATCATCAGAGTCTCGACGGCGGCGGTCGTCCGAGTAATCCCTTCGATCTTCATCGCGACTGTCGTTTCGGGGACGGCGATCATCGTCGAATCTAGAATTGCGGTGGAGGAATTAAGGGGTGTCGGAGAGATGTGGAGGGAGACAGAGGGAGGGACGAGGTGGGAGTGGTTGCTTAGAATGGCTGCAGTTCGGCGGGCTGCAGGGGAGTTGCCGGGCGAAGCAGCTTCCGGGCCGTCACGCAGTATCGCCAGATGAGAGCTGAGGGTATCGGCCACACCGAGGGGCGCTGTAGAATGCTGAGAGACTCAAGAAATGCTGAAGAGCTGAGGAGCCTGGACCATGCGGAAGCCCAGAGCAAACGGCTGAAGCAGCGGGTTTACAAGGGTCGGTTGGGGGTATCATGCAGCTCCGGAGCTCCACCTTGTGCCATCATGGGGTTTCTCGGTGTAGCTGTAGTCGACCCGGATCTTGCGTTCATTGATGACCTATGGATGGCAAAGAGAGCCTTGTCAGCAACCAGAAGCTTGTTGTGGCATCCATACCCAAGGCTGGTGCAGGCAATCCAGCAGAGCGAAGGAGTCAAGCAGAGGTTTGCGCGTGGGAAAGAGCAATGGAAGCGCACCATTCCGTTCATGCATTCTCTGGCTCGAGTGGCATCGGTGAGCTCGGCGAAATCAATGAATCCGAATCCCCTGGAAGTGTTCGTGTGCTTGTCGATGATGACGGTGGCCTGGGTGCAGGGATTCAGCCACAGTCACGAAGCCACAGATTCGTCAGGGTTATGGACCTTTGGACATGTGAGGATGCACTCGGAGAAGACCTCTCGCTCGAGCAGTCATAAGCATCCCACGATCAAGCCCGAGCGGACAGGGTCAATGCGCACCTTCAGGATCTTGCCAAACTTGCCAAAGTGCTCGTAGAGATCGTTGGATCGTGTGTACTTGCTGAGGCCAAAGACACCAATGACCTTCATGGGCTTGGCGTTGGGGTCCTGGTCGAACTGGAGGGGGGGAGCATCCACGAACCAACAGGTGAACAGAGTGCGCCGAAAGTGCAGAGCAGGTCAGAATAGAGTCAGCGCAGATAAGTGCGATGAGCGGCGAATATGGATCGGAGGAGGGAAAGTGCTGTTCCGATCGGTGCGAGCATCGACGTAAGCCACTCTCAGCTACTGGTTATCACGAAGCGGTTCTCGCTTCCGTCGTCTATCGCAGCGGCATCTGCAAGACTTACGTTATTTCTCTTCTCGCGATCCAGGCCGCTTCCACGAGCCCCGTCGGAGGAAATCGCGCCACTTGGTTGGAGAGGGATCACGACAGACACAACCGAGGAAAGGGGAAATCAGGCGCTGCGCTGCATGGCGATTGACCGTCATATAACCCACTCTGCTGCTCAGCGTGAAGGAGGCTACCGTTCGATCACAGCGATATCGAGTGCAGTCCTGCGGCTATGTCGAGCCGGGCACATTAAGGCCCCGCCTCTCCGATCTTTCTCGCGCACGATCAGCCATGCAAACTCGCGGCTATACCTCTTTCGCACAGGCGATCTGGATCTGGATCGATAGCGATCTCTCTCGCGGCCTCGTTCGCGTTCGCGCTCACGATCACGATCGCGATCGCGGTCTTGCTCTCGGCTGGGCGAACGGTTGCGGGGCTCATAGTCCATCCCGTCATCGTCCATGGTGCCGCTGCCGCGCTGGCGAGGGCGGCGAGCACCGCCGTCCGGCGAACTGGAGCGCGAGTCGATCCTGGCGCTGTCTCTGGGACCCAGGCGGCTGCTGTCCTCTTCGGCGGCGACGGGGATGTGCTTCTGGGTGGTGTCGTGGTCCGAGTCGGAGCGAACGTATCGGGCGGGCGATTCGCGACGGGGCCGCGTAACATCATCCTGAAGAGGTGAGATGGAGGAAGGGGATCAAGTTCGATCAAGCGAAACGAGAGTGAGAAACACGGGACACTGCGTGCGTCTTGCTTGCGAAGCGTGTTGATCAGAATCAGAGAGGTACGGGTACGGCGATCGGCGATGATAATCATGATGATGGCTGCGACCGACGAGGCCAGGGTCGGTGGATGTAGATGGAGGATGGCGGATGCCAATTGTCTCGGCTCGTCCCTCGATCCCGGATGGACCTCTGGCTTTACTCGACAAGTGTCCATGGCAAGCTCGCGAAAAATACATGTGGGAAGATCGTGGCCAAAGGGCCGCGACGACTTACTTGCTTGAGCGACTCTGTGGGAGTGCGGCGTTCGGAGAGCATGGCAGGCGTTGGATTCAGGTGGATGGGGACTAGAAAGCGACCGAGAGCGCCAGGATGAGACGGGGAGGAAAGCACGAGGAGGAGAGAAGGGGAGCGGCAGCGGGAGGGAGCCGGGGAAGTGCAAGGGCGGAGAAGAAGGAGAAATCAATCAGGAGGCTGCCGGTCGCTCGCGCCATCCCTGTCGAGGTAGTTCCCCTGGCTGCTGCTGCCGATCCAGATGCAGATGGGCGGGCAGGTGGGCGGCGCCATTTTGAGCGGACGATGCAAGGGATCAGCGGGCGGGACAAGCCGGCGATTGGCGACGAGGGATGGCGACGAGGGATGGCGACGATGGATGGCAGCCCGTTGCCTCTCGAGAAGAGACTTTTGGTACCTGGCTCAAGTTCCGTTACGGTTCCGGCTTTTGGCGAATGCACGTCAGACTCCGGGCCAGGTCGCAGTCCAGAAACAAGCTGGATCGCAGAATCAGATCGCTGGGAAAGTCCCGAAAACGCAGGCGGAGGCAAGTCTGTGTCGGCGAATGTCGCTCGGGGGGGAGGAGAGAATGCCGCCGTTCTCATGCTCCCCTTGGTCCCCTTGGTCCTCGTCCCGACTTGCGTCTTGCAGTATCGCGCAGACGGCTCAGCGGCGATGGAAGACGGGGCAGCGTTTGTGCCATGGTTAGGGGAATGATCCAACGGGGAGATATAGTGCGACTATCTCGAAATATACATCGACCGAGCGTCGCTCCGAAAGTCTCATGGGAAGGAGAATGCGCTCGAGCCCACGAGTCCGATCCACTCGGACACGCTGGAACAGAAACCAGAACCAAAGACCAAGAGCCCCAAACCAGAACCAGAACCAGAACCAAAACCAGAGCCAAAGAGCGTGTCCAGGGATGCATCGTGGGTGCAAGGAACGGGGATGTCCATCGAGTGCCCAGAGACACAGATTCGCCCAGCACTTCAAAGCAGTTCCACCATCACCAGAGACGCCGAGGACAGACCAGTGGGTCGATCTGGAAGGACACAAGTGGGTGCTGTCCTGTTTCGTTCTGAACATGCTGTAGCGAGAGCAGATAGAAAGAGTGATCGACTATTGACCAAATTCGAGACATTGATGATCCCGGCAAGGAGGCAAAGAAGAAGAAAAAAACGGGGGAGGAGGAGGATTCAAGGATACACGGAGACGTACCCAGAGGAAAGAGAGTGGGAAGGCCCATCCCTCGCCAATTGAGGAGATAGAGGCCGAGTTGAGCAGTCGAGCGCAGGGCAGCAAACGGAAGAAAGAGTCTTGACAGCGCAAACCTCGAAAACCAAGAGGCCCATGCCTGGCGATGATCCAAACGGCTCAGCGCTCTGGATACGGGTGAAGCGGGACGGAGAACTTCCGCTGAGCACCGGAAGCTGGGTGGGCTTTCTCCTGTCGGAATCCTCGCCGTTGGGTTCGAAGGGGATAATCTGGGGCTCTAGACGAACCAAAGCAAGGCGCAAACGCAAGCCGGCCATGGGCGTGCAGAGCCAGCAGACTGACTGAAGACGTCTGCAGGGCATCGGCCAGCAACGACAGGAAGGAGCAATGAAACAGAGCGAGGATGGGGAAGGAGAGCGAGAAAGCGACACGAGATTGCAACGGCCCGGGTGGATCGATGACGACGAGGACTGCCATGGTCGTTGTTCATTAGGCATCTCCATGGTTCGTACAAGTCCATCAAAGTCGTCGGAAAGGGTAAGTCGTAGGTAGGACGTGATATAGAAAAAAAGAAAAACGGTCATATGACTAAGGTGGGAGAATTTCGTTATTCAAGAGTCACTACTTCAAAAGTCCTGTCAAGACACCGAAGGTTGCATTTTGGAAGCGAGCGAGCGTGAGAGGAGAGGGAGGGCGAAGGGGGAGAGAGCGTGAGATGACGGGCTGACCAAGGCAGTCGAGAAGAGTGGTGGACTTCTCTCGCTTAGGCCTCGTCGAGGTCGACTTCGACACCGGCAATGAAGACACGCTTGACGTTGAGGTCGTCGTCCAGGAAGAGAATGTCGGCATCGGCACCGTAGTTGAGGGTTCCCTTGCGGTCCTGGACACCGATGCAGGTGGCAGGGTGCAGGGTGGCCGACTCGAGGGCCTCGATGATGGAGCAGCCAGTGAACTTGCGGAAGTTGCGGACGCACTCATCCAAGGTCACGACACTGAGCGGGAAGATGGTCGATTCGCATCAGCGCAACAATTCCGAGCCGAACGAACCAATCGAACAAACAGAACGATCGCGGTTGGAATGGAGGCCGGAGCGGCTCGGAACAGGGCCTGGACTGTCAAGTGGAAAGGGAAGCGATGCCACCGGGTTCGCCGACACTCAGAGCCACTCTTACCTGCCAGCCAGGGTGTCGGTGCCCTCGATATAGGCAGCGCCATCGACCTTGTCGACAGTCATGTTACCGAGCTTGTACTTGCCCGGAGGAAGACCGGCGGCACCCATGGCATCGGTCACTAGGCAAGCGCCGCGGGGATGCGCGTTGTAGGCAATCTTGACCGAGTTGGGATGGCAGTGGACACCGTCGCAGATGATGCCGTAGTAAGGGCGTTCGATATCGGAGGCACCGAGCAGGCCGATCGGTCCGGGATCGCGGTGGTGGAACGGGTGCATGGCGTTGAAGAGATGGGTGATCTTTCGAGCACCGGCCTCGACGGCCCGCTGCGATTCGGAGGTGGTCGCCGACGTGTGGCCGATGGAAACGCAGATGCCGGCCGCGACAAGCTTGGGGATGTTTTCGACAACACCGGGCAGTTCGGGGGCAACGGTGACGAGCTTGACGATCTGGCTGCCTCCATACTCTGAGAGATGGTAGATGGCCTCAAAGTCGGCGGGCTTCTGAGTGGCGGCAATGATGGCGTCGACCTCATGAGCGCCCTTCTTGCTCAGGGCCATGAAGGGGCCCTCGAGATGGGCGCCAAGCACCTCGGCGCCGTTGATGACGTTGCCTCGGCGGGGGTAGAGTTTGGGGACGGCGGTGCGGTAGACATCATGCTTTGAGCTGACGATGGTGGGCAGGAACGAGGTGCAGCCAAACTTGAGCAGGCCGCGGGCGACCTTGGGGATGCCCTCCTCCAGAGTCTCGCGGTCGTTGGTAAAGTCGACGCCAAAGGCACCTGGTCGGCGAGGATGAGCGTGGGTGGGGATGGGGGATTAGGGCGAGAGCTCGGTATCGACTGACGAATCACAGGGGACGCTACATGCCGGCTCGATGGAGAACGAATTGTGCCGGCCACTCTGCACTACCGCCAGCGCGATGCAGCCAAAGCAATTTAAGCAATCGAGGCAATCGATGCAATCGAGGCAGCTGAAACAGCAGGACTACCGCAGGTTGCGCAGACTACATACCGTTCAGCTGCAGCTCGACAAAGCCGGGGGAGATGATGAGACCACCGGCGTCAATCTCGGTGGCGGCCTCGCCATAGGCCTCGAAGAAGTATGGCTGGGGGTCGATGATCTTTCCGTTCTCGATCCAGAGCGAGTCGTTCTCGACGAGCTTGTGGTCTCTCAGGATGCGGCAGTTGGTGATTTTGATGACGCGGCGGGTGTTTTTCCGGCCGCGGGCCTGGGCCAGGACAGGGGCAGCAGCCACCTGGATCTGGTGGGCCTCGGCCGAGGCCAGATGGGTGGCTTCGGCACCGTGACCACCGCCACGGATCTTGGCAAAGAGAGGAACAGTCGGAGAGGCGACCGGGACGGTGACAGGGTCAAAGAGGGTGCTTCTTCGGATCGACAGGCGGGGAACGACGGGAGTTACGGGACGAGATCGGGTGGCCGGGCTCGTGGCAATGTGGGAGGTATCAACTTGGGGCTGTGACGAAGCCGCGGGCGAGCTGTTGACTTCCATGGGCTCGGGGGAGCTTGCCCTTGGAACTTGGACGGAACTCGAGGAGGGCATGGGTGGCGGGAGTGTGAGGCTAAAGAGCGAGTCCAGGAAGGTCGGATGGTCGGCATGGTGGGTGGGGGTGAGTGTCGGGGAGATGGAGAGATGGAACGGTAGCCAATACGAGGGTGCCATGCGACGGAAAACGACGAGCGGCGAGGTTCAGAACGGGGGAGGCGGATGAGATAGGCGAAAGACGGCGTCGAGGCAGGCAGTCGAAGACGGGGGTGGTTGAAGCGGATAGAAATAAGAGGCGGGATTAGTGGCTGGAGAAGTCTACGAATATTAAGCGGTAATTGGGAATACCGAGAAGGGTCGGGAGGACTAGTCTATGAGGTCGGGCAGACAATGAGGCGAGGCTCGGACAGAAGGCAGAGTACAGGGAGGACTCGAGGCGGCTCGGTCCAGACTGAAGAATATAGATGGAGGGAGAGGATGGAGGAGACAGGTGGGCCAAAGGGACACGGGGGGGGGAAATGCGAGGCTTGTGATAACGCAAGCCAAAGGCGGGGGGGGGCTTAGACAGGGCTTAGACAGTGCGGGGAGGACCTTGCCGTGGTTACCTTTTTTTTATCTGTGGACCGATGAGATAGGGAAAGGGCGGGAGGCGAGAGAGCCTTTATAGAGGGGATCCTGGCGACCAAGGGACAGCGTGCAGCAAAAGTGTGATCAGAGTGTGATCAGGACCTGGGGGCAAGGCAGCAAGCCGCTTGCTCAAGCGCAGCGACGCCATGAGGCGGATTGGGCGGGGTGGGCTGCAGGCCGGGCCAGGAGGCCTGGGGGTGTGCGGGTGGACGCTGGGTGGACACTGGGTGCATGCTGGGCGGATGATGCTGCATGGACGCCGGATGATGGCGATCTGCTGATCGGGCAATGCCAAAGGGACCCGTCGCCAGAGCCCATCGCCCGCTTGAGAAGCATGTGTCCGGGGAGGGGACCAAAGTACACTTACAGCGAGACCGGTGCCAGCGACCGGCGAGACAGAAGACACCCCTTATTCTTTGCGACGAAGGTCAGCGAATGCTGTCGCTGCGGGCGATGAGAAGGATTTATAAACCGCACAGCGAGTGTGGCCAGGGCGGGCTGCTGGTTGGTTGGCGGGGCGGGGCCGGCCGCGGATTGGCTGGCGCGACACGTGAGGCGGCACAGAATGCGCGAGATGTGCACGGAACAGCGCGAATGCGCAGCGCGATTGGCTGGTGCGACGCGACGGCGCACAGGCAGATAGTGCGGTGTTGGCGGGGCTTGTGTGTGCGGCTGTTGATGCTGGTGCTGGTGCGGCTGTTGATGCAGGCGCGATATCCTCTGGAGCAGCACCAGCACAGCACGCTGCTCGACAGCCCAACATGCACTGCTGCAGTTCGGCCTGGTCGAGCCATCGCACACACTCCTGCACAGAACCAGCACCACTCTCGACAAGGCGCAGCCTGAACCAAGAAGCCAGCTGTATCTCAGTGTCGCACAGCGTCCTATCGCGTGCGCACACGCGGCTTTCTCGATGCGCCCGCCTTGAGCCAGCGCGTCGGGGCCGCGCGCCAGTCACATCGCAGAGCAGCGCGCCGCCTGATAGGACCGCGGTCGCGTGTGGGCCAGCCGAGGTGACACAGAGGCAAGTCGTGCGCAGCAGAGAGAGAGACAGATAAGAGGCCGGCGAGAGGTCGGCGAGAGGCCGGCGAGGGGATGGCGAGAAGGGCGTCCAGCCACAAGGCGCCTCCGCCTCGTCTGACGCACCGTGACTGTCCCTGTACACGCGACCAAGGCACAAGGCGGCTGGATCCGGCTCGATCCTGGATGCCTGCGCCGCTGTCTCTGTGCCGCTGCGCTTGTTGCCTGGCCTGCACGCGACACTCCCAAGGACATCACTGTGACTGTGCAGGCCATGTTGCGCCAGCTGCAAGCCCGCAGCCGCAGTGTAAACCTCGCTTGCAACAATCCATGACCAAGAGAGTGTCAGAGCTCGAACCGGGACCAGTCCGTCACCCGGATCGGCGACCGCATCGCTGGCCAGCAGATGATGCACCCCAAGCCAACGCCGCATCGCCAGGCAGATGGTGCTGCATCCCTCACACCCACAGCAGTGATCCCTGCTGCTCCAAACATGCAGTTTACTGTGAGTCCATGGCCGGCCAATGCCTGCTGCGCGCTCTCGCTGTGCGCCCGTTGTGCGTCCGCCGCTGTCCACACGACCAGTCGCAATCGTGCTTTCGCTGTGAACCTTGGTCCCCCTTGTGTCGCGTCCGAGGTGCGCTATCGCCCGGCAGCACAGGCGGCTTACACACGCTGCGCGGCCCGCCACGCCACACACACACGCTGCCAGAGATAGCCGAGGGGCTTGTCGGCCGCGACGAGGTTCCAGGAGCGCCGCCGCGGCCCATTTTTTTCGGCTGTCTCGGCCTCGGCTTGGAACTCTTCGTCCCTCAGGCCCGATCTGCCCATCCTCGACCCAACCCCGCCATCGCCCTTCGTCTCCGCGCCTTCGCTCTGCAACCATGCGTCTCGTTATCCGCGATGATCCCGGCCAGGTAGCCCAGTACATTGGTACGTACTCGCCCTTCCGATCCGGCCGCTGAGGCGCTGTCGATGCCGGATCGCGGCTCGGACAGCCATCGAACCCACGATCGCATCGCCGCGGCTGCTGCTGCCGACGGTGCCATCGTTCGCCGCATCGGTTGTCCGGGAACATGGAAAGTGCTTCTTCTGCCTCATCAGCCCCGAGATGCGCTTCACTGTACATCTTCTGAGCTGCTGCTGAAACTCTCATGTTGCTTCCCACCTTCCCGCCGACGCACCTCTCTGGGTTCTCCCCCTTAGCTACCTACATCAAGGACAGAATCAACACCTTCAACCCCACCCCCGAGAACCCCTTCGTCATTGGCCTGCCCACCGGTTCCTCGCCCGTGCAGGTCTACAAGCGTCTCGTGGAGTTCCACAAGGCCGGCGAGCTCTCGTTCAAGCATGTCGTCTCCTTCAACATGGACGAAGTGAGTTTCTGCGTCGTGCCGTGATTCCCTGGCGGTGCTCGTTGAAGTGCCCAGCTCTGGACAGGTCTTTTTGATCGAGTGTCTGTCGCTCCATGCGATTCAGAGAGCACGTTGCTCACTGTTGTCGTTGCTCGCCCCTGTCTGCGTCTAGTACGTCGGTCTTCCTCGGTAAGTCTTTGTGGTGGTGGCGGCGCAACATGGTCAACCCAGTCGATCTCGCTGGCCCCTCTTTCCGAGCAGGCTGGTCTGTGAATTGTGAATCGGCCTGCCGAACGTCTTGTCGACTGGGCGCCATCCCGTGGGCTGTGAACGTGCCATGCCGATCCATCGGACTGACTCGCCCCCGTGGCGTCATCGTTACTCATGCAGCGATCATCCCGAGTCGTACCACTCGTTCATGTGGAACAACCTCTTCAAGCACATCGACATTCTCCCCGAGGTTAGGCCCGTCGCCCCTTCAGCTCGCCTTCCTCTCCTGCTTGACTGGTTGCTTCAATCCGCATTCGTTACCGATTCCCCCACCACTGCTCTGCGTTGCTTGCATTGGCGTGTGTCCGAATCACCCCCCGATTCCCACTGTACCGGAACAGCAGCAGCCAGTTGCATTTACTCACCATGACTCGCCCCTCTCGGTCTCGCGCTCCATATGTTGCTGCAGAACGTCCACATCCTGAACGGCAACGCCCCCGATCTCGAGCTCGAGTGCCAGCAGTACGAGGAGAAGATCGCCTCTGTCGGCGGCATCGAGCTCTTCTTGGGCGGCATCGGCCCCGATGGCCACATTGCCTTCAACGAGCCCGGCTCGTCGCTCTCCTCGCGCACCCGCATCAAGACCCTCGCTTACGATACCATCCTCGCCAACTCGCGCTTCTTTGGCGGCGACATCAACAAGGTTCCCAAGCTGGCTCTGACCGTCGGTGTTGCGTAAGTGGACCAGGTTCTCCTGCACTGTCCTGCACTGCCCTGCCCAACGGCGAATGGGCGAATGATGGTGCGGGTAGAGAAGAACGAGACCATCTTCCTCGACAGTGCGGCAGGTTTGAGAAGCGTGATTCTGATTTTTGATCTCGCTGCTACATAGCACCGTCATGGATGCCCGTGAGGTCCTCCTGATCATCACCGGTGCCCACAAGGCTCTCGCCATCGCCAAGTGCATTGAGGAGGGTCTCAACCACATGTGGACGGTCTCGGCCATCCAGCTTCACCCCCGCGGCATGATTGTCTGCGACGAGGATGCCACCCTCGAGCTGCACGTCAAGACCGTCAAGTACTTCAAGTCGATCGAGAAGGTCCACGAGCTGCTGCACGTTGGCGGTGATGGCCGCATTGCTCCCCGCAAGGCTGGCGAGTCCATGGAGGAGTAAATATCATCCCCTCATCACCCTCACAACAGAAAGGCGCCATTGTTCATCCCATTCCTCCTCCTCCTACCTGCCTCCAATGGTGCGTTTTTTCCTCCCCTCTCCCTTCCACCCAATGATCAGTCCAGCTGGCTCAGGACAGACACGGAAAGATGCGTAAATGCTGATTTGTTGATTGTGCTGCTCCGTTTCTCCTTCTGGGGCATGCTTGTGCCTGAAACTGGTCATTTGTACTCTATATCTCTGATTGCCGGCGACCGCCTCCATCCCCCTTATTCTCCCACACCGCCTTCTCTCGCCAGCCAGAAACACAGAGAAAGGCCTCTCTTGTCTATACAAATATATTTACATCCCGCACAAATGTCGACTGGGTGTGATCGAGACTGTGCTCCCAAAACCAACAGGCAAGGATTGATGTGAGAGCACCCAGGGACACTCTGTCCAGTTCCATTCCAAACAAACTGAGTCGATCAACAAGCACTGACAAGTCTCGGGACAAGTTGGACACTGTCGAGCCCCCCACTCCCACATGGCACTTCACCTCGTTGATGCCATTCATGGATTGGAGTGGATTGGAGTGGATTGGAGTGGATTCAGACAACTGTCCCAGACCGTACTCCCATGTCCACCGGCTTGGGACTGCCCATCAATGCTCCGCCGTCCATTTCATCCCATTCATCTGTCGATTTGTGCTGCCCAGCACACATCTGTCGCTGTAGGCCGAATCGGATGGAATCGTGCTGCACAGGAATATTGTTCTGGCTGGGTGACACCCGTCCCGAAACAGCAGGTCTGTGTGACGACGGTATCACCAAGCCACACCCCGTGGACGGTATCAGCGAGGAAACAGCACATCACCCCTCAAATACCCCATGTCGCCTCTGCTCCTTCGCCGTTGTTCCTGCTCTCTGCTCTGTCTCGGCTGCCTCCCATCTGCGGCCTGTCTCCATCGCTCCTTTCTGCCACGCCGGCTGCAACTGAAACGATGGCAGAATCAACCCTGATCCAGGAGGACCTCGCTCGCTTCGACCTGCTCACCATCCTGATCACAAATGACGCCTTCATTCGAGCTGCAAGCTCATCCTTGCTCGCAAAACTCCTGAGAGTCTCGAAGCAGACTCGGGCCATCCTCGATACCGAAGAGGTACGGGAACGGTTACTATTCCCCACTTTGGGGATCACTCCCGAATTCCTGTTCAAGGGTGTCGATCCCTCCATCGATCGGTTGAAAGTGGCCCAAGGGCTCCTCTGTTATGCACTTCGCCAAAATCAGCACAGACCAACCAACTCATCGATGTTGGCGAAGGAGAATGAGCTCTGGTCTGAAGTCCATCGAGACAGGCCGTTTTTCGACCGAGTGCAACGATACTGCCAAGTGACCGATCCAGCGTTCCACTTCCCCGAGGACGCAAGACCAAATGGATCCAAGCAGCCGTCGGTCGAGGAGATGATAACCATCGCTGAAGGACAAGACTTTCGCTTCAAGTGGCCGTTAGAGATCGAGCAATTGAATATCACGATTCGACCCAGCTGGCGCACAGATAGAGATACCTATGTTTCCAAACTTTTGCCATTCGACATCCCAGCGATCAACCAAGCAAGGGAAAGGCGCTTGACCTCGAGGATATGTCGTTTCTGGAGGTGTCTGGATGGCCCAAGACACTCTCCAGTATTTCAAATCTGACCATCGAGCATAGAAAATGGAATCAAGTGGCTGATCCACTGATCAGCTTGGAAGGCATGCCGAATGTCCTGCCCTCGCTTACAAGGCTCGACCTGAGTGAATGCAGTGAACTCAAGTCGCTCAAGGGAATGCCTGAGATGCCCAAGTTGGAGACCATTCTTCTCCCACCGTCCATTGAGTCCCTGGAAGGCATGCCGAAAGAACTGCCCTCGCTTACAAGGCTCGATCTGAGTGGATGCACTGAACTCAAGTCCCTCAAGGGAATCTCCGAGATGCCAAAGTTGGAGACAATTTTGCTCCCCAAGTCCACCGAGTCCCTTGGAGGCTTGCCGAGGGAACTGCCTTCGCTAAAGCTCCTCACATCCCCATGATCTATTGGACTCGCGTCTCTTGGTTGGCCGTCAGCGGTGCCGATGTTGCTTGAGCTCGACATTCCAACCGGCGTTGAGGCCCTCGTCGATGTTCCCGAGGAGCCTCCGTCCTCACCAAGCTCACAATCTCCTCGCGCAAACCCCACACCATTGAGCCAACTCCCAAGGATGCCAAAGCTCAATCATCTCGTCCTCTCAAGTCAATTTGTGAGCCTGGCCGATCTGCATGTAAATCAAAGCTCCCTCACAGTCCTCGATTTGCACGCTTGCTGCGAATTGAAGTCGCTGGATGACATTCCCTCGTATCCCAAGCTCGAGATTCTTCACGTCCCTCGATCGATTCGCAGAGTCAGCGGACTGGTCGACAAGCTTCCCTCGCTCAAGACACTGCATTTGGACTCAAGTATGAGGCCATCCGATCGATCCTTGTTGGCTGGCACGTTTGGCCGATATGCTGGCTCCTTCAGTCTTGGATGGAGCATCATTCGCCGGAGGATTTCCGGGCTTCCGAATGGATGTCGAGTGGTGTTCAACGATTCGTTCGAATACACCTTTGGCTCATCCCCAAAGTAGCTCAGCATGGAGCTGCTCAATGTCATGTGTTCATTCTCCAGGTTTTACTCTCTATGTTTTCCATTCCACTCCGTTTCGACTTGTTTCTTCCAATTCAAATTTCTTCCTCACACTTCCGACATCTCACTTCGTCCGATCAGATTGTGTGATATTCGTACTGGAGGACGGCTCTGGTGCTGTGGTGTGAGACGATCCTGCTTTGTTGCTGTCAAACCCGAAGCGAGTCCAAATCCCTCACAATCTATGACAGTCCACACACCGCACTTGGCCGTGAAATCAATCGAGAGCAGACACCAGTTGTCGTGGACATCCTGAGGCACTGCCTTCTCCCGCATTGTCGCTGGTGGATCTCCGTGAGTGATGATGACCATTGCAACTCCAGTCCATCCAGACCCCCAATGAGATCACAGCCTCGACTGAGGAAGATGGCTGTGGTCTGTGTCCTCGATGCATCCATCCATCGCCACCATGATCGGGCATCCGTGGAAGCAACGCATGAGAAATGGCAGAGGATTGAAAGCATGCACTACACTCCTGCATTGCTCTGTCAATGCCAGTCGACCAGATGTGTTGGATACTGTGCTTCGATATGGCGATACCTGGTGCATCTCGATCCGACAGTCGAGAGGGCTCTCGGCACTTGCAGCACACCGATGAGGGTTGAACCCGCTCGTCGATGCCAGCGCGGTGCTCACAAGAGGGCGATTGGGACGACAGAGGTGATGCTTGAACTGCCCAAAGTGTCAAGCAGCCTAAGTCTCCCGGCCCTGAAGGCATAGCCCTTGCCCAGTTGTCACGATGTATTGCCAAAGGCGATCACCACACTGCTCCCGTAGGACGCGCTGCTTGGTCATACTGATTGATCACTGTGGGTATGTATTCAGGACCCAGAAAGAGAATTCGGATAACTAATGAATCTGGCTCAAAACACTCTGCCCCCATTTCGTTTTGGGGAGTAAAATCAGGACTTGCATTTTGGAATATAAGATCAAAGACCAAGTGGGAACACAACGCCTGCAAAGGTCAGCAGGTCAGAGATTGTAAAGTTGCCGGGCACGGCGCTGGGCAGGAAAGGCACAAAGTGCGGGGCCAGGTTGAAGTACGAGTTGCGGTCAAACTTGAGCAATCCAATAAAGACCTCGCCGACGATGCGGCCGCAGACAGGACCAAGCCGCTCGCCCTGCTGGGTGGTCTCGGCCTCGAACAGGCAGTAATACCACAGCGGGGTGCTTGTGTTGAGGCCGAACGGGCTCAGTCGAGGCACCACCAGCGGGGTCTCGCCCATGAAAGAGGCTATGGCTTGGCCCGAGGGAATGGCAAAGTTGACATGGCGGGCGAGGTTGCGGGCTGGAAGAGCAGACGGCCCGCTCGATGGAAGGCCGTCGAGGGGGGCCTGCTGGCCGGGCAGATTGAACAGAGGGGACGAGACGTTGGTGTCGATCTTTTTGTTGTGGAGCGGCACAATGCTGCCTTGCAGATTCGGGGCCATAGGGAAGAACGTCTGCCAATCGATAAAGCGGCGGGCGGCCCGGTGGGTGCCTCGAAGATCGTTTGGGTCGGGATCGGTGGGGCTGATGCTGTTGTTGAAGACCAAAGGCGCAAATGCTGGAGGAACGCCGGCTGGCCCTCCAAAGTTTGCACGGTAGCCGGGACGAACCTGCGAATGGCCAAAGCGGTACGCAGCAACCGAAAACTCGATCGGAACCAGAGGCAGTGTACGTCGGGTATGGGCCAGACTGGCGGCTGAGGAGCCGAACTGGTCGTCGTCAGCGAGGCTGAGGACCTGATCGAGCTGCTTCAGCTGGAACGGGAATCGCAAAGGGTTGTAGAACTTGAGGCCGCCCTGGAGGATGCTGTCGACAACGTTCTGGCCAATGGTCGTGGGCAGAAACTGGTGGACAATGATCCACTGGTAGTGGTAGGTGACTATCTGGCGAGCGTCCTTGAAGAGCCGTCGGGGGTGCGCATGTTTGTACTTTGGCTGGGATCGGAGGTTTGCGACAACGGCGTTGTGAAAGAGCATAAAGCCCAGATGCAGCTGCGATACCATCAGATTTTCGTCGTTTCGGGACTCGGGGATGATGGAGTTGTTGTTGGAGTCTCGGGGATGGTCGAAGCGGATCACACCGGCCAAAGAGGCCTTGTCGGAGCCAGGGATGGGCTCGACCCGGAAAGATACCTGGTCGGACTGGTAGTACTCTGGCGAGCCGTCGGGACCCATGCCGTAGACCGAGTCGAGATCAAAGGCCGGGGTGCGGAAGTTGATGGTTCGGTATGGATCCGCCGTGGCATTGATGGCCGATCGTTTGTCGAAGGTGATGTCGTGGTCCAGGAACTGGCCCAAGAATGTGAACCCGGCGGTCATGGCGGGATTGTCTGGGTTTCTGGGGTTGGTGACGCCGGGAATGTCACCGGCATCAACGATTCCCGAGATTGCGCCGATGGCTTCGACGAGGAGACGCTCGGCGTTGTCTTGGGGACCGAACGAATGGAGAGTCGGAAACATGCGTGTGAAAGTGTTTTCAGGGAATCTGGGTGCGGCCGGGAAGCGAGCCTGGACGGTATCGGCCCGGGTGTGAGGCACAACGAGACTGGAGAGGCAGGCGGCTCCAAGCAGCCAGGCAGCGCAAGACTGGCTGTTGGGTGCAGCGAAGATCATGGCGAGTAACGAAGGAAAGGAGCCGAGGAGAGTAGCTGAGCGGATGAAGGAAGTACTCGGCTTGGGTGGTGCTGTCGCTGGCGATTCAGAGTGCTGCGAAAGCCGCACGCTTTATGCCTCGGGGCAAAGCTGCCAGACTCGGGAGTGAAGGCGGACGATCCCTGTCGGTAGGATGAGACGGTCGACGGAAGGGATCGGTCTGGCGACGAGTACACGGGGCTCGCCTCTGCGACGACGCAGAAGGAGCAAGACATGGGTGCAAACCGCGGGTGCGGGACACGGCAGAGTGTCCCAAAGAGAAAAGACATCCTGGCGATGCAGCCCAAGCCCTGTAATCTCGGAGGAGTTGCGGAGACTGTTTCCCGACGGCGACAGCGAGAACGTGCGGATGTCCCTTTGAGTGCGGGTCGCTTTTGCGCCTTCCTTGGGGCCAGGGTCTGGGGGTATGCTGTGTCAGCTCGCTGCCCTGGGAAATCCGCAAGGACAGACTGACCGAGGGCCAACTCGGCGATACCCAGGGTCCAGGGGACCGCTGCGCTGCATCCCCGCAGGAGACACTGGACGGCGGTCTTTTCTCTTCCGTCGCTGGACGGGGTTGTGGGTGGGCAGGGTCGGTTGGACCAGCAGGATTGTGGGTGGCCAAGGGCAGCGAGGTCTTGGGAGAGATGCGAATATCGGGATGCTGATGGATCGATCGTGGATATCATCCAGATCCACTCACGGCTCGTGGCGTCCATACAACACAGCTCGTAACACCGCATCGAATCTCCTGGCACACCAACCGCCATCAACACCACCGCCATCACAATCACAATCAGCATCGGCATCGGCGTCGAATGTCCTGGCCCGCTGGCCCGCTGGCCATCCAAGCACCAGAACCCCTTCACTTCCCCGCCGCGCACAGCATCAGATTGTTAGGAGAATGTCGACAGCGGATATTGTAGCCGAGGATGAGATCAGAGCATTTCATGTATTACGGGCCATTGAGAGAATGAGCGGATCAGGCGACCCACGTCACCTTTGGAGGACGCATAGATGATCGAGGGAAAGGGGAGCATAGACACTCGGGGACAATGGGGGATCGACCCGTGCACACTCTCAACTCAATAGAAGGCGTAAACGTTCAGGCAGGGCTTTTTTTCAAAGGGCAGAAAGAAAGGAGAGAGGATGCTTCAAGAGGATATTTCCGATAAAGTTCGGCATAGAGATCAGCACAGGGGAAGAAGCTTTGGCAGGAGAAAGGAAAAGATCCAGGAAGACAGGGGAGTGGGAGGGCCAACACCTCTTGACAGGTCGTCGCCGAGATGGCGGACTTTACTTGCTGAGGGGGTTGCCAGCATAGTCAACATCGAAGCAGTAAAAGTCGTTGGTAGTGGCGGGGTTGAGGAACCAGTTGGGCATCAGGAAACCACCAACCGGGTTGCCATCAGCATCGGTCTGGAGGAAGAGCAGCTGGAGGACACCAATGATGGTGGCACCGATACCGACACCAGAGTCGAGGGCGACGGACAGGACAAAGTTGTACTTTTTCCACCACTCGTTCTTGTAGCGGAAGAGGTAGTACTGGGAGACGAAGGCGACGATGAAGGGGACGATGATGATGACCTGGTTGCCGGTCTGGGGGCCGACCCAAGTGGCAAGGATAGGGACGTTGATCAAGTGCCAGTAGGGGTGCTTGTAGAGCTTGTTGCCGAGCCAGGGGAGGATGGGAGCGACGAGACCGGCAGGGAAGGCCCAGAGGATGTCGTGGTAGAGAGCGCCGGAGCCGAAGAAGCGGGCAGGGGCGATGGCTCCCCAAATCGTACCGGCAGAGTAGAAGACACCGTAGCTAGCAGCCTGCCAGTTACCAACACCAAAGAGGGGCGAGAGAGTGAAGGAGGTGGCGACGGGGACACAGATCAGGGCAGAGAGAATAGCGCCGATGACCTGACCAGCAACCATGGCGCGGGGAGGAACCTTCATGTAGTGGCCGATCTTGAGATCGTTGAGGAGGGTCTGGGCCTGGATCATGGTGTTGTAGCCGAGCGACTTGAAGGACATGACGGGAATCATATCGCCGGGGATGATCAAACCGATGATGAACTCGGTCAGGACGTTAAGACCAATGTACTGGCCGGTCAGGGCGGTGATGGTGGTGAGGGGAATAACGAAGATGATACCGAGGGCAACGGCAAAGAGGACACCCCACCACTGGAGCTTGTAGGGAGTGAAGGAGCCGACGAGAAGCATCAGGATGGTGGAGGACAGGAAGATACCGAAGTAGACCCAGTTGCTGACTTCGGGGTAGGCAGCCATGAGCTTGTTGTGGATGTCCTGGTGGTCGGCATCCTCCTTGAGCTGGTTCATGGCAACACGGGCCTGGCGGACAATGTCCTTGCCGTACCAGAGAGTGACGTGGGTGACGGACGAAGCAATGGCAATGAAGGAGGTGGCGTAGACAAAGATAAAGGACATGCCAAGATGGACGGGGGCGGCGCTGTTGTACTTGTTGATGTCAAGGTCAAAGGTGGTGGGGTCAAGGAGGATGCGGCCGCTGAGACGCTGGCCAAGAGCAGAGCCGTTGAAGAGACCGTTGCTGTTGAGGAAACCGCAGCCGTTGGGTCCGGGCTTCTTGCAACCGACGTACTTGCCATCCCAGACGTTGTTAACGTAGGCGATGGGGACAATGATCCATGACCAGAAAATGAAGCCGATCAGGACAACGCAGTTGGCCCAGAAGGGAGCGGTCATGGGCGCGATGTAGCCGTTGAACTGGGACCAGTCGAGGGTGAGGGCCAGGAGACCAACGCCGCTGGAGGTCGAGCCGAAGATGTTGGTCAGGCTGGTCTTGCCGGCGCCGAAGAAGCAGAGGATGGCGATACTCTGGAGGGCGGGGGCGATAAAGCCGGGAATAAAGTAGTAGACAATGGTGACGGTGAAGGCGATCCAGAAGAACTTGAAGCGCGACATCTTGTACTTGGAGGCAGAGTCGGCGGCGGCGGTCTTGGAGTCGTGGAAGGAGGCGAACATGGCAAGGATACCCATGTTGCCGGGCCAGTACATGGCGGCGGGCTTGATCAGGAACTCACGGGCCATACCAGCGAGGCCGAGACCGAGGCACTGGGTGGCAAGAATCCAGAGCATCGACTGCCAGATCTGGATGGAGGTGTCGTTGAGGTAGAGGGGACCGACCTGGCCAACGACGTTGTCGATACCGTAGGGAGTACCGGCGTTGGACATGATGTAAATCAGGACGTGCTCCTTGATGGAGAAGGGGCCGGGGTTGAGCGAGTTCTCGACGCCAAAGAGCTTGAAGCGGACATCGGGGAGGACCTTGGAGAAGAAGATACCGATGGGGTACGAGATGATCTGGAGCGTAGAGGCGGCGGGAGGGGGATGTGAGTGCCAAGCGACGGGCTGTGTGGAGGAACTCGGTCGGGCCCGAGCGTGGGTGCTTCACTCTGGTGTGTGATCGACAGATACTCACCACAGCGACGTAGGCAGGAACGGTGAACTGGTTGGTGCGGAAAGAGAGGACGACGTTGACGGCCGAGGTGATGACACAGAAGAGGATGGCCAGGAACATGGCACGGACGGTGAAGCAGGGAGTGGTGGGATCATCGGTCGTGGGGACGACGGCGCTGATCTGGGCATAGGCGCTGTGGGCGTCCAGCTGCTCGACATCGTCAGAGTCGATGGTAGTGATACCAAGGATCTCCTTCTCCTCGGTGTCGAGCTTGGGAGTGGTGTGGTGGTGCTCCTTCTTGGTGGCCTCAGTCATGGTTGCCAGCGCGGGGGATGGGAAGAGGTGAGGTGGCGAGAGAAGAGGGGAGCCGCGGGGGGGGGAGTACTTATAGACGGCGCCTGGCGATGCCCAACGAGAGGGGGGCACGCCAACGGAGGCGGCACTCCCGACGAGAGGGGGCACGTAAGGTGGAGCCACCCACAGCAAAGATGGCGCCGCCCAAGGAAAGGACAAGCCATCTGCAGCCCGAACGAGCCACCTGGGGCGGAAAGACAAGCCATCCGAGACGGGGCACTCGACGCGCCGGGCCAGACAGGCGGCAGCATGACAGTGGAGAGGCAAGGCCGGGGGAGGCGACGAGCACAGCGCCGGTGCCACGGGACCGTGGCGCACAAGGCGTGGGGGCCATCAGCTGATGGGCATGGCCCGGCGCCCGGGTTGTGCAAGGGCACACAGACTGTGCATGTACAGCGTATGTACAGCACGGAAACAGCGGATGTGCAGCTTGTGTGCAGCTTGTATACAGCGCGGGCAGCCGCCAGGGGAGTGGGCTGGTGCGGGCTTGCCCTGGGCTTGACCTTTTGTGCGACACCAACGCGCCGCCCGACGCGTGGCGGCGTGGGGCCAGCGCCAGCGTGATGCTCATGTGGTGCGAGCGGCCGGGCGCAGCCCGAGAGCGGCGCTGCTTGTGCGACATCCCGTGTCAGCCAGTGTTGGTGTCAGTGTGTGTGTGGTTGTCTTGGTCCTGTGTCTGGCCTTGCTCTTCGGCCTTGCTCTTCGGCCTTACAGCTTATATCTCGGGCTGCCGCGGTGGGGGTGTATTGTTGTGCGCGCCTCATCCAGGTTGATCTTTCTCCTCCGTCGGTCCAGCGCCGTTCTGCTGCCTCGCATGGTGCGCGGCCCAGCAGGCCTCTCGTCCCAACTGTCTGTCTTTGGGCTGCGAGAACCACTTGCATCTGCCTGCCAATGTTGGTACATTTGCCGACACTCTTCAATCCCACAAGGAAGGCGGCATTGATCCGAAAGCTGCTCCGTGCAACCGCCGGCGCTCTCTGCTGCCAAACATTGGCTACGCGTTGTAACCAAGAACCCGCATGGACAGCTGACAGCAGCAGCAAGGACCGCCATGTCGCGCCTCACCGCGCTGACCAAGCTGTATTCGCCGACTCGAGCAGGACGCCTTGGTCTGTGGCCTGGTCCTCTGTTTGCGCTCAGATTGTCGAGCCAAAGTGCATGCTGCTATCCAGCGCCTCGCATGCAACCATCCAACACCTCATACGCAGCCATTGAGCACTTTGCATGAAACCATCCGACACTCACATCGGCCGTCCAGCATTGCTCGGCCGGGCTGCTTCTGCGCTCGCTTGGGTGGTGCTTCTTTCTCAGGCCGGGGTGGCTGGGTGGGGGGGGGGCGTTCCTTGCGTCCATACCCGACCGCGCCGCCTTTCCAGGCCCATTGGCCGCATGTCTGCCCATGATGTGCGACAGGGGCACCTTCGCGATGGACCTGGGCTGGTGGTCGCACAGAGCAAGCGGCCATGTCGGAGCGAGATTGGGTGGTGGGCCCGACGCATCGTGCGTGCTGCCCCGACAGACGCCGCCGATGGTGCCTTCCCCATGACCGAGCTGCTTTCGATGGCGCTGGCTGCCAGGAGAAAGAAGCCGGCATGGGCCGTTCACCCGGGCGCCTCGAGGAGGATCGAGGGGGGGAAAGACCCTCTGCTTGCGCAGACCAGCACGCCAGCAACGCCACAGCCCATGATTGGCATGGCCTGAGCCGAGAAAGGGGGAGAGGAGCGGATCAGCACGCCAGAGCAACGGACCTCCTGGAATCCATGGGAGGCAGAGCCGGGCGATTGCTCCGAGGCGGGAGTGCTGGTCGCCGGCGAGAGGCCCCATCACATCCGAGGTCGATGATGCCTGGATCTCGATCGAGCTGCTGGCGGCACGCAGTTGTTCTCTGCTCGGATCGGAGAGGCAGTAGTCGATGCGTTCGCCGCCCGTTTGACCAATCGAGCTGACCTATTCTTTGGATCGTTTGTGCTCCATCCATCAGCCGACGCTTAGAGTGCCTCCCAGGAGACCATATCCCGATGATCGCTTGTGCCATGCAGGCCAACATAGATATCCCGAGCTTGCTGCAGTTGCTCCCATGCATCGCCTCTGTGGTCAAGGCATCGCAGCACGATTCCCATATTGTGATGTGCTCTCGCAATCAGCAGGGCAGGAGCTTGCGCCGTGATGAGGATAGAGAGCACTTGTTTGGAAAGATCATATGCAATTTGGAACTTTCCCTTGAGGGCCGCTACCGACGCCATTCCGGCCAGAGAGGATGCAACACTCAATGGCTCCTTCTTGGGGTGAATATGCATCCCGACGTCGACAGCATCGGGGGATGGATCGGGCGACACAGTGCGGATCACGCTTCCATACAGGTCGCCGGACTTGATGAGAGCGCTCGAGCTAAAGAAACAGTCGCTTCCGGGAGGGGACCGAATGAACATCTCGAGGGCCTCGCTGAAGTATCGCATCACGTCTTTGCGAAGCGACAGGCTTGCCGCCGCTGTACCCATGAATCCGTATATGATGGCAATGTCTTGTCTTTCACGAGTTCCACACACCTCTTCCAGAGTGTC